CTTCTGCCTAAGAAAAATTGAATTTTTTTGTACAGTTTTTTATGCTTTTGGATGCGTTTTTGGTCATAAAAAAGGTCTTCCTCTACTCGGATCTGGGTGTCAATTTTTTTCTACACTTTTCGGTGTATTTTGTGCAAGATTATGCAATAAAATCTTCTGCCTAAGAAAAATTGAATTTTTTTGGAAAGTTTTTTATGCTTTTGGATGCGTTTTTGGTCATAAAAAAGGTCTTCCTCTACTCGGATCTGGGTGTCAATTTTTTTCTTTACTTTTCGGTGTATTTTGTGCAAGATTATGCAATAAAATCTTCTGCCTAAGAAAAATTGAATTTTTTTGGACAGTTTTTTATGCTTTTGGATGCGTTTTTGGTCATAAAAAAGGTCTTCCTCTACTCGGATCTGTGTGTCAATTTTTTTCTACACTTTTCGGTGTATTTTGTGCAAGATTATGCAATAAAATCTTCTGCCTAAGAAAAATTGAATTTTTTTGTACAGTTTTTTATGCTTTTGGATGCGTTTTTGGTCATAAAAAAGGTCTTCCTCTACTCGGATCTGGGTGTCAATTTTTTTCTACACTTTTCGGTGTATTTTGTGCAAGATTATGCAATAAAATCTTCTGCCTAAGAAAAATTGAATTTTTTTGGACAGTTTTTTATGCTTTTGGATGCGTTTTTGGTCATAAAAAGTGTGTTCCTCTACTCGGATCTGGGTGTCAATTTTTTTCTACACTTTTCGGTGTATTTTGTGCAAGATTATGCAATAAAATCTTCTGCCTAAGAAAAATTGAATTTTTTTGGAAAGTTTTTTATGCTTTTGGATGCGTTTTTGGTCATAAAAAAGGTCTTCCTCTACTCGGATCTGGGTGTCAATTTTTTTCTACACTTTTCGGTGTATTTTGTGCAAGATTATGCAATAAAATCTTCTGCCTAAGAAAAATTGAATTTTTTTGTACAGTTTTTTATGCTTTTGGATGAGTTTTTGGTCATAAAAAAGGTCTTCCTCTACTCGGATCTGGGTGTCAATTTTTTTCTACACTTTTCGGTGTATTTTGTGCAAGATTATGCAATAAAATCTTCTGCCTAAGAAAAATTGAATTTTTTTGTACAGTTTTTTATGCTTTTGGATGCGTTTTTGGTCATAAAAAAGGTCTTCCTCTACTCGGATCTGGGTGTCAATTTTTTTCTACACTTTTCGGTGTATTTTGTGCAAGATTATGCAATAAAATCTTCTGCCTAAGAAAAATTGAATTTTTTTGGAAAGTTTTTTATGCTTTTGGATGCGTTTTTGGTCATAAAAAAGGTCTTCCTCTACTCGGATCTGGGTGTCAATTTTTTTCTACACTTTTCGGTGTATTTTGTGCAAGATTATGCAATAAAATCTTCTGCCTAAGAAAAATTGAATTTTTTTGGAAAGTTTTTTATGCTTTTGGATGCGTTTTTGGTCATAAAAAAGGTCTTCCTCTACTCGGATCTGGGTGTCAATTTTTTTCTACACTTTTCGGTGTATTTTGTGCAAGATTATGCAATAAAATCTTCTGCCTAAGAAAAATTGAATTTTTTTGGAAAGTTTTTTATGCTTTTGGATGCGTTTTTGGTCATAAAAAGTGTGTTCCTCTACTCGGATCTGGGTGTCAATTTTTTTCTACACTTTTCGGTGTATTTTGTGCAAGATTATGCAATAAAATCTTCTGCCTAAGAAAAATTGAATTTTTTTGGAAAGTTTTTTATGCTTTTGGATGCGTTTTTGGTCATAAAAAAGGTCTTCCTCTACTCGGATCTGGGTGTCAATTTTTTTCTACACTTTTCGGTGTATTTTGTGCAAGATTATGCAATAAAATCTTCTGCCTAAGAAAAATTGAATTTTTTTGGACAGTTTTTTATGCTTTTGGTTGCGTTTTTGGTCATAAAAAAGGTCTTCCTCTACTCGGATCTGGGTGTCAATTTTTTTCTACACTTTTCGGTGTATTTTGTGCAAGATTATGCAATAAAATCTTCTGCCTAAGAAAAATTGAATTTTTTTGGACAGTTTTTTATGCTTTTGGATGCGTTTTTGGTCATAAAAAAGGTCTTCCTCTACTCGGATCTGGGTGTCAATTTTTTTCTACACTTTTCGGTGTATTTTGTGCAAGATTATGCAATAAAATCTTCTGCCTAAGAAAAATTGAATTTTTTTGGACAGTTTTTTATGCTTTTGGATGCGTTTTTGGTCATAAAAAAGGTCTTCCTCTACTCGGACCTGGGTGTCAATTTTTAGTATTTTTTTTTCTATAGTTATTTATTTGATACAATAAATACAATTGATACAAATTATCAATGTATTGATAACAACAAATATTTGAAACAATGATACATTTATTTTATTGTAATGAATATTTATTTTGAAGCAATTAAATATTTATTTGATGCAAATAAATATTTATTTTATAATAGTGAAGTAACGGATTATTAGAAGAAAATAAATTTTTTTTCATCGTATTTTCTGAAAGAGGAGCTTCTTAAGGTGTTATTATAGCTTAGTTAATAAATAAGGCGTCGTTTTAAACTTCGCGTAGAGTAGTGAAAGGCAATATACATATGTAAACTATATGTATACCCTCTCTCTTTTTCAATATTTTTCAATGCTACAACTATATTATAGAAATATCTATAATTATCTCAGTAATAAGTAATCTTCAAAAAGACTTATATTTTGCTACAATAATATTCTTGTTTGTTTGACTTATTTCCTTGAACATATTTACTCATTTTAAAGAATTTTTTTTTTATTTTTACATTACAAAAAAAATTTAATAAATGCATGTTTACAAACAAATGGAAAATAAAAATACCTTTTACGACTTCCAAAGTTTCTTGCAACTTTTGCTGTTGGAAAAAATATAATGAAAAACATTTATTTGATTCAAATAATCTAATTTACTATTATCATATAAATATTTACTTGAATCCAATAATTTTTGTAGTAAATTGTATTAGTTTCAAGTACAGAAATTATTACAGTTCAAATTCAATTAATGTTATTGAAATAAATTTTTTTTTATTCAAGTAAATATTTTTTTGATAATAGTCAAGTTATCGAATATTTGAGTCAAGTAATTTTTTTTTTCAGTTTAAAAAAATGCTATTTTCAGAGAAAAAAATTTTCTTATTTCATTGTAGTAATTTTTTCTATTTCCGGAGCAGAAGTTTCAGTTGAAATTTTTCTTTGTAAGTAGTAAAAGTTTATATATATATTTTTTTCCATTATGGAATATAAAAGAAGCTGGAGAGATAAAATTCTCGGGAAAAGGAATTTTCTCCAGATTTATATATACGCAGCTTTATTTATACAATAAGTTAAAAAAAAATTCTTTCCTATAAAGATGTTGTGAGTAAAATTTGTTTTTTTTTTCAAATTTAAAACAAACATCTTCATTTGGTATAAATCCAACATTGCAATGTGGTGTCGCAAATTCCTACCGGATATTTATCGGATGATTTGCGCTTGAGTATGCAACGCAGATGTAATCTACATTTACAATCCTTGTCTTGAAACTTCCTCTTTTTCTTTCTCTTTCTCTCTCTCGATATCTTCATTCGATTGTCCTCTTATAGAATAACATTTGACTTTTCCCGTGTTGCAAAAGAATCCGCTCACGAATTTTTATAATCCTATATTTACTTTCGCCTCGATTTATAATCATTTCAAAACAATACCTCGTGCTTTTTCTTGGATGTTGAGGATTTTTTTTTTTTTTTTTTTTTTTTGTAAGGATATGTCACGTAAGTTATCCTTCGTTAATTTTAAATTAAAATTATTAAAAATTAAAAAATTCTTATAATTTTTCCGTTAAATAGGGAAAATTTCAATTTATAATTTTAATAATGAATTTATATTTTCACATGGAAGGACAAATTATACATGTAAGATTTTTTTTTTAATTTGATGAAAAATTACACTTTTTATGTGGAAAAGTGTAATAGAACAATGCTATAAAAATCTAATATAGCATGATGCTTTCCATTTAATAGATGTTAATGTGAAAATGTAATTAGTGTAACTCAAATTCTTATATGCGCATGAACATCATGAATCAATTATTGTACTCTGCATATAGAAAGTTTCAATTAAATAATGAATAAATATATTATTTTAGACAACTATAATATAATTATATATATATTTTCCTCAGTTTTTTTTTTTTTTTTTTTTTTTTTTTATAAACGACGATAATAAATCTATTTTTTTTATTTGCAAACTCATCGATATCTTCTTATATGAAGCTAATTACTTCTTATTTTATAAACCCTCTTTCTGTTTATTGTATGAGAGTGTGTTAACGGTATTCTGTGTGTAATAATAAATATAGTGTTATTTGGATCTTTATGACTTCGATAATTGTCCGAGTCTCAATATAGGATGTACCATATATATATAATGGGTTTACTATAAAGAAAATCAAATACAGTGAGACGACAAAATTTCATAGCATTTCAAAAAAAAAAAAAAAAAAAAATTTAATCTCATTATTTTTATTATTTTTAAAAAAAGGAGACAAAAAATTTGGAGAATTTTTATAAATTTGCATAAAAATAAATTTAATAAATAGTAAATAAATAAGTAAATAATAAATAAATAGAAAAGTAAATAATAAATTAATAAATAAGTAAACAATAAATAAATATTAAAGAAATAATAAATAAATAATAAATTAATAATAAATTAATAATAAATTAATAATAAATTAATAATAAATAAATAATAATTTGCATAATGAGAGAACAAAAAAAATAATAATAATAATAATAAAAAAATATTTTAATATTTTATTTTTTTATTTATTTTTTTATTTATTTTTTTTATTTATTTTTTTTTAATAATTTTTTTTAATAATCTCCTTGAGATTAATTATTTATTTATTTAGAAAATTTATTATAGATATTTATAATCTGATTATAAAAAAAAAAAAAAAAAAAAATTAAGTGAATTTTCTATGTGATGTATTAATTGAAGAAAATGTTTCAGACGCTTCGAGGAGGATGAGAGGCTGCAAATGTTTGACGAGGGCGCAGGTCAGTGCTCCGCAGAAGCCTGCTCTTCTGATCGGAAATGACTATGACGAGCGTGGCTGTCATAGACCAGGGTAGCTTGCCCTTCAATATGCTCACTCCTAAGAGGTACCACCTCCAACAGGGGTTAGCACCAAATACATCATCTACCGCTTCTAACAAGGTAAAAATATTTTTTTCAATTTTTTTAAAAATTTTTTTTATGATAATAAATTTGCAAAAATTCGAAATTAATTGTAATTTATTTTCAAAAAGCTTTCTGATAGTGAAAAAAAATTTATTTTCCCCAAATAATCGATTATTATCAAAATAAATATTTATTTCAATCCAATAATTTCTGTATTTAATAAGAAATAAATAAATTTATTTGGATCAAATAATTTCTATATTTAATAACAAATAAATATTTATTGAAACCAAATAATTTCTATATTTAATAACAAATAAATATTTATTTGGATCAAATAATTTCTATATTTAATAACAAATAAATATTTATTGGAACCAAATAATTTCTGTATAATATTTATTTGGACAAAATAATTTCTATATTTAAAACAAATAATTATTTATTTCATAATAGTCGATTATTTGTGGAAAATAAAATTTTTTCATTTGCATTAAATAATTATTATTTAATAAAATAGAAAATTATTTCAATTAAATGGTAATTATTTTAATTGAATGGTAAATATTTCATTTAATTGTTATTTGTTTCCAAAACAAAAATTATTGTTCCAAATACTTTTTAATACAAATAAAAATTGTTTGGTTCAAATAAAAAATTGTTTGGTTCAAATAAAAAATTGTTTGGTACAAATAAAAATTTTTTTGATTCAAATAAATATTTATTTAACAATAATAAAGTAACCGATTATTAAAATAAAATATTGTTTTTTTTTGCAGTGCGAAAAACGGGACTAGAAGGAAAAAAAATTATAGGTTATGTTTATGAATTTGTATTTGATATTTGGAGAAAATACAAAATAGAAGATCATTTCAAATCATTAATCTTCATCCAAATAATGATTTTAAAATTACATATATAACTGAAAAGTAATTTTTTAATCAAAATAACTAACATGAACGTAACCTCGTTTTTTTTTGCATCTTAGGTCCCTTTCTTCACAATTAATTCACAAAAGTCCGCATATAGTGTTAAAAGAATGAAATTTTTATATATGACCAATTAGATATTAAAATCGTTGCATTTAAATATTCTTGAACTAATTACATACATAAATAAATGTAAATATGTAGAACGTAAAAGAAATTTAAAATAATTAAAATGCTTCCTAGAAATATTTTTATATTATCGCTCTCTACATTTTTTTTTTATTCTTTTTTTTGGTAACGAAATTGAAAATCATAAAAAGATTCTCTTTAGACACAAGAAAGTGAATAGAGTAATAATTATTTTCGAGGGATAATTGAAAGCAATTAATTAGCGCAAACGATCTTTCAAAGTTACATAACTTCTTATATATTTATACCTTAGAATGAACGTACTTCCGTTTAGATATTAATTATCATTTTTTTTTATCGGTCATCACTTCTTGTGAGTTTTCATTTTTTTTTTTTTTTTTTTTTTTTCATTTTATTTGCAATTCTTCTGCTTTTTTAAAAATGTAAAAAAAATTTTGTTAAACGAGTTTAAAAGTTTTATATAATTTGAGAATTTGTAAATTTTATGTAACATCCTGTTCTGATTTAGTTGTCCATTTAAAACCAGAAATAATCTCAAATTATTTTTATTGTTTATTTTTTTAATTTTAAATATTTTTTTTGAACACCGAGTGTATAGACACGCAAACAGATTTAATGTATATTTTATAAAATCCTATTTGCAGCAAGCATCCACACACAGAATTATATTATATCCGTCAAATCTTTTAACCGGTTTTTCTATTTCGACTCACTCGTGCAATATTCCCTTATACACTAATAATAATAGTTTGTGCCCACATTCTAAATGATATAACATATATTTTATTTATATTTGCACGTATTAAATTTAATTCTAAATTATAATTTAATAAATGTAGATTTTTATTTATTTAAAATCGATTTTATAGTTATGAAAATGTGTAACGAAAATAATCCCACTTTTCCTTATTTTTCTCATTGTCATATATATATATATATATAATTGTTCGTGTCGCTGTCGACTTTCTATTTTCTTTATACAAAAAGGAAATTAAAACAATAGACATGGAAAGCGTTTTCTTTTATAATTATTTTTATAAGTAAATTTTTTTCTTTTTAATATTTTATATCTAAATATTTGTAAATGAAAATTATTAACTGTAATTTCATTTTTGAATTACCTAATTAGGTGTTGTAACCAACTTTAAACATTTCATAATACTAATACTTTTATCTGTTCGCTTCGTTTCCTAAGCGCATATTGCATATTGCAAAAATTAAGAACTTAATTAAGAGCAATTGCATTTTAAAGGGAAGAATATATATTAAAATCAAGTAAAAGTTCATACAGGAATTTTTAGTAAAAAAAATGTAGAATTAGAAATCTAATTTTCCAGTGCTTTGAAATAAATTAAAAATTTTAATAACTAAATTAAACTTTAAAAAAAATTAAATTATTAAATATTACTAAAAATTAATCAAAAAAAAAATAAATATTATTAAAAATTAATCACAAAAAAAATAAATATTATTAAAAATTAATCAAAAAAAAAAAAAAATATTATTAAAAAATTGGTAAAATTTTTTTCATATTGAAAAAAAATTGTGTAAAATTTTCCAGCAAAAATTTTTAATAGATGCGTTTTCTAAAATAAAGAGTTGAATAGAAAATTAAAGATTAATTAAAGAGAGAGAGAGAGAAAGAGAAAGAAAAAAAAATCTTGATATAAAAAAAATATAAAGGATCAACGAAGTATGTAATATTAATTAGTATAAGAGAAGTCTACTTTCCCTGCTGACCATGGTCTGAATCTAGATAAACACACCAAGATGATGAGCACCTTCGTGTCTGCACTCAACTTCTTTCGCTATTATTTTTTCTTTTTTTTTTTTTTTATTCTTTTTTCTTAGATTTATACCTCATCTCCATTTCCTGATTCATCTAACTGATTCAACTTTGATATTCAAATTAATGCTTCCTTCAACCTAGACTTGTGATGGGACTGAAAACACCTTTCTGAATTTTATTTTCTCTATTATTGCTTCACCTTTTTCAAATTTCATATATTTTTTTTTTTTAATTTTATTTGTAAGGAAATGTCATTTTTCAGATATATAAATTCGAAATCTATTTTTTTTATTTTTTAGAATTTAAAAAAGGGTGGAAATATTAATCGAAAGCAATTTTATTTATTTTATTTATTTCTATTTATTTTTGTAAAATTATTTTTATTTATTTCTATTTATTTTTGTTAATTATTTTTATTTATTTATATTTTTTTAATTTTGTATTAAACCAAGTCCACTTCTGGGCCGAAAGGCTGAAGCTTAATTAATAAATAATATTTTTATTTATTTCTATTTATTTTTGTTAATTATTTTTAATTATTTCTATTTATTTTTGTAAAATTATTTTTATTTATTTCTATTTATTTTTGTTAATTATTTTTAATTATTTCTATTTATTTTTGTAAAATTATTTTTATTTATTTCTATTTATTTTTGTAAAATTATTTTTATTTAGTTGAAAAAAATTGAGATTTATTGGAAAATTTTTATTAAATTTTTGGTAATAATTTGAAAAAATAAAATTTTTCTCCGCGAATATATTTCTGAAAAAATGACTTTTCCGGTTTCTCTCTTTTTAAGTTTCAAACGCGCGTGTATATATATATGCTTCCTTATAAGAAATTTCCACACGCGTCTTACCACTTCTCAATTAGTGACACACATGCGTTGAACGTTGAAGATGCTTTGGCGTAATAATTAGATACCTTGTACTTACATCCGGCATCTCAATTGGCGGATACAATCATTATATAGTACCTGTGTGTATGTGTGTGTGTGTGTTAGAGTGCTTGCAAATAACAAAATTTCTCATAGGGAAAAATTATCAGAGTAATATGCAAATTAATTTCAACTTCAAAATTTTAAATCTTGATTATAATTGATAAATAGAAACTTTTTCTTTCGTTGACGCAAAAATTTATTAACGAAAGTGTCACATTTTTTCTGAAAAAAAATTTTATTTTATTTAAAAATTAATAATTTACTTTTTCTTTCATTGACGCAAAAATTTATTAACGAAAGTGTCACATTTTTTCTAAAAAAAAAATTTATTTTATTTAAAAATTAATAATTTACTATGAATAAATGTGATTTGGGAAATTTCTTCTTCTTTTTTTTTAAATTTTTAGATAAGAAAAATTTGTCAAAGAACATAAATTTTTTTTTTAAATAGATATACTTTCACCAAAAATTCTCTGTATGTAAATTCCATTTTTCTTTTTTACATACAAAATATTCAATTCCGTAAATTCTTTTTCTATTGGATTTTAAAAAAAAAATTATTCTTATATTTTTTAAAAAATTTTTTTTTTAGGTTTCGAATTCGTTGTATTTATTATTTTAACAGAGACCATGAAATAAACGTAATATGACAACGAGACGTGTAATAGTTTTGCAGACAAGATGTACAACAAGTTACTAGGTTACCGCTATTTCTATACCATTTAAGTAATAAATTCTTTTCTTTATAAGCATTCCTATTCCACAATCAGTAGAACCAGCATGTCGTATATATATATTGTATCAGCGCAGATGAGGAGAAAAAAAAGGAAACCATACTCGTTTAATTAAAAAATACTTCCGCTCTTACGTTTTAATATTGTGAAATGAGAAATTCATTATTATGTCAAATATTTACTTATGTTTTTAAAAGAAAATAGTAAATTTTTTATCAGCTTTTTTTAAAAAAAACGGTTTTACGCTTTTCAATTTATAAAAATGACTGGAAAAAAAATTATTCGATTCAAATATAATCGATTTCTCGACTATTATCAAATAAATATTTACTTGAACCAAATAATTTTTTTTGGACCGAATATTTTTTATTTGAATCAAATTTAACTATTATCAAATAAATATTTACTTGAACCAAATAATTTTTTTTTGGACCGAATAATTTTTATTTAAATTAAATTTAAGTATTATTAAATAAATATTTACTTGATCCAAATAATTTTTTTTTTTTTTTGACCGAATAATTTTTATTTGAATTAAATTTAACTATTATCAAATAAATATTTACTTGAACCAAATAATTATTTTTGGACCGAATATTTTTTATTTGAATCAAATTTAACTATTATCAAATAAATATTTACTAGAACCAAACAATTTTTTTTTTGGATCGAATAATTTTTTTTGGATCGAATAATTTTTTATTCGACCAAAATAATTATTAATTTGAACTAAATTATTTTTTTTTTTAACCAAATAATTTTTATTTCAATGAAATAAATTTTTTTAGTGTATATTGTTTCAAAAATACTTTGGAATTTAAATTTGTATTCGAAAAAAAATATTGTAAAAGGAAATTCATTAAATTTCATTTAATGCTAATGATTTCCTTTAAAATGTAAAATTTATTTTTATTTATCTTTTATTTTATCATGTCAAATTTTAGAAATCTTAATACAAGTTAAAAATAATAAGTTGCAATTAAGATTTTATAGAAGTAAAGATCATCTGAACATAATTCGAACAGTTTTTCTCTTACATATAGCCAATTAAGAAGACAGAGATTTATTGAGTCTGGAGGGCCTTAATTGAAAATCAGTTTTTTTTTTTCCCCCTCTGAAATATATATATATTGTGTATAGATAAATGTAACTCGACTATTTCATCGCATTTATAGCGATAAGAAATCATGATGTAGAGACACAATTGTTGTAAAAGTGTTGCACTATCATGATCATCATCATCAACATTGATACGGTCATCTAATGAATCCAAGGGAATCTGGAGTACACAGAATCCGTTTTAGAGTGCGGTCAGTGTAACATCTATATGTACCACATTTTCTTGTTCATTGCCATTTGTGTTGCCTTTATGACACCAAATCGAGATAAAAATACGGTCATGATTCAGTTCTTCAATTAAAAAAAAAAAAATAGCATTAAAATTAATTTTTTTATTCGGCAAAAAAAAAATCAAAATTTCATTTTTTTATTTTTCTTTTTCCAGAGAGAAAGGAGTACGATTTTAGTAGCTCAAGAGTTTAAAATGTCTTTAAAAGGAAATCGAAGCAAGAGAGACTTTTATTAATCCTCAATAAAGAAAGCTAAACCAAGTCAACTTCTGGACATCATGAGAGAAAGAGAGAGATAGAGAGAGAGAGAGATTGCAGTCATTATTCTTGTCAATTTTTGCAAATTAAATTTACCGCAATTTTGTTCTGATCTATATCCGACTTGATATGCCACACCCGGCCTTATATTCCAGCTTCAAGTTACACCTGCAACAGAATGCATGCTACTAGTTTATATATATATATATATATATATACTTTCTGTTTTTCGACTGACAGATCGAGTGCAATACAAAAGCTCTCTTACGTGAGCGTGAGACAAAACTTTTACGGCTATCGCCCGAGAAAGTAAGTGTTGAAGGCTTGCTTCGGGCCTTCGAGCACTTGTCTGGCCCATTTTCCATTTTTTTCTCTCTTTTACACTCTCAGAAATAGAATTAAAAATAACTGGCTAATTAGAATCTAGAAAATCGAATATATTCGAAATGTTTGATTCGAAAAAAAAATTGTACAAAAAAAAAACTCTTTTTTAAATTTGATTTTTAAATTCCAAATTTCCATTTTTTTCTCTTTTATACTTTTAGAAATAGAATTCAAAATAGCTGGCAAAATTAGAATCTAAAAAATCGAATTTATTCAAAAAAATCCGATTTCGAAAAAAAATTCTCAATTACAAAAAAATTCTCATTTTTAACAAATTCCATTTTTAAATTCCAAATTTTCATATTTTTTCTCTTTTATACTTTTTGAAATAGAATCCAAAATAGCTGGATAATTAGAATCTTGAAAATCAAATTTATACGAAACATCCGACTCGAAAAAAAAAATTCTACAAAAAATATACTCATTTTTAAATTCCAAATTTTCATATTTTTTCTCTCTTTTATACTTTTACAAATAGAATCCAAATTAGCTGGCTAATTAGAATCTTTCTAGAACATCGAATTTATTCAAAAGATCCGATTTCGAAAAAAAATTCTCATTTTTAAATTTGATTTTTAAATTCTAAATTTCCATTTTTTTCCTCTCTTTTATACTTTTATAAATAGAATCCAAAATAGCTGGCTAAGTAGAATCTAGAAAATCGAATTTATTCAAAAAATCCGATTTCGATACAAATTTCTCAATTACAAAAAAAATTCTCATTTTTAACAAATTCCATTTTTAAATTACAAATTTCCATTTTTTTTTCTCTTTTATGCTTTTAGAAATAGAATCCAAAATAGCTGGCTAATTAGAATCATTCTAGAAAATCGAATTTATTCGAAACATCCAATTGGAAAAAAAAATTCTCTTCTTTAATTACAAAAAAATATTTTCAATTTATTATTAAAAGAGAAATTTTTAATTTATTATTTTTTTTTGAAAGAAAAAAACCAATTTCTTAAAAATGATCATTTCTGGTTTCATTGACATGTGAAAAGTGCATCGATTTCTCCAAGGAAACGAATTGCAATATGTTCATCTTGAAAATAAGTTTGAACCAATTTCACTTTCTCCAAAGATTCTTCCTCTTTTAGTTAAAAAAAAAAAGAAAAAAACAATTTTTTTCCCATTCTCGATTTTTTAATCGAATAAACAAATATATTCTTATCTCAGAATTTCTTTTCTTTTTTTTTCTTTTTTTTCTGTATGACTTCTTTCAGCAAAGATGGAAAAATATAAACGAACTTTGATTTATACAAATGAAAGCAATAATCTCAAATCTTGTTTTCTTATAAGCGACAATATCAACGATCTGAAAACAGAAAAAAAAGAACCGTAAATATCGATTTTCTCTCTATATATATTTTATTAAAAACCGTGAACAAGAGAAATTTACATTTTATTTAACCAATGAAAAAGAAAATGACTCATTATTTTATTTAACAATTTCTAATTGTAATTTCTCCATTAAAAATTTTAGCACAACAAAATTGAGTTCATAAAAAAAATTTTTGTTAAGAGAAATCGATATCATTCATCAATAAACTCATCATTATATTTATTATATATACGACTATACGAGTTAAATGAGAATTTTCTAAATAATTATTTACTTCTTTCTTTAAGTGATCGAAATTAATATTTTTAAGAGCTGTCAATTTTGTTTTCCATTATTTGGAATTGAAAATTATTCTGAATTATTAAAATTCGAAAATTTTTTTTTTTAGAAATTTTATTTTTTGAAAAAGTTAATCGCTATTTCTCTTTAAAAAAAAAAAAAAATTGAAAATTATTTTTTTATTTTCCCCGCATTTAGAATTTATAACATTGATACGTTAATTTAATGTTCATTTAACGAATTCTATAATAAACGATATGATCTTGAAGGAACGCTAATTTCAACTTTTATGATAATTCATTACATAAGTGTAGTTGTTGGTAAGTGAAGGTCAATGCCTTATTATTAACGATAAATAGTATCCCATATAATAAGTACAGGATATCCACTCGCGCGTAATCGCATTTCTCTCTTGTGAGAAAAATACCAGGAAACCCATCGTCCAAAGGCATGTTGAGATCAAAGGTCCTTTTATATTAAAAAAATTTTAATTTACAATTTTAATTTACAATATTCTCAATTAGTTTTCTATTTTTTCTGAAAAATAATTATTTTTCTTTTTTTTTTATGATTTCAGAATTACGATACGTTGAGTAAGGGGAAAAAATCATGGAGTGTCAGATTGGGATTATCGCGTCAGAGTCAATCTTCAGAGGATCCGGTCAAAGGCTGGGGAACCATTAGCGGTGGTAGTTCGCTGTCTCATCAAATAATTTATGGCGAGCCATGGATTTATGGAACGGTTCGCGCATCACGATCTGGACATGATCCACGTGCTTTTTTAACTCCTCCCCCACCAACAGGAGCTCCAATTCTTATTGTGTGTTCTTGTCCTGAATTTTTGAGTGGAACCTCTAGAAAATTGGGCAATTGCACAAAATGTGGAGGTCATCGACTTGCTGGAATTCCCTTTGGGGGAACCTGCAGGATACCAACCACGTCAGTGAGAACTCGACCCAGTTTAGCGGGTAAGAAAATTATATTTTTCTATTGAAAATTAAAAAATTAAAAAAATTTTTTTTTTCTATTTCAAGGAATACTAAAACCTATGGACGATCCTTATGATCAAATGCGAAGAAATCGTCTCGTAGAACCACGATCAAGAACCAGAAGTATTTCTCCACATCGTCAAAATGGACATAGGGATCTAAGAAGTCAAAGTGTAATGCGAGGTGAATCAAATCAAGAATCCTCATCGTCACGATTGGAATGGTATAATGAAACCGATAGGCAAACATTGAATGACGAATGGTCGTCTGATTCGAAAAATAATCGTAACACTTTGGGAAGATTTCGTGGTTCCAAATCACGTCCAACAATTGATGATTGGCAAATGATATCAACACGTAAAGATGAAAATTGGAAAAATACATCTAACGATTCACGAAGAAGTATTTTAGAATGTAATGTAAATCCTTATCAATTGGTGAAGAAAAATCCAAAGGATGAAGACGACCTAAGCGATGACCTTTCAGATAATGCCCTCGAGCATTGTACAAAGGACGATATACCATGTAGTCTCTTTGATTCTTCGAAAGTTAAATCAATTGAAAGAATACCAAATCGAAGTGCAGTGGCGGCAATTGGCGGTCAAAGAATAAGAGTTTTCAATGAGCCAAGAGAAATATCGGACGAGGAAGATTTCCCCTTGACTGGTATACCAATACCTAAAGTTTCTCCAAAGAGACCGCCAAGAAGATTAAAGGAGACTAAGACTGTGTTGAAAAGTATTTTAAAAAAAGGACGATTCGATGGGAAAAGAAAGAATGTCCTATTCAATGTAGATAATGTTATTTTTGCACCGGAAAAATCATTGGAGTCTAACGTTTCCAGACGAACGAGTCGAACTTCAATTGGAAGTAAAGAAATCGATGAATTGGAGAATGAGCCAATTGTTCATGAGGCGCAAATTATTGAGAAACCCAAGTTTATCACTATTCCAAACATTAAAGATCCAGGGAAGCATGAGAGACGAAAAGTGACGGAAATGAAGATTTCATCGCGAGTTAAAAATCAAGAGCCAGTTGAAAAGATCAAGATTGACAAGTTCGTGCCTTCCAAGAAGCTGGACAATTTTCAGATTAAAAAGATTGAAAAAACTAATGCCGACGTGAAAATTGAGATAAAGAAAAATATTTTACAATCTGAAATGAGGAAAATTGAACAGAATCGTGTTAATAGTGATAAGAAAATAATGAAGGAAAAAATGGAATATATCAAACCGGAAGACGAGACAGAATTGGAGATTGAAATCGAGGAGCTAAAACGTCAACTGGGTGATATTGCCGTCGATGAAAAGGATCTTATTCTTAAATCTGAAGGTTAGTACGATTTTTATCCTTTTGCAATTTGAAAAATCTTCACTTACAATATACGAAGTAAAAAAATACAAAAACAAAAATACAAAATACAGAAGACAAAAAAAAAATACAAAATACAAAAAAATTCCAAAATACTAAACATAGAAGACAACAAAAATACAAAATACAAAAAAATTCCAAAATACAAACAAATTCAAAAATACCAAATACGGAAGACAAAAAAATACAAAATACAGAAGACAAAAAAAATACAAAATACAAAAAAATTCCAAAATACGAAAATACAAACAAATTCAAAAATACAAAATACGGAAGACAAAAAAATACAAAATACAAAAAAAATACAAAATACCGAAGACAAAAAAATACTAAATACAAACAAATTCAAAAATACAAAATACAAAAAAATTCCAAAATACTAAACATAGAAGACAACAAAAATACAAAATACAAAAAAATTCCAAAATACAAACAAATTCAAAAATACAAAATACGGAAGACAAAAAAATACAAAATACAAAAAAATACAAAATACCGAAGACAAAAAAATACTAAATACAAACAAATTCAAAAATACAAAATACAAAAAAATTCCAAAATACTAAACATAGAAGACAACAAAAATACAAAATACAAACAAATTCAAAAATACAAACAAATTCAAAAATACAAAATACGGAAGACAAAAAAATACAAAATACAAAAAAAATACAAAATACCGAAGACAAAAAAATACTAAATACAAACAAATTCAAAAATGCAAAATACAAAAAAATTCCAAAATACTAAACATAGAAGACAACAAAAATACAAAATACAAAAAAATTCCAAAATACTAAACATAGAAGACAACAAAAATACAAAATACAAAAAAATTCCAAAATACAAACAAATTCAAAAATACCAAATACGGAAGACAAAAAAATACAAAATACAGAAGACAAAAAAAATACTAAATACAAAAAAATTCCAAAATACTAAATACAGAAGACAACAAAAATACAAAATACAAAAAAATTCAAAAATACAAAATACCGAAGACAAAAAAAATACTAAATACAAACAAATTCAAAAATGCAAAATACAAAAAAATTCCAAAATACTAAACATAGAAGACAACAAAAATACAAAATACAAAAAAATTCCAAAATACAAAATACAAACAAATTCAAAAATACAAAATACGGAAGACAAAAAAATACAAAATACAGAAGACAAAAAAAATACTAAATACAAAAAAATTCCAAAATACTAAATACAGAAAACAACAAAAATACAAAATACAAAAAAATTCAAAAAATACAAAATACCGAAGACAAAAAAAATACAAAATAATTCCAAAATACTAAACACAGAAGACAACAAAAATACAAAATACAAAAAAATTTCAAAATACAAAATAGAAACAAATTCAAAAATACAAAATATAGAAGACAAAAAAAAATACAGTATACAATACAAAATAATAAAATACAAAATACTAATAATATTCCATAAAAATATAAATTACTTAATTTTAATAAATTTATTACTCTCTTTTAAATTCTCTCTCAAATATTTCCTTTTTTTTATATTAATGTAAATTCTAATTTTCGGTATAGAACTCGTTTCACAAAAATCTGTAATATTAAAGTATAAAAAAAAAATTGATTACAAAATTGACGTAATTAATAAGCGGGGTGGAAGTCCACAATGTATTGTGAATATATAGAATTACTATGCTAATCATCAAGATTAATGGTCTGTTAATGTCGACACACGTTATTAGGATCCTTGAGTCTTTGAAAGAAAAAAAAAAAAAATTGCAACTCACAAGTTACAATCAAGGATAGCAACTTGTTGAGTATCATTATTACCCATAACGGTGAAGTTGTTCACATGTTCACGGACTAGAATTAGCAAAAGATACTTGTCTTCTTGTTTCGGACCATACTACTCAACGATTTAAATTATACTTTATATTGTAACTAAAAAGCAAATTTTAGATATACATATTATAGAAACGGGATCTTGAATATGATTTTAAATCAGAAAAAAATTATTTTCTTTTTCTTAGTTTCTACTTTTATTATGATAATCAAAAATATTTATAACAATTAAATAGAAAACTAATATTATTATTTTCATAATTAGGTTACTGTCTAAATTTCTTGGGAATAAGAACTTTTATTCTTTTGTCATTTGAATCACTAACTTTCACTCATTAGTTACAAATGCCAGCGATGTAGATTTTAATAGTTCTTTTTCTGAATTGAAGAATAAAATTCTTTTTAAATTGTATTATTTTCTGAAAATTGTATTTTTCTATTCTATTTTTTATTCTAGATTTTTTTATTTTCTGAATTTAAAAATTTAAATCTGAATTGTTAAGAGTAAATTTAATTTTTTTTAAATATTTTGAAGTTTGCACTTCCTTGGATTTTTAAAATGTGCTTGAGGCAAAAGAAAAATGAGACACGATTGACTTCCGGCAAGTGTCTTTCCGGTGTAAATGCACTCTAATGTCTAGCTCTCTATCTAGGTCTAGGATCTTTCTTACATACAAATACAAACATGAGACGACACTCTTCATTTTCAATGCCAACTTCCTTTGTTTGACACTGATTAAATGAGTTTTTAAATCAATTATTTTAAAAAAAAGACAAATTATCATACACTTCGATTTTATATAGTATCAAGAGAAAGTTAAAAGAGAATTTCTTTTTAATTTAATAATTATCATATAGAAAAAAGTTCAAATTTTACTGCTTCGATTTTTTTTGTTTGAATCAAAAAAATATTATTTAAATTTTTAATACATTTACAAAATTATTAGAAAAAAGTAATTCTTTTCTGAATATCGATAATGTCGATGACGTTCGATGATGTAAACATTGTTGTGAATTATAAAGCGTGAGAAATCGATGGGGTCGTCCAGTGAGACAGCAAATGTCTTTTTTTTATATATAATAAATATAAATATCCTGGTAACATTGTGAACATTCCATTAAAGCAAATCGTGCTAATAATAAAATGCGTAATAAGACATAAGTGTTACTCTACTAGTCACTAAAGTATTTTCATATTTTTGCATCTTAATTCGCATATTATATTATCTTTTGCTGACTCGACGTTCACCTTCAGTTCAACGACTCCAAGTGTCGACGTTCTCCACTTTCATGACATTTATTCCTCGAGCCTTTTGAATAAAACTTAATTTGATTCTTCTGAAAATTCTATTATATATATATTCACAAATTGATATTATCTAATTTTATAATTTAAAATTGAATTTAATTTATTTGAAAAATTGTCATATACAATATTTAATTTTCATTTCAAATAAAAACCGAAATAAAATAAAAAAAAAAAATTAATATTGTAATTAAATTTAAAATTGAGAGAAATTTTTGAGTGCAGAAATTTGATATGCACACCCACAATGTATATATGGCTTTTGCGATAGGTGAAAGTGAGTTGGACACTTGAAGAATTTCTCACGTCGAAAGAAATTCAGCCGTTTTTCTGAGCAATTCGCTCTATTTATATTTTATACGATCGTGCGGGAGTTTGTGGAACGCATTTTATTGACTTGCGGTAAATTGCGATTATGTAAAATGGGAATTACATTTTTTTTTTTTTTTTGCTACTATATTATCAGGGAAAAATTTAAACATTCTTTTATTCTATTTTTATATCTAATTGTAAAAAAAGTCCTTTCCTAATATAAGAAATCAAAAAATGTTTAAAAATGAAAAAAATCTTACTGGTTTTTAACCTTTTCGGTATTATCATTTATCACATGCATCGATAAATGGAAACGAAAAGTGAAACTTTATACATGACTAGTAACCTTTATTGAGAAATGTATTTGTAACTGCATGATCTTTGTATTAGTTTATTTGCTATCATTTTCTCTCTCTCCTGTCACTAAACATTCTCTTTTTCTCACCTGTGATCTTATTTTATTATATTTTTTTACTAAAAAATATTTTTTTTTTTTTTCAGGAACATTAAGACAATCTTATTTGTCTCGAAGTCAAAGCGATCGTATGTCTTCAAAATCGGATATTTCTGCTGGTGACATCAATTTTGTTGATACAATGCGTTTAAGTCTCAGCAAAAAATCAAAAGATACAACTTTAACCAATAATTCTAATGAAATTAAAGAGGAAGAATTAATAAAAGAAATTTCTAAAAACAAATCTCCGGAAAGTATAATATTAAAAAAATCTCATGAAATTCTAAATGAAGATACAATTGAAAATCAATTAATAAAAAATTCCAATAATTTAATAGAAAATTCAATACATTTTCGAAAAATGCGACCAACGAATTGGTCACCACCGCCTATTAAATCAAAGCATATTAATAGAGATCTTATTAAAACTACAATTTCTCCAGATGTGAAGAGAAATAAATCTGAAGAAATATCATCAACAATTTTAGATAATAAAAAAGCAATTGATAAAGAAAAAATAGAAATTAATTCATCATTGGAAAATAATATTTGTAAAATAAATGTGAATACAAAACTTTCACCTCTTGTTCATCGATTACAAGTTGGTTCAAATATTCCCATTGGTTCAAGAAGAACATCAATTTTAATAAATGGAGAACAAAATGTCAATAATACAGGTAATAAGGTAACAATAAGCGTTGGCGGTGAAGACAGTGTTTGTAATCCCACTGTGATATCAGTGAATTCTGATAATTTGCCAAAAATTCAAAATTCAGCAGAAAATCGAACTCTTGTTATTTTAGAAAATTATAAATCAAATATTGTTATTGAATCAAATTCAATGGAAAAAAAGAAGAAAAATAATGATTCTTTTGTAGAAAAATGTAAAGATGGAAAAAATCATAATATTGAATCACTTGATGAGACAATTTGTAAAACAGAAACTAAAACAGATTTTAATTCAACAAGATGGTCGAGTCTTTCGAAAGAATCATTAATATCTAAACTTTTGGAAGATTCATTGAGAAAAGCACGTGAAAATGGTGAAATACTTGATGAAAGTAGCGGTGAGGCAATATTAAAAATTCTCAAACAAAGTCTATTAAAAACTAAAGAATACGAAAGTTCTGAATCAACTCTTGAATCCGATACAAATTATCGATCATCTAGTCTAAATTCAGATAATCATTTTATATCATCAAATCTTTTTATAGAGGAAAATCCCTATGAAATAATAAAGGAGCCAATTTATGAAGAAATTCCTGATGAACCACCACCATTACCAATGAGTCCACCACCAACTGAAGATTATTTAAAAGATCGTATTTATTTTGGCGATGAATATAAAGAAAATTATTATAAAAAAAATAATCAATTTCTTGGTTTTTATTTATCAGACGATATGTTTAAAAAATCAATAACAAATGAATCGTATCTTTCTAAAAGTTCAGATGATTATTTTAAAAAATCTTCAACTTCATCATCACCAGACGAAGAAAATTTAACGACGAAATTTGAACTTTTTAATTTTCTTATGAATTCCAAAGATCATAATGTACCAATGGAGGAGGATGAGGATGAAGAGGAGGAAGATGAAGAAGATGAGGAAGATACAGAGAGGGATTTAGAAGCTCTTTATGAACAAAAAGAAACAAGTCTCGGTGATCTTAGTTCAAAGAGTTCGCAAATATCGAATGTTTCAGATAGCAGCGAGGAATGTAATATTATTCTAACTAGTTCTCCAGAGACATTAAAAGTAATTTTTTTTATAAATTAATATTTATTACAAAAAAATATGAATTAAAATATTAAATTGAATTTTTTTTTCTAGGCAAGAAGCGTGGATATTGAAAGAACAGACAGTGGTGTGGGTTCAGAAAGTAGTCAAGCGAGCAGCACTCGTGGAATTGGTTGCAGAAGATGGAGAACAGGAAATACTTCCTCGGGACCAGGAAGTATTATTACTTGTCTTCCTCAAATTGCTTCAGATAATATTAAATTTTGCGAAGACTGTGAACAACGCATCGATCCACATATAATAGACAAGTAATTTTTTTTTTCCTTTTCATAACAAAAATTTGATTTAGAAGAATATTTATATTTTTTTGTAAATTATTTTAAAGTAATTTTTTTTTTTCCTTTTCATAGCAAAAATTTGTTTGAGAAGAATATTTATATTTTTTTTTTGTAAATTATTTTAAAGAATAAATTTCAAAATCTGAAACTAATTTCTTTTTTTTTAATCAAATTTCAGCAACGCCGTTTATGCATCTTTCGTATGCAGAAAGTGTTTGAAGAAGCGTGCTGAACGAAAAGAGATAATCACCGAAATTGTTGAGACGGAGCAAAAATATGGTAGAGACTTACAAATAATTCTTGAGGAATTTCATCGACCAATGTTAAGCGCTGGTCTTCTCACACCAGAACAATTATCAGCTATTTTTTTAAATGTCGAAGAACTTTTGGAACATAATTTGGTTCTTGCTGAAAAACTTAAGGATGCTGTTGAATTTGCTCAAGTATGAAAAAATTAGTTTTAATATTTTTAAAATAATAATAAAATTAAAAGTTAATTAAAATTTACAATTATATTTTTTTCAAATAGGAATCCGAAGATGAAGATTTAATAACTGTTGATGTGGGTAAACTTTTTTTGGAATCGGAAAGAATGCTTCATGCTTTTGAGAATTATTGTACGCGTCAAGGAAGTGCCAGTTTACTTTTACAGAGTTTGGAAAAGGAAAAGGAACTTCTTAGAATATTTCTTAAAGTTTCACAAATGGAAAATACAGTTTTGAGAAGAATGAATCTTAATTCGTTTCTCATGGTAAATATTTTGAAAATTTCATTTCATTTAATTTAATATTTAATTTAATATTTAATTTTCCATTTTTCTTTTTTTTTAAGGTTCCGGTACAAAGGGTAACTAAATATCCACTTTTATTGGCTCGACTTTTGAAAGCGACTCCTTCGGTTCGTTTGGACACACAGGAGTCAAGAAAGAGATTAAAACAGGCTCAAACAAATATTGAACTTCATTTAGAACACATGAATGCTGTAAGTAAATTTAATTATCTATTTTTTAAACGAATCTTAATTGGAATAGTTTTTTCTTTTATTTTAATTTCTTTTAGGAAGCCAAAGATGTGACATCAACAAAACTCTGGCGTAGGATATCGATAATTCAGGGAAGACGATATATTGGAGAACAAGATATGGTAAACATAAAATTAAGAAAAGTAAGTAATTTACTAAAATTTTTCTCTAACTGGCTTAAATATCATATATTATTCTAATTATAATTAAAAAAAATAGATGGCTGTTGAAGTTTTGGAATGGGCCCACGAAGAAGCGAGATTTGTTTTGGAAGGTCGACTTCTCATCGCTCAACCCACAGATAATAATTGGAGACGTGGAAGAACAGTAAAACTTGCTCCTGTCACTGCAATGTTGGTCACCAATGGAAAAGTAAAAAAAAAACTATTAATTTTATCAAAAATCAATAATGGCTGAGAATATTATTTTTTTTTCTCATTAATTTTGCAGCCAAACACAGAATTTTTAGACTTTTCTGACGATTCTATCTTTCCAAAGCAAACTGGAATAAAGGAAGCTACTCTTCTTCTCGTTAAAGAAAAAATTGGACGATATTCATTACTTCGGGTAAAAATTATTTTGATGTTATTAATAATGATTTTTTTTTTAATACATAATAAATAATTTTTTTTTTTACAGGAACCATTATATTTGGACAAATGTATAGTTTGCTGTGAGGCAGATCTTGAAGATTATTTTGAAATTCAGGAACTTTCGTCTAAAGAAACTTTCATTTTTAAGGTTTTTGGTCTTTTTTTTAATTTAGATAGAATTTTTTTAAATTGAAAAGTCAGCTAATTAATATTATTTAAAGGGCGAAGATGGAACGAGAACGAAGAGATGGTGCAGAGCACTGCAGGCCTATGCACAATCACTTGGCGCTTGGCGTCGTCGTCGTGGAGCTTTACCGAACATTATGATATGCGGTGTATCTAGAAGCTAGACTAGAATTTTTTCTTAAAATATTATTATTTTACTAAAAAAACTAAAAGAATCCTTTTTTTTTCTTTTAAATTTCAATTATTCAAATTGAAAATTTTCTTGTTTGTGGCTTTTATAAACACACCAATTATAGTGCGTTGAAGAAACTGAGTTTCCTACGTAACTGTAAAAAAAATGGCGATTTAATTAAACGAATAATTTTTTTTTTTTTTTTAAAGAACCTAATATATTTTTATAAACTTAAGTCTATTTAAAAAATAATTTTATTTTTGTCGCAAAATTATGTGTAGCTGTGATATTGACCGGTGTATTGGGGTTTTGCAATTAATTTCTGTGAATTTGAAAATTTCAAATTACATAGGCATTTTTTGAAAACTGTGTTAATTTATATGTACATGTGCGTGCATTTATATTATGTCGAAAAAAAAACCGATTTATAATCTGAATAAGACATATGATTGTACATTGTACTATAATTTTTATTTAAAACTTAAGCCATTTTTGTATATATATATATCTATATTCTATATGTATGTTATATTTACATGCACACATTTAATTTTAGGTAAATAAAAAGTGTGTCACGCATTATGATTCACTACAGTAAAAGTAAAAAAAAAAAATTTACATTAATTTCCCCTGTTTTTAAAACATTTTATACAAAAATTTATTTTTAATATTTTGTGTTTAGTCATCTTTTATTAAAAAAAAAAATTGATCTTTAATATTCGAAAAATTAATAAACAATATAAATTTAATTTTTAATATGAAAATTTCGTTATTTACAAATGTGATTTTTTTAAAGATAATTTGCAATTTAAGAGACGGCTACTTCTTTTACTTGTACATCTTCTATCAATTTTGATGATAATAATTTAGGTGATGCTCTAAATTCGTAGTTAACAATTTCTGGATGTTTTTCACAGAGATATTTATAAGCAGTACATAATTTATTTATATCTTCTACTGAATGATAAGTTGAAATCAAATTTGGATCTAAGTCACACAATCCGAACATCATTAAAGATAATTGTTTTCGCAATTCAATTGGAAATAGAGTTCTGAAAAGTAAAAAAAATCTATTATTTTAAATTCATTAAAAAAAAATACAATAAATTTAATAAATTAAAACGTACGAAATACACTTTATATTGTATTTTTGTCGATAACAAAATACGTGACGTGTTATTTTTTCAAATAATTTAAAATTATGTTTTGTCCGTGGTTTAATTAAAGGTGTAAATGTAACTACTCCCACATCAACTTCAGGTTTTGGTACAAATGCATTACCTGAAATTGAAATAATAATTCTTAAAATTATATTATTTATTTATTATTTAATGATTTCTGATATTTACCAGGAATAATACATTTCAATTTTGGTTCCGTCCAAGCTTGAGCCATAACGGACAATCGACATCGTTGAAATTCCGTTTCTTCAGCAACCAAACGTTCAGCAACTTCCTTTTGAAATGTTAATGTCATTCTTGTTCTTCCCATTGTCCAAGGACCTCTTTTTTCTGATATTTCATGAAGCCATTTAATAATAAGAGGCGTTGAAATATTAAATGGCAAATTTCCAATTAAATTAATATCAGGACAATCATCATTCCAATTTTTTTTCATCTCCTCGGGAAACATTTTTTCCATATTTACTTTTAAAATATCATCATAAATTATATCCATTTTACCATTAACTGTTGCAAATGATTCTTCCAACATTCCTAAAAATGGCTTAAATCTTTTATCTTTTTCAATAACAATAATTTTTTCTGGCATTTTTCTTAAAATTGCTCTTGTTATTCCACCAGGACCCGGTCCAATTTCAACAATATGCGATGATTTTACTTTTCCAGCATTTTTCACAATTTTTGCAATCATTCTTTCATCCATTAAAAAATTTTGCGAAAGTTGTTTTACTGCATTTAAACGATATAATTTAACTAAATCACGTACAGTTGGAAGTGGAGGTAATCTTAAAGTTGTCATTTTGTATTCTTAGAAAAAAAAAAAAAAATCCAAAACACAATATAATTAAATCAATACTATTGATAACAACTAAATATGAATTAAAGTTTCTTTTTCTCTCCAATGAGACACAAATATCAAAAAGTTACTAAAATTATGAAGTAACACTTGCTATCTAATTAAAAAAAATATTATCCAACAGTTATTTTCTCAGGTTCATTGAAATCATCTAAAAATTCTTCCTGCTTCATTGATTTAATAGTGTAGATATAAATTCCTCCTGCAAGCGCTGCAAGAGAAAGTGCCGTAAAAATATTCTTTTTTTGTACAATTTTCACACGTGCAACTCTTTTTCTATTAATCTCTTCAATTCTTTTTATATTAATCAAATCCGTAGGTGTCAGCTTTCGATCTGTTTTTATGTTCACCTTTTGCAAATTGTCAGTCATATTGATGAATCTTAAAATATATTTAAATTATATCTAGATTAACCAATTTTAATTAAAATTCAGTAAAATTTTTATTATTGTTTTAAAATATTTGCTTTTTTTTTACTGCGTATTTAAATATAAAAATATTGACACTGCACTCAAGTATTTTTAAAAAATAAAATGTTTATAACATACACAGAATCATGAAAATTAATAAAATCAAATTTAAACCGAATAAATAATAGTTAATTAATATTAACTAATTATTAAATTAAATTTCTTTTTAATTTTTAAAAAAAGTTTATAGGTTAAGTTTTTTTTTTTGGTTAAACCAATTATAACGACGTGATAACGACGAAACAAAGACTATAAAAAAAGAATAACATAACCTTTCTTAATTTAAAAATTAACTTTTTTTTTAATGTAATATAAATAAAAATAATGATAAATTTACCTTATTATTTAGCAAAAATATTAATTTTTAACCTCAGGATCCACACTGGAAATGCATATTAATGCGCGTGCGTTCAAAAATCAGCTGTTATTGATTGCAGAATTTCCACGTGGAATATTTTTGCATTACATATTAAATTATTTTTTATGTATTAAAAAATATCCACAAATGACTAATAATAACATTATAACATTATTAATTACAATTAATAATAAAATTCTAAATTGATAACTTTCAAAGAGGTTATTGCATCAACAACTATTTTCTAATTGGTCAATTTTTGGTCAAATTCGATATTTCTGGACTATTTCTAACCAATTGCATTTAGTTGTCTTTGTTTACATGTAGCAGACGACATTTTTTTTCTAAACAAAATTGATTATATAATTTATTTTAATATAATTATAAATCAATAACAGTTTATTTTACACATATCGAAGAATATTATTAATATATTCATTAATATATTAATTAATAATGAATGTCTAAACAATGATAAATTATATATCCATATAAAGCAGACGAAAAAAAAATAGCGGGAATCAAAGCAGAATTTCCGGCATTTCCCGCGCCTGTTGTGTGATATCTTTTGTTGTCTTGCATTTGCGTTTTGATCTCTCGTAGAGTGTGTTTCTAGTTGAATTAGCGAAAACAAGAATTATAAACAAATTTTTTATTATTTATATTATCTTTCCGAATATTAAAAAAAATCATCATGCCAGTTAGTACATCAAGTGTTTTGAAATTCGCAAAATTGTCTGACAAGGCATTTACTCCTGTAAAAGGAAACGCTTATGCCGCTGGTTATGATTTAAAAAGGTGAGTTTTTTTATTGTTAATTATTAATTAAAGAAATGTATTTTATTTTTTTTTTAGTTTCTTTTTGATAAATGTAAATTTATAACTAAATATAACCTTAAAAAAATTATTCTAACCACGTGTTAAGAATCACGTGTTCGTTTTCTTCTCTAGATTTTTATTATTAATATTTTATTATTATTATTAATTAATTATTAATTATTATTAATTATTATTTGTAGTGCGTACGAATATGTAATTCCTGCAAAGGGAAAAGAACTAGTTAAAACAGATTTGCAAATCGCTGTTCCTGAAGGAACTTACGGCCGAGTTGCTCCTCGTTCTGGACTTGCATGGAAAAATCACGTGGACGTTGGCGCTGGAGTTATTGATCAAGACTACAGGTAAAATGTCTATAATTTATTATAAATTAAAAAGAAAATATAATTTACTGTGTAATTTTTTTTTTTTAGAGGTAATGTAGGAGTCGTTATATTTAATCACGGTGATCAAGAATTAAAAGTTCAACCCGGTGATCGTGTGGCGCAATTAATTTGCGAAAAAATTGAATATCCAATACTTGAGGAATTAAATTCACTAGATAATACCGAGAGAGGCGAAGGTGGTTTTGGTTCAACTGGTATGAAAGAAATTGTTAAGAATTAATATTTTTCCAACGTCTTCTATTATGAACAGTATTTATTTTTTTTTTGTTATTAAGACAAGCGTCGTAAATTTTTGATAATTTTTCAATGAAGCTCAATTGTTTTATTTAATTTAAAAGTTATTGTCTGACATTTTGTTATAAACAAACTACCAGTTATTTTTTTATAAAATTTAATTTTTTAATAAACGAGTTTAGTGTAAAAAGGGAAAATTTCAAATTTGATTTGTAATTTTTTTTATTGTTACGTCTCATTGAGGAATAAATTCACTCTTTTTTTTATAATATTTACAGTTAGTTACACATATTTACAGTTAGATTATTTTTAACAATTAATTAATTAATTTATTGAAGGATCTATATTTTAGATTTTGGTGTTGAATGAATGAAATCAGATGGTTTCTTTATGAGATTTTGAATTGTTTTGAATTCGGAATGTTTTGCGTCAACCATAAGTTTAAAAATAACATTCTCTGATGTTGTTATTTGACATCCAAATTGTTTCATTCTCTGTTTTAAATAGATTTTTTTTTAATATTTAATTTTTGATAAAAAGAATATTAAATTGAATGAAAGAAAACTTACTTCTAAGGCTAAAGTCATATCTTCGACGGTTCGTGATGAGCAACAATCTGCAACAGTGTGAACTTCAAATCCATTTTTTTTGAGATCAATGGCTGTATTTTCAACACAAACATGTGCTTCAATGCCAATTAATATAATTGATTCTGGAGGTTCGCCACAACAAAGTGTTGAAAGTTCTTGTTGAACCTAGAGGAAAATAATTTATTTTGCTAAATATAAAATTAATATATTATATTTTTATTAATTTTTAATTCAAATTTTATTACATACCTCTGGAGTATACATACTGAATTGTGTTTTTGCAAAAGGACCTTTTGCACCCGTTACATCTAATTGTGAAACAATTTTTCCAAGAGCTTTTGGATTTTGTTCTGTTACTAGCATTGGAATTTTCAAAATTTTTAAAGCATCTACCTAATTAAAAATGAAATCAATAATTTTGTAGATGATTTCAAAAAAAAAAGGACAAAATATACTAAATTAATAAATTACCAGTTTCGATGAATTAGATACCATTTTATCAAATTGAAAAATTGCTTTTGAAAATCTTTCTTGAACATCGCATATAAATAATGCTGTTTTTCCTGGTTTTAAAACAGCTTTTGCTGCATTGATGGCCATTTTATTTTATTAATATTATATAACAGTAAGTATAAATTTCCGTTGATAATAAATTTAATAAATATTTAACTTTACTAAATAATGTAGATCATTTAAATCAATAAAATATTAAACATGATCAAAGTTCACATTAAAAACAGGGTTGGATTAATACAAAAGAAATTTGTGAATCTGTAACTCGCGTATGTTTAAATTTTACCGCGAGAAATTTAAAAACATGTACTAATTAAAAAGAATAATAATTTCTAAATTGTTTCTAAATTTCTAAATTTTTCAAATTACATTAAAAACGGCAAATAGATAGACATTTAATTTTTTTTTTTCTATTGAATTTATTTTAACTGATAATTTTATTGTTCAAACTTTTTCCATATTTTCTAAAATTTGTTTTTCAATAATTTTTAAATTCTATTTTTATTTTATATTCCTAATTTTTATAAATTCAATTTTAATATCATTTGACAACAATTATATCGATCGCAAAACTGACGCATGCGAAATTCATCATCAAAGAATAGAAGGGAAAAAGAGATGATGCTATAGAAAATGTACTCTGGAGCTTCGTATTCGTATGAAAATTCTTAAAAAAAAATTTATTACGTTTTTATTTACAAAAAAAAATAAAATAAGAATGTGATCAAGAAATTGTAAAAATATATACACAAAAAAGAAAATAATGTGTGAATTAAATTTGATATTTATCAACAATTTAGTAAAATATTACATTTTATCAAATAATAACAACACCAAATGTCTCTGCAAGGAGTAATGGTAAGAAACTAAATAAATATTTTAGATAAAAAATTAAATTATAAAATAATTTTGTTTTTTTTTTTTATAGATGACAATGAGAAGAAGAAGACGAATACGACGACGTGAAATGCCAGACTGATAATATTATGGACCCAGAGTAGTGTTCAAAATAGATAGTTAAATAGTTAGAATACAGGAGGAATAGTTAATGAATTAACTATAAAAAAAAAATAAAAAAAGAAAAAATCTTCTAAAATTATAAATATAATTACATGTGTCAAGAAAATGAGTCACGCGCAACAACATGTACTTGCCAGTGCAATAGTTCTTGCTCTATTAGTGGTATTTGGTATCCACGTCTTCCTTTTTCCAATGTACACATCAAATCCAGCAACAAGGCGTACGAAAATCTCAGTTTATGAGCAAGCTTTATGCCACACAAATTTAAGGCCAAATAAAAATTCACTACAAAGTAAAACACCATGTTTAAAATATGGTATTGTTTCCGCTGTACAAGGTGGTAGATTAGGAAATCAAATTTGGGAATACGTTTCCGTTTGGGCTACAGCAAGGTATTTTTTTTCTATTATTATTACAAATATTCAAAATTTCGTACACAAATTTAAAAAATATTTTATTTTTTATTTAAATATTTGGTTAAAAAATTTAAATTAATTAATTAATTTAATTTTAATTTTTTATTTATTTAATTAAAAAAATTATTTTACCTTTAGAAAAACAGGTCTAGAACCATATGTTCCAAGATGTATTTTAAAAACATTGGAAGAACATTTTGAAAATCTCAGTATACCGCCTTTGAGTAACATTGGACATTGTACGATAAGTGTTGATCAAATTGTTAATTCTCTCGGTGAATGGAACAGTACCGAACAGAACATCATAATACCAAGGTAATTATTAAAAAAAAAAAAAAATTGTAATTTTTTTTCTAATTTTCAATTTTTCAGACACGCGGCCTATTGGTCACCAAATCCAATTTGGTTGGATGACTTGCGTCGTGAATTTAAATTTAAATTTAAATATCGGTCCTATGCACAAATGGTATTAACAAAGGCAGCATTAAAATATGATTTGACCAATGCCACATATATCAGTGTTCATGTACGTAGAACCGATTATATTGAATATTTATGGCAAAAATTTAAAGTTCGACCAGCACCCGTTAAATATTATTTAAATGCAATGGATTATTTTTTAAATAAATATAAAAATGCAATTTTTTTAGTTGCCAGTGACAATATTGACTGGTGTAAATATAATTTAAAAACTCCTCGTCATAGAATAATATTTATTTCCGATACAAATGGCAAAGGACCTGGTTTTGATCTCGCTGTTTTATGTGCCTGTAATCATAGTGTTATTGATTATGGAACATATGGTTCTTTTGCCGCTATTCTTGTTGGTGGAGAAACAATTGTTTTTAATGTAAGCGCTCATTTTTCTACTCTTATTGCCGAGGCATTACCCAATTGGATGATTTATTAGAAAAAAAAAATTATTACACTACGGGCATAGGGTATATAACACTGATTCATATTGACAATCTCTAAAATAGTTATGTTTAAAAAAAAAAAATGCTAAATTGCATTTCAAAATCTTTAGTTTTTATTCTATAAATACCAAAAAAAAAAAAACTAAAGTATACAAATATTTTTCTAACAAAAAGTATAATAGAAAATGATTTTTTTTTTAATTCCCATTTATTTTCCAAAATCTAAATGCAAGAATATTTACAATGGACCACTCTTAAAAATATATTTTATTTCATATATAATTTTGAAAAATTGTTTATCCATTAGACAAATTTCAAAAAAATTAAAATCTCATAAATTTTCGAAAACAAATTTTGTGATTTTTTAAAAATTTGATAAAAAAAACAATCAGTAGGACTTTTTTAATAAAATGAGAATTATTTACATTTAAAGAATATAAAAAGTATAGCGAAATATCTATACTCTATTCATTACTAATCAAGAAATAATTATCTTTCTAACTCATGACATGTACAATTGTTTCATCTGTGATTCTTTCTTATTGTGCCAAAAAAAAACTTCTTAATATATATCGCATAAAATAATAAACATATATTATATATATATAAAATAAATTAAATTCTATTTACAAAGTGAAGGTGCGTATAAAGAAAACTTGATTGTTAAATATATAAAGGCATGTTATTAAAAAAAAATTATCTTATACACGTATAAAATAAATTATTTACAATGTTGACAAATCTTCTAAAAAATTATTTATAATAATTATAAAAAAATATATTTATAATTGTATTTTCTTTTATATTAATGTAAAATTATTTATATGAATGTTTGTAAGTGTTTAGTATATAAATTTGTTTTGTAATATTTTAAAAAATTTTCTCCTTTTTCACAAAGAGAGAAGAAAAATATTTAATTTGATATTTAGAAAATGAAAAATAATTAATGTGAAAATAAAAAGTGCACTCTGGTATTTAATTAGATATTTTAGTTTAATTTCAATGAATTTGATGTAGTTCTATCAAAAGAATTTAACTTTATTATATAAAATATTTGTTTTATCTCAACGACACAATCATATTATTAAAATATTTCTTGTCAATATATCTAAATAGAAAAAGAAATTAAATGTTGTATGCATGTATTTAATTATGAATTAATGCGTATTTGTGCCTGTTATAATCAATTTATCTCTTTAAAAAAAAAAAAAAAAAAAAAAAAAAAATTAGAAGAGATTTTTTCTTTTCTAGCAACTAATCAAAGATTCGCTTTTTACGCGATATTTCGGCTTATTAAAATGAAAGTAACACAAAGACTACTTCCAGGTTTCGACGCTCTATTGTAAACATATGTACGTTCTCTGTGATAAATTTGTCTAATATCTGGAAGAAACTAGCTGTCGTTTTATTACTCATTTAATGTAAAGAAAAAAATAAAAAATAAATATATTTCAGGTCGTAAAATGTTGAGTAGAAAATTTATGTCCCTTTTCGCTTAGTTTTATAAAAAGGAGAATTTGTTTCAAATCAACAAATTTTTCTATTTACCATTTTAGATCTCAGGGGATGTAATCCAAGTTCTGCTTCTGGAATTCCATATTCTTGGAATTTGGCTCCAAATATTGTTAAAAGATCGTCGTGAGCTTTACAAACTTTTGCCAATTCATTCTGAAGATCTCGAATTGCTGTATTTTTTCGATTTAACATTTCCTTAAAAAAAAAAAAAAAATTACGAACAAAATTCTGAATGATAAACAAAAAGTATATTTTAATAATTATACCTCAAGTTTTTCGTTGACATTAATCACTGCATCGGGATGTAATTGAGAGGCAGCTAAAATTTCATTTATTTGCGCTTCCCTTTGTTCCAATAAATCTGACAATTTCTCCAATTTTTTTTCCAATAAAACATTTTTTAAACCCGTCTTTTGTTGAAGTTCTAAAATAGCGTTTACAAATTTTTTATGTAATTCATCACGTTCAGATTTACATTTATTGTATCTTAATTCAGATACTTCATTTTCCCATTTTATTGCTTCAATATCTTTCAAAGTAGTTGACAATTTTTTTCTTGTATGCTAAAAAAAAAAAAAAAATACATTAGTTATTATTTAACAAAAATTATTTTACTATTTAATTTATATTTTATTAACAATTATTCTTACAATTAATAATTGTTTATCTTTTTCATAATTAGTCAATCGTCGTGTGAGATCACTATTTTTATTTTGAGCCTGTTTCAATTCTTCATAATGATTTTTATTTTCATTTGTTACTTCTCTGACTTGTTTTGTCATTCTCTCTTCATGATTTTTCATACTTTCTAATTGTTCCTAATAAGAATAATTTTAATTTAAAAATTGAATAAAAAAAAAAAAATTCTAAATATAAACTTCTTTGTAAAAACGTACTTTGAGACTTTTGATGAGTGACAAATTATTTAGCGTAATATCATTGTAATAATTTTTTATATCCGCAAATGCTTTTTCGTGATTATTTATTAAAGTTGAAATTTGCAAATTTCTACGTTCTTCAGTTTCAACAATTTCCGTTCGATGTTTTAACATTAATGATTCATATAAAGAAGCAATTTTTTCTTCATATTTTTGTTCTAATTCAGAAGTTTCAGATTCAAATTTTTTCATCATATTACTCATTTCTTCAGCTGCTGTCTATCAGAACCAAAAAAAAAAAGGAATTTTAATATTTCATGAACTTTGAAACAAATTTTTTTTTCAATTACTTACTAATTTCAATGCTCGAATTTCGTTCATATGCGAGAGTTCTTTTTCTTTTTGCGCTCTCTTCAATTGTCTTTTATCTTGAACAATTTCATTTTCTTGTGATATATAATCGTCTTGTGCCATTTTTAATGCCACCATGTGTTCAGCTTTTGATGATGAAAGATTCATTTGATGTTCATACATTAAATGTTTTACTTTTTGTTTATATAATGTTAATTCAGCCTCGTGTTTTTCAGTTAACTCTTCTTTTTCTCGCTCTTTGTTTCTAAAATTGGTAAAATTAAAATGAATTAATTATAATTAAAAAAAAAAAAATGTAATAAAAACTATTTTCCATTTACCTTGTTGCAGCACGTGCTTCTTCCAATTGATGACGTGTTATTTCCCAAAATGTACGAAGTTTATCTCTTTCTAATTGAAAAAAATTTCTCTCCTCCCTTTCACGTTCCATTTCTTCTAGAATTTTATGAGAATAAATTTCTAATTGTTCCCTATTCATTTTCGATGTATCCACACCATCCACAGTGTCTGTTGATTTTCCTTTTCCTTTTTTTGGTGCCTAATAAAATTAAAATTTAATTTATTTTTTTTTTTTATCATTAAAGTTCGATAAGTGACAACTTACCATTTTCACGTTTCCAAATAATAAAGTGAAAAAACTGTTTATAATAAAATTGCAAAAAATGAATTTATAAAATTTTTTTTCTATTTGAATATTATAATGCTTGGAATGAAAATCAATTTCTTTATACGATCACAATCACAAAACTTGATGTATGAAGTTGCTAAGCAACGTTGAAAAGTATTTTCTCTATATCAATAATTGTTTTCATAATAAAAAAATTGATAAAAATTTATTAATTACTTGTAAATATAAGACTAGAAAAGTGAATAATTTCTAACAAATATTGTAGAAAATGATGTAATTTTTTATTATACATATTTATATATATATATATATGAACAGCAGGTAAACTATAACAAATGAACAATATTTTGTTTTATTGAAATAAAGACAGCAGACAAAGATGTGTATGATTTTAAAGACGCAGAAAAAAAAGTATTAAAAATTTTAGCTAAAAAAATACATTTTCTTTTACAAACTACAAACGCGTGTGTGTGTGTTTTTTTTTAAAAAAGTGTAATTTCATATATAAAATCTATTTGAAAAATTCTATTAAAACAGTATACACTAAATTCTATCCTTGTCTGTAGCCTGTCTGCTTGTCACATACACATTTATACAGTTGTACGCACATTTTTCTTTTCTTTTTTATTATTATAAATTAAATAATCGGTAATTTAAATTTTACAATTTTGATTTATACAATTAGAAAAAAGAATTCAATAAAATATCTCATTAAAATTATACCCCAAACTAATAATTTGGTCCATTGTGTGAATTACTAAAAAAAAATATTTGTGCTCTTATCTTGATGTAAAACTGCGTCGATATCGTGGTAAATTTTCATTTTTTTTAAAAAAGATAAAACAAAATTTTCAGTCTAAATGTTCGAAAACATATTCTTTGAGCGATACATTGGCTTATTTCCAAAAAAAAGAAAAAAGAAAAGCAAAAATTTACTTATTTTGTACGTTACTTTATAAGTAATTGAAATTTTTACACACGAATTCGTCGCATCCAATCAAGAGCCTAGAGCTAATATAGTAAAAAAAATATAATGATTTAATACGAATTTAAAAAATTTCTTCAATTCGATACCTCCGAATGGAATGATGCTTACAGTGCAATTAATTTTCTAATACCTTCAATTAGTATCACCGTTAAATTGTAGTAGACATCCCACTGCCCCAAAGTAACCCTGTAAAAAAAAAAAAAAATTGATTATTATATTTCTCGTAATTTTTAAACTAGAAAATTATACCTCATGTTCTAAAAATAGAGCTTTCAATGTCCCTTTCGACCAATAATCCATAGCATAAGCTAATAATTTCATTGATATTGGATTAACTCTCAAAAAATTACCAACGAATACGACCTGAAAAATAAATAAATAAAATAAAAATAAAATTTTAAATAATTAAAATATCTCTAAAATAGATTGAAAAAAATACCCTTTCAATTTTTTCATTAACTGCACACATTCTTGCAATGGAGCCAATATTGTTCGTAATTGTAACAAGGGTGGCTCGAGCAAGATCTTCTTTGCTAACCACGCTGCGTCGATCTTTTGAGTTCATTTGGCCAAAGCTAACGTCATAAAAATTGCTATTAAGAGTATTTACAAATTTGTTAACATTTATTAATGGAAATTATAAAAAAAAACTGTTATTAATAACATTTTTGACATGTTCGGGATTGAAAAAAAAAATATAATCAACATTACAACACACCTGCTTGCCACTAAATCTCCAGGAAGACAAAAAGGTCCATAATCACCTCCATAAATATCTCTTACTAATTTATCTACTCTTGTATTATCGCCGCTAGTTGCCAATTCAATAGCTTCTTCAAATGTATTACATCCAGTTAATAAACAACATAATCCTAAAAATGTTCCTCCACCTAAGCTAAAATAGAAAAAAAAAAACAATAATAATAGAAAAAATTTATTTTATTTCGCCTTTTTTTTCAATTTACCTTGTTCCTGATATTCTTCTAAAATTGTTTGGACCATATACGGCCAATATGCTTACGCCTGATCCTATATTTACTAGCTGTTGACAAAAAATAAAAATAAGCAATAGTCAAAGAAAATTTTAAATATCAATTAAAAAATTTATTTACCAAAAATGGATAAGGTTCGGAAAAGTCGTAAGGTATTTTATGACATTTACTATCATCAGTTGGTTCACTCCAATAGTAGCATTCATGTGGATTTGTTGTTTCTATGTAGAGCATTCCTCGAATTAAGCTATCAAGTTCATCAAATTTCGCTAAACTCATATTTACTTCCTACAATGCAAAGATCGCCAATTATTTTGACGATCTATCTTTAATGATAAAAAAAAAACATGATCCCAATTTCGTCTTTTTTTTTCAAAGATTTTACTGTATTGAAAATTTTTTTAAATATAAAAAATATTTGCTGACCTTTTTAAAGTTGTCTTCAAATTTAAAAGCACCACCACCAGTGGCACAAACGGTTGTTACTAAATTAGCCATTCCTTTTGATTTTGCAAGTGCTAAAAAATTGCCCATTTCACAAGTTGGAAATCTTATAAAATGTAACGTTCCTCTTCTACCTCTAATAAGAACATTGTCCATCTAAATAATTTTTTTTTTTTCAAAAAATAGAAATATTAGAAAATTTGAAAAAAAAAATAAAATTCAAATCAAAAATTGTTCTTCTTACTTGTAAATGAGTATCACGATGACCTGTTTTACCATAAGCGGAATTTTTCGTAAGATATCTTCTAATATTTTTCAAGATTTCAACTTCTGCATCTGCTTCATCTCTTGTTGTATCTTTAGGCTCAAAATATACCAGTTTACATAATGTACCACCAATATCCATTCCAAACCAAGGCATTGCTGAAAAAATTTTTTTTATAAATTTACATTTTCATACGTTGATAATAAATTGATTTATATTTATTATTACATATAAAGAAAAAAAAAGACGAAAATTTTGTTCCAAACAATTTGTTTTCTTTGAAATTTTATTTAAATAATAAATATAAACGTTTTTAATTTAAAAAAAAATGCTCACTAAAAGGAATCATAAAAGAATCAGGAAAAAACAATGTCGTATATTTTCTATAATAATGCTAATAGAAAAAAATTGATAAACAGTTTAATTTTAGATTTCCTACTGTTTTATACTATTGAATTTCCAGTGCAAGAAAACATTTTAGATTATAATCTTTACGCAATTATCATATGCATATGTGTAGCAAAAGAGTATTAATTACTTTTTCCTCGTAGCAAATTTTATTAATTAACAAAAAAAAAAAAATAAATCAATTAAAATGAAATTAAAAAAGGAAAATTAAATTATATGTTTCTAATTCTTATTATGTTTTTGGTGAAAGGAAAGTCTAAAGCAAAAATGGTAAAAAAAAATAAATAAATCAGAAAAATGAAAATTGTTAGCTGAAAAATACCTATTTTATCTAACAATTAGATGAAATAATAAAATTAAAAAATGGCTAATCTAAGCACACATACAATTCACCGACTCACAGGGTGGTGAGTGATCTTTGGACTGCTTGGCCATAGCAGTTGAATTAGAATAACCATTTGAAGCCATGACCCTTGTGTTAAAATGATCTTCACAACTTTGTAAGCCCATTGTCCAAATTAAAGTTATTCAGTAAGATCTTCAATTCAATGGCATTTAATCTTCGATCTGAAAATACAAAACATTTATAATATTTTTTCAATAATACATAACTGGGACATAAAAGAGGACAAAATTTTAAAATTTATTCATTATTTAAAAATAAATAAAATAAAAAATATTGTATAACGTTGGTAAAAATTAAAATAATTTCTATTTAAAAAAAAAAAAAAAAAAAAATTGTTTCAATATTTTACTATACGAAACAAAAAATAAAAATCATTTTTTTATATTAAAGTTTTTTTTCAAGAATATACAAAATATACTATATTTCTTGAAACACGCGTTTCAAGTCAAAGGTTGACAATTAATTATGTATTCACTAGAGAATGCGTAAATAAAAATTTGCATTACTAAAACTGAATAAACCACGTGTTTCTTTAGATTAAAGATTAAAAAAATTCGGCTATTGAGTATAAATTGAATTAATTAAGAAAAATAAAAAAAATTTTTTGGCCTTAGATTTAAAAAAGGGTATTTTTTGAAATTTTGAAAAATTGTCAATTGGAAGAAAAAAAAAATTGTATCAATAAATATTGCCTGTAAAAAAGATTTCAATATAATTACAAGACAATGAAGTTTTGTAAAAAATGTTACGTTCTATTGACATTAGATTTTGTAATTAATATTCATAATTTTATAACACGATAACTTAATGACTTTATATTCTTAATTTAAAAATAATTTCATTCTGGAAAAAATTATTTAAAGAAGGGGAAACACGTGGGATATCATCAGATAGTCATTCTTGCATGTTTCAACAGTTCAAGGTTAACAATTAATTTTTTCCGTCTACTGATTTCTTGTGTAGAATTTAATAATTTTATTAAAAAAAAAAAAACTAATTCCAAAGACTGAGAAACTCGTTCAATTTTTTAACTTTTCAATATTTAAAAAACAATTAATTTTAGAAATATTTAAAAAATAATTTACAAAAAATTAAATTTCAAAATCATTTTAAAATTACTTCTGTCATTAATAATTAATAATTATTAATTGAAAATAAATTATAATTAAGAAAAAAAATAGATATTTATTAATTATTTTAATACCTGAAATCATTGTGAAGAAAAGTGTTGACATAATAATTTATTTCCTGAATACTATGATTAACTGTTTGTCCGAAAAACATTTACACATCACGCTTAAAATCTACTGTTGTTGATAAACGTGTAATTGCTTTGAAACTGTAAATTAAATTAAGATGCCTATCGTAAATGAATTGTATGTAATTGTTTTACTACCATTATAAATGAAAATAATTGTTTTATTGTACATTTATAAAATGAAACTTTATACGACACTATAGAAAATTTTTTTATCCTATCATACAGTAGCGAAAAAATAAATAATAATTAAATTTCCACTGAGATCGGCACATGAAATGACGAAATCCAAACAAACACAAAGAATGAAGATTCAAGACTGAAATTGACTCGAGTATTAAAATTTAAAGTTTCCAACTCCCTCTGAATGAAAATATTTACACTAAGAAACGTCAACTAGTTTCCCGCTAAATTTGAATTTAAATTATAAAAATTAATGAAATAAATTTCAAAAGAATTGTTTATATATTTAATAAATTACCAATTAAAATACCATTTATTTAAACAAAAAATTCGAACAGTAAATTTATTTAAAATTAAAAACAACTTTTTATCGGGTTTCTTAATTTTATAAAATTTATAAATAAAAATTAATGATTAATTTCAGCACTTTGATTTCTAGCTAACATAGCACATCTTTGGGCCTTATGAACTATTTCAGAACAACGTTTTCGACGAATTAATCTGCAATCTTTGAAGAAACCTTCATTGCGTGGAAAACCATGAGTATCATCTGAATAAGTTACCAAACCTATAAAAATATTTTATTAATCAAATTTTTTTTTTCAATTAAAAAAAAAAAACAAAAAAATTAGAAACTATAAATTCTGAATTAATTTTTAATTTTTTTCTAGTTTCCAAAAAAAAACCTAAAGAAACAAACCTAATCCCCATATTCGTCCACCATGAAATGCTCCTTCAAATTTCATACCATCTGATCTCCAAAAAACACCATAACCATGGAACCATCCCTGAGTAAATTCTCCTTCATATCTAAATTAAATTTTTTCTTTTAATTACTTTTAAAAAATTCTAGAAATTTAAAAAAAATAATATTTTATATTTTACTTACTTTGCACCATCTGGAAATATGATGACTCCTAATTTGGAGAATAATCCATTATTAAACCATCCATCGTAACGTGAACCATCGGGAAAAAGTAAAGAACCTAATCCATGTTTTAAACCTTTGTTATTCCAATCTCCAACATATCTACTTCCATCATCATATTTAAATGCACCATTTTTAGTAATACCTATAATTTTATTCTCATACAATTATAATTTAAAAATAAAAAAAAATTATTTCATTAAAAACAAAAAATTGGTTTTTTTTTCTATTCATTCTTACCCTCAGACATGCTTGCGATTCACTGAGAATGTTGAAGGTGGAAGATTTAATTCAATTTTAAAAAAATCAATGCTTTATTTAGTTACGTTAAGCATCTACAATGCAGGTCATGTTCAGAAATTTTTCATATATATGTGACGACGTAAGAAAATATTGTTCTTGAGTCAAGAACATAATTTTCTTTCTGTTTTTTTTTTTTTTTTTTTACATAGTCTAGTAATAATTTCTTTGCTAAAATATTTCACGCTGCTTCTTTTAAAGATAATATACAATAAATTTTTAAGAAAAAAAAAAAATCTCAATTTAAAACAAATGTTAAAAGAAAAATATTTTTAACAAAATTATTTAATATCTGAATCAATCAGAAACCATTTTATGCGTGCCTTAACAGCCAATTTTCTAACAAGTCGTTTTTTATCATCAGTAATTGGATGTATTTTTTCCAAAACATCCAATTTAAAAGGATGTATAATTACTAATGGATATTCTACATAGATTATCAAACAATTAAGTGCCGTTATTCTTATTTTCTGAAATGAATAATTTTATTTGAATTTTCTAATAATAAAATTACTTTTTTAATTTTGTAGTTTGTATTATTTTTTAATTATATTATTTTTAACTCACCATATTTTTATGTGAACACAAATCTAAAAATTTTGATATAAAATATTTGGCTTCAATTTCAAAAACCGAATTTTTTGTCTTCAATAAAGGTAATAATACATTTAAAGTTGGTATTATTAATTCTTCTTCCATAAGACTATTCACAAAACAAGAGACAAGCTGAAAAATTTGTTTGTAAATAAATTTTTTAGTTTTAACTAATAATTATTTAATCAATTATTAATTATTACTTACTTTTGTTAAATATAAAGAAAGTAATTCTATTGGTAATTCTTCACAAGTATAAATTAATGCCTTTAAATAATTGTATTCTGACGTCGATTCATTACATTCTTTAATGATATTTTCAAATATTCTCTGTTTGTATAATATTTTTACATGACAAAAATTCTCTTCTATTAATGTATCGTCATTTTTATTCACTAAATTTTTAAATTCACTGGCAACATAATTTCCAATTTCATTATTTCGTAAAGTTGATATTTGCTGAAAAAAAATGATTTAAAAAAGAAAAATTAATTAATTACAAAATTATTATTTTACTAGTCATAAAATTATACATACATAATTTAAAAAATCCTGAGAATTTGCAGTTCCTTTTTTAACAAGAGAAATTGTTAACCAATTTAATAAATCTGAAGCAGCTTTTTTCATTTCAATTGTTTCTTCCGATGAATCTAAACATTGGCTGATATTGTCTTTTAAAAATTTTATTATCTCTTCGTATTCTTCATTTAATTGCATTTTATTTATTAAAACGGCAATTAAATGACAACTAGCGAGTCTTGTAGTTGTGTTTAAATTATTCATTGCTATTTTATATAAATTTTTTATTAATTCATTATTATTCAATTCAATTTTTGGATTTAATGATATCAAAATTCCATCTATTAATATTATATCACTGTCTGAAATGATTCCATCTAAAACTCGAGTAAAATTCTGTAGAATTTTTTCTTGTTCCTCAAGATTTAATTTTCTTGTTATTAATCTACAAATATTTGTTATTAAAGAGATCTTTTCATTCGATTCAAAATTAACGATCTTGACAAGTTTATTCAATATATCTTCTTTATACAAAAATCTTTGAATATCGAAATTTTCAATTTTTCCTTTGATAGTAAGCAATTTTTCAAGACAAGAAAGCGCTACAATATTTATTGAAACATCATCCGATGTTGCAGCATTCACAATTTTTGGAAGAATTTCACAACCAACTTTTTCTATTCTTGATATCAGGGATAATGCTTCAATTCGCCTGGATATCGTTTCTTTCGTCACATTATCTACGCATAAAAAATAATTAACAAATTTATTTATTTAAATTTAACAAAAAAAAAATAATATTAAAGTTATGACTTACTGTCATTTAAGGTAAATCTGTTTGCAATTATATTTACAACTTCAATTGGATATAATTCCGTAAAACTGTAAAGGCAAGAATGTGCAGCAAATAATGTATTTTCATTTCCAGTTTCAATTTGATGAAATAATTTTTCATATAGTGTTGCTCGTTGTGTTTCATTTAAAGCAATTTTTTGAGCAATTAATCCATGCATTAATTTAATACGAATTTCAAAAGCTGGATTATTTAATTCTTCTATGTAAAATGCAGGAACGTCTGACCACTCCAAATTAGAGACATCTAAAACATTTATAAAATTAATATAAATAAATGAAAAAAAAAGAATTGAATTAAATACATACTTTTAATGGATAGTCCATATTCATTTGCAATAATAATAAAATTATTGAATGTATCCAAAAGAAATAATTTATCTTGCAACTCAGTCTTTGTTGAGTATTGCGTAAGGCACGCGGGTACAACAGCGCATAAAACTTTTTCACACATTTCTTCATTTGCCTTAGCCACAGCTTCCAATAGTTTTTCTGTATTTTTAATAGAACTTGTGGGTGCATTACATAATGCCCATTTAGCATTTATTATAATTTCCTCAACAAATTTAATTGAAATATTTTTATCCTCCGCTAAAGCTTTTATTAACGATGTTGTGCAATTAAGAGCCAATTTTTTAACATCTAAATCAATATTCTGCATTATTTCCTTTTGTAAAATTTGCCAAATTTCTCTTAAATGAGATTCTAAACGTTTTGCACCAAAAACTTCGGCTCCTTGCATTAATACATCAAGAGAATCTAATTTAGCAACTTTTAAATTTGAATCCATTTTCTCAATTAATAATGGAAGACATAATTCAGCAAATTCTGGAATTGCACATAAACATGGAACTAGTGCTTCCGCTAAAATTTCCCTCGTTATTCCAGAGCTTTCTGATTTTGGCTAAAGAAAAAATAAAAAAAAATATACTATATAAGTTTTTAAGTTTTAATAAAAAAAAAAAAATTTTAATTTACCGCATTGTATTGAACTGGAAAATAGCAGGCAATGACTTCAAATAATTCTTCAGTTAAATGACCAAGTGGAAATTCTTTTACAAAAAATGGAATTATACGGAAAATTATTAAAAGATTCCTTGGATCACTTTCGCCATCAATTGAATTTATCACACCGTAAACAATATCAACACCAAGGGATTTTAAATTTGATGATTTAGATTTTAATAAAGTTTCAAATATGCTGTAAACAATTTGTCGATCTGGCAATAAAAGTGTTTGACATTGAACATTTTCAAATATTGTTGAAAGCAATCGAACAGGACCATTTTCTGGTAGATTTTTCATTTGTACCTGAAAACAAAAATAATTTTACCCATTTGATAGAATTTTTTTTTTCGCTGTGTCTATTTAGCCCGCTAGCGGGAGGAATAGTAGCGATAGATTATTTAGCCCGCTAGCGGGAGAAATGCAAGAATTTGGCTATTTAGCCCGCTTATTTTAAAAAATCACCAAAATGAAAACTATTTATTTTGCAATAAGTATATTTAAAATATTTTGTATTTTTCTTATTTATTTATTTTAGTATAATAAAATATATTTTATATTATATAAAATGTATATTAAGTGCAATTAAAAATAAGGCAACCGTTTATTTAAATATATTAATGTGATTTAATACAAAGTTTATTTACTCCAAAATGAATTGTTTATATATTTAATTTAATTAATTATTTAATTAAAATTGTGGTAAAAAAACAAATTTTTTGTTTAAAACAAATTTATTGTAAGAAAACTTGTTTAACTACAGGTATATTTATTTTCTAATAAATTATTAGAGAATAGTTTATGGAGGGTTGAAAATAAATAAATTTCTTTGATGGGAATTAGAATCCTTAACTTTTATTTTTTTTCGTTGAATCAACGTTGGTAATTTCAGTTTTATAAAAATGTTCCAAAAACACACTTCTTTTGTTAACGTTAAATTTCAAAAAATAGTAACTTCCTTCATTTTCATCAAATTCAAAAAAATACGTATTTTCTTATTTTTCATATAGATTTCGAAAAAAAATGATTCGGACAAAAAAAAATTTTGAATGAAAATTTCCCGTGGAATGTCCCATACGTATTTATAAAATACAAGAATTTTAATTGTATTTCAAAAATTAATTTTTATTTGGAATTTTCAAGTTTCAATAGAAAACAATTCCATAAACTATTTTCTAATAATTTATTAGAAAATAAATATACTTGTAGTTAAACAAGTTTTCTTACAATAAATTTGGTTTAAACAAAAAATTTGTTTTTTTACCACAACTTTAATTAAATAATTAATTAAATTAAATATATAAACAATTCATTTTGGAGCAAATAAACTTTGTATTAAATCACATTAATATATTTAAATAAACGATTGCCTTAGTTTTAATTACACTTAATATACATTTTATATAATAAATATTTTATTATTCTAAAATAAATAAATAAGAAAAATAAAAAATATTTTAAACAATACTCATTGCAAACTAAATAGTTCTCATTTTGGTGATTTTTTAAAATTCCTCCCGTTAGCGGGCTAAATAGTTTTTTTTATTTTTTTTTATACTTACAATAGATGAAATGCCTTTCAGTGTCGATGGTAAAATGCTATAATGATCTTTTAATCGATCGCAATAAAATCCAACAATAAAATTAATTTCAGCTTCAACAAGAAAATCAAATGGTAAACTAGCTAATAAAGAAGATAAAACTTGAATACTTTGTTTTCGTAATTCGACATTTGTATTCGTTAAAAGCGGTTGAAGTCCTTCGACAAAATTGAAAAGTTTGATATCTCCTTTTTGTATCTCTGTAAATATAAGAAATTTAAATAATCTTTCTTTTACATTAAAAGAAAACAGGTACAAAATTTTATACATTTTCTTTGAGGTTATGTCGAAAAAAAAATTGTAAGTAATCAAATTGTAATCAAATAAATTAAAAATTTATTTAAATGAAAAATACTAACCTGATGCAATATTTTGACATTCTGAAGAGAGTGTATTATTTTCTAATGCTAAGGATAATCTCTTTTCAAGATCCATTGTTGCACATGCTTGATGATGACAATAAGTGCGCCGAATATATATTACTTGCGTATTTTATAATTTAACTGTCAATAATTTTTTTTTTAGAGAAGTATATAATTATTCGCAAATGATAAATTGTGTAATTTACTAATAAAAAATAGAATTCTTAGAAGGAAAGAAAGTTATTGTAGCTCGTAGATAAATGCAGACAAGTGTGTGTGTGTACGACAGCGTTTACTGACGTTTTCTTGACATTTTGAGGTTAGAAACGTTAAAAACTAACTCCGAAAATAATCTCTATTTTAACAATATTAATGCATCAATTATTTCTTTAATTGATCCATGAATATATTATAGTAAAGAATAATTCTTTCAGAACAAATGAAAAATACAATTTTTTTTTTCTCCTGATACTGAGAATTTTTACTGTAAACACAATTGACGGTGAGTGAAATCTACTTATTTATCATAATTAATTTTTATAAATATTACTTTTTTTTCAGAAATTCTTTCTGTAAATAAAGATTTAAATAAAAACAATATATTTTTTGAGATTATTGAACCACCTGAATTGGAGTATACATATAAAATTAAACCTGCTAAAAATTTTGGTACAAATTTCGTGAGTTTTAAATTTATATTTTTAAATGAACTATAATTTTTATATTTAGAACAAAAAAAAGAAAAAAAAAATGTTGAAATAATTAATTTTCCAAAAACAGAATTTTTTTGAAAAAAGAATCAATTTGATACCTTTGAATCCATTAAATGGTTGTCAATATTCAAAGAATGCTGATGAATTAAAAGGCAATGTTGCATTAATAAAACGTGGTGAATGTAGCTTTTTTATGAAAGCAATTAATGCTGAAAAAATTGGTGCAAAAGCTGTAATTATCTTCGATGATTTTCCATCAAATTTTGAAAAAATTAGAGACACTCCAATGTGGGTCGATCATTTCTACATTAAAATGATAAAAGATGAAAATATTGATGAATCAATAATTGTAAATATTCCCGTTGGATTTTTGCATGGAAAAAATGGTAGAATGATATTAAATACTTTAAATCGATTACAAATGAAATTTGCATTGATTAACATTCCAATTAATATTACACACCGCGATATAAGTGAACTTCATCAACCACCTTGGATATCATGGTGAAAAAATTGTGATCATATTTATATATAAAATAAAATCTATTTATATAAAATTGTGAAATTATTTTTATTTTTCTAAAATTAGAAATAAAAATGATTTTTTTTTGTTATAAAACCTTGAATATTACAATTCGTAGAATTTTTCAATTATTCCAATTTTTTTATTTCCTTTTTCATTATTTCGATATTGGCTTAGTTTGCTTTATAAGCCAAGAAAGAGCTTGAGTATTTTCACTTCCTTGAAGTAATGGTTTCAAAATTTCCAAACATTTTGCATGATATTTGTTGATGTAATCAATCTAAAATTATCAATATATTTTTTTAATTTTTTTTTTCGTAAATACATATAGAGAAAAAAAGTTCCACTTACTTCTGCATCTGTGAGTAAAGAAAGATCCAAAAAACTTGTTTGTATTGGTACTAATGTAACTGTCTCAAAAGTGAGATAATTTCTATTGTTAAAATTATATTTACTATTTGCCTTTACAACCAATTCAATATTTTCCAATCGAATACCAAATTTTCCATCTTCATAAAATCCGGGTTCTAAAAAATTAAAAAAAAAAAAAATTTTAAAAGCAATTAAATATTTAGAAAGAAAGTATATTTTTTTAAATTACCATTTGACAAAAATACACCGGCTTGAACACCTGGATCATCAGGCATTGGTTTCCAAGATATACCAATTGGAAATTCATGAACATTTAAATAAGATCCTACTCCATGTCCCGTTCCATGAATGTAATCTAAACTGTGAATATTATTTTAATATATCAGTAAAAAAAAGAATGGAAATTATTAATTCTTACCCAACGTCCCATAAACTTTTACGAGCTAACGTATCGAGATAATTTCCTTTTATCATATTTGGAAATATTGCCATATTAAGAAAACATTGTCCTTTAAATACACGTGTAAAACATTCACGTTCGTAATCTGTTGGTGTTCCAAAGTGCCAAGTACGCGTTGTATCGGTAGTTCCATCGAGAAATTGTGCTCCAGCATCGCATAGATAAACTTCTTTGTCTGTGATAAGTTTATCACTAGCTGACGTTGGATGATAATGAATTATTGCAGCATGATCTCCAGACGATGAAATTGTTGTAAAACTTACTCCAACGTACAGTTCTTGTTCTCTGAAAAAAAAAACAAAAATTTTATTTTCATATTTCTTTTAAATTTTGTTTAAAAAAAAAAAATATCTATAAAATTTTGCATTTTACTGTCTAAATTTCTCCAATTGTTCCGCTCCAGAAATTTCAGTAATAGTTTTATTATTTTTATTTGTAATTTCATCTTCCAACCATGCAAAATATTTAACAAGAGCAACACCATCACGAATGTGAGCAGCTTTCATTCCTTCAATTTCAGTCTCATTTTTAATTGATTTCATTAAACCAATTGGCGAATAAGCTCTATATACATGACTTCCACATGCACAATGTAAAGCAGAACTTGAACCAGAACTTATCCAAACACGATTTTCATCAGTTGCTATTGAATTTTCTTTTAAAAAATTTAAAATACTCTCATAAGAATGATAAATTGGAATGATTCCTTCATTTTTTAATTGCTCTTCAGCTTCTTTTGTTAGTCTTGTTTTATCAAGAAAAATATGAATATTTTCACTTTCTAATACAATATAAGCAAAAAATACTGGATTATATGGAATATCAGATCCTCTCCAATTAAGTAAATATGCAACTTCATCCAATGCAGAAATTACAAGAAATGATACACCATTTTCTTTCATTAATTTTTGACAATTTTCAATTTTATCCTTAGCCTTTTTTCCACTATATTCTAATTTATGAGGAACAATTGAATTCAACACTGGTATTGGTCTATCATCCCATATTTTATCAACTAAATTTTCTTCCAATGGAATTAAAACATGTCCCTTGTTATTTAAATTATTATACATTGATACCCAATCGGTGTAACTAATAACATTAATATCAACTCCAACTGTTGATTTTGGTGGTAAATTTAAATTCAACCATTCAAATTGATTAGGTGTTCCTAATACGCCTTCTTTCATAAGTGTCCAATCTTGAGGTGGATCAAATTCATTAATAGCTTGAAGAAAATATCTTCCGTCGGTCCATAATAAAGCTTTTTCATTTGTTACAATAATAGTGCCACGTGAGCCAGTGAATCCAGAGAGAAAACTTAATCGTTTATCTCTATCAGTTAAATATTCCGATTGATGAGAATCACCATAATTAAGTATAAATGCTTGTATTCCTTTTTTTTCCACACCATTAATAGTTGTTATTTTCATTAATTCACGTAGTCTCGCTAATTTTGAAATTCCTGTTTGATTCACCATGATTCTGTAAAATATAAACGATTAGAAATCAATTTTTATTTAACACGAAAAATTTGTAAAATTGTTTATCTAAAAAAATATTTTTTTATAATTTTTTGATTAATAAAAACTAAAAGAAATATTTATTAGGCAAAAAATTATAGAATTTTTTATTATTATTATTATTATTATAGATTATTTAGCCGGCGAGCGGGAGAAATACAAGATTTTGGCTATTTAGCCCGCTTATTTTAAAAAATCACCAAAATGAGAACTATTTATTTTGCAATAAATATATTTAAATATTTTTTATTTTTCTTATTTATTTATTCTAGAATAATAAAATATATTTTATTATATAAAATGTATATTAAATGCAATTAAAAATAAGGCAATCGTTTATTTAAATATATTAATGTGATTTAATACAAAGTTTATTTACTCCAAAATGAATTGTTTATATATTTAATTTAATTAATTATTTAATTAAAGTTGTGGTAAAAAAACAAATTTTTTGTTTAAACCAAATTTATTGTAAGAAAACTTGTTTAACTACAAGTATATTTATTTTCTAATAAATTATTAGAAAATAGTTTATGGAATTGTTTTCTATTGAAACTTGAAATTTCCAAATAAAAATTAATTTTTGAAATACAATTAAAATTCTTGTATTTTATAAATACGTATGGGACATTCCACGGGAAATTTTCATTCAAAATTTTTTTTGTCCGAATCATTTTTTTTTCGAAATCTATATGAAAAATAAGAAAATACGTATTTTTTTGAATTTGATGAAAATGAAGGAAGTTATGATTTTTTGAAATTTAACGTTAACAAAAGAAGTGTGTTTTTGGAACATTTTTATAAAACTGAAATTACCAACGTTGATTCAACGAAAAAAAATAAAAGTTAAGGATTCTAATTCCCATCAAAGAAATTTATTTATTTTCAACCCTCCATAAACTATTCTCTAATAATTTATTAGAAAATAAATATACCTGTAGTTAAACAAGTTTTCTTACAATAAATTTGTTTTAAACAAAAAATTTGTTTTTTTACCACAATTTTAATTAAATAATTAATTAAATTAAATATATAAACAATTCATTTTGGAGTAAATAAACTTTGTATTAAATCACATTAATATATTTAAATAAACGATTGCCTTATTTTTAATTGCACTTAATATACATTTTATATAATATAAAATATATTTTATTATACTAAAATAAATAAGAAAAATAAAAAATATTTTAAATATACTTATTGCAAAATAAATAGTTTTCATTTTGGTGATTTTTTAAAATAAGCGGGCTAAATAGCCAAATTCTTGCATTTCTCCCGCTAGCGGGCTAAATAATCTATCGCTACTATTCCTCCCGCTAGCGGGCTAAATAATCTATCTCCACTATTCCTCCCGTTAGCGGGCAAAATAGACACAGCGAAATATAAAATATTAAACTTTTTATTTTTAACTATTTTATCCAATTAAAATCCAGAATTTAATTTGCCAAAATGTTTCGTTTATTCATGAAAAAATTTTATTTCTTTTAATTTAAAATAATAATTGATAAGAGTGTTATTAAATCTGTGGAATGTTCATTTAATCATATTTTAAATCAGATAACATTTTATTACGTATAAATTGATTAAAGATATAAATAAAATTAAATTAAGGATCATTTATTGTAAATTTACGCAAGTCTACTGATTTTTATTAAATTTTTTCTATACTCACTATTTTTGTATATAGAACTTTCACTTTGTTTTCTTACGAACACCTTTTCGAATGCCAAAAGTGCCAAAACAAAATATTGAGGTTATGTTTCACAGGCGATAAGATAAAAAAAAAACGTATAATAGGTAAATTTTGTATTATACGTAACAAATATGGAAAGCGTTTTGATTGGCAGTGGTAATGGAAAACTTTTCCAGAAGAACCAATCAAAATTAAATTTGAGTTTTGGAAAATGAGAGCGCCTTAAGGAATTTGATAACTACCCCACCCTGTTATTAAATACTAAATTGTAAACACAACACATGACATTTGTATAAACTAGTTTATTATTAACTAGTTTCTGGGTTATTATTATTCTTTTATAATTATAATTATCAAAAAAAAGGTGAAAATTACTTTCAATAATGGCTGGAGAAGTTATTGAAGATGCATTGCCATACATCGATATAGGTTATGATGAACCAGGAGTTCGAGAAGCAGTAAGTAAAAATAATTTCCTTTTCTTAAATAACTGTTTATCAAAAAGGAAGTTTTTTTTTTGAAACATGATAAATTTTTAGGCCTTGGCTATGGTAGAAGAGGAAACACGAAGATACAGACCAACAAAAAATTATTTAGAACATCTTCCGGCTTTGAATATGAATGCATTTGAAACAGAAGTTATGAAACATGAATTTGAGAGACTACAAAATTGTTTAACAATGGAAGTTCTTACAATGAAACGTTACGAATTACCTCCACCGGCACCGGGAAAAATGAATGATCTTTCAGCATGGACTGAAAGTGTTGACAATAGTTACGCACAACTTCAACATCAAGCAACAAGGTAATTAAAAATGAAAACTAAATTATCAAAATTATTTCTCTTTTTCTCTCTTTTTATTAATAAATGAATTAAAATTATATATATATATATATATTTTTTTTTTCAAATCATTTAGAATTTGCAATTTAGAACAAATGATGGATTATGGATGTGAGGCATGGAAATCATATTTAGAAGTTTTAGTTCAATTATTAAATGAATCACAAAAGCAAGTTCAAGGATTAAAAAAAGAAATTCAAGAAATAAATTGGCAGAGAAAATCAATGCAAACACAGGGTGGAGAAAAATTACGAGCACTTGAAGCACAATGGGTTGGTTTGGTATCGAAAAATTATGAAATTGAACAAGCTTGCGTACATTTGGAGGAGGAAATAATTAAAAATGGACATCATTTGGATTTACCTAATGTTGAACCTGATGTTCCTGGTCAAAATGCAACAGAAATAATGGCAATGGAGATAAGACAAAATTCATAAATTTCTAAATTAATTTATTTCTAATTAGTTTAACAACTTTTTTTTTTTTTTTTTTCTTTCGAGATCTGTTATTAAAAAACATCAATGTTTATTCGAAATGTAAATACGTAATATACAAAATGCATTTTTATTTTAAAAATTGGTTTTTTTTCTTATATAAGACAATAAGCACAACAATGAAGTTGAAAGAATGTTTCAAGACTTATAAACCAATTTAGTTCATTTGACTTAACTTCTTTTTATCATTTCGTTTGTGTCTAAATATACATATTTACAAGTAAATATCGTTGTTTACATTCAATATTTACCAAAAAAGTTTATTAATTTTTAAATAATATTTGCGCAAGTTAAAGGAAAGTTATAGATTTCCTTGAAAGCTGCACGGATTTTGACCAAAAAAAAAAATTACAAAGTAAATCTTGATTAAATACTTATGTGTATAAAAATACATAGATTCAAAATTTAATCGCGGAAAATGTAAAAATACTTTTCATGCAAAGTATCAATTACTAATTGCATTCAATCAATTTGTCATAAAGAAGTTTCACTTCCACAAGAACTTTGTGACTGTAGAGGTAAACTGCCTTTGTAACCTGATGTTTCTTCCTCCAGCATTGTTATTTGTTGTTTCAGTGATTTCACCTAAAATTAATTTTTTTTATTCATAATTTCAAACTATGTAGTATTTTTAAAAAATCGCGCCCTGCGCCTGCGCGTTAATTTTTTTTTTTAGGTTAGATTCACAATGGATCAATAAAACGTAACAGAGAAATATTAAACAAAAATTAAAAAAAAAAACAAAGTAATCAAATGATACGAAAAATTGCTCGATTTATTCAAAAGGTCCCAGGAGAAAAGTATTTAGCCGAGTATCGTTTTATACCGTTATTTTTCATTTTGGGAGCAGTTTTGGAATATTCCATGATAAATTGGCATGTAGGCGAGACTAATTTTTATCGTACATTTAAAAAACGAAGAGTTCAAGAAATAGTCGACGAAAGAATTTTAAAAGAATCGAAAAATTTAAATTAAAAGAAGAAGAATTATGATTGCCGGTTTATCTTGGCCTCGTTACATAACATTTTTCATTACATCAATGGCTGCAATGCTTGGAGGTTCACAATTCGTTCATAATATCTATAGACCATTGGATGATTTAGAAGATCTTGTGGCAGAAGAATTAGCGAGACGAAAAAAAGCAGAGGAAAAAGTGTAAATATGTTTGTATCGCTAAAATAATATTTATCTAGTGAAATATAATTTTTAAAAAAGAATTTCAGTGTTTTATTTTTTTTTTTATTTTGAATACCGAATGGAAAATTTTAAAAGAAATTTTTAGAAAAAAAAAAAAGGAATTATGTTTTTTTTGTCTATTACTTACTTGTGCTGCATGATTTTCCATCATTCCCATCATTTGTTGTTCCATTTTTTTCAATCTTGACTGGTATTTTTTTTTCGATTTTTCTAATGATTGAACAAGGGCTCTATTTTTGAAAAATTACAACAATTTTCATTAATTTGAAAATATAATGATTATATATAAAAATTGTTGACTCACCCATTGGCACGTTTCAAATCATTGACAAGTTCAGCAGATTGTTGATGCCTTAATTCCGAATTTTTATTAACTTCATCTAATGTTGATACAAGCTCTTGTAAACGTTCTTTTAATCGTTGTTCTCTTCCAATCAATTCAGATTCAATTCCTTCACTTTCATTATCACTCAGGCATCGATCCTGTTATTTTAATAATATAATTAATATTTTAATATTAATTGTTATTTTAATAATATAATTAACATTTTTTTAATTTTTATTTTTTTTAATTTTGTATTAAACCAAGTCCACTTCTGGGCCGAAAGGTTGAAGCTTAATTAATCAATAATAATTAATAATATAATTAACATTTTAATATTAATTGTTATTTTAATAATATAATTAATATTTTAATATTATAATTAATTACTGTTAATATTAATTTAAAATAGTTAATTACTTTATTTCCCATTGTTAGCATAGCTTGAAGATGTTGAATAGCTGTATGTTGAGCAGCAATTTGTGAATCTCTGGCATTTAATTTTAATTCTATTGTTGCCCTTTCTTTTTCAAGTAAAAATACACGGGCCCGTAATTCAGCCTTATCTTCTCGCATAGCCATTAACTCCTTGAAAAATAAAAACCGAATTGTTAAATATTAAATTAATATTAATTTTGTTAGATCAATAATAATAAAATTTATACTAACTTGCATAAGGACAGCGGTTTCTAAATCTAATTTTCGAGCTTCAGCTAAAGAAATTGCATTTTTAGAATTAAGAGGTTCAACATGAACGCTTTCAAATTCCACAGTTGTTGATCGCACCATTGAACGTTCGCTTTTCAATCTGCTAATGTGTTTTCTTAAACGTTGCTCATCCTCTTCACTCCATGCCACTTCGGATCTAAACATGAGATTTTAGAAACATTAATATATTACAATTTATTTATTTGATTTATTTATTTAATTTGACACATACTCATCGGATAAAATCAAATTGTCCTCCCAAGGTGCATTGAGATGAGAGCAATCATTTTCGAGTTTATTTAAAACATGATAGGCTATAATTTCAGCGGCTCTTCTATTATCAGTACATCTATCAATCGAAGATGCTAATTCACTTTCCAAAAGTGCGACGAGAACATCGTAAGCTTCAATCATACGATCACTATACGTGAGTGCAAGTTTCAATGCTATTGCATTTGATTCGTATTTTCCAACAAGAAGACTCAATCTAAAAATCGAATTAAATTTTCAAAAATAAAATATTAGAAAAAATTAAATTATTAAATGTACATACCTATCACATTGTGCTTTACTTTCATGTAATGTTAAAGCAAGAACTGCATTATTAGCACGCGCATGTTCCAATCTACTATTTAAACGTTCAGTTTCCACTTCAAATTGTTTTTCCGATCCATTAAATTCATGTAGATTTGAATGCTCCAATAGGTCCGATACTAAATGTTCAGCGACCATTGTGGAACAAACCTAAAAATAAATTGAAATTATTTTTGAAAAATTTCTTTTAAAAAAAGAATTTTGAAACTTACACCAAGATTAGCAATATCAGAACCAGTGATATGCCTCTCGTCAGTTCTTCTAAGTCTCACTCTTTCTGCCATTTTCAAAATTGGCACATCTTCTCGTGTTACACTTTTTGAAGTAGGTGGTGTTTGCAATGGTGGCAAAAGAGGAGAACAAGGTGCCGTTAATGGTTCCGGTGAACTTAAATTTCCTCTAGTCTAAAAAATCATAAAATTAAATTAAATTGATTTTTTTGTTTTTATAATTTTCAAAAAACCTACTCTAAAATCTCGACGAGGTGAATCACTGCATGTAGGTTGAGCCGAACATTGTCCATGTGATTGATTTCTATACTGCGCTAATTGTATATGTAATGAAGAAATTTCTGATCGAAGTGCAATTACTTCGTCTTGTAATGCTGCAACCGCTACATTTTGATAAGAAACAGCCTGCTGTGTTGGTTCAGGTGTTGGTAAATCTGCAGGACTATCTAGTTGTTCTCTATCCTGGAAAAAAATACATATTTTAGAAAATATTGAAAAATATTAATAAAAAAGAAAAATTACTTCATTTGGTCTTTGTCCGACTTCTTCGCAACAACTCGAATTTACATCTTCTATTGTTCTATCACCATCTCCTTGAATGAAACCCTCACTTTCTTCAACGGGATTTGTTATTGAACCCTCAGCGTCTCGGCTCGTTTCAATTTCTCAAAAAAAGAAAAATTTACATTTTAAAAATAATTTTACAAGTTTTTTAGAAAGTTAAAATTTAATTTTTACCCGATTCATCCTCCTCGGCAATAATATTTGCCCGTTGACGTTCCAATTGTCTGCCAAGTTCAGCTATCACAGAATGAAGTTCCGTTAATCTTTCCTCATGTCGAATATTTTGTTGTTCAGCACGTTGTTCGGCTCTTGTCGTTTGTGTTTCTGCTCTAATCAATGATGTTTCAGCTGCCTCTCTCGCTCGATTTGCAATTAAAAGTCTCGAATTTAATTCCGCTACTTCCGATCGCAATGATGATAGAGCTGCAATTTGCAACTGAAACATGAAAAAGAAAATTAAATAAAAATTTTTAATATTTTTTTTTAGAAATAATAATGACAGAAAAAAATCGGAGAATTTAAAAAAAAAAAAAAAGAAATAAAATTCTTTTTTAAAATTATCATTAATTTGAAAGCAGGAAATAAATCATATCCTAGATGGTACTTTCAACCTTGAGAGAGGAAAAAAAAAGTAATTCAACCAAAGTAGTGATACGGCAATGCAATTCGACATAATTATGTACAACGTATGTCCTTCGCAATTCGTTAGAGCGTGCCATGTGAATCAAGTGCGTCTAATGATAGAGAGTCATTTAAAGCATAACACTCGTTGAAGTAACACCTTTACAGAACGCAAATTGCGATTTTCATTTTTAGTAAGTAAAAATTTAATATTACATTTAAATTGTATAATTATTTAAATTTTTTTTTCTAATTTTTTAAACAATTTAATATTTTGTTAAATTTCTTTCAACCAATTTAATATTTTATTATTAATATAACAAACAATGGAAAATATTGAAGGTCAATTTGATAACAAATTCTATAAAAACATTTTCCACTTATTTTATTCATAAAATTTATATTAGTTTTTTTTTTTTCATTTTTTTTTTTTTTGACTAATTAATGATTGAATAATAGTTAAATTTTAGGAATAATTAATTGTAAAATTAAAAATACTAATTAAATTTCAGTTAAAGGAGAAAAATGGGTAAAATAATATTTTTGGCATTGCTTGTGAGCATGTTATACATTTCAATGACTCTGGCAGCTGATGATTGGGATGAATACATTCATCTTCCTGGTAAATCATGTTCAGATGCTCCAGCTTGTCCTGATAATCGACCTTGTGTTATGGCACCACCAAGATGTAACACCGGTACATGTAATCAATCAACACTAGTACCAACTTGTGGTCGCAAAAAATCATAAATCAATTCGAAATCCTCTATTTTCAATATATATTCACTTTTTGCTAAGATTTTTCCATACAAGAGTAATTAAAAAAAAACATTATTTTTAGAGAATTGAGATAAAATCTTTTAATTGCACGTCAAAGTTAGAAAAAAATAAATTAAAGCTTGTAGCACAAGAATTAAGTAATTATGTATTATTATAAATAATAATGAATATTTATAGCATAATATTTTACTTTTTATTCTTTAATATTTTTAACCGAAATACATTTTTTAATTTTATTTTTTAATTTGAAATTTTTGTATAAATTTTTCTTTTCAATAATTGGAATCTCAAAAATAGAAATTAATTTAATTATCGCAATGAGAAAAATAAAAAAAAATTTAATTTACCTTATTTGCTAGCTCCAACATATTTCCCGTTCCACCTGCAGCTGCTTCTACTAATTTTTGCAATGTATGAGGCTCCGGTGAAAGATCACGGGCCCCACTATCAAATTCCCAACTCTCATGTCTACCAGATACAGTTCCTAGAAAAAAAAAAAGGAAAAAATAAATATAAAAATATCTTTAAAATACTTTTAAATATTTTTGCAAAATTAAATTATTTAAATATTTTTTTTTTCAAATAAAGTGAAAACATTTACCAAGACTGTTATCACTACTGGTTGGAAGATATTCCGAAGTATGTGTTTGTGGACTTGTTCTATGTTTTCCTGATCTAAGTGCCTCGATTTCAGGACGTAAAGCTAAGCGACGTCTAAAAAATTCTTGATAAGAAATTCGACCATGTTCATCAGCGCCCAATTCTCTCATCAGCTCCTCGACAGAATTTTCCAGATTTAATTCTCTGCATACAATTAATAAATCCTGACTGAAAATTCAAAGAAAGAATAAATTAAATACATGAACAAATAATTTAGGAAATTTATAAAGTATATATATATTTATAAAATAAATTTCAATTTTTTTTGTAAAAATAAAAAAATTAACGATTAACAATAAAAAAAAACATATTTTCAATGTTGTTGAATTTTAAATGAATCTCTATTTTGGAATATGTAGTGAATATAGCACTCATATATATATATATATATATATATAAGTATGTAAAAGTTACGGATACAAATGTGTGCATTGAAAAGGCGAGCTCTAAAAAGCTATCTTAAAAGCACAGCTCTTCTAGAGAAAAGGGGAATGAGAGAGAGAAAAATGGTTGACGAGCCTCGTATGAATCGAAATATTAGCTCCAAAAAGCAAAAAAAAAAAAAAGTACACAAGGGTCGTGTAAAAGCATAAAAGAAAGTGAAAAAAAAGTTAGCATGCATCCTTAAAAATTGCATCCTTTAATCATCCAGTAAGGTGATAAAAATAACATAAACTAAATTTAAAATGAATTTAATTACATTGTGGAAAATAATTTTTGAATTATTATACGAATATTATACAAACTTTTATTACTTTAATTAATAATACTTTAATTTATAATTTATAATAAATATTTTGCATTATAAACAAAGGTGTTATTTTAGAAAATAAATTTTTCTATATTTAAAAAAAAAAAATTTATTAAATATTTATAAATGCTAAAATTTTAATTTAATAATTACTTTTCTTTTTTTACCTGTCTATAAAACCATCGCCGTTTCCGTCGCATCGCAGAAATAGTTTTCTTACACGTTCTTCGTCACAAATCGACCCAGCCTCACTCTCAGCATCCGCTGTTTGAGACATTCTCAATTAACCTCGATCTGGCCATACCGAGAAACCGGCTGTCATCAATATTCCCATGCTTTTGCTTTCAATATTTTTCATTGCTTTCGCCTTTTAACAATTATCAACGCTTGTTTTGACACTTGGTCTCTGTCTCATATTCTGTAACAGAAAAAGAAAAATTAAACATTTACAAATACAAAATGAATAATTTTAAATAAATGAAATCACGAGAATGTTATTGCAAATTTTTTTCCCATGATAGTAATTTTAATTTGAATCACAAAATTACATAAAATAACATTAAATAATATTTTTAAAAAAATATCCACGAAATTCTATATTTTAAGAAAATTATATATAATCTCCATTAATTATTTAGTAAAATATTTGTTTAAAATAAAATTTACTACCTTTCACAAAAAGTTAATATTCTATTTTTGGATCAGCAAAGAATAATGAAAGGAGTACATATAGTTGAAATTAAGATGCTTATGTGTACACAGTGATAATTAAAAATTCAAGTAAAATTCATAAATACCTTTTGTAAATTCAAAATTACTTTTTATAAAAATGTTAATTATTTCCTTAATTCATAAATAATAAGCAAGAGGTAAAAGTTATCGATTTTGTTGTATGATTATAGACAACTTTGACAGTTCGCGCCATCTTGAATTCAACTGTGCGTCCAGGGATGGGTTGATAAAATTTAAAGGCGTGTTTACATGAAACAAACATGAAAACACAACCTTAGAAATTACCAAAAAACACCCGCGAAAATCATCTGTCACTTTATTGTTTATTTCTCATTGAAACAAAACATAATAATAAAATCACAGTGAATTGTTTAAATATTTGATTTTTATTGCTTGATATTTTTAAAAAATATTTTTATTATAATTACTTGTATGTTGAAAAGTGGTTGAAAATTATTTTCTTACTGTTGTTATTAGTGATTTAGAGGTTAGAATATAATATAAGTTTGATAATTATTTACAATCAAATTTTCGTGCAATTTTATTAATAATAACAATTGAGATAAACATATAATTAACTTTATTATATCTATCAAAAATATAAAAACGTTTTTTTAAAAAAAAAGAATCACATGTTGATTTCTAAAGGTCTGACTATTCATATGTCACACTACTGACTATTCTACTTCGAAGCAATGACTTTGTTATTATAAATAATTGTAAAATGTAAGTAAAAAAAATTATATATTATAAATTAAAATTGAATATGTGATGAAAAAAATGTCTAAAAACAAATTTTTATGTTTACTTTATGTATAGCTCATCAATTTTTTTGATTTCATAAAATCCTGAGAAGATGAAACATAAAATATACAGGGAAATTCCTTTTAATAGACTCTGCGAATTATCATCACTATTTAAACAAGAGTCGTAAGTTTTCTTCTATTTCATTAATAAATCGTAAGAAAAATATAGAACAATTCATTCTCGATTGTCTTTAACTATAGACAATTAAGATTTAAGAATTATAAAGAAAGATTAGTGTTAAATTCTTGGTATTCTTGTGTGATAAGTCAACAATCTCTTACATATTTTCATTATCTAAAGTATAATAACAAGGTCTTCTTTTTTTTTTTTTTTTTAGAGAAAAAACGGATATACGAATTTTTGTCTGCAAAATATACAAATATTTGGTTTTTTTTAGGAGTATAATAATCACTTACCATTTTTGTATTTATTATATCCTTTTAACGGATAAAGACTCCTTTAATCATAGCATAAAATACGAAAGTTAAAAGCATAATAACTTTGGCAACAGGTTTCGTCTGGTTACAACTGGATCATTGCTGTTAGCTCTGGCTTAGATTGGTTCTTCATCTTTAAATGAAAAAACGAATAAATGGACAAATATTCCAGCAAAGGAAACTTTCATTATTTATTTATTTATGAGAGAAATTAAATTTCTTTTTTTGTGAAAAGAATTTTAATAATTAGAATATTATTATTCACTATTTGAACGTTTATACAAATAAATGACAATCAATTTAAAAAAAAAAAAAAAAAAAAAAAACCTAAAAATGAGTGAATATTAGTGAAAAATTGAAATTATTTAATTTAAAAAAAAAAAGAAGTAAAGTATTATGACTAATTTACCTCCGCATAGAATGGGGATTTTTTTCATTTTAAAATACATAAAACAATATACTTTCTAAGAAATCGATATTAAAGTTAAACAATTATTATAATCGAAATTGGTCATTTTTTTTATAAAAAATTTTTTTAATTTACTTTTTAAATAACTTCTTTTTTGTTGAAAAATATTTTATCACTATTTGTAAAACAAGTAGTTAATTATCAATTTGCAATAAAATATTGTTTTAAATAAAAAAAAAATTGTCATATTAAGACTCATTACACAGTAGATTATAGGAAGTTACAAAAAAAAATTAAATTGTTAAAGATAAGAATTCTACTCTATTTTTTAAAATGTAATTATTTGTAAATATTTCCAAGACGATAAATAGTTATCAAAAAAAAAAAGTTTATTTTAATAATTATTAATTTTTATTAATAATAATAATTATCATTAATTAATTTAATTATTATTAATTAGTTTAATTATTATTAATTAATTTAATTATTATTTATATTATTTATAATATATTTTTTACTAAAACATTCCATTTTTATATTTGCAAAAATGTTATTTTAATTATGAAAAAATCTCTGCTTCTTTTAAAATCCCTTATTTGTATACGATGTCTTTGTCTAATTTATGTTCGCAAAAATGTAAACCATGCATCCAATATCTAAGAATAGATATAAGATCAAGTCTAACTATTTCTACTTCTTCATGGTACTTTAAAAAGAGAAAAAAGAACAAAGAAAATAACAAAATTCATTTTTTCATAAAAAAAAATTATAAATTCATTAATTTTCCCATGAAAAATATTAATCTTTTAACAAAAAGAAATATTTTTTTTTTGTAAATAATAAAAAGAAATCAATATCATTGAAAATATTAACCTCCCTCTAAACTAATATAATTAAGTTTATAATAGTTAATTTTTTTTTTTTTTTACTACCGAGATGTAAATAATTTTTTTTTTTTATCTTATTTCCCTTGACATATACACAATCTGTCAATAAAAAATAATAATAATTATCGGGTAATATTACTCGTACAAAAAAGAAAAAAAAATTAGAAAAATAAGAAGTGCAAATAACATTAATACAATTGGAGAAACCGGTTCAATTTATAGGTAAGATTGAACACTTATCAGTCTCTATATAATTGAACAAAAAAATAATTTCCGAATTATTCGTTGAACAAAAAGCAGTTAGTCATTTACTTGCGTCACTAAACGGAACTTTATTAATAAAGTACGGGATATTTTTCTTAAAAAAAAAAAAATAAATAAATAAAAATATATTAATAAAAAAAAAGAAGTGTTACAACGAAAATATAATTAAATTAAAATGTAAAGAATTTTAATTGTTCTATAATAACAAAATCATTAGTCCTTTGACACGAAAAAAAAAATTTAAGTATGTATATATCTTATCACTATAAATATTTATCTTGAAATCAATATGTAAAAATAATTATTTGTCATTTTTAAAAATTCGTTTTTTCACTTTTAAATGATATTTTATATTATATTAAAAAACAATTAAATTAATAATTAATAGAATAGAATATTTTTCTTATAAAAATTTTGATATTTAAAGGACATTTAAAAAAAAAAAAAATTTCCGATATTCTGAGATTAAAATCCTAACAATGTTTTATAAAGAGCTTTTTAAATTATCTTTCCTATATTAATTTTCATACTACTTTGATCATCTTCATAATGAGTTCATAGATTACTTTATTGAGAAAAAAAAATTACATTATATTATTAATAAGAAAATTCATATCAAAATTTGAAAAAAAAATTCACGATTAAAGTAAATTATAAATAATTATAAATATAATTATTATTAAAAAAAAAAAATTACACTATATTATTAATAAGAAAATTCATATCAAAATTCGGAAAAAAAATTAACTAAAAAAAAATTTACGATTAAAATTATAAAAAAAAATTATTTAAATAATTAGAAATATATAATTATAAATTATAAAATTATAATGTTTTAAAGTAAAAAAAGCAATGAAATAATTTTTTGTTAATAAAAAAAAGTAAGGCGAAATTTTGTGTGTGATAAAAATAAAATAATATTTTCAGCTTCATTAAAATTTTCGTAATAATTTATTAATTTTTAAAATGTAAAGTCACTTCTTTGGAATTTAAATTTCTTTAAAATTCCAAATGACTCAGATTATGAATTATTGTCCGAGGAAGTGTAATATAATTCAAATGAATTAAATAAAAAAAAAAAATAAAATTAGAGGTATATTTTGAAAATTGTAGCACACGCCACTGCTCGAGTTAGCTTCGGGGTTAAGTAACTCAATAATATATACTGAATGGGGATCGTTGCTTTTCTTTAAATGATTACAAGTGGTATAAATGTAAGATTTCGCGATGTTTCCGATTAGTCACAAATTCGATTTTCATGCGGGCACACGCGCTTCTTACATTATGTAATAATTAAATTATTTTACAAAATATTTTAATTTACAATATTATAATATTGTAAATTTTTTTTTTTAATAAGTCATTTTTTTTAAACACAAGGGTAAGAAACAATTGTTGCTTTCTTACACTGAAAAAAAAAATTATTTGATTCAAATAAATATTTATTTATATCAAAAAAAAATATTTATTTTCAAATAAATATTTTTTTATATCAAATAAATATTTATTTTCAATTAAATATTTTTTTGTATCAAATAAATAATTTTTTGTATATTAAATAATTATTATTTGATTAAATTAAATTGTATATTTTATTTCAATTACAGAAATTATTGATTCAAATAAAATTTATTTAATTTCAAATAAAAATTATTTGTCCCAAGTTAATATTTATTTGATAATAGTCAAGTAATTGAGTATTTGAAACAAATAATTTTTTTTTTCAGTGTATCATATTGTATTATTGTACAAAATTATAAAGTTTGAGAATAATTATTTTGAAATTTGTAATTTAAAATCGCCTTTTTAGAAAAGAATAAACTCAATTATATTTTGAAAAAATATTTTTATCCAATTAAAAAAAATTTTTTATATCTCGGTACATATTTTTTTTTTCTTTAAATAAATAAAATTTTTTTTTTTTACTAAAAACTGTAATTGTTTATACTAATGATTTTGTCAAAGATTTACAATGATGAGACGTTTGTCGTTTGTTATTAATTTGCAAATTTATAATAATTATTAATTAATTAATTAATTTATTAATAGTATAATTTAAAAATTTAATTAAATAATTAAATATTATTTATATCTAAAAAAAAAAATGAAAATGAGTAGCTAATTTATTGAAATTATTTCCTGAAAAATTAAATAACAATTGATTTTAAATGATATATTTATTATATTGATAATAGTGATACTATTCATCATTCAAAAAATTGAAATTGACATATTAATGGGAATATAATAATATAGTGATAAGTGGTTTCATTATAAGTTATAACATTTAGAAAGAACAGTTTTCAGAAAACATTCTTAGCATCACGTACACCTATACACATTTTTGCCTATAATATGCAAATTTTCCGAAAAAAGTAAACAAATATATTTTTTTTTCCCAAGCCACTGATAAAAATTAAAAAAAAAAAATTATGTTTATTTGTAGCTTATTGTATGTTTAAGTCGTGTAAAAGTGATAACGAAGTGCAAACCAATATAGCTTACGCGTGTATTTGTCAAGAGATTTTCATATAAATCAACAAGACCGTGAGACAAAGTGACCAGTCGTATTCAGCGAGTCTTGATGAAAAAAAACGTTTAATTTCTTTCAAAAAAAAAAAAAAAAAAAAAAAAAAAAAAAAAAAAATTAAAAATAAAATAAAATAAAAATAATTTAAATTCAACAAGTGCTCGCCTATCATCATGATAAAAAAATTTACATATTTTGTGCATTGTGTCAAGGTGCTTGTGTAAGGATTGAGTGTGACACGTTAAGTTTCGATTTAGTGATATTTTTTTTTTTTTTTTAATTCCCAACAAGATGGCCAGAAAACTATCATTTCTCAGGTTATTTTCCATATTTCTTTTTTCTATCTAAAAAAAAAACATTTTTCTAATTGAATTTGATTTATAATTTATTTATAAAAAAAAATTATAAATTTATATAATTTCGTGTTTTTAAAATAAATATCTAAAAAAAATTTATTTGATTCAAATAATCGACTACTATCAAAATAAATGAGGAGCAAGTTTTCAAAACCTGATAAATCCATATTTTTTTATTTCGAGAAATTTAAACAAATGACTTTCCACACATAACCACTAGAGTTAATTTTAAAATAAAAAATTTATAATAATTTATTTCTATATCAATGTTTTTATATTCAATACGTTATGTTTCTAATTGAACTTTGTCATAATTGAGTGATTTACAGGTTTTGGAAATTTTTTCTAATATAAAACATACAAATTGTAAATCATCTTGGTTATGTCAATAAGTTTTTAAATTCAAAATTTGTAATTAATAAATTTTTTTCCTTAAATTTAACAGTGACAGATCGATTTGTGAGGTCCTTAAAATATTAAATATATGGTTGTCTCCATTTTTTTGAAAAATGGATTTATCAAGTTTTGAAAATTTGCTCCTCAAATATTTATTTATAATAATTTATTTATTATTTATTTATTTATAATATATAAATATTCTAAAAAAATAAAATAAATATTTATAGTAAATAAATATTAATAAATAGAAAAAATTTAATAATATTAATAATATTAATAAATGTTAATAAATATTTATAAATAATATACAGTCAAATAATCGATTATTTGAATCAATTAAATTCTTTTTTTTAGCATTTATTTTGCTCCAAAAAATTTGTATTAAAAAGGAATTTCAAATATTTAAAAATTAAATTAAAAATTAAATTAAAATAAATTAAAATAATATTAATAATTCTAATAATATTAATAATATTAATTTAATTAATTAATTAATTAAATTTTATTTTATTTATTTTATATTTGATTCAAATAATCGATTACTTAAATAAAAAGTAATAATAAATAAATAAAATTTTAAATAATTGAAAATAAATTAAGTAATAAAAAAATCGATTATTTGAATTAAATAGATTTTGTCTTTAGTGTGCAAAAGATAATAATGCAAATATACGATCACATTTTTTATGCGTCATGTAAAACTATATGCAAACGACTTAATTACATTTCTTGACTTTCTACATAGATAAGCGACTAATACAAAAAAAAAATGTAATTTAGTCCATACATCAAAAAAATTACATACCGGAAATATACAAAAAAAAAAATTAAATATTTTTTCTTCGTAAAATTTCTCTTTGTTAAAAAAAAAAATATTTATCTTAGCTAACTCAATGTTTTAGCTGATTCAAATAAATTTTTCTTTATTTTGCCTATTTTCGAAAAAATAATATTTCTATCATTATTTATCACGTGCCTCTATAATGAAAACGAATTTTCCAAATGAATAAAGCGGAATTAAAATAAAAACCCATAAAAAGGGAAATGTTTTAACCTTTTCTTATTCATATAATATTGAGGAGAAGGTGAATAAACCTCTTTCGAGTATATGTACTATATATATAACTTTTTTTTAAACACGAAAAGATGTGCCTGAAATTCTAAACGTCCAAATAAACGAAATCATTTTTTTTTTAACTTCAATAAATTTTTAAAACAATGAAAAATAATTAAATTACAATTTAAAAAAAATTTCTTAAAATTTTTATTTTAAATAATTACTTATAATTTAATAATCAAATAAATAAATAATTTATTCTTTACACAAAATTAAAAAATTTAAATTTTGTATTAATTTTTTTTTTATAAAAAAAATTTATTAAATTTATTATTTATTTATTATTTATTTATTATTTATTTATTTTTATTTTTTTTATATATTTTCATTTATTTTTTTTTATTTATTTTTTTTATTTATTTATTTTTTATTTATTTTTATTAAATTTTTAGTAATTAAAAAACAATTTCTGTTTACGTATTCGAAAAATGCAGACGAAAAGCACGTTTTTTTGATGATTATTATTATTACTCAGAAAGATTGATAAAAGAAATGACATAATTTAGTGACATATTTTTCAAATCATTAAGCTTCTTTCAAGCAACTTGTTAGTCTTGATATATATTTTTTTTTTCTGAAAATGAATGAAAAACGAACTTGAAAAGTTGGAATAAAGAAAATTATCAAAAATACATTTCAATGTTAATTTCTCGATACATAAATTATTAAAATTGCAAAAATTATCGGAAAAATTATTGGTTCGAAAAAAAAGTTATTTAAAAAAAAGAAATTTATTTTTTATTTTTTTTATGAATAAAAAAATAAAATTTTCCTTATACTTGTAATCAATTTTGAATTTATCGAATATATATATATATATATATATAAAAATTATTATTATCAATTTTATATAATAATTAATCGCTCGCAATTTTCTTTTGAGGAAGGCGTGTGCTTTTATAAAATTATTATATATAGAGGAAAGGGAAAAGCGACGCATGCTTCTTTCAAAGTTTGCGAAGGTTTTGCCCGCACCGAAACACACACAGGGTTCTTGAAGAGTTAGACAGTTTCCGATCGTCTGATCATTGACTCGAACATTGTCGTTTTTATTGTTTAATATATAGAATAAAAATTTATCGATTTACTTTTGTCGCGACTTAATGCGTGGGTGTAATGATCTTAAAGGATATTCTTTAATTAATGAAGGGTACATTGACATTGATGAAATTTTATTATCAGTGAAAAAATTAATTTATTTACACTGAAGAAGAATTTCATTATTTTTATTTGCGTTATGTTACAAAAAAAAAATTTTATATAAACTTTCGCAAAATGTTTACATAAAAAAAATTTTATTTATATACATATATATTTTTTTTTTTTTTTGAATCAGTTTTTGACCGGTGCGCGGTGTGCGCATCATTATTTCTTTAGAAGACAAAACTCAATAGTTTTGGCGCCACAAACCTTTTAAACGTACGTACGTGACGAATATCTTTTTTATTGTCATAAAAAAAAAAAAAAAAAAAAAAAAAAATAAAAAAAAAAAATTTCTCCTTTGAAATTATTAAGAAAATCAATTTACGAAAATAAATTTTTTTTAGTATTTTTTAAAAGAGGAAACAATTTTTGAATTAATCTAAAATCAATTTGTTTTTGCGTTTAAAAAAAAAATTAAGTTCTTAATCTCAATTTGAATAAAATTATTAACTATTTTCTAGTTTTTCTATTTTAAAAAAAATATGAGCAAAAAAATTGTAATAAACAAAAAGGTTGATATTTAACAATACTTTTATTTCATACCAATTTTTATTATTATTATTATTATTATTAATTATTAATTTTTAATTTTAAAGTTAAATAAAAAAAAATTCAATTTATAATATTAATTTTTTTAAACGTTTTTTAAAGCAATTAAAAAATAAAATGTAAAAATGAGTAAAACAGTTATAATGATGCAAATGCTTCTAAAAAAAAAAAATTAATTATTTTTAAATGACGCGGAATTTGGTATAGATGATTATTTCTGGACTGACCCATATATCTTAGTATTTCCCCCAATTATTACGAAAGAAATTTTGTAAATATTGAATAAATAGCTTGAAGAATTCTATAAATTTTCAGTAATTGTTTTTTTTTTCAAAATTCTATTCAATTTTTCACCTAAAAAATTTTTCATTTCCACAAATTTAAAACTCTAAAATCTGTTTTGAAAAATAAAATTGATTAAAAAAACAATTTTTTGTTTACCTACAAAATTAAATTTATTTAAATTAAACAAAAATATTTCTAAAAAATAATAATAAAAATCAAAAATTATAATAGAAAAAAAACCAACATAATAATAATAATAAAAATAATAATAATTATTATTTAGTTTATTGTTAAATAAATAATTAAAAAAAAAAAAATTCTAAAACAAGCGTAGGAAAATTTTTTATAAATTCAAAAACACGATTCCTTGGAAATTTCTTTATAATAATCCAAAAAGAATAAGAAGAGAGCTCATAAAATAGGGAGAGAGTTTTTCTTAGTAAGAAGGAACATAAAAAAAACAGATATAAAAGATTGAATGCTATTTTTTTTTTTTTTTTTTAGTCAACACAAAAAAAAATTTATATTTATCAGTATTTGAAATTTAAAAGTCAAATAATATTATAATTAATTAATTTTCAATGAAAAATTAGATATATCAAATAAAAAGAATTCCTGAGTCATAAAACGATAATTATTTTTACATCCCCCGCACATGTACATTTATTGAAATCGTAGGATGAAATTGATAAATATCAAAGTAATTTCGAAACTAAAAGCGTTTTGCGATTTATTTGAACTGGACCAAAAAGCAATGATGCACATATATATATATACATATATACTTGAAAAACGGAAATTCATCTTATATCAATATACGAATGAAAAGTGAGAGAAATAACCAATCTTTGAAATAAATGCATTAGTAGAATGACTCGATTTTTTTTTTTTTTTTTTGAAAAAAAATTTCTGGTTTTTTTTAATGAAATTCCATAAATGCAAATTCTCATTTTTTTTTTATTCCTATCAAAAATATAAAAAAAATATGCAATATAAATAATAAATAAATAATAATTCACAAATACTGTTATAAAAAAAAAAATATGAATGATTATATATAAATATTTTTATAGATATTTTTAATTAAATCTCCCCTTTTTATATGACTTACTGAAACTTTTTGCTAGGCTTATATTTTTTCATTAAATTAATAAAGAAAATCTGGCATAAAAAAAGGGCTATAAAAATACATTTCTTTTACACCATATATATATATATATATATATATATATATACAGTTTGTATAAAGAATAATAATAAAAGGGAAAAACTGAATCCTTAATCTTCATTCACTTATATATAAAAATGACGAAATTAATAATTGTAAGATGAAAGTGGTTTAAGCTAGAAAAATTAAAACCATTACGTAGTAAGTTTTTCGAAACAAAAATAACAATTAGAAAAAAAAAAAAAATGAGAATAAAAATTAAGCCAATCTTGAGTGAACGTAAAATATAAGTCACATATTTATATATATATATATATATATGGAATTTCTAATACAAAAAAAGAATGCGTAAGATATTTCGATAATAAAAAATATGCGGAATTAAATTGTATAATTACAATCAATTACTATACAAATAACAAACACAAGATTTACTCAATTGATTAATCTATAATCGAATTCTTATCTATATTTGTTCACGTAAAAAAAAAAATTCAAACTTTTAAAATGAAAATAAAAAAACAAATTATTATTGCAATTATTATTTTTTTAATTTCATAATTTGAAAATATTTCATTTAATTTATTAACGGGACAGGCCCTTTCGTACAAATATACAAAATATAAAAATTTAATAAATAATAAACAATAATAATTATTAGATTTATTATTAAGTATTAAATTATTATAATAATTAATAAAATTAATATTATTTATATTAATAATAAAAAATAATAATAATAATAATAATATTTATTATTAAGTATTAAATTATTTATAATAATTAATAAAATTAATATTATTTATATTAATAATAAAAATTTATAATAATAAATTTAATATTTAAAAAATAAAAGAAAAATTTTTCATTTTCAAATCTGATTATGAGTTCAAGTTCAAGTTTGTTATACGAGAATGAATTAATGAAATTTGGCAAGTTTTTGCAGAAAGTTCGTAATAACAGTTGTGCGGGCTGAGTGCCAAAAATTTGTTGCTTTATGAAACTTTACTTGTATATATACTATATTGCGACTATATGTGTGTGTGTGTGTGTGTATTATATCCGTGTGCCATTTTAATGGAAAAGCACTTACACGAAACGTCTCATTGATTAGAGAGACAGCAATCGAGATGAACATGGCTTCATGGAAAAACTATTTTTGACCTTGGAAAATTAAATAAAATTTACACGCATAAACAAATATATTTACAATGACAAAAAAAAAAAATTTTAATTCAGCAAAAAATAATTTTTCATTTATAATTTAAAGCGAAAAAAAATCATTTAATTTGTATTTATCATATTTAATTAAAATATTGTATTTATATATATTATATATATATATTAAAAGTCAATACCCAAAATATAAAAATAATATTTGTTAATTTATATTATTATGACTCAGGAAATGTGTTTGGAATCAAAATGTTTCATTTGAATCTTTTAGAGGAATTATCGTATATTATTTAGGACAAGGTTGTTTAAAAAACTTAAATAAAGGTCAAACCTTAAAAACACATATTTAACTAAAAATAATTTTAAACTTGAATTTTAAGGTTAAAACATGTAAATTGTAATAAAAATGTACAAAAAAAAAAAAAATTTTTTCCATTTATGACATAATAATAATAAGAAAACGTTTGCGAATGTTTATGTCTATTAGGAAAAAAAAAAAAAAAAAAAAAATGAGAATAAATGCATTCTTTGATGAATGGTATTGAAAAATGATAATTTATATAATTTACAAAGTAACATAAAGAGCATATTTAAGTAACAAACTTTTAATTTTCAAATTACACACAATTGCGCGGAACTTCATTAGAAAAAAAATAAATAAATCTGTTTAAAGAAAAAAAAAAAATAATTATTTACAACTTCAATTTTTTTTTCTTTACATAACTAGAAAAAATTTCCAATATTTTTGATTAAATAAGTAAATTATTATACCAGATTATGTGTAATAAAATAATAATAAAAATAATACTACTAAATTTAATATTAATATTTTATTATTATAATTATTACTATAATTTTATTATTATTTTGTTATTATAATTTTATTATTTTATTACTATTTTATTAATATTTTATTAATACTTTATTATTATAATTTTATTATTATAATTATTACTATAATTTATTATTATTATTTATTTATTCTTTTTTTATTATTTTAATATTTATTTGAATTTTATTAATACAACTCAATTATTATTATTATTATTATTATTATTATTATTTGCATTAAATAGTATTAGAGATTTACAAGAATGAAAAATATTGCATTAATTAATTGAACAACTCTCGTAAAAGTTATCCTAATAAAAGTCTCGGGAGAATGAAAAATATACATGTTATAGAGTATAGGGGCTACTACGACACATAAGAAGGGTTTGTTTTTTCAGCCCTTAGGGCCAGAAGATAGTCTTAATGGACACACCCTACTCTTAAGTATTATAGAGAAGAAAAAAAAATTACATCTCTCTTTTTCTGTTATTTGTTGAATTTTCTAGTTTTCGATAAAATGGTCAAGAAAAATCTCTTGATAATTATTTTTCATTATAATAATTTATTTCAATAACAATAATAATAATAATAATAATAATTTTTATATTATTAATTAAATTAATAAAATATTAATAAATAAATTAATTAATAAACAATAAATTAATAAATAAAATATTAAATATAAATCAAAATTAAAATTAAAATTGAAATTAAAATTAAATTATCGTTGAAAAATTAATTTTTGATTTTTATTTAATTCTAATGTAGAATTGGAGGAATGGATGGAAGATTCTTAAATAAAGGCGGCGGAGATATTGAAGCTAATGATTATCACGGAAAAAGAAACACTATGACATTAAATGTTAATGGATTATGGGACGTTGTTCCACGACTGGATCATTATAGGTAAATGCAAAAATATAAAAAAAGAGGCCCAAAAAAAATTTTTGATTCAAATAATCAACTTGTATCAAATAAATATTTATTTGTATTAAATAATTATTATTTTGATTCAATTAAATGATTTTTTGTTTCAAATATCTGAAAATATTATTCAAATACAAATTTTTGTTTCATTAAAATAAAAATTATACGGTTCGAATGAATATTTATTTGATAATAGTTAAATTTATTTATTTAATTTCAAATAACAATTATTTGGATTTGAATAAAAATTATTTAGTAGAAATAAAAATTATTTTTGTTCAAATTAAAAATGATTTGGTCCAAATAAAAAATTTTTTGGTTTAAAAATTTAGTTGGCTCAAATAAAAATTATTTGGTTTATAAAATTATTTGGTTCCAATAAAAATGATTTGGTTCAAATAAAAATGATTTTGTCCAAATAAAAATTATTTGGTTAAAATAAAAATGATTTGGCCCAAATAAAAATTATTGGGCTTAAAAATTTATTTAGCTCAAATAAAAAGTATTTGGTTTAAAAATTTATTTGGCTCAAATAAAAATTATTTGGTTTAAAAATTAATAAGGTTCAAATAATAATTATTTGGTAAAAATAAAAATTATTTGGTTTAAAAATTTAGTTGGCTCAAATAAAAATTATTTGGTTTAACTAAATATTTAAATCTACAACAGTAGATTATTTTGTGAATCAAATAATTTTTTTTCCAGTATAATAACAAAAATTAATAATAAAGAATTGTTTTATTTATTTATTTATTTTTTAGATTAAGTAGACGAGCAAAAAGACCATCTTTAGGTGAGCTACACGATGGAAACCCTACGAAGGTAAATATATTTTTATAAATAATTTATCCATATATTATATTACAAGACTTTCTTGTTTCTCATACACGAGAATTCTGTTTTTTTTTTAAAAAAGGATTAACTTGTTATGACGACGTTGAAAAATTATTTTCAAAGGACACTACGATTTTCAATTGACAAATTCAACTACTATGACCTTGATAACTATTAAATGAAGGAAAAAAATCTAAGTCTCTTTGAAATACAAATCAGATGATTTTTTATTTATTGTGTATATATGTGTGTGTAATTGGGTGTGTCTGTGTAGTTTCATATATATATATGTGACGTTCCATGAGGAAAGGGACCTTAGCTGCAAAAAAATGAAAATTGAGTTTTTGATATCAGTCGATAGATCTTGAGTTGCTCTTTCAGATACAAAAGTTAAAAATTGTACTTTTCTATTTAGTTTTTTTGTTATAAAGCATTAATCATGACCATGTTAATCGCGTTCCAGCACGGACTACAGAAACCATCCCCACCACTTCTACACTAGTATACTTGTAGTAAGCGTGAGCTGTAGGAACGATGTAGTAGTAAGGTGGTGGGGCTGATTTTCGATGGAGGGTCTCAACCAATCAGGGACGCTCTACTTTAAATATCTTTTCTGGAAAATGCGTCTATTGCAGCTAAGGTCCCTTTCCTCATGGAACGTCACATATATTTTTCTTAATTCACATTATAAGCTCATACATAAACAAATGATATGCAATCGATCAACAAATATATATATGATTCTTGCTCTAGATATCATTCCATTAAATTAAAACTCCTTTAAATCAATGTTAATTCATTTTTTTTTCTTTTTTACATTGAGGTCTAGGGTAGGTAGTTCAAGACGGAATTATATAAAAAAAAATTCCGATATACGACATTCTGATTAGTAATAAAAAATTTTGTTTTCAATTTGTATTTTTAATTTAAAAAAATTGACTTTACAAGGTCATTAATTCCCATGGTTTTTTTTTTTGTATTGAATTTAATGCGCAAGTTTTTAATTATTGTAAATCCCAAAGCGAAGATAAAGAAAAGATATATAATACTAGATTGAAGGAAATTGTTTATTACGTTTAGCATTATAAACGCAAAAAGATATAAATTCATTTTATAATTTCTGAAGTTGTTTTTGTTTCTCAATTTTTTTTTAATAATTTTTTTTAGTAATGAAAAAATTTTTTTTTTAATTTTCTTATAAAATTTGTTTCTATTATTTTTCTATACTATTTTTTATAGTTTTTTTTATATTATTTTTTTTTATATATTTTTTTATATTATTTTCTAAAGAAATAAATAAATTTTTTTTTTGTATTTTTTTTATAATTTTTAAAAATTATATATTATGGCGATAAAAATAATATTAAATTGATAAAAATCATCTTCGATATGCTTAATTGTGAAATATTGTTTAGGGTATTTAAAATATTACTCACATTTTACGATTTTATCTTCCTTTTTATTGACCTCATTTTGTTTGCCACTGTATAAATGCTCTTGAAAAACAACTCCTGGACCAAAAATCTATAAAAAAAATAAAAATTGAAAATTTCCTTACAAAATATATTTTAAAAAATATTAATTTTTTTTCCAAATTAAAGAAAATTAAATTTTAATTTTCCAATTGTAATTAAAAATAAGTGAGAGAATTCGTTCACTAATTCTTAGTAAAAAAAATTTCCACTAATTTTTAGTCAAATATTATTATTACACTGAAAAAAAAAAAAAAATTTATTTCATTCAAATAATTGGTTTGAATTGAACTTTATTATCAAATAAATAATATTTATTTGTACAATTATTATTTGAGATGGTATTTTTTTTCAAATAAAAAAAATTATTGGTTCAAATAAAATTTATTTAATTCCAAATATAAAAATTATTTGGCCCAAGTAAATATTTTATTAATTGTCAAGTAATCAAGTATTTGAATAAATAAATTTTTTTTCAGTGTAGATTTAATTTTTTTTTTAAATTTAATATTTTAATTTTTAATTTAATTTTTAAATTAAATATTAATTTTTAAATTTAATATTAATTTTTAATTTAATTTTAAATTAAATATTAATTTTTAAATTTAATATTATAATTTTTAATTTAATTTAAAAATTTTAATTTCAAAAATTAAAATTAGTGATCGAATTCTAATTCCAAATTTAGACAGTATTTTTATTATTGAAAAATAAAAAAAAATTTTCATAGTATTTTTGAAAATTTGAAAAAAAAATTGATTTCTTTTTTTTCAGAATACAAATGTTGAGGCGGGTGGTCAGACTGGAGTGGGTCCACCCGTTCACAATGGAATAAAATTAGGATGGATTCAAGGCGTATTGATACCATGTCTTTTAAATATATGGGGTGTTATGTTATTTTTGCGATTGTCCTGGGTTGTTGCGCAAGCAGGAATTTATCAAACTATTATTATAATCGGAATATCAGCTGTTGTATGCGTCATCACGACTCTAAGCTTGAGTGCAATTAGCACTAATGGAGAAGTAAAGGGAGGTGTGTTGAAGTTACGTTTTCCAAAGGAGTGGCCCTGCCACTATAAATAAAGTATTTCCCGTTAAGATAAAAATTTTATTATTCAAAAATTATTTCATTTTCATAAATCTTCAATTTTTTTTTTTTTTTTTTTAATAATAAATAAAAATTTTATTTTCCCTTTTTTGATTTTCCTTTATAATATGATAAAATCAAAAAATTATTTAAAACATTTTCAAAAATAAATCTTTTTTTTTTAATAATAAAAAAATTTTATTGTCCCTTTTGGATACACTGAAGAAAAACAATTTATTATAAATAAATAAAATAAAAATATAAAAAAAAAATAAAAAAAAATAATAAAATATAACAAAATAATAATAAAAATAAATTTTTAATTAAACAATTAATTTCAAAAATACATAAATAATTGAGATTACTCAATTACTTGACAAAAATAAATATTTAATTGAAACAAATAATTTTCATTTGAATTGTATTTGAACCAATAATAATATTTTAATTGATCCGAATATTTGAATAAAATAAATTTTTTTTTAAAATTGTAAAATATAAGATAATAGTTATTCGTTATAGGAAAATTTTTTTTCTTTCAGGTGGTATTTATTTTATAATATCCAGATCATTGGGACCAGAATTTGGAGCTTCGGTGGGAATTGTTTTTGCTTTTGCAAATGCCGTTGCAGCATCAATGAATACCATTGGATTTTGCGATTCATTAAATGAATTACTTAAAGAACATGGTCTTAAAATTATTGACAATGGTCCATACGACGTTAGAATTATTGGCTCAATTGCCCTTTTGGTGATGATTTTAATTTGCGCCATTGGCATGGAATGGGAATCAAAGGTAATTTTTTTTTTCCCAAAAAAAAAAAAAATTTTTCAATTTGTTCCCACAATTTAATAAAAATAATTAAAATTTAATTAGGCGCAGAATTTTCTCATCGCCATTATTACAGCAGCAATTTTTGACTTTCTCATTGGTGCTTTAATTGGTCCAACAAGTTTGGAAGAAAAATCAAAAGGTTTCGTAGGATTTTCAAGTAAGTATAACTTTTTTTTTTTTTTTTTTTTTTTTTTATTTACTGAAATAAAAATAAGATTTTTTTTTGCCAAGTCATAAAAACTATTAGCAATGTTTCCCCTAATTTTTTTTTCCCTTATATTTATAATTTACTTTTGTATTCTCGGTAAATAAAAAAAAAAAAGCAATTCCTCTCTTGGAGGCTGCGATTGGAACTTTTACCCTAAGTATATATTTGATCTATAAATATATAAAAGAACCGCTGGACCATTCACTGATATTTTTCTCTTTATATTAATTGTACAATTTTTCTCATGAATATACAAAATTACTCATACTATTTTTTTTTTAATAATTTTTTTTTCGTTATATATAAATAAAGCTTAATGAATAATATTCTCGAATTTGAATAGGTAAAACTTTTATGGATAATTTGGGACCGGATTATCGATATTCTGAAGATGTGAATCACAGTTTCTTTTCTATTTTTGCGATATTTTTCCCATCAGTCACTGGTATACAAGCTGGTGCTAATATTTCCGGTGATCTTAAAGATCCGGCTAGCAGCATTCCAATTGGTACACTATTGGCTCTTTTAATATCAATGATTAGTTATGTGACATTTGTTTTATTTGCTGGCGGTGCTGCTTCAAGATTTGCCAGTGGTGTTGTTTTAAATAATACAGTAGTTGAATGCGTCACAGGTGTTGATTGTACAAAATATGGTCTTCACAATAATTACGGGGTAAGAAATTTTTTTCAAAAATTTTATTTTTCCTAATAATTTTAATAATAATGAAAAATAAAAAATTAAATTAAAATTAAAAAAATAATAATAAATAATAAAATATAACAAAATAATAAAAATAAATTTTTAATAAAAAAAATTAATTTCAAAAATAAATAAATAAAATTTTTTGATTTTTATATAGATAATGCAACTTATGTCAGTTTGGGGACCATTTATTTACGCTGGTTGTTTTGCAGCTACACTATCAACTGCATTAACAAATTTATTATCCGTCCCTCGTTTAATACAAGCTCTCGGTCAGGATAAAATTTATCCTGGATTAATATTTTTTAGCAAAGGATATGGAAAATCTGGTGAGCCCTACAGAGGCTATGTACTCACTTTTATTGTAGCCGTTCTCTTTGTCTTAATAGGTAATTAATTTTTTATTTTCTATTAAAAAAAAAAAAAAAATTTTTTTCAAATAATTGACTATTATCGAATAAATATTTATATCAAATAATTAATTATTATTAATTAAATTATTTACCAATTAATAATTAATATTAAATTAAATTAATATTAATTATTAGTTTTTTAAATTAATTTTGTATTAATTTAATTAATATTGATTAATAATTTGTATGAGTCAATTAAAATTTTTTTTTTCAAATACAGATTTAGATAGAAATAAATTAATACAAAATTAATAAAAAAAACTAATAATTAATATTAATTTAATTTAATATTAATTATTAATTTTTGTACTAATTTAATTAATAGATATTAATTAGAAATTTTTTTTAAATTAATTTTGTATTAATTTAATTAATATTGATTAATAATTTTGTATTAATTTAATTATTATTAATTATTAATTTAATAATTTATTACTATCTAAATCTGTATTTGAAAAAAAAAATTTAATTCACTCATACAAATTATTTGGTACAAGGAAATATTTATTAGATAATAAAGTGAGAGATTATTTGAATTTGAATTTTTTTTTTTTGTATTTTTAGTATTTAGTAATTTTTTAATTTCTTCTTCGAAAAAAATAATAATAATTTTTTTTTAAATATTTAAATTTTCAGCAAATTTAAATTTAGTGGCACCGCTTATTTCAAATTTCTACCTCGCATCTTATGCCCTCATCAATTTTTGTACATTCCATGCCGCCCTCGTTCGTCCCTTGGGCTGGCGACCAACATTTAAGGTATGAATACATCAATCATTCTGTGAATAAGATTTTATCAATTCTTTTTTCAAAAAAAAAAAAAAAAAAAAACTGTATCTTATTTTTTTTGTATAAAATACCTTCTTCTTTAATATACCGTAAATATAAATAATTTTTAAATAAATTAAATTAATAAAGGAAATAAATTTAATTTTTCGATTTAAAAATAAAATAAAATTTTCAAAAATAAATGACGAATTTTTTTTTTTTGCTTACAGTATTACAACACATGGCTCTCATTATTGGGATTCATTTTGTGCGTTTCAATTATGTTTCTAATTGACTGGGCAACATCTTTAATTACATTTGTAATTATTATCACGCTTTATCTCATTGTCGTTTATCGAAAGCCAGATGTCAATTGGGGAAGCAGTACACAAGCACAAACCTATAAAACGGCTCTTTCAATTGCTTACAAGTATGTGTAATTTTCGATTCGAAATCAAAAAATTAAAAAAAAAATTTTTTTTTTAAAAAATGATACTGATTTGATAGAAATTATTTTATCAAATAAAAATATATGTGTCTAGCTCTATAATGTTTTGAATTTTCTTTTAGACTCAATTCGATGGACGAACATGTGAAAAATTATGCACCCCAAATTTTGGCCCTTACAGGATCACCAAATACAAGGCCAGCTTTGTTACATCTTGCAAATCTTATCACTAAAAATAATTCATTACTTATATGTGGGGAAGTTTATCCGGTAAGATTAATTGTCTGTGTGTATAATAAAATGTAGAGTTTAAAAAATAAATTGTTCTAATAAAACATTTTTTTTTAAATAAAAATGAAAAAACATTTTTTTTTTTGAAATAAAAATAAAAAAACATATTTTTTTGGAATAAAAATGAAAAAAAAAATTTTTTTTGAAATAAAAATGAAAAAACATATTTTTTTTAAATAAAAATAAAAAAAAATTACTTTTTTTTTAATAGACTCGCCTTTCTTATCGAGTACGTTCGAATCATTTAAGAACTGGATATTCTTGGCTTCAAAGACATCGAATAAAAGCATTTTATCACATTGTGGAGGAACTTAGTTTAGAAATGGGAGCGTCTGCTTTAATGCAAGCCACGGGAGTTGGAAAATTGGCACCAAATGTGGTACTTATGGGTTACAAAACCCACTGGGCGACTTGTAACAATAAAGAACTTCAAGAATACTTTAATGTTCTTCAGTAAGTCCATTACTATTTTTTTTTTTTTATTATTATTATCAATATCATTATTGATATTTTATTTATTTTTTGTTTTATTATTTTATTTATTTATTTACTATTTTATTACTTTATTTATTTATTATTTTATTTATTTATATTTTTTTATTTATTTTTTAATTATTTTTTAATAAATTAAAAAATTTTGTTTTTGTAATTTAAAAATTAAAAAATATAATTTGAAAATTTTATAATTTTATTTTCAGTAATGCCTTTGATCATAAAGTTGCAGTTGCTATATTAAGGATATCGGAAGGTTTAGATTGTGCTGGTAATGCAAATGGAGTGTCAGAAGATGATCATGGAAATTTAGCGCAAAGCAGTTATGATTTAGCTGGAAATACTCTCATGCATGCGGATAGTGATTTAAGTATGAGTACAGGAATTCCACGAGTTCAGAGTGTTCCAACGATAGGTATGACTAAACAGCTAAAATATTTCTTTATAAATAGATTAAATTCCGTCTTTATAAATATTATAAATTTAATAATAATAATAATAATAATTTCGCAAAAAAAAATAATAATAATAATTTCAGGCTACAATTATCCATGTACAGAAATGTCTTCAGTTATTAGAGATTCGCCAGTTAATTGGAGTGCATATGAACAATTAAAACATAAAAAAAAACACGCGACTGAAAAATTATTACTGTAAGTTGATTAATTTTTTTTTATATATATTAAAAATTATTATTAAATTTAAAACGAAAAATATTTTCAGCCGAAATGGAATGAGTGTAGTGCCAGAATATTTGACAGTTTTTCAAAAAAAACATAAAAATGGCATCATCGACGTTTGGTGGCTTTATGATGATGGAGGTAATTAAAAAGGCAAAAATATCATTTCAATTTTGCGAATAATAATTTTTTTGGAAAATTAATACGGAATTACGAAAATAATAAAAATAAAATTAAAAAAAAAATAATAAAAAATGCAAATTTTTTTTTTTTAATACAGGATTGACGATACTACTTCCCTATATAATTAGTACCAGGGCACATTGGGAACATTGTAAAATGAGAATTTTTGCCCTCGCTAATCATAAACAGGAAATTGGAGCTCAGGAAAAAGAGTAATTTTTTTTACGAATTTTCAAATAGTGATATAATTTTTTAAATAAAAAAAATTAATTTCTAATTCTTCTATACAGAATGGCAGAAATAATGGCGAAATTTCGAATAAAATATACGAGTCTTAAAATGGTTGACGACATTAGTATTCAACCACAAAAATCAACACAAGAATTTTTCGATAAACTAATATCCGATTTTACAAAAAATGGATCTGAATCAACCGGTAAGTGAATGATTAATAAAATTTATTTTATTAAATTAAATTAAATTAAATTAAATTTAAAATTTAATTAGTTAAATTTTTTAATATTAAATAAAATTTACATTAGATAAATTAAAAAAATAAATAATAAAAATAATAATTGAAAAATAATGAAATGAATAATTTAAATAATAATAAAAATAAAAAAAAATGAAAATAATAAAATTAATAAAAATAATAATAAAAAATATTTTTTAAGATTGTATTGTTACCAACGAGGAACTTCAAAGTTTAAGGGACAAAACCCATCGGCAATTAAGATTACGAGAACTACTTTTAGAGAACTCGAGTCAATCGACATTAGTTGTAATGTAAGTATACGATCGTTAAAAAATAATAAAAAAAAAATTTTTACAGCTTATAATAAAAAAAAACTATTGATTCAGGTCATTGCCAATGCCAAGGAAAGGTGCAGTTTCTGCTCCATTGTATATGGCATGGCTAGAAGCACTCACAAGAGATATGCCTCCCACGTTATTGATAAGAGGGAACCACACTTCAGTATTAACATTCTATTCCTAGTATTTAAAAAAAAAAAAATTGGACTTTGTTATGCAGCAAAGAAATCTATTTTAAAACATTGTGATCAAATTTACTTTGTTTTTTTTTAATTTTTTTATTTTACAAAAATAACTGCATGAACAAAAAAACATTTTTTTTTAATTAGAATTTTTTTTTTTTGTGAATAGTTAGAATCAGTATATAAATGTTAATAGTTTATTTATTTTAGATAATTTAATATAGCACACACGTTTTTGTAAATTATATATATATATATCGCTTTATGCACAACAAAATCCATTTTAGATATTAAATATTTTAGTATAATTATATATATTTAGAAAAACAGTATTCAAGCAAAAATTTTGCTATAACGATGTACATTAAATTTTTGATTGGATTGATATTTTTAAACAAAAATTTTCCATAATCAATCCAGTCAAATACTCGATTTTTATATGAAAAAAAAAAAAAAAAAGAATTATTTTATGTGGAAATATTTTGCACACAACTACATTTTAAAAATAAATTATTTTATTAAATAATTTTTTTCGAATTTGGTTTGTTATAAACAATAGTCTATATTTTACTGACACTTGTATTTATTTACCTTTAAGAATTTAGATAATGGATTTTTAATCAACGTGAAAAATTTATGAATTTAATAAAATAAAAATATAACATACAAATTTTCTTCCACTTACGATGTACACTAGTTTAGCTTAAGAATTTTAATTAAAAAAAAAAAAATATTATGCGACTGACGTAAGAAACATAAGTAAAATATTTACCGTTTTTACATAAAAAAAAAAAACTGTTTTTTTATTTTCCCGATATTTGAAAATATCTAATTATTTGAATTAAAAATTTACATTTCTTTTAAATGTATTTTTATAAAAATATATTTACTTTATTTTTTTTTTTTAAATTTTCGTTAAAAAATTTTTTGCAATGGAAAATTTCTTTAAACATCACTACTTCTAGTTCGTGTTCTTCGAGAATAAGACGTTGTTCTAGGTGTAATAATCCTATATTTAAAATTTAAACACCAAAATTATTATTAATGAAAAAAAAAAATGAATTTCACAAATTGGAAAAGTCTCATAACTCACTTTGGAAGGTTGTTTTCAAAAATTTTTGCAAAAACAGGTTCAATTTGTTCAATCATATCCGACGCTAACATTGATCTTTGTTTAATTTTAAAAGTTGCTGAATTACATTCCCTTGTCATTCGTGATGCACCATAGCAAGCAGTGATTTGTGATGAAAGTGCACAATCACTGTGTCCAGCACTAAGTGCCCACCACCAAAAAACAGATAAAATTCCAGCCAATATATCACCCTGACCACCACATCGTCTTCCAGATCCACCTAAAGCTGATGTAACAGTTTCAGTTGCCTTATGTCCATCGGCAATTATATCCTTAGCGCCCTTATGAAGAATCACAACATTTTTTCCAATAGAATCAGCCAAAAATTTTACATCAGCAGCTTTTGGTATTGTTGCCGGTTGAATTGATCTATCCAAAAAATTCTTAAACAAACGACTAAATTCCATTGCATTTGGCGTAAGAATAACACCTGGATAATCCTTTAAAAGATCTGGTTTCATACCAATAATATATAATCCATCAGCATCAATGACCAATGGTTTTTTAAGATGACGACAAACACCAATGAGTTCAACAACTGTTTTCATATTTTTCTCATCTCTACCAAGACCACAACCAATAATAATAACATGTAATCTATCCAACCATGGTTTTATTGCCTTAATTGGAGTTTGATGATCCAATATTGGATGAACAATTAAATCGGGACTTAAACATTTTATTGGTGTACTCGCTTCTTTTGTACAAAATATATGAACTAAATCAGCGCCAAGACGAAGTGCACTCATTCCTGCATAATAAGGCGCACCTGTATATTCAATTGAACCACCAACAATTCCAATTCTTCCATCTTGACCCTTATGCTTTGGTGATGTTAAATTTGGAACTATTTTTTTAACTGCTTTTACCATACGATCATCAGTTGCTAATGTTGCAGACATTCTTGATTTAAACAATAAACTCCCTCTGAAAAAGGGTCTACTTGCAAAAAAAATTCTTTTGTAAAAAAACATGACATGAATTTTTAATTAATGATATTTATTTTTTTTTCTTTCTAATAATATATTTAAAAATATAATGAATCTGAGTCTTAATACTTTTAATAAAAGTATTTTTCGACGAGAAATAATAATTACCTGATAATTATTAATATCCAATCCTTGATTACGTAAATTATTTTTTTTTTTAATAATAAATTTTTAAATCCATATTTTTAATTTTGTTGGTTAATAAAAATTGTCACTGACACTTCAAAATTTAATTGTTTCTATGTTCGTTTGTATTTATTTCGTTAAGCACTGATTTTTTTTTATAGAAAAAAAGACGAATGAAGAGAAAAACAAAAGTTGTTAAAAGTTCAATTAGCATCACATTTTCGAACATTCGTTCGATAGTATATAAATTGATGAGTCACGTGAACTAATTATAAACTGTTTTTCATGTTTTTGGAGGAAATAAATTTGCACGTATATTTTATAATAAAGGTTAACTACCCATGTACTATTGCAGCGATTTGCGCGCATACGAAATTTGAGGTTATGTTGTCAACCGTAAATGGAATGTACAAATATTGATGATTTTTCGAAATGACAATTACTATTTTAATATTTAAAATATTCAGGAACTTATTAATAATTAAATAAATGATTTATAATTACTCACAAATTTGTGATTCTTCATTTTTATCTCTTTTGCCGGTTGTACAGGTTGTTGGTAGACTATATTCCATTTTTCCTCACTTCACAACAATAAACCACTGTTTCATTTGATTAATAAATTTAAATTAAAAATAATATAAACTATAACTTTATTCAACAATCAAAATAAATAGAAAAATTGAATTTAACTTTTGTTTTTAGCAGGAGTTTTTAAACATTATGCATGTACCACATGCGCATGCAATTGCAACGGTATAATGATAATGGTACATTTACAATACAGGAAGCGGTTAAGTGGACAAAATACTTTCTATTTCCTTTACTCAAATAACATTTTTAATTATTTACTTAAAATTTAATTATATTGCATAACATATTATTAATTATTGTAGTTTTTTTAAAATAAATATGTGAAATTTAAAATTGTAATTTTTGGCGGGTAAATAGATAAAAATTCAAATTATTAAAAATTAAAAATCTATTGTAGTTTTTTAAATAATTTTTAGCGGGTAAGTGGTTAAAAATTCAAATTATTAAGAATGAAAAACTATTGTAGTTTTTTAAATATGTAAAATTTTAAATAATAATTTTTGTCTGGTAAATAGATAAAAATTCAAATTATTAAAAATTAAAAACTACAAAAAAAAAAAATAAAATGCGTATAATTTGGATAATTAATTAATTATTTTTATAAATAATAAATTTGTATATCACTCATTGAACCTTTATTAAATCTTTGTGCTTATATAAGTTCTGTGTATAAGGGAATTTTTTTTTGTTTTAAAAGTCTGATGATAATTACATTGTCTTAGGGACGGACAAAATTAATAAATTCGGATATTATAATATTAACTTGTCATTATTAAAATGTATAAAATCTGTATCTAATACTTAATTCAATTTATCCTATTTATCAACTCCTACATATCTCTATAAAATACAAAAAACATTCAGCATTAATATGCAAAAATATTTTTAAACACATTTTAAAACTAAAAACAAAACGTTTTTTTATATAAAGAAATCTATTATTTGTTTTTTTTTTTTAGAATTTTGTCCAACCCTATTATGAGTTCTACAAAATATTATTTTTTAGAACAAATATTAAAAGTACCTAATTTTATCTTGTAAAAGAGTAATTAATCTTTTTTAATAGTTCTATTAATTTAATTTGAATTTGAAAAATTGTAAATTTTGGCTTTTTAAATGGACCTATAGTTATAAAATGGCAGCAGTATTTTTTTTTTTAAACTGTCGATTACAATTTTAATAATTTTATTAAATACACTTCAGTCTCTTTTCCACTTATTTTTTTTTATGAATTTTCGAGGGCGCTCATAAAGGATGGAATACGAAGTACTTTTTCTTGAAAAATGGTTTTTTTTTGCAGAAGCAGAAAAATGTACATTTCCTCTATCTAAGAGTATTTTTTCTTTTTTTTTTTTTTTGATTAAAAATACCCGTTTCTTTCGTTATCCCGCACAAACTATAACGGCGTTTGATATTTGAATCTATAACGAGACTTCAATTTTATTTCCTGGAATGTATAAATATTTTTAAAAAAATTCAAGCCGAAGTAGAATACTGTGTTACAAGCAATTGAAATTCAGCTTCTTTTTGTAAATATTCTTTTACAAAAGGATGCTCTAAATGTGAATCTTTCAATTGACTGAGATAACGATTTGCAACCTCTGGTGGTTTTCCCATATGTTGAGAAAGTACAATCATATTAATTAACGTATCTGGATTATTGCTGTCTTTATCTAATGATTCTTGTAATGCGGCTTCGGCTTCGTCATATTTTGCTTGTCCAATGAAACATGTTGCTTGGCCATTTAATAACATACTTGTACTCGAGTGTTTATCAATCATTTCCTAAAAATTTCGAAAAAAATTTATATATATTTTTTAAATTTAAATATTTTAAATTATTATTTATTTTAATTTTTTTTTAATTACCTGAAAAATATAATAGGCATCTAATAATTTATCACCACCGCTGCTAATGTTAACCCATGCTTGAGCAAGTTGAGTTAATGTCGCGTCATCATCTTTTTCTTGCATTGTTTTTAATTCCTTTCGTGATAAATCTAAACGATCCATTTTCAAATAAATTTGCAATGTCAATGCAAGACATTCTAAATGATCGGAATTTCGAAGAACACGAAGTGCTGATTCTAAATTTTTTTCATGATAATATATTGTTGCTGCAACAATCATAAAATTATGATTATCCGCATTTGCTTTACTAGCTGCTTGATCTAATTCATGTAAAATTGTTTCACGACGATTTGGAAATGCAAAATATTCAGCGAGCATTTTTAATGGTTGCAAATCAGGTGGTGATGAATTGTTTATCTCATCTAAAACAACTCGAAATTTACGCTGTGCTATATAGGCTCTGTATAAAAATACATCTCGATCAAGTGCAACTTCTGGTGAAGATGGCTGAAATTTTTTTTTAAATATATATATTATAACACTGTTATTGTATTAATATGTAAATTTTTATATATTTATTAAAATAAACTGTTTGTACGATAATAAATATTTGTTTATTAAAAGATTATTATGAATTATTATTAGTGTCAGAATATTCTTATAGAAGGTTAATATAAATTTTTATTAAAAAATACCTTTTTATTAACGAAAACAAAAATAGTGATTAAAGTAGAACAATGATGTAAATAATTTAAATAAAGAATTTTAATTATTTCGAATAGAAAATAGATATTGACAACGTGTAAGTTTGCAGGGACGTGTATTATATATCAACAAATGGATATACAAAACTAATGTTTAAAATTTTATATTATTTTCATTTATAAGACATTTACCTTTACTTTTTGAGCTTCGTTGATGCATTGTTGATAATTTCCAATGTAAAATTGATTTTTTACATCAAATAATTCGTCGACATCCGTCTGCTGCTGACGTGCCATCTTGTCACACACTACCATATGGTTTCAATGTATTAGTCCTATAAGTGTGTGTACAACACTTGTCAATCTGATTTATTAAATTTTTGTTAAAAATTTAAAAAATATATTCAAATTATTTGATAAATAATAATAACATGTATAAATATTCAAATTTGGGAGAAATTAATGTAGAATAAATAAATGTCAAAATATATATTTTTCCGCAAACATAACCTTAAAATTAGCAGATGATCTGTCAAAACAAAATTTATTATTAAAATAGTAATTAAATTATTATTTTTCTTTTTATATTCAATAAATATTCTAGATATTATTTAAAATAAATAATGCGGTAAATAAATTTCAATTAATTAATGTTTATAAAAATTAAAGATTGGGTTGACTTTTTTTTGTCAATATAGAGACACTAAATATTCCTAAATCTAGGAATGTTTTAGTTTAAAATATATTTTTTTTAAATTATATGATAAAATTATTAATAACTTTATTTTAATTAAATAATGTACTAAATTAAACGAAGATTAATCTGTTTATTATTATAATAATTTTAATAAAATTTAAAATAGAAATTTAAACGCTAGTAACAAAGGAATTTTGTTTTACTATGTTGTCACTCTGTAAACGTCATTTAAATTTGAATGTTAAATTCGATTGATTCATTATCAGTTTTTTATTGAAATTTTAATTTTTAACACATTTACGAGGAATTATTAATAAATGACTTTAAAACGTTTAATAGATTAAATTTTTAATATAAATAATATAAATTAAGACAAAAAATATTTAATATCTTTTAAATAATTGATTTTTATAAAAGAACCAGTGTACTAAATATAGGTCTGTATGGATTTGTGGGGAATGTGAAAATTATTGATTTCCTTATATACCTATATTAATGAAAGAAACAAACATCAATAGTTACGAAGTGTAGTTGTAAAATAATTTTGTAATGTAGCATTTACTATGTTTATTAGATTAACAGTTTTTAGTTTAATTTTTTTAAAGATTATGACTTCAAATTCTAAAATATTACGTGGTCAACTTTTAACAACTGAAGTATGTAATTTTTTTTTTTTTTTTGTAATTTTCAATGTTTTATATAAAATATATTTTAATGATTTTTTATTGTCACATTTATTATTATTTTCTCTCTTAATTTCTATGTATTTTTTTTCAATTATTTAAAAAAAATGGAAGTAAAAAAGAATTATCTTTTTTTTATATTGTCATAGCAACGTTTTGTTGATAAATTTTTACTTTAAATAGAAAAATGAAATTTCTAAAATATTACAATAAAAATGATTTTTTTTAGAATTGGGCATTTTTAGCAAGATTTTGTTTCCTCTCAGAAAAGGGAAGATTTCAATATCAATTTATTTTGGAGGAGGATACAAGTGTGAATTTATTATTATATTATGATTCGGCAACACAATGGCCAAGTGTTTATCCCTCAAATAAAACGTGTTTGCAAAAAGAATCAGTTTTAAACAGAGATCGAGGACAAGTAGTGCCTTTAACTGCGGAGCCATTTATGACAGCTTCGTCAGAATGTATAAAAAACAAAACGACTAAACAATATTTTTGCAATAGTTATCGTGAATTTAAATCATCAAGACCACGATGGTGGTTTATTGCATTATCCGATTGTAAAACTCAATTGGGATTAAATGTCACTTATTGGATATCATTAACAAATGGACCACCAGGAAGTTTTTGGCGTGAACATTTTTCCGCTGATGAATTTTGTAAGTTAATTTATGTGGAAATTAAATTTAAATTATCTGAAAAAAAAAAATTATTACCATTCTCTTTTTAGATATTTTACCTCTGTTGATTGCATTTTCCATCGCTTATTTTATACTTATTATTTTGAGTGTCATTGTGGCAATAGAATTGCGATCAAGAAAACTTCTTCATATTTCCTATAAGCTCTTTATGCTATCACTTTGGTTTTATTTGTTGGGATTAATTTTTGAAATATACGAATATTCAATAAGAGCATCATTGGGTGTGAATTTTCCTGGAGCAGCATTAATTGCAAGCCTCTTTGAATTATGTTCGGAGACAATATTTACTGTATTACTTTTACTTTTATCATTGGGATTTACAGTAACAAAAAGTGTTCTTACACTGGTTCAAATTGGAAGACTTTTGGGTTTTATTTGGATTTCGACAATTCTCCAACTTTGTCTACTTATTTATCAGGCGGAAGTCTTTGATCCTGGTCTTGTACTTTATAGTTATGAATCACCACCTGGATATGGATTATTGGCATTGAAAATTTGGACGTGGATTGTATTTCTTTTATGCTGCTATAAAACAAGCTCAAAAGCCGCTACAAAACTTCATTTTTATTCCTTTCTCATGACTCTTGGTTCCGTTTGGTTCCTTTTTCATCCCCTGATGGTATGAAAAAAAATATTAATAAAAAATATTAAAATTAATAAATAAAATAATTAAATTTTATAAAAAAAAAATTTTTAGATACTGATAGTCACCTTTCTCATAGACAAATGGATTCGAGAGAGTGTTGCAAAAGGATGTTTAATGTGGATTATTTTTTGTGGACACGCTTTATTTTTATATACAACGAGACCAGCCGCTGCAAATATTCATTTTCCATTTCATATTCGAACATTTCAAGTTGTTCCTTATAGTGGAAATGGTCAAGGGCACAATTACGAGCCTAGAATTCAAAATACTGCGCCTGCTTTTACTTTAACTCAATTACGACCACCCAATGCCAATGGCATAAATAATCATTCTTAAGAGAATTTTTTTTCTTTTTAAATTTCAACGAGAAAAAAAATTGAAATACTTTTTTCATAAGAATTTCTATATTTTAAATAAGAAAACACTAATTGTGATAAAGATAAAAACTAGCTATCATTGATAGTATTTTATTTATAATAATATTTTTTTAACTTTCATATTTGAAACATGTCTTTTTTGAATTTTCTCTTGTTTTCTAGACCAGCTAGAATTAATTTCACATTTTTTAATTGAAAATTGATTTTTGTAAATTTTTTACTTATATACTTATTGTTTTCAGTTAAAAAAAAAATTTATTACAAAAATAAGTTTTAAAAAATTAAAACCAAAAATTATTTATTGGAATAAAGCCAAAAATATGTGAATCCTTTTTTTTTAAATTATAAGAATTGTATAAAATACTCTTTGCGATAAAAAAAAATATTTACATTAATCTCCCAAGTGCCTTCGTTGCGAAATTATTCGCTATTATATTCTACTACTACAATTGTTATTTGTAATTAATATTAAAAAAAAAAAAATTTTAACGACTTTTACACGAATTTTGTGAATTTTCTAGCTAAATTTTTTTTTTCAATTATCAATCACAAGAACCATCGAGCCAACCATCTCTCCACCTTTGATTGACGAGTTTACAATCAAATTCGGGTTTATTTAATTTTCTATTTACTTGATTGTGAATTCGACAAAGCCATTGAGTTAATTGATTTTGTGAATCAGTTTGTGGAGGATTTACTTTTAATTGTTCCTGTAAATCCTCAGCGCAAGGTGCACATGGATAAAATCTTGAGAAAATGTAGAAAAAATTCTTCATATCCTTTTGTTGTTCTTTTGACGGTGAATCTGGATAATAAGCTGCCATTGTATGTAAAAATGCCCATGTAGTTGATCCTAATTCATCTTTATCCAGGGGACAATTTTTTCGAGATGTATCAATCACTTTCTCATCACTCTTCATTTTCTTCAAAATTTAATAATTATGTTGTAAATAATATATTAATAAATCAAAAAATGCAGAAATATAAATGTATCATGAGAATAATAAAAAAATATATAAATATAATTAAAACTATTTTTTTGTACAAGAAATTTGATTAAAATAAGTAATAACTAAAAAAAAAATGATGCAAATTATTAAATTTTTGCAGGTAATTGATAAAACTTACTTTTTCGGAATCATATGTCTTTTTTTGCAATTTGGCCCAAGTTTGAAAATCAGTACAAGTACGACAAGGTTTTTCTTGAACCATTTTTAATTAATTAAACGTAAATCACTTTTTAAAAATTGTAAATATCAGAAAAATTGACATTTATATTGCCGACACAATCTTTTTTTAACCTCAAAATCAATCCTTTAAGCAGACGACAAAATTAACAACTATATTGTAAATGCGGTCTTAATAGGGTTGGGTTGCGTGATCATTGTGTCACATTTCAAATGTTCTATTTAATTTTGGGTGGTAAGTTTACATTACAGGTATTCTACTCAATAAGTGTGTATTTACATATACATTAAAAATAAATAAAATATTTACTTTTTACAATAAATTAAATGGTGTCTATCAGTATAAACTCGTGAATATTTTAGTTTTACTAATATAAACTGATATTATCCACTAATTAAAGTAATAAACAATTAAATATCCAAACATAGCAAATATGAATAGTGCAATCGATGCTATGTTAAAATTTTATGTTTGTGCACAAACTTTTGTGTCTGTACTTTCTATACATTTTTTACGCTCATCCTGTTCTTAATTCTTAATAAAAAAAAAAAAGATAAAGACGATATATAAAAGCTTTAAAAGATATTTTACATTGAAATCAGGACGATTATTGTGATCTATTCTTTACAACACTACTGTTAAACAAGTTATACTTGACAGCTCCTTATTTGTACAATTCTTAAAATTGTGTCATTATATTGAATAATATTATAATGTGAATCCAGAAGATAATTACAAGCCTATAATAGGAAAATTGATAAAGGTAAATATACACAAAACAGGAAAAATTTGAAATTATGTTAAATAAAAGAATTTGAAGGTGTTTTTATAAATTATAGTCTAAAATATAAAAACTTATGACTTAAAAATGTAAGAGATAGGTTTTTTTTTAAATATCATTGTTACTTTTGTCAATGAATTATTATTGGAAAAAATTCTTTTAAATTAGTAAAAAAAAAAAAAAAAAAATTATTTAATAGTGCAGTTTAATGAAATAAATTTTTAAAAAAATATTTTATTTCCACAGCATTAAAAAAATAAAAATGGCAGAATCTATGTTTTGTGAAGACTTTCCCTTACATAAGTGCATTTATAATGGAGACATTAAAAGTCTGAGTACTCTGATTAGAACTCATGATCTTACTCAAAAGGATAAACAAGGTAAATCTACTTTTAATAAACTATTAACATAATATATTCACTTTACAAATTATTTATTTTCAGGAAATACTCCTCTACATTTGGCTGTGATGTTAGGTCGAAAAGGTAATTTAAATTTAAATTAAATTAAATTGAGAAATAAATTAAATTCAAAATACAAAAAATTTTTTTTAATTTTTTATAGAATGTGTTCAGTTATTGCTCGCTCATGGTGTACCCGTTAAAGTAAAAAATGTTGCTGGTTGGAGTCCATTGGCAGAGGCTATCAGTTATGGCGACAGACAAACAAGTAAATTAAATTAATTTTTATTTTTAACTTTTTATGTGGGACATGAAATTAAAATATAAAATTTCTTACAGTATTATCATTAGTAAGAAAATTGAAGCAGCAAGCAAGAGAACAAATGGAAGAGAGAAGACCAAATTTAGTAGCAGCATTACGACAAATGGGTGATTTTTACATGGAATTAAAATGGGATTTTCAAAGTTGGGGTAAATTGAATTAAATTCAAATAAATATTCAAGTAAAATAGATTTTTCTAATTAAAATATTAAATTTCAGTTCCATTGGTTTCAAGAACATTACCATCGGATGTATGTAAAATTCATAAAAGTGGAGCATCAATAAGAATTGACACAACACTTGCTGATTTCAATGATATGAGATGGACAAAAGGAGATATAACATTTATTTTTAATGGTGATCAAAAACCAAGTAAATCGCTTACAGTTCTCGATAATAAAGCAAAACTCTTTCAAAGAGTACGATATGAGGTTTGTATTTTTTTTTTTTTTCAATAATATAAAATTTGATTCATTAAAAAAAAAACTATTTTTAGGACACTGAAATCGAAATCGAAGATGAAGTTGATATTTTAATGTCCAGTGATATAATGGCAGCGCAAATGTCAACAAAAGGTATTACATTTTCAAGAGCTCAAACCGGTTGGATTTTTAGAGAAGATAGAAGGGTATGTTTCACATTTATTTTTAGTATAAATAATATTTTTTCTAGATTTAATAATGTAATTATTATAAAGGAAATGGTGGGACCGTTTAACGCAGACTTCTATCAAATCAATGGTATGATTTTGGCGAGTAGAAAAAGACGAGAGCATTTAAGTGAAGAGGATTTACAGAAAAATAAAGCAATAATGGAATTATTAACTAAAGGCAGCTCACAGAGATTAAAAGGAGTAATTAAAAAAATTTATTTTCTTTTTATGGATCATTGTTATATTTTGCCAAAAAAAAAAAGCAAAAAAAATGTTAAGTAAATATTATTTATTTTCAGCCTCCAGTTAGAAAAGCTTCTTTAAATCCTCCACCAGAGACAAATATACCTTGGGAAGAATATCTTGCCGCACCATCAGGACAATGTCCATTATTGGGAAGAAGTTTGGTTTATAAAGAAAGTAGTAAATCATTTAAAGCAACTGTCGCAATGAGCTCAGAATTTCCATTAACAGTTGATATGTTGCTCAATTTACTTGAAGTTATTGCACCATTCAAACATTTTAGTAAACTAAGACAATTTGTATTAATGAAATTGCCACCTGGTTTTCCTGTTAAACTTGATATACCTATTTTACCAACAGTTACTGCGAAAGTAACATTTCAAGATTTCGCATTTAGAAGTGACATTGATCCAGAATTATTTCAAATACCATCGGACTATTTTGAAGATCCTTTCAGGTGAGCAAAGAATTAATTTTTCATTAAAAAATACCACAAAATTGTAAACTAATATCATAGATTACATACCAATTTTTGCAGTTTTAATTGTCCATCAGGCCTGGTACTCTGCAACAAAAATAGAAAAATTAATAAACATTTTTTTTTTAAATTTTTTATACAAACTTAGAATTTGTCAGATTATTATTATTATTATTATTGTCTTATAAATATAAACTATTGTAATAAATTTCAGAGACTGTGAGCTTTATATATCAATGTTGATGGTACTAGAAACTACATCGTCTGTTTGAAGATAAGAGTATCTATATTAATTTGAATTATACAATTAACAAAAATTCACAGATATCAAAAAGCAACATTGTAAAAGCAAAGTCCCACTTGAATTTAATTATTTTAAATAATACAATTTCTAAATTATAAACAAGAATCTGAACTAAATCTTTGAAATTATTTTTATTAAAAATATAGACGACTTTGTTTTTGCAATATTAAAAAAAAAAAAAAAAAAACTAATTTTTCATAATACATTTTTCTTTAATTCGGTATATTGACACAATAACCTCGACAATAACTGCCATCTGTTATGAAATTTTTGCTTGTATTTAATACTCATTACCAATAGATAATGGATGTAGAACCAATATTTTTTTTAGATTATTTTTTTTTTTCAAATATACCAGGTCATAGATGGTTTTTGTTTAAAAAAGAAAAGAATAGATAAATATGATTCAGAAGAAAAAAAAAACTATGACAGTCTAGGAATACAAAGAGTAAAAAATTATTTTCAGAATATTATTCAATTATTGAATCAATTATAATAATTCAGTTAGTAAAATTAGATTTTAACTAACATATTTTTTTAATTTTTAATTTGAAAAAATTGCTATTAACTCATGAAAAAAATTATTTTTTATCTTAGATTCATTTGTCCTTTAACAATTCAGTTAAATAATACTTTTTCTTTTAAATAAAAATTTATAAATTTTATTTTACAGATTTCCAGATTTATGACGCTTCCACATTTTAATATTAATAATTGAAATCAACTATTGGACCATTTATGGACTGCCTTTTTTACTAAAGGACCGCAAGTTTCCTCTTGAAGTCAGTATAGTAGTTGTGAAATCACTTTATTACTGAAAATATAGTGCTTTTTATTTACTTATACTTTTTTTTTTTTAAAAAGTGCTGAATTACAGTGTACTCCATAAAGCTAAAGTCATTCGTAAGAAATAATATATCTAATAAACCTCAATTAAATTATTACTTTTTTTTTTTATTTTTTTTACGATTTTGAGCATATTTTATTATTTTTATATTTTAAATTTTTTCTAATTAAAAAAAATTTCATCTACTACTGTTAATTGAATTACTATTAAATAGCTATTTTTTTTAAGCTGTCGTAGCTAATTTTTTTTTTTTTTTTTGTGGAAAAATAAGCTTTAGTAATAATTTTTATTCACAAATTTTTTTTAGTGAAATATTTACATTCTAATCCAGGACTATTTAGTGCTTAATAATTTATATCTAAAAACACGATATGTTCACAACTCTAATATTATGTATGGACATATAGGATCTATAATGTAAAGATCTGACCAAATATGCGTCCATTTCACAATTTACTGCTTCAAAACTGAAAAAAATTAATAAATAATTATTTATTAAAAAAAAAAATAATAATAAAGACTTATCAAATTAGTGTATACAGAAATATTTGTAATTTTTAATTATTTCACATAAATTCTAAATAAATTAGATGTCAAAATTTTTTTCTCAACAATAAAATTTTATAAATAAAATAATTTCTGAGGCCAATATAAAATTCTAAAGTCAAAATAATATCATTTTACAGAAAATATTTTTTTTTTAGAAATTATTTTCTATGTTATATTTATTTATTTGAGTATTTGCTTTTTAACTGTCACCGATTGAAGCCTGGTCCCCTAAAGCCTGATAAGCGTTGACCGTTGACCTAATGACAATCAATCGGACTTGTGAACGACATCACAATCTTGTTGTATTAAAACCTTTTTCTCACGTGAATTTCTTCCTTAAAATAAAAAAAAAAAAAAATAATAATAATATCTAGATACAATAAAAATTGACATTAAATATATTATTCACTAATAAAATATGTCGACGAAAGTTTATTAAAAAAAAAAAATGTATCTTTTTTTTCTCAAGTAAAATGTAATTTGATCAAGTATTCAATTCAATTAATGATCTTTGCTTTATTCTTCTAGATATGAAAAAAAAAAAAAAAACAGTGGAATGAACTGCGATATGGAAAAAAGGAATAAAAAAAATTTTTTCATACTTTTAAAAATAGTACAGACAATTTTAAGAAATAATTATAATTTTTTTTTTTATTTTCAATTGACAATTCAGGTATGGGTTTAAAAAAACTTTTTACAAAAAAAAAATTATAAGATTAAATTCAGAGGGGTAGGAAACTAAAAATTGAAAAGAGGGAGGGGAAACACGAGAGCATAAAAGGGCAACACACTGTTCTCTTTCTTGTGTTATCGTCATGGAGCATCCACTGATCGTGGCTGTTCTCACTAGTTTCATCTTTTTTACATCTTTGACTTTAGCGAGTAAGTAATAAATAATTAACATAATAAGTGATACAGTGTGCTGAAAAAAAAGTTATTAATTATCTCAAATTTTCATTAATACAAAAATGACTATCTGTTTCATTCATAATAATTCAAAAAAAAAGTTTACGTTTATTTAAAAAATTAAAAGTGGTGATTAGTATATTTGTATAATAAATAATATACTTTTTTTTGTGTTAAGTGATAGAGGTGAAAAAAAATTGTTTTTTTTTTTACAATCGTGTTCGAAAAATTAAAAGGGTTTTTTTTTTTAGTAGTGATAATTTAAATTTTTCAATTCAAAAAATCGTGGGGTGTTTTTGGGGCTTGTTTGATGATTTCTTGTATTCAATATTAAAAAAAAATCTCAATCCAAAATTTTTTTTACATTTTACCTTTATTATCAAATTTAAAAAAAAGAATACTATTTTTTTTTTAAATGTATTAAAAATATTAATTATATTTTAGTATTGTTGTTTTTTTTAACAACACAAATAGTAGTGAATCATTGAAATCATTATACATCTTCCAAACCGGAAATTCGGTAAATTAATCTGACATCCTCATATTTATATATTGTTACCAAGTGAAATAAATTATTTGATCTTTATAATCTTACACAAAATAAATTTAAACTATCTCTACGAATTATTGTCGTCTATTTTATTTTATTGAATTCTCTAATTTAATTTCTGACCTTGATAAAGATAAAAGAAACGGCTATAAATTTTTTATATTCTATTACTGTTTATATATTTATTTCTAGTGCACATTTTTTTTTTTTTTAAATATAAATTTAGTAATTTTTATATATTTATAAAAAAAAATTGCGCACAGACAAAAATATTTCTTCAGCGACTATTTGCATTAAAAAAAAAAAAAAATTATATAAATTTTTCTTTATTATTATTTTATATTAGAAAAATATTAACAGTTCAATATTTTATTTATTTTTTATACAATTAGATAATATTTATATTTAATATCAAATTTTTGTAATTTATAACACAAAAAAAAAATTTATTTCAAAAAAATATTTAGAAATTTATTTAATAAATTTTTAATTAGTTTAAAATTTTGATGATTAACTGATTCATTAATAATAAGTCACTTTGAGAAATAAAAATTTATCATAATGAAAGCATTAATAAATGTAGTGGTTAAAGAATTAATAAGTTCATAGGTCGATAGGGGTTCAATTCCCCTCATCCGTTAATTTTTATTTAAAGATTTGCGGTGAATATTTTTTAAACAAACTTTTTTTTTAAATAAATTTTATTTTATGTTTCTTTTTTAGTTAAATGCAATAACTTTCTTTCATTAATAAAATGATATCAAAAATATGATATTTATTGTTGAAGAAAAATATTTATTAATAATTTTTATACTTTTTGTTATTAAATTATTTGTCATTATTAATTTATCAATTAATCATAAATTAATTCAGTGTTTTGCTATATTGAGAAATTAATATTAATTTATCAATATTGCTGCGCCAACATTTCGCCAATATATCCATATAATCAATTTCTAAATAGACAATAAAAAAAAAAAATAAAAGCATAACTTTCTTCATAAATCATTAATCAAACTTATTTATATTATTTTTTTCTTCATCAATTTTATCATTTAAAAAAAAATTATCTCCTTTCATATAACGCTTATCTTATATTATTAATTACTATTTTTTTTATGTAGTTCTCATCACATATATAGCTGATTTATTTTTATTATATTTAACGACAAATTTTAATAAGGAAGCATATTTTTTTTTGGAAATAATTTAAAATTATATTTGACAATAAAAAATAAATTAATTTGAAAAAAGAACTATTTTTCATATACATACCTATATATAATTATTAAATATAGAAATTGTGAAAGAAAAGTATGGAGAAAATATATCACTCTTTCTCCATGTTCAATGGTTAAGGTCAATACTGCTATCATAAAGATATATTTAAAGATGTCAGAGGTCAAAAGATGTGTTCTCAGAATATTTATTGATAAACGCTGTACACGTTTTGATGACGTTTTAAATTATTTATTTTATTTTAGAGAAATTTCATCCCCCTTTTCCTTTATTAAAAAGAAAATGTTTTTTTTCGGAAAAATAATCAATAATAATAATAATAATAATTTCTTACCTAATTATTTATCCCTTTTGATATTTTTCTAATTAAAATATATACTTAATATATATAGTTTATAATTTGTTTCGTCTGCTTATAGATCAGTGTAATACTGGCTGTCATGGAAGTGAGTACAAATATATATTTATACTAATTTATATAATTATATTTTAATATTTATATAATATGTAAATAAATATTTTTCATATATTAATAGCACAATACGAAAAGAATTATGTGGAAGGACAAATTTATTCTTATGAATTGGAGGGATTATCGGTAACGACTGTCACGGATTCTCAAACTGAAGCAAATTTTAAATTAAAAGCAAATGTCGATTTAGTTGTGAAACCTGATTGCATTCGTCAATTAAGATTAAAAAATGTTTTAGTCAATGGTGCTGTAAGTAAATTTAAAAATAATACACCTATTATTAAAAAAATATATTATCACGCGATGTGAAGAAAAGAGACGAGAGGGAAAAAGTTAGGTTATGTTTTGAAAAACAAATATATAACATAACCTGTAAATCATAATGTCTCTTTCTTCGCATATCGCGTCACATTTACGCATAAAAATATAAAATAATAATTAATAAATTTATAAAAAATAATAATAATCAATTTATTTTAAAAAAAACTACAACATAACCTATAATTTGTTATGTTTCTTTCCTCATATATTTATAATAATAAAAATATAAAAAATAAAATAATAAATTTTTTTTTGAAAAACAATACAACATAACCTATAATTCGTTATGTTTCTTTCTTCATATATATTTATAATAATAAAAATATAAAAAATAAAATAAAATAATTTTTTTTAGCCTATTGCGTTAAAAGATGTAGAGCAACATCCTCTACAATTTAATTATCACAATGGACACATTGATAGTGAAATTTGTGCAGAATCTGGAGATTCACAAGCTTCTTTGAATATTAAAAGAGCTGTTATTTCTCTATTACAATCGTCTGTAATGCAAGATAGTGGATCAACGACTCGTTACGAGGTATATTTTATTAATAAATTTAAAAAAAAAAATTTTTTTTTTATATAAAATACTAATAATAAATAAATTTCAGGGTGATATTTTTGGTGGTTGTACAACAGATTTTAATTTTCAAACAAATCAAGATTCTGTAATTGTTAATAAATTCAGAAATTTAAATGAATGTACAAATCGAGAAAATATTCGTGAAGGTGTTATTAGTACAACATTTGATTCAAGATCAAGTATACAATCGGCGCCATTATTATCGGCACATCAAAAAGTTGAACAAATTTTTAAAAAAGGAATTTTAAATAAAGCAATATCAACAGAAACATATAAATTTAAACCATTTAGTAATGGAAATTCAGGTGTTAAAACAATAATTGAAATAAAATTAACATTGAAAAATGAAAAAAAAGATGATTCAGGAGCGTCAAGTGTATCAATACCAAAAACAATTTTCTTTGAATCACCACATCCAATTATTAAATCATCCGTTGAATCAATAATGAATGGATTAAATGCCGTTAAAGAACAATCACCAGATTCTGTTAAATTAGATGCAGCACAACGTTTCGCTGATTTTGTTAAAATATTAGGTGTCTCAAGTAAAAAGGATATTCTTTCAGTATTTGAAAATATTAAAGATAAACAAAAGGAGAGAAAAATATTTTTAGATGGTCTATTTCGTGCAGCAAGTGGTGAAGCTGCTGAAGTTGCTGTTGAATTAATAAAATCACATCAAATAAATGAATTACAAACACTTGCATATTATACAAGTTTGGCATTTGTTCGTCATGTTAATCTTCCAGCAGTCACAACTGTAACATCATTATTGGATGAGGAAAATTTACCAAGAATTGGATATTTAGGTATTGGACAGGTAATTGGTAAATATTGTCAAGAGCATAAATGTGAAAATGTACCTGAAGTACAAGCGGCGCTTGCAAAAATATTAAGTAAAATAAATAATGGAAAGGCAAATACAAGAAAAGATGAGGATAAATTATTATCAGCAATGAAAACAATTGGTAATACAAAATATTTAGATGATGTAACAATGAAAAAATTAGTTGAAATTGCAAAAGATAAGAGTGTAAAAAATAGAGTACGCGTTGCAGCTATTGAAGTATTACCAGTTCAATGTTCGATGAATTGGAAAAATGAAATGTTTAAAGTACTTGAAGATCAAGAAGAGGATAGTGAAATAAGAATAAAAGTTTATTTATCACTTGTTAATTGTCCATGTCCACATGTTGCTAATCATGTTAAAGAAATTTTAGATAAAGAAAATATTAATCAAGTTGGATCATTTATAACATCACATTTACGTAATTTACGCGCGTCTGCCGATCCAAATAAATATGATGCACAAAAACATCTTGGTTTAATAAAACCACGTCAAAGATTTCCACAAGATTTTCGTAAATTTTCCTTTAATAATGAATTATCATATAATATTGATGCATTTGGAGTTGGTTCAACAATGGAAAGTAATGTAATTTATAGTCAAAATAGTTTTGTACCACGTTCAACGAGTTTAAATTTAACAACTGAAATATTTGGTCGTTCATTTAATTTTCTTGAATTAGAAACAAGAGTGGAAAATTTGGATAAAGTTATTGAACGTTATTTTGGTCCAAAGGGTTATATGAGAAAGGGTGAACCCGATGATTTAGTTGAAGAAAGTATTGATCATTTAAAAAATCTTGGTAAACAAATAAGGGAACGTTTTGTTAAAAGTACACGTGGTAAACGTGAAGTGAAACCAGCTGAACTTGATAAATTTGCCGATAATGTAAAATTACATAATAATGAAATTGATAATGAATTAGATTTGGATTTATCGATAAAAATGTTTGGTGTTGAATTAGCATATATTAGCTATGAGGGTACAACAAGTCAAAAATATACACCAGAATATATTGTTAATAAAATATTTGATGCACTTGATCAAGGTATTGATAAAGTTAAAGATTTTAATTATAATTTGGAAAATTATTTATTATTTTTTGATGCTGAACTTGTTTATCCAACTGGATTGGGTGTACCAATGTCATTGGGTGTAATTGGCTCAAGTGCTGTTAATGTTAAAACAAGTGGAAAAATTGATATTCCTGGAATGATAAAAGATCCACAAAATGCATTAGTTAAATTGTCATTAGAACCAAGTGCATCGATTAGAGTTGAAGGAAGATTAATTATTCATGGTTTTGATGTTGAATCGGGATTGAAACTTGTATCAACTTTACATACCGCAACAGGTTCAGAAATAACTGTAAAAATACTTGATGGAAAAGGTGTTGATGTTAATTTAAATATGCTTAAACGTAAACAAGAATTAATAAGTCTCTCAAGTGAAATTTTAATGACTTCTGGTGATAAGGGTGAAAATTATATTGCACCAAAGTTTCATGGTAAAAATCGTGAATATGTTGATTGTTTCGATCAATCTGCAAGTGTATTTGGTTTTAGTTTATGTGGAAAAGTCACATTGCCTTATGATAGTATTGAATCAATGAGAAAAAAACCATTGTTTCCATTAAGTGGACCAGCAAAATTAGCTTTTTATATTGATAATATTGATGTGACCAATTATCATTTTAAAGTATTTTACAATACGAAGAATCCAAAATCAAGATCATTGGAATTACTCGTTGAAACTCCAAATAGCCGAAGTAATAGATATTTGAAATTTTTAATTGAAGGTGCAGTTGAACCTGATAAACTTGCTAGAGTTACATTTGAAATTCCCTATTATAAAGCATCAGCCGAAGTAATTTTGAAAGACAATGATCAAGAACGTTCAATAACAGTTGCAGTTCATCACGATCAAATAGAATATTTTGGCAAAATTGGTGTTAAAGTTGAAAGTCCAGGAAAATATAAACCTATTTTAGAATACAAAATTCCTGAACATATTGAAAAATTAACAGGCACAAAAACTGGTACAAAAATTCAACAATACACTTTAGATGGAATTGTCACAGTAGCTGATCATGAAGGTGGAAAATTATATAAATTCGAAAAAGTTGTATTAACAACAAATAATAAGGCTCTCATTGGTTTAGATGGAACAATGACAGCAACACCAAATATTCGTGGATTAAATGCTAAAATTTCCTATGGTGATGAAATTTTAGATTTAAAAATAAAAGGACAACGATTAAAAGAAAATAATTATATATTAATGATAGCAGCAGTACCACAAAAAGATCCAAATATTGCATTTCGTGTTGATTGGGATTATTTAAGAGAAGAAAATAAATTTGAACAAAATTTTAAATTTGCCCACGGCCCTGAATCACAACATTCAAAAAATCAATTAATTCTAAATCAACGTGCTGCATATAATTTTGATTCAAAAAATTTTGCACTTGGATTTTCAAATAAACTTCATTATTCGGCATTAAATTTTCTATTTAAATTGGAAGGTGCTTTCACAAAAAAATCATTGCAAAGTGAAATTATATTTGAATATGATAAATTTAAACTTGGAACAAAATTATCGGGAAAAACTGGTATTACACAACCAGGTGACTATCAAATTGAATTGGAAGCACATGTTTTGAAAAATAAAATAGAATTGAAATCTAAACGTGAAATGATAAATGATAATAAGAGTAAATTTGAAAATTCATTGGAATTAACACCTGGGGGAAAATATGAAGCCGACGCTATAGTGACACACGATATTGCTAAACCAAATGACATTAATGTTAAACTCGATGGAAATATTCATTTAAATGGAAAAAAAATTAAAGTTGACACTGGATTAGAATTTAATATGCAAAAAATTAATTCACACGCTCAAATTGGCGTTGATGGTGTACAATATGTTGATTTTGATATGAAAATACAACGTGTTAATCATAAAGGAAGTGTTGCTTTAAATTTGAAAAAATATATATTAGCAAACGGTCAATATAATTATCAAAATGGTAAAGGTAGTGCTGATATAAATATTGAAATTCCAAAAGTACATAGAAAAATAAAAGGCACTGCTGATGTTACAATTAGTGGTACACAACATTCAGCTAATATTGAAATTCTCTACGATGCTGAAAAAGATCCAAGTAAACGTATTAAATTATCAACAATTTCTGATATTACAAAAACATCAGTTGATTTAAAAAATATTATTGAATTAATGTCATATAAAACAGAAATCAATGTTAAAGGAAATCTTCAAGGGAAATTAATGGATGGCACATTAAATGGTGATATTGATGTTCATTTACCAAATGGACATTATATTACATTTATTGGAAAACGAATGATAAAAAGAAATCCCACCGATTCACAATTATTTGATTTAACACATGTTAATTTTGAATTGGCACATTCTATCAAAAAAGGTGGACCAACGCGAAAAATTATTTATAATCAAGATGGAAAAGATATTGATTTGAAAAAAATCACATTCCAAGTGACACATCAATTAAAACTTGTTAATGATGACAATAAAGATATTCAAATTAGTGTTGCTGTTGAAAATAAAAATGCCGAAAAATTAGGAGATCGAGTCGCTAAAATTGGAGTTAATTTAATGGGATCAGTTATACCAAAACCATTTCAATTAGATTTAAATCTTGAATATGGTCCAAATAATTTAGCATGGACGGGAAAATCATCATTAGGAACTGATACATCATTTCAGGTAATATAAATTTAATTTATAAATTTTAATTTATAAATTTTATTTTATAAATTTTAATTTTTTTTTTTAATTTCAGGGAAGTGGAAAATTCACCAAAGGAAATAATGTTGATAAACCATCAGTTTATACCGGTTCTATTGAAGTTAAATTACCAAATGAGAAATTAAAAAATTTAAAATTAGATTCATCACATAGTATTATTTTACCAAAAGATACAGAGAGTCTTATGGAGTATATTCATTCGACAAATTTGGTTTATAATGATGATAAAACTGTGAAATTAAATACCGTATTGAAACAAACAGGCATTCCTTTAAATACAAAAAATAAAAATTCAGGTTCAGCAAAAATTGTTTTAACAATTTTAAATAATCCACCAATTACCATTGATGGTGTATATAAAGTTGATCCAACAACAGATTCGAAAAAAGGTTCAGCAACATTAAATGTAAAATCCGGAGACAAAGAAACAAGTGTCGATGTAAATACGGAATTTTTATCAGATATGACATTCTTTAAAAATAATATTAAAGTTAAAACTCCAATTGAAAAAATGAAAAATTTGGATATTGTTTTTAGTCACAAGGTAAAGTATATATATATATATAAAAAAATTAGTAATATTTTTTATGAAATATTTAATGATTATTTATTTTTTTATATTTCAGAAAGATAATGAAGGTCAAAATCATAATACCGATATTTCTGTCAATGCAAATAATAATAAATATACAATGAAAAGTGAAGTGAAAATAGATCCCGTTTCGCCAAGTATGCATTTAATTTTCACGTGTCCTGCTGGAAAAACTGAGATACTATCTAAATATAACAAACTTGGTGAAAGAGAATTTAAAGGTATTTAGAATTTAATTTAGCAAAATTTTGTTATATTTTATAAAAAATAATTTTAAAAATTTATTTTTCAGGTGAACTTAAATTTGATTCACCAAAAGCAGTTGTAACATCTGATTATCATGTTAAATTGGAAAGTGTAGATGATTTTATCATAACTGTAAATTTCGATTGCGATAAAATGAAACAAAGAAAAATTCACGCAGAAATAGCAAATAAACCCGCTAAAACAGGAAGAAAAATTATTGTAACTGTAACAAGCGATGGAAAAAATATAATCAGTGGAAGGTGTGTAAAATTAAAATTTATTTTTTATATTCATAATTAACAAAAAAAAAATTATTTACAGCACGGATTATAAAAAGCATGTAGAAGCTGGAAAAGTAATTGTTGAAGGAAAAGGTAGTTTGAAAATTGGTGAAAACACAAAAAGTTCATTATTCAAATATATACATCAAGAACTTACAAAAGAAGTTGACAATGAAATTGGAAGTGCAATTTTATTGAATGCAAGTTTTGGTCCTTCAGCCGTTGTTGGTGAACTTAAAGTCACAAATAAAGAAATTTATGTTTTTAATAGTTATTGCGAACAGAGTAAAGACTGTGCACATTTCAAATTACAATCATTACTCGATAGTGACCGTGAGTTTCATATTAATTAAAAAAAAATAATTCGCCTCATTAAATAAATTTATAAATACATATTTTTTTTTCAGCGAAATCACATATTAATCATCAATTAACAGTTGAAGTTGATTTAAAGAAATTTAACGTACCTGCTGAATTTGGATTAAAAACAAGTACCAAATATTTGATAGATAATATTTCATATGATCATACGTCGAGTTTGTATTTACATTCTTCTAAAGATAAAACTGAATACACTACTCATTTATATGCCAATTCAAAAGAAGCAGGTAATTATTTACTATATTTTATTTCTCAAATACATTTTCTAATTTATTTTATATTTTTACTAGGTGCAATTCTCACACTACCAAATCGTGAATTAGCCGTGATATCATCATACGAAATACCAAAAACTAAATATACTGGAGCTTATAAAATGGATGCTGCATTTTATTTAGATAGAAAAAATAAACCAACAGATAAAACTGGATTATCAGTTAGTGGACATTTTAATGCTGAAAAAAATTCTGCATCACTTAGCGGTGACGCTAAATTTACATATCCATCACAACCAAAAGTATGTGGAAAATATAATTTTTGTTTTTGTTTTTCTTTTTTCTAATATTAAATAAATTTTATTAGGACATGACAGTTAAAGGAAGAATTCACTATGGAGGTGATAATTTAGTTGACGCTAATTTGGATATTGATCTTTTTGCTAAAAAATCACAAAAAATTAATGTTATCGCTAAAATGACACGTGTTCCAATTCCTCATGGTTTTAATTATACAAAGTACATGGAAATTAATAGCCAAGGACAAAAATTGAAAATTCAATTAAAAGAACATTTGGCAATTTCAACAATGGCCGTTGGAATGGGTTCAATGTTATTCTATACAGATGAACATCAAAAACCAAAAAGTTTTGGTTTTGATTTTTCTGCTAATGATAAAGAAGTTAATCTTTTAGTATCGTCACCAAATAAAGAATTGATTAATTATAATTCAAAAATGATGTTTACTGTCAATGAACAAAAAATTGATTCCGAATTAAGTGTACTGACAAATAAACCAATTGTTTTCAATTTCGAAGGAAAGAATTGGAATAGCTTTAAATTTTCCAACTATGTAAAAGGTGAGAAATGGAAAATATATATATATTTTTTTTTTTTGATAAAAATTAACATTTTTTTTTTCCTTTTTAGATAAACCTAATACAAAAATGGTTGGTAATGGACAATTTGTTCTTGGTCAAATTGCTGAAATTCGTTTAGATGTCTATAAAGAAGGTGAAAAGAAGAATTTATTCTTTACATTAGTTCATTTAGATGAAAGCAATTTCCTCAAACCAGATTTTGGCTACAGTAAAGAAAACATTGTAGATACAGTTGTAAGTAATAAACAAATAAATCACTTTTCTTATGAAAAAAAAACTATTTTACAACTTTTATAAATTACAGGAATATGTTCGTAAACATTCTATTGAAGCTATAAAACAAATTAAAAATATTATCGAAGACATAGGCGAAGAAATTGTATCAGAATTAAAAGATTTTGTTCAACATTTGAAAAAAGCACAACCAAATCTTAAACCATTGATAGATCATTATCAAACTGAATTAGCAAAACTTGTTGAAGAACTTCATGCAGATGAAACTGTGAAAGAAATTCAAGCAACATTGTAAGAATTTAATTTTCTCTATAATTTCTATTTCATATAAATAATTTATTTTTCTTTTTTCTAGAAATAAATTATTTGGTGGTGTATTTGAATCATTGGCTGAAACAATGAAACTTTTAACAGAACAATTAGTGGAATTACAAAAGAAATATAATGAAATAATTGATAAATTAACAGAAGCAATAAAAACAATTTGGCCACAATTAAAAGAATCAATGCAAAAAGTTTTACAAGTTACTGTTGAAATTATTGATGCTGCATCAAATTTAGCATTAATTTATTTCAAAGGATTATTAAATGTCATTAATGAACATCAAAAAGAAATGAAAGAATTAATAACAGTTATGTCGGAATTAACAAAAGATGTTGCTAAAATTTTATTTAAAGCCATGACACAAATTGAAAAAGATGTTAAAGAATTTATTGGACTTCTTGTACAACAACTTAAAGCACTTCCAATTTATGATATAATTAAAGAAAAATATCAAAATATTGCCGATTATCAAATACCACAAACAATTTTAGCACCCATTGAAGAATTATGTTTTACTATTAAAAATATTTTACCAACACAAGAGCTTAAGGATTTATTTGATATTACTTATAATTATATCATTAAACACGTTAAGCATGAAAAGGTAAAAAAAATTAAAAATAGAAATTAAAAAAATATACGAAAGTCTAATTTATTTTTTTTTGAATAACAGGTTGATGATGTTTCGGAAATTAAAAATATTTATACTCATACGGTTGTGGCAGTTCAATCAATTATGAAACTTTTGCAACCTCAAGTGACATTTGAAAATTTATTCAACTATTTTGAAGCAAGAATTCCTGATGATTTTAATCTTCTACGAAAATTACCAGGCATTTCTACTCTTAGAATTTCTGTTTTGAATTTATTGCGTAATAATGAATTACCATCTCCTATGGATTTATACTATGCTTACAGGTTTCAATTTCTTTTTTTTTAATTTTTTTTTAATTTTGTATAAAAGTACTAATAAAAAAAAATTTTCAGACCAACTTTATTATGGGAGGATGTTGTTCCACCTTTCAGTATGTTTGGAATGGTTCTTGATGGAGGACATGTATTTACATATGATGGACGTCATGTTATTGTAACGGGCACTTGTAATTATATTTTATCACAGGACGTATTAAATAGAAATTTCTCCGTTGTTGCAAATTTCAATAATGGAAATTTAGCCAGTGTCACTGTCACAGAGCCTACAGAAAGTATTACTATTAAATCTAATGGAAATGTGAGTAAAAAAAAATACAAAAAAACTAATTTACTATTTCAAATATTTTTTATTTATTTATTTTATTTATTTTCAAATTTTTTATTTTTCTTTAGATATTGGTCAATGACAAATCAGCTGAATTTCCAAGTGAAACACAAAATTTACAAGCCTTTTTAACACCTCCGGTATTGAATGTTAAATCAAAATATGGACTTCATTTGAAATGTAACACTGGCAGTCCAATGATGTGTGTCTTACGAGTATCTGGATTTTATATTGGAAGATTACGTGGATTATTTGGAGATGGCAATAATGAGCCTTATGATGATTTTACTCTTCCATCTGGCAAGGTGAGAGATTTCTCATTGGAGAGTGAAAAAAAAAAATTTATTTCATTCAAATAAGTATTAATTAATAAGTATAATTAATAATTAATTATTTAATTATTATTATTATTATTATTATTATTATTTAATTATTTATTTTTATTTTTATTTTTATTATTTTATTTATTATTTATTTCTTTTTTTTAATTATTATTAATTTCTATCCAGTATAATTTTTGAAATCAATTAAACCAATAATTTCTGTAAAAAATAATTTCTGTATTTTTTCTCAAATAATAAATACAGATAAATATTTATTTGATGATAATTATATTGAATTAAAATTGTTATAAAAATTTCAATATTACATTTACTAATAAATAAATATTAACAAAAATAATATTTACAGATTACAGAAAGTGAAACAGAATTTGCAAATGCTTATAAAATTGGTACAAATTGTCCAGCGTCAACAGCAGTTGATCATAAGGAAGAGACACCACGAGCACCAATTTGTACAGAATACTTTTCTGGTAATTCACCAATGAGGTATGAATATTAGAAATAATTTTAATTTTTATACTGTTTAATTTAAAATTTTAAATTAACTAAATTTAATTTTTTTTCAGTGGTTGTTTCAATTACGTAAATCCAAAACATTATCGAGAAGCTTGCGACTATTCTGTGAAAGTTGGCTCAAAGAAAGGAGCATGTATGGTAGCCAGTGCATATTATGTAGCTTGTTATTATTCACGTATCAAGGTCAACGTTCCAACTGCATGCAGTAAGTTTTCTGATTTCAAAAAACAACTAAAAAAAAAAAAAGAATCGAAAATAAAACAAATGTTAAAAATAATTATTTTCGCCAGGTAATTGTAAAGTGGGACAAAATAGTATTACAGTCGGTGATTCATTTAGTGTAAAAATTCCAAAGAAAGAAGCTGATATTATTTTTGTTGTTGAACAAGCGGCTGATAATGAAAAAGTCTTTAAGGAATTAGTTACATCAATGATACCAGAATTAAGAAATGAACTTAAGCAACAAGGAATGACGTAAGTTTATTAACAATCCTTTTTTTTTTTAAATTTATTTTCTAATTTTATTATTCCATTATAGTGATGTTCACATAGGACTTATTGGATTCAGTAATAAAATGAAATGGCCACAGCATTACACAACCGGTGGTAATATTAATATTGATGGAGATGTTAAGAATATTAAATTTGAAAAACGTGATCCAATAATTACATTACAGGTAAAAACATAGTTTTTCATTTAATATTGATACATTAATAATAATAATAATTATTATTATTATTATTAGGAAGCGAAAGAGGGTAACATAGAGAAAAAAATGACATATTTAGAACAACGATTAGATGTTGAATTAGGAACATTTAGATTAACTGATGCTTATGAAGAAGCTGTTGATTATCAATTTAGACCTGGTGCAGCTAAAGCAATAATTGGCGTTTTTGCATCATCTTGTGAAAAAAGTCCTCTACCATTATCGGCAAGTATTTTCTATTTTAGTTATTATTCCTTTCATTTTTCGATTTTTTAATTAATTTTTTTATTTACAGCTTCAACAACTTAGACTTTTGCTGGGTCATAAAACATATCGTGATATGGGTCTTACTTATCATCATATATTTTTAACAGGAAATATTGAAGTTTCCGGAAAACCACAAAAGAATATTGTTGGTTTTGATTATAATAATGCTTACATCTTTACTGACAGTAAGAAAAAACCATTGGAAGGCAGTAATGAGCTGAAGAATAATTTACATGTTTCTGATAATGATGTTTGTGCCAATTTTGCCGTGAATGTATGTATTTTTTAATTTATTTTTTCGTTTCTATTTTCCACAAAATTAATTTCTTAATTTTTTTTTTTTTTTTTTGTTATAGTCTGGAGGTGCAAGTTTTAGTGCTCAAAATTATTTGGAATCAAAACCAAGTCAAAAGAAACAATTTGTTCAAGTTGCTGCACGTAGAGTAGCACAAGGACTTGCTGGTCTTGAATTAGAAGAGGATTGCACTTGTAAAACACAATTTGGTGTATATAGTCGTGCCGTTTGTAAAATTGTAAATCGCACAGAAAGTGGAATTTTGTCGGTTAGTAATTTTTATAGGATTTTTTTCAAAATATTTTGCATTCAATTTTTTAGTAAAATATTAATAAATTTTTTCAGAAATCCAAAAGAGCTGCAGCTAAGGCTGGATAGAAGATAATTATTAATTACAACTTACACATTAAGTTATATATTATAATTATTCAATGTATTTGATAACATTAAAATATTTTTAAAAAGCATAAATCGACAAATTTAAATTTCTATATAAAAAAAAAATCTATTTTTGCTCGATAATGAAAATTCCTTAAAAATATACATTAATTTAAAAATTAAAAGCGCAAACTATTGAAATAATTATGTAATGTATTACTTGAATAAAAATATAATTTAAAAAAGTATTTGTATTAGAAAATATATTTTATATTCGCAAAATTCAAGTAAAATAATTAGGATTAAAATAGTTTTAAAAAATATCTGAATAATTTTCAATTATTCTTTTTTTGAAATTATAAAAATCAAAATATAATGTAACATTAAGAAAATTATTTCAAGGCCTAATATTATTTGTGATTGATAAGAAAGAGGAAGTTAGATAGTAACCAATGAAGTGGACATTTTGGACGGAAGCAGTGTCTCCGCCTCTTTAATGCCGTCATCAACAAAAACTAAAAAGTTCAAATATCCATCATTTGTATTTAAAATAGGAATAAGTTTGTTTTTTTTTTTTTAAAAAATTTCTTTTGCCTTTATTTCAAAATACGATATGTGTAAATTCACTTTAAATTCAGTGTAAAAGTGTTATTTTTATTTTTCAAAAAAAAAGAACAATGAAATATATTAATATTACTTTTATAATTGCATTCTTGCTGTTTTCAATAAATGTAGTTGATTTGAGTGAGTAAAAAAAAATTATATTTGAAAGTTTTGGGAATTATTTACAAAATTTAATTTTTTGAATAAAAATCGCAATTACTAGTTTCTTACTTGACTATTATAAAAATAAAACAATTGTCTCAATAATTATTTAATTAAAAAAAAAAAAGTAATTTGCTTCAAGTAAATATTTATTTGATAATTCGATTATTTGAATCAAATTTTACTGATTTTTCATAACAAAAAAAATCTTTATATTTTTTTTTTTGTATAGATAAATGTTCAACAGTTCGTTTAAAAAATGGAAGAGTTCGAACAAGAGGCCGAGGAAAGATAATTAGATTTAATTGTGACACAGGTTTTACACTTATTGGAAATACGTATGCAACTTGTATACGCGGAGAATGGGATATGCCAACACCTACATGTGTTAGTGAGTAAAAAAAATTAATAATTAATTTAATTAATAATTAATAATAAAAAAATTAACAAAAATTGTTCTTTTATTATTACAATTATAAAAATATAATTTTTAATATAATTATATTATTAATTAATATAATTGTATAATAATAATTTTTTAATTTTTTAGATTCACAATGCCCTGAACTTTCAAAACCAAAACATTCTTTAGTTCTTCCAAGATATGATGGTGCAATTCTTTTATATTTTTGTGAACCTGGATACAAATTAATAGGAACAACTGAAATATATTGCGATGGTCGACAATGGAATGGCTCAGTACCTTATTGTCGAGGTATATATATAAAAAAATTAATTTTTTATTTCGAAAAAAATTTTCAGATTTAAAGTATAATTTTTTTTCTTTTGTTTGTTTTTTAAAATAAGATACCACTGCAATTGTACCAATATCATGTGATTTTGAAGACTCTGATCTATGTTGGTGGGAACAGGATCCAAAACATGATTTTGATTGGCGAAGACATAATTTGGAAACACCTAGTGCACATATTGGTACTGGTCCAACTTATGATCATACACTAGGTCCAGGAAACGATGGTAATAATTGCTAGGGCAAATATATTAATTAATTATCGGAAAATATTTACAAATTAATTAATATTAATTTAAGAAATAAAAAAATAAATTAAAAAATTTTTTGATTCATATGATTTTTTTTTTTTTTAGGTCACTATTTATACATTGAAGCATCAGGTCGTTTAATTAATGATACAGCTAGAATTATGTCACCTATTTATAATTCATCATTAACTCGTTTTGGATGTTTTTCATTTTGGTAAATGACGATGAGAATTGTTGACTAATTTTTGAAAAATAATTTTTTTTTTCATATATAGGTATCACATGTACGGAGATACAATAGGAGCTTTACGAGTTTATTTTAAACAAGAAACGGAATTAAAAGGAAAACTAATGTTTAATAAAGAAGGCAATCAAGGAAATCGATGGATTAATGAAATTTTTCGTCTACCAGAAACGAATAATAATTTTCAGGTATAAAATTTTCAAATAAAAAAATTATTTATTTATTTATAATAATAATATATTGTGATAATTATTATTATTTAATTCCAATTTTTTTTCAGATTATAATAGAAGGAATAAGAGGAAGTAATTATGTGAGCGATATAGCAGTGGATGATGTTGCAATTTTACAAGGAAATGAATGTCAGCAGAAGAATAGTTCAAATAATACAGCATCTGATGATGGTTAATAAAAAATTTAGTAAAATTTTCATAAAAAAAATTTCCTTTCGTAAAATAAATAAATTTTTTTTTTAGATCAAATTGAAACTATAAATGCGGCCCAAAGCTGTCGTGGAAGATGCATATATGACAATTTTAATAACAATAATTCTGGAGTTTATTGTTATTGCACATTGGACTGTGCAGAAAATTCAACATGCTGTCCAGATTATGCAGAATATTGTATTTTAGGTATAATTTTAATTATTAAATTATTAAATTTTCATTTTCTAAATTCTTTTTTTTTTTTGATAATTTTAGATACCACTGAAACAGTTGATATTGTCGATTTAAATAATACTCTAATACCATTTGAATCAACAAATGCACCGGGACGAGACGATATTAAAATAGATGAAAATTTACATTATTCAATAAAAACAATTAAAATTCCAACTCCCACTATTTCGAAATCAACGAAAAAAAAATATTCAACTGAAAAAATAAATACAATGGAAACAATTTTTTTTGTAACAAAAAAAACAATTCAATTATCAACAACAATGTTACCGTTAAAAATTGATAAAACAAATTCTTCAAATGCAGATTTACAAAAAAGTAAGTTTTATTATAATTATTTATTGAAATAAAAAATAAATGAAAATTCTTTTTTTCCAGATATTCTTTATCCAACACAAATTTCTCAAAATAAAGATTCTAAAACTTCAAAATTACCTAGTATAATTGGTGCAATTATTGGAATTTTATCCGGTATTAGTATGACAATTATATTTATATTTTTTATTTATAAAAAACGAAAATCATGTAAAAGAGGAAAAAATGGTTCAACATTATCCGAAGACAGTGATGTACGATTTTTAACATCAGACGAAATTTTAGATTTTAATATTGCAAGACCAAATGAATATAATGAAATGTAATTTATATATATAAATAAAGAAAATATTTATAAAAATTTAAAATTTTTTTTATTTAGTATTTATTTTGAAATTCTTTTGTAAATATCAAAAGAAATTTAATTTAAAAATTTCTATTACACCTATAATTTATAAATATTTTATTTTGTCATAATAAAACAGTAAAATAGAAAAAAAATTTATTTCATTCAAACAATTGACTATTATCAAATATTTTATTTTTAAATAATTATTAAGTTAATTAAATAATATTTGTTTTCAAATAAATAAAATTTAATTTCAAATAAATATTAATGTAGTAAATATTTGATAATAATCGATTATTTGAATGAAATATGAATTTTATCTAAAATTTGGTGTTGGTGAATTAACGGTACCCCAAAACCATATTAATTTACTAAAATCATGCCTTATAAAAAATAAAAATGGTCGATTTGCAACAAAATGTCTTTGACTACCAGTTCTTTCTATTGCAACAGCAGTTGCTGCCGCAGCTTCTGTTCCTTTTTCATTAATATCAATTTCCACTCTATGTAAAATATCCTCAGCATATAATCCAGGATTTTGTATATTTTTACTATTTCTCAATGAATCTAATCCAAAACTTGGTAGATTTTGTGAATTAAGAAAATTAAGAAAATCTTGATCAATTGGTCTATTTTGTCGTTTTTTTCGTTTATTCATATTCTTGATTGATTTAAATTCATCATTTGTCGATCGACGATTTCTTTTAATATTAAATCCATTATCCCATTGTTCAACAGAATAACCTCTAAGCATATCTTCATATCTAAAGTAATATTTCCTCTTTAAATTTCCATTGTCTGTTGTTTTATTATCTTGATCAGTATCACCAATTCTCGGTGGAAAATAAAATCCATCTTGTGGTTTAGGTAATTGTGATTTAAGATCGTCATCAATATTTTTTTTTGAAATTGAATTATTTAATCCCGCTGAAAGGAGACTTAAATCAGCTTTTCTTGGATCAAATAATGTTATTAAACCTAATGATTGAAAGGCACGTTTTAAACTTAAACTACTTGAGAGTTTCATTTTTGGAAAACCAACAATGCATGTTTGATTTTTTACATTGTTTATTAAATTCTCCAAAATATTTGGATCTAAATTTCTTTCAAATTCTTTTAATGCTGTTGCACCAGGTCTATTTGGAAGCAAAACGTACATTGTCACCTGTAAAACAAAAAAAATTAATGTAATCAGAAAAAGTTTTAAAAATATTTTTTAATATTAAAAAATAATAATAATAAATATTAAAATTTTTATTTCAATTTTTTACCTCCAATCCTTTATATGGCAAACCGAGTATTTTTACTCCTAATTTTTTGTCTTCATAAAATGGAAAATCAGCTCCATTGTACATCATGTCAACTGTTACAGTTTCACCCGGCTCGATGGTAAATGGTTTTCTAAAAAAGAAAATTTAAAATTAGTTTATTTATATTAAATAAAAATATAAAGAATGTGACCTAAAGCATAGCTCAATTTTTATAAAAACTTTTTTTGTTCGTAATTTAAAAAAAAATGAATTTTTATTAAAAATATTTTTTTTATTTTAATTTTTTTTTTTTTTTTGAAATTTAACGAACCTCATAGTAGCAGAGTCTATGAAATATTGGTCCCATTCTCCATTAAAATATAAAGCTGATGCAAGTATAACATCTGTTTCTGGATTTGGTATAGATGATAAAATTTTTGTTATTTTACCCTTCGTTCTACTATTAACCCAGTTATTTACTATTTCTTTAGCTTCCTCACCATGATTATGAAAATCTACATTTATTATTTCACTTTTATATACTTTCTGATTAATTGCTCTAAATTCAGGTCGAATTGGATATCCTTCCTAAATTAGAATAAAATTAGTTTTTAGAAATAAATTAATAGAAATAAATTAATAGAAATAAATTAATAGAAATAAATTAATAGAAATAAATTAATAGAAATAAATTAATAGAAATAAATTAATAAAAATAAATTAATAGAAATAAATTAATAAATATAAATTCATAACAAATAAATTAATAGAAATAAATTTATTTTCCAAAATGATAAAATAATTAGGAATTAGAAAAAAAATGAAACGTATTTGGAATAATTTCACGAGCACAGAACAGAAAGTACATAAGTTTGTGGCGTCTTTTTTTTATAAAACAAACAAAAATTGAAATTTAAAAATATTTTTTTTACCTGAATAAAAATACCATTTGCATAAGTTGCTTGAGGACCAGGATTGTTTTTATTTCTACCAACCATACCAATTAAGAGTCCAAACATCTCGTGGACCACTTCTGAATGGCCAGAAACATCGACACCTGATTCTAGACCAAGAATTTTGGCAACCTCATCAAATGTATGTCCACCTGATGCTAAAAGAACAATTGCCATTGTTCCCGCTAAACTAAGTGGTGAAAAAACAATATTTTCTCTTTTTTTGCTTGCACTATTGCTGTTTTTATAAATTGCATCATCCATATCCAAGGCAAATTTTGTTATTCCTCTTGATATAATATTCGTTACCTGAAATAAATTTAGAGAAAAAATTTCATTAAATTAAAATTAAATAAATAGAATTAATAAAAATAATTAGGTAATTAAAATTAAATAAAAAAATTAAATAAAAATTTTAAAAATAATTAAATAAAAATAAATTAAATTAAAACTTACATGATCACTCCAATATTGAGGAAAAATATCATGTAAAGCTGGCGATTTATTTTCAGGCGAAGTACCAAAAAGATTTTCTACTATTAATAAAAATTAAAAAATATTAATTATCACATTTTTTTCTCAATTTTATTATTTTCTATTTTTCAAATTTTATTTTTTACCTGGCTTTGAAATTTTGTCATACTGCTGATCTGGATATATTAAAATCTGAGCTCTACTGGAAATTATAGCACAAAAAATAACAATAACTTGTTTCATATCTGAAAAAAAAATAGAATAAATTTATTAAAAAAAAATTGTAGCTAAATTATAAAGTTCAGACAGAATTTTGTCGTTTTAAAAAAATTATAGTCACCAAAGAGATTTCAATTAATTTTTTCTAATATGATGATATAAGTACAAGTTAGGAAAACCTCAATTTTTTTTTTTTTTTAAGATTTTCAAAAACAAAATTAGAAAAAAAATTAATTATATTAAAAACACGTTAAGTAAAAAATTGTAACAAAATAAGAAATTCGTAATTGAATATTTTAACATGTTTACATTATATTACATTGACATTAATTTTTCTTTTTTTTAATAATTTTGTTTATAAAAATGAAGTTGAATTTTTTTTCGCAGAGTTATTTAATATTTTTTAAATTTAAAAATTTTGAAATCTCTTATTTTGTTATTAATTTTATTTCACATTAAAAATTAATTAAATATTATTAAATATTATTAAATTATTATTAAATTAAATAGACAGTTGCACAAAGAACGCAGAAGCCATGTGTGTTTGAAGTATCAAGGTTACATTTGACGGTCTCGCGGAAATAAAATTGAATTTATTTTTTAAATTGTGAAAATAAATTGGAAAAAAACTTTTTTCAAAAATATTCGATTGTACTTACTGATTAGTTTTTTGTTTTTTTTTAGCTATAAAGATCTTCAGTGAACTCTCACAATTTTAACAAATCACTACAAATATTCAAGAGGATATGCCCCTCCATTGCTCACATTGATGCTATCTCCCCTACTCATTTTCTCTTTTTCTCTCTCTTGTTAGTATCTTTTACATTGAGAGAATCTGTATAGTATATATATATACATATATGAAGGTAAATTGTATGAATGCGTTCATCGTCAAGGTTTTAGCATAATATAAACCAATCTTTACATTAGTCACCAATGCAATAAATAAAGGTTTTTATCCTTTAAAAAAACACAAATTTTTCATTTCGTCAAACAAAAATAAATGAAATAGCAAATTTGCAAAATAATTTTGAATTATTAATATAAAAGAAACACCTACGTCAATTGGGAATTTCCCAACATACTTTTAATTTTTTAATATATATACATAGATGACGAATCTATCTTTCAATAACTTTTTCTTTACTTAATTAAAAGTTTTTTTTTCCCCAACAATATGTATTTTTAATATTTCCTAGAATCATATATTAAAATTTTTAATTAAAAATTAATGCAGAAATATCGCATAATAAAAAGACAATATTAAAAAAAATTATTTATTGGTTCATTGAAAAAACATGTGTATAATAATTGTACAGAAAAATTGCAACTGTAAGATATATAAGTGCTTATAACAAGTAAGTAAATCATTTCGAGTCTTATTATTATAATTTCTAGAAAGATTTCTTTTTTTTTTCCATTTTTTTTTTAATAAGAGAGGTTTGTGCAAACTGACTGTGAAATAGTAAAACTTTTTCAAGAATTTTCATTTTTAAAGCCTTTGTTTTCTTTTATTAAAAATTTAGAATTTGAAAGTCGCAATGAAATTATAAATACGGCATGAAAAAAAAAATAATCAAATTGAATTCTTTTATACAGTTATAAAAAAAAGGAATATTAATATTTTTTTTTCACCAAAATGCCGTTTACAATAATAACCATCAACTATTTTATTTTTTTTTTTTTTTTTTTTTTTTTTTTTGAAGTCTCTTTTTTTTCTGCATTAATAATTAATGTGAGTGAAATTTGAAGATTGACTATTAAAGATATTCCACAATGTCGCATTTGATTGATATATTCGGACAACTAGCGACATTGGCCCCATAATTATTTCGAGCTGTTTTATATCGTTGAGTTAAAAGTTTTTGAAAAATTGGCAAAATTGTCAAATCTAAAAGTTCACCATCTGACAATGCACTGTGCAAAATTTGAGATTCATTAATATTATTGTATCTTGCACGTCCACCACCACCGCTTACTGATGCAATTCCTACTCTTCCACGTGGATTATTAAATTTACTATAAACATTAGGTGTGCTCTGTACGTGTCTATTCAGTTTTGATTCATTGTGTCTACATTTGCGTGCAGTATTTGTCACCATGGTAGAAATTGGTCCACCACCGTGATGTTTGCATTTTATAAATTTTTCCCTTGATCTCTCCGATACAGAGCGCTGTATAAACGATGAATCATCATATTTTTCTATATAAAAAAAAAAACAAAATTAGTTTCATTATAATTACAATCATCTATTATACAAATTAAAAACAATTTTTGATATTTTTTCTCTGTCTGAAGAAAGGTACCAAAAAAAAAAAGACGAAAAAGTCGATTTTTATTTTGATTAAATTTAATTAGTTAATACTTTACTTTAAATGTTATTAATGTTATTAATAATTATAATAATTATATAATATTATAATAATATATGTATATAATTATTAATAATTATTATTAATGTTATTAGATATTAAATCAATTTTATTAATTTCTTATTAATAATAATTCAATAAGAATATTATCAAGAAAATTTATTTCCAATATTTCATAATATTTTTTTTAAATAATTGAATTTTCAAAGAAATATTAAAAATAATTATTTTTAATATTATTATTATTAATATTATTTAATCAATTATAATTGAACTTTCGAAGAGTTATTGTTGAAATTTTCAGAAATAATTAAATTTCAAAAGTTAAATTTCAGAAAATAAATAAATTTTACAAAAATTGGAAATAATTTTTAGATAACATTTTTCGAAAGTAATTGAATTTTCAGATTTACAATTCAAATTTTTGAAATTAATTCAACTTCAAGTGATTTTTAATTAAAAGAATTTATCAGAAATTACAGACAAAAATTGAATTTCAAAAGTTTTTAATTGAAAAATCCAAATAATTGAATATTTCAAGACTATTATAAAAATCATTTAAAATCATTAAATTTTCAAAGAATTACAGTTGAAATTTTTTTTTTAGAAATAATTAAATTTTAGAAGTTTTTAAAAAATTTTTGAAAATAATTTAATTCAAGTGATTTTGAATTGCAATTCTTTTTTTGGTAATTTCTATTGCTGAAGAATTTGATTAAAAATTAAAAAGAAAAATTGAACTTTAAAATTTTTATAATAATTCAAAAATGTTTTCAGATAATTAAATATTTTTAAATATTATAAAAAAATCATTAAAAATAATTGACATTCAAATGAATTATAACTGAAATTATTAAATTCCAAAAAAGTTTCAAATGCAAAAATTTTTAAAATAATTTAATTTCAAAATTTTTTAAATTTTCGGTAATTTTATTATTTGATTTTTTATTTATTTTTTAATTTTTTAAATTTCATAAAATTTATAATTGAAAAATAATTTAAAATAATTGAATTTGTAAAGAATTAATATTAAAAGTAATTAATTTTAGAAAAAAAATTGTTTTCCTTTTTTTGGAGCGCGACAAATAATTATTTTGATATTAATAAAAATTTAAATAATAATTCCAAAAAATATGTGACATGCATGAAGAATGAAATTCTTTAAAGCGCATCGCATATAAAAATACCTGTATCTGAATAACTGGCATTGACACTTGTTGAACTAATACTATTATAAGCATCATTAGGTTTCCTGAATATTGCTACTGTTGATTCTTTAGAAGTATTATAACCACGTCCACCATGTTTCTCGCATCGATAACCAGCAATTGCTGTTTTTTTATGTCCACATTCATAATGTTTATTGAACGTTTCCTCATCGTCATCAATTTTTGTCGATATATTATCGCTTGATATATAGCTAATTGTATTTGTTGTTGGAACGCTTGTTCTTCTTTTTTTATTATCAAACAATTCGTGATGTGAATGCACCAATTCATTGTCCTTTGCTGAACATCTTCTTTTATTTAAAAATATTTGTTGTGTCGCCGCGGAAGCCGAAGGTATAGTCATTGTTCGTGAACCATCTGAAAAAAAAGAAAGAAAATATATATAATAAAATTCGAAAATAAAAAAATTTCTATTTTATAAAAAATAATTTACCAGTTATTAAACATCGATGTTTTTGTTGCATTCCAGATGGTGGGAATAAAGTATTTTGTTTCGTATTAATTTTCTCCCACAATTCTTCATCGGTGAATGCATTAAATGAAACATTTTTCGACATCACTGGCGTTGGCATTTTTGCTCTTTTAATAATATCAGTTTTATTTTTATATTCATTTGTTTTTTCAACAATACCATTATTACAATTATCAACTTTATTGTTTAACATTGAAATAATTGAATTGTCATTAGTTTCTAATAATTCTTGATGTTTAATCTGCTTCTTCTTCCTTTTTTGATCCTCCATTAATTTATTATTGCCAATTGTGAATTTTAATTTATTTTTCTCTCCAATTTGTTGTTCTTTCATATCGCCATTAATTTCAGTTTCTAATTTTTCTTTATATTTTGAACGACAATTCTCATCCTCGGAATAAATTTGATTTGAAGATTCATTTGATAATTGATCGTTGATACCAGTTTTTATCTCTGTAACTCCATTCATATTGATGTTGGGCATCGTCTTCTTCCTGGAAAACCCACCACTGGACTATCTCAGGATTGATGAATGATTTTGTCTGTAGTTAATTCGTCACAAATCGCTTTTTTTTTGCTAAAATGCGAAATGCACAAAGCAACAAGTATAAGAGAGGAAAGGAAAAAGGAATGAAAATTACCTCCAGATGGTTTATTTCAGTAAGCTTGGAAATTGTATAAAAAAAAAAAAAGAAAATAAAATTTATGAAAAAAAATTAAATATTGAGAAATTAATACCTTTTCGGAAAGGATAAAAAAAAAGTGTTTAGGAGAGAAATGTGGAATTTGATAGAAAATTTCAATTGTTTAATTTATCGCTTCTTATTGATAAAATATATAATATTTTATATTTTATCAGTGTTTGTTTCTTTAATTGTATATTATTAATGACTCAGATTCAGACAAGGACATTGCAAAAAAGATCAATAAACTATAGTAAATGCATACTCAATCCAAACATATATAAATAGTAATTCAAATTGTCAAACATTTTTTTTTTTTCTTTTCTTTTCTTAAATACATCCGTTTTGTAAGCTTTCACAAGGCCACATTCCTTTAGAAAGTTAAATTTATTGTTACAACTTCTCTTTGAAAAGTGTCATGGACACGTGTTGTTTACACTCAAGTTTATTGCTCCTCTACTCTCTATTTAATGTCATTTAATTCTCAATACTGATTTTAAAAAAAGAAATTTTAATCAATTTTCGAGAAATTAAAAAAAAAATGTTTGGCGAAAGTTTAGTTTAGTTTTTTTTTTATGAAAAAAAGGAACTTTTGTATATTTCTAAAAAAACGTTTTAAATTAAAAAATATTTGACAACAAGAATCTACAATGACATTGTAAGAACTACTTAAAAATTGTCAAACTAATGATGCACTTAAGCGACAATTAAAATGAGAGAAACATCTCAAAAAAAAAAAAAAAAAAAAAAAAAAAAAACAATAGGCCATGTCGTAACAATATTTAATATTTTTAAAGTTCATTAAAAAATCCCTTCTGCTTTTTTTCAATTTTATTTCTATTTGAATTTTTAAAAAATGTTAATTTAAAAAAATAAAAAAAATGTTAATGTAAAAAATTGAAAAAAAAGGTTAATTTAAGAAAATAAAAAAAAATGTTAATTTAAAAAAATTAAAAAAAATTTTTTAAAAATAAAAATCAATTTTTATAAAACAATTTTGAATAGTAAAAAAATAAAATGAAGCGAAAATTAAATAAAGCAGTAAATAACTTTCAAAAATAGTAAATATTTGGTACACAATACTAGAGACACATGAAAAATAGACGAAAGATGAAAATCTGAAATATGATTGTTAGCATGCCCCACTATTGTTGCGTTTATTGTTCATTTAATTTTATACAATATATAGGCTTTTGAAAAGCCTACTGATATAAACTCCCTGCGGTAGCATTCCCTTATCATGCCCTTATTTTTTATTATTGTTAGTTGGAAGCAAAAAGACTGCAAACATGGGAAATTCAACTCAAGTACGTTTTTTTTTTCAAAAAATTTAAACTTGACTTGAATTTCCTATTTTACTATTATTTTTTTTTTGTTAATCGGAAGCCAAAATGAATGAGATAAATGATGATCATGATGATGTTTATGATGTTGAAAATATATAAAATCACGCGCAAAAAATATTTGATGTTCAATATTGTAAACAAATGCATAAAATTTTGAACTTTGTATTTTCATATTATTATTTTAATTAATATTAATTAATTATTATTATTTATTAATTAAGCTTCAGCCTTTCGGCCCAGAAGTGTAATATTAATTAATTAAAATTAAGTAATTAAAATTAACTACTATAAAATAATTAATTGAGTAATAATTAATATTCATATTTTTACAATGAAAAAAAAATTTATTTGATTGAAATAATCGGTTACTCGACTATATATTTATTTGAATTAATTAATTATTATTTTTATCAAACAAATATTTATTTGAATTAAATAATCATTATTTTTATCAAATAAATATTTATTTGAATTAAATAATTATTTTAATCAAATAATTTTTTTTTTCAGTGTAGAAATGAATATTTCCGTTATTAAAAAAGTGTTTCTAATATTTCAAAATTTTCCTTATGCATCTGTTAATATTGAACATCATAATAGAAGTTGCAATTACAAATATAGTCCATACGAAATGAATTAATTCCGTGCACTTGGCTATTATAAAGTGAAACAGATAAATTAAGCATTGACGCACTTAATGAGGTGTTGTTCAATGGAGCTCACGTTAACGTAATCTCCTTCAGTTTGAGATAGAACAGTTGTTGAATTCAAACTGCACATAGAAACTGAAATATCAGTTGTCTCAGTGTTCACAGATGGACCTAATTTTTTTTTTACAAAATATACTCTCTTAATTAGTGACATTTTTTTTTAGCGAATAAATTAATATTAGAGAATAGAAAAATATTAGTTTAGAAAAATATAAATTTAGAAAATAATTAGAAAAATAGAAATTTAGAAAAATATTAGTTTAGAAAATAATATTAGTGTATAGAAAAATAATTAGAAAATATTGCTGATTAATAAACTAATAACAAGTATTGTTTAACCTTCTTTTTTTATCACTACATCTTGTCTTGGAATGTGAAGCCTACTAATCATAATTTCTTGTGTATTTCCTAATTCATCATCACCGAGCCTTCTCAAATACATCTGAAAAAAAAAATAAAACAAAATTAACAAAATCGAAATAATAAAACAAAATATTAAAACTTACTTGCAATTCCGATTCTCTGTCAAGAAGTTGTTTTCTATATTTTTGATTTGTTGTCGTTACTTCTTTTAAACGATCCTCCAATTCGCTAATAGTGGAATCTTTTCTTGTTTTAGACATTGGTTTTAAAGTTGTTCTAGATCTTCTATCTATGGCACCTTGTGGGTTTCTTCGTAATTCTATAATCTAAACATATAAAAATTCCAATTAAAATGAAAATCTTTCAAAAAAATTAACTAATCTCCTAAAAGAATAAATTAAATTTCCGAATTGGACCTTTTTTTCGGACGATGGGAAAATTTGAATATTACTGGAAATTTTTAAGCTTGCAACAAAAATGCTTAATATAAAAATTTTTAATACAAAAAATCAGGTACCTTTGGAACAAATACGAGGCACAAAGTGGCCGTGCTGCAAAATATGATAAATACTGCCAACATGATAAACATGGCATCCTGCTTATCAGCTAAAACAATGCTGATTGCTGCACCAGTGATGCACATTATAACAACATTATAAACGCTCATACCTACATATTTACTATCATTTAATGCTGGTATACTGACATGACGTGTTTCCCATGCTAAAAATGCACCAAAGATCTGGAAATATTAAAAGAGAAATTAAATTTTTCTCGAAAATTAAAAAAAAATTTTTTTTTTTCTTTTTTTTTGAGAAAAAAATAAAATAAAATTACAAAAAAATTTATTCACCATTAAAAGACCTTTATAAGCGTAAATAATTCCCAAATAGACGGACATTCTGTTGCTTTGACAGTATTCATTTTCTGGTATTATCATAATATCTTCATTTGCTGGATGTGGCTGAAAACAAAAAAATTTTCTTTTTGTTTGCAAAAAAAAAATTTGCAAATATACTTACATATGCGTCCATCTCTTTAGTTTCTCTATAAAAAGGATCAGCAACTTGCCACGTTGTCATAATTATCAAGTCCATAAACAGTAATATTCCCACTACCATGAAAAGTTGATAATCTGTTATTACCTGTTTTTTAAAAAAAAAAAATTGATTAATAATTTACACAGCAAATATATAATTATTGAGAGATAAAATGCGTTATTTCTTTATAAAAATCAACAGTTAATATTGCAATTGAATATCTATTATTGAGTCATAGAATATTGTTTAAAAAAATTAAATAAACTTTTTTTCAAATTAAAAATCAATTTCTATTTTTTTTTAAAGTTTAAATATTTCCCCCTTACTTTTTTATTAAGTTTTACATCAGTGAATATGGAATGAACTCTCCAAGTTTTAGAAAACATGGAACCAAAGGCTAAGGAAAAACCTGCCATCAGTAACCATGCTCGGGCAGTACATATATAAGGAAATGCAGTGACACTTGATAATTGTGAATCTAATCCCAAAAAAATTACACTACTGTAAGTCAATATGCATCCCACAATAATTAGATTATTTAAATGGGGTGATGACATTTTTATGTATCTGTAAAAAATATTCCCAAAAAAATTAATTAATATATATAAGTATATTTTCAGGAATTATTTAATTATAATAAATACCTCTGATTTCGGTACTTAATATTAATAGCAAGAAATACAACTGCCATTACAATTCCTCCACTTGCCGCTGAAGCAAGAGCAGCATATATTTTAATATTGACTGTTGAATGTTCAGTAATATGAACAGTACGATCTTTTGGTGGTGATCTACCACGCCACAGTAAAGGATGTCCTTTACTTAAATCTAAATTATCCATAATACCATCGTATTCTCCAACTTTCACCTCACTTCCGCCTGTAAAAAAAAAAATTATTAAATTATTTTTACAAATATAATCAATATAATTAGAAAAAAAAAAATTATTAAATTATTTTTACAAATATAAACAATATTGTTTGCCATATTTTAAAATATTTTATTACTATTTTTTTTTATTATTAAATTTTTATTTTTTTAAATTATATTTTTAATTAATTTTTTTATTTTTATTATTATATTAATTGATATTTGATAATTCTGTAATTGGTCCAAGTGACTGTTGGATTTATTTCAATAAAAAAAATAAATAAATAAATTAGTATTTGTACTGTAAAATTATTATTAAATTAATTTTCTTTTTCCTTCTATATTTTATTTTTTATATTATTGTTACTATTTTATAATAATGTATTGCCCCATGATTAAGGGCTGTAATAAATAAATAAATCATACTCACTTTGAAACTGTTTTAGTAAAATACACGCTTTCCTCTCATTATCATAGAAGCGCACTGGACCCTGTTAAATAAAAATTAATAAAATTAATTATTAATTAATAAAATAGTTCAAAAAGCACTTATGTATTTATACTTACAGTAACTCCTTCAAAACTTGTATTTCTCAAAGCTTCTAAAAAAAGTTTTTCCCAAAGAGCATCTCTGTATTGAAAATCAGCTACTGTTTGATTTCTACGAAAATGTCGTATTCTTTTTGTAACATGTTGAATTGCTAAAGCTACTGCCCAAATTCCATCGTAAGTATAGCCATGAAATCTTGAGTATTCAGTCCCTCTTCTTGAGTCATATTCCAGTCTGTATTCTTCTGGGGTCTAAATGAAAAAAAAAAAAACCAATGAATTATTTTTTTTCTACCTGCAATAATAAATTATAAATAATTCGTTTTTTTTTACAATTCCAGAAACTGTGAGTTGTTTTTCTGTTGCTAAAGGAAGAAGATCAGTCAAAATTGTTCCATGCAATGCTTCTGATAATTCTGATGGTGCACAACCGCCACCTGGACGTAGCCACCATTCTTCAGCGTAAGTTCCCATAATTACCCATTGATATTTTCTGCCAAACATTCCAAGTCTGGAAAAAGGGATCCATTTTTAATTGTAATTAAAAAAATACAAAAATAGTAAAAATAAAAAATAATAAATAATAAAAATTAATAAATAATAAAAAAAATAAAGAAGAAAGAATAATAAATAATAAAAATTAATAAATAATAAAAAAAATAAAGAAAAATAAATAATAAAGAAGAAAGAATTAATTTTAATACCTGTAAACTTCGCAAAAAATTCGACGAGCCCATCCTTCATTAAAATTTCCCAATATAATTCTAACATCCTTGTATTTTAATTTTTCCAATGCCGATGTAACTTCCAGTGAAAAACTCTGCGTTTCAATTACTTCTAATTTTGTATCATCCAAATCAGCAACAAGTCTATTGTGAGCCTAAAATTTATTTAAAAAAAATTTTCTATTGCAATTTATTTTATTTATAAAATTTATTAAAAAAAAATGAAAATTGATGAAAAATGTTGTTTACCAATGCATATCGAGGTTCATTCTGATAAATGGTGCCAACTTTTGTCCAATTGAATTGCATCAATAGAGCAACACGTGGTGCATTAAATGCATTCTCCGATGGTACCACTCGAAAGAAATTTGGAAAACTGTCACTAGTAAACATAGGATGCGTATCGGCATAACTTAGCTGTAATTAGAAAATTAATTAATTAAATTGAAAATAAATTTATTTCTATTCAAATAATTTTTTATTATTCAAACAATTTTTTATCATTCAAATAATTTTTTATTATTCAAACAATTTTTTATCATTAAATAATTTTTTATTATTCAAATAATTTTTTATCATTCAAATAATTTTTTTATTATTCAAACAATTTTTTATCATTCAAATAATTTTTTTATTATCAAATAAAATATTTACTTGGGCCAAACAATTTTTACTCGGATCAAATAATTTTTATTTAAAACAATAATTTTTGTATTTAAATAAATAATTTCTGAATTTGAAACAATTATAGCTGACTGAATAATTTTTTGATACGTAAATAATTTTTTTTTCAATTTGATAATTAATTAATTATTAATTTTTGTAAATTAGAAAATTTACCTGCGTTAATCGCCAATGTTTTGATGCTTTAGCAATGGGATCAGTAACCTGTGTACATGCTGCTCCAAACAACATTACTTTATGAGGTCCACTGTGCATCATATCAAAAAATGCTTTAACTCCAACAGCTGCATTGCACTGTAAATATTTCGAAAAAAAAATAATTTTATAATACAAATAATAATAAATATTAATTAACATAGAAAAAAAATAAAATTACCTCTGTATCATTCCACCACATGTGCAATCGATAATTTCTAAGAATAGCAGGATTTTCATTGATATGATCAACAGCAAGTTTTACAGATGGCATAACACCACGACCAACATGACTTTCAGGAACATGTCTTCCATAAGGAAAAAATCCTGCAATATAGACATCTTTTCTTTTAACACCACCAAGATTTATTGGTTTTTGACCATAGCATATTGTATTTAGGCACAAAGTGACAATACAAAATTGGATGCATAAATTTAGCAACCGATGCTTTCGATGTCCCAGCGAAACGTTGCTGCTGGCCATTTTTCCAAATATCAGATTATTTTTTTAGGTTTTCTCATCATCAAACATTAAATTACTTTATTCAATTATATATATATAGATATATATTGTATAATAATAATCATCATGACATTATAAAAAATTTTCAGATTCATTCAAGTTTTCCAATATTATAAATCCAAAGAAATGTCATCATCAAATTCATTTAGAAAAAATTTCATTTTTTTTCTCAATTCCAAAATTTATTTATCTAATTTTGGATCATCATTTTCATTTTAGAATTGTCATTGATAATTTTGTTCTAAAATTAATAAGACACACAAATACCCTTGAAGTTCAATTCTGAAATTAAAAATTAAAACGTTAGTCAAGTATTTTTTGATGAAAAAAAAAAATGTTTTATTTTTAATATCTGAATTTTATTAAAAGAAAAATTATTTTAAAAGAATATGCAGAATTTTTTAATTAGCAAATTTATATAAATATAGACACTTAAAAATAGTATATTAAATATTTAAACTAAAAAAAAAAATAGTTGAATCAATTTCATAATCAAAATTCAATAATAACAACAACTTACTAATCGATATTTCTCAAAGAATTAGAAAATAATCAAAAAAAATTATGATTATTTAAAAAAAAAAAAAAAAAAAATTACACTTTCTCATGGCGGTCGATAACAGTAACATCAGCAGGAGCAGCAGCACCAGCACCAACCACCAGTAATCGATCTTTCACGAATCAGTTAAAATTATTATTATATAGTTGCAGAATTTAAATAGCCAATGAATTTTCGAAATTCAATTGTTCTTTTCTTTGTTTCTTATTTTAATATCCGATGAACTTGTCATCATTTTAATTCAATCACTTTGTTTGCCAGTCGCAAAAATTTTTTTTCTATATTGATTGTAACACTGAACACAGTAAAGGGGAGAATTTTCCTCGAGGGTTGAGAGGTCACACATTTAACGAAAGAAACATTGCTCTTGCTGAGCAAATGAGTATAGGGTCGGTCTTGCGCAGTTATCTGTTCTATACATATTGGTATAGGTACAATGAACTTTTAATTTTATAATAAAACGAAAAAAATTTGGCCAAGTTATCAAAAAAAATTCGAGCAAACATATTTTTCTTTGTCCGCGAATAATAATTTTAATAGATCATCAAACTCCCGACGTATATTTACTTTTTGGTTACAAAATATTGTAACCAAAAAGTGAATATTTTCAAAAAATAAATAAAAATTAAATGTTTTTTATTTAGATTAATTGATATTTTATTATTAAAATTAATAAAAATTGTTCCAAAGGAATTATTCGATTTTTAGGTTATAAATCAATAATTTTTTAATAAATACTAATATTCCTGTAAACTTAAAGCCTTTATGTGTAAATAAATAAAAAAAATTAATTTTTTAATTAACAAAACAAAATAATCATTATGAAAACATATAATAAAAAAATTTTTTTAATCTAATTTCAAAAAAAATTACATATTCCCGCCACTATTTACTATTGGCTAGTGACTGACATCTTATGAATTTTATAAAGCTTGAAATTTGGCAACATTGCCATTGTTTCTATTAATTTTGGTTAGTTTTCTGTCATTTTCAGTCAACAATAAGTAAATTTTAAATTATTGTTTATAATTGTTGCCTCTCATCTCGTTTCTATTATATACAATTAGAAAAACAATTACAATAAAATTGAATTTTTATCACATTTAAATGGATAATATATTTAATAAAATTATCGCTGGAACTCCAGAAGAAGTACAACAAAGTTTAGAACAATTTTATATTAATGTAAGTTAATTAAAAAAAAAAAATAATAATTTCGATTAGAAATTTTATCCAAAAGAAAATATTTTTAATTTATTTATAATTGGCAGAAATATTTTTATATCACTATAAATCTAAATAAATATTTTTGACAATTATAAATAAATATATTTTCTTTCGAATAAATATTTTGCCTGTAAAATTTTAAATAATAATTTTTTATGAATAATTCCATAAAAATAATAATTAAAAATATATATTGACAGTATGGAAATAAGTCAAAATTTGAGGAATTAAATAAAGAAAATATACGCCTGGATGTTTGGCAAGCATTATTTTGTCATCTTTTAAATGATAGTTATTCAATAGTTCATAGTCAATGTTTAACAACACTTCGTATACTCAGGTGAGTAATAATAATTTAATTTTCAAATTTTTAAGTAGGTTTCTATTTTATTAAATAGTTAATTATAATTTAAAGTGTTTTAAAATATTTTTTTTAGTCGCGATAAAACAGACTTGGATAATATTATTACCAAAGAAAATCTTAATACTGTATTAAAAAATGCAAGCCTTTTAGAAATAAATAAGGAACAACCACCTCAACCAGGTAATTTAATTTAATTTATATTTATTATATTCTTTCAAATCATAATTGTAAAAATTTTCTTCTATAGTTATTTTCGAGGGACAAAAATTACTTTGTAATCTGTTATTTAACAGTGTAAAGGTACAAAAAATGATAGTAAATACTAGATATTTAACATCACTTATTGAACGTATCAATAATCCAATTGAATGTTTTACACAAGAAATGCGATTATTTGATGTTCGAATTTTATTTTTGGTAACTGCTTTAAATATTTCATCGAGAAGTATAGTTAAAAATCAATTTAATGGCGATGAATGTCTTATAAAAATATTACAAGAAATATCATCTCATTCAAGTCCAATAAAGGTAATTATTTTATTTTTCATAATTGTAACTATATTTAATACTAAATATAAAATTGTTTTACAGGAAGATGACATAAATTTTGCTTGTGAAATTTTAAAAACACTTTTTAATTTATATATTCACGTTGAAGATCTTAATGATGAAATTAAAAATAAATATAATAATTTAGTATCAATTTTACGGAAATTAATTCTTTGTGAATGTGAAATGAAAAGAGAAGAACTATACAGGTTTGATATTTTGAATTTATTTAATATTTGCTGTTTAATAATTGATAGGTTAAAATATTCTTTTTTTTCCAGTAATATCATTAATTTATTGACAGAGGTTCCACCAGAAAGTTATTCATATCTCATGGAATCAGCAGAAAAAGATAATTGTACGAATGTCTATGAAAATATGGACATGTCGGTAATAAAAGTTTTACTCCAACTTTTAGATATTAAACTAGAATATAAAATAGATTTAATAGAAAATCTCACGCCAATTTTGTCCTGTTTAATCAAATTAGCAGAAAAAGAAAGATTAATAAGGAAATTTATGCGTCTAGAGGTAATTATAATTTTTCGAAAGTTTTTTATTTTTCAAATTTTACTTATTATTATTATTTTTTTTGTAGATTTTACCACCTTTAAAAGATGTAATGAAAAGACCCGAGGAAGGTAATACCATAAAAGCAAAATTATGTCAACTTTTAACATCACCAATAACCGAAATACGAGATTTAGTTGCAGAATTTTTATTTATCCTTTGCAAAGAAAATGGTATTTATAAAAAAAAAAATTAATTTTTATAAATTTTAATTTTATAACATTAAATATTTAATTTTCCTTAAACAGTTGATCGAATGATAAAGTATACGGGTTATGGAAATGCAGCAGGAATGTTTGCAAATAAAGGTTTGCTAGGTAATCAGCAACCAAAGACTAATTACTCTTCAGAATCTGAAGACAGTGAAACTGAAGAGTATTCAAAGTACAAAGAACAGTAGGTTTTTTTTTCTCTAAATTTCCTTAAATGTAGATTTTTATTTAATTTTCTAAATCAATTGCCAGAATTAATCCAGTTACGGGATGTTATGAAAAACCAAAACCAAATCCACTTGAAGGAATGAGCGAAGAGCAAAAAGAATATGAAGTTATGCAATTAATAGGACTTGTTGATAAATTAACAAGGTACACGTAATTTTTAATAAATTGTTAATTATAAAAAATTAAGATTTAAAAATTTTGTTTTTTCTCTTTCTAGAGAGGGAATAGTGCAACCTTGTCGAATTGGTGAAGATGGAAAACCAGTAGCTATAGAACATGTTCTTGAATTACAAAATAATCTTTCTAAACAACAAATATCTTCCGATACATCAGACTCCGATTAATTTTTCAATTTTTTTCACTTGCATTTATTTATGTATTTTATTTACATATACTATTTATTTTTGTAAATCCCCAACTTACTGAAATATATGAGAATTAAAATTAAATTGTATTCAAAATTTTGTCTAAAATAAAAAATAAATCAACAATTAAATATAATCTAGTAATTTTAATTTATTGACAACAATTGTAGAACATTATTTTCATTATATTTATATAGAAAGTACACAACTATTATTACTGTGAAAAAAAGAAAAAATTGTAATCCTCCATTTATTCTTTTGGTAGTTTTGGTGGAAATGCATTGAAGAAAAATTGATCTGATTGTACTATCTGTAAAGAGATAAAAAATTGTTTAATATTTTTTTTTTTAATTTAAATGAATAGAAAAAAATTAATGTAAACATTCGTTAGTTTAAATACATACATATCCAATAGTAGCAGACAAAACTGCTAGGCCTGCTACTAATTGCATATTATATGTTTTTTGTTTTTCATTATAATTTTGTTGCCAGCATCCTTGAGGAATTGGAAGCTCATTCATATGAGGTCGTCTAGGATCTATTTTTCCATGAGATGAATAGCGAACTCCTTTAAATAAATAAATACAAATTTAAAATAATAATTTAAGTTCCATTAAGAAATAACGACAGCAAAAATTCGTTTCCGAAACCTATTACATAACTTTGATTTGAGGTTAGGAAAAAAAATTTTCAGTGTTTTTAATTAAAATTCTAATCATAGAGTTTCTAAAATAATGTTAATTTTTGATAAAACTGAAAGAAATTTATTTAATCAATATTAGCAAATAAATATCAATTACCATTTTGAGATACTTTTCGAATAACATGTCTGGCTGCTTGCAACATTTTGAAAAAAAATTGAACAATTTAGAACTACTGTTTATAATTTATAACAAAATTTAATCTTTAATTAAATAATCACTTGATTATTTAAAACACGAATGTGAAGACTTCTCTTCAGATCCCAATTTTTTGTTCTTTAAGGTGCTTCCATACCTCTAGCAATTTGGGCTTTCACGTTTTGATTGGTTTTTCCCATAGACCCAACCTAAAAATTTGTGATAGCAGCCTAATTATTGTGAACTTAACCTAAAAAAAAAAATTGAAAATTTAGAATTGGTGTGAAAGTAACCGATTATATTACTTTTGAAATTGAATTTTAATTGGATATTTCTCTTAAAACATTTCCCAAGTTTTTACACCTGTCATTAATGCCTAATAAAGCTTTATCTAATTTATCTTATTATTTAGAGACATAGAATCGCGTTTATATACGTAATATTTAAGTTTGCATATTTAGTGTAATTAAATTTTATTAAAATATAATAATAAATTATATAGAAAGTGATGACGTAACTAACATTAGAAAAATATAAATTCAATAACTCCAGTGTTGTTTTCGTTTATAATTAATTAATTTATTTAAAGTGATGAGTTTATTTCTTGTGTAAGTAAATATATATTACAAATTTTAAATACATATTTAAAATTTTACTAAGAACGCAGACGCCAAATGCAATGGAAGCTGACAAGTGCAGTAAACCTATGTTTATTGTTTTTAATTTATTTCTTTAATTTTTCTTTAATTTAATATAATATATAGTCAAAAATTGTTTTAATAATTAAAAAAAAATTAATATTTTCATTTTTAAAGATTCTCAAGAAAGTTTTGTTCAACAAAATATTGTCAATGACAATATGGAAATGAAAATTAATTTGAATGACTATAACAAGTGGGTGGAGCATTGTCATTATTAAAAATTAGTGTATTACGTTCTTTTATCAATGTTGATATATTATTTTCAGTTTATGAAGGACACTGAAGATTTTTTTTTTTACATTTATGATTAAGGTTAATATACCTTGTGACGTTTTTATTATTCATTTACGTCTATTGCGTTCTCAATTATAAGGAATTTAAAAGTGACATGAAATCAAAATAATTAAAAAAAAGACGTCAAATTTTAAACGGATTTGGTTATTTGATTATTAAGAAACAAACAAAAAGAAAAAAAAAATGGCTAATGAAACAGAAACATTCAGACATACGAATGAAATTGAGGAGACTGAAGGAGATGCAGATGATATTGATGAAGAAGGATCAGATGGAGTTGTAATTCCCGAACTTCAAGGAAATTTATCAAAATGGACAAATTATATACATGGATGGCAAAGTAGATTTATTGTTTTAAAAAATGGTACATTGTCTTACTATAGATCGGAGCAAGACAGTGGTTTTGGTTGTAGAGGATCCATAAGTCTTTTTAAAGCAGATATAAAGGTAAATAATTATCTATAATTCAATTGGAAAACAAAATTAATAATTAAAAATTCTTTTAGGCTCATGAATTTGACGAATGCAGATTTGATGTGTCTGTGAATGATTGTTTAGTTTGGTATTTAAGAGCAGGTACACCTGAGGATAAACAACGTTGGGTTGATGTTTTAAAATCTTACAAGGTAATAATTTCTATCTTTTTTAAAAAAATTTAATTTTTTAATTAATTAATAATTAATTTTTTTTCTCTTTTCAACAGTCAGAGTCGGGATACGGTAGTGAAAATAGTTTAAAACGTCATGGAAGTGCAATTTCTTTAATATCAAATACCCAATCAACAACAAGTGCTGGTAGTTTTAGTAAACGTGGTGTTAGAAGTTTAAAAGAAAAACTTGCCGAAATTGAAACCTTTAAGGATATATTAATTCAACAAATAGATACATTGCAAAAATATTTTGATAATTGTGCAGAGAATTCAAAAAATGTTAGTAAAAATAATTTTACAGGCGATAAAGGTGAAAAAAATTTTAATCCTGCTGAATTATCAGTGGATTTTAAAGGTGAAGCAATTACATTTAAAGCAACAAGTGAAGGTGTACTTGCAACATTACAACATTGCGTTGAATTAATGGGACAAAGAGAAGATGCATGGCGACGAAGATGGGAGAAAGAAGTTGAAAAAAAACGTAGAATGCATGATTTGTATAAAAATTTAAAGGATCAAGTCACATTACAAAGTGGCGAATCGCCAAGACCACGAGTTCTTATTCATGGTGGTCCAGATTATGAGGTAAATAGAAAATTTTTATTTATTTTCTGCGAAAAAAAAAAATGATAATTATTTACCTCATAAATTATTTCCAATTATTAATAATATTTAATTTATTTGCAATTATGATGTAAGAAATTTTTCAATATAATAAATTCGTAGTTTTTAATTTTGACTTGCAAATAATGTCTCTATAATTGGAACATTAACACTTTTCTAATTATATTTTTTTGTAGTAATTCCTTTGTGCATGTATGTGTGTGTGTGTGTATTTTCAGTTATTTCATGAATATCATGTTGTGAATACTAATGAAAAAATAATCCACGTGGAGAAAGTAGAATTACGATGACAGTTGCGCGATAGTGACGTTATTTTTATTCTGTGTCAATTGTTTTAGTTTAAATTTTAAAAAAAATTAAATTATTTTTAATTTAGAAAAAAAACTTTTGTTAAAATATGTTTAAAACTCTTTCCATTATTGTAAATGTAAGTTTATGCAAAAAATTGCAATTGTGTAATCACTGATATAAAATTACTACAATGTGTTTTTAATTTATTAGGAGGGTCCACATAGTGCACTTTGTGACGAGGAATTTTACGATGCTGTCGAAACAGGATTAGACAGAATTGAAGAGGAAAATTTATTAAAAGATCGTTTAAAACAAAAATCAGTTGTACTTCCCACAGCTTCCACAACTCCTGCAATTAAGCATCGACTTTGGTCTGAGGTAATTAATTTAAAAAAATAAATTTAAAGAGACAAAAAATTTTTCTCACGAAAATTAATTAATTTTATAGATAGAAAAAATAACAATGGAACAATTACATTATGCGAGACTTGGAATGGGAGCAGGAAGTTGGATGTTATTTGCTGAAGATGGTGATATGCGTATGTATAGACGAGAAGAAGAAGCTGATGGCTTAGTTGTAGATCCTTTAAAAGCTTGCCACGTAGTTAAAGGAGTTACTGGATACGAGGTGTGCAAAATATTTTTCAGTCCAGAATATAGAAGTGGATGGGAATCAACATTAGAGGATATGTCGATTATTGAAACAATATCAAAGGATACTTTAGTGTTTTTACAAACACATAAAAGAATTTGGCCAGCAAGTCAAAGAGATGCTTTATTTTGGTCGCATATGCGTAAAGTACCAGATGATCAAGATCCAGACAATCAAGATGTTTGGATTGTTTGTAATCACAGTACAGAATATCCAGATCATCCGGTAAATAATTTTATTTTTAATAATAAAAAGAAAAATATATAAATTTTCAAAAAATTGAAATTTAAAAATAATTCTTTTTAGCCCAATGTCAATAAATGTGTTAGAATTTATCTAACCGTTTGTTTGGTTTGTCAAACTGTAATTGATCCACCAAAAGATAGAGAAATCAGAAGGGAAGATATTACATGTAAAATAACGTATTGCTCCGTTGGTTAGTATTTTTTTCATATAATTATTTTGTAAAATTTATTTGTTATTAATTAATTTATTTGTTTTAGTTAACCCCGGTGGCTGGGCACCATCATCAGTGTTACGTGCTCTTTATAAAAGGGAATATCCCAAATTTCTTAAACGCTTTACAAGTTTCTGTAAGGAGCAATGTGAAAACAAGCCAATTACATTCTAATACATTCAAATTCTCGCAGATTATAATGATTTAATTATAATATATATATATATATATATATATATATATATATATTCTTTATGACACTATTAAGTGAAACCATTTTAATCCAGAGAGAATTAGAAAATATTTTTGCATTATTTTTTTAAAATGTTCTTTAGTCTCTTAAAAATTATTATTTCTTTTTTTTAATTTCTCTGTAAACAATGTGGATAAGAATATGAAACTTGCATACTTTTTTTTTATACAATTTACTTATCAGTTGTCATTAACATATTAACAAAAAATTCATTTGAACAAAGAGAATTGTGATTTGTTTTTTTTTTTAAATATTAAAGTCAAAGTCCATCTGTACAAAAAGGATAAACCTATATACTTATTGATAAATAATTAACGGGAATCTGTACATTAAATATTCGAGTTAATAATTATTTTTATTTATGTAAAAATATGTTTATGGATGTAAGATCACTAATGGTGAATCATAATAAAGACTGTTGCAGGTTTATGTACATTTTGATTAAATATTTTGATTTAAAAACTATTTAGATGTAAAAATAATTTTTTTTTTATTACTTTTAATATAAAAGTAAAAAAAAAATGGTTTAATACTTAGTCAATTTATGATAAATACTTTTTTTAAAAAAAAGTATATTAAGAGACCGAAAGAGCTCCACTTGTTTTTGATACTTTGGAAATTTCTTCTTTAAATTTTGCAATTGTTTCTCTGGCAAGTGTCAATTTTTCTTTTAATTCACCAACTTCTCCTCTAACTTTATTTCTTGCTTCCATTATTGCTTTTAAAGTGTATTCTTTTTTAGCTTCAACTGCAAAAAAAATTATCATTAATATTCTTTTTTTTTCAAAATATTTATAATTTTATTTTATACTCACAATCGGTTTCATGACGCCAAGCACCTAAAGTTAATGGTTTTGTTGAACTTAATAATTGTTGCATAAGTGCTGTTGGATCTTGAAATATTATTTCTTCATAAAATTCCGAAACTAAACTCTTTTTTCCCAATTGAATTTCAGGTGTTGATTGAAATAATTTTAAAATATGATATATTGTCACCTAAAATTAATAATTAATTTATTATTATTATTATAATTTTTTATTTATAAACATATATATTTTGTTAAAAACTTACTGGACGTTCATTTGCATCGTGAAAGTAGATTTTAATAACAATTTCAAATTCACCCCAACCTGTTTCTGTTAATTCATATGGTGGCTTTGTGACAATTCGATTTGGATTATTATAACTTTCATGTAATTTAAAATGTACTTTCTTTACATATGTCGACATATCTTCATTATTGTATGGTTTTACATAAACAGTCCATTGATGTGTATGACCATCTTCTTCACGTTTTTTGCCAAAATAACGAGCAATATTTCCATAAATTATTGGTTTTATAATAGTTAGACCCTGAATATAAAGAATATTATAATATAAATAGAAATACAAAACAATAATTACATTAATTAAAATAATATATATACTTTAACCTAGTAGTTGTTTTTTTTTTGAGGTTATAAATCATCTTTTGTTTACAAACCTTTATTCTTCCTCCGGAATCAGGACCAAATTCAGTACTGGTTCCCATATTATTATATTATTGTCACTTAATTAATAATCACAACAAAATACAAAAAATATTTGCTTGTTTTTGTATGTTTTTTGTAATAGCACTGAGCACAATGATAATCAGGGGTGGGTAAGATCCACTTGTAAAGTTACCGAATTATACCGAGCGTAACGCATTGTGGCGGTGTAATTTAAAAAAGAAATAAATAATAAATTACAAATATTATTTTAATTAAAAATTTTATTATAGCATACACACAATATAATTGTTATAACAATAATTATTTATATCCTCAATATTATTATTATTATTACTATTGACTAATGTTATCAATATTTTATATATTTACTTGTTCATAGTACAATTTCTTACATAAGTTTTATTATATTTTATTTTTACTTTATACTCGTGCAAGAAATTGTGAATATCAATAATATATTTTAAATCACAGCAATGACCTGCTTCCTTATATTTAAAAAATGATAAATTATTTTCTAATTTTTATTGTACAAGTCAAAAACTTGTGTAAATTAAAAAAAAAACTAAAATTAACATCTTTTAGATGTTTTGCAATTATATAAAAATTTCACTGTCAATATTTAAAAATCGCTAAAATGAAAAAAAAAATTTAACTTGTAATTATTTTTAATTTGATATGTAGGATAGAAAATTTAATTATATTTTCTATTTGTCTAAAAAAAAATTGGAAGTATTATTTTTCTATTTAGGGAAGAAATCTTTTTTTATAAATAAAAAAAAAAATGGTAAATTTGAAATTAAAAAAAAAATATTTACCAATTTTTTTTTTTTTTTTTTTTTTTTTTTTTATAACTCCGATTTTGTGAGTGGCCTTCTTGGCCAAACATTTTTTTCTAAAATTTTTTCTTTATCCTTTGCCATTTTTTCAATATCATCATTCAATGGTAAAAGATAAGTTTCAATCCATTCATTAATTGTATAATCATCATAAATACTATCCATCGCTATTCTTATTTCTTTTTCTAAATAGATCAATTCCATTTTTATTCTATCTATATCAGCAACAGCACGATCTACATGACTAGGATTTGAAAATGAATATTTTATATTATATGATGTGAACCATCCTTTAAATGTACTGTCCTCTTTAAGTTTATTTAATTCTTGTTGAATGGAAAATAATTTTAATATTGCTGCATAAATTAATCCACCATGATAAGCGCAATTTGTCCAACTATATTGTGGTTCGGGAATATTTAATGAAATACCACTGTCACATGAAAGAGCTTCAATTACTTTCGTTGGAACATCCATGGGAAAATTATTTGAATTACTCGATTGAAGAACAGCTAAATTAACAGCCAATGATGGTAATGCTGATGGTAATAATTCGCAAAGTACACTAAAATGATCATATCTCTGCCATCCAGTGAGAAATGCACCTTTAAATTTTATACGTGTAGAATATTTTTCAATAATTTCCAACCAACGTCGATGATTTTCCACATGATATGCTATATCAGTATAATATCTATCTGGTGCAGTTGCTCCTTTAAAAGCCGTTGCTATCCAAATATTAGGCCATACAAGTGCATAATTATCCCACAATTGATTCGTAAGAGATGAAGCTGGATCTGTTGTGTATTTCCAAACAACTGGTTCAATTAATGCATGTAGACCGCTATCAATAAGATCCTATTGAAAAAAAAATAATTAATTTCAAATTTTTTACTATAAAATACAAAAATAAATAAAATACAAACCTGTGAATCAATTTCTCTAAATTCATCATCCCACGTGAGAATTGTCAAATGAGGATAATTTTTTTTAATATATTTTGAAATTTTTATCAAATGATTTAAAAAAAGTTCTTTTTTATTCCATTTTTCTTTAGCCATTGTTTCTATACATCGATTACATTCTCCAATTTGATAAACTTCATCAGCTCCAATATGAATATATTTTGAATCATGATGAGCGGCAATTATTTGATCAATCATTTCAAATAAAATAGTCTCCGTTTTATTATGCGTTGGACAAATAGACTGTGGATATCGATTGACTTCTCTAAGTTCTTTATATTTTTCTAATTTTAAAACAAATTCTAAATGACCAAATGTTTGAATCAAAGGAATTGTTATTAATTCATATTTTTTGGCTAAATTTTGTATATTTATTATTTCATTTCTATTATAATGATTGCCAGCTGTAATGTCAATTAAATTTCCATAAAATGGAAACATATCTTCATATTCAATTAATACACCGGTTGCACCAAGATTTTTTAATAAACGAAATAGATAATCATAATAGCTAACTTTTGGTGGTGCTCCTTTAAGATCGAGATGTACAATTTTATGTCCTGTAAATAGTGGTGAATCTTCATAAATATTTTTTGAATTATCTTTTAATTTTTCAAATGATGCAAATTCTTTTTTATTTCCAATAAATTCATCCATATCATTTGATTTTAAATACCAGCGAATTTTATTTCCCGATGATAATGCATCATGTGTCTCATTACTGAGAAGATGATAAATAGCAAATAATAATATAAATACAACAACTATAATAATAGTTAATGTTCGGCCTCTCAAATGTGACATTCTTGTCATTTATTACATATTTCTCTAATCAAATAATTATATTCATTTTCTAATTTTACTTGCACTTGTATTATCAAAACACATATTTGGACCAAGGTTTAAATCAACACTAAACAAGAAGGTAAACATTCAAGCGGCGCGTATAGGATTCTGTATAGAATATCTGAAATGTAAAATGTCGGTTAAGTCCAACCTCCATTCTAAAAAAAAAAAAAACGAATGAAAAATTTAAAAAAAATACTTACCTTAAAAATATATACTTACTTTTTATACAATTCTTCATTTATTAGTAAAAATGTAACACTATCACTATAATTAATATAAACAATTGAAGAAAACCGAATACTTTATTACAAATAAAAAGATAATAATAAATATTAAAGTCAAAATACTCGAAATTCCGATTTTCAATTGTCAATTTTATCGTCTCGTTATTTAATTATTAAAATGTGAGGGTTTAAAAGACTCACCGGTTTCCCACGTTGCAGCTTGCAGCTACTCTCAGCAATACTTTTTTTGCGATCACCTAATTTAAATATTAACAATAAATAAATATATTCCATATAAAAAACATTTTGGGTAAAAAAAGAAATGTTTTTTAAAATAATTATATCTTACAATTAACTCTGTTCGACTGTGCAAGATCTCCCCCTAGAGCTGCTTCATAACGCCTAATCCTTGTGTCAAATTAAAATCACATACACAACACCCACTTTTTTTTTTTTATCACAATTACTTTCAGCACTGATGTAAATATTAATTTTTCAAAATTTAACACACTTTTTTTTTAACGAATAATAAACCGAACACAAACAAAGTTTGGCGAATTACACAAATTTTAATTTTCTTTCTAAAAATCCCGTTCACTAATCTAAAAATGGCTTACACTGATGAAAACAATTACTAAAATTTACTTAACGATTTTTGTTTCCAAAATCGCAATGGCGATTGTTCAAGGTCATGGTCAAAACTAGGTTAGAAACTAAAGTAGTAAAATATTTGCACTCAATTTTTGTAAATATTCACATGTTTTAGTTTAGGAAAAAGTAAAACAATTTTTTAAGATTGATTATTGGAAATAAATATTTCGTAAAGAGGAAGTTATTCTTACGAATTGGGAACACTTGTTAAGTTCTGCACACGGAAAGAGATTTACTCAGTTTTTCAATAATAAAACTGTTACTACACGGTTAAATAACACAATTTTTAGTAATAAACGTTGAAATAATACAATTTTTATAGCGATTGAATGTAATTTACTTCAAAGAACTGAGATCAAGTCCCGCGCAAACCGAGAACCAGAAACATACTAACGAGCAACGCGTACTACAACCGCCATCTTGAAAACTAAAAGTTTGTCCCAATTGGCCAGCCTGTTTAAAGGTACATTCACACTACCATCGGGTCTCAAATACAAATAAAAAAATGTTTCTATAAGTAAATTCACTAAATTGTTTTAAATTTACTTTATATTTTAACTATAATTTATTTTTATATCAAAATAATCATATTTTTTCAATTAAAAAGTATTATTTGTCCATTTATTGTAAAGTGTCACATTTTGGAGGTTTCTGTTTGGTGGACGCTACTAAATTTGATTGGTTCTCATCAGCCAATGCCGAGCATTTCATGTTTTCAAGATGGCGGTCAAAGTACGCGTTGCTCTTTAGTATATTTCTGGTTCTCGATTTGCGCGGGACATAATTTCCATTCTTTTGAAGTAAATTTTATACAGTCAGTACAATAAATTGAATTATTTCAATCTATTTTTATGAATTAAAGTAATTAATAATCGTCTATTAAACTCTGTGTTTTAATATCGAATGCTTTTGAGTCAGTGAAATAGTTTCCGTGTGGAGAATTAACAAGTGTCGGCAATTCGTAAAAATGATTTCCTCTAAAATATTTTTCCCTTCAATAATCAGCAAAACATTTGTTTAACGTATAAGAATATAATATTTAGTGAATATTAAGTGAATTGAGTTAAAATCGAGGAAAAAATTTACTAATCTCCTTTCTAACCTAATTTGGACCATGACCTTGAAATTTCGACAATGCGATTGCCACAATGAAATCAGATTTTTTTCATTTGAAGTGGGCATAATTAATTGCATAATTAATTGCATTTTTAAGTGTCACTCATTTAATGTGGATCTCTATATTAGTGAACGGGATTTTTAGAAAGAAAATTAAAATTTGTGTAATTCGCCAAGCTTTGTTCCGCGAGTGTTTTGTTTGTGTTCGGCTTATTATTCGTTAAAAAAAAGTGTGTTAAATTTTGGAAAATTAATATTTAAAGTGTGTTAAATTTTGGAAAATTAATATTTACATCAGTGCACGAAGTAATTGTGATAAAAAAAAAAGTGGGTGTTGTGTATGTGATTTTAATTTGACACAAGGATTAGGCGTTATGAAGCAGCTCTAGGGGGAGATCTTGCACAGCCGATCAGAGTTAATTGTAAGATATAATTATTTTAAAAAACATTTCTTTTTTTACCCAAAATGTTTTTTATATGGAATATATTTATTTATTGTGAATATTTAAATTAGGTGATCGCAAAAAAGGTATTGCTGAGAGTAGCTGCAAGCTGCAACGTGGGAAACCGGTGAGTCTTAAACCCTCACATTTTAATAATTAAATAACGGGACGATAAAATTGACAATTGAAAATCGGAATTACGAGTATTTTGTCAAATTTTAATATTTATTATAATCTTTTTTATTGTAATAAAGTATTCGGTTTAACTCGTTTTTCTTCAATTGTTTTTATTAATTATAGTGATAGTGTTACATTTTTACTAATAAATGAAGAATTAAATAAAAGGTAAGTATATATTTAGAAGGTAAGTATTTTTTTTAATTTTCTTTTTGTTTTTTTTAGGTAAAATATTTACAATAATAAAGTTACACAAATCTAATGAAGATGACGCCAGTATATTCAATAAAACTTAAACGTCAAAATCCACGTGTATGTGATAATAAAAATTCCGTAAATCTTTTTTTGATAAAAGAGGTAAATAATTGGAAATTTAAAAATAATTAAATTGAAATTATTATTTTATTGTTAAACTTTTCTAAGACGAATCGTGTTTAAAAAAAACATTTTTAAATGGAATAGTTTACAAAACGCTTTTAATATTTGACTATAAACAAGATGCAACTACCGCTTATCATTCAGTAATGAAATTGTCATCCTATTGACATCATCGTGAAATAAAAATTTCTAAACCATACAATTAATAATTTTGTTTCTTTTTTTAAAAATGAAATCCAGAAGAGATTCTGATATTTCTCTATCAAATTCTAATCAAAGTGAATTACTTTTCAAAATTCTTGTTATCGGTGATTATGGCGTTGGTTAGTAAATCCTGTAAATTGTAAACAAATTATTTATTTATCTAAGAAAATTTTGACAATAAAATAATAATTTCAATGTGTAAAAATAAAAATTGTAATAAATTGTCTATAATTATTTGTATTTTTTTTTTTAGGCAAAACAGCAATTGTTAGAAGATACACGGAAGGTAAATTTTAAAATAATATTTTTTATTATTACAATTTAAAAATTAAATATATAATTTATAATAAATTTTTTTTTTGAAAATTGAATAAATATTAGCTGTTATTTCGTCGGTAGAAAATATAATAATAGAAGTCTGGTAATATTGTTTTGCACCGTAATCCGTAATCTTTAATGTGATACGAGAAATAAGAAAGCATTAAGTCCTTGAAGTATTTTCATTCAACAAAAGCAGACGTACGTAGCATTTCTCAAAATATTTCATTGTTAGAATTTATTTTAATTAATTTTTTTTTTTAATTTTCAATTCTAAATTATTTTCAAATGTTTAAAAAAGCTGTTTAGTTTTCAATTAAAAAAATTTATTTTCCACATAAGAGATTTTTTTTTTTCAAAAATAAATAGTGAAATTAAAATTTAAATATTTTTTTTTTTCTATTTTCAGGAAAGTTTTCCTCAAATTATAAAATTACAATAGGAGCTGATTTTGCAATTAAAACACTTGAATGGGATCGTCATACAAAAATAAATTTACAACTATGGTATAATTTTTTAATTTCAATTTGTTATATTGAAAAAAATAATTTATTCTATTTAATTTTTAGGGATATTGCCGGAAACGAGAGACACGGATACATGACCCGTGTTTATTATAAATATGCGTAAATAATTTTTTTATTTTTAATATTTATCTCGAGTATATGATTATTTATTTAAATAATTTTTTTTCGACAGAGTTGCTGCAGCATTAGTTTTTGATGTATCGCGAGCAGCAACATTTCAATCAGTGAGAAAATGGCTTAGTGATCTTCGGGAAAAAATTACATTGCCAGATGGTTCCAATATTCCAATAGTATTGTTGGCTAATAAATGTGACATTAAAGAAGTTGCCGTTTCTAATGAGCAAATTGTGAAATTTTGCAAGGAAAATGGTATTGGATGTTGGTACGTGACTTCCGCCAAAGAGAATCTAAACGTTGGTAGGAAAAAAATTATTTTCATTTTTAATTATAGTTAAGAAAAAAAAAAATTTTTTTAAATTGTTAATAAAATTTTTTTTTTAATAAATATTAGATGAAGCGATGCAGTATCTTGTGGAAAATACACTAAAAGCCAAAGTTCAAGACGAAATTCGAGATTCGATAAAATTAAAAAATTCACCATTAATTCAAAAAAAGGCATCGTGTTGTAAATTTTAATTTTTTCTGAAAAAACTTTCGCCAAAATTGTGTTTGAACTTTTTATATTGGGAAAAATAATTAACAATTTTTGTGAATTATCTGTTATATTAACATATTTCACTGTACAGAGTATAATTCTAGAATTCGTAAGATTTTTTTTTTTTTGTACAAAAATCTTGAGTAATATACATTTATGATTTTATATTTTACAAATACACATAAGGTGTGTGTCCTTTTTTATATTGTACAATTTTTTTTTTATTTTTTTCTATTTTTCTATATCTTTTACAAGATTACATTGCATGCAATGAATTTCGTAATTGTGTTTTAAAGTCTTTGGATCTCATATATTTTGCAAAAAAAATTTTTTTTAATTAATCGTTTTTTGCATTTCTAATAATTGAGGGATTCAATTTCAATAATTGATTTCTTTCATAATTAATATAGCTAACGATTTAACCATAATAAATAATATTTTACGATTGTACTATTGTTCATGAATTGTCTATAGGCGATTCAAATAATTTTTTTTTTTTTTTTTTATTAAAATTATTTTTCCAGTAAATAAAATTCGAAAATTCTTGTATAGAAAAATTTAAATTTAATTTTTCATCGCAACAAAATCATGGCTGAATTTAATTATTTTGATTCTGCTTTTGCTTTTTATTCTCAGAGTTCATCTTCTTGAGAATTTTTCACAGCATTCATGGCAATTGATACAGTTGACACCATTGTGTTACTGAAGTCTTTTGAATAATCTGTAATCAAAAAGAGAATTTTTTTTTTTGTGAAAATAGTTTCTTTTTAGAAATTTTTTTTTTTTTGCTAATAAAATACGGTCATCGATCGATACGATATAAAATATGAAAAAAATTTTAATTACAAAAAAAGGAACAATATTTATAATATTTTCTATTTAGTTCCGATTTTTTGAATTTTTTTTTTTTTTTAATAAAATTTTGAAATAGAGATGAAAGCGTTTTTTTTTTAAAAAGGCAATTGAGATTTCTTATAAATCAGATTCCGATACGACGATCGTTTAATTAAGCGTATACCACAGGATTTCCTTATAAGCTCGCCAATAATTTCAGAATTGCTGGAAAGCGTTAGTCAACATCGAAAGACAGAGACAGATAAAATAGAAAAAAAAATTTATATACAAAATTGCACTTAAATTCTACGTTAATGAAGCCGATGGAAAAATCTAAAGTGTTAATTAGTTGGATGTCAGGTTTTTTTTTTTAGGGTTTTCTTCGTACTTAAGAGTCAATTAGTACCTAGTTCATTTGCCATGTTCTTATACATGCTACCCGCTCGTTCTGCGTTAGTGGAAAAATGTACTATTTTAACTTGGATCGGCTACTCCTGAAAAAATAGGATTTAAGAGTAACAGAATAGCTTCTATTTTGCTATTATTTGATTTCATTTTTTTCGTTTGCAAAATTCAAATTATTATTTTTTATTATTTATTATTATTTATTATTATTGATTATAATTTATTATTATTTTATTATTTATTATTATTTTTTATTATTTATTTATTTTGTAAAAAAAATTTTTTTAATATTTATTATTATTGATTATAATTTATTATTATTTTATTATTTATTATTATTTTTTATTATTTATTTATTTTGTAAAAAAAATTTTTTTAATATTTATTATTATTGATTATAATTTATTATTATTTTATTATTTATTATTATTATTTATCATTAATTTATTTTGTAAAAAAAATTTTAAATTGTAAATTGTATCAGGAAGTGAAATTCCGATTTGTTAAAAAAGAAGAAGGCAAACAATTTATTTTAAACGTTCGATGGGTAGTAAAGAGGAAAAAAAAAAAAAAGAAAGGAGACTAATGAAAGTTCCGAGGAAGATTGATTGTGTAGCCAAAGCTAGATCTTATAGAGAATTCTTTCCCCGTTCTTTAGAATAGAAGAGAAGCTTTTCTGTATTAAAAGCTATTTTCACAAGATTTTTTTGAATTTTATAATTTCGAAATTAATTTAAAATCCGTATTTTTCTCTGTGATTTTTTTTCCCGTAATTATCACAATAATTATTTTCTATAGAATTTTTTTTTCATAGAAATTGAATTTTCTAAATTTTGAAATTAATTTTCATTAATTTTGAAATTAATTTTCATTAATTTTAAAATTCGTATTTTTCTGTGATTTTTTTCCCCCGTAATTATCATAATAATTATTTAATTTTCTTCAGTTTGGTGAAATGAGGATTTTTTTGTTGAAGGAAAAAAAAATAATACCTATACAAGAATCTATCTACGATTCATGCCCAGTTTCCGGAAAATCTTTTTAAAAGAAAAAGAAAAACCAAAGAAAATACCCTTTCCACTTACAAAATAAAGTATTCTCGCTTCGTTTTATTTTTTTGTGATCAAAGTTTGGTGACCGTAACGAACTGATGGTTACCTTGGCCGTAGTTATTTTGCCCTGGAGCACTGCTTCCATGGGGTGAGAGGGTCGCTCTGATTCTCGAACAACTGATCACACCGGCGTAGGCCTGTCGATACTGCTTGTTCATTATTACGTAGATTATCGGATTTACACAGGAGGCAAAGTACAACAGCAAATAGCCCATCACGTGGAATCCTGTAAAATACATTTTCGATTTCAAAAAACGAAAAAAAAAATCTTTTTTGCAAAAAAAATAATAAGGAAAATTTAATTTATTATTAAAATAAAAATAAAAATTAAATAAATTAATTAAAATTAAAATTAAATAAATAAAATAATAAATTCTGTACTGTTGCATTTGTAAATGATTTGAAATTTTTTTTTTTGTAATACGAAAGAAATTAAATTTAATTATTCGAAGACTGAAAAAATTTCTATACAAATTTTTTTTTGGGGAAAAATTTTGACAATTTTTATTTTTTATTTTTAATTGATTTAATAATTAGTAGGTGAAAAAAAAATGATGTTCTTAAGATAATACTTACCGGGATATCTGACCTCTGCGTCAGCGACTTTTACGATCGTAATGGGAAGGTAACAAGCTACAAAGCTCAAGAAAATGGCTAGTACCATTTTTGTTATTCGCCACTCACTTCGCTTTTGTTTAATCTCTCGAGTGTCTCGTCCAACTGTGTGAGGTGACTTTACAGTCGGAGCTGCATGTTTTCTCATTCTCGCCTCAGAGCTGCAAGCAATTTTTTTTTATTTTTTAAATAAATAATTATTTTATTAAAAATTTTTTTAATATAAATTTTAATAAAAAATAAATAATTATTTTTTAAAAATTTTTTTATAAATTTTAATAAATAATAATAATTATAAATTGATTGAGGAGTATAAAAAATTTTATTTTATTTTGATTTAAAAAAAATATAAAAATAAAAATTTATAAAAAAGAATTTTTAAAAATACTAAAATATATATTTTACCTGTGAACAACCCAAAAAATTTTCGCGTAACATTTTACGATTACTATGCATGGTATGACAAATCCTGTGATGAAGAGGAAAGTTTTAGATGTGTATCCTCTTTCATCTCTGATAATTGAGCAAGTTTCGAGATTGGGGTCGTATGCAAATTTACCTAAAAAATATTATCGAAATTAATATATTTAAATTTTTTAAATGTTAATCATTTTTTTTTTCCAAATATTTTTGATTTATCATATTTTTCATTAATAATTAATTATTAATATTAAAATTAATATTAATATTAACTAATTATTAATAAAATTATTAATTATTATTATTACTAAAATTAGTAATTATTATTATTACTAAAATTATTTTAGTAAATTTTTGTTAATAATAAAAAAAGTTTTTTTTGATAATTTCTAATTAAAAAAAAATAAATAAATTTAGTACTACAGTTAACAAATTTAAATTGTAGAATTAAAAAATTTTAATTGAAAATAAAATTCTTACCCCAAGCTCCGACCAAAGTGGGGATTTGCATTCCATAAGAAAAAAGCCAACAGGACAATATCATCAAGGCTATCCAGTGTTTTTTGTACACTCTGTTGTATATATTGTGATGAGTAATCATGATATACCTGTTTGAATATATTCGAAAATTTTAAGGAATTTTTTTCTCAAAAAAAAAAACAAAATTTTAAAGGAAAAAAAATTTTTTTTTCTATTAAAATATATGGAAAAAAAATGGAAATAATTATATACCTATTGACAGTGATTGCTCCCACAAGAAGAAGACTGACACCAACATTTCCATAACGAAGAAATGGTACAAGAACGCAAAGGAATCTTATCTCAACCCAACTTGCGTCGATAAATCGAATTGAATCGAATGGCAGTACGAGAAGGCAGAAAATAAAATCTGCTACACATAAACTGAAAATAAAAATATAAATATAAATAATAATATAAAATAAAAAAAAATTATTTTTTAAAATTTATATTTTTATATATTTTTTAAAGGAATTTTTTTAATATAATACAATAAAGTGCAGTCAACCCTGGAAACCATCAGAGACTATAAATTTCGATTTTCTATTGCGAGAGAGAGAGAGAGAGAGAGAAAAAACAAAAAAGCTTTTTTAAAACCTGAAAATATATGAACCGAGAAAAAGAAAACTGGTATATACACTAATCCTAAAGTGTCTTTTGAAGCAAGTATTTTGCTATACACATATACACTGTCACTTGAACAAGAAGAAAATGATCATAAACTGGAAAAAAAAATTGAATTACATTTTTGGAAAAAAAAAAATTCGTACAATAAAATGAAAATTAAATTTTTTTTGACAAATAATTTTTCCGCGAAAAAAAAATTTCACAAGGGAATTTAAAAATAATTAGTAATTAATTAAGAATATAAATAATTAATTTAACATTAAAAAATTATTAAATTATTTAATAAATTAAAAAAAATAATCATAATAATAATAATAATAATAATAAAATAATTTATTTATTTGGAACATAATAATAAAACAATAATAAAAATAAATAAATAATTATAATAATAATATAATATATATAATAATATTAATATTATTATTATAATATTATTATAATATATATAATATAATATACTAATAATAATAATAATAATAATAATAATAATAATAAACTTAAAAAATAAAAGTTTAAATTTTTTTCTAAAATAAAATATGAAAAATTAATTATTATACAATTTACAAACATTATAATTATTCCAACGAGTGAAAAAATAAAAACAAATTATGTGACTATTTTTTTTTTTTTTTTTGGTACGATAAACACTTTAGATTCTAGAGGAAACTTAACTAGGCTAATTAAGATAATGAGCAAGTAATGGGAAAACGTGTATTGAATGTGTGTGACATTTGCTTTTACATGTGAATATACTAAAGAATTTATGATAAACTTTTAAGTAACATTATCGTAATTGTTTAATTTAATACGAATAAGATAAAAATTTTTTTTACATTATTACAAACGCATAACATTTAATTTTAATTACTTGCAATTAAATTATTTATTAATTATTATTATTATTATTATTATTTAATTAAATTATTTTTTATTTATTTAAATCATATAAACGGATATATTATACATCGTTAATTTGTTAGTAAATATTATTTTCTCTGCGGTTAAATTATTAAATAAAATAGATATATAATTAAAATAAAATATAAATTTGAAAATAAAAATTTGAAAATAAAAATTTTTTTTTAGATAAAAATCATTTTTGAACTAACCTTATGATAAATGCAGCTGCGACATTACGTACTTTGGGATATTTGCTGAGTGCTATGATAGTCAATAAATTTCCTAGTAAACCCACTAACATAATCAAAATTGAGGCTACAGCTGCAAAAGTTCGCAGAGGCTTTGAAAACCTGAAATAAAATAAACAATAATTTTTTTTTTTTTATTTAATATAAATCAATTATTATTTATTTATTATTTTATTTTCTTTTATAATTTTTTCCAAAAATTTTTTTTTTGATTTAATAAATAAATTTTTAATTACAAAATTAATTTTTTCAGCAATAAATTAAAATAAAAACTTATAAAAACAAAAAATTTTAATATAGTGTGAGATATTTTTACAAATTTATTGATATAATTTTAGGGTTCTTTTTATTTATTTTACTTTTTTTTATATTATTTTTTTTTTCAACGCACCTTGATATTTCACCTGGATTTAAACTTTCGGCAATTTGTGGTAGCCACGTTGCAGCTGTATCCATATTTATAAATGATTCCTCCATTTTAGCCTTTAAAATAAAAAAAAGTAATTTAATTAATTATTATTTAAATAATTATTTAATTAATAAATAATTAATAAATAATTAAATAAAACAATTAATTTACTAACGCAGAATATAATTTCATAAAAATAATAATACCAAAAAAAAAAACTAATTTAATATATATTTTTAATCAAGAAAATAATTTAAATTTATATAAAATAATAAAATAGTAAATCAATTTTTTAAATAAAATAAAAATTATATTTATATATTTATTAATTAAGCTTCAGCCTTTCGGCCCAGAAGTGGGCTTGGTTTAATACAAAATTAAAAATATAAAAATTATAAAAAAATAATAAAATAAATAAAAATAAAAAATAATAAAATAAAAAAAAAATTGTAATTAATTTTAACACCAAACTGAATTAAAATAAGTTGACAATAATTGAAAATAAATATTTATTTTTAATTTGCAATTGTCTCACAGATTCTAAAAAAAAAAAAATTTGAGATTTTTTCGATTCAATTATCTAAATGAAAAAAAAGAAAAACAATAGGCGCTTATACACACAAAGAAAGGATTGAATGATTAATGTAAAAGACACGTTTTGAGAGAAGAAGATGCGGGATGTAAGAGGATCTTTTAGGATAAAAAGTTTCCGAGAAGAATGACATTTCCGCTCATCCTGTCTGGTTTGACAATAGAAGAAAGAGAGAGAAAAAAAAAAAAGTGTCGTTTTCATGCCCTCATATGCCAAAGTATATCGAAGGCAGTGTATAGAGTGAATTATATATGGGGGTGTTGGATTTACTAAACTAGGGTTAAACAGTCAAGCGTTAACCTCGATTGAGCTTAATTAAGAAAAATTAACGAACACCCGGTGTACTCTGTTCCCCTTACAAAAAACAGCATAAAAACCTCCACATCATGGGAACAATTTCATTTCTATATTTTATATACAAAATGCCTTTTTAGAATCAAGCTCATTTTCACAATTTCATTCAATATATTATGTTATTAAAAATAGTCATTACGCAATTTTACTAATCCATAAAAAAACGAAATAAAAAATAAATAAAAAAATATTAATCGAAAAATTAATTAATTAACTATTTTATAACATTTAAACAATAATAATTAAGGTATTAATTATTAAATTTTTGTTATTAATAAATTAATAATTAATTAATTTTTTTATTCATAATTAATTTTTGTTACTAATAAATTAATAATTATAATTAATTTTTTTTTATTAATAAGTAATAATTAATTTTTGTTATTAATAATTAATTTTTGTTATTAATAAATTAATAATTAATTAATTAATTTTTTTATTAACAATTAATGTAGCAATTAATAGTTTCTTTAATAATTAATTTTTTTAATAATTATTAATTAATAAAAAAAATTAATAACTATTAATTATTACAATTGTATAGAACAATGATTTCCCGTGATTAAATATTTAAAAAAAAAAAAAAAAAGGGAAATAGTATTGCATAAAGAAACAATAAACAATGTTCGCCCCTGGCCCAAAGAAGAGATCTTTCACGGTTAGCAATTATATTTCTCGGTCAACGAGCAGTATTATACACACCGGTAATACATCCGTAAAATTATTACTATATATATATATATATATATATAAAACGAAAAGAATTCCTCGCTGTGTATGAGGACGTCATCGAATGATTTCCGACTTAATCATATGAATGGCAATGAATGAGTCAACTTGACTCACAGTGAAAGTATATCTGTATTATTATATCATTTGCTATCGACTTAAATGCCTCTTAACAATATAAGATTTTTGATACTTTTTATATGAGCCATTTCATTTACCTTTTATCTATTACAAGTATATATATTGTGCCTATTACAAATATACACTAAGGAAAATTTCACAAGAAGCTTTTGTTATACATATCCAAAGAACATATCATTTTTCACCTGTTAATTTGTTTTCAATATTTTTTAAATTTAATTTTTTTTTATTTTATAAATAATTTTGTTACTATTATTTTTATTATTATTTTATTTCTTTTTTTAATAAAAAAAATAATAATTATATAATTATTTTATTTCTTTTTTTTAATAAAAAAAAATTATTATTATTATTATTTTTATTAATAATAATAAATATTTATAATTTATAATAATTGTTACTATTTTCATTGTTATTAAATTATTATGTTTATTATTATTTATTATTATAATTATATAATATTTGTATTACTATTTTTTTTCTTGTTTTTATAATAATATGTAATAATAATAATAATTTTTTTTAATAATAATAATTATTACTATATTAAATTATTATATTTATTATTATAATTATATAATATTATTATTATAAATTAGACAGTAGATAAGATTTATTTCATTAATGCTACATAATTTTCATTATAAATTATATTATGTTTATTTATTTATAAACGGTTCTTCAAAAAAAAATAAAAAATTTGCTCTTTCGTACCAAAGTAATTAATATATAATTAATATATTATAATAAATATTATTGTTATTATTTAATTATTATTTTTTATTTCTTATTATTATTATTATTATTATTATATAAATTTTTTATATAATTCTAATAAAAAAAAAAAATTTTTAATAATTGTAAATTATTTTTTTTTATTATCTTTGGTTTTTATTATATAATAATGATAATTGTACGAAATTTCTGATTTTTATATTGTCAACCGTTTGGGGGGGCCTATGTGATTTATTAGGCATGCGTGTTTCAAGCAATAGATCTATATAAATGGTGTCAACTGCAGAAGTGGAAAAATGCAATTGACCTGCATTAACACCCAGAATAGTGAACATACAGGTCGCGTCTCCAATTGTTGTATGTGTAAATTATTCTGAAATAATTTCCTACTAATGTTTTTACACTCGCAGTTGAAAACCACAATTTTTTTTCATATATAATTTTCTATATTATTTAAAAAAAAAAAAAAAATACTTGAAAGAAAAATGGATTATTTGAAAAGAAATAAATAATAATTAATATAAATTAATAAAATAATAATAATAATAATAATAATAATATATAATAATATATAATATTTATAAAATTAATATAATAATTATTTAATAAATTATAATAAATTATAATTATTTTAAAATTAAATAATTAAATAATAATAATAATTATAGTAATAGTTAAATTATTATATAGCCTTTTTTTCGAAATTGAAAATTTTATTTTATAAAATTTTAATATTTTTTAAAAATATTTTTAATTTTTTAAAATAATTAATTGAATTTGCAATCTTTTAATAATATTTTTTTTCAATGAATTTAGCAACATTTTCTTTGATGTGAAACTATCATTACACAAGAGTATATCCATTTTCTGATTGATTGTCCTCCATATTTATTGGAAATTGATCCTCGCGGGGATTGCGAGATTTTTGCATATTTTAAATATATTTTCGCCGACCACACTACATCCTGTGTGTGAATATCGATTTTCAAAACGCACTTTAACTCTTTGTAATTTGAACAATGGTTTATTACTCCTACGCGGATATTCTGATAACTCAATATAATTGCGTGAACGCGAATATATGCGATATTACAAATAAAAAAAAAAAACATTAGAATACGATGAGAAAATTTTTTGATAAGAAATTTGTAAATATTTCTTTTTCTTTATTTACAACTACAATATTGAATAGTAAGAATTAATTTTACTATTTTTTTTTAATTATTAATTAATTTATTTGAAAAGAAATTAATTTATTTTCACTATTAATTAATTTTTTTTTTAATAAATAAATTTTTTTACTATTAATTAATTCCCTTTTAATAAATTATAATTAATTTCCTTTCAATAAATTATAACTAATTTTAATTAATTATAATTAATTTATTTATTAAAAGATAATTTTTTCCTATTAATTAATTTCTTTTCAATAAATTATAATAAAATTTTACTATTATTACTTAATAATAGTAAAAATTAATTATAATTTATTGAAAGGAAATTAATTAATAGGAAAAAATTATCTTTTAATAAATAAATTAATTTTTATACTATTATTTAATTTCTTTTTAATAAATTATAATTAATTTTTTTACTATTTATTTCCATTCAAATAAATTCTTTTCAATAAATATATATATATATACAAATTTTTCTCAATTATTTTTACAAAAGGAGTAATAAATAAATTAATTTTCAAAAAAAAAAATAAATAAATAATTCCAAAAGATAATAATCAAGAATGAAAAAAAAATTCTTTTTTATTTACTTAACGAAATAACTTGACCCAACTTTTGGAACCGATCCTTCAGATTAGTTTATATATTGTATTTATAAAAATGTAGATTTAGAAAAAAAAAATAATTTAATTCTACGAAAGTTTATGGTAATGTAAGGAAAATATAAATTCGAATTTTTTTTCGGGAACTTATTATTTCTTCGAGCGAACCACAATAGATTTTGTTGCACCGACTCTATATAGACAATCTAATCTTTTTTTTTTTTTCTCTCTGAATATTTGTTGAATGAATATATATATACAAACGAGAACGCACCTGGAGGGAAACTTTTTTTAAAAGTGTAGAAATCGAGATTCATTATTGTGTGGTTAGTAATAGAGAGAGAAAGAGAGAGAGAGAGAGAAAGAACACGTGCAAAAGCAACTAAGGAGAAGCTTGAACTCACGTGTTCTCACGAATCAAAGGAGAAAAATAGTTTAAAGTCATACATGGTCATGTTTGTTTTTCCAAGCCGCGCACACGGTAGTCACGATTATTGAATTTTAAATTACAAACTCTTGAAAAAATTCTCTTAAAAAAATAAAAAATAAATCATTTTTCAAACGCGAAGCGTGAATAATTCTTTTTTTTTTTATTTATTTATTATATATATATTTAATTGCCCCACGAAACCATTAATTGTTCTAGTTTTCATTTTAAGTCCAAAATTTTTTTATTTATAAATCGCTAAATTTATATTAATTTTATAAATTATATTTTTATAATTTTTTATATTAAATTTTACAACTATAATAATTAAATTATCAACTATTATAATAAGAAAAAATAATATAATGATAATTAAAATAAGATTAATTATTAATTAATAAAAAAAAAATAATAATAATAATTAATTTTTAATAAATTAATTTATTATTAATTATTAATATAATAATAATATAATAATAATAATAATTAATTTTAATAATTAAAATTAATTATTAATTAATTTTTCATAATTAATTTATTTTTAATTATTAATATAATAATAATAATAATAATATAATAACAATATTTATAATATTAATAGCAAATATTTCTTTATGAAGTTCCTCAAATCAGAAAGAAAAACAAAAATGATTTTTTTTTTTTGAAACATGAAAAAAAATACGTGTGAATATAATAATGTTAAATAAGATAAAGAAATATTTAAAAATATTTAATGAATAATTCTTGGAAAAATTCTCTTTAAATGATACATACAATTAAAATTCAAGGCTTCTTTAGAATGAGTAAAAATCGCGTTTGATTAAATAAAAGTCAGTGAATAATTTCTATTTTATTTATATAAATTTTTTTTTATATATTATATTTATATTTTTATATTGAATATTTAATTATTATTATTATTATTTATTTAATTATTTTTATATTAATATTTTTTTACTTTATCTAAACGAATTATATTTATTTTTTATTATTAAATTATTTATTTTATTTAATATGATTAAAAAAAAAAAAATTATTAATTTTTAAAAAAGATTCGAGAAAAAAAAATTAATCATTAGGATTTATTATTTAATATTTCTTATATAATGAACATGTGTGCTCTGCATTGGTCGTTTACCGAAATTATTTTTTTTTTTTTTCCTTTTTTGTATAAATGTGCTGCACTCTTTGTAGGAGATGTTTGATCCTAGATCGATTTCAGGACCACATGGTTCTTCTTCTCTTTCTATGTACCCCACGGATAGAATTTCGACGTTAAATCAACCAAAAATAGAACTGTCTTTTTAAATCCAATTGTCGAATTTTTTATGAATTCTATTTTTTATTTCAAAATTCGATTATATATTTTAATTATTCACTTCACACATTTCTCTTTTTCTTTTTTTTTTCTCACAAGTATCGCTTCACAGAATTTTAAACTGCACATGACACATTGTAATTATCCTTTCCTCTCTTGTATAAAAAGAGATCCGGATGATATTGACTCACACACAGAAATTAAAACTAAACCTGTTTTTTTTTTTTTTTATAAAAACATATTCACTTTTTTTCAAAAAAAATTTATAAAACTTTAAAAAACTTTTTAATTAATATAAAATTTTTAAATCATATTTTTTAATGTATATGAAATATTAAATTAGAAAATTTTTTATTTGTATACAAAATTTGTAATTAGAAATTTTTTTATGCATATAAAAGTTTTAATTAGAAAAATTCGATATTTATAAAATTTAATTTTTTTTTTATTTATTTTAGTTAATATAAAAATATATTTTATATATTTTTTTTTATATTTTAGTTAATATAAAAAATTTAATTTTTTTTTTTAAATATTTGCACTTATTTTCACTAGGAGAAAAAAAAATATTTAATGTTTATAAAAATTAGTTGTCATTTCGAAAATACTTTGGGCCGTTCGTTGCAAGTGACACTATAAGACTGCTTAGCAAAGCAGAACTGTCAAATCGCTCTCCGTTCAGAGTATAATGTTACTGAATAGTGAAGGGGGTGGGGGGGGATCTATGCGATGACAAATTTACACATAATACATGTTTGTGTACCAAGAAGCACTGTGGGTTGTATTCAGGTGTATTCACATGGGAAATTTAGCATTGTATCACCATATACAATAGGGTCCATTTTGGACCAAACAAAAATATATAGGATTTACAATTTTCTTTTCTTCATTTTTTCTCGAATTCTTAAAATTTTGCCTAAAAATTCTCATTAAAAATTTATTTTTTATATTTTATACCATTTGTATAGTTTTTTTTTAAATTTCAAAAAAAAAAATTTCCTTTCCATAATTTGTAATTTTTAAATTACTTCTTTCCAAAAATTTATTTCTTTTATTATTTTTTGCATTGTTTTATTTATTTATTTTTCTTTTATTATTATTAATATTATTATTATTATTTTTATTATTCAATAAATAAATAAATAATAATAATTATTATTATTTATTTATTTTTTATTTATTGTAATTTATTTTATTTTATTTTTAATATTTTTATTTTTTTTTTATTTTTAATTGAAGACACAAAAATTATTTATCTAAATTAGCTAAATATTTCTCTAAATTAGGGAAAATTATAATTAATTCAATAAATGTAAATTTTTGTCTTAAATTTTTTTCTTAGTTTTTAAAATGAATTAATAATTAATTTTATTTTTATAATTATAAAATTGTTTAATGTAAATCTTTTAAATTATTTATAGCGATAAATAAGAATTTTTTTTTTTTTTTATAATACGTGACTCAAACTGAATCATTGGTATTTAAAATCGTTTAGAATAGTATTTGAAAATGAATCACGTCTCAGCAGGTGAAATTTTTCCTTTATGCAGGTATATGTATAGTAATTTACAAAGAGAGTTTTTATACAAAAAAAAAAAATGGCCATGAAATTTCTGTTAAATTACAAAGAAAAATTTTCCTAATTTGGTAATTATGATACACATAATTTTATAGATAATTATAACTTACAGTGAAAAAAAATTTATTTGATTTAAATAAACAATTACATTGACTATTGTCAAATAATATAAATATTTTTATTAAATGATTTATTAATTAATTATAAATATAGTAATAATTAATTATTTAATTGGTAATTATTTCCCATTGGTATAATATTTATAATTATTTTTATTAAATAATTAATTAATTATATATAATTAAAATTGTAATTATTAATTATTTAATTGGTAATTATTTCAATTAATATAATATAATGGTAATTATATTTATTATTATGGTAATTAATTATTATTTAATTTGGTAATTATTTCAATTAGTGTAATATTTATATAATTATTTTTATTAAATAATTTATTAATCATTATTAATTTATTAATTATTAATAATTTATTAATAATTTATTAATAATTTATTTATCATTTATTAATTATTATGAGCCAAAAGTTCTGAACGTTCAAATGAACGAAATATTTTTTTCAATCTATAAATTATTAAAAATTATTATGTCAATGTAAAAAACAGTGAATTAAACAATTATTAAATTATTAATTTCTTTTTAGATATATTTGAAATAATATTTTGTAATAAAATTCGTACTTAAAGAAGTTGCAAAAAAAATTTTGTTCATTTGAACGTTCAAAACTTTTGGCTCATAATTAATTAAATTATATTTATTGGTAATTATTAATTATTTAATTAGTAATTATTTCAATTAATGTAATAATTATAATTATTTTTATTAAATAATTTATTAATTAATTAAATTATATTTATTGGTAATTTATTAATTATTTAATTGATAATTATTTCAAGTGGTATATATTTGTTCCGCAAATATACAAAAATTATTGGTTCAAATATACAGTTTATTTAATTCAAATAAACTGTATATTTGGTTCAAGTAAATATTTATTTGCGATGTCAAGTATCAATTTTTTTTTTTTTTGTACAATTTATGATTTATTTTCTAAATAATTTATTCTATAAAAATTTGGTTGATTTAACAAAAAATTTTATCCCAATAACTAAATATTTTTCTGAATTTTCGGAAAAAAAAATAAAATTTTTTCTCAGTTTCTATTTAAAGGGTTATTGTTGTTGTTTTTTCATCTTTTTTCGATTAATCGATATTTATTTTCAATACTTTTATCTAATATTTGATGATATAAATCCTTTTTTTTGAGATTTTTTTTTCTTGTATTTCTTATCTTGTGTGGGTGTGAATTCAACCCAATAGGACATGAGAGGATTATATATACATATATAACATGGAGTTCGCGGATGCATTTATGATGGCTCGACGGGACAATAAATTTTTTTTTTTTTTTTTATATATATCACGGCATGATTATTTTCTAAAAGAAAAACTAGTTCAAGCTTCGGTGATTTTTAACCTTAATGAATAATTCTCCCCTATGTATATGCGTCCCAGTAACAAAATCTAATTATTTTTAAAAAGGATGTAGGGACAGCTTTCAGCCCGCACACACGAGATCAAAATCGTTCCTCATATATTATGTTTACTTTCAATATAGTTGGTAATACATTTATTGGGTGTGAAATTCTTCTTTATGAGCCTGTTGTTACGAATCATATATATATATATATAAAATCTTTTTTTATTATAATAAAATTTCACGAGTGAAGAAATGAAATATATTTCACTGAGAGTGAATTTCATATATAATTGAAAGAATCACTTAAAGGGCTTAGAAATGTTGTCTACACGCGCCTATACATTTTAATGACTCTCAAAAGTTTCACAGATTTTACATGAAATTATGAAAAAAAAAAAGAAAAAAAAACACAAAAGAGATTTTTATGAAAATTTGGTATTTATTTATTACATTTTAATTGTTATATTATTATAATAATTATTATTATTTTCATTATTGTTATTATTTTTAAAAAAAATTTATAATTATTATTTTTATTTTGTTAATAAATTTTATTTCTTTTAAATATGTTCAATAGTTTGAAAAGATTTTAAAAAAAAATGAATTAAAGAAATTTTTTTCTATCTTTAGAAGTTTTATTGAATTTAGTGAAATAAATAAAATTCCTATATATTTATTTTGAACTTGATATTTGTTCCCTTTATCGCTCTTGTGTTAACATAAGGAGAGATAAATTCTTTTTGAACTTTGACACGTTCCTTTTTTTTTTTTACTCGAATTCTTAATAATTTAATGGAAAGGTGAAAAAAAAATGAAAGAAAATTCGTTATAATAAAATTAATCAAACTAAAAGGACTTAATATTTCGTTAATTGAATTTTATATTAAAAATTTTGATTTCTTTTATTTTTTTTTTTTTTAATTTTTTGTTTTTTTTTGTATTTTTAATTTTGTACTTTTTTTTGTATTTTTTTATATTTACAATTTTGTACTTTTTTTTATTTTTAATTTTATATTTTTTTGTATTTATAAATTTTGTACTTTTTTTTTATTTTTAATTTAATTTTTTTTTTGTATTTTTTTGTATTTATAATTTTGTACTTTTTTTTTATCTTTAATTTTATATTTTTTTTGTATTTTTTGGTATTTATAATTTTGTAATTTTTTTGTATTATTAATTTTGTATTTTTTGGAATAATTTTTTAAATGATTCATTCTTTATTACAATTGAATCTCAATTTTGCCGCATCAGGAAATTAAAATTGTCTCAAAGACATAAAAAGATGATTTAAAAAATTATACTTCCTTTATAGTTTGTCACGTGTACGACGTCTTTTTTATCAATGAAATTTGTTTATGTCTGTCATGATCCTCAATATTTTTGACGTCAGACACCCACCCAGTAATTTAAATTCGTTTTATACGTATATATATATACATATGTCCATTTTTAATCCATTGCGATTCTAAATACGACTCTTCAATTTAAATAATATTATATATACCACTTCCTTTCAATTTGAACTTGAAATATTTCATTGCTTCTAATTATTTTAATATTAATATTATAATATAAAATAATTTTTATTTACAAAAAATTTTTTTTTACAGTATTCAAAATAAATTTAATTAACAAATAATAATAATAAAAATAATAATAATAATAATAATAAATTATTATTAATTATTAATTAATAAATTTTTAAAAATTTCTCTGAGACATTTTTTTTTTATAAAATATTCAAATTATTAAATAATAATGAAATTCTCTTTTTTTATTTTATTTATATACTTTTGTTTACTTTGTCTTTTTTATATTTTGAAGACTGATGAATAAGCCCCTTAAAAAAAAAAAGACAATTACATTATTGCAATTCCTCTTTTTTCTCAGAAATCAACTCAATGAATCGAAAGAGCACTTTTGAGCTTACCATAATAATGAATTTAAATTGACCGTGTAAATTAATCTTTGTGTCTCTTCAAAGAAACGTGACTTTTAAAAGATTCTGAAACTTTTTTAAAATGTATATATACCTAGAAAATTTAAAATTTATCAAAAAAAAAAAAAAAAAAATGCAATCTTTATAAATATATGAAAATTTACATTTACAATTTATTTAATTTATTTTTAATTTTTAAATTAAATTATTTTTTTATGAAAAAAATTTATTTTTTTTTATGAATGATTAAATTTTCTTCTATTTTTTATGAAAATGTGAAATCAATTTTTTCTTTTGGGCTTTTTTATTTGAGTAGGTAATAAAATTGATATCTTTTTATTTCGCGTGAATTTCGACAAAAGTGGAAAAAGTTTTTCTCAAATGTGTATTCGACACGCGTCATTGACCCTTGTGAAAATAATGACTTGTTGAATTACACACACACTCTTTGCAATTTGCAGTTCAACAAACTATGTATATATTTTGCCAATTCCCTGAAAGTTTTCGTAAACTTCATTCGCAACAGAAAAGATTTTGCAAAAAAAAAAAAAAAAGAAGAATTAAGTATATTTTTCTCTTCTTTAAGTCTCGAAAAAAACATTTCCTTTATATGAAAGTAGTTTATTATTGCTAAAGTTAAAAATATGCACTTTCGTAACTTTTTTTTTTTTTTTTAAAGTGTTAAAAATTATTTTTCTTTTATACTTTGTATATATACTTTGAAAGCCCCTGCACTTAGAGTACCAGTTGTGATTATATGCATTTCCTAGTGTAACATTTATTAACACCTTTTTCTATTTAAAAAAAAAATTTTTTTTAATTCTATTTTTGATTTTTTATATATTTATTAGTAGTAGTATTTTATTATTTATTTTATTGTTTATTATTATTCATTATTATTATTTATTATTTATTATTATTATTTATTATTATTTATTATTATTTATTATTTATTATTATTATTTATTTATTTTATTTATTAGTATTAGTTTTTATTCATAATAGTATTATTTTTTTCATTTCTTAGTATTTTTTAAAATTTTTTAAAAAAATAATCAATGGAATATTTTTATTTTTTTTTTAAATATATATTTTTTTATGTTTTAGTATTTTTTTTAGCATTTTTTAAAAAAATATTCAAATAGAAATTTAGTTTTCCAGATAAATTCAAAAATTATCTTTAAAAAAAAAAAAAAAAAAATTTCTTTCATTTTTTTTTTTTTTTTGAAATTTTTTTTATTTAAATATTTTGACTGTTAATTATTATAAGATTATATCCAATTAAAAAACTAACACTTTTTTTTCTTTAATTACAATAATATATACTATTATATCTTTTTAGGACTTTTCCCGCGTCTATGCTATCAAAATTCCTGATCTAAAAGCGAGTCGGGTTTAATTAGAAAATTAAATAGTTAGGGGGGGGAGGGGATGTTTTCAAGTTCTTTTACTGTAAATAGACGACGCGAAAGCGTTTACTGATAAAATAGCAATTTTTCAGCAAGAAAAGTTCTTTCTAGTCGCGCAAGCGCAAATTTTCTGCTCCGGAAATTGTCTCACGAAAATATCAAAGAGAAAAAGAGAGAGCGAGAGAGAGAGAGAGAAAGAAATTCAAGTTTAGTTTGTTCGCGGAGTTTGCGAAACAAAGATCATGTATTTTTTTTCAACAATTATCCTTAACACGTGATTTTTATTTTAATATTTTAACAATTTTTTTTTATTTAATATTTTCAAAATTTAATAATTTAATAATTTATAAATTTAAAAATTTTTAAATTTTTAAATTTTAAAATTTAATAATTGAATAATTTATAAATTTAAAAATTTATATTTTAATATTTTATTTGAAATATTTAAAAAAAATTCGATTATACAAGAAAATGTATCATAAATTTTGTTTGATGAAAAAAAATAATTATTAAAAAAAGTCACTTCTCTGTTTGGAGATTAAAAAAGTAATTTTTCTTTTCTTATATTTCAATTTTTTCTTTTGAAAATTTTTTATAATTATTATAAAAGATGAAAATTAATATAATTAAAATTTTTCAAGAGAACAGAATTTTAGAATTCAATTTTATGTTTATAATTATAAATAATTAGTTTATTTATCCTTTAATTTTAGTTTTAATCGACGGTTTATAGTTGGAATTTCGAAAATTATGGATTACTTCTAAATACAGATATATAACAAGAAACTATAGTCTCAAATCATAAGGTAACTTTTGATATTATTTTTAAATTATTTAAAAAAAAAAAATTATTTTAAAAAACAAAAAATAATTCTAAATTAAAAATATAATTTTTACGTATCGTTTCTTTTCATTATGTAAATTAGAAAAAAAAAAACCCCGGTTTTTTGAAAAATATTTTTATTTTATTTTGCATAATTTTTCTCTAACATTTTTATATTTCTTTTTAACTCTCATTCGGTATTTTTATTTATTTTTCCATTTTTTTTTTCCATAAAACAAAAACATATTTTTGAATTGAAAAATTACGAAGTTTTATGTAAATAATGTATATATATACTGTGATTCGAGATCCTCAATACAATAAAGGAGTATATTTGTTTAAAATGTAAATTGCGAGTTGGTGCCCGACAAAATCTTTGCCGCAAGTTAAGTCCGTAAATTGAATTCATTTAAAAGAAACGTACATTTTTCTTTATTTTTATTATTTTATTATTCTTTTACCTAAATGACCCTCTGATAAAACGAAATTTTTTTCATGAAAAAAAATTGTATTCAAATATACGAAAAGAAAAATTATTTTATTTTTGATAATTATTTAAAAAAAAAAAAAATTTTTTTGCTAATCACAAAAAATGTTAATTAATAAATTAATTAAATTTACTATTTATTTATATTAAATATAATTAATTAATTATATTAAAATAAAAATAAATAAATAAATAAATGTTTTTAAAAAAGTCCTCCCTAATTTTTGAACAAAAAAGATTTACGGAAATAATTATTTATATAATGCTTCTTAGGAATGCTCTTTATTATAAAAAAAATATTAAATTTTTAGAAAAAATATTTTTTATACACTACATTTTTCGAATATTAAAACTACATTTTCATAAAGGGTAATAATATTTTATTATACCCACGCTCCGTTTAATATTGAGGTCTTTTACTTTTTATTGACGATTTTATCGAGTCTATATATTATATTTACAAGAGAGAGAGAGAGAGAGAGAGAAAGAGATTAAGATTTAGAAATATATATTGTTTATTACTTTTTGCAATAATCATAATATCAGTTCACGCAGAGATATAAAATACTATTTTTTTTTTTATATGAAAGACTGATGTTCTGATATATATATTTTTTGGGGGGATTCAAGTTGCGAATATGGAGAAAGAGAGTGACAAAAAGTATATGTGGGACGTTCGCACATATATTCACATATGGGGGTGGTTTACTTTCGTCCGAGATAAATGTTGTATGCAAAAAAAAAAATAATAGAAAAAAAAATACAATAAATATGAGGGAAACTTTTTGATTTATTTGATAATACCTTTTTTTTGCATGTTTATTGTCGTCCGCGAAAAATCATTAATAACTTGTAATTTTTTTTTTAGTTTTTCAATTACAATTTATGATTCTCGTTATTTAAAAAAAAAAATCATGAAATTGTGTCAGTGTATACTAAAAAGAAAAAAAAAATTCGTTTAATGGGTAATTATTTATTTGTTTTATTGATTTTTTTAAACTAATTTCATTTAATTTTTTTTTACTTTTATTTTATCTATTTTTTTTATTTATTTTATTTATTTTATTTATTTTATTTTATTTATTTATTTTATTTATTTATTTTTTATTTATTTTATTTATAAATTTTAAATAAATTTTTATTTAAAAAATACTTTGTTAAAAGATTTTTCTTTTAGATGCTGGATTATTGGATGAGGAACAATGACACTGAATTCAATTACAGTGAATTTAAAATCAAAGAAGTCATCGAAGATCCGGGTTCTGCCATTTTATTTGGTGGTTATCCCCCTTGGCTTTTATATTTTGCAGCGAGTTGCTGTATGTTATTTATGTTAATTGGTATCCCTGGAAATTTGATCACAGTGGCAGCACTTTTTCGTACAAAAAAGGTCAGCAAATTCTTTTTTTTTAAAAAAAAAATTTGTATCAAAATTTGTAATATATAAAAAGTAATTTTTTATATATTAAAAATTTTTATTTTATGAAAATTAAAAAAAGAAAAAAAATTTAATTTTTTCTCTTCTCATTTTTTTTATTAAGAAAGAAAGATTTACTCATATTCAGGAAACGATAAGCAAACTTTGGCCGTGTTCCATTCGCCTGGTGGATTATTTCTACTAATATAAGAGTAATATTTTTGGTTTTTGAAATCACATTTTCGGGAAATAAATTGAATAACTATTTTCCTGCTTATGCCCGTGTTGTAACCATGATATGCGATATTACTTTTTCTTTTATACGTAATAAAAAATATTAGCTTCAGAAAAAGTTGAAAAAAAAAATAATTCATTTAAATTCTGACTGAATTTTCAAAGTTTTCATAACAATTAAACAAATTGAACATTTATCTTTTGAAAAAAAATTGGGGTAATATTAAAATTATTATTGAAATTAATGAAAAAATTAAGTATAATAATAATAATATTTTTTATTATTATTATTAGTTTTATAATAATGGAAAAAAATTGTTTTATATTATTAATTTAATTATTAATTAATAATTAATAATTAAATTAATAAGTAGAAAATAATTAAATTTAACAAAATTAATTATTAAATACAATAAACATTATGAACGCAAATAAATATTTTCGAGGAGAAATCTATAAAAAAAAAATAGTGTTATCGTTAAAAACTTTTTTTTGGTATATAAGTGTTCAGTGGCCATTAGAAAACGAGAAAGGTCGCCTTCCCGATATCCATTACTTTTCTTTTCCTTTTTTCTAAGCTTTCAAGATCACATGAGAAAAAATGCCGACAAAGGAAGTTGAATTGATCGCGAACAAAGTTTTGTTGCCAAAGGGCAATCTTCCGCAAAAAAAAAAAAAAAAAAAAAAAATATATATTCCTCGGCCTATATTCACCCAATCGTGACATTTTTTTCATCCCATTTTTTTTCCATTATATTTGATTTTATTTAACTATCATTTAAAAATTTTTTTTCTAAAATTATTTTTATTAAAAAATTTTGTAACAAAAAAATTATAAATGTTAAAATAATTATTTATTTAAATATTAATTATTAAAAAAAAATTCAAAATATTAAAAAAGAGGAATTTCTCTACTTATACGTTTTTATTGGCTAATTTATAATTTCAAAAGAATATAAGAGGAAATATATAAGTTTTTGAAAGAGGAGAAGTTTTCAGTAATAAGAAATCGTTGCAAAAAAGAAAGGGCAATTCTGTGCGAGAAGTTTGATGAGAAGCACAATAAAATTTTCAAAATGAACTTTTAACCTTCTTTCATTGCTTTGATAAGCTTATTCCATTAAAACTAAAAACTCGAGCTGATATAGTGAAACTTTAAATTCGCTAATCCTTATTATAAAAGAAAAGAATCCTTAATAATCTTTTTCTTAAATTGGGGAAAACTTTTTTTTTTGAAGAAAAACTGTTTCTAAAAAGTAGAATAAAAATTATTTTTTATATTTTTAATTATTCAAAAAATATAGAAAAGAAAATTTTTTAATTTATTAGAAAAAAAAATATAAAAAAGAAAATAATTTTTTAAAAAAATTTTTATTAAAAATAATATAAAAAAGAAAATAATTTAAAAAAAAAATTTTATTAGAAAAAATATAAAAAAGAAAATAATTTTTAAAAATTTTTACTAGAAAAAATCTTTGTTAAAATTTATTTTTAATATAAAATTAGTTACTTTTTACTAGTTTATTATAGTATAGAATAATCTCCATCACAGAATCATTAGAGGGTGGGTTTTCTTTTTACTACCCATTGCAAGCTCTCAAAATACGTTTCAGATTGATGAATATGTTTACTGGTCCTCTTATATAGTGATTTGTCATCTCTTACATAAGTTTATTGCCAACTCGTATATTTAAATGTTTTCCGAAAAATCAACAATAAAAATTCGAGCAAATTAGAAAACTCTCAAATAACAATAAAAATGTTCATTTCGCAGTGTATTTTTATTATAACAATAAAAAAGCTCCAATAAACTGCAAAACAAATTTATTGTCACATTATATCTGCTCAGCAAAACTTCAATTTATAAAAATATCTTTGTTTTTTCAAAAAAAAAAAAAAAAAAAAAAAGTCCTTGTATTATAAAAAAAGAAATAAATCTCTAAATAGAAAATAAATTCTAACTATGAGATTTATAGAATAAATAAGCAAAAAAAAAATTTTGAATATCTTTCAAAAAAAATGTCCGCATTTTGATTATGAAAGATTTATACAGTGAAAAGAAAATAAATAATCGAATCTCTTTGATCGCAAACTGTATATTGTTTTCAGAAAACTGAATTTGATTGATTATATTAAAATTTTGACGAAACTGACTTAAAGTTTGCTTTTCTTTTATATATATATATATAAAAAGAAAAAAAAATATCATATCAAAGAATATTTCTCACGGCAATATCTGATAAAATTTATTTTAGAGCCCAGGCAAAATATTCCTTCAGGGAAACATTTTCAAAAATTGAAAGACCAGCTGTCTGTGCGGCAATATCTAAATCTGTCTGTCTGAGAATCCTCTCAAAAAAAAAAAATTCAAGTTTTTTTTCTAATTTTTATAAGTGCGGTCTCATAAAATAAAAAAATTTTATTAAAAATTATTTTCATAGTAAATTTTATTTATTTTTTTTTTTTAGTAAACAATTTGAATTTTTAGAAAATTGAAAATTAGAAATAAAATTAATTAGAAAAATAACTTAAAAAGAAAAAAAAAATAAAAAGTTATGTTTTTGTTTGTTTTTGCTAAACGGGATTGCATTGTAACGTTATATAGATTTTTATCAAATTTTTATAGCTCGTGGTTTGCTCTCTTCCTTTTTTTTTTTTGTTATAGATAAAAACAATCTTTTTTCAAACTAGATTTGTAATTTATTACAGAAATTGATTTTATTTGTTTAATAGAAATTTTTTTTTAAAAAAAAATTTCTAAACTTTAATCTTCATTGAGTGATATACAAGTTTAACACGCGAGTTGTAAGCAGAATCGAAAAGATTTCGTATAAATGATTGGATTAACCCTTCAGGCAATTTTTTTCATCAAGACACGTTTTTCAAATTTTTTTTACGCATTTGTAATCTTTTTTCTTTTTCCTTTTTATATTAAAAGCTTTTCTACTATATATTTTTGTCATTTTTTTAATAGAGGCGAATTTTTTTCTTTTTTTTTCATTTTAATTCATTGTACAATATTAAATATTTAATTTTATTTGTAAATAAATTTTTAATGATACTAAAAATGGTAAATAATAGAATAAATAATATAAAAATTTTAAAAAGAAAGGAAATAATTAAATAAATAAAAATTAATAATAATAATTTTTTCATTACAGTTAAGAAATGCAACAGCAGTTTTTATAATGAACTTATCAGTGTCGGATCTCATGTTCTGCTGCTTTAATTTACCTTTAGCTACATCGACATTTTGGCACAGTGCCTGGTTACATGGTCCTTTACTCTGTCGACTATTTCCATTATTGAGATATGGATTAGTCGCTGTCAGTCTCTTCACTGTTCTCGCAATCACAATCAACAGATACGTGATGATCGGTCATCCGAGACTCTACCCCAAGTAAGCAAAAAAAAAAATATATAATAAAAAAAAAGTTCTTGTTGACTAGACAAAATTTTCATTTATTTTTACCTTTTTCTTCTATAAAAAAAAATTTTCTTTTCCCTCTAGAGCTGATTTTTTTATTTCAATTCTCATTTGTTGTTTTAAATTAATAAAAAATAAAAAAGTATTAAAAATAAATAAAAAATATTTAAAAAATTACCGACACAGAAATCTACCCTACCGACTGATGGTAAAACAGTTTTTTTCGAAGAATGAAAATACAAAAATTACCGACATAGAAATCTACCTTACCGACCGTTAGTAAAACAGTTTTTTTGGAAAAATAAAAATTACCGATACAGGAATCTACCTTACCGACTGATGGTTAAGAAAATTTTTGTAGAATGAAAATATAAAAAATTACCGGCATAGAACTCTACTTTACCGACTGATGATAAAGAAATTTTTTGTCGGTAATTTTTATATTTTCATTTCCTTACCATCAGTCGGTAAAGTAGATTTCTGTGCTGGTAATTTTTATATTTTCATTTTTCAAAAGAACTGTTTTACTATCAGTCGGTAAGGTAGATTTCTCTGTCGGTGATTTTTATATTTTAACTTTTAAAAATTTACCTTCAGTCGGTAAAGTAGATTTATGTGTCGGTAATTTTTATATTTTCATTTTTCAAAAAACTGTTTTACTATCAGTCGGTAAGGTATATTTCTCTGTCGGTAATTTTTATATTTTAACTTTTAAAAAATTTACCTTCAGTCGGTAAAGTAGATTTCTGTGTCGGTAATTTTTATATTTTCATTTTTCAAAAAAAAAACTGTTTTACCATCAGTCGGTAAGGTAGATTTCTAGGTCAATAATTTTTTTATATTTTCTACAAAAAAATGTAAATATTTAATTGTAAAAAATTTGTTTTCTGTTGTAGACTGTATAAATCAAAATATCTTACATTAATGGTACTGGCAACCTGGACCTCGGGTTTTGGTGCATTAATTGCAACATGGTTTGAAAGATGGGGTCGATTTGGACTCGATCCAGAAATTGGATCCTGCTCAATTCTTCCCGACGTCAATGGTCGTAGTCCTAAGGAATTTCTTTTTATTCTTGCATTTCTTGCACCTTGCGTTGCAATTGTTGTTTGTTATGCGAGAATTTTTTATATCGTCAGAAACACTGCCATTAAAAGCAGAAGAAGAGATAAAGCTGCCATTGATCTCGTCAAAGCAAGTTTGGATGTTAATGTATATACATAATTTTTCCAATATTTAAATAATTCATATGAAATTATTATTGAAAATTTAAATTAACCTTTTTTTTTTTTTATTCAATTTTCAGATAAAATGTACAAAAACATTTGAGGATTCTGCAATTGGCTCAAGTTTTGGACCAACATGCACAACTGGCAATGGTGATTCATCACTAAAAAGTAGTGAAAAAAATTATAAATTAAATTCATCAAATCAAAAATATTCCGAAACTTTGAGCATTTCCAAAATTTCTGATCAAGAATCGGCACAATTTTCTTGTAGTAGTCTAAAAAATATTGAAGAAAGTCCAATATTAAATTTAAATAATCATTTTCGAGCAAGACGATTCACAGTTCCTGAATTAAGAATACAATATCAAAATTCAATATCAATTAATGAAGGAAAATCGATTACTCCAATTGACATTGAAAATATTCAATTTATCGATAGTGGACAAAATTATGACGATATAACTCATTATACAACAATAATTGATAATTCAAAAAATGTTGAAAAAAATTTTTCCAAAAATGAAATTTTAAAATCAAAAATTGCATTTGGACAAAATTCAAAATCAGATTCAAATTTTTTAACAAGAGAAATTTTTGACAAAGATATTGATAAAAATTGTGAAATTAATTTAAAATTTTCCAACGTACATAATAATCTTCGAAAGCCAAAAAATGTTAATCAACATTCATCAGAAAATTTATTGAGTCCTCGTGTAAAAAAATATGATGATATTTCTGAGGATTTTACAAGTTCAAGATCAGAATCACCATCATTAGAAAGACGTAGTGAAAGAAAAGTCAGTATTTTTAGAAGGGAATCAAGATTTCGAAGTATTAGAGATAATGTTGTTGTTGATGTGGAAAAATTATCGACAAAAGATAAAAAATTGTTAAAAATGATTTTAGTAATTTTCATCTCATTTCTTGTTTGTTATCTTCCAATAACAATAACAAAAACATTTAAGGATGTCATTGATTGGCGGGGATTTAATATTGTTGGTTATATTTTAATTTATTTAACAACTTGCATTAATCCTGTGATTTATGTTATAATGAGTTCAGAATATAGAAGTGCTTATAAAAATGTTTTACTTTGCAGAAATGAAAATTCATCATCGCAATCGGGAAAAAATTCTCATAAGAAGAAGAAAAATTTCAGAAATAAATAGAATCATTTGGATTTTTTTCAAAAACCATTTTTTTTTAATAATAAAAAATAATAAAAATTCATTTTTATAATATTAATAAATTCATTTTGGTTTTAATAACAAAATTTAAATTTTCTAAAAATATTTAAAATTAAGTGAGTCAATATTTATTTACGAAAATAAATTTAGTTCCCCGGGACCAGGAAAATAAATAAAAAAGCAGTGAACTAAGTTTGATTAATTTCTATAATTAATTATTATAAACTATTATACTGACAATATTATTTATTTTTTTTAATTTTACATGAAAATAATATTTTATAATTTGTTACAAAATAATAAAAAAGGGTTAATAAATATTAAAACAAATATATTTAATTTTTAGAATTGTAATTTTATTCCAATATTATAGCAGTACATTTGTTCTCTCGTTTCTTATTTAAATTTTATTCAAAAAAAAAAATAAATAAATAAATAAAATTATTCTAATAACAAATATAGCGTTTTATAGTGCTTCGTTGTTTCGTAAATATTGCATGGAAAATTATTGCGAATACATAAGTTGCAAAAAACTATTAACTTTGCACTCAAAAAAAAAAAAAAAAATTATTTTTATTTAATTGAACATGATTTTAGATAATAAGAAATTATTTTTATATAATTATTATTTTTATAAACCAATTTAATTTGTTCAATCGTAATGACTATTTATCATTTATCGATTTAATCTAAAATTATCCGCAAATGTTTTTTTTTTATTTATTAATAAAAGGAAGTTTTATGCCAAAGAAAATTTACTTATAATAGAAAAAAAATTCAATTAAATTTTTTTGAGAGAATTAATAAATTTTAACATTAGTTTAATTAAAATATGTGTGTTTCAACATTTTTAAAATTTTGTTAAAAATTCAATTTATTTTTTATTACTAAAAATTTGATATACTACATTTTATTATTATAAGTAAAATTTCTTTTTTACAATATATTATATTACAATTATTATATATTTTTTTAACTTCACTACTGAATTAAAATATTGACTTGATTTTTAATAAAAAACAAAAAGCTAAACATAAATAAAAACTAAATAAAAATATTCTATATAAGTGAATAAAAGTAGAATAAAAATTCTTAATAAAATCTGTAAAAAATATTTTTTAAATTCAATTTTCAAATTTAAAATTCAAAATAATAAGAAATTTCAAAACTTTTTAAATATATTTTTTATGTTTCTTTTTAAAATATTAGTAAATGTATTTATAAAAAATTTATAAGAAAAAAAGAAAACGAGTAATTTATTATATTTCGAATATAAACTAATAATTATAAGTAAAATGCATTTACATGGCAGAGATTAATGTTATGGTTTTATTAACAATTTTTTTTTTTGGTAAATATTATTTTTTTATATATATAGTGATTGTAATAGTAAAAGATTCAATTGTGATATTAGATATATTATATAAATGTGCGGCAGCTGATTTTTTTTTTATTATAAATAAAATTGAAGAATTTTATTTGATATCTATATATGTAATATATTATTAACTTCCTGTTACTCTCGGAAATTCTGTCACATACAGTGTTCTATATTCGTATACCAACTAACGAACCTGAGTGAAAGTTATTTTCACAAAAGGGTTCAGACCAAACAAAGTCGTAGAAATTCTACTCTTATATTGATTGAAAGTGTTTTTTTTCAGAATTACAAAAATTTTGTTTTAATTTTTAAATAAAAACAAATTTATTATTTTAATTGTTTATATTTATCATTAATTAATGAATTTTTATTCAAAATTTATGAAACAATATTAATTATCTAATTTTTTTCAAAGAAAATATTAATTAATATTACTGATTGTGTAATTAAATAATTTATTAACTTTTCGACTAATTAGTAAATAGAAAAAAATAAAAAGAAAGTAATTTAAATAATGATTAACTTTTAATTAATTATATCATTCATATTAAAAATGAATTATAATTTAATTTTTTCAAAATTTTTTTTTAAAAATTCAATTTTGAGGAATCCCTTTTGATAGAAGACAATAAATTAAAATTAAGCAAAATTCTGAGAATATATAGATTTTTTTACTTAAGAGTAAATAATTAAATTTTTTAATATTTTAAACAAAATAATATTTTTTTCAAAATAATTTATAACAAGCATATTATATGTACATTATTATTATTATAGAGAAAAAAAAGTAATTCTAAAAATTAAAAAGAAGTAAGAATTATTAATTCAACTTAATAAAACGTAAATTATAGAACGTATAGATTGAAGTAAAAAAAAAAAAAGAAAAAAAATAATTTATTGTTGACTAAATAAAAAATAATAAAGTGAAAAGTCCTTCTTTCTCAAGAAAAATTTAAAAAAAAACTAAAAATATACTTTAAAAAAAATAATTTTCATAAATTTTAAATCATACAAAATCATATAAAAGTTAATGAAAATATTAATTTTTTTTAAGTTTTTCTGTTATTGCGAGGTTTTATTTAATTATCCTCACTTTTTTTTCTTCAGAAAATAAAATTGTTTTTTCTTTAATAAAAACTGAAGAATTACTGAACTATTGCGTAAATTTTTAGAAATAAAAAAAAATCGATATACTCAACTCTTCCAAGTGGAATTTATAATTTCAATTTTTCGTTAAATTATTAAATAAACAGATATAAAAAAAAATTTAATTTAAAAAAAAAATAAGTAATTTTTATAATTTGGAAAATTTCACAACGAAAAGTAGAATTATATCGCATTTTTTTGGTAATCAAAATCCTTAATTAAAAAAAAAAATCTTTTTTTTTCTTAGGAAAAGAAAATAAACACTATTTAATTTATCTTTCCACATTTGGTGGTGAATTAACTGATTGAAGTGTTTGAACATTAAGAGGCCATTGTTTTTTTTCCTCTCCCCCTTCGCCGCCCATTGCCGATACCGTGGTGCTACCTTTACTTCCGGCACTTTTTGTTACTTTTGTAACATCCATTGAATTTGCCTTTCTTTGTTTATATTGTAAATAACCCGCCGTTCCACCAAGGCCCAATCCACCGAAAAATAAAATCCATTTAATAGCACTGAAAATAAAAAAAAAAATTTTTTTTTTTTATTAATATTTTAATAAATAAATATTTTCTTTGAATCAAATAAAAATATATTTATTTCAGAGTTTTGTAAATTTTTTTATTTGTTTCAAATAAAAAATTTTATTTAATAAAATTTTTATTTAAACTAAAATAAAATTTATTTAAACCAAATAAAATTTATTTGAAACAATTAAAAAATATTTAAACATATTTAGAAATATTTAAAAATATTTAGTAATATTAAAACATATTAAAAAATAGTAAAAAATAGTAAAAAATAGTAAAAAATAGTAAAAAATATTAAAAAATATTTAAAAACATTAAAAAAATATTTAAAAATATCAAAAAATATTAAAACATATTTAAAAATATTAAAAAATAGTAAAAAATATTTAAAAATATTTAAAAACATTAAAAAATATTTAAAAATATTAAAACATATTTAAAAAAATGTATTTAAATATATTTAAACGTATTTAAAAATATTTAAAAATATTTAAAAATATTTAAAAATATTAAAAAATATTTAAAAACATTAAAAAATATTTAAAAATATTAAAACATATTTAAAAAAATGTATTTAAATATATTTAAACGTATTTAAAAATATTTAAAAATATTTTAAAATATTTAAAAATATTAAAAAATATTTAAAAATATTTAAAAACATTATAAAATATTAAAAAATATTTAAAAATATTTAAAAACATTAAAAAATATTTAAAAATATTAAAACATATTAAAAAGAATGTATTTAAATATACTTAAACGTATTTAAAAATATTTAAAAATATCAAAAAATATTAAAACATATTTAAAAATATTAAAACATATTAAAAAGAATGTATTTAAATATATTTAAACGTATTTAAAAATATTTAAAAACATTAAAAAATATTTAAAAATATTTAAAAACATTAAAAAATATTAAATAATATTTAAAAACATTAAAAAATATTAAAGAAATGAAATTTTCTTACGCGATGATTTTGAAAACTCGAAAAACTGCTTTGAATTGTTTGAGAAAATCTCCTTCAAGAGAAAGACCTTCCTCAACCCACATAAGTGGTAACAAAGAATATGGAAAATTTTTCATTAATTTAAGCTTCTCCACTGGTTGAATAAACATATTGAATTGTAGTCGTTTCCTTCCAGAGACTGGTGTTCCAGTAATTGGCTCAAAATCAACAAACAGCTCATGTTCGTTCTAACAAAAAAAAAAAAATTCTTTTTATTTCTAATTTTTTTGTTTCTTTATTTAAAAAACAAAAAAAATTCTTTTTATTTTTAATTTTTTTGTTTCTTTATTTAAAAAACAAAAAAAATTATTCACCTTATTTGGAGTTATTCCAGTGACATTTTTGAGATACATTTCATGTGTATCATAAAGATGAGGAAGAGATGCAACAATTGGTGCTCCAACGCATCTTGTTAAATCATAAAGTCCTTGTTTAAGACATGTGTCGTCAGTTTCACAAAAACATTTTAATTTTGGATCTGAACTTGTATCGCCAAGACCGCCAACATAGCGATTTGTTTTTATTCCTTCGTATTTTGTTTTTGCCACTGATTTTATTCCCAAACTACGACAAAGATCAGGTGCAAATGAAACTAAATCTTCATCGGCATAAAAATATGAATGAAAAATGGTTGAATCTGTTCCTTCATATTTATTACATTCTGGTCCACGCCAAATGTCCATTGCTGGCTTTCCACCATAATGTGTCACAACTCCAACAGTATCTGGATCTTTTATTCCACGATAAACACGTAAACTATCTTTATAGGTTGAATAATTTTTCTAAAATCAAAATAAAAAAAAAAAAATTATGAAACCAAAAATTTCAACATTGTATTGGCAGTTTTTTTTTTGTTAATTGAGTTATTAGGATTTTTTTCATTATTTTTTATTAGTCATCAAAAAAAAAAGGATAAATTATCCATAATTATTTTTAGATATAATTTGTCAGGTCATTGATAATGAAACAATTTTTATAATATTACACTGAATAAAAAAAGTTTATTTGATTCATCTCAAATAATAATTATTTGATAAAAATAAATATTTATTTGATAATAGTCAATTAGATTATTTGAATCAAATAAATTTTGTTTTCACTGTATGTTTGGAAATTAGTTTTTGAAAATATTATTTAAAAAAATTATTGTAAAATGATTATAAAATAATTAAAAAATAATTTAAAAAATAATAAAAAAATTTTTTAAAAGTAATTAAAAAATATTTAAAAAATAATTATAAATTAATTATTGCTAAAATAATAATATAAAAATTTCTGAAACTTACGGCACCGAAGAAGGAAAATCTATATCGGCCTTCGCCTTCTTTTATTAAGTCATCTTCACCTTGCTCCTTCAAAATACCACATACGGCAGCTCCAGCAAAGTCAGTCACAGTACAATCAATAGGTAATCCAGTAAATAGAAGGTCCTTTACTTTAACTTTAACAAATACCGATTTTGGATTGTGGAAAATGCTGTTAATTGCCTTACCTAAAGTAGAAAAAAAAAAATTTTTTTTTTTAAATATGTTTTATGCCTCAAAAAATAAATAAATAATATTCGCCATAAAAATCCCCCCAAAATACCAACCAACTAAACCAATAGCATTTGGTTTTTCTCTAAGTGTTCCCATAACCATTCCCAAAATTAGTAAATGTGGAAAAACTACTTCTTCTTCACCAGTTAATCCATTACTTTTTGACGGATTAAAAACAAACCAATTTTTCATATTGTACTCCACTGTGTCATCTTCTTCATGATCGATTAAATTAACTTTCTTCTTCCATTCGCTAAAAATTTCAAATTCTTATATTAAAATTTTTTTTTATTTTTCAATATATTTGTTATTAATTTTCTTTTTATTATTTTTGTTATTTGTTACTATTTTTTTTAATTGTTATTACATTTGTTATTATTTTTTTATTTTTCATTATATTTGTTATTTGTTACTACATTTTTTATTTATTATTAAATTTATTTTTATTTTTTTTATTTGTTATTACATTTGTTATTAATTTTTTTATTTTTTATTATATTTGTTATTTGTTATTAGTTTTTTTAATTTTCATTATATTTGTTATTTGTTACTACATTTTTTATTTATTTTTATTTTTTTTATTTGTTATTACATTTGTTATTAATTTTATATTTTTTGTTTCTTAATATATTTGTTATTAATTTTTTTATTTTTTATTATATTTGTTATTTGTTATTAATTTTTTTAATTTTCATTATATTTGTTATTTGTTACTACATTTTTTATTTGTTATTACATTTGTTATTAATTTTATATTTTTTGTTTCTTAATATATTTGTTATTAATTTTTTTATTTTTTATTATATTTGTTATTTGTTATTAATTTTTTTAATTTTCATTATATTTGTTATTTGTTACTACATTTTTTATTTGTTATTACATTTGTTATTAATTTTATATTTTTTGTTTCTTAATATATTTGTTATTAATTTTTTTATTTTCATTATATTTGTTATTTGTTACTACATTTTTTATTTGTTATTAAATTTATTTTTATTTTTTTTTATTTGTTATTACATTTGTTATCTATTATTATAATTTGTTACTGTATTTGTTATATAAAAATTTAAGTTTTTTCATTTTTTTTTTTTTTATAAAAGTTAAACTTTTTTTTTTAACTTACTCGTAAAAGAATGGACCAACTTCCTTGACATTTGGATATGCACCTTTCTCAATTTCTTCGGCATTTGTTATGTTAAAAATGTAAATTTTGAAATCTATAGGAATTGGTAAATCCGACCATAATTCACGGATTTCACTTCCGGGATATAAGGCACTTTTCTGTTTATAAAAAAAAAAGTTTAGTAAAAAATTTTTATAAAATATTTATATTAATTAACATAAGTTTTAATAAAATAAATAAAATAATAAATAAAATGATAAATAAATAAAATAATAAATAAATAAAATAATAATATAATAAATAAAATTTAGAAAATTAGATTAAAATAAAAAAAATTTGTTTCTATATATTTTTTTTTTGTATAAAAATACCCTCAGTATTTTTAAGTTTCTTAATTTATTTGAAATAATTTTTATTAGTTTACTATTCCTGATGATTTAAAAATAAAAATTTTTTTTTTCATATAAAGTATGTTTCTCTCTTTTTTTTATGTAAAAAAAACAATTTTGATTATATAATGTTGCTAATTTCGTAATAAAACGTTATATGAACTTCTTGTAATTAAAGAGTTCTTCCTAACGGTTATAATTTTTTTTTTTTCATCCAAGAACTTATAATATACCAACTCTCAAGGATTTACTTTTTTTTTGCTTATTTGTTTGTCAAGTTCAACAGTCTCTTTATAATTGTAAGTTTTGTTGATATTTAATTTATCAAAGTTTGTAAAATATTGAATTTTTTATATATTCATAGCAAGGATATTTCTTTTGGATTGAAATTAATATAACTTAAACTTTTTAATATTTACTTATTCTGTGAAACTAATAAACTTTTGTTATTATTTATAATTTCCACGTATTAAAAATAAAAAAAAAAAAAACAAATGTTATTTCCTCATGCTAAAAACTTTTTTTATTAAAAAAAACTTTTTTGGACGTTTTATTTTTTCTCAAGAGTAAAAATTAATTTAATTTTGTTTATTTTTTTTCAAAATCAACGTTTAAATAAATAAATTAATATAAATTATATTAATTAAAAATTGATACAACAATTTTTTTCACGATTTTTTAAATTGTATATTAATCATATGTTTTTATTGCAATGAGTCAAAATGAATTTCATTTTTTTTTTCATAGACAAATAAGTCATCGTTTGCTATATTTAAATTGTGATATTTTCAAAACCTTCGTTTTTTTTTACATTTGAAATAAATATTTAACTGAATTTTTTTTTTGAAATTAAAAATTATTTTTATTTATTATTTTAAATATATAATTTTAAAATTATTTTAAAGTTATTTTAATATTATTAAAAAAAAAAAAAATTCTAAAATTGTAAATAAACTGAGAAAGGATATTCGTAAATTAAAAAAAACATTTCTTTGATAAATGGAAATTGTTCTTTAATTACAAAATAAAAAAATATTTTTAAATCTGCAATATTGTTAATTTATTACAAAAAAAAATAATAATTATAATTAATTATAATTATAATTAATTTATAATTCTTAATGAGAAATTAAATTAATCTCACCTTATGAATAACTGATTTTAAAATTTTTGGAAATGCTATCATAAAGAAGAAGACAGAAAGAGAGAACATCACCCCACCAGCAATTCCCAGTTTCATTGGAAGCTGCATTTTTAATAACAATTTTTTTTTCACCACAAAAAAAAACTTTAACTTCTCTCAAATCACGTAATGTAAAACGAAAAAAATTATTTTAATTGCACTTGAAAATTTTTTTTCGTAGTTTTTCACACTAAACTCACACTAGTAATTTTTTTTTTTTTTTTTTTTTTTTCAATTTTTCATTATAGACATTTTTTCATTTTGTAAAAATAAAAATGAGTTTTTAATAATGAATTCGATGATTTTGCAAAGGAAAATTTATTAAAAGTTTCCCTTGCATTAAAAGAATTCTTGTTCGAATTCATAATTTTTTAAAGTCATTTCTTTTATAATTTTATTGTACTTCTTAAAGGAATGATAGTTGACTGACGATAATAATTTGTTGTTACATTACACTAATACACTTCCCCCCCTGTGACTTCTTGGATTACCTGTAAAATCTCATTGGCATATAATAAAATTGTTGAGTTGCGCAGTTGACAATCCTTTTTTTTTTTTATTACCAATTGAACAAAATATGATATTTCAAAGGATCATTGTATATATTACAGTCATTTCAATTAATTTATATAATTTTTTATCATTTTTTTTTTTACTTTTCAAAGATTTCTGTTTCTTTTGTAATAAAATTGTTTGACTTTTGTTTGCATCAAGCAACAATGAAAACAATTGAAAATTATTTTTTTTTTATTATTTTTTTTATTAATTATTATATTTTTATTTTTTTAATTATTAATATAATTTTCAATATTTTAAATTATTTAAATTATTTAAATTATTAAATAATTTATTATAAATTATAATTTTTTAAATTAAAATTATTTAAATTATAATAATTTTTGAAGAGATTAAAAAAAATTGTTTCTTTAAATTCTGAAAAAGTATTTTTATTTTATTTTCATTTTTTCTTTAAATTTGAACAGAAATTAGTTTTTAAGAAAATTAGAAAATAATTATTATAATTTTAGTGCAACAATTAAATATTAAAATTCTAATTAAAAAATAAGTTTGAAAAACCTTTTTTTTGTTTCTAAATAAAAATTTTAGAAGAGAAAATTCTCTGTTTAATAAATATTTGTAAATATTTAACAAAAAATATTTATAAATGTTTATAATTATTTTCCTGTACAGAAATAATTTCTTCAATATCAAAAAAGATTTTTTTTTTAATGACAAATAGTTGAAAATAAAAATTGGCAAAAAAAATTTTTTTTTTTTTTTTATTTGTTTCTGCATAAAATTATACAAAAACATTATTGAAGTGGCACTTCTTATAGGTGAATATTGACAATAAATAAATATAGCGACTAGTGTCAAGAGCAACACCTTGCTGTAGAGTGTGAAGGTGGCAAAAGAAACATTAATTAATAATGAGATTCTATAGATCTTTATAAAGCCGGTGTGTCTGTCTTTCATTCATGATTATGTTTGGGATTTGCGAAGAAATTTCTTTTTTTCTGCAAGTTTTGATTATTGTGACATACAGGAAAGAAAAAAAGAAAGGCCTTCGCCAGGCAAGACTATTCTAATTATTTAAAAATTTATAACACCAACGCTATTTGACCTTTTCCTCTTGTTTTTCTTTTCTTTCTTTCATGACACATATGTATAAAGTAATTTTCTTTCCCACGACTTGTGCCAAGCTCTTTTTTTAAGACACGCATTCAAGTCCCATTGGTTTATAGTTTATTGACAGACTTTACAAAGTACCAATTAGTTTGTGTCAACTTTTTTTATCCACCTTATTAAATATTTCTTGCAGATAATGTAGATTTTACTTTTAACAAGTTCCTTTTTTTATATATGTATATAAAGCAATAATTGTTTTCGCACTTTTTTTTCCAAAACGTTTATGACAATTTATTGCATTTTGTGATTTTGGATTTGTATTCTTTATATAATTTTTAGGAATAATTATTTCGAGTAAAAATTATTGCTATTATGATAAAAAATAAAAGTAAAAAAAAAATAATTAAAAAATTTTTATCTAATAAAATATATAAGAAAATTTTTTTAAAAATAATTGTAAAAAAATTATTAATAAAATTAATAAAATATCTAAGAAATAAATAACGTTTATTTAGATACATTTTTTTTTAAATTAAAATATAAAAATATTTATTTTGTTATATGGCACATGAACTTTGAATATTCGAATTTTAATACAATATTCCCGCGGTTTGAAGTAGTGCAATTAAAAAATTACAACATTTAAATTGTCTTCGTCTTTTTTTTTTATTGTAAATATTCCATTAACCTAGTTTTCTTAATTATATAATGAATAATTTTTTAAATCTTTTGCAACATTTACTAAAATCTATATATAAACACTCTGTTAATGATCCTATTATATATATGGAAATTTTCTCCTTATTTTCTATGTAAATTAAATATTTGTGAACTAATTATTATCCATCAGTCATTAAACATACATAATACGAAAGTTTTTAAAATAAATTTTATTAACCTTGCGTTAAAGTACCTTTTTAATTTTATTGAACAAATATTTTATTATATAATTGAAAGAAAATTGAAAATTATTCATTATTTTTGTAATTTAATTGTAAAACAACTGTAATTATAAATTGTAATTATTATTTGTAAATTATAAATTATAAATAATATAATAAAAAAAAAATTGCCATAATAATTATAATTGCCAAATAGTACACTGGAAAAATTTATTTGATTCAAATACCGGTATATTTGAATCAAATAAATTTTTTTTCAGTGTAAAAAAACAATTAGAAATTGTAATTATTAAAAATATAATTATTATTTATGAATCATAATTATAAAAAAAAAACTTGCAAAAATAATTATAATTGTCAAAGAATAATAAAGAGTTTATATAAAAGTTTAGGAAAAAAAAATATTGTAATGAAAGAAGAGCAAACTATTGTCAAATTCCATGATTCATCTTTCGCGCTAATATATTTGTAAATTCGAACTCTCAGTGTCAATGCTATTGTATGTGCAATTTAAGAATTATATTATGAAGTATTCACCAAGGACTATACCAAGAATTAAATCAATGCGAAGGTGCTACAACTTTTAAAGCATAAAATAATATATATATTATCACTACACGTGTGATATGTGTGATTCCAATTTTTTTATATTTCATTAAAATTCATTACATATGTTAGAATTTTCATTTTTCAGAATTTCTCTTCATTCAAATTTAAACAAAAAAAATAATTAACTCAATACACTAATTTAACTAATTCAATTAACTAATTTAATTAACTTTTCAATTTAGCCGAATTTTCATTCAAAAGAATTTGAAGCGATTCGAAATTTGGTAATAGAATTTCCATTTTGTTTCTTCGAATTTTATTTGATTGAAAAAATAATGAGACAAAAGATTTTGGGACGTTTTTTTTTTAAATTGACAATAATTGGATAATTTTAAAAATCGCGCCAAAATGATTTATAATTTCGGTCAAATGAAATTTCGTCCTTTTAAAAATTTTATTAAAAGTGCAGGATTCTCTAATTTTTTTTTTTTTTTTTTTTTTTTTTTTTTTTACCATCCATGAAATGGTTTATATTGAGTGTGTATTGCCACTGGCACTGGATATGGTTTTGGCACGTGTACTGGCACAGCCACATGAACTGGATATGGTCTATCGACATGGACATATTTTTCAACTGGATATGGTTTAGGAACAGCAACTGGAACAGCATAGGGTCTATCGACGTGGACAGTTTTTTCAATTGGTACGTGAACAATTTTTTCAATATGTACTGGATATGGTTTTGGAACTGGCACTGGAATTGGACGATCCACTGGCACAGGTACTGGTCTATCAACTGGCACCGCTACTGGCCTATCAACAGGAAATGGTACTGGCCTGTCTACTGGCACTGATATTGGTCGATCAACTGGTACATGTTTTATTACTGTATGAATTACTGGCACTGCAAATGGATGTGGTACTGGATGAGGCACTGCTACTGGTTGCGGTACTGGCACTGGTTGAGGTACCGGAACTGGATGAGCTACTGGCACTCCTGTAATTATTATTATTTTATTTTTATTTATTTTAATTTTTTTTTATTTATTTATTTTTTTTGTTTATTTTTAAATCAATTTTTATTTGTTTTCTCAACCAAATTATTTTTTGGTTCACCCATTTCGCTTTTTATAGTCTACCTATGCCTATTTAAATTAATTTCTATCGCGGAAAAAAACCCAACTCTGCTGGGGCTCGAACCCTCGGACTACGCAACGCAAGTCGAGAACGCTGACCACTACTCTACGAATCCTAGTACCTATTTATTTTATTTTTATTTATTTTCTTTTAATTCTATTTTTTGTATTATTATTATTTTATTGTAATTTATTATTATAAAATATTATTATTTTATAGTAATTTATTATTATAAAATATTATTATTCTATTAAAATCGTTAAAATATCTTTGTGTTTTTTTTGAAAAAAATTAAAAAAAAAAAAAAAAAAAAAAAAAAAAAAAAAAAACTAACCGACTGGTTGAACTGCAACTGGTGGTTGTATTGGTTCAGGATGCTGTGGTAAAATTGGAGAAGGATGTGAATAATCATATCCAACTGGAATTTGTTGATTTGGTGCCTCATAAATTGGTGCTGGCTCTTGTGAGGGATAACCGTATTCAACACTAAAAGCTCCTCTCTTTCCGTGTTTCTTTGAATAAATTGAACTTATTTTCTCCCGTTTCTCAACTGTTATTGCTGATGCGCTTGCAGCAATCAGCATCACTGTCTGCAAAAATACAATAAATTTCTTATTATTTTTTTAAATAATTTAATAAATAATTTAAATAATTTAATTAATTATTAGTTAATTATTTAATAATTACTTTGATTATTAATAAATAAATTAATTTAATTATTAATTATTAAATTAATAATTACTTTTATTATTAATTAATAATTTAATTTAATAATTAATAATATTTTTAAAAATTATTATTTTTCTTCAATTATTTGTTTAAAAATTTTTTTTTATTTATATTTAAATTATTATTCTCCCTCCATTTTTTTTTTTCAAATTTCACACACTTGTTTAAAAATAAATCACTTGGCTGTAACAAAAAATTAATACCAATTTAAAAACCTTGAATATTTATAAAAAAAAAAAAATGTCTTTTATTTATTAAATCAATAATAATGAAATTAATAAGTCCGTTTTATCGATTTTTAATTTTTGTTCGCACTAATTATACGAGTAATTAATGAATTAGTAACACTCTCGCAAGTTCACTGTATATATTAAATATGTTGATTTTCTGCAAAAATCCATTAGTCGATTTAATCCATCATCACTTTTATATATAAGATAAAAATAATTCACAATTCACTATATATCGAGGTCTTTAAAAAAAAAAAATTGTTTAAAAATTAAATTTTCTTTAATTATAAAATCGATAAATACCAAAATGAAATTCATTTTATAATTATGTTCCTGGTAGCATCGAGGTTGAAGAAAAACTGCGTTTGCTCTCTAATTTGTGACCCCTATAAGTATTTATAGGACTCATCGTATACCATATGTGTATATCAGTTTGGAGAACTCATTGATTGTCGATTCGATATTTAACTTTCGCTGTTTCTAATCCTTTTGGGTGGTAGCCAAATTTGTTGCAGTTTTTTTTTTTTTTTTTTTTATTGACTTTGGAAAAAGTTGACAAATTATTGTTTAAAAATTTATTAATATTAATTAATTAATTTAATTAATTAATTAATTATTATTAATTTCAATCGGTGTTTATTAAAAAATTTATTTGTAAGTAAACTTTTTTTTAAATATTAAATAAATATAAAATTATTTTAATTTTTGTTTATAAATAATTATTTTTATAAATAAATATTATAAAAAAAAATATTGAGAGGACGAAAATTTATTGGATTTTTTATATAATAATAATTACGGCAATCATTGAACTTGACTTGGCACATTACCGAAAATTTTATAATGATCTAGAGACACACGTGGAAGTAGATTTTAATTAAAATTCTCGTAATGCAATTTAAATGCGTAACTTAACTCACGTTTGTTAACGAAAGTGGCACGTGAAAAATTGTTATAATTTAATCTTGATGAAATAAATACCATTGATTAAATTATTACTATAATTTAATAATATTTTTAATTTTTCAAAAAAATATATTTTTTTCGATAAAGTTTTTTATATTGATATAATTTTTTTTTTTAATTATAAATAATTATAAATAATTATAATTAATTATAATTTTCTTATAATTTTTCTAATTGTTAGATATAATTTTTTGAATATTCATAAAAGAAATACAAAACTAATAGAAAGGTATATTTTAATTATTATAATTTTATGAAAATTTATAATATCATTATGAGTGGAAAGAAAATTGTTTTACAATACATCTGTAATGAATAATGAATGGATGGTATCAAAAGAAATGGTTCGCGTTAGAAAATGAAAGTCTCAAGAAAGTCTTCAATGTAATTCCAATGCGGAAGGTTTTAGTTTTGTGATACAGAAAAAAAAGCTAAGCAATTTCAAGTCACACATGTAATATACACATTTCTAACAATAACTAATCTCATTTCGACGAATTTTCTTATTTTTATATACGTTTACGTGTAATTTCTCTTTTAATTTCAAGTTTCCTCTATTCCTTTTTTTTTTTTTTTTTTTTTAATTTTTTTATTTATTACCAATTTATGAAATAAACAAATTTTTAAATTATATTATTTTTTTAATAAAAAAGAATAATAATAATAATATGCTAATTATGAAAAAAAAAAAATCCTGGAAGAACTTGAACCAAAATAAAAATTGTTTCAAGGGAATTAGTAAACTAAGATATTAATAAGGCAATTAATTTACGAATTGAAATATTTTATGAAAATTATTTTCATTATTATTTTATCAATGTTACATTATTGAAGTTTCAAGGAAAAAATTTAATTTTACATCAAGATATCAAGTTCATTTTTAATATTATAATTTAATAATATTTAACTTTTAAACTTTTAAAGAGAACAATTATAAATGTTTATTGAAAAAAAAGAAACCATTGTATATATATATAATAATTGGTAAAAAAAATAGTTTGTTTTAATAGAAATATTTTAAAAACATAATTTTTTTTTTTAATTAAATTAATAATTTTACAGAAAATTAAAAGGCATTAAAATAAGTTTATTATTTTAATCAAATTTTGCTTATTTTAATTCATTTTGGTATTAAAATATGCAAAATTGGATTAAAATAATAAGCGTTGCAGCTTATTTTAATTTTCTGTGATTAAATATTTTGTGGATTAGAAAAAGTAGTAATAAACACTTTTTCTTATATTAAATATATCGATTACATAAGAAGCAAACACTTGTTGACGTAAATATATATCCAATGGAAGTCAAGTTGAAAGTTACAACTTTAAAATTATATTCCACTGTCAATAAAATATATTTCAAGAAAAATTTATTTTTATTTCAACCTTCTTTTATAAAACTAAAGTCACTTTTCTTTTTATTTATATATAATTTTAACTTCATTATTATAAATATTTTATTTGTAAGCCAATTATTTATTAAACTATCTTTTTTTTTATTATATTTTAATGATAAAAAAATTTAATTATGTAAAGAAATTTGTTTCAAACCAAAAATATTGATATTTTATCTGATTATATTTAAAATTTTTAATAATATAATTTGCAATTTTCACTTCCGTTTTAGATTCGAGATAAAAAAAAAATTAAAAACTCAAGTCACTGATTGTGATTATCGATCAAGATATATGGAAAACTATTTTCAGGTCCAGAATGTAATATATTAGCTCCATATTCGAGGGATGGAAATTTTGATTTCACCGGAAGTATGTTTATATGTGAGAGGTACGAAGAAAGAATAATAAACTTTGAAGTAGGTCAGTGGCATGAAGGTATATAACTATAAAATATGTGAACGATGATATATGCTTTTATTCCAAAAGCAAAAATGGGAGAAAAGCTCCCAACATCCACTAAAGATGAGATTATCTCCAAATCAAATGTAAACATTTTCTTTTTACATTACCATTTTGTAAATGTTTTTTTTTTTTTTTATTTTTTTGTTATAATAATTCTATTTTAATTTTTTAATTTAATTAAAATTATTATTTTACAGAATTTCTAAAAACTGACGATTTGACCGAAATTGGAAATGACCGAATAGGGCGCGATTTTTAAAAATTGTCCAATTATAATATTATGATTGGTCAATTTTAAAATTCGCGCCGTTATAGATTAAGTTTGTAATTGATCTTATATAAATATTGGGAAAACAATTGTGTGTAAAATACTTTTTTTATATAAAAATTGATTACGTCGAAAGTTCACGATCAAAGACGGGATTTTCTTTATACTTTTCCTCCCCGGAAATGAGACACGATAGGCAAGGCCGAGTTTCCGATCTGATCAAAGATGGGAACACGATCTGGACCACTCCCTGAGCAAATATAAAAGCGTATTCTGTCAACAACTCACAACAGTCCATCAGCATAGCTCAGCAATGTCGATATTCTTGGTGAGAAGTTGGTTCCATTTTTTTTTTTTTTTTTTTCTTAAGGCAAAATTAATTAATTTATTAATTAATTTTTTAATTTTCTAGTAATTTAATTAATTTTCAAATAATTTTAACTGATTTTAAATAATTTGAATGGATTTTAACTGATTTTGAATAATTTTAACGGATTTTAACTGATTTTAAATAATTTTAACGGATTTTAACTGATTTTAAATAATTTTGAATAATTTTAAATAAATTTGAATTAATTTTAACGGATTTTAACTGATTTTAAATAATTTTGAATAATTTTGAATAATTTTAAATAAATTTGAATTAATTTTAACGGATTTTAACTGATTTTGAATAATTTTGAATAATTTTAACTAAATTTGAATTAATTTTTAGTTGCTGATTCCTCTTTTGTGTACTTCCGCACATGCGGAAACAAATAATGAGCAAATGCAACAGAAACGTGGAATTTCAAGTTCCGGATGGATTGGTCTTCAAAATTTAGAAGTTCATGATTTAAATCATCATCAACATGCTCATCAACATCATGTGTTACCGACTCTTCAATCTGGACCCGAACTTCCACTAAGTGGTCCAAATTTAGAAGGGTAAGACAAAAATACACAATTTCTATATAATTAATTTTAATAATTAAAAAATTAAGAATCAAAATTTTTTAAAAAAAAAACTAAAAATATTATCTTTCTTTGGTATACAATATTATATAATGACATTATTTTATCATCACCTTAATTAATCATTCACTTTCGATTCTAATTTTGAAATAAGAAAGAAATTTATATTTTTAGCTCGTCTAGTTAAACGTGTACATTTATAATTTTTTTTTTTTTTTTATTTTACCGTAGATGGAAAACTGGTTCGGGTATTGATGTAGATGCATCACCGGAAAAGGAATTTCCGGGTTATATAATTAATAAACCTGTACCAATTGAAAAACATGCCCCCGAGCCAATAGTCGTGGAAAAAGCTGTGGAAAAACTTATTCCAATACCTGTTGAAAGGATCGTTCATAAACCATATCCAGTTCCAGTTCCAATACCACAGGTAAATTTATTAACTGTTAATTAATTTTATTTTTAATTTATTCGATATTAATAAATTTTCATACACTGCGGAAAAATTATTTTATTCAAATAATCAATTATTTATTATCTAATGAATATTTACTTGAACCAAATAATTTATATTTTGTCCAAAATAAATTCCGATATGGAAAAATAATTTATTTTATTCAAATAATCGATTATTTATTATCTAATAAATATTTTCTTCAACCAAATAATTTATATTTCGACCAAAAAATTTTTATTTGAACCAAATAATTTATATTTGGTCCAAAATATATTTCCATATGGAAAAATAATTTATTTTATTCAAATAATCGATTATTTATTTTCTGAGAATTATTTACTTGAACCAAATAATTTTTATTTTGACCAAATAATTTTTATTTGAACCAAATAATTTATTTTTTGTCCAAAATAAATTCCCATATGGAAAAATCATTTATTTTATTCAAATAATCGATTATTTATTATCTAATAAATATTTACTTGAACCAAATAATTTTTATTTGAACCAAATAATTTTTATTTGAACCAAATAATTTTTATGTGAACCAAATAATTTATATTTAAAAAAAAATAAAGCATTTAATTGATTAAATTAAATATTTATTTGAAAATAGTTAACGAATTATTTGAATCAAATATAATTTTTTTCCAATTTATAATTTTCGAAATTTTCTCTATTTTTCATATAAATAGTGAAGGTCACATTTTCTCAGTCAAAAAAATTTTTCGAATTCTTGTACTTTAAATATAAAATATATACTTAAGTAGTAGAAATCAATTTCTGTCAGACGGAATTTTTTATAAATTCCCGTAACTCGAGGTGTAAGTTTAATCAGTAGTAAAAGTGAGTTTCGATCAGACATTCTAATTTTTCGCTGATCAAAACAATTTTTAATTCTGGTTCACAAAAAAAAAAAATTAGCGATTTTCAAGTAGCTTAATTAATTAACAAATTATATTATTTAGTTAAAAAACTGTTTTTTAATTAACAAATTATGTAATTTAAATTGTTACTTAATTATTTAAATTTATTTAATTATTTAATTTTGTTATTTAATATTTAATTTTGTTAATTATTTAAATTTGCAAAAAAATTTTTTTTAAAATTTATTTTATTATTTTTATTATTATTTTATTTAATTATTTTACTATTTTATTTTATTATTATTTATTTTTATTTATTTTTTTTTTAATTTTTATTTTATTACAAATCATGAAAAAAGTTCAAATATGTAGTGAAAAGGAAATTGTAAAGGTCCTTGAAAAGGACATACAATGAAATAAATTATTATTATTATTATTATTACAAATTATGTAATTTAAATTGTTGCTTAATTATTTAAATTTATTTAATTATTTAATTTTGTTATTTATTTAATTATTTAATTTTTTTATTTAATTATTTAATTTTTTTATTTAATTATTTAATTGTTTAATTTTATTTACAGACAATTCCAGTTGCAGTGGAACAAGCAATTCCAATTCCAGTGAAAACGCCAATTGCAATTCCAGTTCATCATCCATTTCCAATTCCGGTGAAACATGCTGTTCCGGTACCAATTCCAATTCCAGTTCCGGTTCCTGTTCATGATCATTATGGTCTGGGAATCCCTGGACTCAGTGGAGGTTTAGGTCTTTATGGCGCAGGTTTAGGACATGGAATTGGACATGGCATAGGTCATGGTATTTATGGTGCAGGTTTAGGTCATGGCATAGGTCATGGTATTTATGGTGCAGGTTTAGGTCATGGAATTGCCCATGGTGCTGGAATTAATCTTGGACATAGTGCTCACGGTCCTTATGGAATTGGTTTTGATCATGGTCATTACAATCATCATCATGGTCATCAACACAAAAAGAAACGAAGTAAAGATTAATTCATTACTGCGTGTTATTATTATTATTATTATTATTTTTTTTTTTTTAATAGAGAGACAATATTTCATATTGGTTCCAAGAAAATTTTTATAATAATTATTATCTTTTAAAAAAGAAAATAAATTCTATTTATATTAAAGAAATTATTATAAAAATTTTCTTATTGTAAATAGTCAACACTAATATTGTAAAAAGTAAATTAAAAATATAATTATTTTTTTAAGCAAAATTTGTAGAAATCAAATATGTGAATGCGTTGCCAACTTGTGTATATGATATTATATTTTAATTTTAAGTCGTTATTTAATATTAATTCTTGTTATACAAAGATTAAATTGTAAAACACTTATGTTTATAAACACTTTTATAAACAAATAAATAATAATATTAATTATATATAGGAACCCTTCTTAGTTACATCAGTGAAAAGAGAAATTCTTTTTGCATCGGGAACCTTAATAATATTGATACGTTATTGAGAAAGTTTTGTCCGTTTTGTCAAAACGTCATATTGCAATCTATTATTGTTTTAAATAATTATTATTTGTTTTCTGCATTTTTGCGTTAATAATAAACGCACATAATAATAAATTAATTTATTATAATTTGTTAATGTGAAAATTTATCTAAAATTGAAGTGAATAGAGTATAAAAATAATTTCTTTAACCTAACCTAAAAAAAAGGACAAAAAAATTTTTTTTAAAAGAAAATATAAAGTGACACGCTAATAAAAGTTTTTTTTTAATTTTGTTGTATACACAATATATTTATTTAGCGAAGGAACGAAACTAAATTTGTGTTTTGTTTATAAAAAATTGAGAATTTAAAATACGAATGAAAAAATAATAAGGAAAAACAGAATATCAAAAATGTGAGAGAATGTGAATTACTGGAAAAGATATTTTTCATATACGGATTTTTCTTTAAAAAAAACATCTCGTAAGTAGATAATTTATATTTTTTATATTTAATTAGGTCATAGTTCAAAATGTTTAAAATTTTTTTTTTTTTTTTTTTTGATCTAACAAAAACCTACAAAGATAAATTAAGTTTTTTATTTTCTATTTCAGATTCGTTAAACTAAAAACATAAAAAGATGTCTTTTTCTGGCACTAAAAATCGTACAACGAAATATAAAACGGAAAATTCGTCAAAAAAAAGAAAGAATCAATTAGATGAAAATGAAGAAAACATTCAGGATCAAGATTTTAAATTCGTCGCTACCACTATGCTAGAATTGGATCATGAAGAAGAAGTTATTACCGGGGATCCTGATGATCCTGGTTTTTCCGATTCGGAAAATCCATTGAAACTTGAAGAAAATACAGAGGCCGTTCAAATAATAACAATAGAAGATGATAATAATTCACTATCTGATAATCTCGAACCAATTCAATTTCGCCTTAATGAATTTGTTAATCAAAATAATTTTACAAATCAAGTTTCATTTAATATTCCTAAAAAGCAATTTATTAAATGTCCTGCTTGCAATGCTCTATTTTTGACACGATGTAAATTAAAAAGTCATTTATTAACACATGCATTTGAAGAGAATAATGATAAACAATTAATTTGTAATTATTGTAATTTTTCAACAGACGATTTAGATGTATTTAGTTCTCATTTGAAATGTCATGAAAATCAATGTGAAGTTTGTAATCAATGTTTTAGTAAAAAAAAAGTATTCGAAAGTCATATGTTAATAGCAAAAAATTCATTTAGTGTAAAAAGAGATCATTTTAAAAATTTAATTTGCATTTCTTGTAATTTATCATTTGATTTTGTACATCAATTACAAAAACATTGGTTTAAACATACTTGTTTTGAGAATAAAACCTATCAATGTGATTCTTGTTCAGCATTATTTGATACAGTTGAACAACTTGAAATTCATGTTTGTTTACAATGTCCAGTGTGTTTGAAAATTTACTCTAGTTTTCCAACTTTACGATCGCATACACGTTTTGAAAAACATTATCTCTATTGTAAAATTTGTAAATATGAATTTAGTCTTCGTGTCGATCATGATAGGCATTTGGAACTTCATAAAAAAAAATTTAAACAATATGACAAATTAATGTTATGCATGCAAGCAGAGGATGAATCAACATTAAAATGTGAAGTTTGTGGTAAATTATTACAAACAGATACAAGTTTTGTTTCACATGTCTACGATGAACATAAACTTAATGTGACAAATTATAAACGACATAAAAAATTTACACATTGCCTACAAGCTGATGATGGTTCAACATTGCAATGTGAAGTTTGTGGTAAATTAGTAACGTCAGAATTAATTTTCGTTAATCATGTATTTAAGGAGCACAAAATTGATGTAACAAAAGAAAATAATAGCGATAGTAGTAATTCGGAGGAAGATCAATCACGGCCTAAAGGAATTACTAAAATAATGGATGATATTACATTTGAGGAAATTAAAATAGAAGAAGAAGAAGAAGAAGAGGAAGAAGAAGAACTCGAGGAAGTAAACGAAGAGGAATTTGAAGAAGAAGATGAGGAAGACGAAATATGAGCAAGCTTTAAGAAAAGCTGTAAACAAATTATTATTATTTTTTTTTTTTTTTGAAAAGACGAAGCTGAAGTACGCAACGTTTATGATAAACGATTTTTTAAGACATAATTTTTTGCCTAATAAATATTTTTTTATAATTTGTTGATTAATGAAAACTTCAAGAAATTTTTTTTTTTTAGGCAAAAAATTATAGAATTTTTCATTTTAAAAAATTTTTCTTTAAAAATCGTTTATCATAAACGTTGCATACGCTTCGTTTTGAAAAGTCTGAAATGCACGAAATGAACACCTTTAAATAAAGAAAAGTTATTTGATAGAAAAAAATTTGATAAAATTCCAAATAAAAAAAAAAAAAAACTTAAATATAAATATTAAATTGTTAACGATTTGTAAATAAATACCTTAATGTATAAAATTACAATTTCAAAAAAAATTTAATTTTTGAGCATTATAAACAAATATTTTGTATTTAATATTTGTTTTTTTTTTTGTTAATAAATGAAATATTAATAAACTATCAATATGAAAATGAAAAAATATTTTAAAAATTCTTACCTAAATAAACATAATTTAAAATTAAATTATCGATTTATAAAAAAAAAAGTATTTGCAAATATTTAATTTAAAAAAAAAAAATTGAAATAATTTTACAAAAGAACTAAATTAATTATGAGAAATTTAAATTTGTTCTTTCCCTTTTTAAAATTTTTCCAAAGCATAATTTTTTACTTTACCATAGAGGACGCGGATACCGCCGGTCCTGCCGGTTTAAACAAAACGTACACTGTAGGCTAACCTCTCTCTTTCACTCGGCAATACATATAATAATATACTTTTATCGTATATAATTAAAACACCGTTATATGCTGAAAAAAATGATAAATTTACGAAAGTTTATAGGTAAACCCCCCCCCCCCCCAAAAAAAAAGTAATTTGTATATTTGTAAAAATATAAAATTAATAAGTGAGAAATGTGAAATATTTTTTTTTTCCAAATATTGAGGTTACGGAAATGTCAAAAAAGGCAAGTATTTTTTTTTTTAACATTTTTGTTATTACTTATCCATTGTTACAGATATTGGTGCAAATTTAACGGATCCTATGTATCAGGGAATTTATCACGAATCTCAAAAACATCAACCGGATTTAGATAAAGTATTAGAGAGAAGTTGGGATAATAATCTGTCAAAAATTATAATTACAGCGGGCAGTGTTGAGGAAAGTAGAAAAGCTTTAGAAATTGCCAGGACAGATGGTATGTAAACAAATCGAATATTTTTGTTTTTATTTGAATTTTTTAAAATATAGATTTTTATCAAATTCGTGTTCTACTTATTTATTGAATATTTTATAATAATATTAGAAAGTGTTTTAAAATTTAATAGGTTTATAAAAGTTTGTTGTTTTTTTTTTTCAAATATTGTGAATTTAATTATTTGAAAATATTTATTTTTTTTAAATGAATTAAAAATAAATTTTTTTTTTTTTTTTTTTTTAATAGAGAGATTATTTTCGACTGTTGGTTGTCATCCAACGCGTTGCAATGAATTTGAAGAATCCGGAGATCCTGAAGCGTATCTCAGTTCACTTTCTGAAATTGCAATTAATAATAAAGATAAAATAGTTGCAATTGGAGAAATGGGACTTGATTATGATAGACTTCAATTTTGCTCTAAAGATATACAAAAAAAATATTTTGAAATGCAACTTTCTCTTTGCTCCACATTGAAATTACCAATGTTTCTTCATTGTCGTAATGCTGCCGAAGATTTTGTTCGAATACTAAGAAAAAATAAAGATAAATTAACAGCTGGTGTTGTTCATTCATTCGATGGTAATACAGAGGAAGCATACAGTTTACTTCAATTAGGACTTTATATTGGTATTAATGGATGGTAATTAAATTTTTAGCTTCTATATCATTGAATTAGAAATTAATTTTTAAATATTAATTTTTTAAATTCAAAATTTTGTAAATTAAGGATTTTTTTTTAAATTTAACAATTTAAAATTTGTTTCAAGTTCGTTGAAAACAGAGGAAAATCTGTGTGCAGTTACAACAATTCCATCCGATCGTCTAGTGATAGAAACTGATTGTCCATGGTGTGAAATTAGGCCAACTCATGCATCATTCAAAGATGTTGTGACACGTTTTCCATCGGTGAAAAAGGAAAAATGGCAACCAGATAAAATGGTCAAAGGACGAAACGAGCCTTGCACCATAGTGTAATATATATATATATATTTGTTTCCAATAATTCCAATAAACCATTTTTATAACAATATTTTTCTTTTTTACATAGAATCAATCGCATTAACGCATATTTTTTATTTAATTGCAGACAAATTTTAGAAATATTGGCGAGTGTCAGAGATGAGGAAGAGGAATATCTTTGTAATCAAATTTACAAAAATACAATGAAGCTCTTCTTTCCATATGAATTGTGAGGAAAAAAAAATAGCTTTTCAATCGCCGAGTGTACAAGTGCATTTACACTTATTTTCGAGCATTTATATATAAATATATATATATACACGCGCTAAGACTGTTTGTGAAAGTGTGATGAGAGAAAGAGAGCGAGAAATTATTTTAAAAAAAATACTGTCTGTGACGAAAAAAAAAAAAAACAAACTTTGCAGTATATACTATACACACGTGTGTGAATTGTGACCGCACTGTCACATTCCTTCGATCTCCTTTATAAGAACCTAATATATTCTTGTTAAAAATCATTTTCATTGATCGTAATAATGTCATCAAAGATCATTAATTAATCTTATAAATTAATACTTTGCTATTGCTACAAAAAAAAAATTGTGCGTTCATTAATTATATCCCGCTATACGAAAAAAGACAAATTTTTTTACAAGGGAAATTTTCAAATCTATTTTTTTTTTTACAAATAATCTTAGCGTTTTCTTAATTATTATCAATTACATAGTCCATTTAACAATACTTACTCTTCATTTTTTTATATTTGTTCTTTTCTTTTTAATATTTTTTTTTCTTCTTTTTTTTTTTTATGAAAAGTCATTTATTTTTTAGATATTTACTCAATCATATTCTAAAAACAACATACAAAATACTTTGACACGATGTTTTTTTTTTTTTTTTGCACGATGATTCCATGATGTAGTTAATCTAAAAATGGCACGTTTTTTTTTAAAAAAAAACGATGAACCGTTTTTTGCCATTGCATTTTCGAAAACAAAACCGTTTTTTTAGAAAGAGAGGCGTTGAACTGTCAAGCGGTACATTCTTGGAATATCACAGGTAAAATGACCGCGAAAAAAAAATTGATTATAAATCGTACAATCTACACTCTTGGAATCTAATTAATAAATGCTTGAGGTATGAAGGGAATTTGGTAGCTAACTAATTGTTGATAGTTGCTACAAAAGGAAGTTGATCTTTTTTTTCTTTTTTTCACGCCTCATTGAATTTTTGATAGTGTTTGCACCTTTTCATAGACCCAATCATACGTTTGACTTGCAAACGATTGCGTCGTGTCTATCGCTTGATTTGCGTATTTCTGCAAATTTTGTGGACTCAATTTTCCTCTGCAAAATTTAAAACAAAAATTAATAATAATATATTTATTATAAATATTATTCATTTTTCGAAAGAAAATAAAACTTACACAAAAACATTTGTTTCCAGCCATTTTACCATCATTACGGAACGATCAACAATTTGCTCGCAAACATAAGTTGACGATTTTTTAATAAATTCCAATCCTTTGATGCTTTGCTTTTCGATTGTTGACAACATTCCTGGTGCATATTGTTCGATCTAAAAAATATTTTAATAAAAATTAAATTAGCCTTTTAATAAAAAAAAAATTTTTTTTTGATTAAAAAAAGTACTTACAGTGGCAATAACAATGGGAGTTTTTTCTGTCACATAAGTTGCAGCATTGTCATAAAATTTAATCGATATGTTCTTGCTTACAATGAAAACATCATTTCCTAATTTCACATATGGTGCAGTGAATTCAACGGTGGTTTTATAATAATCCGGGAATCTAGTTTCAATATATTTTAGACCATCATTGGAATATGTTTTCGTCGAAGTCCAAATTTTCTGACCATATACCAAAGCTCCGCTATCTTTTAAGAATTTATTTGTTCTTGATGCTGTAAAATAAAAAAAAAAATTTCATTTACTTTTTAAAATTCAATTCATTATTAATAAATTAAAATTGAAAATATAACGGAATACAAAAATGTTTCATTGAAACTGATATGATTCAATAAAAGGAAAAATATATTGCAAAATGTTTATATTATGACGTAATTTTTTTTTTAACGCGTAAAAGAAACATTAATTTTAATATAAAATATAATTTTCAATAAAAAAAAAACAGCCTTTGAATTAATTTCTACATAAAAATAATATTAAACCATTTTTCTTCTAATTAAAATTATCATAATTATTCAAAATTAATATGGAGATGAAATAATTTTAATATGGAAATTAACAAGGGTAAACAAATTAAAATTCAATGACATTGCTAATTGTATGTATAACATTCAGATAATAAACAAGAATAATGTAAATAGAGAAAGTAAATAAAGTTCTTACCTTCAAAGGAACCATTTTTTCGGCAATCAAATGCCAAAAGAGAACCAATTAGAAGTAAAAGAATGAAACATCCCTTTTTCCACGGAAAACCGCTGGTGGTTTTTGCAGTCATTTTCTTTATCAATATCTAAAAATGTGAAAGTTTGTCTTACACTCTTGAAATGTAAACTAAAGAAATCTTGACGGTAAAAGTATATATGTATATATGTATATATATATATATATTCGTTTTGACAACTGATTTAGAAATTCCAAGCGATTTGCTCCATATTCAAATTAAAGACAAATTTTCACTCAAATATACTTGGCGTCGCTATCTGCGTCACTCTCACGTCAAATTACCTTCGTTTTAATACGTTCAGTTTTTCTCACATAAAAATCTCTTTAGAGAAAATTGTTTTTTTTTTTTTTTTTTTTTTTTTTTTTTTTTTTTTTTTTGGGGGGGAGAAAGGGGAATGAAATATAATTAAAAAAAAAAATCAAATAAACTTTCTGGTTTAGTTCTCGTGAATGACACGATGTCGACAACTATATATATATTGTAAGTGAAATCGAGAAGGCGATGCGCGATCAATAATTTAACGACTCTAATAAACTGGAAGTCTAACCTCAAAATTCCAGATAGAAAAAAAAATTGTTATTACTTCAAATAATTTTTATCAAAAAACAATTATACACGCACACTCACTTTTATTAAATTAACATTAAGAAGTTTAATTGGAAGCTGATAACAGATAAGTCGTTAATTAACTTCTTATTTTTGTTTCGAAATTTCAAAATAATATTCTAAACTTGAACATCTGAATCAGTAAACAAAACTGAAGAGAGAGGGGGAAGTTAGGCCCTGGAATTATATATAGATTTCGGGCCCTTTCCTTAATTTTTTTTTTGTTTTAAATTTTTTTAAAACTGAGAAATTTTAATTAAAAACAATTAAATAAATTTACTTGAATAAATAAAATAATAATTATTAAATTATTAATTAATTTTATATTAAAAATTAATGTTATATTAATTTTTTTTAAATTATTAATAATAATTAATTATTATTAAATTATTAAATTTAAAGTAATATTGAATTTTTCAAACATTATTTTAAAAATGTAAATTGAAATAATAAAATAGTTACTTACTTCGCAAGTTTTATTGCATTCTCCAGCGAGAATATCTTTATTTTTTTTAGTCTTTTTGTGCGTTGTTTGTAAGGCCTCAAGCATTTCCAAAAACAAATTATTTTTATTAATCACCTTTAGTGTATTCCAATGGGTATCTGAAAAAGACAAAAAAAAAAAATTATATAAAACATTCTTTCATTCAATAAATAGAAAAAATAATTTTTTTTTCTTTCTGTAATTTAACAAAAATATTAAAAACTTACTAATATTTTTTAAAAGTAAATCAGACTGATATAAATTCTTATTATACATATTTTTCCAAACATTAAAGCACTGTGAGTCTTTTATTAAACAAGCCACCAGTGCTTGAACAATTTCTTCTCTATAATTAGCACTACTCTTTGGAGTCAATTTTGTCATCAATGTTTCAAACAATGAACGACATTTTAAATTTGGCGATTTAAAAACCATTTCCTGAAAAAATGAAGAATATTTTTATATTCTTTTAATTTTAATTAAAAAACTATTTAATATTATACTTACTCTTAATTTATCATTAAAAGGCTTAATTTCATTGACATAAGTAGGCGCAATATTTAATTTTCCAGAAATAACATCATCTATAATATTTAAATATAATTCAGCTTTTACATCGACATTCTTTCCATTTGAATGACGTGTTATTAAATCTTTAAGTATTTGTGAAACATAATTGGCATAATTTTTTCCTTCTAACATTGGTGATATGACATGATGCCAAACTGATAAACCAACAGTTAAATTATCTTTTCCACTTTGTGAAAGTGCCCATATTATTGATAAACCAATTGGCTTTCTATTTTGATAAGAATTTCTCAATGTTATTAATTTTGGAATACTTGTTATTGTCATTTCGGGATTAAATTTTGCTAATAGTTGAAGAAAAATTTTATAACCAATCACTGGTTGATTTTTAACAAGATCAGAGGCCATTGCCGTTAAATTAAATTCATAAAAAAGTTGAACATTTTGTGAGCCACTAATTTGAATTGCTTTCTCAAGTATTATTCTAATTGATTTTGGTACAACACTTGCTGGATAATCGTCTGGTCTACCAGAAAATATTGGATCAATAACTTCTAAAGGAATTTTCATATTTAAAAATGCAACTAAATCTTTAAGCCAAATTAATGGAGCACCAGGAAATCGAGTTTGTCCTGCAATTAAAATTTCTTCAACTTCCGATGCATTTATCTAAAAAATAATAGAAAATATTAATTATAACGAGAAAATATAAATTAAATTTACTTTTTATATATTTTACCATTCTAAGTGCATCTTCTATAGATTTTGGTGGCTTTTCTTTAGGGATCTCCTTTTTCTTTTCAGTTTGTTGCTGTTGTTGTTGTTGTTGCTTCTGTTGTTTTTTTCTCTCTTCATTTTCCTTCGTTTTACTATCTTTTCCCTTTGGTGGTTTTTTATTTTCCTTATTTCCTTCCAAATTATCATACAAAGTTTTCACTTGGTCCAAAGGTACTGATAAAAACAAATATTCTTGAATTAAAACAAAATTTTAACATATTGTTCACATTATTTTCGATAAAAGGAAACAATTATCAACATTTAAATTCAATATTCAATTATTTTACTTCTTTTTCATATCACTTAAAAAGGTCATTTCTATTATTATCTATATCAAAACAAGAAAAAAAATTAAATAGGTAAAATAAATTTAAATTCTTCTTTTCCAAATTTCTATTTACTATTTAAATTAATATATTCAAAAAAATTTCCGTTACCTTTATTTACAGGTATTTTTAATTGACAATATGGTATATTGTTAAACAATTTACAATTGAATAAACAAAAAACAAAAATTGATCTCTTTTTATTTTATTTTCATTTGTTGAGTGAAGAATTAAATTTAAAAATATTTTTCAATTTTCTGTTATGTTTTCTTATTATAATAAAAAAAAAACTTACAAAAATCTTCAACTTTTGGAGCATTCTCGATAAATTTTTTCTTTTCTGCCTTAGTCAATTTAGTTGAACGAACACCAGATTTGTCTTTCTTATTTTTTCCAACTACTTCCCAACCTCCTGATGACATTTTCACAAAATTCTCAATTAACACGATAAATTGTAAATAGCCAAAAAAAAAACTAGATTAGTACTAAACTGCCGATAGATAAATAGCTAAATGTACAGTTGTGTACAAATTTAAGTTCACGTTTTAAAGCACGTCGGAAAACTTTATACGTGGTCGCGCCTGCGCTTTTTCTTTCGAAACTTTCTAGCCACGCACATGAAAAAAAAAAATATAACAAAAAATCTTGAAATGAGTCCAAAGAATAAAATTTCAAGTAATTAACAAAAAAAAATTATTATATTAAGCCGATGGAGTTTTTTTAATTTAACGAAACAGTTTCTTGTGTTTTTTTTGTAATTTTATTTTTCTATTCGAAAAATTGACAAGTTGTTTACCAGGGTTGGATCGTTGCGATTTAAAAATTTGAGTGTGAATAAACCATTATGATACAATAAAGGATGTATTCACATCAATTTTGGTATTGTAAATGAACCTTGAATGAATGGTTTTGTTTCCTATCTATTGATCACATTTTTAATGGTTACATGTTGTTACAGTAAAATTTATTCTGGAGTATAATTTTATTGAATTTTATAAATAATTATAGATAAAAAGTTAATATTTCCTAAAGGAATTTATTATACCATTTTAAAACCATGTATAGTGAATATACATTTTAAATATGGATATTCGTGGTATTGAGGTTACAAATCAACTGAGGGTAATAAAATTTTTAATTAATATTTTGAATTTATTATAAACAAGTCAATTGATCCTCAAAAGGAAGCAGTTTTTTTTTTTTTTTATTTAAATATAATATTTGCATATATTAACAATTACAATACGATTAATGAGGTAAATATTATTTTCCTATGGAAACGAGCCGCATGTCGCCAAGTTCCTTTAAAGGACATGTACTTACGGGCGGTTCCTAACATCGTGAAATTAATTATAGATTACTTTTTTGTAATTTTCATTTCGATGACACAAATATATTTTTATAATTTTCTTGAAAATCAACAAAATAATCACCTCTATAGAATGTCAAATACAAAAATGGAAATTTGGTATTTTTTTATGTTTTTGAATCTTATATTTAAATTCAATTAAATTTTTATTGTGAATGACACAGTTTTTAACTAGTTTTATTTTTCAATTATAATTTTAAAACTTCGGATTTAATATATAAAAAAAAATATATTTTTTAAAATAAATATTTAATATCCGAACTTATTTTTCTAATATAATTAATATTCTCGAACAAAAAAATGGGACTTTTTTACAAAATTTTACCTTTTATTAAAATTTTTTTTTTCAGAGTGCCATTCGTGCCAAGTTATTGGAACTTGGTGTTCGCTATGATGAAGAATTACCGGACTATATTCTGGTTATGGTTGTGAATAAAAAATCACGTCAACAAATGCATGAGGATTTACATTTGTTTTTAGAAAATAATACAGCTCCATTTGTTGATTGGTTGCATGATCAAGTATTGAAAAAATTGCAAAAAGTGACAATAGCAAAAAAAAAAGTTTCAAGGGAATTTGTACCCGCGGTAATTATAAAACAAGAAGAACAACGTAAAAAAAATAAAACAACTACCTCATTTTTAGAGGATCATAATACAAAAGAAGGAACTAAAAAATTACTCGATAAACCATTGAAAGAAGATAAGGATGCTGAAAATGAAACAAAATCCGAATCTCCATGTGAAGATAAACAAATTTTGAAAATTACTTCTGAAATTGAATCGAAAGAAAAAACTCCAGTTTCATCTTTAGAAACGGAAAATATAAAAAAAGTCTCGCCAATTGATTCTTTGAAATCAAAAGAGATTTCAAAGACACAATTTGAAGCAGGAAATTCAAAACCAACGAATGAAACAAATAATTCAGAAATTACAAATATCGATATTGGAAAACGATCACGAAATTCAAATGAAGATGATTTCAATTTAAATGAATCGAAAAAAATAAAATCAAGTATTACTAAACCTAAAATAACTTCTGTTGTTTCAGTGAAAAATCGTCTTGGTATTATTTCATTAAAAAAATCGGATCCCCAAACAAATAGAGAAATTTCATTTAATAAACATAAACACGAACGAATAACAATAACAAAAGATGATAATCGACGAAATAATTTTTCACGTTCAAAAAATAATGAATTCGATGATTTAAAAAGGAGTCGTAATTTCGAGACAAAAATACGTGACAAGACAATTGATATTAAAAATCGTCTTGGCAATTTTCGTGATAAACCAAATCAAGAGATTCGTGAAAAAGAAAAGTCTGGATTGACTATAAAAAATCGTTTAGGAAGTTCGAGTAGCGGAAATCGAGTGTCTTCTTCTTCTTCTTCGTCAAAAAAGCAAGAAATTCTTGATGAAAGAAATATCGATAATAGAAATGAAAGAAATAGTTTCCGTGGAAAAAATGTAAAATATAGATTAGGTCCAATGAGAAAACCATTTCGAGCGAACGATACGAGAAATGTAAATTTTCAAGAAACTAGGCATTTAAATCATAATAATAGAAATTCAAATCATAAAGATAGAAATTCTTTTGAAAGAACTGGAAAAGATTTTTCAAATTTATCATTTCAAGATAATAATGCTGATGACAATGATGATGATGATGAAGCTGATATTAATGTTGCACCGGTAAAATCTCATATAGTTGCAATTCAAAAACCTTTGACTGAAAAAACTATGAGTCGAAAAAGATTAAAATCCAATGATGATGTCAGCGAGGATGATGATGAGGATGATGTAAAAGATTGCAAATTACCAAGTAAAGTTATCGTAACACCAAGACCATTAAAACCATTGCCTTCAAATCAAAAAAGAGCAACACAATCTTTATTATTGAGAGCTGTTGCTGAAGCCAATCAATCTGTGGTGTCGCAAAAAAATCCAGAACCTTCATTAGTGGTAAGTAATAATCGTTCGTTTATTAGACGTCAATAATTACTTTTTCACCAAAAAAAATTTTTAGCAATTTTTATTATGAATTATTGCGAGGTCAAGGGGAAATAAATAATGTGAATTTTATACTTTTTTTTTTGAAACTTCCGTTCGTTTTAAACAATAAAAAAAAATTTCATTTAAATTTCTTTTTTTTATTTGTAAATCCTTGATTATTTTATTTTCCTTTTATTTTTTCTTAATATTTTCCAAAAAAATAAGTTTTTTCCAAAAAAAATTATTTCTTTTAAGTTAATAAGAGGAAAAAAATTATTTTATAACGTAGAAAATTATTTTCATTGAAATTATTTTCTTTAATTTAAAACAGCTATTTTTTCCAAAAAAATAAAAAGGATTTTTTTTCTATTTGAAATCTCAAAAGGTAAGTAATATTCTGTTTTTTGTCAATTCGAATAAAAATAAATTTAATTTTTGTAAAAAAAATTTTTTAAGACAAAAAAGATAATTCAAGAAAAGAAAATAATAATTTTTGGTTTAAGTTAGCATTTTTCTTTTATTCAGGACGTGGACTGAAAAATAATGGCTTTTCTTTAAATGATTATTTTGGTAGGTTAGATATTGCATTTTTTGTTAATTAAAATGAATTTGTTTGATTTAAAAAAAAAAGAGTAACAATGCCTTTTATTAGGAAGCAAAACCGCCTCCTAAAAGACTTAAATCATCTGGATCATGGAGTGGAGGTCAAAATTTATCAGTGCATTTGGATTCACAGAAGAGATTTGTCATGGAGAATATTCAAATTGAATTAACAACAGTGACCAGTAACGATACAAAATCTTGTAAGTATGTATATATATAATTTCCTTAGAAAATTTTTTAATATAATTTATTTATATTTTTAAATTAGAAATTATCAAATTATTTTTATGATTATCATGAATTTTTATTAAAATCAATATGAATTTTGATTTTATAAATAAATTTTATTATTATTATTATATATTACTATAACCAAATCATTTGGATTTCTGAAAATAATAGCTTCTAAGAAAAACAAAGTTAAAAGTCAAATTTAATGACTTTGAATTTGTAGTAGACAGGAAAAAAAAATTACCGGCGACAATTTTCATTAATCCGGAAACACATTGAATGCAGTAAATAATAAAATAAGAGCTTAGCGTGGCAAAATAAATTTTTTTCAGACAGTTTATTGCATGTATTGTTTTTTTTTTAAAACCACATGTACCTCCCACTGAGAAAGGTCTGACCCAACAAAAGGGATAATTAACTTTAGAAATGAAAATATGTATAATGTTTTGGCTACTAACTTTTGAAAATAATGTCTTTTGAAATTCGCACAATATTATGATTTTCCACTTACGATAATAGTCTTAACAAAAGAATAGAAATCATAAATATTTTTGGAGAAGATTAACTATTTGAAAATTTCATTTATAAATATTCATTGCGGGTGGTTGGGTTTTTAGTATAACAAAATAAATCTAATAATAATACAATTTTTGTTTTTCAGATGAATCACAAGAAGTTACTGATGAACATATTGGTGTTGTAAGGTCATTATTTCAACAAAGTAACAATGATCAAAAATTTTTGGTCACCTTAAATGGATATAATAATAATTTGCCTCAAGAAAAATCGTCTGATGAAAATGAAGAGAATTTAGAAACGGAGGTAATTGGGGAATTCCTCAATAATTTTATACTTTTCCCAATTATTAAATTTTTTGATTTCCTTTTCTTATTTTTATATTTTAATATTTATTCTTCTTATGTTTTATTTTTAAAATAAATTTATTTAAACAAATAATTTAAATAATAAAAATAATAGTATTTAAATTGTGACATAGAACTGAAAAATAAAAGCTAATTTTTTTATATAATGGAATAATAATTGTATTTTATATTTACTAATTATATTTAAATTAGTATTAAAAAAAATTATTTTTCACAGTTAAACGAATGTGAAGAACAAGAAGAGGCTGTTGAAAATTTGACTGCATATCCAGAAAATGAATCTGATGTAATTGCATTTCGTGTATCAAATATTGAGGAAGATGATAAAGAAGATGACGATGATGATGATAAATCGAGTAATTCAAAGCAAAGTAATAATGATGAAAACCAAAATACGGAAAATATCAATGATGTGGAAGAGCCACCGAAAAAATTAAGAAAATTAAGTCCTATAGTTTATAATAAATCACGATCACCAACACCTGAAATAACTACCACAAAATCTCCAATTTCATCAGTAATAATCAGTACGTTTATCGAGAAAATTTTCTTTCTTTTTTACAAGTTTTCAAAGATTTAATAATTTATGTACAATTTTAAAAAAATAATAATTTGGTTAAAAAAAATATATTTATTTTTCAGGTACCGAGAAAAAATCAAAAATCGATACTGTATCAGTGTCACTTAATTCATTGACGGATAAAAAATGTCGTTATTGGCCAAATTGCACGTCAGGAAAAAAGTGTGCATACATTCATCCGGACGTTCCTTGCAGGTTAAATTTTATTTTTCTATTTTTTTTTTCATTTTTAACAATATTGAGCATGTGTAATTTTGTCACTAATAATTTTTTTTTTTTATTATATATGAGTTATTAAATTTTTATTCCTATAAATGGAAAAAAAAGAATTATCATAAATAATATAACAAATAATTTGCATTAAAAAAATTTGATTACAAAAATATTTTAAAATAATGTTTCACTTTCCTGAAAATAGAAAAAAATTTTCACTGCCAAGAATCTCAGGTGACGAAGAAAATTATTGCTCCAGAGCTATAAAAATGATAGACCATTTTGAAAAAAAATTAAAGCCTACCAAAATCATAACCCTGGGGCGGTTGCCCCTTGAGGAGCAACCTTGTCAAAAAGTTTTTTCTTTGAGAAAAATCAAGCCAATCGCATCTTCTTCTTCTTATTGGGATTCACATCACTTGTTTTATTTCTCTTTTGTTTAGTGGCACTGCGTCTTTGGTTCCACTCTTCACGTGCTTTGAGAGCAAGATGATAGACTTGTATTTCCAAATCTACAAGCCATTCGTCGTCCACTGGATGAAATATATCATTATCGTCCAGTCCATTTTTAACTTTCCAATCGTCCGGCATATATTTTGGAATATATGGTTCCACTTCATCCGTCGAATATAACAAGGTTTGATGATCCTCCTCCGTTAAATATGGAGAGTGATCATAATCCTTGTATGGTTTCCAATCGTCCTTTACTTCCATGGCCACGTATGGTTCGTCCGAAGATGATGTCGATGTCACAGACATTATTATTTTTCTTTCAAAAAATCAAATTGACTTTATAGAATGTCAAACAGTTAATATTTTGTTCCCTTGTTTGTTGGGCCCTTTTATATGCTTAATCCCAACGTTACCGCCTTCAAGAGGGGCGGAGAAAAAAAAGAGTAGGGTACCAATAAACACCCGCAATTTTTCTCATTACGGTACCCTCTATGAAAATTCCCTTTTCTTAATTACATTTTCCCCACTTATTTCATTTTTCCATTTTCATATTTAAAATTTTCTGCCTTATTTGAAAATCAATTTTTTTTTAATGCAAAAAATTTTTTATATTATAAAAATTATAAATAAAAATTATTTACTTATTATAAAATTTAGTGACAAAATTAATAATGCTCTCTTTTATTTTTTCAGTCTATTTCCCGCTTGCAAATTTGGTGTCAATTGTCAATATCTTCATCCACGATGTAAATTTGGATTATCATGTACAAAAGTTGGATGTATATTTTCACATCCACAGGAAAAATGTAAATATCATCCCTATTGTACAAATCCATCGTGTTCATTTTCTCATCCCACAATGGTAAAATCGACAAATTTTTCACAAACAACACGAAGAGGCAAATTTACCTGGAGAAGACAGAACTAAGTCATATTAAAAAAAAAAAAAATTATTTATTGCATTTCTCATTCATATGAACAAGTTTTTTTTATGAAGAAATTTCTATTTAAACAAAATCGAAAGATATTATAATTGAATATAAGTTTTACATTATTCTTAAAAAAATTTTTTTGATATATAATCCGAAAATTAAATTGGAATTAGACGAACAAAAAATTGTCTATGATTCAAATTTTAAAACAAATTTCTTTTTTTTTTTCATTGAATTTTAAATTATATTAAATTTGAAAAATCTGTTAATTAAATTATAAATTATTGAAGAAAATTTGTCTTTATAAAGAAACTTTACAGAAATAATAAAAAAATATCTGTAAAACTTGTTTATTTGACGATTTGAATTAAAAATAGCATGCAACTTTATGCTAAATGTTTTCTTAAGTAAAATATATTGTATTTGAAATTATAATAAACGTGAATTGATTAGTCATTATCGTAACTTTTTGTGTTTCAAAGTTTATTCAATTTTTCAATATTTATTTTATTTCACACGTAATTAATTTTTTCTCGCTTAACACAAAAAGTTTATGAATTATATCGATTAATTTAATTTATCAATCAAATGTTATCAAAACTTCGATATATATTTAATTTTGTGAACTTCTTTTTTTTTTGAAAATGATAAAAATTATTTATCAGTTAAAAAAAAATTGTTTTTATTTCTAGTACAAAATAAAATTTTAATTACAATCAACTTAATTTTTAGTTTTATTCCTTCTTTTCAATTGTTCGTTAATTAAAATTTCAGTTCCTTTAGTTTTTCTATAGTGATTATCAGCAGGATCGATATTAAAATGATGTGATGTGTATAAAGCTTGAAATCTTTCATCATTAAGATTCATTTCAAAATCATCATCATTATTAACAATATTTTTCTTCTTCTTTTTTCTTTCGAGTCTTTTCTTTTTTGATTTTGACATTGAATTAGTTTCTTCAATATCTTTCATATCAAAATGTTTTTTATTATCAATTTCATTTGTATCCATTAAAAGTAATTCAAGTTCATCTTTTTCATCATCTCTATCGTTTGAAATTGACTCGTCTCTCTTTGCTTTTTTATTCTTTTTTGTGTTCTTTTTATGATTTTTCAATTCTTCGGCAAAATATGAATCATTCATATCAATATCCGATGGTATTTCATCCTCAGATTCAGATTTATCACTATTTTCTTCCATTTTAGCTTTTCTTTTTGCTTTTCGTTTTTCCTTTCGTTTATCAAGATATTCCTCAAATGGAGTTCGATTTTCAGCTTTTTGTTGTTTTTCTTTTTCAAATTCTTTACTTCTTTCCTCAACATTATAACCCCATGTACATTCAAGTTGTACATCATTTTTGTGTTTCTCTTTTTCCTTATCATCAATTGATTTTAAAAGTTGTTTATATTTTTCAATTGTATTTCCTTTTATATTTTTCTCTGGCTCATCTTCTTTTGTTTCTAAATTTTCATCTGAAATTTTTTTTTTTTTTTAATAAGTATTCGAAATAAAAAAGATAATAAAAAATTAATTAATCTTACCAGATTCATCCTCGCTACTTCCACTTGCCAATAAATATTTCAAATGATTTTCATTTAATTCATTAAGTTTTCCTGAATTTATTTTTTCAGTTATTTCTCTTCTCTCTTCGTTGGTTTCATCCCATGTTAAATCAACTTTTTCTTGTTGCAATGCTGTAGTTGTAAAAGTTCTTGGTTGATACGTAGTGAAATCTGGCAGCTTATCACAAACTTCTTTAGGTGTCTGTATTTGAAAAAAAAAAACAAATATAGTTCGCAATTTAGACAAAATTAGTCAATTTTTTACCTGATCAAATTCCATATCGTCTGGTATAAATCGAAGATCAAATTTTAAACCACTTGATTCATATTCAATATTTTTACATTCACTCCAAAGTTTATCTGCAGTTTCAGGTGTGTCACATTCAACAACTGCGTAATAATATTTTAATCTATTCAATTGATATTGTCTCAATTTTTCCATTTGATAACTTGAACCTTCTTCAACCTATTAACAAATTATTTAATTTATTGAAAAATAATTTTTAAATTTCCTGAAAAGTGAAAAAAAAACATACATCATCTAACTCTTCAGAGGAATTATTAACTAATTCGGTTGGCCCTTTAACGTCTTCTTCTTTCATTCGTTGTAAACCATATTCAGATGGATAAATCTAAAAAAAATATTCTCAATTAGTCTTTTGAAATTTTTAAAATAAAATAAATTCAAAAATTCTTTACCGTAACCGAGAGAATAATTCCGCCAGTTGGCAAAAATGAATTAAGTGACACCATTAAATCAACGGCACGTATTTTATCCCAATCCATATTACAAACAGCCAATCGACGTGTACTTTCAACAGCATCTTCAGCATCTTTATCAAATTCTCCCCAATCGTGACAAATTGCATCCTCTTCTTCTGTAAACAGAAAATTAAATTTAAAAAATAAATTCTAAATAAATTTTTATTTAACAAAAATTGACTTACCACTGTCAAAAATACTTTCATCTTCCTCGGAACTACTTGATAAAAGTTCTCCCTCACCACGAGCATAATTAACAGATAAATTTTTCAATTTTTGTTTAATATTACTCGATAATTTGCCTTTTTCATTATTCTTTAATTCTGGTAATTTATTGTCATTTTTCTTTATTTTTTTCTTTAATTCTTTTTCTTCTTCTTCTTCTTCTTCACTTACAGAGGATTTTTCTTCTTTTTCCGTATCTTTTTCATCAGATGATTCATCTTCACTTTCAGATAAATCATAATATTTACGAAGATTTTCAGCACTATTTTTTACATATGGTCTTCCACGTTTATCAACTTTAAAGCTTACAGCAAATTTTTTGTCAGTAAACATCGATTGAAATCGTTTATCAATTTTGACTTTACGTTCATTTTTTGGAATTCTCCGAAATTTCGGATCTTTCACTATGTGAGCAAAACGATCATCTTTTAATATATTATCCATTGTTAAATTCGAGATTTCAATCTGAAAAGAAAGCAGGAAAATTATTTTACAAAATAAAAATATTCATAGGGATTAAAAGGTTATGATTTACTATACGTATTTGCTTACCTCTTTAATAATTATTACTTAAGTTGAATACAATTTCTTATTAGTAAAAGAAAGTTTAAATATTTGAATATATATTATTGTATTTCATTCAATTTCATGATATCAACACACGTGCGATAAACATAACCAAAAAAAAAACAGGGATCGAAATGTAAATAAAAAATTTTGTGTTCTGATTGGATAATCAGTAATGACGTCATAAAAAAATGGATGTTTTACATGTAAACTAACCTTAATTTTTTGTTGTCAACAGTGTCTCATCCCTGGTAGTTGTCAGCTGATGTGTCACCTGTCAAATATATTGAAAATAATAATGTTTTGTTTATAAAAAACAAATTCTCCAGTTGATTCTAATAATTACAAGGTATTTATTTATTTTTGTTTAACAACACTGAATAATAATAATGATATAAATAAAATATTTCATAAATTTAATGTTTTTCAGAATATATATTACTAATGATTGGAGAAATGATGGAAACTTTTAACATTGTAAATCACAGCTTTACTAATAATAAACAACTTTCATCAACAATTGTTCAACAAGACGAAAAAAATGTTTATCATCTAAAAACGCAAATTCCAAGAAAACGAACAAATGCACAAAAACAAAAAGATTATCGAGAAAGAAAGAAAATCAAACTCAAAGCACTTTTGGAACAAAATAAAAGTGAAAAAGAAATTTTTGATAAAACAAAACAAAAGATAAATAATAATAAAAATATCGAAGAAGTTTCATGTGAAATGTCATTTTTTGAAGAGAATAAAATAAAAATAGAGCCACATGTGAAAATTGAAATGACAGATGAGATAATTTTTCAAGAAAATAATTTAGTTGAAAATTATTTTCAAAATGATAGAATAAAACAGGAAAAAATTGTGATTAAAGAAAATGCAAATGAAATTTTAAATAATAATTTAACAAAACAATTTTCATTAGGAATTGTTCAACAAGTTTTGATAAAACAAAAAAAATTTAAATCAAATGCAGAAAAACAAAAAGCTTATCGTGAGAGAAAGAAAATTAAACTTAATAATGCCATTTTAGAACAAAGTAAAAGTGAAAATTTCCCAATAAATCAAGAAATAAATGATAAGAATTTAATTAATTCAAATGAAGAAAATAATTTACAATTTTCTACAATAAAACAAGAAATAAATGATAAAAATTTAATTAATTCATGTGTAAATGAAAATAAAAAAAAATCTTTTAGTGAAGAAAATAATTTTCAATTTGTTACAGTAAAACAAGAAATAGAAGAATTAAATGACACAGAAGAATTATTTATTCATGAAAATAATTTTTCAACTAATAAAATAAAACAAGAGCCAAATAATGAATTAGGTGAAGAAAATATTTTCAATTATAATTTAACTGAACATTTTCAATTGTTAACAAATCAAGAAACATGTCAGGAATCAATAATTGATTATAGAAGACCAATGTCAAATGCAGAAAAACAAAAAGCATACAGAGAGAGAAAAAAATGGAAACTCAAAACATTGTCCGAGATAAATAATTGTAATAGTGATAAAATAAATCAAGAGATAATTGAAAATGAAGAATTTAATTTAAATACTCAATCTTCGTCTGTCTTAATACAGAAAAAGGGGACAAATTTTATTAGAAAGAAAAAATCTTTAAAATGGCAAAACAATGCTGAGAAACAAAGAGCTTATCGAAGGAGAAAAAAATTGAAACTTCAAGCATTACGCAAAGAAAAAGAATTAACAAAACAGGAAAAAGAAGAGAAAGATCAAATTAGAAAATTAAAACAACGTGAAAAACAAAAACGATATCGGGAAAAACAAAAAATATTAAAATCTAAACAAGAGGGATTTATTGTCATAAAGTTAACTTAAAAAGTGTTTTTTTTTTTTAATAATTAGTTCCAGAAAATTTGTGTAATTGTAAATATATTAATCATTTAAATAAATGATTTTAAATTTTCGTACATTCTTTTGATTGGTTAAAATTTCGATTGTGCAAATCGATGTGTGAAATTTATATTGTACCACTTCCCAACCCTGGTTAACATTTTTTGTCCGCTAGGTGGCTTACACCGATCTAATCTAAACTGAAAATTGTCATTGTTAGTTATAAAAAAAAAAAAAAAAAGTAATTTTATAATTCAGTGATTATTCTTGTAAACCATCTCAAATATTCAAGATAATTTGTGTTAAATTAAATTTTTTGCTCAATAATTGATCTTTTTTTTTTGTTATGCGATCAAAAACTAAAGAAAGAATGAAGTAAACAATGCATTGTTTACTATTGATCATGAATACAAATTTGTAAACAAAATAATGGCTGTGAATACTCGTGTTAAAGGACATAAGCCATTAGTTCCACTTTTTACTAAGGCATCTGAATGTATTTACACAAGTTGTTATTGGTAAGTAATTGCAAGTTTTAGTCAATATGAATTAAAAAAAAAAAAAATTATAGTTTAACGAAAATGTCATACTGCGGTAGTGATACACCATACATACAATTTTGGATCGATACCATTGCAGTTGCATCAAACTTTTATTAATAAAGTCAAAAACAAAATAATTTAACATAAAAATATAACTTAAATTCTAAATAAGTGTTTTGAAAGTCTTGTGTTTTTTTTTTACAATAGTTTCTTTTTGTTAAAAAAAATAAAAAATTTTTAGTGAAGAAAATATTTGGAAATTATGTGAGGAAGTGGCAACAAAACATGGATCTGAACTTCAATATTGTCATGTGGCTTTTATAAGTAATGCGAATCGTACGATACCATTGTGGTATCAACGATCCGGTACAGGTGAAAATAATTTAATTGTTTGGGTAAGTTCCAATCTATTATGTAATTATTATTGTATTTTTTTTTTATTTAATTTTATTTAATTTTTTTTGCAGGATTATCATGTGATTTTAATATACGCTCCAGACGATAGAGCAGTTGTTTATGATTTAGAAAGTATTCTTCCGTTTCCAACTCATCTTTGGAAATATATTACGGAAACATTTAGAAATGATGAAGCACTTCCACCTGAATGTCACAGAAGATTTAGACTCGTTCCTGCTAGTACATATTTGCAATATTTTGCATCAAATAGACATCATATGAAACGTAAAGATGGAACGTGGATTAAACCACCACCAGAACATTCTCCTATTTCAACTCCTGGTATGAAAAATTGTTTTAAAAAATTAACTTAATTTTAATTATTTAAAATAAATTTTCATTTTTTTTTTAGCTTGCGAGGATAATTTAGATACGTTTATTAATATGGACGAAGAAACAGGATATGGAGTAATATTGAGTCTGAAACAATTAATAAATCGATTTTGCGGCAAAAACACCAATGTCAATACACCTCAACAACCTTAAGTCAAAAGGAATTCAGAATTTTTTCGGGAATGCTCCTCTGGCCTAAATGATGAATTTTGCCCAAAATTGTGAAGCAAAAAAAAAAAAAAAAAAAAAATGAAAAATTGTTTTTTGTAAGTATACGCTTTTTGCGACGCTTAAGTCTTGCAAATGAAAAACACATAAAGGTCCGATTTCCAACGACATCAAAATTTCAACGAATATTTCTTAAGTTTCTATAAATAATATTGTAAATTTTAGAATTTCAAAAATTCGTAAATTCAAAAAATAGATTTTGACAAAAAAACAAAGTGTCAATTTTTTTTTCTTTTTTTGTCAAATCATGCACTGACAAAATACGATCAAAAAAACTCAAAACTTTTACAAATTTTTCATATGTCTCTAAAGGCTGACGAAATTTTTTTTTTTAAATTATCAATTTTTTCTCTATAAGAATAAAAGTACAAATTTATTTTCATTATTAGAATTTCTTTTATATTGTCGCATATATAGAATATTATTTGAAAAAAAGGAGAGGATCTTTCCTTTTTTTTTTTTTTTGGAAAGGATTGCTTGAAAAAAAAATCGCCTTTTTGTGCTTATTCTAACTCGCGGCTTTAATCGATCTTTAAAAAAATTTATAAAGCCCCCTCCTTTTTAGAGCCACTTTACAAAAGATCTTTACCAAATGTGGCCACACATTTTTCAAAGGCCAGCCTTTTATACGTGTTCTTATTCATATATAAAATTTTGATAAAAAAAAAATCACGACGCTTTCTGTCTTGCAGCTTTAATCTTTATCAGCTATATTACAGCCATGTCGTTAAAGACTGATGTATTCAAATGAATGAATTCTACTTGTATTTAAAATTAAAAATAATTTATTTACCTTCTTTTTTTTGAAACATTAGACTCTTAACATCTCTAAACTATTTTAATTACTAACAGAATTATAGTATTATTCTTAAAGATAAGCATTTATATTTTATTAGATTGATAATTTTTTTTTAACAGTATTATTTTAATAATTATTAAAATTAAATTATCTTAGTTAAAAATTTAATTGCAAATAAATAAATATATTATTATATAACATGCTTAACTTTAAAAATTATTACTATACATTAGAATTTCTATATATATATATATAAATATACCTTAAAATATTAAATAAGACCTACTCTTTTGGCCGCAACTCTAAATATTTATATATAATAAATGTCTAAAAAAAAGGAGATAAATTTTATTCATTTGGAAATTATTTAAAAAAATTTTATCAAGCATTATACAATAGTTCTTACAAATTTTTCTAATTTCGACATAAAAAAATTTTTAACTTTAAGTGCCTATTGCATTTTTCAAATTAAATTCGATAATATAAATTCATTATTTTATAATTAAATTAAAAATCAAATTTCATGACAATGAAAACATTTAACTTATAGCTTTATATTATTTATATAGCTCTAAAAAAATTATTTTGAGAAATTTGTTTAATCTTTATTAGAAAAATATTTTAATATTTGATAATTATTTACAAAAAATAAATTAGACACAAATTTATTGTCTATAAAAAGTTTATTATTGAGAATTAAAATTCTAGAAACGAAAAATAATTAGTAAGTAAACATTTACGTATAACGAAATTATTGTGTTAAATTTATCAAATTTTGTAGTAAAGCTTGATAAAAATTGTTTTCAAAAAAAAGAAAAAACTAAAGAAAAAAAAAATCTTTATTTGACTAAATAAAAATAAATTAAATCAACAAAATTTCCAGATTATAGTAAAATGGAATCAACAAATGTTCAAGTTTAAAATCAACTATACTTACTATTTATCTAAAATATCTAATGTTGCTATTATGACAATTTTAATAAGACTTGTTCACTTTTCTTTTTTAAAAATGTGTAATCAGAAACTTTATTCAAGTCTCAAATTGATTCCATAAATAATATAGAAGTGAACAAGTTATCCTTGTTAATTCTACTATTTTGTAGAAATTTAGATGTGGTCAAATAAAATATACCACTTTTTGCCTTCCTAATATGATCCTCACTATCACCTTTTAAACTTTCATCGTCGTGTCTAATTCACTAAATGAATAAACTTTTTAAAATACAGACGAAATATCTCAAATACATTGATTTACTACCAATCATAAATAATATAATAATAATTAATAATAAAAAATAATAACAAAAGATTATACACTTACTGATACATATATACAAATATTTATTAATATTTATTACTATTTATGAATAATCATTTTCGTTATTATTATTAAATTATATAATAAATTACATTGTGATTATATATATATATATATATATATATATTTCTGATCGATACGAATTGTGAGAACTTTTATCAACTTGTTCATTATATATGTATTATATGTATTATACAGTACGTATATATATAAAAAAAATGTATATGTATACAGTGCGGTTGACAAACTTTTTAATGTCATTTTAAATAATTATATTTCATCAAACTTCATTTAAAAATTTTTAAAATATTTTTTATTACGTTTTCTTATATAACATGCAATATATATATTGTAATTTTTATGTACTTACACATTTTATTATTGATATCAATATAATATATAAAAATTGATTCACATATTGAAATAATTTTCAACTATAAATGTTTAACGTTATTAATTGCGTGTAGTTGAAAATAATTGCAAAAATTTATTTTTTTATATCAATTTTATAAAGCAATGATAATTTTGAAAAATATAAACTCCTGAATAGTTTGAAATTAATTTAAACTTATAAAAAAAAATTATAGCAATTTTTTTCAACTACTTGAAAATTTTCAATTTGTCCATATTTCTCATTGAAATAATAAATTCAAGTTTGTCTAAAATTGCGGCTGGTCCACATCGAAAACTTATAATTATTATTTGGTTCGAAGCAAAAAAAAAAAAAAAAATAATAATAAAATAAAACTTAAAAGAAATTAATAATGACAAATTTAACTGTTTGAATGTATTATATTCAATTTGAACAAAATATATAAGTAATTACAAAAAGTTTTTAAAGATAGATTTCTTATAATCATCTCTCGTTGTCTTATATATATAATAATAAAAATAATATAATAGTATACGTGACTGGACATTTATAATTAAAGACTTGACGTTTATAAAAATTAATCTTAAATTACTAATGAGGCTCGAAATTAACCCAAATTTTTTTCTTTAAAAAAAGACGGATTCTAAATAGATTTTTATTTATCTACAGTTTTTATATTGTTTCATTTTGTCATCTACCTTTCGTTGCTATAATCTTCATTATTACAGAAGATTATTCAGTCATATATAAATAAATGAAAATGAAATATATATCTCTATATTTACTTTTATTAAAAGTATAAACTATTTTTTTTAATAAAAGCTTTAATAAATTTTAATTTATTTTGTTTTTTCCTGACAGCTTAATTATCTGATTTTTAGATTTTTCATTTGATTAATTTTAAGTAACATTTTTTTTTTATTAATAACAATTAATAAACTATCAATAATTTACACTAATTTTAAGTAAAAAGTATAAATATGGACGTTGAACAAAATTAAATAAAAACAAAATGCAGATCTACATTTGTAAAAAAAATCAAGTTCAGTTAATATTTTTAATACACACTGACATCATTTTTTCTGTTCTATTCAAAATCAAAAGAAAAAAAAACGATATTTGAAAGCCCATACAATGTTATACACTGAATTGAGTATTTTAAAGTATACATTTTTTTTATGAGCAAACATTATTTTCAAAAATATCGTTTACACTTCACAATGTGAATATTCATGTTAAATTGATTAAAAAATTTCATTTGATTAATAACTTTCTATTATTAAACATTATGGAAAATTGATTAAAACAGAAAATTCTTTGTAAAAAATACTAAAGAAAACTTCATTATCAAAATTTAAAATTAAAAAAATTGAAACAATTTATAATTACAAAACTTTTTTCATAAAATTGAAAAATAAAATAGAATTAAGAAAACAATTTTTAAATTGTTAGACTATTCACTACCGATATTTTCTTTAATTAAAATACTCGATTATCAAATTAAGAAAGCGTTGATCTGAATTTAAATGAATTAAAAAGCATTTATAAAATTGAATAAATCAAATCTTTTCATATTTTTCAATTTTAACAATATTTTATCATTTTAATTTAGTTTAACACTTTCTTAATAGGAATTTATACAGTCTAGTGCATTTGTACAAAAATATTTCTAAAAACCGAGTTTTTTAATTATATATACTAAAATTTTTATAATTTTAAGTATACATTTCTCATCCTAAAATATTTTCAAAAAAGTATTCAACTTTTAGTATTAAAAAAAAAAAAAACAAATATTAAAGCTATTGTAAAATACTTTTTTGAAATATTTTTATATTTTTAAAAATGGAAGATTCAAATTTTTATTACAAAAAAATTAAAAAAAAAAAAAAAAGAATCAAATGGACTTAACTGTATATGACTGTATATATTTGCTTACAGCATCAGAAGACTAAAAACTCCCTTTTTTGAAGTTAGCTCCGGAAAATTGAGAATAAACTAGTGTTTAATATTTGATCTTTCAAGTTCTATAGTACGGCCTTGCCATACTATACGTGGACAATGGAATATTATTCTTTGATAAATGATGAGCATCGCCTTGATCATATTCCACGTCATAATAAATTCCACTTTGATTCTGAAATAAAAATAATTTTTTTCAAACAATTTTTCTAATTTATAAATTAGAATAATTCTAATTAATAAATTTCTAATTTTTCAAAATAAATAAAATTTAAATACAATAAAAAGAACTTTAATCGAATATTTTAAAGTAAATATTTGAAAAAAAATTGGCAATATTTTTTACTATTAGATTAATAAATAAAAATCGCGTACTGCTACTGAAGTTCTAGACTTTGGTCTAGGCATGTGAAAGCCACTGCTTTGAGGAATTAAATCAGCTCGGTCCTTGTCCTGAGGTTCAGAATCGGAACTATCGGGCTCAGGTTGTTGTCTACGTCGAGACCGAGGCGGTGCTTGTAAACGTGGCAATGGAACCGGCGGTAAAGTTCCTTGAACGCTTAATGTTGGATATCCAAAAACAGCTGAACTTGGTCGTGTTGGTCCCATCGGTTCAGTCTGAAAATTTACAACAAATATTCAATAAAATTTAAACAAATTTACGTTTTTTTTTTCAAATTTTACAAATTGTGATTATTTTTCCTTAAAAATTTTTTATTTTTTCCTCACCGCATATAAATTAGCAGGTGTCATGTGATCAGTCATTGTCGCCAAGTGTCCCCAATAATATGAAGGCATATTTGGAGGTGGTCCTTGTTTTACCGAAGCTAATGTTCCAACGGAACCCACTCGCGCTAATAAAATAACAAATTTATTAACATTTTTTTGAAAAAAAAAACTTAATATAGTCAAGAAATCAATAATTAAATTAAATTAAAGTAAAATAAATTAATAAGAAAAAAAAATAATTGCAATTACTTGGTAAAGTTCCTGGAATACCTCCTTGCATGTAACCATAAACTGGAGAACCCATTGCTTTTTGTTCTCGGGACCATCGTCGACTATAATATAATATTTTGTTATTATTTATTTATTTATTATTTATTATTATTATTATTTATTATATTATTATTATATTATTTATTTACTATTTAAAAATTACTCACCTCCACATTACGAGACACACAAGTGTTAAAATTATGATAATTAACGCAGCAACAGAAGCTCCAATTGCAACCGCTAAAACCTCTCCATCAACTTCACATTGTGCTCCATAATAATTTCCCGTACATCTGACAAAAAATTTTCTCTACATTAAATAATTTCTTCTTTAAAATGGTTTTTTTTTCAAACTTTTTAAATTCTAATTACAGAATAAAAATTACAAAACAAAAATTTATTTCAGTGAAATTGTAATAATAAAATAAATTTCAAACTTACGAGCATTGCATTTGATCGTTTTGATACGAGCATGTGCCTCTATTATTACAATGTGAAGACGGACATGAGAGGCAAACTCGTCCAGCATCAGCGGGATCATTTTTATGCGGATCTCTAAATCCTGAAGCGCAAGTACAAGTGAAACTACCCCAATTATTTGTACAAGTCGCTGACGAATGACAATCATTTAATTCACTCGATGCACATTCATCCAAATCTAAAAATTATCAAAAAATTTATTAGTTTTTGGAGCTTATTAGTTTTTGGAGGGACAGTGAAATTTATTTTTTTTAAAAAAATGTAAAATTTATTTATAAAAACCTTGTAAATTAGAAATTGAACCCGCTGGACTTTCAACGTAGAGTGCACTACTTCCAATATTATTATTTCTTCTTTGTATAACACCAAGAAGATGTCGTTGAAGTTCTCCAGCGAGACTTGATCTCGATGTTCTTGATTCGTGAGCAAGTTTTAGTGTTGCATTCACAAAAACGCCACCTTGACCCTGACTCACATCACCCTGATAAACATTGTTTATTAACGAAACAACATACTCGTCAGAAAATGGAGTCATCGACATTGCTGATTCAATCTGTAAATAAGCATTAATAATAGAAAAAAAATTAAATTTTTTCTCTTTGATTGAATTTAATGTAGAAATTAATATTTCTTTAAATTACTTACGGCTCTATTTGCCTCATGAGCGAGCAATTGATAAGACTCGGAATCTTTTTCTTTCAATTCCCTATCCCAAACTACTTTCTTGTCATAAATTTTGTCTACTCTAATCGAGACAACAATGCTCACGATTTCTGAAAATTTTTTTTTTGTTTAAATAACTTAGAAAATTAATTCGTTTTTCAGAGAAGAATTTACTCACTTTTACAAGGAAGTGAATGTTGAAGTCTTGCAAATCCTGGTTTACAGTGACAGGCCGAAACACCCTGAACAGTTGCACAGGCTTCATGTTGACTAGCGTCACATGTACTTGAATCGCCAACAATACAAGTATCAATTCGAACAGGTGGTTGTGATGGTCTTCGATGGAAAGTTGGTCGTCTAACTTGTGTCACAGGTCGAGGAGTCGCTACAATTTCCTCCTGTGCTACAGCAAATCTGTAGAGAAAAGTTATTTTAAAAAAATAGGAAAATTAGATAATTCAAATCTATTTCTCAAAATAACTATTAATTAGAAATTCATAAATTAAAATATTTATAAAATTTTCCATAAATATTGTAATACAAACCCAGCTCCAACAAGTGGTGGCGCTTGTGTTCTAGTTGCCGGGAATGATGGTTTACTACTTCCTACATTTTGACTTGTGCTTTCAAATAAATTTAAATACGTCCTTTTACCATCAATACTAACGAATCCTTGACCCTCTACAGCTGATGTTAAAATTACTTCATTATTAATACCATTAATTGGTACTCGTACAGATTCTCCTGTAGAAAAATATTTATATTCTAGAATATTTTTTAAAATTTATTTGTATAACGGGAATATTTACTTTTTTACAATATGTAAATAAAATTAATAATCCGTAACGTATGCAAAAAGGTAAAAGTTAAATTCACATACCAGAACTACCACCAGGACCTTGAATGGCAGAAACTACAACATCAAAAGTTTCATGACTTTGAGGATGTCTTGGTGGTCCATAAGGTCTTTGTGTGGCTGCGTAATCGAGTGTATCGTCCAGAACAATTCCAGGTCGAGGACGATAATGATCTGTTGCAACTAGAAAAATTAATTATTAATTTAAAAAAAAAATTTAACTATAAACATTTATAGAATTATAAAAAAAAACTACACACTTGGATGTTTTGAATAGAAATTCGTTGCGGAATAAAGTGGATGAACGTTGGATCTAAAAGGTAATTCCATTTTTGTAACAGAATTTGTCAATTTCTCAGTTGGAATTGTAGATGTTGATTTAATTTCAACATCCTCATCAATAATTCTACTTGGTTCGAGATTCAATATCGATGGTATAATTGTTGAAAATTTACCATGTTCCTCCAATGGAATAATTGTTGGATGTAAATCGGTGATAATTTGTGTATTTTCAATAAGTTGTATCGATGAACTTGTTTCAATATTTAAAGTTGTTTGAAATATTGGTTGTGTTGTTGTTGTTGTTGTTTCTGGACTAATCGATGGTATTACACCATTATTATCAGAATTAGTTTGTATAAAATCATTTGAATGTAAAACAAGAGGCGATTCTGTTTCCAATGGTATAACTGGTTTTGGTAAAAGTGTATCGGAAACAATTCCATTTGTTTGATTAGAAATAAAAATTGCTTGCGATTTATTCATTGATTCATCCTTTAATGTTTTTTCCGTTGTTATAAGTTGATTTGGTTTCAATTCAATAATTTCAGTTGTTGATTGATAATTATCAGTTAGGAAAAATTGTGAATTTGTCGTAGTTTCTTGATCAACTTTATTTATTGAACTGTGTTCAGAAATTTGATGATCAATTTTTGGGGGTTTTTCTTTATGAAATGATGATTGCGTTGGTAGTGGTTTGTATGGTGGAATTGGTCGACGATTATTGCCTGAAAATGAGTTAAAAATTTAATTAAAAAAAGTAATTTTTAAATTTTAAATAGAAAATTGTTAGAAATTTACCAGGTCGATTAAAGGGTCGTTGCCAAGGTCGCTCCTGAGGAACAATTGATTCTGGAAGCGGAACTCCAGTTATAAAAGGCCTCATTGGCATTTCCGGGAGGAGTTGATTTTTTGACGGTGTAATTGGAGGTGGAGGCGTTTCAAATGGATACGGCGGCTCCGATTGTGGTGGTGGCAAAGGTGGAGGATTCATACCTGGTGTGTTAAAATCAGGTGGCAATGGTGCCATATCGGAAATTCTCGGCGGTCCTCGATTATTTATTCTAGAATGGAAACTTAAATAAAAAAAAAAAATTAGCACACATTCTGTAAAATTATATTTTTCAAAACTATGGGAACTTTTCAAATTAGAAAAAGAATTTTTTTTTTTTTTTTTGTTCACGTTTTGTATAATAAAATTCGAAAAATCATTTTTCAAATGAAAGGGAAATTTTTTTTTGCTGTGAGAAAAAAAAAAATACCTGGTGGGTTTAATAGGTTTCGCCGTATTAACAGCGACATTGACGTTTCCATTAAGAAGTTTGACAATGCCTGTTATAATATCCTGAATATCTGGATTCGCTTGCCTTTGTCCTGAGGCTGAGGTTTTAATAATAGGCGGAGGAGCGTGATCATTATAATTCCTCGACGATTCTAGACGCGGTTTTCTCTCTTTTATATGATGTGCTTGTTGTTTCTCGGGTCCAATCGGTTCGGGCTTCGCCAGGGGATTTTGTTCCTGCGAAGCCCTCAGTCCTTCCCCCGACAAATTAATTGTCGATGATCTGTGCAAATTAAAAAAATATATTAAAACTGTTTTTTTTTAATTTAGATTTTTTTCGTATTAGAAAAAAAAAACTTACGGATAGTAATCGCCGGGTTTTACTTCAATATTATTACCATCGATGTGATTAACAAATTTCGATGATGTTAAAACATCAATTGGTTCCGATGTACTTAAATCTTTTTTAACATGACGTGTTTCCTCTAGATCTAAATCAATGACACTTTTTGAGCTTTCCAATTGAAAAGCCGGAAGTGTTCTTTGAACATTTAATGATTCAATATTTTTCGAATCACTTGAAGTTCTTTCAGCACCTGTAAATGCACTTGCACTAAGAATTGTACTTTCCAGCCATGATTTTGATAGTGTTGGATCATTTTGTATTGATAATACACCTGAAACAAAAAAAAAATTTCCAATTTAATAAAATTTTTATTATAACATATATTCAAATTTAATTAATTTCTATTTTATTTTCTTCCTTTCCGCTAGGTATTTTGATCTTTAATTAAAAAAAAAGCATCCGTCAATAATTACATGTTACGATTAAAAAGATATTTGAATAAAAAATTATGTAACGGTGTTGTTTTCTTGATAAAAATTTAAAACGCACTTTTTTTTGAAATTAAAATAAGGAAATAAAGAGACAGAATAAGACTGAGCAGTGATAAAAATCTACTTGTTTTTTCATATATACATTGAACGTCACATCGGTCACCGACTCCATACCAGTCTTGAGAATTGTCAACTATCTCTACAGGAGTACCGTTCTTCACATCGATTAACAGTCAATGTCGCACAATTCTTTCATAGGAAAGTTTATTTCTTGACATTTTATTTTTGCCAATAAAAAAAAAACTTTCCGGTTTAAAAAATAAATTGGTGTAAATTATAATTGACTCTACATAGAAAATATGATTATTATTATTATTTGTTCAAAGAACAACTGTTTGGAATTTTATTTTTATTTTTTTTTTTGTTAAGCTTGAAAGAAGCCGGAAGAAGAGTGGGTAATTTTGAAAACAAATTAGCATTCATGCGCTTAAAAAATAATCGACAATATATATAAATATAGCGGGGAAGTCCGAAGAAATATTGGTATATGGCGTCACCTCACTTCAACTACCAGGGATTATAGGCCGGCATAAATCTTTATGACCCCAAGACCAATTCAGGTTGTACACGATATGCACAAACAGTCATGCTTTTTCTATTCTTCTAATCTTCTTCATAATTTTCCTTAAACATATATCGGATTATACGACTTTTTCGACTATTTTCGACTTATTTCGACTTATTTTAATAAAATGCGACTATTTCGACTTTTTTTTTTTTTACATTTTTTAAACAAATTTTTAAATAAAATATATTTTTTTTAGTATAAAATGCAGATCTTCTTCAGATCTTCTTTATTTCAATTATTTAACAAATTTTTAACTAAAATTCTTCACTAAATTAATTATTTTTAATAATTTTAATGAAATTCATCACAAATTCAATTATTTCAAAATTATTTATCAATTAAAATTTTTATGAAATTTAACAATTGTTTATAATTTAAAAAAAAAATATCACAATAAAATTACTAAAAATTTTTAATTCAAAATCAAATAAAGTTCAATTATTTTCAAAAATTTCAATTCAAAATCAACTAAAATTAAAATTATTATCCAAAATTTCAATTGAAATTCAATTATTTTCAAAAATTTGAACTTAAAAAGCTTCTAAAATTTTCTATCGAAAAATATTTTAAATTTAATAATTTCAATTATAATTCTCCGGAAATTTAATTATTTTTAACGATTTTTATAATATTCTTTTAAAAATTCAACATTCTGAAACCATTTTGCAATTAAAATTCAATTATTTTTAAAAATTTGAATTTAAAAGCTTCTAAACTTTAATTAATTCTAAAATTTTCCATCGAAAATTTAAAAAATGTTATCTGAAATTATTTGATAAATTATTTTTAGTTTTGTAAAATTTAATTATTGTCTGAAAATTAACAAAATCTTTTAAAATTCAATTATTTCTAAAAATTTCAACTTTAAACCCTTCCAAAAGTATTATTATTTAAAAAAAAATTTTGATTTAAAAATCTGTAAAATATTTTTGTTAAAATAAAAAAAAATCTACTTTTTTTTAGAATATAAATTGACTAAAACGACTTTTTTATGTGCCTTTAAGTCGATCCGAGGCCTTTATATATACGAATTTTATGAGTAAAAATTTAATTTATATATATTTTTTTAATTATTTTTCTATAATTAATATTTTTATCCTGAAATGAAAGAAAATATTGAGATTAATAATTTTTAATTATTCTTTTATAATCTCTAAATTTTATATATTATACTAATTCCGCTTGTTTCGTGATAATAATAATAATAATAATTGATAATTATTAGTGGTAATGATCATATAATATAAAAAGAGGTATCGAAGCATGATAAATATATTGCATTTTGTGCGGAAAAATAAAATCCTGAAATTGGCCTTACATATAAGAAGGTTTTAAAAACATTAGAAGGAAACAGTCAAACCGAGCGTAAAAGGCTATAACGGTGCAGTATGCGCTCGTCGCTCTCTGCCTGTAATGCATGAAGATTTGATAAAAATAAACGATAAAAGGAATTCCTGTTCGCGTATAAGGTGCACACAACACATAAAATTGCCACACCGCAGAAATTGTAACATTGTGTTGGAAAAATTAATGGCACTTTGTATAAAACACACTATTTACAGTTGTTGTTGATTTTTTTTTTTGCAAATTAAAATATAATAATTACAAAAAAAATGGAATATTACCTTCAATTTTAATTGTTTGCTCTAGATATGTAATTACAATTATTAATAAGTTACACAAACTGATAATAATAATTCTCTGAAGAAATGGTAAGAATTATAGGTTATGTTTACGACAGAGAGTTTTATCAGTTTTTATTTTGACTAATGAATTTTTATTGCAGTTGTGTACCTATCGTACCTATATTTGCATATATCTTGACACATTCAAAACATAACCTAAAATTTTGCTCCTTTCTTCTTTGAACGAGTTTTTATTGAAAGTTGAATCAAGAAATTTTTAATTATTAAAAGTCATATAAGAAATAATATTAGCCTGAATTCGATTTTACTAGTTTGAAACTTTCGAAGAAATGTCAGTGTTTTACCGTTTCTAATTTCCCTTTCGGAATAGTAATGAAATAGAATAGCATCCTCCTATGTATTAAAAAAAAAACGATATTCATTTAAGAGAAACGGAAACAATAGAGATGACCAAAGTTCGATAATAATTTTTGTATTGTCCCAGATATATATTTCTCTTATTTAGAGATTGTGTCGGTTAATTTATCATATAGGTTGAGTTCAATCGTTTGCCATATGGACTCTATAATACAATGCAAACATTAGCATCATGCTTCAGCAGTGTTCGTCATCATGTTTATAGGAGAAAGTAGAATAATTGTGTCTTTTTGGAATAAGTATATAAAAGACGCTCGACTTTCTTTGTGTATGTTGCATTAAACGGATCGTTAATGCTATTAATTACTCTCATAGCCCGTATGTAGATATTTAGCAACATGTTATTTTACAGTTCTATTTTCAATCTCGAGGGTATGCATTATTCTATTATATTATATATAAAGGAATACGAAATTAGAGAAAAGTGGTTCACAATTACGGTAAGTCGCCTTCAAGTTCATTGAATTAATATAAATTTTAAATATGAAAAACTTTTTGACATTACGAAAAAGAAGAAATCGTTAATTGGATTTGATGACAATTATCTGAAAGAAGCGTTGGTAATTAGTAACAAGTTTCTATATTAAAACATTATCATTAAGACCCCAATATTGTCTCCATTGTAATTATTATCATCATCACATATAGGAACAATTCTAATTATTATTACAGTGAATTCTTGCAAGTTCGCGGCCTGATGTTGAGAGAGGAGGCAATACAACGTGCCCATTTAGTCATTATATGCTTACGGTTTTAGTTGAAGGAACCTCGAGGAAAGTATATACAAGAACCGTGAGAATGTAGGTGAAATGTCTTAACGAATGGAATGTATAGAGGTGCGAGATACAATTATATATATCGAACCTTCAATTGCTAATCAAGTTCAAGAAAAATGTAAGTTCAATGCAAAATTATATAATTTTTTGTGCAAAACTTTTCCAATATGCGGAAATTATTATACAATTATTACAAAATTCTATAATTACAGAGACGGAAATTATAATAATAATAAATTTTCAAATGTCATATATAGTTATTGATATTTGAGTTATTCGTGTTTTTAAAACCAGTTGGTGCGCGTGGTGTAACCAGACAGTGTTTCTATATTTGATGTAGTAACAGTTATTCCACGCAGATGAATCAATATTGATATTGATACTATAAAAGGAATATTAATTTTGATTTTATTTGGGACATTATTTAAAATATTTCTTTTTAAGGAACCTATAGAAAATCTATTTTAAACTATATTATAATTGGAAAATACCAAGCTTCCATCATTTGGAACTAACAATCAATTTAGTACCAATAAAACCATAAACTATAAAATTAATATTAATTGACTCTCTTTCATTAATTAAAATTATAATATAAATTAACTCATTATTTCTACTACACCAGAACAATAGAATATCAATTACCATATGGTAATTGACATTATAGAAATTTTAAAGAATTTTAGTAAATAATCCAAATATTAATAATAGAAATGACATCTAGTTCATCTGTGAAGGCATTATTATTTAATAACACGTCGGGCACTAAATCGAAAAATCATTATTTTGTTGACCATTTAAAAAAAAAATTAATCGGTTAATTTAATATTTATTCAGATAAAATGTGTCAAAAAAAATAGAAATATTAATTAAACTTGGCAACGCGAATTATTATATACATATTTCATGATTCAATTACAAGGAAAAGGCTATTGTTATGGGTAGTTGAATACACCTTCTAACTTCCTGTGTAATTATAAGTAATAAACGTTATTTACGAAAATACCAGATGTTAATATAGAAAAAATTGATTATTATAATTCTGTAATTATAAAATTGTTTATAATTGATGGTAATATTATAAAAGCTAATCATCCCTTATAACTATAGATTTTATAACAAAATTACCAAAGTATTTAAAAATAATTTACAAAATTAAAATCAGAAAATATGAATCTCTAGTTTCGTTAGATAAAAAAAAGAAGTAAAAAAAAAAATTATGTTTATATATGATCTTGACTAACATGCGCGCCTTATATTTCAGGTTCAAAACACCATCCCACTGTCCTTAATATTATCATGAAAGAAACGAGGTATAAGGTATTTCACCTGTATATATATATAAGCAAAGTGTCTGTGAATGTATATGTTCCGTCTCTTGAGGCGGTAACGGCAGACTTAACGGGACACCATTCCAGCCCAATATTTATTCTTTTCACTGGAATTCACGTCATTGAAAAGTACCACGCGCTTTTGTCGATCATATGTGTATGTACTTTTACCCGCGCGATTATTCAATCAAAAAAAAAAAAAAATCATTTCGCAAAACTTTATAACGGATAAATAAACTATTATTTTCATCCGATTTCAATTATCGACATTCTATATCTGATTTTATTTATTAATCATTTTATTTATTGTTGCAGTGTCAGCATTGATCAAGAGATAATATATAACTTCTAGGTCCAGGACAACATTATCTGAACATAATATAATATCGTTGGCTGCGGAACTGATTGTTAATGTAATATATATTGTTTAGGTCAAGCATCATATAAGTGGAACACTGATGGAGCTATTAATTAAAAATATCGGAAATTACTGAAATTAAAAAAAAAAAAATTAATATGGATTTGTAATAAAAATTTAACTGGGAAAATTACAACAAGAAGCGAAATTTGCCAGTTTAATAATTGATAAATAATTATAAATCGGCGATCGTATACTGAAAAAAAAATTTATATGATTCGATTAATTTAAAATAAATAAATACTTATTTTACCCAAATAATAATTGTTTAAAAATAAATATTTATTTCACAAATAATAATTGTTTAGTGCAAATAAATATTTGACTCAAATAATAATTATTTAATACCAATAAATATTTATTTGAATAATTATTCAATACAAATAAATATTTATTTGAATAATAGTGTAAAATTATCAAAAACTTGACTCCAAAAGAAAATTGTATTTTAAGGAAAAAAAGGAAGTTCTATTTTAGTAAAAACTAGACTCCAAAAAGAAAATTGTATTTTAAGGGAAAAGGAAGTCCTATTTTAGCAAAATTTGTAAAACTATTCAATTTCCGAGATAGATTTTTATAAACCTTCGTCAGCACTTTACATATGTACTAAATTTAAAATTTCTGATTCACAGCGTTATACTACTTATTCCAATTAGCTTATATGCGCTAATTAGTCCTGTTATCGTTATTTCAGATTTAGAGAATAATAAAAAGATTATGTCTGAATTAGAAAATTTTTAGTCTTAATTTTGTAATTTGTAAAATTTCATTCTATTTTTAATTAATTATATTATCACGTAGATAAAATGAAACTATCAAAAAAAAACCTGCGTAGAAAGTAGATTAATTTTTTTTAAAAAAAATTTAATTTATAAAAATTTGTTATTTATCTAAAAACCAAAGGCGTGGTAATTAAACAACATTTTATAATTGCGATCGTAATTTTAAAGAAATTTTCTAATGGTGCAGAAATTTTTCTTTTTCGCACATTTAATGGGCGGATTTGAAAAAAAAATTAAACATCACGCAAACTGAATTTAGAAGCGGTGTCATAAAGATAATATTTAATGAATTATTTTCATCTTATTTCGTGACACTTTCACGATTAACTCGGCTGGGCGAAAGTCTAATGACGAAATAACGACGATATCATTGACGTTTCTTTCAATATATATAGAAAAACTAAATCTTTTTCTGTAAGAAAAATTGTAATTCAAAATCAAATTAAATTTTTTTTTTTTTAATTTTTCTTATTTAAATTAAGCTTCTTAGTTAAAATATTATTTTTATATACAAGAGCAATAATTGACGCCTATTGTCTTATGAAATTTCACTGAATCTTCAATTTTCACGAAATGGAAAGTGATGGTATATATAAAATTTTATAATATTAGACACAGTTTTCTGCAACAATAATAATGTGCCCGTAGGTACGGATGCGTACTTTATTTGCGTGCAGGTCATGCAACGTTGTTAGCTTTCTCCTCTTGTCATATTCATTTTGACAGGGTTATTGCTCTTTATGCATATGTGAGCTCTTATATGTTTGTTCACTTTGTAGAAACGTTTTTTTTTTAGTCCATGCGATAACACATTCATTGAAACTTGGATTTTTTTTTTCAAACGATTTCTAACTATTTTTGACCTCTATTAAAAATTTTATTTAACATGCATATTGAAAATTGTTGCATTAAACAAAAATAAATAAAATAAAAAATATAACAAAAAAAAATTTAAAAAATTAAAAAAAAAATATTTAGAAAAAATAATCTAGTTTCCTGAAGAGAAACTAAAAAAAAAAAATGGGTGTATTATTATGAAATTGCATATGGAAAAAAAAGAAGGATGTCAAAAGGATTTTTAAGATCATATCTTTTTGTTAAAAGTGGACGCACACAGTGACTTTTGAAAGCTATACCATAGATCGTATTTAAGTCGTTCTTGTATACCCGGATAGAAAGTGTTTTTTTTTTAAGAAGCTCCCGATGACTGTTCATTTGAAATGCTCGCACGTAAAAGTTACAGCGACACGTAATTTCCTTCATTGACAATATTCTATTCTAGGCTAATACACTTTGGTAATGATTAATATTTTAGAAAGCAAAAGTTTCAACTCTTTTGTGTTTTATATAATTGATCTTTTTTTTTTTATTGCTTCCCAGAGTATATATTATAGAGATTCTAAAAAAAAAAAATTAGAGAAGAAAAAATATTCGTTTCCTTTTCAGTTTTTCAAATTTTACTCATCATAACTTTTTATTTTTTTTTAACTTTCTTTGCTTTACAACTTTTTTTTATGTGATCGTATATATAAATTTAGTTAATTTTTAAGAAAGTAAACCATACTTATTTTCTTTTTTTTAGTATATTTCAAATTGTAGACTGCTCAATAAATTATTTTCTCTACTTGATAGAAATTAAATAATAATAAAAAAAATAATAAAAAAAAAAACAAAATGTTTACAATAAAATATTTTATATAATTTTCTATAAAACTGTTTATACTATCGGTGAAATAATATATTTTTGATTTTTATTTGTTAAAAACTTGAATTTTAAAGAAGAGGTCATGATTCCGGTTTCACATATACAAGGTTAAGAATGCAAACCTACTACTATGATCACTGAAATACCTAGTCCTAGTATATATGTATATACACCTGATTTAATGTACAGCTACATTTTGTATCTGACTATAGCATTTTCTGCATACCTGTTTTCAAATTTTAATGAAACAATATATTTTTCTCAATATGGATCAAAAAAAAAAAAAAAAAAAAAATTACTATAAACATTTTTAATTAAAGCTATTTTCCATCACTTCGCAAAGATTTAGATCTTAAATGCAGTATCTGTATTGTTTATTTTTCTCTACACTTTAATAGCAGTAAATTATTCTATATGTACAGGATAACAGGTATTTGACCTATATATCTTGACTGATCTTGATAATTTGATCTTAAACCTGCTTTTCAATTTATAAATATATATATATCTGCGCAAAAATTGTATTGTAAAATTTACTGTATATGTAATTAACCGGTCTCTTATCTTTTATTATTATTATTAGTAAAGAAGTAAATTCAATTTTATTATTTTTAATTTCTATTTTAAAAAAATAACTCTGGCAACTATATTTATTAAATCTACTATCAATAATTAAAATCAAATTTTAAAAAAAATTTTAATTTTAATTTTTAGTAAAATTAATTTAATTCTTTTTTTATTATTTAATTTTGTAATTTATAGTTAATTTTAATATTGTAATTCGAAATTTTGTTTATTTTTCATTATTGTTTGAAAATCTCATTATTTTTGTTAATTATAATTTTCCGTCAATTTATTTAAATTGTATAATGATCCAACTTTTCATATATATAATGAAGTTATATTAGTTTTTAATAAATTTTTATACTAATGAATGGACACAAAATTTACTACAATTGTGACTGTAATTTATAGCTGTTATTATTTATTAATAGCTGTAATTATAACTAATTTCGAAAGTTATATTTCATATATTATATTGTATATAGGGTTAATGAACAAATTTTCACTATTCCTTATAATTTCTCCTCGCAGATTTGAAAAAAAAGAGACAATCATTTTCTCATTTTTGTAGACGGTTAGAAAAACACCTACAATATTTTACTGTTTTATTATATATGTATAGGAAAGTCCAGAAATTAGACCTGGCACTAACGGATTATACTTGGAAATCCTGTCTGGCTTTAATCTTTGACGCCTATTTTTTTCTTTTTATGTCTTAAACCATTGTCTAGGTTATAAATATTAGAAATGTGACCTGTTGCTCACGTTATAATCTTTAAAACCAAAGAAAGTGTGTGTTAAATAAATAGTGTGTATATAATTTTTTTTTGAAATTTTTGGCACGTGCGACAATCGACTGGTCAGTATTTAGTATATAAACTATACTTTAGTTGGGAAATAATTTTTGAGGATTTAGTATATTACTTATGGCGATGATAATTATACTTTGTAAAATAACATTTTAAAGACATTAAAAGTTAATTTTGCGTTTAAAATTTGCATTATAAATATATCCATTTGGAGAAATTTCATACTGTAATGACAAAAAATTGTAAAAATTAAATTCTTTTATAAAAAAAAAATAATTTTACTTACCAACGATTTTGATGATCGTCAGTGTGAGAAAAAATTTTAATTCCGCCATTTGAATTAAATTTCATCAAAAAAAAACTACTGATGATGTACCGGTAAAATGTACCGCCATTTCAATCAAATCACTGCGTCAATCGTAGCACCAACGTACACCACATACACACACTTTCTTCAATCATTTTTTTTATTTTCAATTCCTTTTTTTTCTTCTTCTTTTTTCATTAAAATTAAAAAAAGAAATTTAAAATTTATTTTCCTTTTTTTGTCACTTTTTTCACCAGGTGTTTTTTCTTTCTCTTCTTTCTTTTTTTCTTCCGGCTTCCACTTTGACCCACTTAAGCGAAACCGTTCAAGTCACCCATATTATTTCGGCGCAGGGTCTTCTAAAAAAAAAAAAAAAAACACATCACATACATATTTTTATATGGGAAACTAATAATTTTTACATTTATTCTTTTTAATTTATTTTCATAAATTATTTTGCTTTACTAATTTTTGTAATATTATTGTTATTATAAAGATTTTTTAAATTTGTATATTAGTAACTTTGTGAAAAAAAAAAATTTTTATATAAAATAAAAAAAGTTTAGAAAAATAAATTATTTATAACACTAAAAATTAGTTATAAATATTATTAATAATAATTGTTAATTAATAATTATAATAATAATGGTCAATTAAAATTAAGATTATTAAAAAAATGAAAATCAATGTAGTAAAGTATAAATATTTTTTTTTCAAATTACTCACTGATAAAAAAAAAAAAATTATCAGGGGTTGAAAATAGAAATAAATTTTTGAAAGAAACGTATAAATACTAGTTCACTTCACGATCGTTCGCTCGAAACTGGCCTGGAGGATCATTCAATTCTCCCACTTTACTATCCTTTTGCATGGTCTAAAGGTACATTCTCTTTTATACACCTTTGAGTCTCAAAAAGAGACTCAAAGCTTTATAGTATCTACTTTTATGTATTTTTATATGTTTTCAACAAATTATAATAATTTAATATTAAAAAAATTTTTAAATGAAAAAATAATTTTTTTTATTATTAAAAAATTGAAATTACAATGAAGACATCATTTAATGTAACTATATACATTCAGAATTCCCTGTAGACGCGAGTAACCCACTTAATTCTAATTTTTTTTTAAGAGATTCAAGCACCGTTTTTATATAAAAAAATACTTTTTTTTGTAAATTAATTTTAAGTGTCATTATTTTTATGACGATAATAATAATTTTAATTCAAAAACTTAATTACCATTAATTTCTATAAAAATATATTTTTAAAAAATAATTAATTAAATTAAATATAGAAATTTTTAATTAATACTGAATATTTTTTTAAAACAAAATTTATTTGAATTAGTTATCACCAAAAATGTTTAATTTATTAAGATCAAAAAAAAAATATTTATTTATTAATTAATATTTGTTTTATTTTCAAATTTTAGAATTATAAATAATTCAAGAAAGTAATATTTCTCAAGAAAACGAGGAAAGGAAATGAATTTGTAAAATTGATAAAAAGTGCTCCATTAACGAAAAAAAAAGAAAAAAAAGTGTTTTGGAAAATTTCATCACAGACACATTGAAAAGATCAAGGCAGGTCAGGTCGGTATTTTTTTGTCAGACCACATGATCATTATATATATATATAAAGTTGAAAAAAAACCCTGAGAAAACCTAATGGTCTTTGCGGACAACTTGTGGGCACCTGTGCGGTACTTTACTATAACTTATATTATTAAAGACTAATTTGTTAAATTCGATTTTATCAAATATAGAAAATTTGAGAAAATTAACAGGTTTACGTAGACATAAAGAAAAAATAGGTGGTAATTTTTTTTTTTTTTTTTTTCATTCAACGAAAACCATTTTTCTTAGAGTGCCATTGATGTCCATAACATATAGTCATTAATAATTATAGGTCATTTCAAATCCATCAATATTATTTTTTTTATATCAATTTTCTTTAATAGAAATATCCTCCAAATATGCAATTATTTTTAAGAAAAAAATATTTTAACTATCTCATAAAATTATTGTTCCAATCGAAATAAAATGTTTTTATAAGGGAAAATAATAGAATCAATTGCTATAAATAAAAATATCTATATACATTGTTAAGTACAGAAAGAAGAAATTTTCCGAAGAATTTAAAAGTTGAAATTCAAATTTAATTTTCATAATTCAAATCAAATTTCCTTTCTTTTTTTTATTGTATTGTACTTTGAATAATATTTGTTTAGAAAAACGCAATTTTTTAATGCAAAAATATACTAATTAAATTTACCTTTGTTATTTTGGGGTTATGTTGTCCGATTTTTAATTCTATGGTTTTTATACTTGATACTCATTATCAGTTGCTCAATTCATTTAGCCAATAATCAATTATAATTTACTATTATTAGCAACTTTCCATTTCAATTTTAAAACGATTAAAACAAGTGGTAATTAAAAAATAAATCATGTGGATTGTCAACGGATTAACTGTTTGCAAACTTTCAAAATCAAAAACAAGTTTGTAAAACTTCAATACGTTTCCGCTAGATGGAGCCACTTTACACTGTCAGTGCAGAAAAGTGGCGGTTTTCTTAATTTGATTTTCAATTTAAAAAAATTACTTTTCCTAAAGAAATCTGAAATGAAAATTATGAAAACAATTTTCTATAATTATATAACATATAATTTATTAAATAGTTACAAGTATACATATTTATCAATCTATACAGTATACTCCCACTTTTTTTTTGTCGTCAGGATATTTTGTCTATTTTTGCCTAAGTTGATTCTTCAATTACGACAGAATGTCTATCGCGAGAATCAGGGTTTATTTTTTTCTTTTTGTTTCTCGAATTCGTTGATAAAAATTGATTTCACTTTCAATTCGCTAGTCTCCCACAAAACATGTAACAATCTTAACTGTACCAAAGTATCAATGTGATTTTTATTATAAAAATAAATGAAATATTAATTAATTAATTGAAGAATTAAATTAAATCCAGTTAATTGAATCGGAATAATTTTTTGTTTCTCTTTGTTTAAAAATTGATTTATTAATCACATTGAAACTTATTTATCAACAAATTAATTTTAGTATGTACAATTAATTCGCAAAGCAAATTAATTTCTTCTTTTTTTTTTAACAATGAGGGCATCGGATTTAAGCGTCGCTGATAGATTTTACATGTACAAACTTAGCGAGTTGCTTTGTTTTGTTTTTCTATAGATTAATGCAGATCAGATGCCTTTGGTGTGAATTTCCTAACGAAAGAAGACAGTGCATAAATGGCATTGGAATCTTAGATGCGCATCCAGTCTTTCGCAGTTTTATAAATACTTTCAGCTAAATTTTCTCGATTATTTACTTTTGATGGAATCTAGAAAGAAAGATTGAATTAATCTAAAAATATTTTTTTTCTCCTGCAGCGTGATAAATTAAAAAAATTAATTTTCATACATACTAAAGTAACATAGTCGAGGGATTTTCCATTAAGCTCTTAAACGCCGAGAGCCATTGAGCTCCTACGGCACCATCGACAGTGCGATGATCACAACTGGCAGTGACTGTCATAAATTGCCCCACAGTGTATCTATAAAAATTTTAATACATTTTTCTTTTTCTATTTGAAATAATTTAATTTAATTACAATATTAATAAAATCTCACCCCTTCTCATTACTGGCAGGTATTAATCTTGGTGAACTCGTGCCAACCGCAAGAATAATGGATTGAGGTGGATTGATAATTGCTGAAAAACTCTGAATTCCAAACATTCCAAGATTTGAAATTGTAATTGTGCCCCCTTGAAATTCTTGGGGTTGTAATTTTCCTTCCCTTGCTTTTGCCGCTAGGGCTTTCACTTCTTTACTAATTTGTGCAATTCCCTTTGTATCAGCACCAAAAACTATTGGCGTAATCAGTCCATTTTCTGTACTAACAGCAACACTCACATCCACATGATCGTATCTAAAATTAATTTTTCATATTAATTTTTATTTATTAAATATTACAATTAATAAAACTTACTGTCTGATAATATTTCCAAGCCAAGCACTATTGCCTTCTGGAACTTTTAAACAGGCCATAGCCATTCCTTTGATAATAATATCATTGACGCTAATTTTCACTTTTTCCTTCTCTAAAAGTTTATTGAAATTTGTTCGCATTGCCAATGCCTCATCCATCCTGATGTCCATTTGTAGATAATAATGAGGTATCGTTTGTTTACTCTCTAATAAACGTTTTGCTATTACACCACGAATATTTGATACTGGAATATCAACACCACCCGGTGTCATCGAAGTGCCAACACCTGCAGCCGATGCGCCTTCTAAATCCTTTGCTTTTATCGATCCAAACAGACCTGAACCTGTGAGACCCTGTTTAAATAAAGAATTATTACAAAAATTGAAGGTGAGAAAAATTTTCTATACAAAAAAAAAAAAAACAATTACCTGTAGACTAAGACCTTTTTCAGCAGCGAGTTTTTTAGCGAGAGGACTAGCAAATATTCGATCGCCTGCACTTACAGGTGGCGAAGGTGGAGCAATAGGAGCTGATTTAGGAGCAGCTGGCGCAGGTGTAGGTGGTGCTGCCGCAGGAGTTGGCGCAGAAGATGGTGAACTTGTAGGAGCAACATCGCTTGATCCATCGTCTTTAAAATCCTTAAAAGCCGCAACACTTGCCTGATCGGAGACAATAATACAAACAAGTTTACCAATTGGAACACTCTTCGTTCCAGCGGGAAGGATAATTTTTGCTAAATAACCCTCTTCCGGTGTTTCAAAACCCATTGTCGCTTTATCCGTCTCTATTTCCGCTAATAAATCCCCTTCATTTAATTTTTCACCTAGAATTTTTCACAAAAAATTAAATAATAAAATAATTTCTATCTAAAAATAATAAATATTAAAATTTAATTTACCTTCTTTTTTCTGCCAACTAACAATGGTTCCTGTTTCCATAGTTGGTGATAATGCGGGAAGAACAACTTTCACGTGATCTGGAAAATTTGCATAATATCTAACTGGCTGTTGTCTGCATACCATCAATAATTGTTGATTGTTGCCCACTTGAAGCCTAAAATTGTTATATAACTTTGTAATACTTATTTTTAAATAATAAACTAGTAATATTAACGTTATAATAAAAATTATTTTCTTATCATTAAGATAAGTATATTAATGTATTCTTTAATCTCTCCATATTACCAAAAATAAATAAATATGATAATCTAAAATCTAAAATAAAAAAAACGTCAATAATAAAATATATATATCTATTTTTCATAATGAATTTCAATCATTTTGTAAAAAAAAAATTTAAACAATTTTCATGAATAAATAAAAATTTTAACAGTAAATTAACTAATTTACTAGTAATGTATAAATAACAAAAGGATATTTCGAACAATATTATCATAATTAGAAATAAATGAATTTATAATAATAAAATCGATCAAGAATGATAAAATTGTGAAACCTAACCTAAATTAACAACGAGAATTTAAAAACAAGTGTCAAAAAAAAAAAAACAATAGAAAGTAAATGAAATATAAAATCATTTGTTATTAAACTAGAGAATAATTACCTTTGAAGATATTTTCTGTGAAGACATTGTGTTGATGCACATCTTAAAACATTAATTCGAACAGTATTTCGTAGTGTCATGCGTGCCAAATCTGAACGTAACAAAGTCATTGCCGTCGGGCGTAACATGATTTACTTTTTTTAATTCTTTGGTCCTGTTTTAAATTTAATATCCTCTAAAAGCAATACTATTATCCACTAAAAAAATTCTCCAGTAAATACTTTTGTTACGAAAAAAAAATAATCCAAAGACTCAGAAAAACGGAGCAGACACTACATTAGAGGTCGTTTCCAAGGTCAGTTCGATGCATATTAAAGTCCTCTCCACACTTCAAAATTATCCCCGCGACAAATTTTTTAAAAATTTAAAAAAAATTCCAATGCCTAGAAAATAAATTTAATTGGTTGTAATAAATTTGTTAAAAATTTCTAATTATTTATAGATTAAAAAATTAGAATGAATGCATTAAAGTATTTATTAATATTTCATAATCAGAAATACATTATTATTGATTCTGTAATTCAGTATAATTACTTTTTAAAATTAGTTTAGATTTATTTATTAATGTAAACTAAATATAAAATTTAAATATTTGAAATGTCATCTTTTTGTCACGTGATCAAATAACAGCGCGAACTTTAAATATCAGTATTTGATTGGTGGAACCAAATAAATAATTTTGCGCAAGCGCACAAAAAATTGTCAAACTTTAAAGTCAATTTACAATTATTTCATTGTAAATCAGACTTTTCGTTGCCTGCGTGCGATGCGCGACTCAGATATTCAATATTCGCGTTGTTCATCACCATTCTTCTCAACTTTTTTTCTTGATTGTGCTTCAAAGTATATTGTTTCTACTATATCTACGAAATTGTTTAACCGGCTTATTATTGTTCAACAATTGTTAATCAATGCAAATTAATGGCGTTATTGTAAAACAACAACAAAGAAAAAGTGGATTTTGGTGGACAAACTCAGAAGTAAATTTTATGCAATTCAGGCCGGTAGCCAATGCAATATTTTTACTTTAGACTGCAATTACCATCAAAAATCCGTAAAATAACGAGGTATTATCCTCGAGGAATAAATAGCGGTAAGTAGAACTTATAAATAAATAGTAATTTTAACTTGAATAATTATTTTCAAGTATTATTTCACTGAGTATTTAGATGAAACATAAGCAGAATTTGTTAACAATGCTGTTTTTCCCTCGGGGGGCCCCAGGGCTGTCAGTAGTGTAACAAAAAAAAAATGGTGGAGAGGGGGTGAAAAAAAAACCTATTATTTTATCGTTTGTTGTCAATTTAAGAAAAATATCTTATATTGCTGATAAGTAAAAATTATCATCTTTCTTAAAAAAATAATTTTACAGAAAAATTTAGTTTCTTTTATATGAACGTAATAAAAATGAAATTTTTAATAAATATTTTGTATTTTATTATTTGATTACTATTATTATTTTTAATTAATTTTTATTGCTTAAATTTTTTTTTATTTTAAAATACATTAAATCTAATGTTAAAATATTATTTTAGGATTAAATTGTATACATAATTATTTTTTTTCTTATTCAATATCAAATCCCTTTCATGATAATTTAATGACTTACGTGATGAAAACAATCATAATGTAAACAGTTCACATTCATTGTTGTCGTCTTTAGGTTAATTTCAGATAAGCATACACTTAAATTTTTGTCATTAAACTATTGAAATATATTTTCTTCAATTTTTTTTTATAAAATAAAATATTTTTAAAATTATTTGTAGTTATATAGTATTTGTTGTCTTTATTTTATATTTATTTGTATTATTTTTCAGGTTATTGAATTACATTAATAAAAAATTGAATAGGATTTCTATCGCCATGTCCGATGCAGAAAAAACTGACGTGCCATCGGATACGCAAGATACATTTTTCGAGGAGAGTGAATCAAATTCTCAATTTGTCAATAATGCGGAGAATACTTCTAATTGTTTAGGCGAAAGTCAAGATTTTCATTTATTGGATACTGGAGACAGTCAAGAAGAAGAACAACAACAACAACAAATTGATGACGATTTGCAAGCACAAGCGGTAATTAATGATTCTAAAATTGAGGATATTAATAAAGAAACTGACATCATAGAGAAAACAATTGATAATGAACAAGAAATTTTTGAAACAAAACAAGAATTAATAGCAGAGCCAATAGAAGAGGATGATGATATTGTTCAAGGGACACCACCACCTTGTTTTTCACCGTCAAAAAAATTATCCGCTCTCGCTGATAAATCATTGAAACGTAGAGCTGAATTCATTGATGATTCATGTGATGAAAATAAATTGCAAATTAAAAGAAATAAAACTGATAATCTTGAAGATGATGTTGATGATATACAAAAAGAATTGGAATCAATGGAAAGTGATACAATTGAGATTAAAAATGAAGATAAAAAAATTGAAGAATCTATTATTATTCCAGAAACACAAGAATCAACGCAAGATGTATCAGAAAAAAATTTGGATTTAGGAATGGAAAATTCATTAGAAGAAGAATGTGATTTAGTTAATGAAGCAATTAATTCAGTTAATGATGGCGATGAAAATCAGAATGATTCAACTGTTGCAAATTTTGCCGATAATGATATATCAAATCAAAATGATAATTCAATAATTGGCAAAGATATAAATGAATCAAAAGATAATTCTCAAGAAATTGATTTTTCCGACAATGTCAGTTTCGCTGAGAATGGTGACAATGAGAAGAAAAATTTTAATGAAACTGACAATTTGATTAAAAACGAGACAAATGAAAAACAAAGTGAAATTATTGATGAAAAAACTAATAACAGCACTGAGAAGAAAATTAATGTAAAGGAAACTAAAGAAGATGTTGAGAAAATTAATAATTCTGAAGAATTAGAGAAGGCAAATAGTATAGAAGATGCTTTAAAACAATTGGGAGGTGAATCAGATGCAACAGAATCATCAAAACAGCCAATTATTGAAAAAGAATCAACTGAATCTGAATTATTGGCTGTATTAACTGATTCCGATACAAATGCAGAAATTGATGAAATAACTGAAAATAAAGAATCATCCATTCCAATGGAGACCGATGAAATAATTGATTTAAAAGAAAAAAAACAAAATGAATTAATTAAATCTCGAATGAGTATTGAAGTGATTTATGATCGTTCATCATTGAGTCAAGAGGCTAAAGTAAGATTGGCAGAAATTGTTGAAATCGATGATGAAGATGATGGTGAAAAAATTGTTCTTGATTCATCACAAGAAGATAGTAAAATTCAATCATCAGATCTTCCAGAAACAAAAGATGACAATTATAAAAGTAATATTGACAATAAAAATAATTATAAATCCGTTGCCAATAAGGATCATCAAAAGACTGAAACTCGTCTTATTAATGGCGATGATATTGAGAGCGATGATTTAGACACAACTGTAAGTGTAAAATCGAATAGCGATTCAAAGGAGAAAATTCCAAAAGTTTTTGTTGTCAGTGATAGTGAAGGTGATTCAATGCTTGAGAATAAATCAACAATTGAAACACAAATTACAACACCAAAAATTTTACAAGTCGAAAAAGAATTTATTGTTTCTGTTAGATTGAAATGTTTAATATCAATTGATGAGAGTACAAAAGATGTTTTAAATAAAGAAATATTGGGAGTTAATTGTGAGGCAAATAACGATCAATTGAATAGAAATAGCGATACATCAACATCGTTAGCCGATATTTCGGGAAATGATAATAAAGATGGATCACCAGGTTCAGTGACATCTGTCACATATCCACGTTTTTCTATTATGTCAACATCAACAATCAGCTCAACAACTTCATCATCAAGTTCTGGATCATTAGCAATAAAAAATTCCAATGATAAATTATTTTCAGTGCCAAAAGGTAAGGCGAAGCATACAAAAAAATTATCCTACGATGAGAAAAGTAATTTAGAATTTGATAAGGAATGGAAAAATTCTCATCTAGTGTCAACGACAGTTTTGAATTTTATCAATATTGAATTAAATAGTGTTGATTTACAAAATGGTGTCGATGCAATTGATAATAATAAAATTCGTTCATCAACACCTGAAACAAATAAACAAGATACACCACAAAGACAACTTAAAAAGGGAAGGCCACCCAAGAGATTACAAACAAGAGCCACAAGAAAAAGAACAAAAATTATTGCAACAAAAACATCACCAAATATTATTGATACAATAACTGAGGATAGTGATGATTTAACTACATTTAAAATTAAAGAAACAAAATCATCAACATTTTCAACACCTGTAAAAAAATCATTGGAAGGTTTAAGAAATTCATCATTTTCAAGTGATCAACCCGATGAATTATTAGGAAAACAAGTATTTGCCAAATGGTCGGATAATAATTATTATGCAGGACAAGTTGTTGATAAAAATAAGGCAAAATATAAAGTTAATTTTCTTGATGGTAAAAGTAAACAATTGATAGCGGAATTTATTATTCCAATATCCGAGACATTTGGAAATGGTCTTTCCGTTTATACATTAACAAAAGATGGTGATTATGGACCATGTGGAATGATAGTTGACATTTTGGAGTCAAATAATAAAGTGTCTTATGTAATTGAACCAGATGAGGGAAAGAAAATTACTGTTCAAATTAAAGATATTTTCCTAACACCAGATCAAGCACAAGTTTTAAAGGAGGAAGTTTGGAGTGAACAAAAGAGTCTTCCATCGACACCGCACTCAATTACACAGGTAAATTTTTATTTAATTAAAATAAAGAAAAAAAAAAAATAGTTAATGAAATATTTTTTGAAATTTTTCAGGTAACACTGGACAATATGGTTGATGGTAAACGTCGTTCAAGAAGAAATACATCTACAGGACCAACGCCAAAATCAAAGAAATCATTGACAACTTTAATTAATAAAACATTTGATGATGAGCCATCAGGTTCGGGTGTTGTTATTAAATCTAAAGATACAATTGATTTGGAAAAAGATGGTAAGACAAGTGATTCAAATTGTTCAATTAATGAGGAAGTTGGTGTTAATGGAATTCAAAAAGAAATTATTGGCACCGCTAATGAACAAATAACAACAAAAGGTCCACAAAGTAGAATAAAGGGAAAACAACGAAATCGAAAAAAGACAGATGATCAAGAGACTATTGATCTTCTTGGACCAATACCTGAGATTAATTCAAAAATTTTTGATGGAATGTCATTTTTATTAACATGCGCTTCCGTTGAAGGTATTGATAGATATAATGTTGACAATGGTACAGATTCAAATTCATCGGAAGTTGGAACTGAAAATGAAGAAATATGGAATGGTCGACCATTTATTAGGGAGCGTTTAGAACAACAACTTATTGCTGGTGGTGGTAAAGTTTATGAAAGTTTTGATCTCATACCAATTAGTGAATATGAAAGCACTAAACTTATTACAAATTTGCCAAATTTAACTGCAAAAAGTTTATTATGCCTTTCGGTTGGCATCTCTGCTTATAATCACATGTGGGTGATACGATCTTGTCAAAATGTAAGTATTTTATTTATTTTTTTTTTTTTTGCGAAATTTAGATAATTTTTGATTTTTTTTTCTAATAAAAATAAATATTTTTAGAACAAATCTGTGAATCCATCTGAAGAAAAATTACCAGCCGGTTGGAGTATAGATAGAAGAAGTTATGTGGAAATGTTTAATCGACGAGATCAAAAACCATTGATGCATACTATTGTCGTGATTCCTTATCAGGAAGAATGTGACAAAAAATTTGTTTCATTTTGGAGTAGAATTTGCGAGAATGCTGGAGGAAATGTAAGAGTCGTGGACAATCCAGGTTTGTATTTCTTTAAACTATTACCGAAATTTGAAAAAATTTTCAATTTTAATATTTTTATTAACAGAAGAATGTTCTTTTTTTTTACAGAAATTAGTTTTATCGAAGGAACAGTGGTTCTGACAAATTACAGATGCCCATTGTGGGTAATTGAAAAAGCTCGAGGTTGGGAAATTCCACTTGTTTCAACTACGTGGGTTGTTCAAAGTCTAATTGAAGGTAAAATTCTTCCTTACGACGGACATAAGCGTTTCAAGCCTTTTTAATTAATAAAAAAAAGAACTCTTAAATTGTCCGTTTTTCTTAATTATATATAAAAAAAAAAAAACAAAAATATGTATCGAATAATTTTTGAAGGAATGCAACATAATTTAGTAATTAAGATTTTTTCAAGTCTTCTAAAAATAAGTGTTTGTTTTTCCTTTTTGTTTAAGTTCTTATAATATATTAATATTAATAATAATTATAATAATAATAATAATAATAATAATTGTGAATAGTCTAAATACAAATGTTTCTATAAAATTTTTGTAACAAGTATATAATATGTACTTGAATAATTTTGGTCCAACGATCACACTATTATAAAAAACAAATGTGTAATTAATTTTCTTCTTTCATGGTGCGCAATTGACATGAATATTGTTTTTTTTTATAGTAATTTTTTGTTTAAGAAATTAACGCTATAAAGCGCGATTTTGTGTTTAATCTAATTCTCATTATGTGGCTGAGTTTCATGATAATCAATTTTCTTTTTTGTGTATGTTTTGGGAAGGGTATGATCGACATAAATTGTGTATAATTAATAATTAAAATATTCAATTACGTAGCAATTGAAACTTATTTTTTTTTTGTAAAAGTCATAGAAGAAATAAAAAACTCGCCATTGGGATTTCGTGATATGGATTCATCGCAGTAGTAATAATATAAGTAGTATATACTTAAGTCTAACATTTTTTTGTCATAAAATATTTTAGATAGTGTATCCTTATAGTTTATCTAATTTGTGAATCTTTATTATTTGATATTCCTTTGGAATCATTTAATAATATACGTCAATAAAGTTTATTTATAACGAATTTTGTTTTGAAAAATGCAAATTCATTCGGCAAAAAAAAAAAAAAAGAAATTTGATATTTTAAAAGGAGATTGCAAAAATGGGACAAAAAAAAATTTTTGTCTATTTTATATTTCAATTATTGAATTTTTAAACCATTTTACAATTAGCTTCTTTTAAAGTAGAAAACATCTAATGGTAATAAAATTTGTTGGAATAAACTCCGATTTGAATATTAAAAAAAGAGAAAAAAAAAACAATCGATCATTGGGAAAAATATTTTCTACTCTGAAAGTGCAATTATCAATTTTTAATCACAATTTTTGAGTAAATCTCCCAAAATTTTATTGTGAGATAGTAAAATAGAATTGTATATTATATTTATATATAAGCATATATATATATTTGGAAACTTTTTTATTAATCATAAAGCTTTTCAATCGCTCAAAATCTTTGATCTCCTGATATCTTTCTTCAAAATGAGATATAAAAGAAATTTTTGAGGTTTGAGATTCTTTATATATCTAGTTTTCATAAATAAATTGTTTTTATTCATATGAAGAACTCTTACAATCTTCATTTTCAATGTCTTTTTTTTTATATATATACAAAATGTAATTTTTTATATAATAGAATATTTGATTTGTAATCGTATATTTTAAGTTCCGAAGAAATATACACGAGAAAGAGTTTTGTCAAGGAAAAATATAAAATTGGACTTAGCATTAGGGTGTAATTAAAATATTCACCTTTAAAAAAAAAAAAAAAAAAAAAACGAATAAGTTAGCTTAATTAATCTAACAGATTGCGCATAACCAAACCATGAATTACATCTGTATATGTATACATATATTACAATCTTTATTGTATAAGTAGTGGTAATTATGTACAATTTTTTGATGATACAATATACCAACATATTTTGGCAAAGACTCTCTCTCTCTTTCTATTTTGTTATAAATATATTTCTCCTTCCTTATTTATAATTTACACTATAGATAAAACGTTACTTTTTTTGTTTAATTGTTTTAATTAAAAATATTCTTTTTATCTCCATCATTTGAAAAAAAATATTCATAATATAAATCTTGGATTTAAAATATAAAGAAATCGTATATTATATACACTAATTTTTTTTTCTTATGGATTATACCAATCTAAGAACAAAAGTGTAAAAGACATTACTATTAAAAAGAATAATATCCAAACTCTGAGGCCGGCATTTCTTTGAATTGCTTGACGAATTTGTTCATTGGCTTCTTTAACATTTTCCGTTGAACCAACGACAGTTGTCATTAAACGATCTAAATCTTTATCTTGATCCATGACCTTTTCGGTGAATGCTTCTTGTAATTCGGCAATATGAACAACTTTAGTTTCAATTTGTTTTACTTCTTCAGTTAATGTATTTAATTCATTGTAAAGTTGTTCATTTTCTGATTCAAACATTTGAATATCCTCTGGCGATAATTCTTGATCAAAATTTAATGTACCATTTATATCGTTATCAATTTCTGGAATTGTCATTGATGATTTATTAATATCAGACTCCTTTTCTTTTTTATTATTATTATTACCAATTGAAGGTAAATTTAATGATTTTTTAGAATCTATTTCAAGTTTAGCAACTTTACGATATTCAATTGCTCTTTTTACACGTATTGCTTTTTGTTCGGAATAAATTTTACATACATTTTTTAAATAGTTTTCAATTAAAATTAACATTATTTCACGATGTTCAGTATTTTGCGGTGACACTTCACTTTTTGCAATTTCACGTCTTAATTCTTTAATTAATTGAGAACATTTTGTCATTATTTGTTGTGCACCAGCATCAATTTCATCACGATCATTGTCTGTCATATGTGTTTTATTTGATAAATGATTAGAAAAATTTAAATACGCTGGACGATTTTCAAGCAAAAATTCACGTAATTTTGCAATTTGTGTTACAACTGCTTGTGATTTAATAATAAATGGACTTTGTTTACGACGTATTTTATAAGATGACTTTAAATTTATGTCATTGTCAATAATTTTATTAGTCTGATGTACAATTTGCACACAAGTTCGAAATAGAGTACTGACATCCATATTTATTTCGATTTAGTATTAATGAATATTATAAAGTTTTTTTTTTAAATCGAATTCCTAATTAATGGACTATACCTCCTGAAAAATAAAAATAAATTTATTAAACAATTTTATATATATATAATATAAATTTAATTTTTGTTTTTTTTTAATCAACATAACCTACAAACATATTCACGTTGATTTTTTTTACTGTAGTTTAAACAATCTTCACTATAAATTGAAATAATAACTATAAAATTATTTAAAAAACACTAATTTACAAAGAATTTAATAAAGAACTAACTTATTAATTAATATAATTAATTTGTACAATTCACATATTGACGTTGACAAAAACATGAATGTAATGTTGCCAACTTAATAAAATATTTAAAATTGTAGCCAATTTAACAACAAGAAAATTCAAATTTTTGAAAAAAACTAAATTTTAGGGAAAATCACGAAGAAATTGATGTTGAAATAAAAGAAAATTAACAATTAGAAAAGAAAAAAAAGAAACAATATTTTATAACATTCAATTAATATAAATTATAAAAATTAACACGTTTTTATAACACGTTTAAAACTCCATGTCCAATTCAAACCTAACCTTTAATTCGGCTGATCCGTTTCATGTGTTGTATGTGCATTAATTATCTTATCAAAAGTGAATATTTTAATAAGAAAAAAACAGTTGTAATGTAAAATCAAAGCCCTGGAGTGTATTACGAAATAATGAAAGCATATTGAATTACTTTTTGTTTTTATTCACATTTTTCAACTATTAACAATGTATAGACAACACTCTCTTGGTAATTTAGTTAGAAAGTAAGTATTAATCAACTGAAAATATATTTCATCATTTTTAATTCAATGATCTTTTTTCAATTCCCATTTTTAGAAATCTAACCTTTAAAAGGTTTCAAGATCTCAATATTACGAGGAATAAACATACCAGAATCGACAAGGTATATATTTGCAAAATCAAATTTTATTAAATATAATATAGTGTAAGTCAAGAGAATGATTTTTTGCAGATTTTAATAGCAAATCGAGGTGAAATAGCATGTCGTATAACAAGAACAGCAAAAAAACTTGGTGTAAAAACAGTTGGAGTATTTAGTGAAGCCGATAGAAATTCAATGCACGTTAATTTAACCGATGAAGCATATTGCATTGGACCTGCTCCTTCTAGTCAAAGTTATTTAAGACAGGACAAAATTATTTCAATAGCCAAACAATCAAAATGTCAGGCAATTCATCCTGGTTATGGATTTTTATCAGAAAATGTTGAATTCGCTGAACTTTGTCAAAAATCAAATATTATTTTCATTGGTCCACCGGCGAAAGCAATACGCGATATGGGTATTAAAAGTACTTCAAAGGCAATTATGTCAGAAGCTGGTGTTCCTATAATTGAAGGTAAAAATTCCTTTTTTTTAAATTTTAATAATAATAATAAAAATAATATAATTTATTATTAAATAAATTAATTTATTATAGGATATCATGGAGAAGATCAATCCGACGAGATTTTATTAGCAAAGGCAAAATTAATTGGATTTCCATTAATGATTAAAGCAGTAAGAGGTGGTGGTGGTAAAGGAATGAGAATTGCCTGGAAAGAATCAGAATTTCAACAATCACTTGAATCGGCACGTACAGAATCTCATAAATCTTTTGGCGATTCAGCTGTACTTTTAGAAAAATATGTCGCCGAACCAAGACACGTTGAGGTTCAAATTTTTGCCGATCATTATGGTAATGCTGTTCATTTATTCGAAAGAGATTGTTCAGTTCAGAGACGTCATCAAAAAATCATTGAAGAGGCGCCGGCTGTAATAATAGATTTTTTATTTTATTTAAAAATTTAATTTTTCGAATATTAATTTTTATTTTATCTAGCCAGGAATATCGGATGAACTTCGTATGGAATTGGGATCGGCGGCTGTTCGCGCTGCAAAAGCTGTTGGATACGTTGGCGCTGGTACTGTGGAATTTATTTTGGATCGTCAAACGCATAGCTTTCACTTTATGGAAATGAATACGCGTCTGCAGGTGGAACATCCGATTACAGAAGCAATTACGGGAACTGACCTCGTCGAATGGCAATTGAAGGTGGCAGCTGGAGAAAAATTGCCGCTGCAACAAGAGGACATTTATTTGCGAGGTCATGCATTCGAGGCCAGAATATACGCTGAGGTAATAGAGAAAAAAATTACGAATTATTCACATTAATCACTAATTTGCTTATAATTTTCAGGAACCCAGAAATAACTTTTTGCCAGGTGCTGGTCAACTTTCGTATTTGGTAACACCATCTGTCGCCGATAATATTCGTGTTGAAACTGGAGTTAAGGAAAATGATCAAGTTTCCGTGCATTATGATCCAATGATTGCAAAATTAGTTGTTTGGGGTCAGGATCGAAATTCAGCGCTTAGAATTTTACATTCCAAACTTTCTGAATATAATGTAAGTTTTATTATTCTATAAGTTTTATGTTTGTAATTGAAATTGAAAAAAATTTACAAATTTAGATTGCTGGTCTAGAGACAAATGTGGAATTCTTAAAGGATCTTTGTAGTCATGAAAAATTTAAAAATGGAGATGTTCACACTGGTTTTATTGAGGAGAATTATAAGACTTTATTTCCAAAATTACAAGTGCCTAATGATGTATTAGCACAGGGGACACTTGGAATAATATTGAATGAAGAATTAGAGGCAATGAAAAAATCAATAGAAACTAATGATCCATTTAGTCCATTTGCTATCGAGAGTGGAATTAGATTAAATCATATATTAATGAGGAAATTTGAATTTCTTGTTGGTGAGGAAAAATTTGTCGTTGACGTGAAATATGTTGAGCCAGAAATTTTTATGATGAGAATCAATGATTCGGGAGCGTGGCGTAAAGTTACGGGTACAATGACAATGGATGGTAAAACAATGAAATTAAACATTGAAATCGATGGCGTTATACAGAGAGTAAATATTGCAAAAGTTGATGATCAAATTGTTCTTTTTGGAAGGGTAAATATTTTTTTTTTTTTAAGAATTTTTAAACAATTTTTTTTTAAATCCCTCCTTTTTTTTAAGGATCGTTCTTGGAAATTGAAAATACCGGAACCGAATTATGTTTCAAGGATTAAGAGTAATTCGAGCATTGATTTAGGAGCTGCAGTGAGTCCTATTCCTGGAATTGTGGATAAAATTCTAATAAAAAACGGCGATATTGTCAATAAAGGCGATCCACTTTTAGTTATTGTTGCAATGAAAATGGAAGTGAGTAAAATTTCGAAAAAGAATCATTTTTTTAATTACTATTTTTTAATTTATTTTACATTTAATTTCTTAGTATATCATCAAAGCGTCCAATGATGGTGAAATTGGAAGTATTTTGTGCAAAATTGGTGACAATGTCGCAAAAGACAAACTTCTCGTTAAAATGAAAAATGTGACTGATCAGTGAAGATAAAATTTTTTAATTTCAAGTGAATTTTGCACGAAAAATCAAGAAGTGAACTGAAAGTTATGAACTTTAAGAGTTTAATTATAGTTGAAGATATTTTTTTAAAATCATTTTTATATACACAATATATATATATATTGAAATGTTGAAAGGTATGTTTTCTATGATTTTCTTTCTTCTATTTTTTTTTTCAATTGAATATAATTATTATATATATAGGTATAGAAATATAGATCAGTGCCCTAATTTTTTTGGCACGAATTATCCGGTACCTTCTGCCCCCTATCAGGCTCGTGCAATACTAGCGTTAGAAGATGTAATTCATACTCCAGTTAAATTCGCAAATTGCCGGAACAGTGAGCTGAACGGTATTTCTTACGCTTCGATTATTTACTTTGAATACACATGGTAAATGAAAATTCACAGTTAAAAAAAATGTGTTCCATTACAGAAAAGGGGTATGTAGAATTTTATTTTCAAAAAAAATTTTATTTTTTTGTTATTGAACTTTTATTTAAAAATTTAAATATTTTTTAATTAAATTTTCTTTAATTTGTTTGTCCTTAGTTATTTTATTGTACATTTTATAAATCAAGATAAATAATAATTTTTTAATTAGTAAAATAAATTATTTTTTTAATTTACTTTATTTTTGAAGTCCCGTAAATAAATAAATTTAAAAATTAATTTATTTTATTATTAATTTTATTTTTAAATAATATTAAATATGTGATAATTGTTCAACATTCTAGAGATGAGATAAAGCTATAAAATAGTTATTTAATAATTAATGGTAATCTTTTTTTTTTTTTTTTTTTCTATAAATATCTTGTCGGCTAATTTGAGGTGCAATTCATTTAATCAGTTAATTAGCTGTCATAAAAAATAAAAGTGGCTTTGCACCTGTAAATCGATTAAACTAGATCATTATTTTGTTGAAAAGAGGCCAAGGGGGAATAGCCGCTTACGGTTATCAAGCAAATAGAGAGAAAGAGAGAGAGAGTCGCGTGATTTCCGACTAAGTTTTGAAATTTGAAACCACGTGACCGCATTTAAAAAGTTTTTAGCTTATTTCCCTTTTTTTCCCCCGAATATACAAATAATATTTGCAAATATTATAACAGGACAGTAAATGTTTTATAATTACATTTTATTTCATTTTCAGGTTTTTGTGAAGAGAATTTTTCTTATGAAATTTTCTTCATTGCTTTTTTATAATTATGCTTTCGAAAATAAGTTCAAATTTAAATAGATTTGGCCATTTATTTTTCAATTAAATCGACTTTTTTTTCCATATATATATATATTAAGAATATGCAACAGATGAACAGGTAGTATATTTTTTTATTTGTTCTATTTTTCAGAATGTAATTTATAATATACTTAAATATGTAAAGTTGAAAAGAAATGGGAAGATTATATGAAAGAGAAAAATTGTCTGTTCTCGAGAAAATATATGACTCTTAGGTATCTAGAATTCTGGAATAAGCTTTTATTGATACAAATCACGAACTCTTGGAAATTATTGCGAGTTTCGTTGAAAGTTAATTTGACGACACCTATTTTAATTATTACAAAAATATTAATTTTTTTCGCAATTAATCAAATTAAAATCAATTAATATAGTTAGAAGAAATTTTTTTCCTTCTCAGTTTTGTTTTTTTGATTAATTAATTTTGAATTACCAAATTGTTAAAAAAAAAAAAATTACTAAAAAGTATTTTCTTTTATGTTTCGTAAAATTAAATGAAAAGTGAAGAAGAAATAAGGTCAACAGTCTGATAATGGGTTTATGAATATATAGTAACATATACTTTGAAACTGAAGTCATTGAATTTAATCATAGGATTATTTTCCTTGAATGGGGTTACAACCGATAATTTTATTTTAGATTTTTTTTTTTTTTTCTTCAAGGAGACAAAACAGAAATTTTAATTTACTCTTTGTTTTTATGTTACAGATCCGCAACTTCAATTGTAGTGAAGAAACCAGCTCGAAAATTTACTGCTTTTGCTAAAATTGCTGCCGCTGCAAATTCAGCACGTAAACAACATCGACCATTACCCGGTGAGCAATTATTAAAAAATTTCAATTTTTTTTAATTTAAAAAACACTTTTTCAATCTATTTTTGTTTCGAGAAAAACAAAATGCTTATTTTTTTTTTAAATAAAAAATAAATTAAATTAAAAGAAATTTTTTTATACTAGTTAATAAAAAAAAATGAAGCTTAATATTAAAGAAAAATATTTTTTAATTTGGGAATTTCCACTTTGAGGAACTGACTTTTATATTAATAAATCTATACGAAGAATAATTGCCTTTCATATAACAACAAAATGAATCTAATCGATCATCAAACTTTATACTGGATACTTGTATGCGTAATATAACACCGGTGTAAATGAATATGTGCAAACATGGATTATATATATATTTTAATAATAAGACCGCTCCTGGCACTAGATTTTCTATTTAAATTCAAGGAACACCTTTCATTTCACAGATCAAAATTCACACTTCTTTTTTTTTATTATTTTTAATGTAATAATCAATATCTTTGTGACTATCGGTACCTTCAAAATTTATGACTTTGAATTGATTTGGCAAATTATCGATAAATAGTTTATAGTTCAAAAGTTACGGCACAAATGAATAATTTTTAAAATTATTATTTTAAATAGAAAAAAATGATTCAAAATTTAATTTTTAAAATAGTTTTGAATTTTTTAAGTTGTCTAGAGCAAAAAAAAAAAAAAATTCGAAGGGTTTTCGTATCTTGATTTTAAATATGGATTATATCTCAAATTTTATTTCTAAAAATATAATATTCAATTTGTCGTTTTTATATATTTTTCTTATTGAAAAAATGTTGTAACTGTTTTAAACTATTAAATTTGCTTTTCAGTTTTCAATGTTCGATCATAGTTTTTTTTTTTTTTTTTAATACTGAATTAATTTCAAAAAATTTATTTCAAAGAGTTTCCTTGAAAAAAAAGGAGTGAATAATTAATTTATTTATTACAAATAATAATAATTTGATAATAAATATAAATTTATAGATTAATTGGTTTATTTTGCAAAACAATAGAAAAAGGATAAAAATTATTTATGCGAAACTATTTATTATTGTATACCGAAATAGTTAATGTTGATTATACTTTTTTTTTGCTTTGAATCTCGCAAATTCATGATCGACACCAATTTACATGTTCTATGTAGGTGATTCTATATTCAGAAGTCTATTTGATAGAACCTCGAGATAGACCCTTAGAATCCATTTGTATATAAGGGGTTAAACGTAAGGGGTGTTGGTAACAATTACCTCTAACTCTAAACGCTAGGCTGTCAGTCAACTCGTTCTTCTTGAACCATCAGCCACAATCATGGTCGTTAGTTATTTCCAATAAAAAAAAAACAATTTTCAAAAAAAAAATCAATTTTTCCAAAAATTATAAAAAATTAGAAATAAATTTTCAAAAATACTTTTAATCAACGAGAATGCATTTAATTTAAAAAAAAAAATTTTTTTCACTAACAAAAATTATTTACCATTTTTATTTTATACCATTTTTTTTAAATTATTTTTTATATTGTCCCCCTTGGCTTATATTGATTTATTTCTTTAAAAATAAATTAATTTACAAAATTACATTGGGTTAAATTAATTGAATAAATTAATATTTTGAATTATTTTAATTTGATTAGCTCAAAAGAAATGAAATTCCTAAATTCTTGACATTGAAAATTTTGAAGAAAATAAATCAAAGGGAGTTACTACAGTTTTTTTTTTTTTTTTTTAATTAAAAAGAAAACGCCTTTTATTATGAATTGTCAAAATATAATTATTTTACTGAATAATTTTAATTCAAGTTAATTTTAAAATTAAAAAAAAAAAATGGAAAAGGCAACAACCTCGAATGCGGAGTCGAAAATTTATTCTTCAATATCTAAGATTTGTAGTCGGCGTGCTTGTGAAGTGAAATCTAATAAACCTACCTATGCCAGAGATAAAGGTATATTTTTGGAAAATATTTTCCTTTTTTTTTCCTCTTAAAATTTAAATTTAATCATTGTTGATTTATTTTTTTCAGAAATTTTTTTGCACTTTTCTTCTTCAATCAAAAAAAAAAGAAATATTTTTTTCACATTTATAATGAGAATCTCAACTTTATATAAATTCGTGTCGGAACGGCCCATGTGCATTTTGTTGATTGTAAACTTTTCAAATGAAAGTTTTCCAAAAGCCAACAGCTTTTTGCAAACTTTATCCATTTAAAATTAATTTTTCAAAGAAATTTTCAAGTTTTTCACATCGAAAAAAAGAAATTAAAATTCATATCTACAAATTTTAAATCTGTTTATCAAATTTTTAATTAATAATTTTGAATACACGTCCTTGGGAAAGACTAATTAAGATGACAATGAGGCGTTTATATAAAAAAAAAAAGTTTCAAAAAATCGTGATTCGAAAAGTGTGGATTTAAATGTCAAGCTAGACAGCAGTAGGGCATGTCCAAATAAGTTTCCAACACTAAAAATGACATGTTTCGTGTCTAATATCAGGACTTCCAAAATTTCACGATTGGTATATAAAGAGCTGTAAATTTCTCCACTATTCTCAATTGATATTTTAAACTACTCGAGGCAAGTTGTCGCATATCATTTAAAAAAAAAAAAAAAAGAGTGCCTACAATTGTGCATACGTTAATTCTTCTTCCTCTCTTTTTTTTCCATATTCTACGGAAACAATCAGATAAAAAAAAATGTGAACGAGAAAATTAGTTCTTTTGAATTCTTTTGTGACTCTAGACGAACGTCACAATTATTATATATATTTTTTTTTTCATAAAATGCTATTATCAGCTAGGGCAGCCAAATACGCTGCACTAATGGCGGAACCAGACGAACTTTATCCAGGTTGAATTTAACGGATGAACGCCTTTTTCATGAATAAATTTGAAAATATTAAATTTTTTTTTTTTTATTGTTACAGAGAGAATTCTCTATCCAAGAAGCTCGAGGACTTTGGCAAAGACACCCGTTCTTGGTGGAACTCCTATTAATCAAGAAACATGCATGGTGAATTTGAAAATTATTTTTCTTTTTCGAAAATTATATTTAGTTTAATTATTATAAATACACAATACTTATAATTATTAGTATTTTTATTTAAAAAAAATATATTTAACGGTATTTATTTTTTATTTGTACAGGAATTAAGAATGGTGGTATTTGGAAGTAGTGCAAGTCCACCAAAAGTCGAATGGGCCAGAACTGGATTGACTCTTCGTCCTGCAAATCAATCGTTGAGTTTTGGATTAAGATCACCGAGAAATTCTACTCGTGGTCTTATCACTACAGTTCAAGCAATAATGCTTAAACACTTTTTATTTAAGACCAATAATCAGGACAAAATTACACCTGATACGTAAGGATACATTTCAAAAATTTACGTTTTTCTTTTTTTTTTTTATTATAAATGCATTTAATTAATTTTTTTTCCGTTTGATAAGAAATCACAAAATGATAAAAAATGAGCTATCAAGAAAATGAAAATTAAAATATCTGCTTTCATCTAAAAAATATTTGCAGTTTACTGAAGCCGAATTACGACCAACAAATGGATGTTTTAGCTTGCGCAATAGCGGAAATAATTTGGCGATGTGCTGGTGGTTTTGCAACGCAAAGTGCAAGTTCCGTGAATTTGAATACGGTATCGAATGTCAGCATCCCAAAAGCAATTGTCACTTTACCGCAAGAAATATCATATCTTCAACACAGTGTTCAATATTTTCAAGATGGCTTAACTGAAACTGTACGTTACAATATTTTTTTTAATTTCAACATTTTTAGAAAGAAATTAAAAAATCCAAATTTAGAAAAAAAATTATTAATTACTGAATGAATTATTTTTTGACAAGGGGAAATGTTAAGGATTTTTGACACACTGGCGTGAAGCCAAAATTTATTATTTCGCCTTGAAAAGTCAAGAGTTCATATATCTATAGGAAATAAAAGTTAAATTTTGTTTTATCGTAATATATAAATAATTGACAGTAAATTTGAAAAATTTTTCTTTTCTAATTTAATGTTACAGTTACATTTGTTCGAGTTTACCTCATTGGAAGACTTGGAAATTTTCATCAAACGTTATTTGTATCTTGTATGTATTTTTCTAGTTTATAAAAAATTTAAACTTTGATAAAATCGACTTGATAGACAATTCAAATTTTTCTGAATTTGTTTCTCAATCAATTGACTATATTTTTGAAATTTAATTTCGATTTTATTTTTTGTCATTCCAGTTTCAAGATGAAGGTTCACCTGGTGCAAAATTGCTTCTTTATAGCGCAGTTCTGTCAAGAGGATTTTCAAAGTAAACTACGAAAAAAATTTTTTTTTTTTTAATTCTGTTTAATATTTTGATAAATATGAATTATTAATTTTACTAATAATTGGAATTTAAAATGAATTTTAATATTTTAGAATTCGCAGTGATTTAGAAGACTCGAAAGGTTCACTATTAAGCGGATCTCCAGAAGAAGGACCAATGTCCCTTGTTCTTCTTGCGCTAACAGGAAGAGCTTCTCCTCATCTTCACAATGGCGTTGTTCACGTTGGTGACGAAAATACTTACGTAAGTTAAATAATTAATTAATCCTTAACACGAAATAAATCGGAAATTGAAATAAAAAAATTTCCTGAGAAGAGTTTTTTAAAAATTTAAAAATAGAGCAAAATAAAAATTTTATTAAAAAATAGAGTCCTTTTTGAATTTAAAATAAAATTTAGTTTTTTTTTCTAATTAAGGCGGTTCCGCAATGGGGAGTTCTGGTTAGAAGCGAGATAGGATTTTTAATTCACGAGGGAGATGGACAACTTAATAGGCAACCAGGATCACGATTAAAAACACCAAGTTTACCTATCTGGGTGACCCTTTGTCTTGGACATCATGGCGTTATATTTAACACTAATCGTGAACTTCTCAGGAACTATCACGCTGAACGACGGTAAGTTTGCTGTAAAAATTTTCTAGCACTTTTTTTTTCCTTCTATGTATTTACCTCTCTTATTCTCTATTAGAGGTAATCATAGAAACCTATTTTCTTCAGAATTGCCAACAATTTTCCATTCATTCTCATCCCCCAAATAATACTAATAGTAAAAAATAACTAAAATTGAGTACACAGTTTTCCCTTTTCGTATCTAATAAAAAATTTTTAATTGGCTAAAATTTTAAATAATTTAATTGAAATTGAAAGCAATATAATTTTTTTTTTTCTTATGCAAGATTGTACTTTCTTTAAAATTGAGAAATACATATATGGAATACTTAAGTATATATATTTTATTCGACTTTCATTGAAAAAAAAAAAAAATTGGGTGTCGTCAATTGTTAAATTACATGAACGAAGAGTTAAATTTCCTTAAAGCGCAATGCCATTTCCGGTAATTTATTATATAATCGTAGATTCGATGTTCAATACTACACTTGCGGTGGGAGTCACGCCACATTAACCATAGACACCAAAGCGAGAGAAAACGCTTCAGGTTTAGAAGGAAGGGAAACGAAAGAATCCCTCGATATGGCAGCAACACCTTTAGAAAAACTCATTCATTCCAAGTAAGAATTTTTGCCCATCAATCTCAATGTTTTCATTAAATTTCGATAATTTTTAAATAATTTCATTTATTTTTTTGCCTATTAAAATTTTATTGTTTCATTTATTTTTTTATTGATGTTTCTTTTTTATTATTCTATTTCAATTTTTTATTTATGATTTTATTAGCTTGAACATTTTTTTTTTGGTGATTGATGAAGTTTTTTTTTATACTAATTTTTGGTTCTTTTGAATTTTTGCCGGACCGGAATATTTTTTTAAGCTATACTTTTTGAAATTTTGTGTATGTGAAATTTTTCTTATTTGAAGTTATTCCAAAAATAATTTTTTCTTTCTTTCGATTTCTGTTGCAATTGGATTTTTTTCTTCGAAGTTTATTTTGTTATCAATTATGGTTTTGTTTGGTAAATGCAATTTTCGCTTCATGGAAAAACACATGAGAATTTCATCATGTAGTTTTTTTTTTTTTTTTTTGTTATTGTATCATTAGTGGACCATCGATTTTATGATCATCATTATCTCTTCAATTTTTTAATTAGTTCCAGTAGATAGTACAAATAGTAATTTAGAAAATACTAAATGAAATATCTTTTTTTTTATTATTATCTCGAAGATGGCAGGACGCGGAGGTCCACTGGAATGGAACTCCCATGCTGTGAGGAAATTCAGCTTTATTAAAAATCATTCATGGATAAAGTTCTAAAAATTCCTGAATTTTTATTAAAATTCAAATTACTAGACGCTGATATATTTCTATATTCATAGAATTCTATTAGAATTGCATTGATTTCAATTTATTGAATCGAATATTCAAAATTGCTATTTTTAGACAAATGAAAATATTTGAATTCATTACTTTTTTTTTTAATTTCGATCTTTCCCTTGGAATAACGAAATTAATGAAAGAAAAATCTGATATTTGTTAATGGGAAATTTTGTAATTTATTTTTTTTGAAAATTTTTATTTAATAATTAATTTATTGTTACGATGAGTTCATTGGTCTAAAAACACCTATCGTGCAGAGCGTATAAGACGTTTCATCGATTCCAAATCAAACAATGCTTATACAAAGGCTTGTAAAGTTAATATCACGCTATGCATTTTTGTTTTCATGAAAATAAGATAACTTTATGTCAATTTTAATGACTTGTTTAGTTGTGCCACATATAAAACATATATATTAAAAAAAAAAAAAAACGGTAGAAAAAAGAAATTGTGCTAATTTAATTTTTTCGAATGAAAAATAAAAAGTATTTTTTAGGAAATAAAATATAGATTCAAATAATTTCCTTCTATCACTCCTTTAATAATAATTAAAATTTTTGTATTTTTTAATTTCTTAATTTTGGGGGATAGAAAAAAAAGTAATTATTTAGATAGGATGACGCTACTATTTTTGTATATATAATATAAGATATTCGTGAGAACTAGACTTTGACAAATTACATTTATTTCATTGCGATTAAATACAGCTAAAGACTATTCAGCGAATGATCCATGGATACGTCGCGGATCATTAGTCTGTGAAATTATCTCAAAATAATACTGTTCTTCTTTATATATAGTCGTGAGAAGATGAGAACAGAGAAAAAAAAACGCAAATAAATTTTTCACTAAAAACTAAATTTTTTATATTTTTTTTCTTTATTTTCAATATTTCGAATTTTTCAATTTATAATTTGCAATTCTATTTTTTATTGATTAATTTTTATTTTTCTTCGTTTATCGAATTTTCTTATTTATTTATATTTAAACGTAAATCGAATGAAGATTTAATTGCATATAATAATAATAATAATGATTTTTCTAACCGGAACGAGCGACCTTGATGAGAGTCCTCAAAACTCATTGTTGATGACGCATTATATAAATTGTTCCCATTTTTTTGTATAGATAAAAAAAGAAAAAAAATAATACTGAGATACCATTCACTTCGTGTGTCTACAATTTCACCCTAAATCTACCTGGTGGCAAAAGGGACTCGGCTTGCATATATAATTATTATGTCTATTGGTTTCCCTCGTCATCGTCGTCCCCTCGAAACACCTGTGCTGTTCTTGATGGTGTTTGCCCCCTCTTTTCCATTCTTTCCGCCAACTTCCTGAGTACTTTACTCCACTCTGTTTTATAGTAACAAACTCAAACGCACGTCTGTTTCGTTGCCAGACGGTCTTACGATAGTCGAAAAGTTTTTCAAAAAAATAATATCAATCACCAAAAAAGTGTTTAAAAAATTTTTTTTTTCAAGTACGAAAAATATTTACCAATTATAACTAAAAAGATACAAAAAAAGAATTATTTTCTTTAAAAAAATTTGTTTTTACATTAATTAATTTTTTAATTAACTAATTCTTCCATTATTTATTAAAATATTTGATTTATTTATTTAATTAACTTTTTTTTTTTTTTTACAAAAAATAAATTAAATTTTGAAGAATTTCTATTATTAAAGAAATTTGCAGAAGAAGAACAAAAAAAAAAAGTGTTGAGTGTAAAGTGTAATTGTTTTTTATATAAAGGATATTTTGCAGTTTTGTTCGAATGAAGAAATACAAAAAAAATTCAACGCCCTTTTGAAACGAAGATTTTTCAGTAAATGGAAACTGAATTAATTTCCTAAACGAAGTGAAGAAAATTTAAGTTCAACTCGAGGATTTTTTTTCTATCGTTTCTTCTTTTGACAACAAGAGTTTGAATGGATGATTCGTGAACGAATTTTCGTGGTAAGTAAACAAATTTTTCTAATTTCTAATTAAATTAAAATTAAAATTGTAAATTTTCATTTTTAGATTTTTTTTTTCAACAAAAAAAAAAGATTTCCGGTTAATTTTTCTTTTTACTAGCTTAAAGAATGAGTAATTTTTTGTTTTAGAAAAAAAAAAGAAGAAGGCAACTAATTATAATGAATAGATAAGATGCGTCTTAAAAAGTATTAAAACAAAAGGCTTTATTTAAGACAAAGAAAAGTGAAAGAACTTTTGCAGGGCAGGAATAATATTCTTTAACGGACATTTGCTTTAGTATTGTATATATATATTTTGCAGCAGTGATTCACTTCTTCCTGCCTAATAAACGCACATTTCACCCCACAAGTGTTTTACGGCGCTTGACCATGATTGTACACGGTCTGTGAATTTGAGGACTATCATGGCCTACATAACTATACGTCATTTGAATTATCTAAATCAAATTTATTCGAGAATATTTTATTCTCAATGAGACTTAAAATGCACAAATTCAAAAATTGTTGCCCTCTTTTTTTTATTTTAAAGAAAAAATAAAATCTTTACGAAGAAATCGAATGAAATATTATTGATTTAAAATTTGTTTTTTATGCTGAGAAGTCCTCGAAAAGGAAAAATTTTCTGTTTTTAAATTTTTTTCGAAACAAATGGAGCGGGTTATTTAAATTTTGCCATCAAACAAATTTTTTATTACATTTAAAATTTATTTATTCAATTTGAAAAATAATAAAAGAATAGATTTTCTTTTCTGTAAAATTATCAAGTTGCGCGGTTATTACGAGAATAAATTGTTTGATTATATGGTTTATAAAATGAAGATGGCTATTTATTATGAAATCATAATTCCTCAATGATTTTTTTTCAAACTGACCTTATATGCTTTTTACATTTATATATAATACGCGAAGGTGATTATATACTATGTAATAAAGTAGTTTCTCTGCATGCTTTCTAGTCACACGTTGATCGAATTGTGGCTGTTAAGCAAGACACGTTCCTCTTTTATTATATTAGTTTATATATGAAAATCACTTCTGGTCATTCTATTCATTTTTTTTTTGTTTTTTTACTTCCTGCTACGTTTTTCAAATTTTTCAAATAAAAAGCCTTTCAAAAAAAAAATCTCTTTCATTTCAATGAATTTTATTAATAAGTAAATAGAATTTTTTACTTTTATTGTTTATTTTATTGGAATTTAATTTTTATTAAATTTTTTATATAATTTACTAATTTTCTTTTTTATAGTTCATTTTTTCCTACACAATTTTTAATCACTTTTTTAATTTTCTATTTATAAATAGATCAATATAATTTTTAACTATCAATATTCGTAGGAAAAAAAAGACTAAAACATTATGAAATCTTTAACAAGGTAAAAGGAAAAAAATTTTATTAGTTCGTTCGTTTTTTTCACCCAATAATCAATTTTATTGTTGACAAATTAAAACAATTATAAATAAGAAAGGATTTCTTTTTTTTCCAAAGTTCCAATGAAGTTTATGTGCATTTCTTTTTGAAGAAACTGATTTGCGACATCGTTCCGCCAAGACAGTCACGTTACACGCTAGGATGATCACGAGAAAGATCATTGTATCAATCTTCCTTTATTCGAAATCTAAGTTGAAAATTTATTTCTCGAAAAAAAAAAATTATTTCTTTCGAATATCTGATGGCACTCTGCTCTAAATATCATTCTCTTGTTAATTATAGTATTTAAAATAAAAAAAAAAAAAAAATTAATTTAATATTTGTAATTAATTTTTTGATTATTTATTTTTTTAGATGTGTAAAAAAACACTCGACGCTTTGGATGGAGATTTTAGAACGATATGGAAGTTATTTTCTTGAGAGTCTTTCTCATTTTCTTTATTTTGCATCAAAACTCAGGACAACGTAAGTCGAGCATTTTTTTTGAAATTTGTTTTATTAATTTTTTTTACATTGTTTTTTTAGATGATTTGATACAATTATTATTTAAAACAATAAATATCTTCAAAAAAAAAGAACTTAAAGCAGTAAATATTTAATTATAAAATATTAGACTGTAAAAAGAGGACTGATATCTTCTCGAAGAGAAGTGCGAATACGTTTCCTGTTCTGTGTTTGGAATTGAGACTGTAAAAACAATTAAGAATATCAAAAAAAGGATTCATATAATATGGATGTAATAAGTAGTAAATACAAAAACATTTTAAATGTTTTAAGTAACTGTATAATATATTAAATGAAAATAATATTCTTGAAGTCAATTAGTTATGGTGAAGAATATTGGTGCCGTGTTATATATTCGATGAATTATATGATCTACAAGGATAACAAAATTCTTGGTTCAACGATGTGAAAAAAAAAAACTGAAAATGGAAATGAAATAGCGGTTCTTTCAAAAATAGAATTTTCATTAATTTGATATTACAATGTTTTTTAAAATATTTAAATCGCAGAGTTTTATAATAACAAAATTACATCTCAAAAATTTGTTTCTCGAGAAATATTAAAAAAAATTTCAAATTTTCTTTTTATTTTTAAATATGATTTATTTTTTCCTAATTGCCATATATTAAAACGTGAAAAATATTTTATATGGTCAAAATGTAAAAAAAAAAAAATTAAACGTCTTGGGAAAAATTTCTCACTTCTTTTTGCCACAAAGAATGTATTCTATTTTGTTGCAAAAAAAAAATTGAAATTCGCAGAATAGTCTTTAAAAAGGAAATAAGTCGCGTCTTTGATAAAAAAGTAAAAGCAGTTTCTTCTTTTTAACATTATTTCAAATCTACTGCAATTTAAATAACAATAGATTTTTTTTTTTATATCGACGTGTGTGAATCACATTTATGAATTTAATAGAACGTTAATTAAATGACAAAGTTTTGTATAATATTGAGTATAATTAGTTAAAGTTGAACACAAAGAAGACATTATAATTTTTGTATGTGAATTAATTAAAAAGTAACTCTTTGGAAAAGTGAATGAAGTGAAATTTTTGTCACGTGTTGCTTTTTTATATATATATATATAATAAATAAACTTCATTTTTCCGGGAAAGTCTATAGAAATATATACATATATATAGAGTTTGTAGAGCGACTGTATCGGACAACACCGATGGCATGGGCTTGCCTTGGCCGGAACTTCGCTCCAAGGAAGCGCACATATCTACCCTCATATTCACAATTCTGTGTATGTGGTTTTAAACAAGATATATGCACACACTTGTACTTGTTTGATTCCAAAACATGTTGTTGATTCTTTAAAAGGAAAAAAAAATTCCTACTTTATTCTATTCGAATAGGAAAATACAGTGAAACCTCTCAAATCGGACAACCTGTCAAACTGAACTTTACTTTCATTGTTTAGCTCTCAAAAAAACAGAAAAAAAATTCTAAAACATTATTTACTAAGATTAGTTATTTTTATTTTAATTTAAAAAAATTTCAAAGATTCAAATACAATTTTATCATATTAAAAGAGATTTGACTGTATTTTATTTATTTTTTTTATTATTGTTTATTTGATTTTCATTTTTGCGATCAAATATTTGTATATAAATTTTTGAAATAAATTTTGGGTACAATTTTCGATCACAAGAATATTATATCCGCCAGGTGCAATTTGTGGTTTTTGGTTTCCCGCCGAAAAACCAGTTTCTTTTTCTTTCATCGAAAAAGAAGCCACAAAGGTGCAAACGAGTTTCCAATGATGATTATGAACAACCGTTTTTCTTTATATAACACACATTATTCTCAATTTGATAAAAGAAATTTTTAGCCTCTTTCGTAAAAATTTCAAATTCTTTATAAATATTAATTTTTAATGAAGATATTTATTGTTATTTTTATTAAATTATTAATTATTCAAAAATTTTATTTTATTCATTTTATTATTTATTAGTAAAATTTTTTTTGGAATTAATAAAAAAGTTTTTTTTTTCAAACAAAAAACAGTGATTAGAGATACACGATGTTTTTTGGAAAACGGAGCCACGGCGGCTCATCTTTTTGTGAGCGAGGATCAAAAGGTTGGAGACATCATAGGAGTACTGAGAGTTCTTGGCGATCCGGGACCACAAGGAGATATCGAGCTGAGACTTCAGGAACACGATAGTCCCGTTTCATTTTCACCCCATTCGAGAAATTTGACACTCACAAGACCATTGGATAAAGAAGGTGTTGAGGGTCCTGCCAGTGTTTATATAAATGCAATCTGCGAAAGAAAACACACAATAGATCCTGTAATTATTAGAAAAAATCAAATTTCATTAATAATAGAAAATAATAATTTAATATTATTATGATTTTGAATTTTAAAATGAAATTTTTTTATTCAGGGATTCGTTATTCCAGTTAATATTCGTGTAACAGACGCTAATGATAATGCACCACAATTTATAAACGCTCCATATGTTTTAAATATTTCTGAGGTAAATTTGAATTTGTAAATAATTTTTTTTTTTTGTAGTATTTTTATTTTTTTATTTTTATTATACTTTATTATTTTTATTATCAGGTAACGGTGGTTGGTACGCGAGTATTGCAGGGTGTTAGAGCGTTGGATGCTGATCAACCTGGTCCATATTCAACTGTGCAATATGCAGTTTTACCAGGACCTCATTCGGTAACGAGATTTAATTTCATATTATTGTTCCCTAAAATTTGAAATTGATTTTAACGAATATAGAAATTTGAAATTTTTCAATTTCTTTATATCTGAATGCAGCCTATTTTTGTGGACAGTGAAAGAGTAATGGAAGAGGTGATAAAAAAAAGAAAATTCATTGAAAAAATATAATTTAAAATTATCAATTTTACTTTCGCAACGATAAATATATTTTTATATTCTGCACTCTCACTAATTTTCGCTGTTACAGATTGTAAATATTACATTATAAATGTAAATATATATGAAATGTATATACAAATATTAATATTTGCTTTTTTTATAAATTAACAAAATATTATTTTTATTAATAAATTTTTTTTTTGCAGGATTATTTTATTTTTGTGAATGCACTCGAGGGAACGTTGGTTCTTAGGAAGCCTTTGGATTACGAAACTCTCAGTAATTTCTCTGTAGGAATTCGGGCACAAGTAAGTTAATTTATAATTTATTTTATTTTTATTTTCAGATAATTATTAATTATATTTATTTATGCTTATTAAATCGACAGTCTAAACAAAATTTAGTAATTATTATTATCAATTGTTTTTTTTGTTTGTAAATAAAAAGAAAAAAAATAAAAATGGTTTTTTTTTCCTGACACGCAGGATCAAGGACTTCCGCCTCAATCTTCAACGACAACACTTTATGTAAATGTTGTTGATGCGGATGATCAGAACCCAGCGTTCTTGAACAATGAATACAAAGTCAGTGTACCACAACAAATTCAGACTGTGAGTTTTGAAAAATAGTTTAATAGATTTAGTATAATTTATATATGATTCAGTTTCTTTGCAACAAAACTAATTTTTTAAAACATCTGTCGTTTTTTTTTGTAGAGAAAAATATTGAGGGTAGATCCAGCACCAATAAAAGCTGTCGATCAAGATGTGGGAATTAGTGCACCTGTTCGTTATTCCGTTCAAGGTGGTATTTTACCATTTTTGAATTTAAATCCCGAAACTGCGGATCTTATTGTGATGAGACCTTTGCAAGATCATGAACTTGTAGCTCCTACCACTATTGTTATTAAGGTATCTAAAAAATATTTCTTCTATTGAAAGATTTATTGTTTGATAAATGATTTATTTTTTACTCATTTTTATGAATATATTTATATTTTATTATTTAAATATTTTAAAATTCTTATTTTACATAATTTTTTACAGGCAACGCAACTTGATAATCCGGATAGATATGCTCTGGCAACTGTAATTGTTTCCCGAGAAGGAGGATATGGTGCAGTTCCTACTGCAGGTATGGAAATTTATATTTTACTTTTTATTTAATTTTTTCAATTGATATGCAGTAATAATAATAATAAAATAATTTTTTTTTTTAATTTATAGAAGGACGTTTACCTGTAAGATTTGTTTTAAAGGACTATCAGTCAAGTATTCCAGAAAACACACCGCCAGGAAGTATAATTCTCACTGCTGGAGTGAATAAAATTGATAATGTAAGTTTATTTTTAATTAAAATAATTTTCACCAATTTAACATTATTATTAAAATATATAGATAATTTCTTTATATTTATGTATAATATAAAAGATTAATTTTTTATGTAGAATTTAAGATTTTGGTTGATTGGAGCAATTGAAGATCTAGAAAGATTCTCGATAACAAATTCTGGTGAATTAATATTGAAAGGTGCATTGGATTATGAAAAAAGAGTTCATCACACTTTTTTGGTTCATGTAACTGATGGACACCATGTAAGTTAAAAAAAAAGTATTATCTTAAATAACTAATTTTTTATTCCGAGGAAATTAAATACTTTTTTTTTGCAGAATGATACGGCGAGAGTAAATATATCAGTAGAAGATGTAAATGAATGGGAGCCAAGATTTCGCCATCCGAGATATGAATTTCATGCTCGCACTATGAGAGAAGGTTCAATAGTTGGTAAATAATTTTTATTCAATAAAAATGATATGCGAAAAATTGAAATTTTTCTGAATTTAATTTTTTTTTTTTCTATTTTTTATCAGGGAGGTTGGAAGCTGCCGATGGAGATAGAGGCGATCGTGTTTCATTGTCATTAAGAGGTCCAGACGCGAGGTAAAATTTCTTTTTTTGTTGAAAAATTATAATTATAAAACAATTTTCTGGATTTAGAAAAAATATTTTGCTATTAATAAAAAATGTTTATTTAATAATTACAGATCATTTGAGATTCGAGATAATGGAGAATTAATTTTAAGAAATGCTGGATCTTTTAATGGAAGTATCGCTCGTCTTGTGGCTACTGCTTCTGATACTGGAAAACCTCCGAGGTAGTACTTTTTAATAGAATTTTGAATTTTAAATATTATTCTAAATTTTCAATATTTTGTATCTTTAATTTTTTGAATTTTACAGATCAAGCATGATTCCTGTGATCGTTCATCTTCCGAATAATGGAATAGTACCAATTGCAGCAAGAGCATCTCCTGCATGGCTTACAAGTAGTGTACTTTTGGTAGCAGTCTTCGGAGGAGTTTTAGGACTACTCGGTGTAGTCATATTAATTTTAATTATGTATATTTATAAAAAGTAAGTATTTTTTCTAAATTTAATAAAAATTTCTTTTTCTTAATTTAATAATTTAATGAAATAAAAAAAAATTTCTATTATTGTAGTAAAAAAAATATATAGTTTTATTCTTTTATTTTTATAGTAAGAGAATAAAAGGAGGAGATTCTGTGAGTTCAATGGGAACGGGATACAGAGAAAAATCTCCAGTACCTTCTGCCTTGAGTCCCACGCCACAAATTTTGGGGGCCAGTATTCTTCATGATACGTTAGATAATCCTAGAGATAATCTTCGTGAAAGCAACGATATAGACAATCCTGTATTTGGTGATGACAATGATACACCCTTTAATGCAACTCTTAAAAGTTAGTAAAAAAAATTCTAAATAAAAAAATATAATTATAATTATAAAATTACAATTAAAAATTCAATTAAAAAATATTAAATTTAATTTTTAAATTACGCAGATATTACAAGGATTATAGGTAAATCATTGTTTCTCATCAATTCTACAATTAGTTAATATATTTTATTTATTTAGCAATTGTTTCCTTTCTTTAAAGTGTGTTTGTGAAATTTTTCTGTTTTTATTTTCTTTCAATTTTTTTTAAAGATTTTATTGATTGATCATTTTTTTCCACTAATTTATTAGATATTAAAAATGTTTTTTTTTTTACACAGGTGTGATGTCAGCACGACAAATGCCACTTTATTCGCGACACAAAGTGGCACCGGCACCAAGTCCACCGGTTTTATCAGCTACTTCGAATATTCCAAATGTGGGCGGTTTAGTTCAAAATATGAACGATTTGAGTGCAAGAACACATGCAAATTTAGATGCGGGCTCACAAAATTCATCTAATTATTCAGCCGATCCACCTGATTCATTGGCTCCAACTTGGCCCGCCGGATCTATTTCTCAGCGTGTGAAAAAATTATCCTGGGATGACGACGATCGGGTACTTTCACTTTTTATAAAATTATTTTAAATTTCTAATCTACTTTGATATAATTTCAAAAATACACTTCTGATTATATTAAATTATTTATATCCTATTTTAAATTATTTATTTAATAATTTTTAAATTTCGAAAGTGTATTAAATAGAATAATAATAATAATATGTAAATAATAATGGATTTTATACAATACTGACAATTAATCATAATAATTTTCAATAGACGGTGGACAGTGTGGATATAGATGCGGAAACTCGAGCCGGAAGCAGTCAAATCGGAAATGAACAGCTCAATCTCACAGTGTATTTTTAAAAAAAAAAAAAAAAGATAAAACCTTGGTTTTTATAATTTATAGAGAAACAATAAGGGACAATGCCTATTACCAAACACGGAATTATTGTCTCTATTTTTTATTCAGTTAAATAATTTACATTCAGTTACCGTATGAAAATCTTCGTAATTGAAACGCGAAAATATGAAAAAAATTCTGTATTATATATTTTTAAAGAAAAAAAAATATCATTTTTTATTCGTAAGTTTTATATATATATTAAATTTTAAATCGTTTTTAAAACTTAGGTTAACATTTTTATACATGGAATTTGTTACATGTTTTATTGATTAATTCATTGATTGATAATAAACAATTTTTTTAAAGTGAAAATTTTCATATGTATTTGTAGGTGTAAATTTTTTTTTTCTATTTAAATTTTACAAGTTTTCTACGAATGTTAGCATCAGTTTTGAAAGATAATATTGTGAATAACCGATAAGGAGTTTATTTCCGAGCTTAAAAGATCATTAACTTGTTAAAAAGGAGAACTGTTTCTTTTTTTTTTTTTTTTTATTTTTTTTTTCTGATGATGAAGCATGCCTTGAAAATCGGGTCAGTGGGTTAATAGTTGGCAGGCGTTTTGTTCAAATGCATAATTTTGCACAAATCGATTTCCGGAAACATTGATTACTTTTCCAAAGGGCTTGATTTTAAGCAGGAAGAAAAATAAAATGCAGAGTATTATAATGAAATCAATTTTTGTTCGCTCGCGCTATTATTGAAAGACAATGTTCGTTAAAGAAAGTAACTGATTCTATATAGTGGGAGAAAGTGAGCCACAGAGGTCCGGATCAACATCTTTAACTAGTCTTCCAGATACCTTCAAACCTAGTCGATCAAGTTCATTTTTGAAAGGAATTTCATTCATTCATGAAAAGAATCACACGTGTTTGAATTTGTCTTGTTCATTCAATTTTTACATGGCCTTGAAATTTTGGAAATTGTTACAAAAAAAAAGTTAATTATTGTATTTAGTTCGTCTATTTTAATTATTGATTTTAAAAATTGTTTTAGTTGGGTAAGTTATGTATTTGTTTATTATTTATTTATTTATTAAATTCTTTTGTAATTTTAATATAAATTTATTAATTTATTTATTAATAATTTTTTTTGTTTAATTTTAAAATAATAATTTAAAAAAAAAGGAATAGTCGTCCTAATTGTACCAGCATGTTATTGAATATTAAACGGGAACTACCGCAAATATACATTTAACATACTCTTGCGACATGCGGAATTCCCAAGAGAAAGTTTTAAAACCAAAAAAATATCTCGTCTTCAAATATATTCAATTTTCAAAGAAACTAAAATCATGCTTTTGTAAACATGAGGCAATAAATAAAAAAAAATGCTTTAAATATAAATAAATATCTAATTTTTTTGTAAATAAAAAATAAAATTTTATTTTACCTTGAATAATTAATATAGTAATAAATTAAATGTTTCTTGGATAATTTTAAAGAATGTTTTCAGATTGGCAATGCAAAAATGGAATTTGTTAAATTTGCGATGACAATATGGACATTTATTTTAATAAACACCAATGGTAATTTATTAAAATTATAAATAAAATTAGAATTTTTTCTAATCATTTTTCTTTTTTAGTTATAGCTTTAAATACATCATCAATAATCACAAGTCGAAATAGTGATTCCATATTTTTTGAAACTAATCGTTCAGGACCTTGGAGTGAAATATTAGAAAATTGGATCGTATCTGAAAAGGGGAATTTAAATTCAAGAAATTCTAGAGTAATGAAATTTGGCGATAAAACATTAACGATTTCTCCAAAACCCAATAGTCCAAATAAACGTGATGTCTCTGAAACGGATCTTTATCTACTAGGTAATTTCGATTATTTTTCAAATCTTCAATAAAAATTTCTTCGAAAAAAAAATTAATTAAATTAAATTTGTCAACTATTAATGATGTGTAAATAAAATTTCAGGAGCTATTGAAAAATTAGTGTACAGAGTGGATTATTTGGAAAAACGTTTAAGAAGAGCGGAAGAACTTTTATATTATGTTATATCGGGAAATAATAATAATCCAAAGAAAGAGAAGGGTTTGTATATAAAAATTTAGATTCGAAATTTTTTTTTTTATCTATAACCGATGATTTAATATTTTAGAGCCGTGTCCACAAAATTATACAAGAGTTGTAAGCAATTGTTACTACTTTAGTACACGTGAATTTGATTGGAAATCTTCGGCGAGTTTATGTCGAGGAATGGGCGGAAATTTAGTTGAATTTCGAAATGTCGAAGAAAATCAAGATATTGTTGCATTTCTTCAAACTGACAAGAAATTTAGGGGTAAAAATTTTTGGACCGGTGGATTAAATCCCGGACTTTTGTGGATTTGGGCGGCAAGTGCAAGACCCGTTTATCAGGACACAAAACAAACTGTCACGGGAGATGGAAGGTAAATTAATTAATAAAAAATAATAATTTTTAATTAAACAAAAATAATTAATAATTATTAGGATTTAAAATGTAGGAAATTTTTTAATTTAAATCGAAAATTTGTAAAATTCAACAATAATTGTATTTTTTTTTTTATTATAATAGATGTTTGAAATTAGATTTCAATCCAGCATCCCGAATTTATTCCTACAAAGGTGAAGACTGCGGTTCAAGGCAACGGTATATTTGTGAATTGACAAAAGACGATGAATCAGCTAATAAAATCGCACGCACCGCACGTTCATTATTACATGGAAATTAGAAACAGTTTCATAATAATTTCCTTTGTAACTTCTAACATTTTTGATTAATAATTTGTAAAAAAAAAACAAATTTCACAATTATTCTCGTTCTAAATTATTATTCGAATTTATTTATTTATTTATTATTCGATTACGTTTTTAAATTTGTTTCATAAATAAATTTTTTGTGTATTTTAATATTAAAAATTGCCTAGAAGCAGTTGCACATATTATGTGTGTAAATATGTAATTTATTTTAAAGCGCTTGTATCACTAACCAAAAGAATTGAAATATGTAAATTGTATTATAGAAAAATTAAGTCACTTACTGCAAATTTGTATATATATAATGTATAATATAATATGAATAAAATTTTCGTTTTTTTTATAAATTTCGTTTCTAATTATTTGTATTTCTCAATAGATAAAAAAGAATTTACCATTCATAAAGTAAATATATTTTTTTTTTATTGGAAATTAAAACTAAAAAATAAAATTTTAGAAAACAATTTTTTTCCAGTTATAGAATAAATAAAATAATAAATTAATTTATTTCGCAAAGACTTATTTTAGATTTAATTGCTTTTAACGAACTTTTTTCAATTGAATAAGTACTAAAGCCTATTTTAAAATAAGCAAAGAGGAAAATATTCCTTAAGTACTTTTTTTTGTTTTTTTAATTCTTACTCATTGCAGACCATTTTTTTGCCAACGCAACAGCGCCTTGATGAGCCATTATTAAGCTTCGTTTTTTATCTTTAACAAGGGAAAGTACCTGATTGCTTTCTGAGATCAATCCTCCTTTTTCTGATATTTCCTTACGTGACATAACAATATCATTACGACTAACTCCACGACAACAGTCTTCGATTATGGCTAATCGGTATCCTAATTTTAGACCATCTAAGCAAGTTGCTCGTACACAAACATCATAAGCTAAACCACAAACATAAACGTCGGTGACATCATGTTTTCGAAGAATATCCAATAATTCTGTAGAATTTATTGAATTGTTATCATAAAATGCCGAATAAGTTTCCATATCAGGATTTAAACCTTTTCGCACCTATAAAATTAAATTACACATATTAGTGATGATTAAATAATTAAATTAATTAAATAATTAAAAAAAATTTTTTTTAATTGTTTTAAATTATAAAACATTTAATACAGAAATAAATTCATAAGAATTAATTATATTGTACATAAATCATTTCATAAAATCATCATGATTAACTTTTTATATAGTGAAGCTATTTATATAATCAAACGCTTTTCGGTTCTATAGAATAATAAACATGTTATATGATTACAGACATAAGACTAGAATGAAATTCATTTAAACTAGTATTATCATTAAATTTTATTGCCTCGTCATCAAACAAAAAAAAAATTAACGACAACTTATAAAATATTCAATATATTGTCACGTGTAATAAAAATAATTTGTAAAATTTATAAAGTTCTGCGAAAATGATTAATTTTTTTGTTTATAAAACTGATGAATTAAAAAGTTTTTTAATAATTAAATAATGAATCATCATTTTTATTGAAATAAAATGTACCTGCTGAGAATTTGGAGCGATAAATAAACGTTCATGTAATTGAGATCCCCAAGAATTCATAATACAATGTACTGGCCATAATCTTTGTTCAAGTTTTGGTTCCAGAAATAATACGGTATCAAAAAGTCTTGCCTTTTCTTTAGTCACCTAGAAATTTTTATTAATTTGCAAACTAAGAAAGGAAAATTACATTCTTTTCTATTTTTTATTTATAATATAATATTGAAAAATATTTTGAAATATTTTACAACCTTCGAATTTGGATGAAGTTGTCGTAGATGTAAATTTTCAAAAAAACCAATATGATTTTCCGGATGCCAATCTTGAGTGTAAACAATTGTTTTCCAAACACCTTCTTTTATAAGTCGATTAATTGGTTCAATTACTTCTTCGCCATCTTCGCCCTCGCCACATTTTGAGAGAGCTAAACTACCATTTATAAAATCATTTTGTACATCTACAATCACTAAAACATTTACCGGATTCATTATCACTTGCAGCCATTCATTGTAACATCTGTAAATTAAATTTGGTTCAAATTGCATTATGTATTTTTTATTAAAAAATAATTTTTTATTTAGAACAAAATTAAATTTAAAAAATACTTTTATTTTTTTTGTGTAAAATTTTCATTAAATTAATTTAAAACACATTTTTTTTTTAAATACGATATCATTATTATAATAAATGACAAATCCAATATTTATGATTATTTTATCAGCAGTTGTTATAAAAAAAAAATGATATAAGAAAAAGGTTAAAAGATAAGAATACAAAAAATGTCACAAACAATTAAATTGCAGTTAAAAATTGCATATAAATTTTTAAAATTTACCTTTCCCATTCTTCGTTCTTCAATAATCCATCACGATTAATGTCAAAAATTTCAAAAATACTTTTAACTTTACTCTCATTTTCTTCTACTTCATCAGCGCCAAATAATTCTTTACAAAGATTTTGAAATTCATTAAAATCCAAACCACCGTCTTTATTTTTATCAAACTCGTCGAATATTTCCGCCGATGATTTTTTAAATTTATTTTCAAATGACATATTTAAATTTTTTTTTTTTATCAAAATTTAAACGCTCCTTTTTATCTTATGGAAATTCGTTATATACTTGAATTCAAATATTTAAAAATCGTTGATTAATTTTTTTTTTATTGAAAATTCTAAATTTTGAAAATATCCTCAATTTTATGAATTCTTCATCGATTCTTGTTCTTTTTTTTTTTGTAAATTATTTTCAAACTTTCCAAATAAATAATTATATAATAGAAAAAATTATTTTTCCATAGAATTGTTTATAATTTTTTTTTTCTCTTTGTTTTTTGAAAATTTCACACATTTAAATCTTTGTGCGTCAGCTTCGATTGTAAAAATATAAAAAGTCCGTTAAATTATATATTATTATTATTATAAATGAATGATAAATTCTCTTCCAAGGGTCTTAAAAATTTCTTTAATTAACGAATTTGTTGATGTAATTCACACGTTGCATGTGAATCTACTTCTCACTGAAACAATAATTTGGAATAAAATTGCAAAAAATACTATATCGATCAAATATTACTATGTTGCTTCGCAACCAGCTGAATACTACAGTATATCGTTGAATGAAAAGCAGCTTGTAGTGTTAGGGTCCCCCTCTCTTTTTATTATAGACACGCTGTCGATGAAATTACCGCGTAAATCTTTAGAAATCGAAAAAATATTTTCAAAAAAAAATTACGAAATTAAAGTTCAATTTCCTTAAAATTACTTCCTGATAATTTAATTCAAACATAAAAATTATATAATTTAATTTTAAATTAAATTATAGTTAATTATATTTAATTATTTATAATAATTATTAATAAAAAAATATATATAATTGCAAACAATTTGTATTTGAATACTTATGAATATTTTATTCAAATAAATTTTGTTTATTGTAAAAAAAAATTAATTAAGAAGGGAGGACAAAAATTATTTTCTAACGAATGAAAATTAATTAAGAAAAAGAACGCCACAATTTTAATACCGATATTTTCATTCTCCTTTCAACACTTTTCAGCACAATTTTCTTTTTTAACTTCAGTCACGCCTCTTTTAAACAAATGCATTGATTTTGCCTGCACCTAAACAGGTAACTATAGAAAATCCTAAAATTAACTCACATTCTACCTGGATAAAATTCGCAATTGATTTGGCCTTCTTTATGATAGATTCTAATTATCTGACAATCAAAATAGACGTTAACTTAATTTTTAATTCGATGAGAAATACAAAAGATGACCTTTTTGTGTATTCCATAAAAAAATATTATTTTAATTATTAAAATTTTATTTGCATTTTTTTTTCAATTAATTACATATTTAATTATCCTACAGCAACAGACAAAAAAGAATAAACAAAATTTTCCATAGTAATTTATAATTGCCAAGATAAAATTGTTACAATAATTAAAACCAATTTCAGCAGTGTCTCTTTGGTTTTAAGCTTATTTTTAAATTCATTTATAGTGAATGAATTTAAAATTATTAATTTTTAAAAATAATATAATAATATATATTTTTTAAACTTAAAAGAAAATTCCTTCTTTTTCTTATATTAGAATTTTATGTATTATACTATATATTTAAAAAAAATCTGATTCATTAAAAAGCATATAAAATTATTTCAAGAACTTCAACTGTTTAAAATAAACTTTTTTCTATTTTTGTTTTACTCAAGTATTTGCGATTAAAACTATAAAAAAAAATAATAGAGTATTTCATTGAGGCACAGTAGTTAATAGACCAATTTTTTTTTCTTTTAACATTTAAACAAATTAAAAATTTCAAAACAGAAAGTTTTTTTCAAGAATTATTTTCTAACACTGAATAGTGTCATTTTCAATTCATATATAGTTTGGAAAAAAAGTCAATTTCCGTTGTCATTAATGATTTTCAATCTCTTTAAAAGAGAAATAAATGCGATTTTGAGTTTTTAATTTACCCCCATTCACATCATAAATCATTTCTATTTAATACTGATAAAAACAGCACGATGTTTTTTTTAAATATTAATTTGCTTTTTTTTTCCTTTAAAGAAAAAACTGACCATCTTTTTTTGTGCTAAATGTTTTGAGTTTGAAAATTTTAATTAAACTCTATAGATAATAAATAAAATTGTTACCTAGTGTTATTTTCTTTTTTTTTTAAGTAATAATACGTTTGCAATAATTAAAATTTTATCATTTTCTAACATCAGAGTCCCGAATTAATTCTTCTCGTTCTTGATTAATTTCTTTTGCTACCTCATTTAAAAATGGATGTCTTATCTTTCCATTAATTGAAGTGAAAAATTCCTGTAGGTGTCCTGGATTTTTGTCCCTCTTTTCATACTCGAATGCCTGCATAAGAAGGTCTAGCCTGTCTAGATCCTTCACGTATTGTGCTTCAGGAGATTCTTGTTTTTCATATTCCTAAAAAAATTAAAAAAATGAAAAAACACATTTAAATATTGAAAAATAAATAAATTTCATTTTTTCAAATAATAAAAAAAAGCTACAATATTTTTTGAAAAATACATACTCTAAAGATTTCTAGCATTTCTGGTCCCTTATTGCCAAGAAGTTTGCATATTTGCTCCATAGCTTTATCTTCTTGTTCGTGCTTAACTTCGGGAGCAATATTATCATGTGGCGTAATATCACCAACAATACATTCCGCGAGATCATGGACAAGTGTCATTTGCATGATTCTTAAAGAAAAAAAAAAAAAATGTTTTTGTATATGAAATTAATTTTTTATCATATTTTTTATTTTTTTAATCACTTTATCTGATATCCTTTTTTTTAATCAAAGAATTTTTTTTATGTAATAAATTCTTTTGTTTAACAATAAAGAAACAAGTTTTTTTAATAAATTTTAGAATACTTTCTCTTAATTTAAATAACTATGACAATAATATTATTAGAAAAAAAATGCATATATATAAATATAAATATTAAAATAAGATATTAAAATAAAATATTAAAATAAAATATTAAAAATAAATATATACAAAATTAATAAAAAGATAATAAATATAACAATTGATAATAATAAAATTTGCTATTACTTGGTCTTGTCCAAATTTTCTTTGGAATCGATTAAAAATGATAGCATCGCCATTCGGTACATGTGTCCGGCTATTGTTTCAACATCAGTCACATTTTTCAATACCCATCCTGCTCTTTTTTCATGCTAGAAGATAAAAATACTACAGTCAAAATGACAATTCTATTTTTAAAACATTTTTTTTTAATTCTTAAGTAAAAAATGACTAAAAAAAAGCTTCTAAAAAAAACTAAAAGCTTCTTTGAAAGCAAAAGTAATTCTTAATTTTATTTCATAAATTTGTCATATTTAAAATATTTAATTCTGATTAACAGCGACAATACAATTATAATTGACTTCCGCGTATTCTATTGCGTACTATATTTATAATGTCATTGTACAATACAAATATGTAAACAAGGAAGTCAAATCAAAAAGTCATTTCAAGTTTATTTCTTTAAATAACTCAAGTTTCAGAAAATTTAACTCCAATTAAAAATTAAATTTATCCACTATATTATTTAATTAGAGAAATAAAAAATAAAAATTTATTTATATTTTTTCAAGGTTTTTGTATTAATTAATTAATTTAAATACCCGTATATTATGAGTTTTATAACTCTTCATGTTAAATAATTAAAATTTATTTTGAAATCAATGATTAGCCATTGTATTAAATCAATAATGTTTCGAAATGGTTACAAAAATAAGATAATTTAATTAAATTTAATTTTAAATAGAAATTTCGAAATTATTAAGCAACACTAGATGAAAAAAAAATGTAATTTATGTTAGAAATTTCATCATTTTTACATAAAATTAAGCAACACTATATGAAAAACACATGAAATAATAAAAATAACATATTGTATAAAAGAAAAATATTGTTTAAACAAATATTAAGGTTATGTTTTTTTCTTACCTTCAATTTTCCTACTAATTCCATGAATTCTTTTAATTTTTTGATATCCATTTTTTCAGATTTTGTCATTTACTTGGATAAGAGACAAAAAAAAACAAAGAGATTCTATCTCAAGAGCAACGCACAAGCACACACCAACAAATACCAAATAATAATGACTTTTCGAGTGTACAATTGCACAATGCACAAATTATGTCACTGTCATTTTACAATTCCGTATGCAGCCGTATGTACTGAGCTTTAGTTTTTCCAAATGGTGGGAGAAGCTATTTAAATTTTTCAAACTAAAAACAAGAATTTTGACGTTTTTTTTTGCAAAGATTTTTTTCCTTTTCTCCGTTAGCGATTTCTTTTGTTTTTTTTTTTTTTTATTGAATATAAAATTTAAAAAGAAATTCTAATTAAATTTCACAAAATTGTCCATGTTTATTTGAAATCTTAATAATATAAAATTGTTATATATTTACCGTATATTTGGATAATAATTTCTAGCATTTTCACTTTAAAAACAATAATATTAACTAAATAATTTCTTAAGGACTCCTGATCTGTCGTCGTCAATTTTTTTCTTCTTTTTCCTAATTTCCATATCTGTATCTCTTTGAGTGATTTCATTTAATGTAAAGCTTGTTGATTCATCTCCCTTTATTTTCTTCTTTTTCAATTTTTCACTTCTATCGACATTATAAGAGAAGAAATTTGATTCACGTTTTGCCTGAGCAATTTCAGCGAGTTTTTTCTGTTTACGAACTGCTCTTTCGTAGGCCAATCTTTCACTTAAATGAATCCACTTGAACCTTTAATATTAAATTAATTATTATATAATTGAATATTTTAGACTTTTAAACATTTTAACAGTTATAAAATTTAACGAAATTAAAAAATCTAATATTCACCCTGATAAATATTTTATATTCCACATTATATCGCAGAATTTACTCTTTCTTTTTGTTGAAATCATTGTATTGTTTAAAGTTGTTGCAACATGTTTTGCTACTCTTTTACTTTCAAATTCAACCCAGCCTTCTGTAAAATGCATTGTTGGTTTTTTTCTTTTACGCTTTTTCCCTGATTTATCTCCTAGTTCTGAAAAAAAATTGGATTATTGCAATTACAGTAAAAAATTTTGAGGTTATGTTCAATATTGATAATAATCAAAATTTTTTATTTCTTAATTAAATCATTGTACTAGATAATTTTTAATTAAAAAAGTAAATTATAAACAAACCATGATCAGCTAATTGTAAATAAACTCGTCCTATTTCTCCATATTCGGAAAATATTTCACGAACTTTGGTGACATTCATGAATTTTGGAATTGATGACAAGTAAATTAAACCTCGTTTCTTTTTAACTTTATCATCTTCAATTGGTAATACTTCTTCATTTTCCTCTTGATTCTCTTCAATAAACATTATAAATTGTAATAAAACTATGCAAAAAAGAAATTATATATTTAAAACATCAAAAACCACGTGCGAGACACAGTGACGAGAACACGAACGAGAAATTCACATGTCACATCAAATCAAATGATCATTTTCTTTTCTATAAATATTATTTTACATTTATCTTTCGAATTTATTATTTATAAACGAAAATTAAATATTTTATATCACAATTATAAAAAAAAACTATTTTAATTTCAAAAATAATTTACACAAAAGTGACAGTTTACATGTAAATGAAAACACTTAAGCCTAGTGCACAAGGTGCGTAATTATTTTGTCAAAGCCAATCAGAATTGACTATTGGTCACGTGATCAAAACACATTTTTCATAACTTCCGGTTTTTGACAGTTTCAAAACATCGTTAAGTTTTGTTTTTATTTTGATAACATAAGTTTCAATCCAACTAATTTACGTAAATATCAATTAAAAATTTTTTCAGAAAATGCATATGACACTATTTTAAAAATATAAATGACGTGCAACTTTAAATTAACAAGTATTTAAACAGTAAATTGTAAAAAATTTGTCAATGGCTTCTGACATTCGAATTCAAGTTGAAGGTTTTGGATTTTTACCTACAAAGCTTTATAAATTAGGAAATTCACCTAAAATTGTACAAAGGTTAGTCAAATAATTTATAACCTATTGTTATTGTTTTTTTTTCATTATTGTTTTATATTACAAGGCAATAATATTATATACATAACCTTTAAATATTTAAATAAATATACGCGAACCACACGCGAACATAACATTTATTAATTTATACTATAAATTTTCATTAGATATACTTTGACAAATAAAAACAATGCATCAGTTCAATTAATTTCATGGGGAGCAGGAATTCAATCAATTAGAATACCAAATAATAATAATATATTAGGCGATGTTGTTTTAGGTTATGATTCTCTCGAAGGTTCGTTAAAATTTTCTAATTAAGGTCAATTGAATGCAATTATAATAAATGTTTTAATGAACTTGGCTCAATAAATTCTATTTTCTCACAAACTAATAGGCTATTTAGAAAATAGATATATTGGCAGAATAGTAGACAAAATTGTCAATAGAATTTATTCTAATACAAATGATGGATTTGATAATATAAATTGGGAATCTCACGTTTTAGGAAATCAAGTAGTAAGAGCATAATTATTATTTAAAAGTATATGATCAAAAAAATTTATCCTAATTTTTTAAAGGACAAATAAACAATTTGTTTTTTAAAATTACATTTATTTTACTAAAAAAAAAAAATAATAATCCATAAACATTAACAGATAATGTCATTTCTTAGTCAATTAAAAAATGAAGGATATTTCGGTCATATGTTAATTCAAGTTAAATATTCTTGGACTAATGAAAATGAACTTCACATAAATATTCAAGCAACAAGTACAATACCAACTTATGCAAATATTACAAATTATTGTTTTTTTAATCTTGCTGGCCATGTACGTCTTTTTTAGTGTGTATTAAATTTTTATTAATTTCAATATTTAATTAGTATAAAAAATTTGAAAATTTATATTTATTATCTCAGGCTACTGGATTAAAAGAGATAAACAAGCATATTGTTACAATTAATGCTGATAAATGGACATTTATGAATATTGAAAATAATTTACAATTAGAAAAAAGTTTACCTGTTGATTTAACTGTTTATGATTTACGACGTCCTATTGAATTAAACAAAAAAAGATTATACACCATTCCTGGAGGTGGATATAATAATAATTTTTGTATCTCACGTCCTAGTATTAGAAGTTATAGATTTCACGCTAGGTATTTATATTTAATTCCTTTAAATTTTGAAAATTTCACAAAACTATATTTTAATTTTTCTTTTAAAAAAGAATTTTACATCCAAATTCGGGAAGATTTCTAGAAGTTTATTCTAATCAACCTGTTTTACATTTTGACACTGGAAATCATTTTTCAAATGAGAGAAAATTAAATTCACCAATTTTGGAAAATATTTCGGAAAGCAAAAATCAGAAAGGAAAATTAGAAAAGAAACTAAATTATGAAATAAGATGCAAAAACGGTGCATTATACAAAAGGCACTGTGGTTTTGCTTTAACTCCTCAAAATTATCCAGATGCTGTTAATAAAAATTCATTTTCACATTATATTCTTCGACCGGGAAAAGTTTATAATCATAATATGACTTATAAATTTGGCGTACTTCAAAAATGCTAATTTTTATCAAGTTATAAAAAGTAAACATCAATTAAATTAAAGGCAGTAAATAAAGAAGCAATTTATAATTCATGAACTATATTTTCCTTTATGTTAAGTAACATATTAGTTTTTTTTTTATATTACTTACAATTTTTTCAAAATTGTTTCTAATTACATAAAAATTTATTTTGCACATTCTCACTTATTTCTTTTCAAAATAATTGTTTTTTTTTAAATTAAAATTCATTTTTCTAAAGTTTAATTCGTTGATGTCAAGCGACTAAATTCCTAAACGAACTTAACAATTACAATGTCAGTTTTGAAATCACGATAAAAAAAACACGTATTATAAAAAAAAAAGTTGAATAAACAAGGAAGACAAATAGAAAAATTAAAAAAAGAATATTTGAAATATGAATGAATTTTTACAAGAATGAATCTTAAAGATAGAACAAAAAAAAATGAATCACAATGATCATTTGGTCATTTTATTGAATCAAATTCCAATTCAGGAAGCTGCATTTTCCAGTCTAGTTTCATCAGGCTTATTATTAGTTTCTTTTTTACTGTCTTGTTTTTTGTCGCTTTCCTTTCGATTATCTCCACTTTTATTATTTTCATTATTACTTGTATCTTTATTAATTTTTCGTTCATTGTCACCTTTCTTTTCGTTTCTTTCCTTTTTTTTCCTATCGGCGTCAGCATTATCCGCTTCTTTTGACCAGGAACAACTTCTTTGCCTTGGCGATTTTGGAAGTGACCAAGTACTACTTCTTGATCGTCTTTCAGATACTGAACGTGATTTTGCCCTCGTTACCCTAACTTGAGACTCGGATCTTCTACGTTTACGTTTCGACAATGAGCCACGTCGTGATCGCGATTCAGAACGTGAATGAGCACTTCGTTTAGATCTTCGCGATCTTGATTTTGATCTTCCCCTTGATCTCGATTTTGATCTACTTCTTGATCTTGATTTCGATCTGTCTTTGGACTTTGATCTTGTTCTTGTTCTCGATCTTGATCTATTCCTTCTTCTTGAACGACTTCTACTTCTACTTTTACTTCGACTTCTCGATCTACTTCTTTCGCGACTATCGCTTCGTCTTCTCTTTCGTCTACTCGATCTCGATCTCGATCTTGATCTAGATCTAGAACGTGAAATTGATCGTCGGCGACTGCGTGATCTTGATCTTGATCTTGAACGACGATCATATTCATTGTCAAATAATCGATAATCTTGTCCCACAAGATTGGCGAAATATTTGTAATATTGATCGTTATATAAATGTGGATTGAAGCCACGTATTGAGCGATTATTCATGAGTATTCGTTGTGGATTACCGCGACCTCTATTCCGACTAAAACGACCTCTTCCACGTCCCATTGGTGGATACATCATTGGAAGTGCTGGATCGTAATACCAAGGTTGTGGAAAACGTGGATACATTGGTGTCATTGATAATCCTGGATCCATATGTGGACCTGAAAATAAATTTTTTTAATTTCAAATGTTAAAAGAAATATTTTTAATTTTTTTTATAGTCTACCTGCTGAAATTTCATGGGGAACGTTTCTATTTAACATGCTTTTCATTTTTTTCTTCTTCGTCTCATCATCCGAATCTGATGAATCACCAGAACTTTTCTTTTTCTTCTGCAATTAAAACAAAAAATTTTTTGTAAAATTAATTAATTACAAAAGGAAATTAATTAAAACGCACCTTTTTCTTTTTCTCTTTTTTATTTTTCTTCTTCTTCGCCTTTTTGTCCTTCTTCTTCGAATCGTCCGAATCGCTGTCTTTGCCTCCATCCTTGTCCTTTGATTTTACGTCGATCTCCTTTTTTTCAATTTTTATCTAAAATTTAAAAAAAATTTAAGATTCTGTTAAAAAAAAATACACGAGTGTAAAAAATTCTTACTTTTATTCTATCGAATAGTTCGTCAAGTAATCGTATACTTTCGAGTTGCCTTTGTGCCTTGATTAATTTACGTTCTTCCCTAGCAATTTTCATTGAAACTTTATCCTCCTCCTGCTTTCGAAATACAGTTAAAACTTTTCGTTTTCGTTTATCTTCTCTCTTCTTGCGACGAAATTCTTTATCGGCTGTTTCAATTTCGTCTTTCATTCTGTAAAATTAAAAATTCATAAAAAATACAATAGTAAATTTATACTTTTGTTATTTTTTATTTTTATTTGTTATTTGTTATACTTTTGTTCTTCTCGTTTTCGAGATTCTGCCTCTTCCTTTCGACGTTGCTTCTCGGCTGCTAAATTTTCTTGAGCTATTAATCGTTTTCTTTCAAAATCTCTCTGTGATACTGAACTATCGCTCATGTGTTTGGTTTTATCAAAATCAACCTGAAAAAATAAAATTAGAATTAAAATCAAAATATTCTTTTTTCGTGAATAAAAATTTTTTTTTCATTTTTTTCACCTTTAACGCAGCAGTTAGATAATTTTGTCCATCTTTTTTCATTAATTTCATTCCCCTTAAGGCATCCATTGCCTTCATAAAATCCATATATTCGACATATTGAATATAAGCGTCAAAAAATACACCCTCACCAAAATTGAATTTTTGAATATTCGATCCCAATCGCATTTTCGATCGATATGGATCAGCAGCTGGCACATCAATACGTCGTAGTGTTCCCCATTTTTTAAAAATTTTAGCCACCATCGATTCATTAGGAACATCACCATCTTCTGTGAACCATTTAACAGGAAGACCCTCAACATGAATAGTATCTGGTCTTTCACCAGATTTTAATTCATTCATATGTTTGGCATCACGAAAATAAGAATCCCATGAATGTCTCGTTGGAAAATTATCCTTGGCCTCGGCGGCACGTACTTTGAGTATGTTGCTGAATCCGGCAAGATTTAAACGTTGCGATTCCAATCTGGCAAGGACCCTCTGCAATCTGCATCTGTCCCTCAGATCGCCTTCCAATCTGACAAATTCCAATGTACTCTTGGAGACTTTGAGAGTGGCAAATTCGTCCGGTCGTATCAACATTCGTATCTTCTCCATAACCTCCCATGTTGATATTGTTTTTCCTGTTTATATCGTAGCAATTCGCTGTGAAACCTGCTGCTACTACTAAATCAATTATTAATTTACAAGATCCTACTCCACCCTGTTTTATTCAACACAAGAACTAATCTTCAATGATGACATTTTTCCATCCGAAATAACTCATTTTATCCCCCGTGATCCACGTTCCTTTTTTTCTCATTTAATTTACTTTAATTTACATTAAATTCTCAAATTTTGCAAAACACAAACATGAAATATCTATTTTATTTTTTTTTTACAAGTGGAAAAAAGGTTAAAGTAGGTTTGTAATTAAAAAAAAAAACAATTTCAAGAGGAGTTTACCTGGGGTTTTCAGCTGCGGTAGATTAACGGATACGTTAATTTTTGCGATTGGTTTTAAATAAAGGCCTCGCGCTGAATAAAGTGGCACGATATCGCTGAGATCCCTGCAGCTTCGAAATCCGTTAACAACCTCTCCACTAGGAGTTTCGCCTACCTTTTTATTATCTGCCATTGTTTTTTTTATTTCTTACCGTGATATGTTATTTTTTCAGGAAATCAAAAAAAAAATATATTTGGCAAATTTTTTTATTGAAACTCAGAAGAGAGGTTGTTTTACGGGTTGACGATGCTTTACAAAGATCACGATATTCTTCTTCTCCACCTGTCAAAATTTTCACCTAAACACGTTCTTTCAACTTCGTTGTTCCTTTCCAATGTCAAAATTTACATTTTGATGATTTTTTTTTACTGCTTTTTTTCAATGAAATTCGACTTTTTTTAACTACTTTGACATTCTTTCCGCCATGACAGTTTTTTTATGACATTTTGTCCTGTTTACATGAATTTCTTTTGATTGGTGCAATTATTGCGACTGCGCAATTCCTACATAAAGGTATTTTCATAACAGGGGGTTTGAAGTTGAGTGGAATATCCGAAATGTAACATTTTTGTGCGTGTTTACCATCAAGAATTTTTTTTTTATTTTATGACTTATATACAAACATATGGTATGCATGTGTTTGTGTAAAGGGTGAGGTTTGGCATTAGTTTTAGTGTCAGTTTACGGCTCATTTCATTTTAAGATTCTTAATTCTTTTTTTTTTTATAATCTAAAATTAAGTTTTAATAATGATCTTTATGAAATGAAAGAAATAACTGAAGTCGAATAAAGTTGACGATTGATAGTTCATAGTGTTTCTATTTTAAGAAAAAAAAAAAGTATGTACTATTAATTATTTATTAAATTTTGTATTTCCATGCTATTGATTGATATAAATGCCAAATTAAACAAATAGTAAATGTAAACAAGGGGTGTATAATCGATAATCTTTTTTTTTGGAATTTGTTTTAATCTTTAAGAAAATTTCTAAAAATAAAGCTATCGTTTTTTTTCAAAGTTGTATTTAATACTTCCTGTGAATATATATGAGGAACTGAAGTTAAGCGTGGGAGATCTGGTTTTTCAATCGTTCATTTACCTCGAAACTGTTGTGACTAAAAAAAAGTTTATTAAAAAGAGATTAAATTTGTAAATATATTATTATATTTTAGAAATGACGTCTAATTTTTGGAGATTTATATTTGTTGCAATTTTCCTGAGTTCTTGTGTACAAGCTAATTCACAATTAGGAACAAATAATTGCATCAGTAGACAAACATGTCATGAATGCATTCAAACGGAACTTTGTGCTTGGTGCATGCAACCTGTAAGTAATTTATTTATTAATTAATTATTAATTGTAATTTATTAAATTTTGTTTTTAATATGTTTTTTATTTTCTCAGGACTTAACAGAACGTCGTTGTTTTTATGCACCCGGTACAGATGCATCGAAATTTTGTGAAGAAAAATATGTTTTTTATCCATCGAATGTATTTAGTATTGTACAAAATCGAAATTTAAGCTCGGAAATGCAATCGGAATCAAGTGGATTACAATCGACACGTTTTAATGCCAATGATGGAAAACAAGAGGCAGTGCAAATTGCTCCACAGGAAGTTAACGTGAAAGTGAGAATAAGTAAGTGATTTTTTTTCGCAATCAATTTTTTATTGTACTTTTTAGTATTTTTTTTAGTACTTTTTATTGATTTTTATCAAAATTTTGTTTTAGATCAAGCACAAAGAATTAGATTTTCATTTTCTCAAGCTGAAGATTATCCAGTTGATCTTTATTATCTTATGGATTTGAGTAAATCAATGGAAGATGATAAGAAAAAATTGTCTGATTTGGGTGAATTGCTTGTTAAAGAAATGAGTAGTCTTACTAGTAAATTTCGACTTGGTTTTGGAAGTTTTGTTGATAAAGTTGTAATGCCTTACGTTAGTGTTGTACCACAAATGTAAGTATTTTAGTTATTTTTTTATTATTTCATGTATTTAAAATTAAAATTAAATAAATATTTTTTTAGGCTTTTGCAACCATGTAAAGCATGTGCTGCTCCATATGGTTATAAACACATTATGAGACTTTCACAGGACACTAGTCTTTTCGCAGTAAGTCTATTTATTCATAATTTTAATTGTCTATTTTTGTAGTACTTAGTTACTTACTTTTAGTTGTACTGAAAAAAAAAATTTTATTTACACAGGATTTGGTGAGAAATGCTTCAGTTTCTGGTAATTTAGATGCCCCGGAAGGTGGATTTGATGCAATTATGCAAGCAATTGTTTGTAAAGATGAGATTGGATGGCGTGATAAAGCACGTCGTTTATTGGTATTTTCAACGGACGCGAGTTTTCATTATGCCGGTGATGGTAAACTTGGTGGTATTGTTAAGCCAAATGATGGTATGTGTCATTTAGATTCCTCTGGTCTTTATACACATTCGTCATTACAAGATTATCCCAGTATCTCACAAATAAATCAAAAGGTCAAACAAAATGCAATAAATATTATATGGGCAATTACTCAAGGTGAAATGAGTATTTATTCAAGACTTTGTTCACACATTGAAGGATCATCGGCTGGTGAATTGTCCAATGATTCAAGTAATATTGTTGAATTAATTAAAAATCAATATAATCAAATACGAAGCACAGTGGAAATAAGAGATACAATTAGCAGTGATGCAGTGAAAATTAAATATTTATCACAATGTTTAAATGGTAATAAAAATATACAACCAATTGAAACAACAAAATGTGATAAATTAAAGAAAGGCGATAAAGTTGAATTTATCGCTGATATTACAGTTACACATTGTCCAAATAATCGATCTGAATGGAATCAAACATTTACAATTTATCCGGTAAAGTATTTAAAAATAGAAATTAAAATAAATTTTTTTTAATCTTTATGTAATTGAATATTTTTCTTTTCAAGGTGGGCATTAATGAGGCATTAAGAATTAATTTAGAAATGATTTGTGAATGTGATTGTGAACGACCAGAGGATGATTCTTATAAAGAAAATTCATCTAAATGTAATAATAATGGAACATACAAGTGCGGTGTTTGTGATTGTAATCCAGGAAGTTTTGGTAAAAAATGTGAATGCAATAATACTGCAAATGATCATTATAAAAATTTCCAAAATTGCCGACGTGATAATTCATCATTGGTGGATTGTTCCGGTAGAGGAGAATGCACATGTGGTGTTTGTGAATGTTATCCACCTAGTGGTGAAAATTTGGTAAGTTTTGTTTTTTATTCAAAAAGAAATATAAAAAATGAAAATTCTAAAAATAAAATATCTGTAGAAAATATGGGGCGATTATTGTGAATGTGATAATTTCTCCTGTGATCGTCGTGATAATAAATATTGTTCCGGTAATGGAGAATGTGGCTGCGATGGATTTTGTAAATGTAAATCTGGATGGATTGGCAAAGCCTGTGAATGTAAATCATCAAATGACACATGTATACAACCAGGAACAAATTTAGAATGTTCAGGAAAAGTAAGTAGAGTATTATTTTTGTTTATTATGAAATATTAATTGAATTTATTTTTTTTTTTTAAGGGAAATTGTGTTTGTGGACAATGTGAATGTCTTATTGAAAATGGTGTAAGATATTCAGGTTCATATTGTCAAAAATGTGCAACATGTAAGGATCGTTGTGAGGAATTAACGCCATGCGTTATGTGTCAATTGGAAAATATTGGCAATGTCACAATAAAAGAATGTCCAGCTAATTGTACAGAAATTCCAATAGAATATGTTGATGCAATTGATAAAACTTTAGTAATGGAAGATGAAATTGTTTGCAAATATAAAGGCGAAGACGATTGCAATTATCTTTTTATGTATTATTATAATGATACAAAACTTGTAATTGAAGCACAAAAACAAAAAGAATGCCCACCAAAAATTTATTTACTTGGCATTGTTATGGCAGTTATTGCAGGAATTGTAATGATGGGTCTTACAATTTTATTTATATGGAAATTATTGACAACTATTCACGATAGACGAGAATTTGCTAAATTTGAAAAAGAAAGAATGATGGCTAAATGGGATACGGTAATTATTTATATTTAATAAAATATTTATTTTATTTCAATTATTAATTTCCAAATAAAATTTTTTAGGGAGAAAATCCAATTTACAAGCAAGCTACCTCAACATTCAAAAATCCCACCTATGCCGGAAAATCTTAAGATGCTTACAAAAAATAGAATCGACATTTTTTTTTTTTTTTTTTCTTTCAATTGATTTTCATGTTTCGAAGAAATGAAATGATTTTAAAAGCCATTGATTCAGTATTTGACTTCTAAACGCTGAAGATAAAAAGGTATATTATTTTTATAATTTATTTATCGTTTTAAATAATAATTTGACAGATGGAATGTTGCTGAAATATATATATTGTATACATATAAATATATATAAAGGACAATGATTGGAAAGTGCAACGCAAGTGCGTTATATGAGACTGAATCATTCCAAAGGATAATGCACAATGATGTAATGTCTTTCAATTTGTCGTTTATTGTTGCCATTTATAAGTGTGCCAAATTATGGTTTCACTAAATTTCACATTGACAAATTGAGGCTTGAATGACAATACTAAATTGTTAATTTGATGTCATGTGCAAATTTTCAGAAAAGAACGAGAGATTTTCGTAAACAGGATTTTAGTTTTTTTTTTCTAAAGTAATTTACGATACATAATGCATTTTTTTTAGATAAGTGATTCGTCGTGCAATCATGCGAATTTAGGGGCATCTAAAGATTTTTAGTATATATTTATTAATTATCGATTAATACTGCCATAATTTTTAGATTATAAAATGTTTTCATTTTGCATGTTATAATTTTTTTTTTTTTTTTTTGCTTTTTAGACTCGAATGAACAGTTTATATGTATTATAAATAAAAGTGCTAAAAAATCGCGTTAACAATACTAAATATTAGTTATATTTAGATCTTTATTTAAATAGAGATATATTATATATTAATAGTAAATTAGAGTGAAATAGAATGAAACTTATTAAAGAAAAAGTGCCTTTAACGAATTAGATTTTTGCCAACGTAATAATAGTAATTTTTTTTTTAATTAATTTTTCAGAAAATCGTATAGGAAAACTTTTTTTTTATAAACATATATTATTATAGGCACTATATCAATATTCTCTTGTCTTCTATTATTCAATTAATGCCAAATTTATATTAGACAAATCTTCCAAAAAGTCATAATCTTGCGAGAATTTTTATCTACTTGTTATAAAAAGAAAAAAAAGAATCTACAAAATAGAAAAACTAATTGTAAGTCACAGTCGTTTTCAATTTTTAAGAAGCGTTTCATTAATAATTAAATGAAAAAAAAAAGATTTAATTATCTCTAGAGAATATTTGAAAACATTTGTATTTAAATAGAAAAAAAAACATAGATATATTTATACACTTATATTCTAAAATGTTTACAAGAAAAAAAAAAAAAAAATTCTTTATATATATATTGGTGCATACAAAGCACAAAGTACTTACACAATCTAACAAACATTTTCGAGTAAAACTTGTTTTATAATATTAAAAATACAGTTTTACGAAATCTTACTTTCAAAAGGCAGTGATACGAGAGTGGCGTGTAATTTGAATTTTAATGCAGGATATTTGTGTTACTAAAATTTTTAAAAATGACAAAACGTGTAATTAATTTTTATATTTCTTTTTAGAATAATTTTAAAAATTTTTTGATTCTTATAAATTATTTTATAGAAAATTTTTTATATATTTTATCCGTTCTTCCAATTTATTTGCTAAACGCTGCTCTTTTATAAAAAAAAAAAAATCTTCTTAAATAGCAAGTAAAATTATATAAGTACGTTTATTGTAAAATTTTAATACGAAAAATATATTGTTTTCGTAGTCGATTATTAATTATTCACGCAAATATGTTATTGACGAGCTTATTTTGAAAAAGTAATCGTGAATATTCAAAGTTTCAAATTCACTTTTTATATTAAAACACATGTTTTATTGAGTGAATATTCAATTAGAAATTAATGAACATTCGTATGATTGACAAACTTTGGCAACTTGTATAATTTATAAAAAAAAAAAATAATTTTACTCTTATTTTTAATATTTAAGATATATTATGTACTACGAATTATTGTGCAGCTAATCTTCATAAATATTTCGAAAAAAAAGGAGGCTATAGAAAAAATAGTGATTTTACGATCGAAACACATGAACAATATTAATTATTCATTTTTACCGCAATTGAAATTAAATGTAATGCCTGTTTTCACTTGTTGAGGTCTACGCATTTTTTTCTAAAAAAAAACTGTTTTAAACTTTACAGTATAAAAAAAAAGTTATCGATAGAATTTTTAAATTCTAAAATTAATGGAAATTATAATAATACTCGATATATATTTTTTATCGAAACTTTTTTAAAAAAAAAAATGTATATCTGTAACATGCAAGTAATTATAATTTTCCCCAAGACCTAATAAATGTGAATCTCGCAATTACTTTTTTCAATTTATACTTTTATACAGCATTGTTAAAATATTTAGATTTAATTATTCAACATACTATAAATTTTAATAATTATAAAAATTGTCGTCGCTTTTTAACATTTATAATATAATTATGTATGATCTGTTTACAAGTGAAAAATATACTGTAATTTAATGTGAAAGAAAGAAAATTATATCAACCAATTTAGTTATTTAATAATTCTTCTCTTTATTCTTAAAAAATTAAATTATATTAATTTAAATTATTTATTTTTTACAAAATTATCCGTTAATTTTTGATAATTTTATTGTTAATTTTTTTTTAAATTCAAATATTTTTGTTTGAATTTGAATATTTAAAAAAAGGGTGGGAAAATATTGAGTGATAACAGTGGGGGGTGTAAATTCTTCAAGGACATTGGGTATAGAGGGCGAATTCAACAAAATTGATTCGGGCAATTATTCTTGACAAAGGATCCAATAGCCATAGGCGATTTATAAGCAGAGCGGAAAGAAAATAAAATGTATAAAAGTGGTGGGGTCACCACATGGTTCCTTAATCTCAAATATTACTGTCATTGGAGAAGAAACAGTAAACATTGTCATTTTTAAAGTCGTAGTAAACATTATAATACGCAGTTTACTATTGAAGTAAGTTTATTTGTAAATACGTCACGTGTCGAGGAGTCGTGCGATCGCACTATTTTAATACGTCAGTGGTGCTGTTCGTGTTCTATTGAATAGAGGACGATAATAATATTGGAAAAAGAAATCTTTATTATACATTCTAACTATATACGGTTTATGTACATATACATAGAAAAATAGAAGTTAGTATGAAAAAACCAATAGTTTAATAACTTTCAAAATTGTGAATATATAATTTGGCACTTTTATTAAAAAGTGCATTATTGATTTGCGTTTTTACATGGTGCATAATGGTTTAAAATATCAAAATAAAGTGGTTTTGGCGGGGGTGATAAATAGAAAGTGTCGAGGTATTTGAAAGGGAAGGCCATTTAAATAACATTTTATCCTATAAAAATCAACAAAAAAAAAAAAATTCTCAAAAGTGTTACACACACCTATTATAGTACTGCGTGATTTTCTAATGGAGATTCTGGCGTTTGTAATGTGCTAAAAATAATCAGTGGCGTGCATTTTCGGAATAAGTCATGCCAAGAGAAAAGGAGGTTTAGGTCGACTTTAAAACCCTGGAATATACCATGGAGCATTTCTTTAACTGGATTCGAAATAGCCGACAATCTATTCAAAATTATAGCAATGATACTTCAACACAAAGGATTTCGACAGGACATTGTCTTGAATATACAAGATGGTTTATCAACTTTCTTTCGGTCAATAGCATTTCAGTAGTGATTGTATTTAACATTTTATTTTGGTAAGTATATCGTTAATAAACTGTCAATGTTAATTAATATTATAATTACAAACTGCAAATTGTTGCAACATCAATGACTCTTCATTCATTCACAGTATGTATATATATATATGTATATAGGCAAAATGTTTTTAAATCAATCATAGCAAAAATATTTTGTGTAAATATAAATACTGTAATACTATATCTATATATTGTTGAAATATACGATCAATTGGGGGGCTTTAATACCCATTTTCTATTGATAATATTTATCATATAGAAATTTTCCACGATATGTCACGTGATTTTAATTCAAACAAACTATTGTTGCAAATGTTTTTCAATGACTAACGTGACATTGACACATTTTAAAATTAAATTAAATTATGTAATAGAAAATATAATAATAATATTGATATTTTATCAATAGTACTTTTGCAGGAGTTATCGAATTTTTTATAAGATTATAGAATATTAATAAAAATTTAAAGTTAAAACTACATTTATAGGTTAGAATCGAAATGTCAAAAATAAAACTATATTTTAAAAATTATTTTTTAATAAATTGTTTTTTCTAGGGGTATTGTGGTGCTAGAAATTCGTGGTTTTGCAGCAGCCAGCAGTGCTGTTTTAATTGTACTATGTTATAGTACAATTGAAAATCAATTGCAAAAAGAGAAGAAAGAAATTTCAAATTCGTAAGTTCTGTGAAAAAAAAAATTGATTGTCTAAATTGACAAACTTTTTTTCACTTCAGTGAATTTATAATAAAATTTAATTTTTCAGATCACAAATAAAAGCTGAACAAATTGAGAAAATATTAATAAAAATTAAATCAATTTGGAAAAGTTTTACTCAATTACGCAAGGATCAACCTGGATTGGTAAATTACTATTTTTATTTTTAAATTTATATTATATTTATTTCAAAATTTTTGATGATAAATTGTTTATTTAAATTAGTTTTGTACAACTATATGCACTATTTCATTGGGTCTATGGCTAATTGGAAGAACTGTTAATGGTGTACTTCTTGCATACACGATATGCATGAGTATATTAATTGGTCCTTCTCTTTTATTGCAAATACCTTCTAAAGTATTAACGAATAAAGGTAATAAAATATTTAATTTTTTTTTAAGAAATATTTTCAAAATTTAATTTTTCTATATTAATTTAAAATAGAATGGGATAGTGAGATAGAAGAATTTTTACCTGCAGTAACAGAGGATATTTTACAAGTTTTAAAACTTGCCAGCGATTCTGGAGATCATTTACCAACTCCAATTAGTGTAGCGTCAAATATTCGAAATGGTAAGTTTTTTTTGCCATAGCTCAATTAATTTTTCTCTAATTAAATTATATTCTCAGATCCATTCAATGATGATGACGATGATGATGATGATGATTTGGTGGGATTTAAAATGCCTTCACATGAAGAAGGAAGTACCGATGGATTAGAATTATCAGAATTGGAACTTAGTTCAGGTGAAACCGATGTTGATGGTATGAAATTCCAAAGTGGTCATTTTGAAAAAGGCTCTTCATCCGAAGACGATGTAAAACTAGATCAAAAATCGAAAATTTTATTGAACGAGAGTAGTGAAGATAGCGATAGTGAATTTGAAATTATTGACAGTCGTGACATAGGAAATTTTAAAGATGTATGATTGATTTTTGTTGCAAATTTTTATTCAAAGGCCATAACAGTTTTTTTTTTTTTTGAGAAGAAAAAAAGAGAAATTCAATTTCTATACAAATGCAAATATATGTATTAATTAGCTGATTGATTTTAATGTCTGCTCATATAATGCGATATATATTTCAAAGGACAAATAATTTAGCTTTAAATATTAAATATAAGTATATATATATATATATACACGAATTTTTGAGGATAAAACGCAATTTATTTTTTTGAAACAGAACGTAAATATTATTGCCGTGATTTATGAGTTATTAAAAACAAAAAAATCTTTGAAGAAAAAATTCAATTATTTTAAAAATAGATATTTTTTCATAAATATGGAATTCTAAATTAAACGAAAAAAAAAATAATAAAAACGGCAGAAGACGTTACTTAAATTTTCTATAGTAATTAAAGTAATTGTCAATTAAGCATATAAAACTGCATACCTTAGAAATGAGAATTAGAATTTTATACACCAATATTATAAATTTTGTCTTTTCAATAATTAAGACGTTCCACTCCGTTATTAAGTATCAATATTTATTTTTCTGTAAATAAAACAAAAGAGGCACTACAGTGAAAACAAATAAGTTTTCATATATATAAAATTATCATATTTATAATTTTTAATGTATTTTTGTCGAGAAAATGAATTTTTTAAAAATATTTTAAGAAAAAAAAAGCTATATAAAATTGTTGATAATTTATAATATACTTGCAACGATATTTAATATTTGTATAAGATTTTAAATATAGAAGTAATGTAAAAACTCGTAAATTGGTAAAGCAAAAAAAAAAAAGGAATTTTATTAAATTTTTTTCTGATTACAAACTGTATTCGAAATAGAATAATAAATCTAAAATTTTATATTTTTTCTTTATTATAATTCAGCATTTGTTAGAATTTATTGACACGAGTTTTTCAAGCTTCTGATAGTAGAATTATTTTATGAAAAAAAAAAATAATTTTATTTAAATTTAACGATTAAGATCGGTGGTATTTTTTATTTTTAATATTTTACTTTTTGAATATGATAATAAAAATTATTAATGTAAATTTGTATTTTATTTTTAATATTTGTCAGAAATATAATTCACCCGTCGATAAAGAGAATTGTTAAATGGATAGAAAAAAAAAGTATTTATTTGTATAAATATATACAAAATACACTCCTATAAAAAATAAGTACCGTATTGTTAAAGAGTTAAAAGGAGTGTGTATATTTCTATAATAAAATTACACTTAATAAATCAACAGCTAATGAACTGTCTGATTTGCATGTGTAACAATGCTAATATTTGTCTGTATAACTATATCCTTTTACAGCGCCAATAAAGGATACATTAGTTTTATAATAAAAAAAAAAAAAAAAACCGTTTTAATTTATTTTTCAATACAATGAAAGTATTATTGAAACATGTCAACAATTCAAAACGAAAATTCTATATTTTTAGTAAAAAATTCTTTTTAATATAAAAAATTTCACTAATGTATCATTTTAAGTGGCAGCTTTATATATATTATATATACACGTATGTATAAAAACAAAATAATGTATTCTTGTGAAAAAATGCGAACAAATCATGAATTTTATTGAAAATAAATATATAGTTTTAAAAATATATAAAATTTTTCCTTAAATTTTATTCTAATTATTAATTTACCTTTTTCATTGCATAAACAATACTACAATTGTTTTATTTCCTCTTCAATTATTGGACTTGAACAATGTGAAATTGGTTGAGCATTTTTTCTTTCTGGCAAAACTTGAAGTAAAGTTTCTTCCCAACTCTTACCTTCACTTATTCTCAAAATTATTTCAAACACTGAAAATTGTAAATATTTACATAGTGATAATGAAAAATCAAATTTAAACTTACCATGAACGATAGATAAAACTTTTCTTGTTTTCATATTTAAATATTTATCCAAAGGTAGACGTCCGTGTTTTATACCATTATTTTTTGCTAATTTATGACAATGACCCTATAAAAAAAAAAATCTGTTTCTAATTTCGTTAATTACAATATGAAATTATAAAATCATTAATTTCTTACTTTTTGAGCATTATGATCGACTAGACCGCCTATTATGTACGCAGTATCATTGTCCAAATTTTCAACAACATTGTCTGATTCACTTGTAAGATAAACAATTTTCTCCTTGTCAAATAAATTCGAATAGTGCTCTGCATGAAATTTAACCTAAAATTTAATAAATTATAAAATGTAAAAATATTTAATTGTAAATTTTTTTTTCTTTATAAACTTACATCCCAATGTTCATAACCATTGTGTTTTTTCATTTCTTGTTGCGATTTCCCAGTAAAATTTGTCAGTGAAAATTGTAATGGTGCTGAAGCTCTTCTATTTAAAGTATAACATCTTAAAATTTGTTTAATCATTTTTGCAACATCTTTGTCAATCATTAAATCATCAAATGATAAATCTATGGAAACATTTATTTGACAAGTACTATTTGCCATTGTACATCTTTTTAAAACTTTTCTTGATGGTCCAAGATTAATATTATTTGCACGAGCAAATGCACGTTTTTCCTTGAGTTTTGTTCTTTCCTTTAGCCTAAAAGAAAAGAATAATTAATTTACAAAGTTAAAAATTTCGTCACTATATTATTTAAAAATTCACAAATGTAAATATATAATTTCTTACCTCTTTTCAGATTTTCTCTGAATCCATTTTTCAGTTTTCTTTAATCTTTTTAATTGTCGTTTACTTAAATTCTGTTCAGTCGATTTAGTTTCATTAATTATACTTTCAGATTCTTCTATTATATTAGAATTATTCATTATTTCCAAAACGTTATTTGACATTTCTTCATTCACCATTTTCAATTATTTACATTTCATTAAATACACTTTAAACTATTATTGTTGTCAGCAAAAATTTCTGTATCTCTTTAAAAAAAAATTTTTTTTTTTAAATTAAATGTATACAATTTGCAGCTGCTTACTGGCCATGTGACACATGTGACAACTCGACATGGATAATTTCATATAGATAGGTAATCGACTAATCGATTTTTGTACTTTAAATTAAAGTACAATTCACAGTTTTAATAGTGAAAATTATATTTTTTTAACGAAATAGAATATTTATAAAAATACAAATTGTTTTTAAAAAATAAAATTTTTAGAAAAAATTATCGTTTTCATCAGGAAAAAAGAAAAAAAAGGCTTAATTTTTGTTCACATGAGTCATGCGCTGTACTTAACAATGTTCTGACACCTGACAGAAGATTTGAGTAGGAGGAGGAGGAGATGGTAAAAAGTACTTGATTCAAGCAGCTGTGTCAACGAGTTGTCAAATTGTTCTCGTTAAAAAGTGACAGTTTTTTGTTAAATTAACGTTGCATTTAACATTATAGGAAATAAAAATGGAAACATACGAAAGTGTACTGCTGGTAAAGTCTGAAGTTTTTGTTTTTAAAATACCACCGAGAGCTACTAATAGGGGTTATCGGTAAGTGTATATTCCATGTCACATCCTGGATGTTTGATAAAAAAAAAAAAAGAAAAAAAAAAAATTCTCCGCCTTTAAATATATTAAAAATGCTATTTAAACTTTAATTTACTTCAAAAAATATATCTTTCAAAGAATTTTAGAATTAATTTTAAAAAAAGGAATTTTTGTTTGAAAATATGTTTATTTATTTTATTTATTATTATTATTATGATTTTCAGAGCAGCGGACTGGAATTTACAAGAACCTACATGGACAGGACGTATGCGATTAGTGTCTCAAGGAGATGCAGTCACATTAAAATTAGAAGATAAAATGAGTGGTGAACTCTTTGCTAAATGTCCCATTGAACAATATCCTGGAATAGCTGTTGAAGCAGTAACTGATTCATCGCGATATTTTGTTTTAAGAATTCAGGACGATAATGGCCGTTCAGCATTCATTGGTGTTGGCTTTTTGGATCGATCCGATAGTTTTGATCTCAATGTTGCATTGCAAGATCATTTTAAATGGTTGAAAAATCGTGATCAAATTGAAAAAGAAAAAGAAAAACCAAAACAAGAATTAGACCTTCGATTCAAAGAAGGAGAAACAATTAAAATCGATATGAAAATAACAGTAAGGGAAATTTATATATATATATAATTATTAATAATAAATAATTGTTAATAAACATTTTTTTTTTATGTTTAGAAAAAAGATGGCAGTGAAGTTGCATCGAAATCGAAACAACGAACCAGTACTGGAGCTGGTCTTCCACCACCTCCGGGAAGTATTAAAATTGCACCACCACCAGCAAAAACTCCAACATCCTCGCCAGCTCATAAACCAGCGCAAGGTGAAAAAACACCAAATAATCCAGAATGGGGTGAATTTGCCAGTGCATCACAACAACAATCAGCACCACCAACAACCAATGCAAGCTGGGTACAATTCTAATTTTTTTCATTTTAAAAATAACATAAACAAAATTTAATTATAGTTTTAAAAGAAAAAGAATTTCTATGATATGTATATTTGAAATAGTAATGTTATAGTTGTATTTAGAGCCTTTTAGATGATGTTTGATTAAATCGAGTCAAGGAAATTATTTAAGGCAAAGATATTTTATCTTTGTTATTAATGAAAAATTAACATCAAAAATAAATCCTTGATCTCGTGTAAACAAAGTTCTCCGTAGTTTAAGTTATAGGTTTAAAAGAATCCATGTGAAAGCAAATAGTTCACAAATATTGATTGAATGAAACCTATTCAAATAAACATATATTGAATACTTGAGATTACTCGAAAACAGAAATGTCAGAGTTATATTAATATTCACTTAGATTATAAAATGAATGATGAGCGTTTAAATTTATATTAGTTGAAAATATTTGTAAAGCTCTATCGCTAATGTTCAATATATAAATATATATATAGGAATATAGTAATGCGTGCAACGCACAGATTTTCAAAATAATACTTCAAATACAAAAAAAAATATATCATGTGAAAGCATAAAACTAGTAAAAAAAAAAATATTTCTTGGGCTTTCATTTATTTTTTTAAAAAAAAAGACGAGGTGGATATAAGACTTTAGTAGTTTTTTCTCTTTATCATCATTTACAAACGCCAAAATGCGGCTCACTCGAATTATAAAAATTCAAAATTAATTATTTTTATACAAAAGTATTAGAGAGAGAGTAGCAGTGGCACATTAATGTTAAATTAATACTATATAAAAAAAACACTTTACGGAATTAAGAATTTTCGTAAATAGACAACATTGTCGTTAACGACATTATCTTCATTTTTTTATTAATTATCATCACGTAGTGAGATTGATTCCAATTTAAAACTATTTTTTACTTTAAAAATAAATATAATTTCATATTTATTATAAATATTTTTTATTGTAACCAAGTTTATTATAATATTTAATATTATTTGTTGCAGATAAAATTTTGTTATTAAAAAAAAAAATGAATCTGCAGTATTATATTTATGTATATTTGTGCACTTCAGTATTTTGTTAAAAACAATATTCTATAATAATTTAAAAAAAATAACTAATCAAGTAGCATTCTTAAAAAAAATTGCACAATTTGTTTTGCTATTAAAAAAAAAATTATTAATTACTGTAAACTACTGATTATAATGCTGAATATTTATTTTGCTAATAGATAATATTAATGCTTGCCTAACACTAGAAAACACCTTCTAGTTTGCCGAATATAATGCGTACTGAAAAAAAAACTCACTTTTTTTAGATAACCTTCTTTTATTTAGAAAGTAATTAAAATTATATATTTAAATAATTAATTCCTATTTACTTTTTAAACGAAAGAAGATTATGAAAATTGTTCATAAAAAAGTGATATATAAACAAGGATTACTATTCACATAATGTAGAATAATATTTTAGTCTTGTGTATAAAATAACTCAAAAAAAAGAAATCTTCATAGAGAACTACACTTGTTTTCATAAACAAATTGTGTTTGATCATAAAAGTTTGTTTTTCAATTGATTATAGGCCACGATGATACTATTTTATTTCACAATAAATTCATTCATTCGATAAACAAATTAATGTTTATCATATATGTTTTAAAATTTTATAAACATTTCTTTTAACCTTTATTATATATACTTTATAGTGCAATCAAAATAATTATCTATAATTAAGTGGCCTAAATATATTGTTAGGTCTTTCTTTTTTTTTAGAGTTATCAAATTTATTCTCTTTTTATAAATTTTTAAACAATCTTATTTTACTGCGTTGCTTCATAACAGAAAATAAAATAATTCTCCAATGTAAATTTTGCTTATGCCTCTCGTCATTAACTTTGTTGATATATACATTGACAGTATTTTGTTAATTTAATCAAAAAAAAATAAAAAGAAATCCGAATTTTTATTTGTCATGCATGCAAATAATATGTCTTATTTATAACGTTATAGTCTGAATAAAGAATATGTCTTTACTGAAAATGTGTAATAATTTAAATATTCTATTCACATTTTATTTAATTGAAAACAGTTTTCTTTGCGAAAATTTTCTCACTTTTCCTTTTTTAAAAATGGAATTCGATTGTTTTTAACTTAATAAATAAGTGCACAATTAATTTAAATGAAAATGTATTAAAAAATTGTAAACTAGATATAATATTATCTTCAAAAAAAATTAAAATTATAAAAACATACCAAATAGTTTCCATAAACAATTATTCTATAGAAATATACATTTATTATTATCTTACTTTGTAATATTTTCATAATTTCCTAAGACGTTAATTAAATACAAATATTAAATTATTATTTTATTGTATATTGTATTCTATTTTTGAATTTAGGTTGGTTTTTCTCTTTTCCCTCGTTTGACATTAACAGGGATGGGAAGTCGGGTATTTGAAAAAAGAATATAAAGATTTGTACACACCACTCTTCGATTGCAATCTGAAGTATACAACTTTTCAAATGTGACACTGGACAAATTTGTCCATTTAGAAAATGGTGGGGCATTTGTCCAGAGCGCATTTTAGTTACCATTTTGTCTTCTGCGCAACCCTGAAATAAAATTTTTTTCTATTATTCAGAATTTGAGAATTTGTGTTTTTGTGAGAATAATTTTTAATTATTACACGTGATAAATAGATTTGAAAGAAAATAGTTTTTTTTTAAACGTGTATGAAAACACTACAACAAAAATGGCTACGGGAAAGATAGACTGGGGAAAATATGCTCAAGATCAGGAGAAATTAGCGTCACAGGTAATTTCATTTTTCTTTATATTTCCGGCATAACCTCTTGTTATTTACAAAAATGTTATTTATAAATTAAATAGCTAAATATTTAATAATGTACTTAAAAAAATTTGAAATTAATTCTTTCTAATAGATCTTTAAAAGTCATTTTTTTTCATTGTTTGCCATTTCTATGATAAGTACGAAAAATCAAAATAATTGCTTTGGCCCTTGAAGGTCAAATTTCCTTATCTTTGTTTTTACAAAATATATATACTTAATAAAAAGAAATGGGGGAGAAAAATTTGTTTTTAGATATTTTGAAATTACAAAAAAGATTTAGAAATTTAGAAAAAAAAAAAAAATGTTTTTCAGGTGACAAATTTAAATATTGAAAAAGATAGTTCAGCTTCAAGTGAAACAGATGAAAATGCTGAACAAATTTCAGCGGCTGACAAGTCATTGTTACAAAAAATTATTCGCAAAGGTCTTGTTGAAACAACACGTGATATAGAGATTCAAAGAAAAGATCCTTCTTCACCTTTGTACAGCATAAAATCATTCGAAGGCTTACATTTGTAAGATTTTTTTTTTATTTTAATCTTCTTTTTTTTTTTATTAAAAAAAATAAAAAAATGTATTTTCTTTAGGAAACCAGAATTACTGAAAGGAGTCTATGCAATGGGTTTCAATGCACCTTCAAGGATACAAGAAACTGCTCTACCGACACTTTTAGCTGATCCGTAATTATTTACATAAAAATAAAAAAATATATTTTTACATTATTTTCCACATAAATTCTTCTTAATTTATTTTTTTTTGCATACAGACCGCAAAATATGATTGCTCAATCGCAATCAGGAACTGGAAAAACGGCTGCTTTTATTCTTGCAATGTTGAGTAGGGTAGATACATCAAAACCATATCCGCAAGTTTTGTGTTTATCACCTACTTATGAATTGGCGGTACAAACCGGTGAGGTAACAGCAAAAATGTCGCAATATTGCCCTGAGATTAAAATAAAATTTGCAGTTAGAGGCGAGGAAAGTAAGTTAAACAAATTTGTAACTTCAAAATTTAATTATATACACTAGTCTCATGTGTAATTTCAAACTTGACCAAGTATAATTGAATTGCGTGTAATTTTGAAACTTTGTTGGATGAAAGTTGATAATTAATTAATAATATGATGAAATGGAAATAATTAAATTTTCTTTTTTTTTTTTATTTTAGTTCGTAGAGGTTCAAAAGTAGAGGATCATATTATAATAGGAACACCAGGAAAAGTATTGGATTGGGCAGTGAAATTTAAATTTTTTGATCTTAGTAAAATTATTGTTTTTGTCTTGGATGAGGCAGATGTCATGATTGATACACAAGGTCATCAGGATCAATGTATACGTATTCATAAATTACTTCCAAGAACATGTCAAATGATGTTTTTCTCAGCTACATACGAAGCGGCAGTAATGGATTTTGCTGAAATTATTGTACCAAATCCTTTAATAATTCGACTATTGAGAGAAGAGGAGAGTTTGGATAATATTAAACAATATTATGTTAAATGCAAAAATATGGAAGAGAAATATATAGCAATGACAAATATTTATGGAAATATTACAATTGGCCAAGCAATTATTTTCTGCCACGTAAGTTATTATTTATATTTGCAAAAAAAAAAAAATGATAAAAATAGATTAAAATTTTGAAATAATTTATAGACGAGACGAACGGCTGGATGGCTCGCGGAAAAAATGTCCAAAGAAGGACACGCTGTCGCTATTTTGTCTGGTGAACTTACTGTTCAGCAACGAATTGACGTATTGGATCGATTTAGAAATGGAATTGAAAAAGTTTTAATCACAACGAACGTTTTAGCTCGAGGTTTGTAAATAAAGAAGAAATTTAATTTTCACTATAGAAAAAAAAAAAAATTTTAAGTTATATTTAAAAAAAAAAAATAATAATTCTAGGTATTGATGTCGAGCAAGTGACAATTGTTGTAAATTTCGATTTACCAATGGATCAAAGTCGAAAAGCTGATTGTGAAACGTACTTACATCGAATTGGTAGAACCGGTAGATTTGGAAAATCGGGTATTGCTATCAACTTGATTGACAGTGATCACGCAATGCAATTATGTTTGGAAATTGAACAACATTTTGGTAAAAAAATTGAACTTTTAGATACAGACGATGTTGATGAAATTGAAAAAATTGGAAAAAATTAAAATTCATTTTCTCCTTTTTTTTACATAAAGTTTATATGTAAACTAAAAAAAAAACGTGAAAGAAAATAAATTTACTTTTTTTAAATTTCTCTAATTAATGAAAAAAAACAGTAAATTTAAAATTAAAAAAAGTAAATTTTTCTAATTTAAGAAGTTTTTACTAAAGACGTACTTTTAGGCTCATTTGTTTAATTAAGAAAACACTTTCAAAATGTACATTACACCAAGTTACGTAAAATAAAAAAAAAAATGTAACTCTTTGACTTAATACTGTATTTTTAAGAATGTTTATAAACTTACAATTTTGCTTTTTTTGTATTTAAAATAACTTTAAAATACTTTATTTTGTTTTATAAATAAAAAAAAACAGTATAAATAAAAATTTTAATTTTTCTTTATGACAACGTTTTTTAAAAATTATTAATAATAAAAATGCATGAAATTTGTTTATTCATATTGAGGAGTAATTCATTTTATTTGATGAATATTAAATACAATTAGGAAAACTAATTAGACGATTTTGGAAATATTTTTCACTTTTATTGTGAACGACGTCTTCTTCCAGGTCCATTAGCAAAATTAGCTGTTGTCAGTCCAATTAAATGTTTTCCTACTTGCGTACCACTTAATCCACGATTTAAACCAAAGTCCAGTCCACGTTTCACACTGAAATTATTATTGGAAAATTTTCTTTTTACTTTATATTTTTTTTACATTTACTTTTTAGTTTCAAAAAAAAATTACTTACTTTTCAGATTCTTGTCCATTTTCCATCCAAATAAAATTTTCTTTTGTCATTCTAGGATTCATTTCTAAAATACGTTGCCATATGGGTTGTGCTCTGAAAATATTTTAAAATAATATTTTTTAGTTGTCAATAAAAAAAGAAATATTTAAAAAATATTAGTAAACTGATTTGAATTAAATTTATTATAAGATTAAAAATCGCTCACTTTTCTAAATCTTGAACTTGTAAATTTTCAATCCGTTCGAAATTTTCCCTTTCTATTCTTGGAAGATATTGCAAAATATTACGAATTGTTTGCCATGTAGGCTGTGCTCTAAAATAATTATTTCAATTAAAATTTTAGATTTAAATTAATTAATTAAATTTTGTAATAATAATTATATTAAAGTAATGAATAAATTAATAATTTCATTTAATAAAAACAATTACTGCTCTTAGTTATTTTAATTAAATTTTCATACCTTGATGACTTGCTTGGAACCTTAAAATTGTAAAAATTACTCACGTGTCACGAAATTCTTTATTTGTTGCTGTAATTAATGAAAAAGATCTCGATGCCAATAAAATAAAGGTGAAGAATGTCTTCATCCATTTTAATTTTAGCTCCATAATTGGCATTTAGTGCCGGAAGGAATAGATCTTTAATTATTGAAAATGTGTAATTAGTCAATAATTAGATCAATAATTACTATTTCCTTAATAATCTAAAACAGTGATGTCAATATTAACGAGGGCATTACGAAATGCAAAGGAAATCATTTTATTCCTAAAGTATCTAAAAAAAATACATCTTCTCAAAAAGATAAAAATTTCCGATAAGAAAAATTCTATCGACATCACTGCCCTAAAACATAAAAACAGTGCATTTTCCTTTTCTTATTAGTAATTAATTACAATAATTTCAGTTATAAAAATTGTTTTTCAATTTTTACGTAGAATTTGAATGTCGATCATAATGAAATCCGAATTAAAAATAGTCTACTTACCCATTTTTTTGCTGACAGAAAAGTTTAATATTATTTATTAACACAAAATAAGAAAATACTGATAATAATAAATAAAAATTTAAATGATATCGATTTAATGAATAATTTTTAAATTATAATTAAGAAAAAATATAATTTAATAAAAAAATTTTTCTCAGAAAATATTTTATAAAATCTTAAAAATAATAATAATAAATCAAAAATTGAAAATAATTTTATTATTAATATTTAAAATTACTATTTAACGTTCCATTTGAAATTAATTCATAAATTATACAAGAAAATCAGTTATTCTTCAATTTTTGAATATTTTTCACATTTTTTTGTTCGTGTAGACTGAACGTCCGTTCTCTTTTTTTTTCTTTTCATTTTAATAATTAAATGATTTATTTCACTACCGAAAAAGCACACTTTTAATTTAAGATCAAGAAGAGGAATGGTACATATCTTCTCAGTCATCTCAGAAGTATGACGTCTACTTGTAATAGATCCTTCTGCGTTGTGCTGATAAATTTTCAAATGCGCATGCTTAATCATTGATTTTCCATTATATATTATGCCATCCCTAAGGATTTCTTGTCTTATATAGATAAATATACAACTTAAATAAAGAGACGAAATGTGAAGACAAATATTAGTAAATATATGATACAGCAGAAACTGATCACAAGATTAAGTGGACCAATTTTTCTATACAAACAATCATATTATATATATAGTTATTTTATTTATCTTTCTCTTCTATGAGTAATTTAAAAATAATAATTATAAACATTAAAAATAAAAAATTCTATAATTAAAAAAAATATATATAATTTTTGAACATACCTATAATCTATCGAGAAAAGAACTTCGTTTCTTTATCGCATTACAAATATCGATATACTTTTTTAAAATATCATCATATTCTGTACATTTAAGATCTTCATATTCTTTTTGCAAAGCTAATTTTCTTTGTATTTCATCATCAATTTCATTTAATTTAACATCAAGATTTGATTTTAAAATACGAAAACTTTTAATAGTTGATGGTGTTTCTAAAAATAATCTTAAATGACATGATAATTTGCTAATAATTGTTTGCGTCTCGGCGAGTTGTGCTTGAATTAATGTCATTTCTGTACTCTTAAATTGAGAATCACTTAATGTTATTTTACATTCTCCCCACGTTGTTAAAAGCTCAAAGAAATTATGTAAATTTTTCTTATAAGTCAAATGAATTTCGTCAATTTTTTTTGTCCAATTTAACAATACCAATTCATTATTTTGAGAATATACTTTACTAATAACACTTTCTCTATTTTTTGATATTTCTTTTATCCTTCCTCCCAATTCACTGTACCTATATATTAAATAATTATTTTTAATTTTTTTACTCTTTTCTTAAAAAAAAAATTCTTTAAAATATTAAATAATTCAATTTGTAAATATTGTAAAAAAAAACACTTACCTAGATGTGAAATTAAATATTCTCTCTCTTAATTTGGCTTCAATGAAACATTTTATCGCCAATTTCGTATTCTCATCTAATTCACGTTTTATTGTATCAAGTACTCCAAGAAAGGCAATAGGCTCTTGAATATCTTGTGAATTGTTGGGAAAATTTTTACATTTAATAGCTTCATTAATTAAAATTATTCTTTCCAAATTTACACACGCTTCGTTTGTTAATGTTTCTTTGTTATTTCTCGCCTCTTCTTTTAGACAATTATAAATTAATTTAATTTTTGTCGTATTATAATTTTGATTGTCCCATAATGTACATTTTTGCATGACATTACCACTGCAAATATTTTCTATTCCCATATTATTTTGTAAATTAGATTTTTGATGAAAGGAAGTAATTGTCACATTTGTTTGATTTTGTTGCATATTGTTCAAAACCTTTGAAAAAAATTTTTGAATTACTTTCTTAAATATTATTTCCGTAAAAATGTAATTTTAACAAAAATGTATTTTTATATTTTTCTAGAAATTATTTTCTAAATGTTTATTAACTTAAAATGTTTTATAATTCGTATTTACCTGTTACTTTTTTTTATTAAAAAATCAAATTTTCACTAAATCAGTAACTTTATAGTTTTAATTTATTATCTTTATAAATTATTAAAATAAATGTTTTTAAACAATATTTATTTTTCAAATCAAGTGTTGTAAACAAAAACGTTGGTATAATATTAAGAGTGGTACACACATCAACAACTATTTTTGATCAGGGTTGAGTACTAACAGTTTACAAAAGTACTTCCCTTCTGATTGGAGGAAATGTTTCCAAAAAGTTTCTTCAACCAATTAAAATACATCAAATCTATCGAAATTATCGATTATTCATTTCACCAACTTCAGAGCAATTTCATAACCTATATACAGCTGTTGCAAACAAAAAGATAAACGCGGAAAAAACGCTAACCTCCAAAATAGACCGCAAAAATAATTAAAAAAAAAGTGAAAAAAGTATTAAAATTTTATTAAATTATTGTCATTCTAGTGGAAAAATTAAAGTTCGCGTAATATTTAAATTATATTTGCAAGAATTTTCTTAAATTTTTCTACACAAAAAGAGATAGATAAATTGAAATAGTGAATATAAATTTGTTTTCGTGAAAAAAAAAAATGAGTCCAATTAACAGAGGACCTGGACCACTATTGGGAATGAGAATGACAGTGCCTGGCATGCGACCGCCACCACCATTGCTTTCTAGATTTGGTGCTAGGTTACGTCCATCAGGAATGCCACCAATGCGAATGCTACCACCAACGGGAAGAATATTTCCTCCCATGCGACAACGCATGCCTCCACCTCCTTCTCCTCATCCTCCTTTAATGCAACAAAGAATACCATCACCAATGCAAAAACGAATGCCACCACCTTCGATGCAACAACGAATGCCACCACCATCAATGCAACAACGAATGCCACCACCACCACCAATGCAACAACGAATGCCACCACCTCCAATGCAACAAAGAATGCCACCATCTCCAATGCAACAACGGATGCCACCACCTTTAATACGTCAACGGATGCCTCCTCCAAGGCCAGGTACTATTATGAGACCGGGTGGTCCACTGCCTTTATTTGGTCCCAGAATTGGTTTCGGTCCACCACTGATAATGGGTCCAAGAGGGCCTCGTGGTCCACCCTTGAGACCTGGTCCTCGAGGTATGCTTCCTCATATGTTTATGCGACCAAGGTTCCTTCAAGGAAATAATACTCTCAAGAACAAAGGCATTATTGTCAAAAAAGGAAACAAACTCGAGGTATCTGCGCGTTTTTCTTTTGTTTTTTTATTTTAATAGTCTTAAAAAAATATTATTCTTTTATTCAAGTATCTTTTAATTTATATTTCATTTGTTTCTTATCATTAAATAAAAAAAATAAAGTTATTAATTAAATAAAATAGTAATTAATAAAAATTATATTTCTCGAAGATATATTTTTTTACAGATAACATTAAAAAAAAGCAGTGTCCTTTTGAGTGTGTGTACATTGGAATCTGGATTAGTAAATATTAAAACGAGAAGTTCAGGACCATTAAACATTTGATATAGCGAGCATGAGAGGGGATCCCACCACAAGACTTGTTTTTTTTTTATTGAATATCAATTTTTAACCTACGAGAATTAATTATGTAAATAATAAAAAAAAAAATGTAAATTGTTTTATTTGAAACTGTTAAGATTTTTGTATACGCGGACTATCGAACGTTTAAACGTTTTTTTCATTTGTATTTTGCAAAAAAAGACAATACGATGAGTTTAGCATTTTTATTTTGAATTTATTATTGCTGTACAATTTTCAAATAAACAAATTAGCACACGGAAATTAAATTATTTTTTTTATTAATAAATTTTTACAGAATGCTAAATTGCAAAATTAGGAAAAAAAACAGCATTATAGAAAAAATTAATAATTTTTCAAAATAATATTTGGAATCAAAAATTTAATTTAGTACTAAGTTAAACAAAATTTTACAAGTTTAAAATTTGCTAATTTCTGTTTATTCGAAAATTTTACAAAGCAATAATTATTGAAACAAATGCAAAAATAATCGTATTAAATTTTTAAGGTCAGTAGTGGGAATAACTGAATTTTTTAGTTTGTAATAGAAAAAAATTTATCAGCTCGTTATATCAAACGTCGTTATAGCGAGATTCGAGTGTACTAATTTATGAAATATAAAGCTACTTGAAAATTGAATTTAAAAAAAAAAAAGAAAAAAAAAGAAAATTAGAACATTTTTTGTATTATTTAATAGGAATTAGATTTAAAGAAGCCATGGATGACTGACGCAATACGAACAGAAATCCAAAGGAAAAATAAACTCTACACAAAGGCAAGAAAAAGTAAAGATGCCACAGAATGGGAAAATTTTAAAGATTTAAGGAACAAAGTTACACGAATGATACGAGACGCAAAGAATGAATATTTGGAGAAGTATCCTGAAAATAAGGTAAATTTTAAATAACCCTTTTTTTCAATTGAAAAAAAATTAAAAAATTCTTTATTTTTCTCCAGGCCTTAGTTGAAAATTCAGTGGATGATGCACAGGAAATTATCATGGATGAAGAAGAAAATATTTTAAAAACACAAGATGATGAAATTATAATTGAAGAATCAGAAAATATTGAAACACATCAAGAATCAATAAACGAACAAGAACATATTAAATGTCAAGAAACAGTGCAACTTGTTGCTGCACAAAATTAGAAAAGAAAAATTAAAAAACAAACAAAATATTTAGTTTCAAAAAGAAAATTTTGTGTATTAGTTGTTTGCTGATTAATTTAATTCGATCTTATGAAAGAAACTAATTTTAAAAGTAATATCATTTGTTTTTACACAAAAAAAAAAGAAATAGTAATTTAATATCTACCTGAAAGAAAGTATTTTATATGCAAGTAATAGTAAAAATACGTTTATTTTATTTTTTTTCTCACCCAAACCGAATTAATACTCAGGCATTTGAACGTTCAGTTGAACGAATATATTTTTACAATTATTTCCTTTTTAAAATTAAATTTACATTTATAGAAATTAATGTTTTGCTTTTGTAGTTTTTTTTAAAAAAAAAAAAGAAAATATTTCGTTTATTTGAACATTCCAAACTTTGGACATATCCGTTAATTTTCATGTTTATCTTAGATGAATTCTTATTATTTTAAAAAAAAATCGCATAATTAACAGTTCATTATTTGTAAATAGATTAATTCCTAATCTAGAAAATAAGAATGCAGTGCGTCAAGTTGTGAAAGTAACATAAGTTTAAAAAAAAACCAGAAAGAATGAAATGTAATTTATTAGTCAAAGAGTCTATTTCTAATAATCTTTATATGATATTTATGTTGGCAAAGTAAATACAATGTCTATAAATGAATATTGTTGTTTTAATTTACTTCTATAATTTTTGAAAAAAAAAATTAAGAAATTTACAATTGATAATTTTTTTTTTTTTTATTCTAAAAATACAATCTTACAATAAGAATCTGAATTATTTCGAATAATCTTAAAATCTATAGGATCGTTAATAATAAAGAATCGCTCAGCGATTTTTAAAGGCAAGTGTAATGGCACTAGGCCTGACATTTCTTTCAATGGCAATTGAAATAAAATTTACAAATTTACAATTAAGTCACAATGTTCAATCCATGAACTGTATTTTTTAAATAAAAAAGGGACTAAATATTCTTAAAATTAAAAAAGAGTAAAAATGATATGATTTTATGGTCCCGTTGACTATACAATAATTTATAGTTTTTTTTTTCTAATAAATTTAATTAGAAATAGATAAAATATCTAGTTTTTTTTCTAAGAAATTAATATTCTCTGTTTTTAAAATGGAAGACCATTTTGTGAACGTTTGCTAAACTTACATAACAGTTTCAGAAAAAATGAAACTGCCCGGAATTTCGATAAATTATTTCTCCTGATCAAAGTTCAAGAAATCGAAGCAAATTTTTTTTTTTTTATACATTTGTGCTACTTTTTTTTCCCCTCCATTTCTTCTCTCATCATATAGATGAACACCTTTGATTCACAGTTCTATTGAATGAATACTCGCGAAAGCGTGAGTTTTGTTCACGTTATTTTTCGCTTGCTTCCTTCCTGCTAAATTTAGCATTTTAAATTATTTAAACTCTTGCAATTTTTCATAATTCTTTTTTTCGAGACGAAGAACATTTTATTGGTAAATCCTAGGGTTTTCGTTCGGAACTAGAAATACGTCTAGTCAATTGTTGATGTAATGCAGATCCATTTTGATCTTTGGTAGGCTCATTTGGTACTTCCAATTTTTCTGATAGAACAACGGGGGTTTTTTTTCCTGGACTAACATCTCTTACAAGACCTCGGAGAAACATACTGGCACATGTCCATGGGAACATCCTGTGGCAAAAATTAAGAAAATAATATTACAATTTTCTGACAATATTTAAAAAGAATTTTTTGAAAATATATATAAAAAAATTTATTTACCATTTAATCGCTAACATTAATTGCAGATAACCCGGAAGAATTGCAAATTTTTCATTACATCTCATTGCTTTGATGACACTGTCAGCCACTTCGTTTGGACTCAATGTCGGTACAAACCTAAAAAAATAATTTTATTATGTCGTAATATAAAAATAATTCAAAAATTATGTTTTATTTTTAAAAATACTGAAATTTTTTTTCCAAAAAAGCTTAATAGACTTAAATACCTCTAATTATTATCAAATTCTCAGTTAATTATTTATTTATAATTACAATTAGAAAATAATTGATTATTATTTTTTTTTACCTCGAAAGAACTTCTTCGAACATTCCTGTACTGCGAATAAAGTAGGGACATACTACGGTGGTATTAATATTGTAGCCTTCAGCCTGCAATCAACATTAATTTTATGTGCACGGAATAAATAAACTCGTAAAAAAAAGGTTATAATCTTCGTCATTCACAAAACATTTCATATATAATAAACACTGTTTAGTTTCTAAAATTTTAACTCTAATTATCGGCAAATTTTTTATTCATTCTCGTATAATTGAACTATTTAATTATTTACCATTGTATTTACTTTTAATTAAAAATGTAAGAAATAAAAAAAATAGATAATAGTTACAAAAAATTTATACAAAAAAAATGATTTTTAAATTAATTATTTTACTCTAATTTTCAAAATATAAATTAAAAAAGTTTCTCAAACTTGAAAAAGAAAGATTTAAAATCCCAGAGAATTTGAATCGTTTGATGGCAAATCGAAATATTGCGCAAAATTCAACGATCGTAAATAAAAAGAAAAAAAAATACCTAAATATATTCGTTGGCGTCTAAATTGTCGAATTTTATTTTATTTAAGTAATTGCAAAACACTACTGTCATAAGTGTCAATTGGTATACGTAAATAAAAGAGAATGCAGATTTTATATTCTCGAACGTCTCAAATCGTTTATAGCCAAGATCAAAATTCATTACTGTGAAACCTGTAATGCGAAGTTTATTGCAAGATGTAAAAAAAAAAATTAAGGATTTCATCACTCACCAAGACAACCTTCGATTATCAAATATGCCGTTAGATACTTATATTACAAATTATAGTTTTTTCCCCCCCCTTTTTTTATGCAATTTAACAAATTCAACAAGAATTCAATGATCACTTCTTTTTCAAATAAAAAAAAAAAATTACTTAAAATTTTGCAATTTTTTATTACTTCTTAATTTACCTATTGATTACACACATCATATACCATAAATTATTTATAGTTAGTGTATACAAATTAAATTTAATATATTGGTATGTACTTAACCGGTTTTTAAGTTAATGAACTTTATATTAATTTGAAAATAATTGTTATTAAAATATTTCTAAACATCTAATTAAAATTATTATTAAATTCAACAAAAAAGAAGCGGTAAATTTCTTCTAATAGTGAAATATTATTATATTAGAGGAAAAAATATTATTTTAATTGAAAAAAATAAGAATATTTTTTTAATTATAATAGTTGGAAAAATGAATTACTTACTTCAAGCTCAATCCTAAGAGCTTCATCGAAACCGACTGCAGCGAATTTCGATGTACAATAATCTACTAATTTAGAAACTCCTACGTGTCCTGCTAAACTTGCTATACTGACTATGTGGCCTTTATTTTCTTCTAACATTTCTGGTAGAAAGGCCTTCACTGTCTGTAACAATAAAAAAAAAAAATTGTAAATTATCAAAAAATTTTCAATTTTAATATAAGAATAATTCTAAAAAAAAAAATTATTCAATTGCTAAAATTAATATAAAATTTGAATTAAAATAAATTCGTAATTTCTTCTTTGAAGTCGATTAATGTCAAAGGAATTAAGAATTTTAATTCAAAAACTACAAAAGTGTGCTAATTAAAAAGAATGAAATATCAATTAAACATCCGTATGTGAATGATTAAAAAAAATAAGAAACAATATTCAAGACGCAGGAAATTAAAGAGAGAAAATAAAATAAAAAAAATTTCAAATCTCCTCAAGTGTTAAAGGTGAACTCGTGACTTGTAAAAGAGACTGTTGGCGAGATCCTCTCGAAATGACCATGACATTGAAATACGAAAGATTCATGGATCGTTGCCGTTCAGTGAATCGCTGTTAAACCAGGTCAATTACACCTGTATTATCATTGGCATTATTTCTATCATTAAGTAAACTTTATAACTCAATTTCGTTGAAATTCATTTAGTTTTACAATTTTTATTCTATTTTCAATTTATAATTTTAATTTTTTTTTTTAATTTATTATGTTTTTATTCAAATAAATTTGAAATTTAAATAAATTTTTGTCTTTTTTTTTTGTAAACAATTTTTAATTTTTTTCCGAAAAAAAATAGAAAATAAAAATTCTTTGATTTTCGACTGAATTTTTTTTTTTTTGTTATGATTGACATTTTGATCTAATAATTTTTCTCTATTCGCGCAATAGTTTTGCAAATGATATGACGATAGAAACGAGTGATCCGACCGGTTTATACACCTGACCAACGGCAACATATCAGAGAAATAAGAGGCATAGGGCTCATAAAGTACCTCTCACTGCAAATTCCTTGACTGAATTCACATAGTCCTTGCAATTTAGTATATATTTTCTTAATAAATTTCTTTTTTTTTTTTTTAATTTGCCCTTGCAGTGACAAAAAAAAAGTGTAACATGTTTACCAAAATAAATGAATGGAAAATTTCCTTACTCACAAATATTCGAATCGATTAACTTAATCGTTTTTATCCTTTTTAGTAGTCGTGAAATTATAACGAAAAAAAAAAAAAATCTTGTTTACGAAATTGATGGAAAATTTCGTTACTCCAAATATATAATAAAAATCAAATCAATTGCTTCATACTTATGGTATATGGTGAGAGAAATATTTAAAATCACAGTTAAATCTATCTAATAAGATTAGATTCGAGAGAACAAACTTTCAGCATTAAGAAATCGTGTTCTTTGTGCACATGCTTTTGTAATTCTAATTCTGTTTAATGAAATTTTCAATTGGAAAGTCTTTGCCGCATCAGTGAGAAATTAAATGGCAATATGATTTTCTAGAGTAAATTTTTTTTTTCCTCCTTACCCAAAAATGACTCATAATATTCACGTCCATTGTTCGTATTATCATTTTATCGGGAGTGTCCAAGAATTTCTGTCCACTAACTATTCCAGCATTATTTACAAGAATTGACACCTGAAAAATAAACAAAATTATTATTTTAATAAACAAAATAAATTGTATAAAAATGTTTAAAAATAATTTTTTTGTAATATTTTAAAAAAAATAGAGAAACAATTTTTTTAAGGGGCAAAGCAGAAAAAATAATTTTTTTCTTTCAAGAATAAAAATGTCTATTGCAATTTTTTTTTTTTCCATAAACATGTGATGTTCTTCAGTCTTCTAAAACAGGTCGAGCATGCCACATATCAGAAACATAGGTATTGCAATCTTATGGCGTAATGTGGACTTTCATAATGCCATCCCCTCTTGTGATTGCCTTTACAGAATGACTCGACAAGCAACACAAGTATATATAGGCAGAGATATAATAGACAAAACTTTTTTTTTTTTTTTTTTTGCAGTAAGTCATTTTAAAGTCCTTAGCGAAGTTTCTAAACGATTCATGATTGTCGTAGTAAAATATATTCTATAATGATGATAATAATAATAATTGTCTAGACCTTCTCTCAAGTTCAACGGCATTATTAATAAAAAATAAAAAAAAAAAAAAAACTCATGAAATTGACGTTAATTTCACTTGAGATGAACTTTTCATTTGAAAATTACGGTCAAGTTGACTTTAATTTATTCATTTCTTAATTTTTAAATTTCTTTTTTTTAATCTTAATTAATTTTTTTCATAGACATTTTCAAAATAAAATAAAAGACATTTTTCTTGGTAAATTTTCAAATCGACCAGAAGTTTTTTGCAAATAAAAAAAAGTTTTCTCCCATACAGTCATTTTTTTTAAATATTACGTAATTTGAATAGTTTTTACAAAGAAAAATTTTGAGTTTGAGAAAGTAGTAAAAAAAAAAAAAAAAAAATTGAACGCAAAAAAAGAAACATCCCGTAAGAAATGTAGGCTAAACGGTAAATGCCGGAGTCAGATGCAAAAAAAAAAACCGGCTTCGTTGGCCGAAATCCGGCCGACACATTGACAGCTCTGATTATAAACTATCCTTTCTATTTTTTTTTTTTGAACATTTAATAGGTACCTGATACACCTATTCGGAAGAAATATTTTTTTAATAATCTCCTATTTTGTTGAAATCACAGTTTATTAATAATTAATTAAATTTTGAATTTTTAAAAAAATGAAAATTTCAATTAATAAAATAAGTATAAGAAATATAATAAATTATAAATGATTCTTTACATCATTAAATTATATAAAGAATCATTTAATAACTAATTATATAAATAATTTCTCGAATCATTTAGAATAAAAATCCAGTGAATTGCACTATTTACTAGAAGAACAAAAAATATTAATTCTTTTGCTTATTAATGAATGAATTATACTTGCTTCTGTTTTTTCTTAATTTATCCTTTTTTTCGGATGTATAACAACTGTGAACTCATCAACTACAAATTATTCATTTAAAAAATTTCTCATTTCATTCAAGTCATGGTTTTATAATTATCCGAGCATAGAAATCAACCGAGTGAAAAATTAAAGGAACTAATTTAAATTAATACCCAAAAAAAAGGAAAATTTTTTTTTTTTGAAAATTGTCGATAATTTTTTGTTTTACTTACTCTTCCGATTTCTTTTCTCAGAATTGACGCTTTTTTGTAAACGTCTTCACGATCACAGAGGTCACAGAGATACCCGTAACAAGTTCCACCAGAAGCTTGTACCAATTTCACCGTTTCATCGATACCTAGAAAAGAAAAAAAAAACAAAATTCAAATTTCCAATTTATTAATTCAGATTAAATTTCTCATCATTAAATTTTTTTAAAAAAAATTAGTTATTTATCGAAAAGTATTTTTTTTTTAAATCGCAAACTTGTTTTTATTATTTAAGCATAAATTTTTGATTAATTGTATGTAAACAGAAAAAAAAAATTTTAATACAGAAAAAAAATGGAATAATATATGAAATTTTAATTATTCTACTTTAAAATTAATAAAACACTTTGCAAAATAATGATCTTATTATTAATCATTATTTTGCAAAATAGAATGAAACAAAAAAAAAATTTAATTGGATTTTTTCATGTACGATTTTTTATACGAGTGTAAATAAATTGTATATATATATATATAGTGTCCTTTTTTACAAGGTGGAATAAGACACAAGTGTCATGACTGCATATATGCGTGATACTTTCCTTGAGAAACATTATGCGAGAGAGGATTTATTAGTCAGACTTTAAGTAGTAGTGAACCTCGTTAAGACAGACGTGTAAATGGTCGGTATACATATATCACTATAATACAAAAATATGCCAACATTCTGTCAGCATTAGGCCAGATTTTGACCCCACTTTATTATTTAATTTTTTTTTTTCAGTGAAATTTACAAAACTATCGCAATTAACAGTTATATAAAATTCCTGAATTAAAAAAAAAATTAAATTAAAAAAAAATTATTATAATTTTCATAAATATTTATTTTTATCTCCTAAATTTTTTTAAAAATAATTTTTTATTAGAGAAAATTTCTGCTCTATAATTTTTTTTTTAAATTTACTATTTCAAGTGATAAATTTATCTTTTAATTACTTGTATATTATTTTTTATCGAAATTATTATTTTAGCAAATTTATTTTTTTTTGCTTACTATAAAATTATAACATTTAGTTCTTGTGAAAAGTGAAATATTTTTGTTATACAATTTTTTTGAATGCAGCAATTAAAAGTGTTAAATGTTGCATGAACGTAGTGATAATTGTTTCAAATTAAAGAATAATCGACTAGAATTATTTTTTTTACACACATATGTTGTAAGTAATATAAAGTGAAAGTAAATATCGTGTAACATATCAGTTTCTTTTGCACAAGGATGCTTCAAAAATATATAGTTGAGAAAAAAAAATAGTAACTTCATCATAATCACGATTACGATATCTGTAATCGCGTGCGCTCATTTTTTGTGTTGCGTGATGCGAATTTTTGTTTGTTCTTTTTCCGTTTTTTTTTTTTTTTTTAAAGGAAGAAAGTGTGGTACCTATTAGTGCCATTTTTGCTTTCTTCCTTCCGTCAAATTTCTAGTTTCAAGTGCATATGTGACGTTCCATGAAAAAAGGGACCTTAGCTGCAAAAAAATGAAAATTGAGTTTTTGATATCAGTCGATAGATCTTGAGTTGCTCTTTCAGATACAAAAGTTAAAAATTGTACTTTTCTATTTAGTTTTTTTGTTATAAAGCATTAATCATGACCATGTTAATCGCGTTCCAGCACGGACTACAGAAACCATCCCCACCACTTCTACACTAGTATACTTGTCGTAAGCGTGAGCTGTAGGAACGATGTAGTAGTAAGGTGGTGGGGCTGATTTTCGATGGAGGGTCTCAACCAATCAGGGACGCTCTACTTTAAATACCTTTTCTGGAAAATGCGTCTATTGCAGCTAAGGTCCCTTTCCTCATGGAACGTCACATATATAGAAAGTTTGAGTCTGCCAAAATGTGATCTCATTTTTTTTTCACATCCAGAAATTTTTTTTTATCGCTGTTTCAATCAAGAAGTAAATATCGTTTTTTTTTTTTAATTCGAAAAAATGTTTCTTTTAACTCATTTTTTTTTACTGTCTGTATTTATTTATATTTGTAAACAATATTAATAAAAATGGAACAAAATGGTTTTTTCTAGTATGTTTCAAAACCTTGAAAAGGATAAAACCGGCTTTACTGCTGTTTAGCGCATACAGCAAACAAGGGACTTGTTTCTGATCAAACCGTTAGTCAACTGTTTCTCTCCAGTTGTGATTTCCCTTTTTTTCATTGTTTTAACACTATGTTTATAATATCATTGAGAATAATATATTGTTATAATCAATAACAGTTTCATTATGATTACATCATATTTTTATTTTTGTTTGCTGTAGAAAAAAAAAATATATTGTTTTTTGAAAATAATAAATTTTTTATTTTAAATTTGATATAATTTAATTTGATAATTAATTTTTTTTCATGAATATTTGAAAGATGAAAACGTGTATCAGAATATTTTTGCGATTTTCCAAATACGATATTTAATTGTATATATGGTTATTAAAATTCTGTACACATAGATCGAATCGCCCGTGAACTCATACGGCCATTAAAGGTTAAATAGTCTCGCTTAAGGAATTTTCCTCATTTAACAAATGTACCTGTAACAATATTTAACATATCAAATTATTTAGTCAAATTTTTCATAATTTTAATTATCATCATAATTGAATGAATTTATCGAAAAAAATTTATTTATCAACAAAATTGTAAATTTGTGTGATAAATTATTATTACAGATGTTATATATTTTTTTTTTTGAAATTTATGGGTCTTATGCAATTTAGATACAAAGATAATTATGTAATTTTCGATTGCGATAACGTAATTGGCAAATTTGCTATATGGCCGTAAATTCATATTAAGAAATCTATATTTTCTTGATAACAGTTTTGTTTTCACAAAATATAATATATATATCTAATATATAATAATGTTTCATTATTAATATCAAAAAAGGAGCGTGTATTACAGTAGCTGATTGCCTTTCATATAAATAATAACCAATTCACAGTGTAAAATATCATTTTACAAATGTAATAAAATACATCTTTCGCAAAAAAAAAAAAAAAATCAACTTTTTCACAATAATTTATCGTTTCGAGAAATCATTTTAGTCAATTCTATGAAAGTTTGTTGATTTATAAAGGACAACATGTATTAGCTAAATGAAATTTCCAACCGGATTATAATCATGAATTTATAAATAGATTATAAATCTGTAACAATATGACTTAATGAATTTCAAAACAATTTTTGATAAGAACGAGAGAAGTTTATAAACTTTAACTAGAACAACTATTAATAAATTATTATTAAATGAATAATATTTAACATTATTAATAATTTATTTACACAAAAAAAAATGATTTTCATAATAAAAAATATTTCATTTTTGAAAATTCATTAAAATTTGAAATTTAGATCATAGAATATTTTTAATGAACAAAAAATTTTTTACAATAGACAATAAAAGAAAGTTACAATAAAAATATTGTTGAATAGGTTTTACCGAATAATAAAAAAAAAATCTACGAAAATCATAAAACGATATTTTCTGCATTAAAAATAATAATTTAGTTTCTATTTCAAGGTTTCACTTTTATGGTATTATTTTACGTTTGAATGACAATGCCAAGCTTCATAGATCATAAAAAAAAGGAACATTGACTTTTCGCAAAGTGAAACTCTTGAATGAATTGTATTAAAATATATATATATATATATATAGAAAGATATCATTGTTTACGCCCATTTAGAAATTAAACCAGAAGCGGTCCAATTATCGTAAAGATCGTAAAAGTCAGTCACGAAGGTGTGCTAATAATTTCACAAGCTTTTACATCTTTATGCGCGAATATATTATTACATCCACACACAATCATCTTTATTGTCCGTATAGAAAGAATTTTTTTTCTTAAAATCCATTCATTAAATCTTCAATAAATTGCATAAGAGACAAAAACAAAAATAACAACACTGAAAATGTTTTATTCAAATTTTTTTCTATACTAATAATAATTTTTGATAGAATTCCCAAAATCTAATCTCTGATTTTTAGGAAAAAAAATAATTTATTAGTTTTTGATCTAAAAAAAAAATTTTTAAATGTCAAAAATAGAGAATAAAATTTTATTTTATAAAGCAAAAGATTTCGACTATTATGAATTATTAATTAAAAATTCTTTTTAATATTTGCATATTTTTATATTTTTTTGCCATATATTATAATGACCTAACATAATACAAAAATTATTAATTAATCTTAGAAATTGACCATGAATCTAAATATTGCTGGCTTTTTGCTTATATATATAAATATTTCTTTATGGTCAGTAGACTAGGCTATAAACTATAAATTACATTATTTCAGTCAAGCTTGACTGTAAAACCAATGCAAAATCCTTTCATCATAAACCAGAATGAAAACATTTCAAGCAGTGAAACGCATAAACAGTTATTTATTCCAATAATTAGTAATATTTCTTTAGTTTAACGAGATTTTTTTTTAAAAAAGTCTATATTAATTTACAATAAAAGGGAAATTATTTAAAAATATATATTTGAAAAATAACGATAGAAAAATGTAATAAAAATACTAAAATTCATTAATTTAAATAAAAAAAAAAACAATATAATTACTTTTAATTTAAAGGACAATAAAACGTAATGTAAACATTTCGATTATATTCTACGAATTTTTTTTTTCGATATCAACCTTGAATTTAGTTTTTTTTTTATTTATTTCTGTATTATTTAAATTTAGATTGCTTTTTTTTTTGCTGAGATATTTTTTTATCAAAACAATAATAAAAGTCTAGTAAAAGGAAAAAAAAAAATACCTTGTTTATTGATGTCCCAAACAACAACAATAGCACCAAGATTAGCCAAGCGAAGAGAAAGTAATCGTCCAAGTCCACCGCCACCACCAGTAATAAGTGCAATTTCGCCGGAAACACTTTTCATTCTATATTTTAATGGTATAAACATCCGGACCAAACTCTCAACAATAGCTACTGCCGAAAGTAGAAGAAATCCAATTACATCGCCGGTAGATTTTATAAACGACATTGTTGTCTTCTCCAAAACTCCAGTAAAGCACGTGCGTTTGTTATTATTATTGTATCTTAACGGTTTACTAATCGGCGAAATAACCGACACACCACAATAATATTCAAAACCGCATAGCGCCTTTTTTAAAAAAAAAAAACAACTTTCAATCTCCAGCAGCAATGTCAAATGGAATTTTGAGGTTAGATTTACACGCCGAGGGTGTTTCTTCTTCAATATTTGTTGGAGGGTGGAACCGGCTCGACGATATACCCTCGGCTTTGGCCGAAGTCGTCCGAACGTGTTCCACGTGCAATTGATAACACTATTTTTCACGCGGTCATTCACTTCTATTAATTGTCTCAACTTTTTGGAATCTGTCCTGTAAAACAAAAAGAAAAGTTAGTTAAAAGTACAAATTTTCTTTAAACGAATTGTATAAAAATAAACTGTTTCTATTATATTATATATATATATGTTAATATATATATATATATATATATATATGTTAATTATTATTTCTTTGTTACATTTTAGTTTTAAAAACAATAACAACACTTCTTTTATTTTTAACTATGACAGTTGAATGCGGAAGTGCGGCCATTTTGAAATTTTGGATTTTTTTCGAACCTCTTCTGATTGGCTGGTAATATTTCCGGGTAAATTACAAACCAATTAAAAGCATTCTTTTCGATTAATATCGATTATTTTTTATTGCAATCATGTTAGGTTAGTTTATCAGTTTGACGTTTGACGGTTAACTATTTTGCAGTTATTTTTTTTTCTCAACTAAAACCTATTTTACAGTCAGAAAATAAGATCTTGATTAATTAAAGTGATCATATTTAAAATAATTTGATATATTAATATTATTTCTGATAAACTTATGTCAATTTTGTACTAATTGACTGCAACAGGTTATCTACTCATTGGAAAAATCACTTTTAATAGCAATCCTGTTTAAGATATCAATTTTTTAATCATAAACCGAATATTTCTTATCATTAATATAATTTTTTTTTTTTTAGGATAATCACTTGTCTTTATAAAATTTGGACCTTAAACTCGTGTGTTTGCTAAACAGAGACACTTTCTAGCAGTTCTCAAATGTCACTTTCATTTTCTGCAACGTGAATTTTTATATTACATAAAATAACGTTCTCAGATTTAAATAATACACGTTTAGTTCTTCTCGAGCTTGACTTTTATAACACACTGAAGCATATATCAAATTAGCAAATCGGACTTTATTCTACATCATAAAAGGTAAATTTAAAATCGAATTTTAATATAATGTGAAAAAATTAATTAAAAATTCTAATGAACAGATTAATTATTATTCATAATAATTCAGTGTTATAATGAAATTTTAAATTTAATATTTCCTTTATTCTAGTAATTGAAAATCTACTTAAATTTTTTTTTACTGTATTTTATTATAAATCAATGAAAGTAAAGTATGAAATGATTGTGTGAACAAATGTTGACACAGCTCTTCTATTTACTATTGCAAAGAACATGCATGCTTCATATGTAATTTAAATTCAAATACTTTCTTTGTAAATCTTTTTTTTTTTATTGCTGTTATTTTCTTTCACTGAATCGAGAGTCAATATTTTTTAAAACTAATTTTTTTCAGAAAATAAATAATTTTCTATGAGAATCTAAATTTTAATTAAATTATTAATTAAACTCTCCTTGTATTAAGAGTCAAGTGAATGAGATTTTTTTAATAAACATTACATTGATTTATAAATAAAACAGGAGTGGTGAATGAAAGTCGATTCAAGCGCAACAATCGCAAGTTTGATTTTATCTCAATATAGGAAATCTGATATATATACTTTTAGTTTCAGAAATAATTTGCATCACAGAATTTATTGAATCGAATTCATTAGACTATCGTGATTTCAAAAATAATGCATAATATCCACGAAAATATATTGAGGTTTCTATCATGGATTTTTTTGCAATAACATGAAATTCATTTTTTAATTAACGATCACCGTATGGGACAATAAGAAAATAAATTTGTAACAATGCTTGTAAAAATATGGATTGATTAGATTGTTTTATTCAATAAATCTTCAGGATAATCATGCAGAAGGTATAATTTATAATTTAAGAAAAAAAAAAACTTTTAGGGGAAAAAAATATTGTCATGCTGATAGTCATATTCACCAACTGTTACATTCACATTAATGAGGTTATTATGAAAGCTTAATGAGCGGATGGAAATTATTACAATCGCAAAATTCTCTTATTTGAAAATTGTGATAATTGTTCAATCAACTTTTTTCTTGTGAAATAACATTCCAATGAAATAATAATTTTGATGGATTTATTTTTTTTTTGTATTTAATAGAAGTTCATTTGAATTCGTATGTGGATTTTTTTTGTGTGATTATTATAAATGTACAAATTAGAGCCAGAGGAAACTTGTTAGTTCAAAAAAATTATTTAATTTCGTTAAAATTGCGGCGGAAATTACATTATAGCCCACAATCTCCATTTCAATCATAGAAATAGAAAAAGCAGCCAGTCTGACGAGTTTTTTTTTTACTACTGAAATTTGTACACTATCTTGCACCAGGCGCTTTGGCAATGGTCCCGCGCTAATTGTTTTAATATCCTATATTTTCTGTTTATGTAGATTATTTTAATACATTGCTACTTATGTGTCCGTTTTATTGCAATAATTTCAAAATTGCAATATCAAAACACTTTTTTTTTATTTCTTAGTACAATGAGTGTTAAATTAATTTTGTTTTACCTTTTATGTTCTATTTTTTTGGTAATTTTTTGACTAATATTTTTATTTATTTATTTTTTTTTTAAATAAGAAATTAATTTATTTTTATTAAAAATCATTGTTGAATAATTAATTTTATTTTTGATAAATTTTTAAAGTGTCTATAAATATTAGTTAAAGAGAACAGGTTCTTATTAATTCTGAAAGAGTAATAATTAGCGTAACAAGTGAGATAAAGTCAAAAAATATTAAATATTCGATCGTAAAACAAAATCTATTAATTATATTTAAAAATAGAATATAAAACGATTTCCGCGTGTTTTATATTACTTGGACTTGGGACATGTATATTTTACACGTCAATCATATTTTTTGACGAATACTTTAAATTATTGCATGCAATTTCGAGGACCAGATTCTTATATATATATATAGAGATAAATATTAGTTTGTTGCATGAATACACTATAATAAGTGTAATAATAGTTGAACAGAGAAAAATCTAGTGAAAGTAAAAAGGTACTGGTTGAATATGTTCGCGACGGGTTGAATACGTAATGAATTTATAAGAATTTCGCGGAATCACCACGTGTTATTTTTTTTCCCCTCTTTATTAATGAATAATTAAAAATTTTTTTTTTAATTTTCATATTTTTGGTTTCTTTTGATATTAAAAAAAATATGTACCACTTAAATAAATATTTTCCTTCTTAAATTCAAATTTCTCAAAGGGTTGGATACTTTTTTTTTTTGGTTTCTTGAATTAATTTTTTTTTTTGTTATTAAAAAAAATTCTTCATTTTTAGATGAAAAAATGATTGCAATGAAATAAGTAAAAATTTACATACAAGTATTTTTTTTTTTATATAAATACGCTTTCTGGGATTGCAAAATAATGAACAATTTAGAAAAGAAATTTTATTTTGAAACATTAGCAATATTTTAAAACGTCTAACATTTATCATTGTGAGATTATTAAAATCGCTTAAATGTTAAATGTAGGAAAGTAATGTTCACTTAAAGGTGATTTGAAAAAATTTCTATGTAATTTTTTAATCAATTTTTTTTTTATTTACATATATTTGCCACAAAATGCATTCGTTATAATGTAATGTGAACACCATAAGAAATTGCAAAGCATAAGCGATAAGATTTAATTCGTTCCGTATGTCGTATATTTAACATTTGAAAGCCAACACAAATGATCGATCTATTCAATTTATACAATAAATTTTTCTTTTACATCTATACTGAATTCCTGTGAGTAAATATAGAATTTGATCATTACCAACAAAATGTTTATATAATAAAAACAAGAATTCTTTTTTTTCAAATTTTGCTGAAAAAAAATCGATAACTTTTTAAATTGAATTAAAAAATTTATTTTCTTTTCTTAAATTACATTTATTTTGGTTAAATTAAAATTAATGTTTCAAAGCAAAAGAAAAGTTTTAATTAAAAAAAAAATAAATAATTTAATTTGAATAAAATTAAGACCCAATTAATAAATAATTACAGAACATCAGAATACTGGGGACAAAATTTGTTTTGTTTTTACTTTTATTAATTTGTATAATTGAGATTAAAGATCAATATTGTAAAAAGAAGTTTAATTACTCAACATCAATGTGTGAACAGTAATAAAGGAATGTCATTAATTAGAAAAAATAAATAAATAAAAAAAGTGACAAAAGAAATTCAATGTTATAGTATTTATAGATCAATGAATGTTTTTTATTTACTATATTATATACTATCAGTATTAATTCACTTAGCGATACATTTATTTTGATATTTCTTTATTTCTCTTATTGATTTTTAATGTCAAAAGTTATCGATTAATTAATAAATGGAATTGTGTCAACCCAAGTAAAAAAAAAATATTGTTGACTATCGTGTTCTACAATAAAATACATAATTTTTTTATAATTAATCAATTCAATATTTTTAATTTTTTAAATTCTAATTTGAAATAATTAGAATTACTGTATAAATAATTTTTTTCACTTAATATTCAAGTGTAAATATTTTCAGAATGTAACTAATATCTGGTCTATTTGCAATTTCAGGATTAAAATGACAAGGTTGACTAATTATTCCGTTTAATAAGCATAAGTATTAAATTGGAATTTGTCCTGAATATACATAGAAATCTCTTATTTATCCGACACATAGAAAACCTGATTACATCTGTTATTTAAAATGATAGTGTCAACAAATATTTTTCCTTTTTTCGAAAAACAGTTTTTTTTTTGGATCACTTTTACCATTCGTCAACGTAAAATAATAATAAAAAAAAGGAAATGGAAAAAAAGGAGAAAAATGAAATTTGAAATTTAGATGCGAATGAGGATACATACGTGAATTAAAAAGGATCGAAGAAGAAGAAGAAGAGAGAGAGATAACTCCTATCGTCACTGAAGTTGATGGTGCACTGTCTTTGAATGACTGAACCGAAAGGAGCTAGAGTCTCAAGAACACGTTCACCTCACTAGGATTCCGAGCACTGAAGCTATCTATATTACTTTATTGCAACTAATCGCAAACACATGCATGTCTACTCAAAGGATTACTTACAAATATTATAGGTATATACATATACCTGTATATCGTTACATTAAATATAGTTACAAAAAAATGAAAAAAAACTCTTCAGACAACTATTTAGAATTTCAAATCTAAAATGATAAAAAGGACATTTTTAGATACTAAATTCAACTTATTTTTTTACTCTTAAAAATTCAACACATTTTTTCTCATAAATTTTTGTTGAATTTATTTTTTATTTACACAAGAATTAATAATATTTTTTTGCAAATAATCTAAATTAGAAAATATTAAATATTTAAAAATTAATTTCAATTAAAATAATTAATTGTAGATTAATATTATTAGAAAAATAAATAAATTTTTCAACTAACGAAAGTAATTTCAAGTGCAACTTATATATAATATATATATTCCTTTCAAGCGAGGAATATTAAAATTGAACTTGTCTGACTGTAACTTAATATTTCTACTTTAAATTTTCATCTGACCACCACTTCCTACGCCTAGTTGAAATGACTTTTATTACAGTTCTTATAACTATAACACTATTTATACCTCTTAAATTTTACATGTATTTAAAAAAATTACCTTAAGGAATTCACATCAAAAACTATTTGCAAATATTTACAATCATAATTAAATACTGAAACTGATATCCAATTGCCTAGTTAACTGAAAAAAAAGATTTTTTTAGCAATAATAATTTAATTAAATATTTAAATAAAATTTTCTTCTTATGTTTCAGGTAATGGGAAAAATTGAGAATTTTTTGATAAAAAATACCAGCAAAATATTATTTTGCTGAAAAAAATGGATTTCCATGTAAGTTTCATTTTTTTTTTACTACAATTATTTACATTTTTTTTTATCATCACATAATATTTTATACTAAAATTTGTGATAAAAAATGTTTTATGTTTTAAATTACTTTGACAACTATTAAAATTTACAACTTGACTAAAATAATATCGTAAAATTAAAAAAAAAGTCTTTTAATTTTTAGATCCATGATATGAAGGAGTATTAAAAAAAAATGAGATTCATTCCTGTAGATTAAAAATGTGGGTGACAAAAAGAAAGAAGAGAAAAAAGGTTTGAGAAACTTGTTTATTTTTAATGTAACAGGTTTTTGTATAACAGATATTCTTTCTCTCTTTCTCTCTCTCTCTCTCTCTCTTATCTCTATCAAATATCCTGAAAACCCTTATTTTAAGTTCCGATTGAGATCAATGCCAAACTAAACTTGGCCTTCATTCAGTGCACTGTCTCTTAATCAAATGCATACATTTAAGAAACATTCTCTTGCACTATTACCTGAACGCCCTTCACCTGCTTCATCATAATATTTCAATTGCATCTTTTTATCAAAAGTATTATTTTTTTTCATTCTACAATCTTTCGTCAATTTTTTCATTAAGTTATTATATAATAATTGAAGTTATAATAATTCTATTCGATGTAAACAATTTATAGAATTGAAATTTAAAGAAAATTTACACTGAAATCCAAAGTTGGATACGTAAAATTTTTTTTACTAGTTTGTCAACTGTTCAAATTAAATTAAATATTGAGAAACTATGTTATCGGTCAATTTTTATTTCGCTAAAAATTTTTTACTAGAAATGGAAGGTTGTTTTCTTTCATCATCATCAGATTGCAATACAATGTAAATAAGGATTTTAAAGCCAATTAAAATGATCTGACTTGTTGTGAAATTCCTTATAGATACACAACACATTTATTATATATATATATAGTTATTTCATTTTAAAAAAATAAGGGAAAAATATTTTTTTTCCCCGCTATAGATCTTTTTATATAAAAACAAGTTTTACATTTTACGATACTAGTAGAAATAGTTTTTTTTTAAGAATTGCAAAATATAATAAATCTATCAAATTTAAAATAAATCAATAAAATGAAGAGATTTAGAAAAATTCGAAAAAAAATTATTAATTTCTATTTTTTAATATTTTTTAGAAGAAGAAATCTTCGCAAATAATTGCATGAGGAATTCTGGTGTCCTTGAACTAGAAGTGTGTTACAGGATAGTTCTGCAATAGTGCAAAATGGATGCACTTTTATGATCATACAAACGATGCCAATCGATATTAAATCACGAAACCGGTTTACTTCCTTATACATTTAATACAATTTTCTTACAAGTACGTATTCTATTTATAATAATTACAATTAAACTAGAAAAAAATTAATAATAACAAACAATTTCAAATGAAACTAGAAAGGCCAAAAGGTAAAGTACATTATACGAGAAAAAGCTTATAATTTTCAATTTTCCAAATTCTTAAAGTTAATTTTCTTCATTGTTGATTAATTTATGTTTGAATAATTTAAAATTTAATTTTTTTCTCTAATTAATTTTTCCAATATTTTCATTTTAATTACAATATTATTGAACACTTTTTTTTTTATAAATTCATTCAAGTGTCGTGCATATAATTGCACAAGATTTCATTGAATAAAGAAAAAATTGATAAATTCTCATTTTTCTTCAACTAATCAATTTTTTAATTAAAAGAATAATTCAACAAAAAATTAATAGAATTTCGCTTACGAACATATTGAAAGTGGATAAAATTGAAACCGCGAAAAGTCTTTTTTATTTTATTAGCAATTTAGTTAAGATTAGGGCTTTCTGTTTATGTGAATAGTTTTTTAAGGACATAACCCTCATGTAAAGGAGGCAATGCGCCTTTAATCACATTATGTAAAATAAAATAAATAAAAATAATTCAACAAAAAAAGGATGTTTAAAAAAACAATTTTTTAATAAATGTAAAGTATTCTGTTTTTTACATTAAAATTTTTTGTCATTACTGTAATGTGTTTGCAAAATAATAAAATTCAAATCAAATAGAAGATAAACAATAAAAATGTAAAATATTAAAAAAAAAATTATTTTCAAAAAAATTCTTCTTCGAATAAGAATAATTCAGAATCGGTGAAAGTCACTGATGACCGACTGTGAAATTATTCGCATAAACAGTTTCGCACTTTGCGCAACAGATTGCTCTCTCAGATAATTTGATAATTTTTTTTTTAATTTTTAAAAAAGATCATAAAAAATAATGCAGTACTTATATCATTAAAACCTTTTTTTTTTTTTTTGAAAATTACAATTCTTTTTTTCAGTAATTTTCTGAATTACTTACAAATTTGTCAATGTGAAGAAAAGAGTAAAAATTAAAAAAACAAAATAAAATTAATTAAAAGTATCTTTAATTTAAAAAAATATTCTAAAATATTTTTATTCTGAAATAATATTTCTTTACGCATTGCATAAAAAATTGAAAAAAAAGGAATTGGAAAATTGATAAATTATTTGGCATTTCTTAACAATTTTGTACATTATTATAACTAAATTATGTATTGCACTTGATGCAAATTTACATAAACTTATAATATGTGATCTTGTGCAATATCCATAGAATATGGGAAAAAAATTCAACTTATATCTAATAGATTCAAAGGTTGATTTTAACAGCATTCACAAATTATAATTAATCATAATTTGAAATCAAACAAATCGTGCATTATGTCACATTAAGATATCTAAAAAAAAATGTTTATTATAAAAGCAAAAGTTACGATAAAGTTGAAATAGATTCTTTAGATAATATATAATCAAGATACTTAAATCAAGCACTTATCAATGATTTATTATTTTATTCGAATATAATTTGTTTGCTTTAATTATTTTTTACTTATATAAAAGAGAAAAATTGACAAAATCAGGAAAATGTTAGGTGGAAAAAATTTATATAAGAATTCAACTAATTTTCCTCTTTTTTAAAAAAAATCCAAAAAAAAGTCAATGATCTATTTTAAATAATCAATAATCAAGTTCCTTGCAGTCTAGAGAGATGGAGTCACTTTCTCAATTATTCTTGATGAAGAATCTGCTTTTTCAAAGGAAGGAAATTTTATTTTCTACAGCCAACAAATGAGTAAAATTAAAATTAATTAATGATTCCTTTTTTTTTTGTTTTATATATTTATTTTTTTAATAAATAAATTTTTTTTAAATAAATAATTTAAATATTTAAAACTAAAATTATCAAATAAATGTTAATTTTTATTAAAACTTTAAAACAAAAAAAAAATTTGGTAAATTTTTATATTTAGAAATTTTCTTTTTTTTAAATTTATTATTTGGCACTATTGTGGCATAACGAAGTTGAAGAAATGCTTTAGACATAGGGTCATGATAATTTCTAAAACCACAAGCATCATTGTATTGACATACGTGATCATAACTCATCGTTATTGCATTCGCAATATGTAAATAATTTTCGCATTAGTAAAGTACAAGTTTGTTTTGCTATAGAAAAAAATTCATACCTTTGGAGAAGCAGTTTTCTTTAAACATGTTAAATGTAAAAAAATTGAATTTTTAAAATATTTAAAAAAACTTCTAATACATAACTGAATAATTTTCTTATTTAAAAATTGAAATTTTCGGTATAATTAATTAAAAATAATTTAATGCTGTGAGCATTTGGATAAAAACATAAAGATTATTTAAAGTTCATTTATAACTTACTTAGTATTCAAGTGATCAATTTGCTTACAGGAAATATGAGCATAAATTTATTTTTATTGAATACCTTCTTGTATAAACATTTTTTCTTTTTGCCTTCGGGTTTTAGTTCTGCCTAAAGGCAATTTTATATAACTTTATTTATAATTTTCTTAAATTAATCAAAAATTAATTTTTGCTTTAATGAATAATTTGAAATTTTGTTCCTATAATTTGTAAAATAGAAAAAATATAGAATTAAATAAAAATTTTATCTCATTGAATCAGATAAGTGAATTAATGTTCCGTTTGATTCTCATTACAATAAAAATTTAGCAAATAAATTGTGAATCGACCTCAATTTGTGACTATTTTATTCTGCAAAGACGAAAATAGGTTGAGATATTTCTCCATAGAATATTTCATAACTTTCCCATAAATAAATTTTCACTTTGATTTTAAATTTCATTATTTTTTGTTTAAATTTTTTAATTTTGAATATTTGTTTTTATAATTATTGACGTGTTCAATTAGAAGATGTCTAAATTTGCAAGTAGGCGAAAAAGAGTGGATTCATATATATATAAAAGTTAAGAGAAGGGATTGCATTTTCCTATAGAAATAACGATACTTTCAGGTTTCACTTGTTGATGCATAGGATCTATGTTTGAATCGCGTGTACCAGTAAGTTTTGCTGACTTCAGATTTCGAGAGCCTCCACTTCTATATAGATTCGCACAGAGAAGGACTATAGTAAGTTTCGCTAGTACATGAGCTCGATCGTACAGAGAAGTAATATGCCTCGCAATTCGAATTGTGAACTTGTGTGGGAAAGAGTGGTTCCAACATCCTCAGGACATTCTCTTAAACTCAGTGAGGTACTCACTTTCTATCTTCGTAGAAGACAACGATCATAACAGAGAATTCAAAAAGAAAAAAAAAAAAAAAAAAAAAAAAAAAAAAAGTGAATTTTCGGTAGGACACGTTCTGAAATTAAACACAAAATTTAATAAAAATTACACTCATTTGAATATTCCTAGACAAAATATAATTGAATTTGCACTGGGACAAATGTTTTATTTCAACAAAAATTTGAAATTAAAAAACGAAAATTTTTGAATTAAAAGTTTTCCATTTGGAATTGAAACAAAATTAAATTAATTTTTATATAATTTTTAATTACAAAAAAATTTTAAATCCATGTATACTCGAAAACTAGTAAATTTAAAGCCTTAAAAAATTTGAATTTCAAAATTCAAAATAAGAATCTTCAAAATATTTAGCGTCTGTAAAATCATTGAAAATGTACAAAAAAAAAAAAATTCTTAGAACCTTACAATTTAAACGCAAATTTATTATTTATAACTTTCACCGTATACTATGTATTAATTTAATTAAAACGTATGTATATTGAAACAAGTTAAAATGAAATTTGCATATTAAAATGTAACATGATCTAGTTGATTTATTGGAGCAAACAATTTTATTTTTGTCCTTTTGTCATATCCGGAATTAGACTCGGAGATTATAAAATTTTGTTATATCGACAAAAAAAAAAATACCTTTTCTTTTTGATATTTTTATATTTAAAAAAAAACCATTTTCAATGAAAAAATGAAAATTTCTTTTTTTAAGAACTTCGAAAAAAATTATATTTATATTTAACGATATAAAGAGAAACACTGAAAGTTAAATTTATAAATTTGATAATAATGGAAGTTTGTTTTTTCAGATATATGAAAATGGATATCAAAACTTTATTAAGTATGATATACGATTTGTTAATAGTCACCGGAATGGCAATAGTGTATATAATGGAAGCAATGATTTTAACATTAATTCCAAGACGTTATCGTGGAAAAAATATAAAAGGAGAAGTGGCACTTGTTACTGGAGGAGCAGGTGGCATTGGAAAATTAATTGCTAATAAATTAGCCAATCTTGGTTGCAATGTAGTAATCTGGGATATTAACAAAATTGGTATGTAATGTAAAATTAAAGATTTTTCACATTTTCATTCTATTTAATTTAAGTTTTTTAAATTCCACTGGGGAAAAAAAGTGACAAAAGTTAATTAAATAATAAGAGACGCAATTATCATTTAATTAGTTAATTAATTATTTTAATTACTCTCCTATAAGATTTGAATTTTATTTTTTTTTCAAATGAAAAAAATTAACAAAGTTAAAAAAAAATTTCTCTTATAATTTCAACTATTAATTAAATTTCAATGAAATTGAGACAATTTATTAAATATTCTTTAATTGTATATAATAATTCGAGTATTTCTAGTAATAATAATGTAACAATATATAAATGAGTGGAAATTATGTTAAAATGGGACTAAGTGAAAGCTCATTTACCTCTGGGAAAATAATAAGTCTGTAAAGAAACGGTCAACAATAATAATAGAAAAAAAGTGTTATCTTCAAGAAAACTTTCTGAAGAAAAGAAAAAAAAAGAGAGATTTTTTTTTAACTTTAATCCACTTTCTTCAAAAGTCTTTGTAAAAAACGAAAAAAAATTCATATTTTTCCTTTTCTATTTCGCAATTTTTAATTTGAAGATATAATTTCAATTGTGAGAAAAAATTATTTTATTGTTTTTATCTTCATATAAAGATTCATAATAATTTATATTTCATATGATAATAAATTTAAGTGATATAATTTAATAGATATAAAAAATTTATTATTTTTAAATGCGGGAAAAAAAATTTATATATACTGCAATAATTGACAAAAAAATTTATCATATTTGAAATAACTGATTTCTAGTTCGTTGATCAGTGATAATTACAAAAGAACACTGAAGAAAGACATTAGCAAATATTTTCTCAAGATTTTATATACACTTTTAAAACTAATTCTGACTAAGTTGATATTACTGTTAAATAAATTATAAAAAAAAGAAATTTATAAATTAAAAAAAAAAAAATTAAAGTAAAAAAGTTTTTTAAGATTTAGAAAAAAATAAATTTAAACTTTCACACATTTTAAAAAGAAGAAAAATGGAAATCATAAGTTTAAAAATCTCTCAACGTTTGTCTATGAATTCTGAGTAAATTTTGAGAAAGTGGGTGTCAAACTTAAGTTAAATAAATTTAATGATTTATTGAGAAAAAAAAAATGTTACTCTCGCGTTAATTCAACAGAACCAAGAAATGCAAATTTATGTAATTACTAAAATAAACATAAATTTTTAATTGCAGTAATAATAAAAAAATAAAGTAAAGTTAGATAAAAAGAAAATGAGTTTAAACTAAAAATTTTTTGAATAAAATTTTGATTTATAATTATTTTTTTTATATTATTTTTTATTCACGCTTTGACAGATATTTTTTTTATAACTATGTAGTTTTATTTATCAATAATCTTAATTGGAATGTAAACAGAATAATAATTCTTTTTTATGAAACAAAGGTGAGAGCATAAAAATCAACAATTATAATTAATGATACATCCAAATTCATATTAAAAATTTATTGTCACCTTCCGGTTATAGAATATGCGCATCTTTTTGTCATATTTTTTTCAAATTAAATTTAAATTTCGTTTTATAAAATTAAATTTCAAATATATATAAAAAAATAATAATTTTTATAGGTATTGAAGAAACTGTGAAAGAAATAAGACAAAATGGAGGAAAATGTTGGGGATATTATTGTGACATTGCTGATAGAGAGGCAGTTTACAGAACTGCAAAATTAGTCCAAGTCGACGTTGGCAATGTAAGTTATATAGATAAATAAATAGACAAAAATTTCTAACATTAAGCAATTTTTACAAAAAAAAAAAAGAAACCAAAATCTTTAAACAAAAACAAAATAATATTTATTAAATTTTTTTTTTGCAAATTAGGTAACAATATTAATCAATAATGCTGGATATATTTACGGGGATACATTTTTGCAAATTCCTGATGACGAAATTGAAAAAACATTTAAAGTTAATATTTTATCACATTATTGGGTGAGTAATTTTTTTTAATAAATTGAAAAATACATATATAAATTATTATTAAGCAATTGTTAATGTTAATTTATTATTTAGTTCATTTTATTAATTTGTTGTATTATTTTGCAAATTAAATAAAAAAAAAATTTACTTTTTCTCTCAAAAGAAATAGAAATATTAATAAAAATATTATATTCAGATCACAAAAAGCTTTTTGAAGGACATGATGAAAGATAATCATGGTCACATTGTCACGATTGCCAGTGTCGCAGGATTATTGGGAACTTACAATTGTACTGATTATTCTGCAACGAAATTTGCAACTATTGGTTTTCACGAAAGTTTATTCACTGAATTAAAGGTAAAATTTGCTTACTTTTTTTTTTTTGAATCACTATTATTTAAATAATATATTTTAATTTATTTTAATTTATTTGAAATTTTGAAATTTAATAATTTCTATTTTTAATTAATATCAATTTAATTATATATGTTTAATTTAATTTCAGTCACATGGTTACAATGGAATACAAGCTACCTTGGTGTGTCCATATTTTATAAATACCGGAATGTTTCCCGGAGTGAAACCAAAGTAAAAAAAAAAATTATTTCTCTCCTTTTTTTTCTTAAATTAATAAAATAAGAATATAATTAAATTTGTGTTAAAATTTTCAGACTAATGAATAGCTTAGAACCAGATTATGTTGCCAATGAAGTTGTATCTGGAATTTTAACGAATCGTGTGTTAATAACACTTCCAGGTTTCATCAAATTATTCTTTCCTCTAAAAAGGTGAGTGAGCTGCTTATTTGAAAATACTTATCGAAAATTACAAAATAATTTCTCTTTAAGAAAAAAAAAAAATATTATTTTTTAGCATTTTGCCAGCAAAAATGTGTTGGGCAATGATGTATCATATTGCAAAAGGTCCACAAACAATGATGATGTTAAAAAGAAAGCATCCTCAATTATTAGAAACAAGATCTAATGGTATTTTAAAATCGAACAAAAGTGAATAATTGTGATATTCACAAACACACAAACTGTGCAGTATTTTTAAATAATATTTTCATTGAATTCACAACTTCATAAAATTTGAAGACTGAGAAAATAATACCTTTTTTTATAAGTAATTTTAAAATAAAAAATACTATTTATAAAATATCAAAAAAAAGTAACGTACCAAATATTTAAATTCTATTTAAATCCATTGAATTTCATCCATTTGACTCAGATTTTATAATCATTTTTGTCCACAATATTTTTTTTATAATAGACGATTTAATTTTATTTTAATAAAATGTTCTTTTTTTTACATCTTTTAAATTAATTCTTAAAGTAAATCGTAAAAATAATCGAGACCTTGTCCCAATTCCCAAATGGCAATTCCAGTTCCCAATTTTGTAGCGAGTTTCAGTCTTTGTTCAATTGAATATAATGTTGGATAGAAAACGTATCCAGGATTTTTATTTCTAGAATTTTAATTTAATATTAATTCTTTATATTTTTCTTAAATTTAATAGCAGGGGTTTTTTTTTTTAAATAGAATTAAAAATTAAAATCTTACTTTATTTCAAAGAAGTTTTCTTTGTTTTTATCATCCCATTTTAATTTTCCTTTATAAGATTCAAGTAATTGAAGATATTGTGAACCAACAATGGCACCGCCACCATCAGGCGTATAATTATTCCCATAGAAATTAAGTCCCATGAGAATTTTAGCTCTTTGCGGATCTTTATTATCGTGTACAAGTGCTTTAACGCATTTTTTAATCCAACTAACAGGAGCATTTGGACCGGGTTGCTGAACATTTGAATAATCATATGTCATCAATGAAAATGCAGTGATACTCGATGATAATAGATCAAAATGTTTTTTTTTAAACAATTCATCGCCGTTTCTGAAATAATATATTTAAAATTATAATAAAAAGTATTTAGAATATTTATTAATTAATAGTAAATATTTAGAAAAAATAAAATTATTTACTCTCTCCACGGTGGGAGAACTAGAATCGTATCTAATTCTCTATCTCTTAAAGCATCTGCAATTTCTTTGACAATTTCAGTGATAACTATTCGATTAACTCCTAAAAATAAAAATTGGGTCCATATCTCAAAAACATAGCCATCTAACTGATATGTCTGTAAAAATTTATTATTTTCAATTATATTAATTAATTACATTTAAAAAAAAAATTGTTTTTGATTTAAAAATATATTTTAATTTACCTCGGCAGTTTTGCTAAGAGTTTTTATTAATTGTACCATTGTATCTCTATTTAAATGCAAATTGGAAACTTCATCAAATGACCAATTTTCGAAAAGAACACGAGGTAGAACTGAAATTTAAACAAAATAATTTCTTAAAAAAAATTTTCATAATTAAATATGATTGTATATATATATATATATTTTTTTTTTAAATTACTCTTGACTTTATTATTTCCTTTATCTGACTGTTTTATCTCTTTTAACCATTTTTTTTGTACATCATGAGTTGATAATGAGAATTTAGATCCTTTTGTAGGTGGCAATGAGAACCAAACAGGAGAAAGCATTGTAAATTTATTAGAAAATAATTTTCCCACATTATATCCATGACCGTTCCACTGTTAAAATAATATTAATTTAATTTTAAAATATAAAATAAATATTTAAAAATTAGAATTTATTTGAAAATTGGAAAATTAAAAATACACTTACCGGTGTAATGTAGCCAAGAACATCACCAGAAAATCGTTTTCTTTCAGTATCTTTAAAATAAAGACCCGATTCTCTTAAAATATCATGTGCTTTGGAGTCATTTCTCACTAAACCTCTGTCAAAAACATCCTGATCCACAGGACCTTTCTGATAAATAAAATTTTGAGGTTAGAAACTAAGAGTTAAATAAATATGTATAAAAGAACAACTAATAAAATAAATATTTAACTAATTATTTATTATTACTTACTTTATTCTCAATTTTGTTTTTCTCCTTTTTAACATTTTTTTCTGATTGAGGTGACAGTGTTCCTGACACGTAAACAATACAAAACACAAACATTAAATTCTTCATTGTTAATTTTATAAACTATATTGTAAAATATAAAAAAGTATAGAATTTTTATATAGATTAAGGGAATTTAATCATTACTTATTTATATACAAAATTTATTAAAATTAATTTAAAATGTAGTTTTTCAACATTTCTTTTTGACAGTTTATTATAATTTATTAAAGCCCACCACACACTGTTTTCATATTTTGACGTTTTCAAACCTGGTAAGCGCTCATTAGCTTATTTCAAATGTGCCCGGGTATAAGTAGCCAATGAGCGCGATCGTTTTGGATATGCTGACATTGGACAAATTTAAATCGAATGTTTACGTTTTGCTTAAAAATTAGTGTTATTAAAAAGTGTTAAAAATGTTTATTAATTGATTTTATTTTTTCAATAACGTAGTTTTAAACTATTCTCGTAGTTAAAATAAATATATATTGATAAACTATAATAATATATATTTATATTATTGTATAATTATAAAAAATATGTCAGTGTTATTTTGTAAGTGTGAAAGAAGAGACTTTTTAGATTTTGATTATTAGATAGTATTTAAAGTAGTTTTTATAGGAATTTACCCCAAATTAAAAAATAGATAATGAAAATATAGGTAAAGGAATATATAGATTATATTTTTAAATAAAAACTTTGTGATAAAAACAAGAAATTTTAAGGTTATGTTTACTTATATTTTGTTTTGTCACGTGTTACCGCATCTTTTTGGCTTTTTCATGAATCATGATCGGATGTTCAATTTTTAAAAATTATTATTTCGTATATTTATTATTAATTATTATTATATTTTATGTATAATCTTAATTAACTTGAGTTGCCCCTGTATAATGATAACATTCGTAGAAATAAGTAAATAATTTAGCTCTCAGTCAGGGGCAACGTTAAAAGTTACGAAATTCACCGCTAGAGTGCGTTGAAACTAATACTCCGAATTTATAGTTCCTTCCTTGTCATTTCTGTCAATTTGTTTTAAAAAAAAAGAATTAGGTCACGGATTTACTTTCTTTATCTGGTTATAATCAGTTATAATGACAGTTAGTGATTATTCAATTCATTGACTTTATTGCAATGAAAGAATTTTTTACACATTGTGGAACAATTGCCAAGTTTATACTTGTCAATGTTGTTGCGGAAGGTTGCGGTCATCATTAATAATATACATAAATAATGTTTGAAATCTTTTTTTAATGTATATAATTTCTTAAATCGTTAATAGAAAATTAATTTGTGAAAATGTAAATGTGTAAGTGTTGTGAGTGTTGGACAGGAAACGTGTTTTCTGACGATCACAATTGACTTATTTTTTGGGTATGAATGGACAAGTGCAATCTTCACGAGATAGGTTAGGTAAGTAAATTCTTTTTATTTTTAGTTTTTACTATTATATATATATAATATTGTTAGTGTCATTAAATTAAATAAGTAGTGTTTTATTTTTTTTGTGAGTATCTAATAAATTTGTCACACGTACTTTCGAGATTTGATAAATTTTTATTATTTTGTTTTGTAATTATAAATTAAAAAGTAATTTGTAATAATTGATCAATTTATTAATATTGTTTTCGAAAATATTACAATTTACTAGAATTGTATTTCACTTGGCTTTCTGCTTTGTTTATTTAACAATGTTTGTTTTCTTTATTATCAACATGATCTTCGTTTACCTATCAGTCGCGTTGTGTTATTTAACGATTTGTTCTCTTTTTATTTGGAAAAAACCAAACGTCAGAAGAACCTAACTTTTTGTAATAATTCAATGTAATGATGTTTTAAATACTCTTAAATAACTTAATCTTCTTTATTAGCTGCGCACTAACATAAAGCAGATTCTATTTATAAATTCCTGAAAGAAATACATATATTTTCTTAGACTTTTAATTCTTTTTTTTAAAATAATATTTTTTCGAATATTTTTTTTTTTATTTATAATTTATTTTTCTAATTTGTGATTTTGTGATGTCTTGTGATTTAAATTAATAATAACCTTCAAATGGCTGTAAATATATTTCTAGGTGGATTTAGTAGCAGTAGCACTACGTGGTTTACAAGTCTTGTACCAACAGATCATGTTTCGACTGTTCAGCAAATCATACCGATCACCAAGAGTGAAATCTCTTTGGATGATTCTACTGCTTCTTCTGAAGCTGACAGCAAAGTGAAAACAAAACTTCTCTCCATGTGGTACAATGTTAAATACGGTTTGTGTGAGCACTTTTATTCGAAAAAAAATTTTTTTTTTTTTTTTTTTTTTAATAAATTATATTATTTTTGTATTTTTTTCTAAAGATTATAAAACAATTTGAAAATTGTTTTTTAAAATGTAATTTAAAAATTTTATAGGATGGACCGTAAAGATGAAGACGAATTTTTCCAAGGAATCGCCAGTATGGTTATTGGGTTCCTGTTATCATAAAAAAGCTTTTGAATCGTTAGAAAAAGCTTCTGAAGCTGTGGACGTGGAAACTGGCAGTGAAATTTCATTGGCAATAGACGCAGCAAATTATGAAGAAGGAATTGATGGATTCAAGAGGGATTTTATTTCTCGTATTTGGTTAACCTATAGACGAGAATTTCCGATTTTAAATGGTTCTACTTTTACCTCTGATTGTGGATGGGGATGTATGTTAAGAAGTGGGCAAATGATTTTGGCACAGGGATTAGTTTGTCATTTTCTTGGCAGAGGTATGTTTCTTTGGCTTATTAATAATAATAATTTTTCTATCATTATCATTTTGTCAAAAATTTTTATTTCTTTTTAATTTTTTCGATATTTTATTTTTCATAATTTTGGTTGTTGCCTATAAAAAATTTACGCAAATTTTCTGCAATTTTTAATTTAACGCGTCACGTTTTATTTTCAAAGTTTCGGTAGAAAAATAAAAATTTGTTACACAAATCGAAATTATTTAGAGTTGACGGTTTATAATTCCGGCGCTTTAAATGTATGAATGAGTGACTGAATGAAAGAAGACAAATAATTTATTTATTTGTTAATATGTGGCATTATTTGTAATTATTATAATTAGGTAAGTGATTGAATGTTGATTATGTCCCATTTGTTAATAAATTAAATGAATTATAAATTACATTAATTAATTATTATTAATAAATTTAATTTAAATTTATTATTTAGAGTGGCGATGGCAGCCGGAACAACGGATATTGACAAAAGAGGAAAAAGAGGAAGACGCGAAGCATCGAATGATTGTCAAATATTTTGCCGATCAAACTGGACCGGAATCTCCGTTTTCTATTCACAGTCTCGTTTCATTGGGTGCTTCAACTGGAAAAAGAGCTGGCGATTGGTATGGACCAGTGTCCGTTGCACATATTTTGAGTCAAGCTGTAAAATCAGCAGCAACGTCTCATAGTGAATTTAAAAATTTAGCGATTTACGTCGCTCAGGATTGTGCAGGTAAAAAATTTTTATTAATTAGTATCATTTTTATTATTATTGATATTCTTTGTTTTCTTTTTCAGTTTATTTAGATGACGTGAGTCAATTGTGTGAAACATCTGATGGCAAATGGAAATCACTAATTCTTCTTGTGCCTTTGAGATTGGGCATTGATAAATTAAATCTTAGTTATGTACCATGTCTCACAGCTTTACTTAGTTTAGAATATTGTATTGGAATTATTGGCGGTCGTCCTCGTCATTCACTTTATTTTATTGGATATCAAGAGGACAAATTAATTCATCTTGATCCGCATTATTGTCAGGAAACTGTTGACATGTGGAAATCGGATTTTTCACTATCGAGTTTTCACTGTACATCGCCTAGGAAAATGCTAGTTTCAAAAATGGATCCCAGCTGTTGCGTTGGATTTTACTTAAATGATAAATCAACCTTCGAACATTTCGTTAAAATGGTCGAACCGGTAAAAAAATATTATTTTTTATTCTTATATTAAATTTAAATTAAATTCAAATTATTTTAATTTAATATTTTTTTAGTTTCTCGTTCCATTGAGTCAAAAGGACGAATATCCAATGTTTCTGTTTTGTAATGGACATGGAACTGACGTTCAGTCAAATTTGGACGACGACAAAAGTCATTATTCATCGTCAATATCGACAAACGTTCGTGAAATGAATGAAGATAACACACACTGTGAATGTGAGGAGTATGAAGTTTTGTAGGAAAAATTCTTTTATGAAGAGAATTGAAAAGCGTTTGTACTTAAAGTCTTATTTTGAAAATCGATTGTATTTCTCAAAAAAAAGACTCTTTTTGGTTGGTTTAATTCCTTTCAAGTATGGGATATTTTTTTTTTTTTTTTTTTTTTTATTATTAAATAATCGGAAAGGTTGCTCAATCGTTACTTACAGTATGAAGAATGCCCGATAAAAAAAAGAAAATAGTAGTAGCTTTAAAACTTTCACGAAAAAAAATTTCGGATAATCTTCACTTAAAAAAAAAAAAAAATGGTTAGTACGTTAACAACAATTATATAATTCCCTTGCTTCAAATCAGAAGATTTTATCCTTTACTCATTTAATGAGAAAATTTGTAAATTATTTGAAAATATCTTTAAGATTATTGAAAAAAAAAGAAACAAAGAGGAAGTATGTCCACATTATTTTATCTAAATTAGATTAATTTTAAATTTGCTGGACAATATTTTCTTTCTCTTTTCGTTCATTCATGATCTCAAAATCTATTTTTACCGCGCAATGACACAGGATAAAATTTTCTTACCTGTTAAAAAAAAATATATTTTTTTTTTTACTATACTTTGATAATTTTGTTTAACAAATTTGTTTATTTTGAAAAAATTTATTAGTTAAAGAAAATTATGTATTTTTTTTTTATTAGACTTTTTTTGAAGTATACATTTTTTTATATTAGTTATTTCATAGAGAAAATAAATGATTTGGATCAAGAATTTATTTGTATTATCAGAAACTAATTGTGATTTTGTTTTTTTTTATGAAAAAAAAAATGTTTTTGAAGCAAATATAAGTTTAACTGTCAAAATATTTTTTCAATATTTTGAAAAAGTACTTTCGAATAATGTAATTTAAACTGATTTAATTGAGGAGTATTTAATTTTTTTTTAAACATGCTCTTTACAGAGAAAAGAGAATTTTCTTATTGTATTGTACTTTTTTCGCGAGCGCTTTTAAGAAAACTCGAATTTTTTGAATTCTCGAGTTCTTTAAACAAACTCTTTCGCACTGCAGAATATATTATCAGGATATAAGTATGCGTGCAAATGTGGCTATGATTACAAATTTTAATTAATCTGATTTAAGTACTTAGAAAAACTTTATTTCTATATTTTAAGTTATTTATTTATTAATGATTACTATTATTTTCCATTTATTTAACTTGCCACGTATCGTGAGAAGTTAAAGGATAGATAATAAAACAACAACAGATTTTACTTGATAGTTTGTTGTAAATTTCAATAAAATGAAAATTTCGTCCTATAGAAATCAGGAAAAGACAGTTACGAGCTTTTAATTAAATAATATTGTATTTTTTCTGAAAATTCTTGTAATCCAAAAAAAAAAAAATCTTTGTAAAAAGACAATGTTGCGCGTAATGTTAGAACAAATATTTTATTGGAACCACAGTTTCTGAATATATCACAATAAAATTTCTTTTATCAAAGATATTTCTGCTTATAAATTTAATGTTATTTTATTAAATTTAAAAAAAATTTAATTTTTTAAAACCAATGTAAATAATTTAACATTGTATTATTTGTAAAGCTTTTTATTGTAAATAATCGTCAAATATTATGTCTTTTTGTTTTACTCTCGAAAGAGTAGATCACAATTAATTTGATTTAAATGGCATAAAATTTTATTGTGCCAAGATCAAAATCTATTATCTATGTAAAAAAATCTTTATAAAAGTACACAATTAACTATATCTACTTGTGCGTGAAGCGTATAATTCAACTAGTTTAGAATTAATTATTTTCATCTAATTTTAGTTCTATTACTATAATTAAACTAGAAATTTTGTTTCTTATTTCCTTTTTTTGTCGATACTCGTTGAAACAAAAATTAGATAAATTTCTAATTTTTATTAAAAAAAAATTTTTAAGTCGTGTATAATGGAATTTTTGTATCGATTATTGGAATGAGCAAAGGTCAAGTTTTTATGAATTGACTAATACATTCTTTAATATCTGGCCACATCGAATCTGTTGTATTACCACTAAAATCGTGGAGAAGGCCAATTTTTTTATAATATTCTATTACTGGTTCTGTTAATTGTTTATAGTGTTCCAATCTTTTTTCTACAACATCTGCCCTATCGTCTAAACGTTGACTGAGAGGCTCTCCTGTCACATCATCTTTTCCCTAATGAAATAATTCAAATTATTTTTCGAAATAGAACCCAAAATAATTATTTTTATTTATTAATTATAATTTAATTTAAATATAATAATAAATAAATGAAAATTATTTATTATTAAATAATTATTTTTATTTATTAATTATAATTTAATTTAAATATTAATAATAAATAAATGAAAATTATTTATTATTTTTCTATATTAAAATATTGAATTAAACTTACTTGAATTTTTGGATCATTAAATCCAATATTGTAGACTCGACCACTTGGTAAATGAACCCATCGGCTTTTTACTCTTTCCAAAATTATTGAGAATGGAACTTTCAAATTTAAAACAAGATTTACCGCATGAATTTTCTGTAATTTTTCAGCTTGTTCAACAGTTCTAGGAAATCCTGTTTTTTAAGTTGAAAATCAAAAGTTTTATTTTTATTACTTTAAAAATTAAATTAAAAAAATGTACTTAAATATTTTTCACTTACCATCGAGAAGCCAATTTTGATTTCCTACTTTTTCAATTTCTTTACTGATTAGGGAAATCATTACATTATCGGGTACAAGGCTTCCGGAGTCTAAATATTTTTTAACATTTTTTCCTAGTTCTGAAAAATAAAATTTCAATAGTTTGAATTTAAAAAAAAATTGTATTGCGATTTAAATTTTCCCGCCAAAGAATTTTTGAAATTTTTTATTATTATTGGTACCCCTGCTTTGATAGCAACTTCAAGTTCTAGTTTTTACAACTGTCATTTTCTCTCAGTTAAAAAAAAACCTAACAATAGTTACAATTGTTTATAAATGAAAGTGATTACAAGATTAAATAACAAGTTAATAATTGTTGCAGGAGATTAGCAAATATTGCACCCTAAGATGTTGACATATAAAGGACGGATGGATATTAATCGAGAAAGGTGGAGGAGGAAAAGGTAGGAATTTTTTAAATTGCATGCAAATTTTTAATTCTGCAAACGTATCACAAATTTAACTTTAATTAAAGAAACAATTATCAATTAATAGATATAATAAATGAATAATTATTACTATTTTCTCACTCTCACCTATAAAAATTGAAAAACTTAAAATTTGAAAATTTTTTAAATTTTTATAGGTTAATTAATACAATATAAAAAAAATTATTTCGCGGTATAGAAAAATATTTCAAAGTTACACAAAATTTTCTTTTCTATACCTATATATAAAATACCCTCTGTTGGGAATGAAGACGGGTTTGAATCAATAAAATTGTATTCTTGCGACTGAAAATTATTCCAAATAATAATAATAATGATAAAGAGAAATATATACCAGTTTCTTGGGCAATATTTAATCGAAGTTTATCTCCACTGGAGATGTGAGCGACCTTAAAGTCCTTGATTATCCTGGAGGAAACAGTTCCTTTTCCGGAAGCTGGGGCACCAAGAATGACAGCCCTGAAGGCTGCTGCCTTAGCACAACACGTGGATAAAACTACCATTGAAATTACAAAAAAAAATTTAATTTCTCAAATATAAATTAAATATATAATTTCTTTTGCGAGAAAATTGTCCTCCCCTTGACGCGAGTCGTTTGTTTTAATTCAGCAGAACTTTTTTTTTTTGTTCTTTAGTATCGTTTTTTAATGAGCGGCAACTGAACTTCGACCGATGATAATAAAGCTTGGAACCGAGAGCGCACGAGTAGTAGATATCACATTCACAAAATGCAGATATGTTATATAGAATTTTACACATATACACATATGAAACGAGACGTGACGCAAATTCCATTCCACATTTCGCAATATTTATCTCTTTTAAATTCGCGCCAAAAAAAAAAATATTAGAATTCTCTATTTTCTATTGCAAAAATAGTTTTACTTAATAAGAAATCTCTTGAATGTAAAAAAATTTAACATACTCATTGACTTGTGCAAAAGTAAAATTTAGGTCAAACAGGTTTTCTTTTTTTTGTGTAGGATTTTAAATTCATGCAAATAAATTCAGTTCGACTAAATTAATTTATTTTGATTTTTTTTTTTTTCAATATTTGGAATTTATAAGAAAATTTACTAAAAATTAATTTAAAAATTGCCAAAATACAAAATTTTTAAAAATTAAGATTTTAATTCGTCTTTGAATATTTATTAATGTTTTATTGTAATTAAGAAAACATGTCTTTACAAAGTAGCACTTTATTTCTTATCAAAAAGTAGTACAACTTTAGGGCTGAGCCTTTTTTTTTAAAAAAGATCTTTTTTCTCTCAAATACATTAAAAAAAGAAACAAATGTATTATTCTTAAGTATGAAAACAATTTTAATGAAATGCAAAAACAATAATGAAATATCTTTTTAGTTAATTTCACTTTTTTTTTTCTTTCTACACATAAATCTCTTCAATAATTGTAAGATGGACAAAATATTCGAAACATAATTGTGCAATCTATCAACATGATTTATTTTTTAAAATATATGAATTTCTTTATTTAGATGAATTTTTTTGTATTTTCTTTTTTTAAAAAAAAATGTTTTTCTCAGTTCATTATATTTATTTTCTTGTAAATATGCAAGTTTGTTGAAAAATGCAATTTTAACATTAACCCTAAAACTTAGTGTGCTACCTTAGTCTACTCTTAAAAACTTACATCTAACAGTACTAGTTTTTATACTAAAAAAAAAAAAAAAAAACTCGAAATCTTTTTTTTTAGTCACAATAGAAAGTTTAGACGAAATTTATAATAATTTCCCTTTCATTTGAGTTATATGTATTCTTTTTCGACATAAATTGAAAACATCTCTTCACAAAGTAATAAAAGAATTTTAGGTGCTGACACATGTTTATAAAATACAGATAAATTGAATTCTTGAATTGCAAAGAAAAAAAAAAAATATTTTTTAACAGACTGTTATGTTAATATGACTCTTTCTCCTGTGATACTTAATTTTTCTTTTTTTTTTATCAATACAAAATTGAGCTTCGCAAAAAATAGCGATCAATTTACCAAAGCTCACCGTCCTTTTCTTTCGCCGGTACCTCTATAACTCGTGGCTTGTCAATTATTCTCGCCGTTCGGTTCCCCTTTTCCACAATTCCAATGATCCACGCTTGATATCCTTCCTGTTTCTCGATATCTTTACAATAGGCTGCAGCCTGTGATGTGAAAATTTTGTTTAGATAAAAATTTATTTGCATTAAATATTGAATTAAAAAAAAAAAAAAAAAAATTGTTAGAAGAATAACGACACCAAAATGTTGTTTCACAAATTAGCATGGGATCTTCTAATATTTATCTACCTGTCTTTCTTTAGAATAATTTATAATTAAAAATTACTCTACTGTATTAACAGGAGAAATTAATTTCAAATTTCTCACCTGTTCTCTTGGAAGGCAAATTAGGAGTCCTCCGCTAGTTTCAGCTGAATGTCCTTGCAAAAGTTGAAACATATTTCCGCAGGCTTTTGCAACAGCAGCCATTTTTGCAATAACGGGCAAATTATGAATAACAAATGAAACATCGTTCTTTTGATGTTTTGCCAAATTTTGCGCGTGTCCCAAAAGACCAAATCCAGTTACATCGGTGGCTCCATGCGCGTTGTATTTGTGCATTAATCGAGCCGCTGTAAATAGAGATAAATTAGCAATTTTTCTAAATTTCAATAAATTGTAGAAAAAAATTAATTTTTTTTTTTTCTGTCAGAGAAGTAACGTCACTAAAATACTATTTGTAAATTAGCATGGGATTCTCAAGTTTAATCTTCCTGATATTCTTTAGAATATTTCAATGAGTGATAAAAATATCCTACTGTATAATCAGGGAATATAAAAGAAAATTTAGAAACAAACCTATTCTATTCAACCTTGCCATACTATCCATAGCACGTTGATAGGCTTTTCTCACATCGTCTTCACTGACAACCAATTTAATTCTATTCCAACGATCCGGTTGATCTAGCCATTGATGAGCATTTACGGCTACCTGCGTTCCCAATGGTTTTGTCAAAACCAAAACATCTCCAATAACTGCATTATCTGGTCTGAAATTAACATTTTTCAATAAAAATCGCTTTAATGAGAAATAATAATTTGTTAGAAAATTAACGTCACCAAAATGTTATTTACAAATTGGCATGGGATTCTCTTGTTTATTCTACCTGCTTTTCTTTAGAGCAACTCATAAATAAATTGCCCTACTGTATTAACAGGAGTATTTTATTTTTGTTGTAATTTTAAAATAAAAAATTTTTTTTTAAACTTTAAAATAAATACATACACAATGTATTCATTTGGTTGACAAACTGTAGACGCAACTCCACCAATTGTACACCATGGATTAACAACAGTTTGTCCTCCAGTTACAGTTGTTCCAGCTTCTAATGCCGAATCTTTAAATCCTCGCATAATTAATGGAACGACAACGTCTCTTTCTTTTTCAGTCATTTTAGTACTCACTCCCAATAACATCAGCATATTATCACATTCCGTAACTCCCATTGCGTACAAATCACTGATAACATTTGCGCACGCAATTTTACCTGAAACAATTCTCAAATATTCCGAGTAAAGCAACAAATGTCATTTTATAGAAATATATTTAATTAAAAAGAATTTTTAATTAGTTTGTTTCTTAACGAAATCTCACCCATCATGTAAGGATCATCGACTAGTGGATAGAAAAAGTCTGTCGTTTGAACCAAACTCAAACCACCGTGTCTCAACGGAGTCACAGAAGAATCCATACCAATGCCTAAAAAATTAAAACCAAAATCCAGATTAATTAAAAATTTAATAAAAATTATATTTAAAAAAATTTTTTTCAACAATTGTCAGAAGAATAACGACACTAAAATTTTGTTTCACAAATTAGCATGGGATCTTCTAATATTTATCTACCTGCTTTTCTTTAGAACAATTCATAAATAAATTGCCCTACTGTATTAACAGGAGTATTTTATTTGCTAATTTTTGTGCCAAGATAATGAATTACAAAAAATCAGCAATTTAAAAATTCCCGCCAATCGTCATTTCCTCCCACTCAAAAAAAATGGCGGGAGACATGTCCGCCATTATCCCCCAGGGACGAAAAAATTAAAAAATTGGGCCCTTCGTTCATAGTAAAAAAAAGCACTTTTTTTTAATAATAACATTTTTTTTCCTACACAATAAATGCAACAACTATTTTAAATTGAAAAAAAAGTTTAAAATTACAAAAGATAAGAAAAAAAATAACCGGTACCGGCATCGTGCTAGTATTCCTGACATCAGAAAAATTTACAAAATCAAAATAAATTGTACTCACCAATGCGTGGAATGGCCATGTGCATAAAATGGGCATGTTCATGATCCTGTGCGCTACCATCATCGGCCTGTAGTCCCTCGAGGAGTTTCCCAAGAACCTCCTGAGGGACTTTACACCCTCATCCTTTTAAATCCGCAAATCGTGTTAGCCGGAAAGTTGCGTCCAGGTCATGTGCCACTGGATCGAAGGGCCTTCGCAATGCCAAGGCATTTGGATTTCCTGCGAGCTCAAGTTGAGCAACGGACAGGGCGTCTTGTGTGACTGGTGTTCCCTGTAGATCCGCCATTTTGCTCTAGACTGTACTCTACCTCCACTCTCGTTCCCGAAACCGGCTTGTTCCACGACACGCTTTGTAGTTTCCACCAAAAAATGAAATTTTCACTATTTCCTCACAAGCAACGTTTATTGTTCTTTGAAACAAAAAAAGAAAAACAAAAAAATAATCACGTGTCCTGTAACAATTGTAAAATTATAATAATTTATTGAAATTCCGCGCCCTGATATTTAATATATATTTCAAGACGCGAACTCACAGCAAATGGGAAATATATAGTATTCACCGGCGTCGACTAGGCGGGATCGTCTGTGCTGGCAAAATGGACGTTCGTACTTTCCGGAAGAACGCGCAAGGCGACGCGAACCCCCCATGATATTCCCATCCTGGTGTCGTCACTATCTGATTGGTGGAATTTGAACTTGCGCATGCGCAATTGAAATATATCATCAGGAGTGTAAACAGTGAAAATAAAACCCTCATCCTTTTCTAGGAGAACAGTGCTTATTTTACGTTGAGGTTCATGAACGAAATTGTATTTTATAGAGGAGGACATTACAAATGTTGTACAGGTTCGTTCATAATTTTATGGAATATTTAAAATAAAATTTTATTTTATTTTCATTTGAAATATCCATATTTTTTATATTTTCTTCATAAAGTAAATAAATTTTGGGAAGAATAGTGAATTTTGATTTACTTTGTTTTTCTTCATATAGTTGCCAATTGATATTTTGGAAGTTTGTGTTTTGTGGAAAAATTCCATTGCTGCGACATTGCAAATTTTAATACATATATAGTCTTTGAGCAAAAGGTTCTTGATAAATTAATTGCAATTTTAAATATAGGAGCCTTTTTTACTGTAAAAGAAATTAAAATATTTTAAATATATTAACAGTATAGTAAAATTAGATAATGAGATAAAAAATAAATAGAATATCAATAAAAACTCCATTGTTATCTATTTACACCTTAATGTACGCCGGGTTGTATCTGTGTAGATTTTTTAATTTTCAAAAAAACGATATTAAATCCATTTTTTAATATATTAAAAATAATTATCTAATTTTTTAAAAAATAATAAATAATGAACAAAAAATTAATAAACTTATAGTATGAGTTAAATTAATTGTAATTTAAAAAAAAAAATTTATAACTATTTAATATTGTTTAATTTTTAAAAGTATACAAAATTTCGGTTCTTCACGATTATATATCTGATATCGCGTATATAATTTGTTGGACTTGTTTATTTTCATGTGTTGTATTAAAGTTATTCTCATATATATGGAAGGAAATTTAGTATTAGTAAATGATTCTTGTTGGTGATGTTTCACCCCTCCCCTTCTACCCCCTTCTCTTGTCCTTACATTCTGCAACCCACACTATTTAACCCTTTTGCGTATACAAAACAGTGGTTCTCATTCTCCTCTTTTTTTACATTCTATGTGTGATTTTTTTTTTTTAAATAAACAAAAAATAATTTAGAACATTAAAATAAATATTTATATAATTTATTAGAATCAAATTGTAATTGAATTATTAATTATAGTTTAATAATTAATATTAATAGTATAATAAAATAAAAAAAATATAATTATTAATAACTTTTTTTTTTTAAAAAGAAATATTTAAAAAAGATTAGTAAAATTTGTCTGAAATACGGCCCTGAGAAAGTAATATCAGTCATTAAATATTGAGAAAAAACACCGGTCGCGTATATATTTAATATAGGCAATTATTTATAGAAATTAGGTATTTATAGATATAATTATTGTCATTTAATATTAATTCTTTTGAAATATAAAGTATAGCTATATTTTTAAACGTAAAAAAATTATATTGTTATTTGAACTTATGTGTGTGTGTCAGGTTGCATACAATTAGGTTTTAGAGCCTACGAATATGCAACCTGTTCTACATAAATGCATACTAAATGAAAATTGTGTATTTATTGGAAATATTATTCTAAATAATAATATTTATTATTAGTCACTTTTTAAACATAATTATTTAATTTAATTGTCATAATTAAAAAGAAATTAATAGAAAAAATATTATTTAAAAATGTTTTACATTATTTAAATAAAATGATTTATTTAAAACCATTTTTATTAACTGATTCAGATTAAAAGTATAATTTAACAATAATTAACTATCATAAGTAGATATCCTTGACCATATATATATATATATGATTTTTATTTTCTAGATATAAATTTTTATCCATTGTCATGCGTAAAAATTACATAAACTTTAATATTAAAATTTTTTAAAAAGAAAAATAATAGATTTGATTTTTTAAGTGTATATAGAAATTTATAAATACATAACGATATACAATTTCAAAAATAAAATATAAAAAAAACACTCACGAAGTAAAATCAATATATTTTTAAGTAGATAAAGTTTTCGTGTCAGACAAATGCTTACGTCGTTTAAGTAGAAAAAAACTTTTACAAACAGACAGTTATAGTGATAAGTGAAAAAAGACGTTTAGTACAAGACAAAATGAGTTAAAATACGTAGATGATTAAAAAAATTAACAAGATGGTAAAAATTTTGATAAATAAAAATATTTTTAAAAAAATTACCGACCTGGAAATCTACCTTACCAACTGATGTTAAAATTTTAAATAAAAAAATTAATATAATAATTATACAATTATGTAATATTAATATATATATATATTATATTATATTATATTTTATTATTATATTATTATTATTATTATATTATTTTAAAAATAAAAATATTTAAAAAAATTACCGACATAGAAATCTACATTGCCGACTGATGGTAAAGCAGTTTCGAAAAATAAAAATTATTGCTGTAGAAATCTACCTTACCGACTGATAGTAAAATAGTTTTTTTTTGAAAATGAAAATATACAACTTTACAGACGCAGAAATCTACCTTATCGACTGATGGTAAAACAGTTTTTTCCGGAAAATGAAAATATAAAACATTACCGACATAGAAATCTACTTTATCAACTGGCGGTAATTTTTTTTGAGAAAAGTCTAGTATTGTTTTTACCAATAGTCGGTAAGGTAGATTTCTGTGTTGGTAATTTTTTATATTTTCATTTTTAAAAAAAAACTGTTTTACCATCAGTCGGTAAGGTAGATTTCTGTGGCGGTAATGTTTATATTTTTATTTTTCAAAATTTTTACCATCAGTCCGTAACTTAAATATTAATATTCTATTTATGTATTAATATTTAAGGAATATTTCAGTTAAATATTAATATTCTGTTTGTATAATAATATTTTAGGAATATTCTACTTGTATATTAATATTTGAGGAATATTCTACTTGTATATTAAATAAACAAGGAATATTCCTCTTCAATATTAACATTCTACTTGTATAATAATATTTCAGGAATATTCTACTTTTATATTAATATTCGAGGAATATTCCATTTGTTCATTAATATTGCAGAAATATTTCACTTGAATATTAATTTTCTTGGAATATTCTGCTTGTGTATTAGTATTTAAGGAATATTCAACTTTTATATATTAATATGTAAAAAAAATATTTAATTTAAATGTTAATTATAAAGGAATAGTCTATGAATTTTGATAATTTTTTAATACCCACGCGAAATAACGTTATATAATATAGATATATATATATAATGTGTAAATGCAATTATCACATATGTTTCATTAATTTAATCGGTTATCATAATTTTCTTATATACATTGTAATACCTGAAACATTTTATATAGAACGGTGGGATTAAATGCATATAAGAGAGTGAGAGAGAGAATTTGAACTTCGACGCCGGCGTCGCGGTGTTGGTGTATCTATCGAGGTTGAAAACGCGAATTGGTATAGACTTCCGACTTGATACAGGAGAGTTCTCCAGTTCAGTCGGCTCATGCCATTCGAGCGATGTAAAGGCAAAATTAATTCTTTCTCTTATTTTCATTGTTATTATACAAGAATTTTTTTTTTTTTTTTTTTATATTAACATCTTGATATACGACGCTGGCGTCGTTATATCGTCATGGTGACGAATTATTATCATTTGACGTCAGAATGACGAGTAACAAATATTTAAAAAAAAAAGAAAATAAATAAAATAATTGATGTCTTGAAATATGAATCCTTGATTTTATTCTTTGTTCCATAATAATATATAATAATGGAGAACAAAGGTAAAAATCATGAGACTGATGATCAGTGCTCGCGAACAGTGTTATTGAATACATTTTTAATTAAAAAAAAAAGATGTCGCGTTTATTTTCATCAAGGGAAACTTGTTTGGGAAACAGAACGACCACCCATCGGTGAGTTTTTGTTATTTGACATTGTGTATACATATAATAATGATGACAACCTGGAGAAGAGCGCATGTAGGTCAAAATAAAATCGGTTACTGGGTCGTCATTGTTGAACATTTTTTTTTTTTTAATATTCAGAAAAAAATTAAATTTTCTTACCAGAGATTTATTAATTTTTTTTTTTTTTGGTTTTACAATTTTTTTTATTAGTTTCATTTTTATTAATAATAATATATAATTTATTTATTATATTATATTTTTATATATATTGATAATTGTTTCTTTGATGATAGTAAAAAAAATATATTTTTAATTTTCATAATTAAATTTATTTAAAAATTTTTATTTATTTAATTTTATTTTGATTACTTTAGCAATTTTTTTTTCTTTTTCTTTGAATAAACATATCAGTGAACTAATTAAAATTTTCTTATAATGAATATAATTATACTGAGTGTGTGCGTCAATATTAACAGTATATATATATCCTTTTTAGATTAATACGCGATTATTTAAATATTATTATGAAATACTTGTAACGTGAACCTGAATGGTTAACACGTCTGCAAAAGAACGGCAAACATTTTAAAGAAGTCTATATACGGGTTAATGACCTCAAAACGTTGAGAAAATTATATACCTAAGTCGAATAATTTGTCTATTTTTATGTAAAAAAAAAAAAATAGCGTTTTTTTTTTAAATACTTGAAAAATATTTTTTTTCATTTTTAAATATTTAAATATTTTTATGATTATTTATTAAAAAATACTTTTTGTGATTATTTTGCACAAAATTTTTTTTTTTAAAGTGTATAAAAATCTTTTAGCACCTGTTTCAATGTCTGATGAATGAGACTCTATATAACTGTATTCAAGAATTCTTATCTAATCAACGTTCAATATTAATGCATATGAGTACTTAACAATTAATAATATTTATATATGTGTGTTTTACGCAAAAATCAGTTTTCCCTAATTATTATATAGAAAAAAAAAATCATACATTTTAATTCAATTATTCTACTTTTATTTTATATTAAATAAATTAAATTAAATTAATTTCTATCAAAATAATGAGTAAATTAAAAAAAAAATTGATTAATAAATTATACCAATAAAAATAATTTATAATTTAATTTTTTAAATATATAGAATTTTGATAATTTTTAATAAAAATTCTAATTTTAACTTTGTTTGAATAAAATAATTTTTGCAAACAAGTTAATTTGCTTTTTTTATTAAACTTAAACGAATAGAATTGAAGTAACAAAACGAAAGAAAAATTTGAAATTATTCAGCGTTCACGTCAATGATTGGACCGGCCTTGTATTTTGTTAAAACGTATATATATATATAGGTATATGAACCTGTTAACCCCGAATAAAACTCGTTTTTGTTATTGCATCTTACCTTTTTTAAAGATATTAATATTTTAATGAAGAAATATCAGGAAATGTTCTCCTAAAATTTAAATTATATTGTATCATATTTATTTTTTCAAGATCAAATCTATTTTGTCACAATATCAATAAAAATAAAGAAAAAAAATAGAAGGAAAATAATAATTAAATAAAAATTTATTAAACATTTATAAATATTATTATTTTTTAAATTTATTATTAAAATTATTATTATTATTTGTTTATAAAACGAATAATAACAATAATTATTAAATTAAAACATATTTTTTATGATTTTATTATTTAAAATGACTAATCAGGGAAATTTTTTTTTTTTTATTAAAAAATTTAGGTCAGAAGTAAAAAAATATTTATCTAAAAGTAATAAGTATATATTTTATATAGGAAAAGAAAAATTTAATGACTTTTTTTTTAGTACATAATATGATATTGATTAGAGTTTTATGTCAATAATGTCCGTTGAAATGAATTCTCTTTTTCTTTATTGAAAAAAGTAAATTAGGACTTTCCTTAAATATTATTATTTGCCTTCCAACTTTGATCACTTAAAAGTAATTACCGACATATTCAATATTAAATAATAATTAATTTAATTAATATGTAAAGTATGGAATAATAATTATTTTATTTATTTTATGAATAAATATAATTATTTTTCTATTAACCTTTAATATTTATCAAAACTAAAAGAAAGAAAGAAAAAGATTTTTTTTTTTCAAAAGTAGAACAATTTTTTTTCCAGATTTTATAAAGATATATAATTATATGTAATTTATAAAAATGACAGAAACAGAATAATATAATATAAATTATAATAGACGTAAAAAATTTGAATGAAGGTTACAGACCTTGAAATTTCGGAGGCCATAAACAAGAAAAAAAAAGACGTGCCAAGCAAAAAAGTACAAAGAATTATTGCCTAATATGAAACCTCTCATTATTCGATGTACATTTTCTTTTATATATTTTATTCAATAGTTACCGGCAGTAAACTATTATTTATTCAAGAAGGTCTTTTCGATCATTTATTATATTTCTTTTTCAAAATAGTGTTAAAATTTTAAGGAAATAAAATTTTTAGTTCCAATTTATAAAAGTTATAAAAAAATAACTAAATATTATATAAATTTTATTAATTTTTTAATTAATTCTCCAATTATAATAATTTTAATACGTTAATTAAATTTTTCATGGATTTTAAAATAATTATTGAATGGAAAAAAAAAATCTTTCATGTATACAGCATTCGCAGTGAAGCATAAAAGCCTTTCACTTTTAAGTTTTATTTTTCAAGAGTTCAAGTCTCTTGTGAAGTACAATTGCAATATAATATCAAACATTAAATATTGATTATTATTATATTTTTCTCTTTTAATGATTATTTCTAGAAAAAGGAAAATTTCGCGATTAAAAAATTGCAAAATAATATTAATAATAATAAATGTTGATCAGCATTGGCAAATTATTATTATTATTTATTTTATTTTTTTTTATATAGATAATTATAAAAAAAAATTTCCTAGCAAATTTTAAGAACTTTCTGTCGGAAAAAGATTATTGATGAATGACTATTTTTAGATATTATCAACATATATATTTTACAAGTGCAAGGCGCATGAATTTCAAGCAGCTGATTGCTTTTAACTATATATATTTGTTAGAAACAATTTTTTTTTTATTTTCAATTTAATTTAGTTAAGGATTTAATTTTATATTTTAAAAAAAATTAAACGACCTTTTTTTATTATTATTATTTTTTTTTTTTTTGAAGAAATTATAAGAAAAGCAAAACTCGTTTTTGTCTAAATAGAATTTTTTTTTGTTTCCTTCTTTGCTCTTTGTTCTTCTTTCAATTTTTTTTTCTCATATACATGATCAAATAAATTTTATTTACATATGAAATATTTTGCACGCTAAAAATAAAATATTTTTGCCAATTTTTGCGCGACAAAATTTTATTAAAAAAAATAATTATTTGTATAATTAAAAATTTTTCTTGTTTTTATATCATTGAAAAAAAATATATAATAAACGATAATAAAAATGTTGTAATATAAAAGAGTAATAAAATTTTATCAAAAAATGAAAAGTATAATATACTATTATATATTTTTTTTTCATTTTATTGAGTTTTCGTTTTTCTATATAGTTGATAGTAAAAAGAAAAATGTCACGTTCTGAAGATAATATATAAAATTTTTTCATGAAATTTCCATTGAATTCAATAATTAAAATTAATTTTAAAAAAGGAATAATTAATTTTTTTAATTTTCCACAAAAAAAAAATTATTTTTAAAAAATTAGAAAAAAAGGAAAAAGAGTGTAAAATAAAATTGTAAATTTTTTTTTTTCAGCACAATGGACGTTGCCGATGACCGATGTACTTTCAGCCTCGTATGGAGATGATTGGATTCCTACAATGAATAATATGAAAAAAAAAGATTCGCTATCGACGTCACCAAATTTATCCTTGACAAGTTTTGTTTTACATTATGCAGCATGTGGATCTAAAAGTAAATGGAGACATCATAGCGTTACTATGAGCCATTCGGATCCAAGACAAATTGGTTCCTGGGTAAAAACCATTCAAAATTATCTTAATGGTTTGTAACAAGAAAAATTATTATTTTCTTTATATTACAAAAATATATTTTCAATTATATATCTCATCTATAACAATGACAATTATTTTAATTATTTTTCTTTTTTTTTTAATTTAGGTTTTACTTATAGACCAAGGAAAATGATGGTATTCGTTAATCCTTTCGGTGGTAAACGAAAGGGATTGAAAATTTGGGAAAAAGAAGTACAACCATTAATGATTATTGCGGGAATTGAAATTAAATTAATAATTACCGAAAAAGCAGGACATATTCGTGATACACTACTCACGGAAAATTTAGACGATATTCATGTGAGAGAATTTTCTAATAAGCCAATTAAAATTATTTACAGAATTAATAATTAATTAATTTACTTTTTCTACAATTTTTTTTTTTTGCTATATTATTGAAAGTAAAGAAAAATTATTTTATTTACAGAATTAATAATTAATTAATTTCTTTTTCTATTTTTTTTTTTTGCTATATTATTTGAAAGTAAAGAAAAATTCTTTTTTTACTTAAAAAAAATTAAATGTAAATTATTTTTTTGCATAAATTATCGAAATAAAAAGCGTTAAATAATTAATTGAAAATTGTGAAAGAAAATTAGAATAATTAATTTAATAAAAAAAAAAAAAATATTTTCTCAGGCGGTGGTTTGTATTGGTGGTGATGGAACATTTGCAGAAGTATTTAATGGCTTAGTACTGAGAGCGGCGAAAGATAATGAAATCGATTTAAATGATGCAAATGCAAATTTGCCAGTACCAAAATTGCCAGTTGGCGTAATTCCTGGTGGAAGTACAAATACTGTCGCCTATAGTTTACACGGTACAACTGACGTGCAAACTGCTGCAATTCACATTATTTTTGGTGACACAGCTGGTTTGGATATCTCATCAGTACACAGCAATGATTCTTTACTCAGATTATACGCTAGTGTTGTTAGTTATGGATATTTAGGTGACGTCATTCGAGATAGCGAAAAATTTCGTTGGATGGGTCCACAAAGATACGATTATTCAGGTAAAAGTTAAACACAAGAAAAAAAAATTATTATTTTTTCCTTATAAACGAAATTTTACCTTTAAAAATTCTCTTTTTGCAAAATTTTATTTTTCATTTAATAATTTTTATTAATTTTAAAAATTTGTAATTTTAGTAATAATTTTTTTGTAACCTTTTTTTTCTGTAGGTTTTAAGAAAATTGTGGCAAATAAAGGATACGAGGGTGAAATTGAACTTTTGTCAGATCCATGTCATCCAGCAGCAAGTACCAAGTGTTTGCAAAATTGTAATCGTTGCATTCAACATATGAATCAAAAAATTCCCGATAAAGAAATTTCAAGTTGGTTGATTTTTGATTTATTTAAAATAGTTTTTATTTGGGAGAAATTGATTTATTTTTTTATTTTATATTGTAAAGAAATTTATTTATTTTTATTTATTTATTTATATTTGTTGTAAAGAAATTTTTTAAAAAAAAATCTTACAACGAATTATTATTTAATAGAAAATTTTTAAAAAGGAATTAAATTATTTTTTGATTAATAATGAAAATTTCTGTTTTTAAGGGTGGCTTACAGTTAGAGGAAAATTTTTCATGGTTAATGGAGCGAATTTATCATGTGCCTGTTCAAGAAGTCCAATGGGTTTTAGTCCCCATTGTCATGTCGGTGATGGTTGCGTGGATGTTATTATTATTAGACACACATCTCTTATCAATAATATCAGAATGATTCTCAGGCTCAGCAGTAAAGTTAAAAATTTGGTATGTCAATAAAAATTTCATGGGAAAAAAAAGAGAATGAAAAGCATAAACTCTTTAAGAATATGTTATTTAATATATTTCAATTTAATATTTTAAATTTACTTCTGCAAAATTTTACAAAAAATAGATTTTTTATTTAAAATAAAATTTTAATATTCTTTCAATATTAAAAATTGCAAATAAAATTTCGTCTTTGAATTGGATTTATTTAAAATAATTTTTTTTTAAAGTCCATTACATTGAAATGAATTTGTCTGTGTTGTTTAAGAGAGTCGTAAAATGTTGGCAAATTGTTTTTTTGCTTTAATTTGCTTAAGTAATATAATATTTCCGTGAATGAGAAAAATACATTTGAATAATTTTCTTATATTTCTAGTATGATTTACCGTTTGTGGAGGTTTATAGAGCTCGAGAATTCACGTTCAAGGCAATGCCTAGCTCAAATTACTCTGAAAATGGAAATAGCATTTCACTAAATACAGGTCTCAGTGTTTGGAATTGTGATGGCGAAGTCATTCAAGTTCCAAATGTTAAGATAAGGTAATCTTTTACCAACAAATAAATTATTTTTTTTTTTTTTATTCAGAAGACATTTTTTTTTTTTATCTAATTATAACTTTATTACAGGGTACACTGCCAACTACTAAAAGTTTATACAAGAAGAAGTTCAGAAACATTAGATGAACCTAGTTGTTTCTGCTCTATTTAAAATAATCTCTTTTTTTCTCATTCTATTACGATTCTTAGAATCATGAGATAATTTTTATTTTCCCTAAAAGGATAAATGAATAATTGCAACGTTTTTCAACTAATCGTGCATTCAAACAAAAAGAGGAAAAAAACAAATATTTCTTTTTAATCAGAAATTGTTTTTTATATTCTAGATTAATTAATTTAGCGATCTAGAAAAAAAAATTTAAATAGCTATTAAGAATGGCTTTTTTGTGATAAAAAAAAGAGGAACTTGATTAAGTAAATTCCTAATATTTTTGTGAAAATTTAAAAGAATTATGAGAAATATTGAAAAAATATTTAAAAATTATAATCGAGATCGAGATATTTTTATATATATCCTTTAAATATGATTATTCAATTTTGAATACGAGTGAAAAATATAAAATATATTTTACGAAGTGATATATCAAAAAGTAAACATATTTCTTTGGCGTGATGTACTTAAAGAAAGGTATTTAAGGAGAAATAATTCCAAAATATAGCAATTAGAAATACGAGCTTTATAAATAATAAAAAAGGAGCTTCATATTCTTGTATTGGAATTAAAAAAAGAAAAAGAGAATTATGAATCTATAAAAATAGAAATAATTCTCTATTTATTAGTTATATTTTAAAAATAGAAAAATATATTTTGATAAAAAAAAAAAAAAAAAACAGAAAAATTGTACATTTTTGGCATTGTCCGAAAATCATATAAATTTTTGTATTTTACAAAAAGTAATTCTATTTTTTAACAATAATAATTGAAATTAAAAATTTATTAATTAATATTAATTAATAAATTCCCCAATGAATTGAAACAGTTACTTTGTTAATATAGTAAGAGTTTTAAAAAGCGTATTTCCACCAGTGTGCTTGTTTTTAAATCACAAAATGGTATTTTTAAGTAAAAAAAAAAGTGTGATTTATTATTAATCGAATGAAATTTTAAAGCAATTAATTTTTAAGGCCCAAAGTACTTTTTTATAATTAAATTTGTAATTTATTCTTTTCACACATATATAATATTAAATCAAAAACAAAAATTTTTCACTTTTTTTTACTATAATTAATTTTTTTCATAAACTTTTATAAATTAATTAATTTCTTAATTATTATTTCAAATTATATTTTTGAATAAATCAAAAATTTCCCAGTCATTAATTTGCAAAATTAAAATAAGTGTTAAAACAAAATGTATCCTATATTTGAAATTAAATGAATTTTATTAGGTGCCTTAATGAAATCAAAAAACAAATATATATTTGTAAAAAAAATATATTCTTGATTATCAAGATCTAAATAAATTGTGTAAATCAATTTGAAAATACTTTAAAAAGTAAATAAAATTTTTTTGTGCTGAAAATTTTTAATTATAATTATTTTTATGTAAAGTCTAGAAAAATTGTTATTGTAAAACAATAAAAGTGTTTATGAAAAATAAAGATTACAAATATTGTTTACATGAAATTTGTATTATTATTTTTAAACCAAAAATTAAAAAAAAAAAATTCAAATTTAAAATAATCGGATTTCGATATATCGAAACATGCGCATGCGTGTAGCATACCGCAAGTTGCATGTGTTTGTTGTTTATCTCTGAATTTAAAGAGAATGAAAAAATAAATAATTATATAAAATAGAAATACGTGAAAATAATAAATATAACAAAATGTCATTAACTAAATTATTTTCTAAATTGAGTCTATCAAGTAAGTATGAAAAGATGTAATAACTTTTTTTACTTTCTAAAAGAGGTTATGTTTATCAAGAAAAATTCTAAATTTTAAACAAATTTTTTTTATTTCTAGTGACAATAAACAAATCATTTCCTCAAGTTATACAAACAGCAGGTCTTCGTGCTTATGAAGAACCACCAGTCTATGGTAAATTTAAAGAGAATTATTTTTAAAAAAAAATTTTATCTTTTATACTCCAAAAATTTGAACAATAACAAATGTTTTGTTTCCCTTTATTCTACAGGTGAAATTGAATATCCAGAAAGGAGAAGACTTAGAATTTATGAAAAAGTACCTCAATATCCACCCACAATGAGACCATTTAAAATGCAAAAAAGATTACGATACATGCGAGGTCCAGAGCCAGTTCACAATTTTTTGTTACATAAACAATATGGAGTAATTGTATGTATATTTTTTTTTTTACAATTTTCTAATTTTATATTTTTTTAATTTTGTATTAAACCAAGTCCACTTCTGGGCCGAAAGGCTGAAGCTTAATTAATAAATAATACAATTTTCTAATTTATATATAAAATTAATTTTTTTAGGCTCTAATTGGTGGTCGATTGAAATTCGGTCATTTTGAAATGATGCGTTTTGTTATGCATAGAAAAATCCCTAAAAGCTGTTTTGCAATTTATCGAGTAGACCCACCATGGCAACCAGTTACAAAAAAGGTTGAAAATTATTTTAAATTTATTATTTAGTAGCAAAAAGAAAATATATATTAAAAAAAAAAATCTTATTTTAGAATCCAGGAACAAGAATGGGTGGTGGAAAAGGTGCAATTCATCATTATGTTACACCTGTGAAGGCAGGACGTGTCATTATGGAGGTTTCAGGACCCGTTGAATTTGACGAAGTAAAAAAATAAAAAAAAAATCCAGTTTTAATTTTTTTCTAATAGTAAACAAATTTTAATATTTCTAAATTTTATTTTTTTGTAGGTGAAGAAACAACTTGAAGAAATAGCACACAAATTGCCATTTAAAGCAATGGCCGTTAGTCAAGAAATAATGGAAATGAGAGAAAAGGAGGAAAAGCGATTAGAAGAAGAAAATTTAAATCCATATACATTGAAATATGTTATACAAAATAATTTAGGTGGTGCTAATAATTGGATATCACCTGTTGATAGACTTTGGTTTGGCAAACATCGATAAAATTTCAATTACTTTAAATAAATTACATGCAGTTTTACGGTAAATCGTTATTAAATTTTTTTTGAAAAATCCAATCATTACATTAATATTATTAACTGATTAGATGATATAAAATTAAATAACAATTTTTTTTAATATAAATTAAAATATAATAAATTAATTTTCATGAATAAATTATAAAATTAATTTCTCTAAATAAGAAATAAGAGTATTTTATTTGCAATCGATTTAATTAAACTAAAAGCATATTTGTCATGCGTTATCAAGTTCAAATTCATATATTTATGCAAAATGGTGGAAATGAGTTTAAAAAAGCAAATAATTTTCTCATTTCTAATAAAATTAGTTTATTTTTATGAAAAAACAATAGGCTTATGTCCATTTATAATTGACGAAAATGGTTTTTTTATTCATTCAAATTTGGGAACAATTTATTCATTAATACTTTGTATTTTATATTGTGTCTTTTATGTGCGTGCTTTAATTGATCGTAGTGTGACTATTTTTCCCATGGAAACTATAATTGCAGCAATTGTTGCTACATTTATTGATGGTATGCAATTTATTATAGTAATAATTGCATGGTTGATATTTGCATTTCGTCAAAAGAGGGTATTATTTATTTTTGAAAATTTTAAAAGAACAGAAAAAATAGCTAGAAAAATAGGAATTAAAAATGAAGGACAAATGATTATTAAAATGCTTTGTATTCGTATTAGTTTTGTAAATATTATTTTTGGTGGATTATTTTTTTCAAAAATCGCTTTATCCTCGATATCACCAATTTTTAAATGGATGATTTGGATACCATTTGAATTTCCACATATTATTATTCATAATTGGTTCACTTTATTTATAACTGCTTTGGATATATTGGAATTACGATTTCATAAATTAAATGTGAATTTATCGATGATTTATCCGAGGAAACATTTAAGGTAAAAGAAAAATTATTTATTTTTTTATTCGAATCTTTTTAAATATTTTTCAATTTTCAGATCATCAAATTCCATACCATTGATTCTCAATTATTTTGGTAAATTACATGTGGAATTAATGGATCTGTGTGAAATGATTACGAATTTTTTTGCCCCTATTACTTTAATGGCACTATTAATATCATTTTTACAAATTGTAAAAAATTCATATTTTGTTTGTTTATTTATGACTGACACAAAAGTTCATAAAACAGGTGATTTAATAGCGACCATGTATGGTACTCTTTGGGTCAGTGTTTTAGTCTTGGAATTTATTTTCATTGCATTTTCTTCTGGAAATATTCGTGATGAGGTTATTTATTAACATTAAAAAAAATTAATTCATTTTATTTCGATTTAATTAATTTTTCAAATATTTCTAGGCAAACAATACTGGTAATGCACTTTTTAAATTATGGTTGTATTATAGGCCAGAAAATTGCAAAAAATCTGTAAGATTTAGAAATTTATTTCTATTTTTCTTTTTCAATTATTGAATAATTTTTTCTACAGATACAAAATTGTAAATTTTATTTCAGATTATTAAAATTTCACATCAATTAATTCAAAGAAAACTCAATATATCTTTATATGGAATTATTAATTTGGATTATAATTTTTTATGCAGGGTAAGATTTATCAAAATATTATTGATTATTATTTAAAATTTAAATATTATTATTATTTAAAAATTTTATCGTTATAATTTTTTTTTCAGATTTGTGGAGCTATAACAACATATCTCATAATTATGTTACAAATGGATGATGATAATGATTAATTTTAATTTTACAAAAAAAGAAAATGGTAATTCTAATTGTAAATAATAATTTTTTGGGAAAATTAATAATAAACTTATCAAATTAAAATTATGTTAAATAAAAATGTCTTTTAAAGTTAAAAAAAAATGAAATTATTCGGAAAATATACACAAAATAAAAATGAGAATTTAGAGTGTTATTTTAAATGGGACGTTTGTGTAGAATGATCATTCTCTTCCCACTACTTCAATCGACTGAAGGCCACTAAAGCGCGGTTTCAACGTATTATATGTACAGTTTGAATCAAACAACCTCTTGTGGTCTTTCAAGAAAACGTTCGCTTCCTTTAAAATCACAAATAATTTCTTAGATTCACATTAAAAAAAAAGAAAAATTTATTTCTTAAAGTGTTAAAATCTCCTAGTGCCAAATATGAAGCTTTTAATATTTGTTATAATTTCCACTGTTTTAGCCATTGGTGAGTAAATATATATCTTATATAGATCTAAATGCATATTTTTACAATGTAGTTCACTGTATTGATTCTTATTTCGTGTATAATTCCAAGTTTTTTTTTACGCTTCAGCATAAATTACTAAATATAAATCAAAGAAATAAATTTACATATTATTAAAAAATTTCCAATAATTGTATTAAAAAATAACGATCTTTTTAAATCATTTATTCGCGCGGTTTATTCGAAGAAAATTAACGTTCAATATTTACATTATTTTATTTATTCATTTTTTATCTTTTTTTTTTTTTGCTTTCAATTATTATTGAAAATTTTACTTAAATTTTAATATACGTTTTTCTAATAAAGTATTTAAATTAATAAATATTTTAGTATAGAGAATGTATAATATATATAAAACGTGTTTCCTTTCTTTTGCCATTTCCCTTTCACTTATTCATCACATATTTCTGTTTCGTAAACAAAACTATCGTATGATGACTAATTTATTCAAGACACGTCTTATTGTATTCCATGAAATTGATGACTCAAATTTTGTTTAATAAATTTTTCTCTTTTGTTTCAGGCAACTGTACAACTTGTTATCAATGTATAGAAGGTGACCAGGCTAATGTGATAGGATCTTATAAACCTTGTAATAAATTTTTAGAAAATAACACCTGTAATACAACTTCTTATTCGAATTCTTGTGTAACTTATAAATCTGATTGTAAGTATCATAAATTAATTTTATAATAGAAATTTTTTGAAAAAAATTATTAAAATTTTGGAATGTTTTCTTTTTTTTTAGATTTACACAAAAAAACCACAGTATATGACTGTTGGACGGAAAAGCACCCTTTTAAAATTGGGCAGTTTGATACTGAAATATGCAACAGTAATTTCTGTAATCGAGATGAAAATTGGGGGCGTTATAATAAGGCTACAAGTGTAACCTTGCAAACTTCATTTGCTCTCATTTTAATTTGTTCTCTCTACTTCCTCTAAACGTTACGTCACATTAAGAAATCAGAGGACACAATGCAAAAGTTACACGCAAGGACAACAATTAATTTGCATTTGTTATGCCTTGAAAAAAAAAACAGTACAAATTACAAATAGTCTATAAAATCCGAGCCATTTTTACTAATTTTTATCTAATTGAGTTTAACTCATTATTTGCATAAATATTATTTTAAAAATTATGTGTAATATTATATATGTATTAATATGAATTATTGTATATTGTTAAGTTTAATGTATATTTAATGTAAAATCTCATATTATTATTATATATAATATTACATGTTATTGTTATTACGCACTATGCAGATGATATATTGTTAATTATTAAATTTTTAAAACAGTCTGTTACCATTATTCATAATCATGCGTTCTCTGTTAAAAATTAGTTTATATTTCTTCAATTATAATAATTGATTTTATAAATTTTTATAATTATAAATACTTCAAAATTTTTTTCAATTTTAAAATAGAATTTTTTTTTTGTTAAATTTAATGTTGAAATAAAATATTGATAAAAATTTTTTGAAAGTGAATTATTTCGTATCACAGAGCAATGCCACTCCACGTAAAATCCAAAATTCTGGAGGTTTTATTGTTTGTAACCATAATGGTGTTATTAGCAAATTATAAGTTCTCATTGGTTTCTTGTAAACTGGACACTAAGTCGAAGAATTGAAATTTTTTTAATATATTCCGAATTCAAGAAATTATAAACGAAAAAAGGTGTCAAATTAGAGCGTGTTATTAAAATAAAAAAAGGACGATATTAAAATAAATGAGAAATAAATACCTGATATAGTTTTGGATTTTTATCCGGATTATTGTAGAGTGCGAAAATATGTATCACAGGCATCATCACGTACAAGACTTTATTTGCAGATTCACGTAAACGATTATTTTTCAAATCCCATCCGGCACCGTCCAAATATAATCCATAGACAAAAACACCTTCCTGAATATTTTGTATCAAATAATTTTTTAATAAATTTATTATAAACTTATATTACAAATTAATTAATCTATTATATTCTTACATTCGGCGAAGTTCTCACTTCTTCAGCGGTTTGTTTCGTTACTTCATTGTGAAGTGTTACATTATCAAGAGCCCATCCCTTATGGGCCCTCGTTACTTCCTGTTTCATTGCCGTCAGAAAACCTAAATATTTAAAAAAAAAAATAGTAATTTTTGAAATTTTTTTTTTTGCATTTTTTTGAAAATTTTCCATACCTTGAGGATTGAAAAATCCAGTCATCCAGAATTTTGCAGGACGACGACCAAATAACCAAGAGGAAAATTGACGATTTCTTTCCAATAATTCTGTGAACCAAAATCCCAGTGTACTCGATTCCCATGAACGAGCCTTCCAAACTATTGGTATTCTGGCGTCGTAAATATTATCAAACGCATCTCTCAATTCCTATAAATAAAAAAAAATAAATAAAACAATATTTTTATATAAAAATTTTCGAAAAATTTTCAAAAGAAAAATTTTACCTCATTCATAATTATAACTCCTTCGATTGCCAATAATAAATCTTTCAATGTTATTCGAACTAATTTAATAACAATTTGAATTCGATCTATTTCTTGTTTCAAAAAAATATTCATCGAACTTGTTGCGCCCATAATTTGCAATCTGAAACAAAATAAAAAAAATCTTTTTTTAGAATTTTGAAGATTTTTTTTCGTTTAATTTTTTTTATAATTAATTTTTTTTTTACGACAAACCTATTTTTCACTTCAAATTGATCATAGGCGGGTGGTAATTTTGATAACATTTCATTAGCTTGTTTAGCCACTGAATCTTCACGCGACTCACCTCCACCAATTCCTGCTTCCTTTGGCTGCACCGATATTATTGTATCCAAAACATTTTGTGTCGATACACTTTGATATCTACAAAAAAAAATTATTCAATAGAAACAATTTTCTAAATAAATATTAGAATTTATATTTTATTTCAAATCATATTTATTTTAATTTTTAATTTTTATATAAAAAAAAACTTACGTAATATCCGCATTTGAATGAAGACCATAAGCTTGAGGTGGATCAATGCTAGCCATAGTGTCAATGGCTTTTATATAATCGCTAACTAATTTATAATTCAGAACATTATAATCTTTATAAAAATTAAATGTCTCTGAAAATATTGTTGAAGTGAACCAAACTTTTGCAAATGTATTCAATAGACGTTTGTCATAGTCATCAGTTACACGACCTCCATATTGTACTTCACCAATCATATATCTTTTTAAATAATAAAAATAAAAATAAAATTATTAGGAAAAAACATTTTTTTTAAAAATTTTTTACCTGATAGTTGACCAACTAATGTCCCTTGTATTATCCAAATCATTCAAATGATTATTCATAAACATACAAGATGCGAGCCAATCAGCGGAATTAAATTCATAAGGAATATTCCAACCCAATGGTCCAAATTTTCGACGTTCTTGTAAAACGGTATGCAAAAAAGAAACAACATACACTAACGGTATATATTGTGCAGAATCACATTGATCCAACATTTCTTGATTCATTCCACTATATGTCGCAAGTAAACCTGCTCGAATTCCTGAAAATAAAATCAATTTTCAATATGACAAAAATTTGTAATTCAATCTAAAGAATAAAAACACAAAAAAAACCTTGCGGTGGCTCATAAGTGAATTTAATCGACATTTGTAGTAAAGAAATTGGAAAATCTTTATGCGGTTCGGTTGTTATCCATATGCGAAAATTGGGATGAGGTGAATCCATTTCTAAAATAAATTCCACTAATTCCACCATATATTCGAGGCCAAGGTGACAATTTTGACAAAGCGCCCAAAAACCCTGAATTTTAATTTTTTCAATTATTAATTTAAAAAAAAAATTTCATATTATTATCAAAACATACTTCGGTTTTTGCTGAATTTAATAATTTTCTCGCATGAATTTCCTGTCCTTGACCCATGGAAATACTTTTACAACGAATCTCCATTTTTTTAGCAAGTTGTTCAATACTAGGCGTTGGATCAGATCCCATACTCAAAAAACAAATCATTGGCGTATTTGGTCTTGATTCAGAATGCATAACATCCAATAATGTTAAAACTGGCTCTGCATATTTTACTCCCAAAGAATTTGCAATGTATTTTCGTGATTGCGATAATGTTCTATCCATGCACCATGCTCTAATGGACAAAACAAAACGTTAATTAAAAAAAAGTTTATAATTATAATTTTATTTTTTTGAAAATAAAATAAACCTGATTATTAAAAGACGACGAAAAGTATCGAAATTATTGTAACCATCGGGAATTATTTCTTCCTCGGGTGCTTCTTTAGCGAACCATGATTTCCAATTTTTTTCTGAGGCATAAATTTGTGAGACAATATTTTGAAAATTTTTTAATGACGAAAGAGCAACTAAATTCAACCATGTCATGTCAGTGATCCATTTATAAGGTTTACGTGTCACGGCATTTAAATCGAGAGCCGCTCCTCCTTTAATAAAATATTGAAATTCCTCGTGTGATATTGCGCCTCTTTGAAGATCAATTTTTAATGTCATCAGCACACTAAACATGTATTTATGATTTTCATAAAGTCCACGAGATTTGTATTTGAAAATTTCATAGGTCAAATATTCGATAATGTGGACAATTCTTTTTAAATTCACAGGACTTTTTTCTGATCTAAAAATAATAAATTGTAGTATTATAGAAATTATTTTTGTTTCTTCATTAACGTTCTCTTGATTTTTTTTTTTTTTTTTTTGAAAAAAGATTTTTTTTTGAATATGAAAAATTTAATATACCTGTCAAGAGAAAGATCGAATCGCTCCAAAAATTGAGCAAGCGAAGTTTGATACATGACATTAACTTGAGCCATGTCGCAAATTAAAAAGTACAAAACACTTCCTCTAGTTGCAACTGGTCTAAATTCTTCCCGGGCTGCATTTATTTTCAATTCTGTCTCATTTGCAATTGATAATTTTTCATTTACTTCATTTGCCGTTGTTCTTGTATTATTCAAAACTGCCATCAATTCCACGTCATCTATTAATGGCCCCTGAAATTGAAAATAAAAAGAAAATAAAATGAATTATTTAATATTGAAAATAAAAATATCTTAATAAAAAATTCTTACTTGAACAGTTGTTAATTTATGAAGTAAATTAGCTTCCAATTGTTTTATTTTTCTTTTATTAGCCGTTACATCCGTTATCAATTGGGTTCGTTCAGTTTCTAATTCCTGTTTTTCGGCTAAAATTACTCTACCCAATAATTGATCTTCCAATCCTGGGAAAATTAATTATTTGTCATAAAAACTTGTTCTTTTTCTCATAAAAATTATTGAATTTGAAAAAATCCCAATTACCTTTTATTGTTACAGTGAAATCAATTATAGAAGTACGTGCAAATATTTCAGGAGGATACGATGGATTTGGCAATTTAGTTGTAATGTATAATCGAAAATCGTCATGAACATCAACTTCTTTATCTCCTAATTTTACCTGAAAAATTATAAATTTATTTTCTCTATATTTTATTAGAAAATTTATAAATAAATATGAAAAAATAATTTGAATAATGGGAATTAGTTTTTTTTTAATGATGAAAACGCACTTTTAATGAAGTACCAATTTTGATAAAATTTTTTTCCAGTAAATTATCCAAAACTGGATCTAATTCTTCCTCAACATCCTCTATTAAAAGTGGACGACCAAGAGAAACACAATCTTCCAAATGATTTCTAAAATATTTATGCGTTAGGAAAGTAACCTGAAAAATTTACATTTTACAATACAAACATTAAAAAGTAAAATTATGTCAATAAAATTAAAAACAATTTTTTTTTTTTTTTAAAAAATAAACTGTAAATAAAATTTTCTCACTTGTAAGTCAAAGTCCTTTTCTTTATTTTTAATCCAAGCTTTTCCTTGTAATTGTGGATCAATTAATAATGGATATCTTGAAGCTTTTGTGACTATTATTCCATTTTGAATTGAAAGTTCATCATTAGGTAATCCCTGCAAATTCCATTCTCCAGTCTAAAAATAATAGAAAAAATTATTTTAATTATTCTTTAATTTTATTAAAATTACTAATATTAATTATTACTAACAGTTGCTGCATCCGTTAAAGTATTGACAATGCTTATAGAAGCAGAAACTGGAATTTTTCTATCTTGTACAAGATCGAACCATTTTTTTTGTAAGAGTATTCGAAATTCCTGATTAAATGGACCGCAATATGATAAAAATCCAGTGAGAAGTAAAACATCTCCCACAAGTCTGTCGGTTTCGGATTTAAACATAGCCAATTGATCGGTCCATCGAATTCTTTCGCCAGCAAGTCCATCAATCATTGCTGTTGCAGCATCCATTTTTGCTCGACAAGCATTTGCCAAATCGACAACTTTCTGTAAAAATTGTAATTACATTCTATTTTTATTATTTGTTCGCAATATATTAAAAGAGAGCCGAAAAATTTACCTGACGTTCTGCCATAACAGCATCGAAATCCTTTTTAACCACTTTTAATTCTTCATCTTTTTCTTTTAATACAGCTTCAGCTTGTTGTAAATTTCGATTTGCTTTATCGTGCTTTCCTTGTTGAACAGCTAAATTAGCCTTAAATAATTTATTTTATTTTAATCAATTTCTTTATATAAAATCTTTATTTCTTTTTATCTTAAACAAAATTATTCCCAACTTCTTACTTTTAATGGTAAAACGTCCTTGTTAATTCCATAAAATTTCACCATAGCAATTGTCCATGAAATTAATCCTGCAACATTTCCGCAAGCTGTTTTTGCCGCATCATATGTATATAAAGGATAATTTAAATAAGGTATCATCAAATCAACAGTTTCTCCATTAATATTGTCTTTGGGAAAATTTTGTAAATTATACAAAAATCTTGTATCAGCTAAAACCTGAAAAATTGTGATTTTTTTAAAAAATTCTTTTATTTAAAAAAAAAAGATTATAATAAAGAATCTAAACCTTCAATGCTTCGCCCCATGATGGCATTAAAAATTGTTTCTCTACATCTGGTTTAACGGTGTCCAATTTTCGACCAAATAAAATTATAACGCAATCCATGATTAATGTAATTAAATAAGGAGGTTTTGCCAATTTTCGAACAGTAGCAATGTCAGTTGCTTTTATTGTCTAAAAATAGTAAAAAAAATTAATATATTAAATTTTTTTTAATGAATAAAATAATAATATTATACCTGAAGAGCTGCTTCGGCTTCGAGTAAAGCTGGCTCTGCAGCTTTTAATTTTTTCTCAGCCACTGATTTATCTTTTGAAATAATTTTCAATATAGCTTCAGCTTCTTCTTTTGAACTTTGCACTTGAGATTTCACAATTTCTGCGTCTCTCTTTTTCTCATTTACTGTCACAAGAATCTAAAGAGAAAAATAAATTTTCAATTAAATTTAATTTAAAAAATTTTTCATGTTAATTAAATTCTATTTTTATCACTAACTGCTTCAACTTGAACATTTTTCACATCAATTTCAGCTTGATTTATTTCGAGTACTTTTCGTAGTTCATCGACTTGTTTCGATGCATCAACTAATTTACTTAAACCATTGCTCATTCGAAATGCAAGAGTATTTATATTATCGAGTCGTTGTTTATAAATATTTTTATAACCACTAATAAATGACAAAAATGATTTTGGTGTAACGTATGTTTGCCTACGGAATCTATAATAAAAATAATATTTTAATAACCAATTTTTTAATAATAAAAAAAAACAAAAAAAAACAATTACCTGTTAAAATATTCCGTACAAGCGTCAATCACAAATTCTTGAACCTCTCCCGTAACGTTAATAATTTCTTCTTTAATTTCCTCGGTACAAACAAAATTATAGTTCTTCAAAAAATGTTTACTAACCGCACATAAAGCGTCTTTTGGCCATCTTGAAAAATAATTCATTGTACATCCCGATATAAGTCCAGGAAACTTTAATGATCGTGATCTGAATTTTTCACCCACCTATTTTTAAATTAATTAATTAATTATTAATGAATAAATATTAATATATAGTAAAAAAAATAAATTGTAAAATTAACTTACTGGAGAAAAACAAAGAGCAATATGCAAATTATTTCTCGCTCTAGTTATAAAATATTCGTATAAATTATCTGGAGTTGGAGGTCTTCTTGGCTGTTCTTTCTTCATAATTGGAATGACACTTGTTAAAATTTCATCAAGTTCATCTTTTGGAAAAAGATTCGCTATTTCTCCCACACTCAAAACATTATTTAAATATTCGAGAAATCCTTCATCTTTAATTTCATTATCAGTGAAAATAAAAGTCGCACCTCGTGTTCCAATTCCTGCCATTCGGTACAATTTTCTTAAATCTTCCAACAAACTTCCGATATTGTAACTCCTACATTGTTTTTAAAAAAATAATACTCAGTTTTAAACTCTAGTAGAAGATTTATTATTAAAAAAAAAATAAATTTTAATTAATAAACAAAAAAATTACCTTGTTAGAACAATTTGAAAAAAATCTAAACCGGCAATAAAAGAAGCAAGACGAGTGAGACTTTGTTTTCCTGAACCACCGATTCCAACCAGAAGAGCATTACCCCTTGGAACACCAAAAATTCTTGATATTCGAATTAAATGAACCAATGCATCATGAAAAAATACCAAATCCAATCGCAAACCTCGAATACATTCGTTAAATTGTTCCATAAATTGACGCACTCTTTCAATCACAATTTCAAAACTGTAAAATTAATTATTATTCAACTATTTAAAAAATAAATCTTAATTATCAATTTTTTCCTAACCTTGGAATTTCCTCATAAATTTTCGGAGCAACAAGAACAAAATCTTCTGGTTCATCTCCAGTTGGTTCCGGTGGATCACGCAAAAAATTGACAAAATACGTTTCATCTGATGAATAATAACGAAAATCAATATTTAAACATTCTTCGGCCGTTTTTTGTAAAGTTTCTTGAAACCATAGTTTATCGATTTCATCAATAAATCTAAAATTAAAAAAAATTGAGAAAATTATTAAATTACATAAATTAATTTCCCCTTTATATTCACCTATCTGCAATTACTCTTGTGCATTCGTGTTTCCAAAGTTTTAACAGCATCTCAATAGAGGAGCATTCATTTTTTTCAATTCGAAGAATTCCTTCCCAGATACGCGATAAATCCCTCAAATTAAAAACATAATGAAACTTGGCCGGTGTTGGAAGCATTTTAATTTTTGTTTTTTGCCACAAAATTCGTGTCATTGGAATTAATTTTGGTACAAAATTCACTATTTGTTCTGAAAATCTATGAATATTAAAATAGCCCTGTCCTATCGTGCCTGCAATAATTACAAATTTTAAAATGTAAAAAAAATTATACTAGCGTTAAAAAAAAATTGGAAAAAAGAATTTCTTACTGAAAATCGTATCCATTGACTTGTTTGATGGCAAAGTACAATTGAAAATATTGAATTGTCTTTTTAATCGTGGTGGAATATCATTTCGACCTCCACCAGGATGAATCATTGCAGCCATCAACATCATATCTTGCAATGTTGAAAATTCACCTGGCTTATCAAGTGAATAAAATCCTCCGTATTCCATTAATTGACGTACAATTTCATTTGTAATTTGATCACCCCATTCATTAACAATTGGCATATTTATATCATCTATAAAAACTGTCATTCTTCTACCTCCTGGAGGACCATAAGTATTTCCAACTCTCTTTTCCACATAACTTTCAAATATACGCTACAAATTGTAAATTTTATTTATAAATATTTTTAATTCTAGAAACAATTAAAATATAAGTACCTATTTTTTTTTTGCAAAATTTATTTTTAAATATTTTACCTGAACCATATTAGGTGTAGATGCAGACGAGAAATTGAAGGATTTATGCAAATGATATTCAGCATCAAATTTGGACATGTAACTTTTCACCATGACAGTTTTTGCTGTTCCTTGTTCACCTTTTAACAAAAAATTAATATTATTAAAATTTCTAATAGTTTTTTTTCTCTGTAAATTAAAAAAAAAACCAACCAATTAAAAGGACAGCTTTTTTTTGTTTGGCAATAACGTGCATTAAAAATAAAGTTCGAGTATTGTCAACATTTGGAACCAAAATTGAATGATATGGCAAAATTTCTTCAATAGGATACTGAAATTCTGTAACTTTTTCATTCCAATGCATCCATTTTCCATCATCATTTACAAGAAACTCAAAAATTGTTTCATCATCCTGAAAAAAAATGTCAAAAATTAATATAAGTTTAAAAAAAATAAAGAAAATAATAATTAAAAATAAATAACCTTGCATTTAGGCCAATTACATTTCGAAGGATGTGAGAGAACAAATTCTTGAAAAGCTGCACGACCATCCAATTCAAGAACTGATCCCAAACTCCACATTAGGGAAAATAAGAAAAATTTTTCCAAATGAGATTCAGCAAATGTTTCTAAAAAATAGTAACAAAAATATTCTTTGTTAATAAATTTAACGATTTTTAAGAAATAATAATAAAAATAATAATTTTTAAAACAATATTTACGCGGAGAATTTTCATTTAATGTAAGTAATCCTTGTAATAAATCTAAGCACTGTCGAATATAAAGAGATTCTAAAATAATCATTTTTGTCACCAATTTTGTTTGTACAAATAAATGGGCATCGTCGTATATTTTATTAAATAACGATCGCAAAAATTCTGCTTGATTTGATCGTTTCTTTAACCAAGCCTAGTTCGAAAAATAAATAGTCAAAAAAAAAATGTATAAAATAGAAATATATATTAATAAAAATAATAATAGACCTCAAGAATGGGCGGCCACTTTAATACAGAAGCACTGACAAAAACCATTCCCATTCTAGAAACAGTTGCCGGTGATGCATTATCAATATTATCGGGTTCAAAAACAAGTTTACTATTGGATGCCATTATAATACGATCTCCATTGGCCAATGTTAAAGTCTTATTATCATCCAGTACTGAATTTAAATTTTCAATCCACACAGCATCCACGGGACCATCCAAAACAATCCAAAGATTTTCATTTTTCTTCAATTGTGTCGATCTTCTCCATAAGGTGGAAAAAATTCCATCTGTCCAATCATTTGTCGCTACGTCCAATTTACCAAACATTTGAGGTGCTGTTATCGCCTAAAAAATTAGAACAATAGACATTATAAAAAAATTTATAATTATTTTATTTTATTTTTTTTAAATCTATTCACCTTTGGATTCATTCTGACTTCTCGATGAGGAATTCCTAATTCCGTTAATGCTTTCATTAAGGCCCACATACAACGAGTTTTTCCTGATCCTGTAGGGCCCAAAACCATTAGACCATGACGAACAAGTGATGTTTCATATAACTAAAAATGAAATAAATTTTCTTTCATTTAATTTTTAATTCACAAAATCTATAAAAAAAAATTGAAAATTGAACTCCTACTTGAATAGTTTTTAAATTCCATTCCGGATGATTTATAATTCCAAGTTCTACTGTTGCATTAGCAATTGCCCTTTGTAAATCTTTATAAATTTGCACTGACAATTTTATTCCCGGAAACATATCCTCGATAAGAGAAAGAAATAATGGCTCATCTTCGTCTACTAATTTCGATAAATTCATATCCCTGAAAAATAAGAATTTCAAAAAGTAAATAAAAAATTGAAAATTTTATTTTATTGAAAATATAAATATTTCAACCTCAAAACTCTCATTAATGTTGTTTCCTCAGATTCATCTGGATGTGCACGTTTTTGTGCGCCCATTGTACGTAAACATGATAAAATATTTCTCAATCCAAAATCATAATGCACTTGTTTACTTAATTGTTCTTCGCAAAGTTTATAGAGTGTAAAAAATTTTCCCGAAAGAACAATATTCTCCTTAAATCCACAAGCAGCCATTTTCACCCTCATAATAATCTGAAAAATTATTGATGATAATCTTTTCAATCGGCATTTAATAACAAATTTTAAAAAAATCATTGTATTTTACTTGTCTATCAGGAACCATCATAGCAACGCTTCTAAATTGTATTTTTAAATTCTCCGGTAATTCCTGACGACCCGCGTATCCAGGATTCATTGTTATAAACAATCCCAGCTCATAATCCAAAGAATAAGTTTCTCCATCACTAAATTATTATTATTAATTTCTTAATTCAATATTTTTATTTTATATTGCAAAAAATAAAAAACTTACCTAAATAAAAATGAAAATTTCTTTGCTCTTTTGGCATTTAAAATAATTGCAATTTGTTGAGCAGCCACTGAAAGTACTGGTAAATCAATTCGATTGAATTCATCGAAACAACCCCATGCTCCAGCTTGTGCCAATCCTTTAAAAATTCTTCCAAGACCACGAAAATCCATTTGATCGGAACAATTAAAAACAACACAATATTTACCCAAAGCTTTAGCCATGTCTTTAGTTGTTTCCGTTTTTCCTGTACCTGCAGGACCTGCAGGAGCACCTCCAAAATTCATTCCTGTCGATAAAAAAATAAAATATTAAATAAATTTATAAGAAAAAATTTTTTCATTACTTACCAATTGCTTGGGCAAGTGTTATATAACATCTGTCTGTTAAAGGTGTAATTGCAAGACGATCTGTACAACCAAGAAATTCATTTTGATATGTAAAATTAACATTTGTAATTCCAATGGGTACTTCCTCGGAATCTTCATCATAATAAAAACGTGCCTGTTTCAACCATTCAAAATCTTGTTTATTTCTTATTTTATTACGAAAAAGTTCATCGAAAATATCTCTGAAAAAAATTGAAATATATTAAATAAATTGAAAAAAACTGAAAATTAATGAAAAAATTGAGAATTGAAAACTAAAAAAATTTTTAATTTAAAAATTACCTTTGATGAACATGAATTGTTATAAGAGCTTCATATTTTGCTCTTGCGTATTTATTTAAATCTTTCACTGTCACTTCAATGAGACTATTTAACAAATCCAGGAACCATTGATTTGTTTTTTTCATTATATTTTTATCACGCTTCGAATTAACTAAAGCTATTTCCGAATCACGTGTCCATAAAACTTGTAGTGACAAAAGACCAACCTGAAAATTTAATTTTTCTTCTTATTAATATATAGTAAAATTAATTTCCAAATTTATATTAATTTTTTTTTAAACCTGTAAAACTGATTCGTCAATTAGAGTTAAAAGATCAATTTCTGTCAATTTTAATAGACCTTGTGATATAACAGAACCAACTGAAAATCGATGAACTTCCAATAAAGTATTTAGCCAATTTTCAACACCACCTTTACAATAAACATCTTTCTCGAGAGCAATTATTTCCCCCTCACGTGAATACATATTAATTATTTTATCGTATTCGTTTACGTCGAAATCCAACTGTAAAATTAAGTGATCAAAAAATTATTATTTTAAATATATTTACTCTTGTGATCATTAAAATAATTTTTATGTTCTTTTCAAGTGGATTAAATATAGAAGAAAAATTCTTGTAGATTTTCTTACTTTACCAATATTATCGAAAAAGCCATCCAAATACTTTTGAATCGTATGCGAATCGGCAGCTTGTCCCAAAATTTCCAATAAACTTGGATCGGAAATAAAACAAAATCTGGGAAAAATGACTCGTTTCGTCTCCAAATATCTATTAGTAATAAAAATATAATAATAATATTATTTATTTATTTATAAATAACTTTAAATTTTAATTAAAAAAGTTTATTTTCATGTATTATAGTCAACAAAAAAAAAAAATTGTCTTCGATAAAAGAAAATTGATAATTTCTTTTAAGAATTTATATTTGTAAAAAAATGTTTTCTTTAAATTTTTATATTCTTACCCACTGAGTGATTTTTGACAAGATTCCAATTGATCCATGAGAAATGACAACATTACAGACATTGTTTCATCTCCTGTACATGTTTCAATAGCATTTAATTTATCATGCGCATGTTGCATTAATTTAACCCAAGATTTATCAATATCCTTAAGAAATAATTTTATTATTTTGAAATTAATAATTATTATCAATCAGTAAATCAAAATAGAAAAACATACATTAAATCGTTTTGCTTCTTCAGGTAATTGTTTCGAAATATCGCCTCCAATAAAAACTGCTTCTAAATAAGCCCATAAACTTTGAACAGTCAACCATTTTGACAATATTTCAGAAGTATTTGTCAATTTATTCTGCCATAATTGAATATCTTTTTTAAAATGCATATTGTATCTGAAAAAAAATCATAAATGTTAATAAATAAAAAAAGAGTAAAATTTCTACTATAGAAAATCAATTTTATGAAAAAAAAATGTCAATTTTAATTAATAAATAAGTAAATTTACCGATTTGCAACAAGAGAACTTATAATCATTAAACTGTCTTCTAGTTGAGAAATAATTTCAGCAGTTTCAGTCCCTTTAAGAAGCAATTCACCTCTTTGTTTAAATGAAGAAAATTGCAAATCAACAATTGCCCAATCAGCAATCACTTGATTCAATTTACTTTCAATGTCCTTTTCTTTTACAGAACTTATACAAATATCCTATACATTCAATAATATTTAATCAATAAAAATAAATATTTACATATTTATAAAAGAAAATTTACTAAAAAGTATTAGAAAAATTACTGTGAACTTGATTAAAATTGTTTTGCAATTAATAATAAATAATTATAATATCATTATTACTTACTTCAATATCATCTTTATATTTTAATAAAGGAGCATTCATTACATCAGCCAAAAGAAAAATTTCAGATTCAATATTAAATGTATAATTGCAAAGTTTTGACATTCTTTCCCAATGTCTATCTTCCATTGCTTTATTGGCCATCATCTCTAATAAAGGACAAGTTTCATTGAAATCATCAATTTTCTTCTTCAAATCAATATACGCTGGCCAATCTCTCATTGCTTTCGGTAGCATTCGACATCTGATGAAAAATTATAAAAATATATTTCTTTTTTCAAAACTCAAAAAACAATTTTTAATTATTAAAACAAAAAAATAAAACAAACCTATTTTGAAAATCAGATAATTCAGTGATAATAACATCGATATTAATTTCATTCCATGGAATTTGATAGTAACCATCGATTGTACGATTTACATGTAAATATAAATTGTACAATTTTTGTAATAAAGTTAATTCTCTTTTTCGTTTTTCCAAAGCTGGATATTCTGTTTGATCAATGCCAAATAAACTCTCACCACTGTTATAAGTTTCAAATCTCTCCCATAATTCTTCGAATTGCGATTGAAATAATATCATTCTAAAAAAAAATATAATTTCAAAAATATTTATTACTTAAACTCAAATCAAAATGGAAAGAAAAATAAATACCTATCACTAGCTTCTTTTGCTGGTAATCCCTCAACCATTGGTCCATTTTTCTCAAAATCAGCATCAAAATTTATGACATCTTTCTTAAAAATTGCCACCCCATCAGTTAATTCTTTCTTCAATGGTTCTTGCATTTCACAAATAATTTGTTGAATTTTCTCAGCCTAAAGAATAGAAAATTATTTTTTTTTAAATTATTAATTATATTTTACGACGAAAATATATTTAAATAAAAATAATTAATCAAAAAAAAAGAAATAATACCGTATTCAATAAATTTGAAAAACAATCACGAAGATTATCAACTGTATTTTGTTCCTCTTGTGTATAAGTAACATTGTATTTTGACATTAAAGCATAGGTTTCTTCTATTGAAATTAATTCAATATCCATTGATATAAAATCATTTCTAATCTCTCCTAGACATCTCATTGCAATTCTCACATCTTCCAAATCATTTATATCTCTTGATAATATTTTATTTTTTTCATCTATATATCCAACTATTTTTCTTAATTTTTCTTCATAAGTCTTTGATAAAATTAATCCAAAAGTTTTTTTCCAAATACCAGCTTCCTCCATCAAGGAAAATTTTAATTTATCTAAACAAAAAAAAATGATAATAAAAAAATCTAATTCTCTATTTAATTTTTACTTTATTAAAAAAAAAAAATTACCCATATTAATTTGTATACAACCGATAATATAAAATTCAGGTAAATTATTTATTTCGAGAAAAAGATTTTCAAATTCGTCAAATTTATTCTTAATATCAACAACAATAGGCTCGGCATTTACAAATCTTTTTAATTGATCGTTCCTATCCTCTGCCCAAACAAAACAAAACCTTTGATATGACTGTCAATAAGAATCAAATTATATTTTATTTTTAGTACTGTAGATATTATTCAAAAATTTTAATTTATTATAAGGTAAACTATAAGTACAAAAATATAATAGTAATTTATATAAAAAAAAATTGTAATAATTTACCTTTATCAATAAAGAGACATCATCTTTTAATATTGATATTGATCCTTGTAAATTCAACATTGATCGAATAATTTCTCTATGATCAGCAATAATTTCATAATAATTTTTCAAATTTTCTTCATTGTCACCTGAAAAAAAAAATGTTCATATTGAAAAATATTTCAATCATTAAATCATAACTATTTAATAAGAATTGGAAAAATATTTTAAAAAATAAACTTTCGAAATATCAAGATTTTAATACTTTCGTCTTCATAGTATTGTTCTTTAAGAAAATTTCGCTGTCCCCACATAATAATTTCTTTATTAATTCCAACAATATTTATAATGACATTACTAAAAAATTGTTGTAATTCTTCAATACTTGGTAACATAATAATTTGTGGAATTTCCAATATAAATTGTGTTAAAAATAACGGCGGTTCAGCTCCTTCAACAATATTTTCACTCACAAAAAGACTGTAAATTTTGTTTTTTTTTTTTTAAATAATAAATAGTTTTTAAAACAAATTGAAAAAGAAATTAATTAAAAATTTTAATAATTATTATGAAAGTATTTTTACAAACCTATTTGTTCGAACTCGTTTCTTTAAAATTGTCAGCGAATTTTTTGTACATTTAACTAATGCGTCTATTAATTTGAAATTAAAATATGCAAACAATTCTATACAATCGTTGTGTAATTGTGTTAAATTGATTTTTGCATTTTTATCCACACGACCAAATCCTGTATATTATGAAATTAATTTTAATTATAAATAAATACAATTTTTTTAAAAAATTACGATTTTTAATTTTTAAAATATAATTTCAAAAATTTATCACAAATATATAAATACCAGATTCAAAATCTTTTGTAAGTTTAGTTAATGAGCTCACGGGTTTATTAACTTTATCAGAATCAAGCCAATCGTATTTCATTTCTGAAATACTCGAATCAGAAATTAAATCCAAAAAATTATTAATAATTTCAATAACTGATTTTTCCGCCACCGTGGAATTTTCTTTTAATTCAATAGAAATAAAATTTTTGAATGTGAAATTTTTTTCAAAAAATTCTATTCCAGATATTGGTGAATTTTCCAATATTATTAAATCTGTTTCTGCAATTTTTACAAAAATTTCATCGACTATTGCCTCTTTTATATATTTTACTTCATTGAGAAATGTTTCAACATCTTTTATTGTGGCACTTATTGTTTCACAAATTTCTTCGATTCTTAATGAGGACCATGTTATTATAGATAAACAAGGCTGAAAAGAATCTTCTAACTTCATAAATGAGGGTTTCATTAAATTTAAAAATATAAGGGGAACCGAGCGTCTGTAAATAAAATTTTTTTCTACAGTAAATTGTAAAATTGCTTTTTAATTTTGTTAACAAGTTACATTTTTCAAAATTAATAATTTAATGTTAATATTAATTGTTAATTAAATTTACCTGATAGTATCGTTTTTGTGAACTAAATATTTCACCGTTTCATAGGATAAAAAAAGTTTTTCTTTGGATAAATTTATAATTTTTATAAATTCCGGAACCTCTAGTCCAAATTTCGACATATGATCCGACTCACGGATGACCTCAACAACATAGGGATCGAAATTTAAAGTATATTTGTTTGTTTTTGGATTTCTTATTAGAAGAGGTGATGTCAATGCCAAACGTACCTAGATAATAAATTTTTTTTTTTTTTTTGATTAAAATTCAGAAAGACAAGAGTCTTTTTTTTAAACATTCTATTCCTTTAATTTCTCTCTTGTTTACTAAAAATTATTTTTTTCAATTTTTAATTCATAAATACAAAAATAATTTATAAATATTAATATAATTTATTTTTTAAAAAAACTTACCACTTCTGAAGAATCATACCAAGCTTTATGATGTATCATTTCATAATGAATGAATACTCTTATTATCACATTATACATTCGAATAACTCTTTGAGTTTTTTCATGTTTAATAATTCGTTCACGTGATTTAAAAATTTCCATTGGTGCTTCAATTCGTTTATAAAGTTGTCGAATCCATAATATACGATTTGCAATTGGTGGAATATTTCGAGAAATATCGGGTGCCGATCTATTTTCATTGTATATGTCACGAATATTTTCAATTTCTTTCTGATAAGATGCAACAAGTTCTAAATATTTTCGATCAATATTCAATACTTTTAAATTCAGCTTTTCAAATCTATAAACGAATAAATAATTTTTGATTCACTTACAAAATACAAATTTAAAATATATATTTATATTTAGAATTATTAATTACCTAGCAACAAAATGAAGCGCCTGAATTGTTGTAGGAACTTGAGAGATAGATTTAAAGAAAAAATTTCTTATTTCCACTTCAGTTTCTGTGACATTTTCTTTAAATTCCTTATAATCGGGTTCAAAATCAAATTTTCGATAATCTAAAGGATCGTAAGTTTTTGAAGCAATTTTTTCAAAAAAGGATGTAAATTTTTGAGCAAAAATATCTATTCCTTCAATAGCTGAACTATGTAAAATTGAGTACTCAAGAGTTATGTTAAGAACATCAATAATCTGAAAAATAATAAATTTATAAAATAATTATCCATTAAAATTAATTTTACTTTATTATATAACAATATATTTTTTTGTTAATTTAATATTTTTAATTTTGAAAAAATTTATTTGTATCTATTATATAACTTACTTTATTTAATCTTTCTTTAAATGTATTAAACTTCCCAAAGACATACATCTCAGAAATTTCGAATGATTTTTCCTCTGTTGATGTTTTGATTTTTTTTCTCATTTCCTTGTAACAATCGAAATAGTAATCACAGAGTTTAATACAATCCTAAAAAGAAAAATTTCATTTTATTTACAATTTTATTTCAATTTTTAAAAAAATGTTTCTTTACCTTCATTCTTGAAATCATAATTAATTTTGCATCTTGCCAAATTTTCAATGTTCCATTTTCCGTTAAATATGATTTACATGTCACAATTAATTGATTTGTTATCTAAACAAATTGTTTGTCTTTTATTTTTGTCTCTTAGAAAATTAAATCAGAATTTTGATTTTACTTTTATTTTTATATTTAATTTTCATTATACCTTAACAAATACTGCAGTTATCATTTGTCTTGTATTAAAAAAACGAGATGTGGTATAAATCATGCGAATCGCATACATTATAGCTGGCAAATAATTTCCAATTTCAGTTGGATTCAATTGGTATAAAGGTTTAATAAACTTTTCCAATGCGAACAAATATTTTTCATTATCTTGCGCTATTATTTCAATAATTGCCACTTCATCTTCTAATTTATTCCATTTCTGTGAAATAAAACAAATTTACAATTCAATTTTTAAATTAAAAAATTATATTAAATTTAATTGATACAAACCTTTATTAATTTGGATTTCGTAATTTCGAGAAATTTTAAAAACCTTTGTGTTTCCGGTTTTTTAATGTATTTAGTGATTGTTGAAAAACAAATTAATAATCTTCGCCAGTAAAAATATTCCTCCCTTGGTCCAGCGGTTTCCGATTCTCGTCTTAATTGTCGACTTTGAACAACAGACTTTTTTTTAACAAAAAACAAAAAAGAAAATTAATATAAACAAATAATATAGGAAATTAAATATTAAAAAAATATTAAATACCTTTTTTATCGTCTTCATCCATCCTTTTACAATATCTTCAACTTGTAATAATACTTCATAATTATTATTACATTGTTTAAGTTCTTCTGGATCAGCTAAACATTTCTGATAAAAATTCCAATCGGTGAAGAATTTTGAATCAATATCATACTCCATTTCAGTCACTGATTAAAGAATTAAAAAATAATTTTAATTATAATTATTAGAATTATTATTTCAAAGTGTCATTGTTTTACTTAAAATTAATTAATTTAAATAACTTTAACATACTGTTGAGAAACTTGCAAAAATCTTTAAAATCGCCAATAAAATTCTCTTTCATTTTTCGACCAGATTCAGTTTTAAATAATTCACCCCATTCAGAACAAGCAATTAAGACTGGTTTACATAATCGATTCATAAGTTGGGAAATTTCGGAAATAATTTTTTCTGATTCAGGATCAATTTCAACGAAAGCATAATACGTTTCCTGTTAAAAAAATTGTTTGAATTAAAAATAAAACTAAAAAAAATTTATCAATTCTTTCTTTAAAAGAAAACAATATAAATATAAAAATTGAATAAAGATAAAAAATAATACAAAATATATTAAATAATTACTTCAAGTAATTGTTCCATTTCAAAATCAATATCCGAGCGTAATCGATAAACAAATACACATTGTCCATGTTTATATTTTGAATTTTCATCTGTGACAACACATCGTAAGATTGTTTTCTCTTTCACATATTCTGGTGTCCAACAACCGGATTCTATAGAAAATAAAAACAAACATTTAAATAAATTTTAATATAAAAATATATAAATGTGGAAAAAAATTATAGAGTAACAAAATAATTTATTAAAATATAAAAAGAGAAAATTAAAGAATTACCAATTGAAGGAGGGGAAATTTCCTGTAATTGAATGGCAATTATTTTTCTTCCATCTTTATTAAAAAAACTAATAAAAGTATCTATATATTCATCCTTATCAATAATTCCTTCCAGCAAGAATGAAGATTCGATATTTAATGTAAAAGCCACAACTTCCAAAACATGTGAATAATTATTATTTTTCACTAATATTTCTCTTCTTTCATTTCGAAGTTTCTTGTACTTAATCTATTAAAAATTTACATTATAAATTAATATAAATCAAATAATCGAATTAAATTTAAAATTAAATTTTTAATTATAAATTAATTATTATAAACAAAATAAACACAGAAAAGTGTTAAAAATGAAGAAATATATTAATGATAAAAATTTTATCAACCAAATGCTGTTTAGTTTTTTCCAAAAAAAGTGACTCTGTTCTTTTTTCGGGATAATTTGTATTTTCATTTTCTATTACTGGCAATGAATAATCACGATCTAAATTATGCGACATTTTTTTTTCCCTCATAAAATTCTTTGAACGTTATTATTAAAGAAAAAAAAATTAATTAAACATCATTATTTTAAAAGACATTAATCCTTTTTTTCTAAAGACATTTCCATTAAAATGACAACTGTGAATTGAGCAGAAATTAACAAGAATGAAAAACGTTTCGCTTTTATTTTTAAATACTAAACATTATTCAAAGTACAAATTATTACTCATCAAACAAAATTTTATATATATTTATATATAATTAATTGGTTATTTTGATTGATTGTAATAATTTTTGTTAATAATTAAATTAATTAAAAATAATAATACTATTTTTTTTGTCTAATAATAATAATTACCTTATAGATTTTTCTTTTTCTTCTACTTATTTACAGCTGCTTCTTAATAGGCCAAATTCGAAAAATGAAAATAGTGGGACTTGTAAGATATTGTATATGATATTTTGATTTGCTTAAATTGAAAATTTGCTCCTCCCTCAAATTTTCCTATAAATATTCCCTCAGTCGTGTGAGCTGACTTATTTTCGTTCTGTTCTGTGAAAAAGAGTGTTAAATTGTTAAATAGTTTTTTTATCAGTGTTATTTATTTATAAATCAGTGTTAATTAAAATAATTTAAATAATATTAAAGAAATGCCAAAAACAAAGAAGGGTAAAAGAGTTGAAGAAATGGAATCGTCTCGAGAAGAAGCTGCAGCTATGAGTACACAATCGGAAAGTGAACCCAATTCATCATCTGAAGAAGAAGAAGAAGAAGAAGATGGAGATGATGAAGAAGAAGAAACAGAAGCTACACCAATTGTTCAGAAATCTAAAAAAATGAAAGGAACATTAACAGCAAAAAAAATGTCGCCAGTAAAAAATAATAAGAAAAAGGTAACATCAGTTTCAATAAGTCATAAAAAGTCGCACGCTACATCACACTCATCAAATCTTAGAAAAAAAAAGAAGAGTATTGTATCATATAGCATCTATATTCACAAAGTACTAAAACAGGTCCATCAAGACAGTACGATTTCAGTCAAAGCCATGAATATAATGAACGATTTTATGGTAGATATTTTTGAAAGGCTCGCAACGGAAGCTGGCAGTTTGTGTAAAAAAATTAAATCTAAAACAATTGGTTCACGTGAAATGCAAACGGCAGTACAATTCATTTTACCGGGAGAATTGGCAAAGCACGCCATGAGTGAAGGCAATAAAGCTTTACAAAGTTATAAAAATTCTTGTTAAAAAAAGTTTATTTATTTTTGTTCTTACTTTTGTTGTGTTTATTAAAGTTAATTAACTAGATTTCATATTCCTATTCTAAATATGTACGGCTATAAACAAAATTATTTCTTTAATTTTTATAAATGTTTATTATTTATTTATAGTCATATTACTTTAATTAAGTTGCATAAAATTATTAATGTTTATTAATTCATCAAAAAATGGCCCTTTTCAGGGCCAACAATTTTTCAAACAATGGAATTGCTTTTTTGTTTTTTGGCATATATGTGTTATATATTATTTATTAAACTAATAATTAATAAATAAACATTTTTTTTCTTTTGAAATAAATATAAAAAGAAAAAATATATATTTTAAAAAAAATATTCTTTTCAGAGTGTTTAATTAGAAAAAAATTTTTTTCACTTTTTAAATTAGGTATATATGCGGCCGCAAGTCTTTTCTCCTCTTTGTGAAGGAAGAAACATATGAAACCTTCATCAGTTTCATTGCAACTCTCGTGGTGGTTGTAGACCATTCATCATAAGTGTAACACAATGTAATTTTGGGAATTAATTTTTTTTTACTGACAACAAAAAGAATTTTTTTTCCAAAAGTACAAAAAAATATTTTAACTCATTTTATTTAATATTTTTATTTTATAATAATAATTTAAAATTTTACTGTATTTTTTAATAGAATTTTTGAATTTCATTTAAATTGTAATTAATTATGGCCAATTAATAATTTAATTTTACTAACGAAAAATGTGTTTTCCTTTTTTTTTAAACAAAAAAAAAGCTGTGAATGCACCCGGAAATATTATTGAACCTATAACGTGGAGGATGTGGTTTGAAATTCTATATGGATGTGAAAAAACTTAAATCACATGGAATTTCAATGAGAATTTAAATTGAATTTTTATTTTAAATTCTTATCATTATTTATATTTTAATGTAAAAGAAGAAAACATTAATCAAAATGAAAGCCAACGATGAAAAAAAACCCTTAATACCATCTACATCAACAGCAATAGGTCATGAAAGAGTTTCCTACCATTCAGTTATATTTGTGAGTATTATTTTTTTTCATTATTAATAAATTTTTTAATTATGGAATTTTATTTTTAAGTTCAAAAATTTTTCTATATTTTTTTAAAACTAAAACCTTATTTCAATCAATTTTTTCTTGACACGTAATTTAACCACGTATATTGAATTGCATCAATTACGTGATAAATCTTTCTGGATTTTTACAATATTCCTGTATAACTGGATTTTACCTTGAGTCTATGTTAAAAAATCGAAATATAATATATCAAAGCAAACTGTTATCATAAACTTACAACTGAAAATTTCCAATAATATTGACATTTAATAGAAAAAAAGCTAGTAATAATTATTTAATGAAAAATTCATTTCTCAAGAATATTGAAAATCTACGATAAATTTTTTTCTAATCAAAATATGTGAAAAGAATAAAAAAATTAAAAATGAAAAACTATTTGTTAAAATAAATAAAAAAAAATTGGACAATAATGGAATAGTAATGCGTTAAAAATAAAGGGGGTGAACAGACTGTTTGAAGCCTTAGGAAGAATAATGGTATTTAGTATCATTTTGGCTTCAGTACTGGAAATTCTATACACCCACTGAAAAAAAATTAGAAATGTCAATAAAATATATAATAAGTTATATATAATAAAATAATTAATTAATAATTATATATGTTATATACAATAATAATAATAATAATGTCAGTAAATAATATATATTTTTAGAATATAAAAAATAATTTAATTTTTGTTACAAATAAAATTGCTTACGGTAATTTTACCATAATTTTTAATTATAAAATATATTTTTAACTCCATGATGTAGAATTTAATATAAATTATATAAAATTGAAATATAAATAAATATTAAATTGTTGTACAATAGAAAATGTAGTAAATTATTTTTATTAGTTTAATTGGAAATAATTTAAAAAATAATATTAAAAAAAATTTAATTCCCACGAGCGAGAATTTTTTTTTCACCAAGTATACTAAGTTACTGGGTGAACCGATATTTATGGAATTTACTGAGAAGTAAAATGTAATAAAAAGTATATTTAATTATTTTCTTTATTTATTTAACAAAAAGAAAAAAATTTTAAAATTATTTGTACAAACCGAACAATAAAAGAAATAATGTCAATAAATTTATATATTTTTTATAAACAATTAAAAAAAGAAAAAGGTTTAAAATACCTGTATTATTATTAAAAATGTTTCCTTCCATCTCACAGAACATTGTTATTCATTTATTTTATAAATTTTCTTCATTTATAACAACAAAACAAAAGAAGTGTTAAATTATTTTGAGGTTAGAATTTGGCGACTTCATATATTTTTCCTATATAATCTTAATATATTCAAGTTTCCCATATTTCTCCTTAAAAAATAATAATATTTTACACATTTTAATACTTTATTTAATATATTTGTATAACAACAATCGTAATTATATTATTATATAACGATTAAATGATTCAAATGATTTATGCCACTTTCTATTAATGTATGTTTATAATATCCTGATATTGAGTAAAGTTAGTTGGATTCAAACTGTATTTTCATTCAAAAAATTTGAAAAATTGGAACAGGAGTATAGGAGAGCGAGAAGGTGGCACGGTATCAACCAATCAGAGTGCAGCATTTGCGCGGCACAAATTCAAATTCAAAATATTAGTAGTATTCTGTATAAGGTTAATGAAGCATTCTGATTGGCTGCTGTATGCCACCTACTTTATCATTCTATACTCCTGGTACGGATTTGTCAAATTTTCACTGAAAAATGTCCGTTTTCAATGCATTGAATGTATTAGGATGTTATAATATGAGTAATAAGAAGTGGCACGATAAATGTGAATATTGATTATTGACATTTCTAAGTTTATGAGGTTAGAAAAGTATAAACAATTCAATTATAATTAATTAAATATACTAATTAAAATTAATATTATTATTAATGATTTTTAAAAAGTTTTTCTTTTGTAAAATATTTATAATTTGATATAATATTTAACCTTTATTCACCGAAAATACGATAAATTGTTATAAATAATTTTTAAAAATTTGTTTTAACCTCAAAAATAATTTGTATGTTAATTTAATTATAACTAATTAAATATTATTAAATATAAGTAATTAAATAAACTATTAGTATTAAAGAAGAGAGTATTCCTATATGGTTAATTCAGAAGTATCACTCGGTATGTATATATACTTGGTAGGTATAAAGTTTTTTTTTTCGTGAATCATTATTTTTGTTTTTTTAAAAAATTCTATCGTTCATGAGGAAACAAATATTCTTTTAAAATATTTAATTAAATAATTTAATCAAAATAATAATTATAATAATATAATATATATTTAATAATAAAAAAAATGAATCAATAATTTACGATAAAAGATAATTTTTTTTAAATGAACAACAAAATTCGTCATATATAATAGAATTTAAAAAAACATACTATTAACCAAATACAAAATAGACAATAAATTTAATTTTTATGGCTCAAGTAGAAATTTAATTTTTATGTGCGGTTAACCCATAAATTATTTTTGACTCAGTGCATCTAACCACATGAGAATGTCTCTCGTTTATTTACATTGCAAATAGTAAATAATTGTAAACTTTGTATTTGAATCAATTTTAAAATTAATAATAAATTCGAATAAATTTTCAATAATAAAAATAAAATAAACAATATTTTAACTTAGAAAATAAATAAAAATTTATTTTTTTTTATACCCATTACAGAGTTTTTACAATATTTTAACTTAGTAAATAGTAACAATAAAAAAATACGAATATTATTAAATAATTTTAATAATATACTAAATTAAAAAAAAGAATTTCTAATTCTATTAAATATTTTTTTAGGATGCTCATCTGGGGATAACATCTCAAACACAAACACCTGAGGCTTCACTGCAAATGGAACCAATGCAGGGCTCAACATTGGGAAAAATTAATCCAAATGATTCGTCGGATAAAATTACTTATACTTGGAGTGATGTTAATGTATTTGCAGCAACGGAAAATGAACGTTTTTGGAAGAGAATACTTTGGAGAAATTCCCAACGACCTATTCAACAGAAACATCTTTTAAAAGATGGCAAGTTTATTATTTTTTAAATTATTAACTAGAATTATAATTAAATAAATAAAACTTATTTAGATAATACAAATATATAAAATAAAAACTAAAAAGAGAATAAAAAATTATTTACTTGATTTATTAATGTAGTATGTGGCGCAGCATATCCTGGAGAATTATTAATAATTATGGGATCCTCGGGAGCTGGAAAAACAACACTTTTAAATGCTCTGACATTTCGATCAACTCGAGGAGTCACAGTTTCGGGAACAATGGCAGCTAATGGACAAAGAGTATCTGCCAGTGTTTTGACCTCAAGGATGGCTTATGTTCAACAAGACGATCTTTTTGTTGGTACACTTACTGTTCAAGAGCATTTACTTTTCCAAGCTATGGTGCGAATGGACAGGCATATTCCTTTTAGACAAAGAGTTAATAGGGTCAACGAAGTTATTTCCGAAGTGAGAGAACACTGAAAAAAAATAATTTTTAGTCAATTTTTTTGAATTAATTTTTCAAAACAAATTTTTTTTCATTCTACAAAAAAAAAAAAATTAATTGAAAGAAAAAAATTTTCTTTTTCTAGCTCGCTTTGACAAAATGTAGGAACACAGTGATAGGAATACCTGGAAGATTAAAAGGACTCTCTGGTGGAGAAATGAAACGACTTTCATTTGCTTCTGAAGTTTTAACGGATCCTCCGCTTATGTTTTGTGACGAGCCAACATCAGGTCTTGACTCTTTTATGGCACATCAGGTTGTGTCTGTTTTAAAAGCTCTGGCTGGTAAGAAATACAAATTCCTGTGAAAAAATTAATTTCATATATTTAATTTTATTAAAATTAAACAATAAATAAAAATCTTAGCACGGGGGAAAACAATTATTGCTACACTCCATCAACCATCATCAGAATTATTTGCACTTTTTGATCGAATTCTTTTAATGGCAGAGGGTCGAGTTGCTTTTATGGGAACTTCAGAGCAAGCTATTGTATTTTTCAAGTCGTAAGTTTCATTTTTGCCCAATTCAATTTTAATAACTCAAAATTTAAAATTTTGTTTAATTTTTCATTAATTTTTATATAAAAATTTTAGAATAGAAACTAAATTTTAATTTACATTTACATTGAATAATATTTATGTTTTCTAATATTGAACAATTTAAAAATGAAAAGTTTAGGAACTGGATGTCCAAGTAATTACAATCCTGCGGATTATTTTATACAAATGTTGGCAATTGTTCCTGGTCAAGAGATATCGTGTCGTCAATCAATTAATTCAATTTGTGATAGTTTTCAAAAAAGTGACTTGGGTACAAAAATTGCCGTTGAAGCTGAAACTACTCACGGTGAATATGAAGACGTTATAATTGATTGGAAGATAGGATCGTCAAAAAGATCATCGCCATATAAAGCCACGTGGTGTGAACAATTTCGAGCTGTTCTCTGGAGATCGTGGCTTTCTGTCATCAAAGAGCCAATACTTATAAAAGTTCGACTTCTCCAAACAGTGGTACGTTATCTGCAAAGAAAAATTTAAATTAAAAAAAAAAGATTTCAATTTTATAAAAATATCTTGTGATATTTTTAAATTTTCTTGTTTTCCAGATGGTCTCACTCTTAATTGGAGTGATTTTTTTTGGCCAACGATTGGATCAAGACGGAGTAATGAATATTAATGGAGCAATTTTCATTTTTCTTACAAATATGACTTTTCAAAATGTATTTGCTGTTATTAGTGTGAGTAGAAGAAAAATAAAATTTATTGATTTGATAATATAAGAAAATAATTAGAATTTCTATTATTAAATTTTAGGTGTTTTGTGCAGAGTTACCGATTTTTTTGCGAGAACATCGTAACGGCATGTACAGAACAGATATTTATTTTCTATGTAAAACATTAGCGGAGTGGCCAATATTTATTGTGGTACCATTAATATTTACATTCATCGCATATCCAATGGTTAGACTTTATCCTGGAGTTGATCATTTTTTCATTGCCGCTGGTATTGTCACTCTAGTAGCAAATGTTGCCACTTCTTTCGGTAAGTTTCTATTTCATTTTTAAATTAGAAATATTTTTCAAATTTCTTCCAAATTGAAATATTTTCAAAATTTATTAGAAATAATTCTCTCAGGATTTTTTTATGTTTTTCAAATAATACAAATTGAATGGAATGGTAAAAAAACTTGTTTTTCCTGTTTCAAAAGTACTTTGCAATTTTTTAATTTATTTTTTTAATTTTTAATCCAGTGGAGATATGATGCGTAAAGTAGATGTTGAACTGTATTGGATATTAGTTTGCTACTGGATATTATATATATAAGAACCAGTAGCTACTACTTCAGGAACGGATGAAAAAAATATTTCCTTTTTAATAATAAATAAGAGCTCAAAAACCACAGAAATTTTTTCTGAAATAAAAAAGTTGAAAATTTAATTTCAAATTTTATATAGTTTTTATAAATTTATAAAATTAGTTATTTTTTATTAACATTAGATTTTAATTAAGTATAAAATAATTTCTAGAGTTTTATAATAAAATGAATAAATAATTTTTAAACAATTAAATATTCTGAAAAAATATTTGCTATATTATTTAGGTATTTCATTTATGAATAAAAATATACAATCGTCCCTGATGTCCACCACAAAAGAATTAATTCTTTTTTTATATGTGTATTTGATATTTGATTCGTTTTTCGATTATATCGGAACATGATAGAATTACTATATATTCTCGTATTACATTATGGCATCTCAGTGGATACGGTTGTGATATTCAATGGTTTATATGTGTAACGACATATCTTATGTTACTTTTCAATAAGTAGATTATACTATAAAAAATCGGAAATATTTTCCAAACACGTGTTCCACTAGTTTCAAAAATTGGACATTAAATCTGAAAAAAAAAATTTAATTAATAAATATTAATTATGAACTTTATTTACTTGAATAAATTAATTTAAGGTTATCTAATTTCCTGTGCAAGTACAAGTATTTCTATGGCATTATCAATAGGACCACCAGTTATAATACCATTTTTACTTTTTGGAGGATTCTTTTTAAATACAGCGTAAGTTATTTTACGTCAAATACAAAAATTTATTATTAATTTTAATAAATATGAAATATTTTTCTTTAATATTATAACTGTTATTACTAATTTTATGATTTATAATTTTTACAAAATTAATTTTTTTTTTATTGAAATAGCTCTGTTCCAGAATATTTTAAGTGGTTTTCTTATTTATCATGGTTCCGTTATGGAAATGAGGCTCTGCTTATTAATCAATGGAAAGATGTTGATTCTATTGCCTGCACCCGGAGTAATGCAACTTGCCCAAAATCTGGTCATATGATTCTTCAAACGTACAATTTTAAAGAAGTAAGATGAATAAAATTTCTTCAAATTATTTATAAATTATATTTATAATTAATTATGTATCTAACTGTAATATATTAAAAATATTAATAATAATTAATTTAATGTTATTGTATAATTATTTTCTGATTTCAGGAAGATTTCCTAATGGTGATCATCAATTTAATTGCACTCATAATTGCATTTCGATTTATTGCCTTTTTGGCACTTCTTTCCAAAACTTATCGCTCAAATTAAAATTCATAAAATTATAATTATCAATGGACAGATTTTAATAATAAGTAATATAATTAAAAAATATTAATATAATATTAAAAATCATCATAATTATAATAAATATTTTTAAAAAATTTAAATTAAACAAAAATAATATATATATTTATAGAATATAAAGATAACTTAATTTTTGTTACAATTAAAATTACTTACGGTAATTTTACCATAATTTTTAATTAAACTCCATGATGTAGAATGTAATATAAATTGTATAAAATTGAAATATAAATAAATATTAAATTGTTATACAATACAAAATGTATTAAATTATTTTTATTACTTTAATTTTTAAAAATCTAAAGTGTAAATATTAAAAAAAATTTCCTTCACACGAGCAAGAATTTTTGGTTCACCAAGTATACTATAAGTTACCGGGTGAACCGATATTTATGGAATTTACGGCGAAGTACAATGTAATAAAAAGTTAATTTAGTTATTTACTTTATTTATTTAATAAAAAGAAAAAAAAATTTTTAATTATTTGTACAAAACGTAAAATAAAAGGAATAGTGTCAATAAATTTACACATTTTATATAAACAATTAACAAAAGAAAAAGGTTTAAAATACCTGTATTATTATTAAAAATGTTTCCTTCCATCTCATAGAACATTGTAATTCATTTATTTTATTAATTTTCTTCATTTATAACAACAAAACAAAAGAATTGGTGAATTATTTTGAGGTTAGAATTTGGCGACTTCATAAATTTTTCCTATATAATCTTAATATATTTAAGTTTCCCATATTTCTCCTTAAAATATAATAATATTTTTCACATTTTAATACTTTATTTAATATATTTGTATAAGAACAGTTGTAATTATATTATTATATAACGATTAAATGATTCAAATGGTTTATGCCACTTTCTATTAATGTATGTTTATAATATCCTGATATTGAGTAAAGTTAGTTGGATTCGAACAGTATTTTCATTCAAAAAATTTGAAAAATTGGAACAGGAGTATAGGAGAGCGAGAAGGTGGCACGCTATCAGCCAATCAGAGTGCAGCATTTGCGCGGCACAAATTCAAATAGAAAGTATTACAAGTATTCTGTATAAGATTAATCAAGCATTCTGATTGGCTGCCGTATGCACGGTATCAGCCAATCAGAGTGCAGCATTTGCGCGGCACAAATTCAAATTGAAAGTATTACAAGTATTCTGTATAAGATTAAACAAGCATTCTGATTGGCTGCCGTATGCCACCTCCTTTATCATTCTATACTCCTGGTACGGATTTGTCAAATTTTCACTGAAAAATGTCCGTTTTCAATGCATTGAATGTATTAGTATGTTATAATATGAGTAATAAGAAGTGGCACGATAAATGGGAATATTGATTATTGACTTTTCTAAGTTTATGAGGTTAGAAATGTATAAACAATTCAATTATAATTAATTAAATATACTAATTAAAATTAATATTATTATTAATGATTTTTAAAAAGTTTTTCTTTTGTAAAATATTTATAATTTGATATAATATTTAACCTTTAATCACCAAAAATACGATAAATTGTTGTAAATATATTCAAAAAAAATTTGTTTTAACCTCAAAAATAATCTATATCTCCAGTTAATTATAACTAATTAAATATTATTAAATGAAAGTAATTAAATAAAAGTAATATTATTAAAAAAGATAGTATATTCCTATATGGTTAATTTAAAAATTATCACTTGGTATGTATATATATTTGGTAGGCATAAAGTTCTTTTCTCGCAAATCATTTTTATTTTTTTTTTAACAGATATAATGAAGTATATATTGTATCGCTTATGAGAAGAAAAAAATGTATTCTTTTAAAATATTTAATTAAATAATAATTAAATAATTTAATCAAAATAAATTATAAATGTCAATAAACTTCACTATATATCTTTAATAATAAAAAGGAATCAATATTTTACGATAAAAGATCATTTTTTTATAAATTAACAATAAAATTTGTTATATATAATAAAATATAAAAAACATACTATTAACCAAATACAAAATAGACAATAAATTTAATTTTTTTGGCTCAAGTAAAATTTTAATTTATATATGCAGTTAATCCATAAATTATTTTTGACTCGAATAAATTTTCAATAATAAAAATGAAATAAGCAATATTTTAACTTAGAGAATAAATAAAATTTTATTATGTTTTATACACATTACAGAGTTTTTACAATATTTTAACTTAGTAAATAATAACAAGAAAAAAATAAACGAAAATAATTAAACAATTGTAATATTATACTAAATTTAAAAAAATGAATTTCCAATTGTATTAAATAATTTTTCAGGATGCTCATCTGGGGATAACATCTCAAACACAAACACCGGAGGCTTCACTGCAAATGGAACCAATGCAAGGCACAACATCGGGAAAATTTAATCCAAATTATTCGTCGGAGAAAATTATTTACACTTGGAGTGATGTTAATGTATTTGCAACAACGGAAAATGAACGTTTTTGGAAGAGAATGCTTTGGAGAAATTCCCAACCACCTATTCAACAGAAACATATTTTAAAAAGATGGCAAGTTATAACTATTATTTTTTTAATCATTAACTAGAATTATAATTAAATAAATAAAACTTGTTTAGATAAAACAAATATATAAAATTAAAACTAAAAAGAGAATAAAAAATTATTTACTTGATTTATTAATATTTTATGTGGCGCAGCATTTCCTGGAGAATTATTAATAATCATGGGATCTTCGAGTGCTGGAAAATCAACAATTTTTAATGCCCTGACATTTTGATCAACTCGAGGAGTCACAGTTTCGGGAACAATGGCAGCTAATGGACAAAGAGTATCTGCCAGTGTTTTGACCTCAAGAATAGCTTATGTTCAACAAGACGAACTTTTTTTGGTACTTTTTCAAGCTATGGTGCAAATGGACAGGCATATTCCTTTTAGACAAAGAGTTAAGAGGGTCAACGAAGTAATTTCCGGAGTGAGAGAACACTGAAAAAAAAATTTTTAGTCAATTTTTTTGAATTAATTTTTCAAAACAAAGTTTTTTCATTCTACAAAAAAAAATTAATTGAAAAAAACAATTTTTTTTAGCTCGCCTTGACCAAATGTAGCATCACAGTAATATAGGAATACCTGGAAGATTAAAAGGACTCTCTGGTGGAGAAATGAAACGACTTTCATTTGCTTCTGAAGTTTTAATGGATCCTCCGTTTATGTTTTGTGACGAGACAACATCAGGTCTCTACTCTTTTATGGCACATTAAGTTGTGTCTGTTGTGAAAGCTCAGGCTGGTAAGAAATACAAATTCCTGTGAAAAAATTATTTTCATATTTTTAATTTTATTAAAATTAAATAATAAAGAAAATTCGTAGCACTAGGGAATACAATATTGCTACGCACTCCATCAGCCAAATGTTAAATAAAATTCAAGTTAAAGTTGAATAAAATTTTTAAAATTATAAATTAAATTTATAATTAATTATGTATCTAACTGTAATATATTAAAAATATTTATAATAATTAATTTAATGTTATTGTATACTTTTTTTCTGATTTCAGAAAGATTTCCTAATGGTAATCATCAATTTAACTGCACTCGTAATTGCTTTTCGATTTATTGAATTGGCACTTCCTTCCAACACTTATCGCTGAAATTAAAATTCAAAAAAATTATAATTATCAATGGACAAATTTTAATATTAAGTAATATAAAAAAAAATTTAAAAATATTGATATAATAATATAAATAATTATCATAATTATAATGAATTTTTTTAAACAAAAATTGAAATTAAACAAGAATTTTATGTATTTTTATAATATATAAAATAGTTTAATTTTTGTTACAAACAAAATTTCTTACGGTAATTTTACCATAATTTTTAATTATAAAATATATTTTTAACTCTATGATGTAGAATGTAATTTAAATTGTATAAAATGTAAATATAAATAAATATTAAATTGTAATACAATAGAAAATGTATTAAATTATTTTTATTACTTAAATTTTTAATAATGTGAAGTGTAAATATTAAAAAAAATTTCATTCCCACGATTCGAGATTTTTGGTTCACCAAGTATACTAAGTTACCGGGTGAACCGTTAATTATGGAATTTACTGAGAAGTAAAATGTAATAAAAAGTACATTTAATTATTTACTTTATTTATTAATTAAAAAGAAAAAAAATGTTTAAAATTATGTGTACAAACCGAAAAAGGAAAGAAATAATGTCAATAAATTTATATATTTTATATAAACAATTAAAAAAAGAAAAACATTTAAAATACCTGTATTATTAAAAAATGTTGCCTTCCATCTCATAGAACATTGTTATTCATTTATTTTGTTTATTTTTTACAATTATAACAGCAAAACAAAAAAATTGTTGAATTATGCCATTGTTCCCGAAACTGTGACTCCTCGAGTTGATCAAAATGTCAGGGCATTAAAAATTGTTGATTTTCCAGCACTCGAAGATCCCATGATTATTAATAATTCTCCAGGAAATGCTGCGCCACATAAAATATTAATAAATCAAGTAAATAATTTTTTATTCTCTTTTTAGTTTTAATTTTATATATTTGTTTTATCTAAACAAGTTTTATTTATTTAATTATAATTCTAGTTAATGATTAAAAAAATAATAGTTATAACTTGCCATCTTTTTAAAATATGTTTCTGTTGAATAGGTGGTTGGGAATTTCTCCAAAGCATTCTCTTCCAAAAACGTTCATTTTCCGTTGTTGCAAATACATTAACATCACTCCAAGTGTAAATAATTTTCTCCGACGAATAATTTGGATTAAATTTTCCCGATGTTGTGCCTTGCATTGGTTCCATTTGCAGTGAAGCCTCCGGTGTTTGTGTTTGAGATGTTATCCCCAGATGAGCATCCTGAAAAATTATTTAATACAATTGGAAATTCATTTTTTTAAATTTAGTATAATATTACAATTGTTTAATTATTTTCGTTTATTTTTTTCTTGTTATTATTTACTAAGTTAAAATATTGTAAAAACTCTGTAATGTGTATAAAACATAATAAAATTTTATTTATTCTCTAAGTTAAAATATTGCTTATTTCATTTCTATTATTGAAAATTTATTCGAGTCAAAAATAATTTATGGATTAACTGCATATATAAATTAAAATTTTACTTGAGCCAAAAAAATTAAATTTATTGTCTATTTTGTATTTGGTTAATAGTATGTTTTTTATATTTTATTATATATAACAAATTTTATTGTTAATTTATAAAAAAATGATCTTTTATCGTAAAATATTGATTCCTTTTTATTATTAAAGATATATAGTGAAGTTTATTGACATTTATAATTTATTTTGATTAAATTATTTAATTATTATTTAATTAAATATTTTAAAAGAATACATTTTTTTCTTCTCATAAGCGATACAATATATACTTCATTATATCTGTTAAAAAAAAAATAAAAATGATTTGCGAGAAAAGAACTTTATGCCTACCAAATATATATACATACCAAGTGATAATTTTTAAATTAACCATATAGGAATATACTATCTTTTTTAATAATATTACTTTTATTTAATTACTTTCATTTAATAATATTTAATTAGTTATAATTAACTGGAGATATAGATTATTTTTGAGGTTAAAACAAATTTTTTTTGAATATATTTACAACAATTTATCGTATTTTTGGTGATTAAAGGTTAAATATTATATCAAATTATAAATATTTTACAAAAGAAAAACTTTTTAAAAATCATTAATAATAATATTAATTTTAATTAGTATATTTAATTAATTATAATTGAATTGTTTATACATTTCTAACCTCATAAACTTAGAAAAGTCAATAATCAATATTCCCATTTATCGTGCCACTTCTTATTACTCATATTATAACATACTAATACATTCAATGCATTGAAAACGGACATTTTTCAGTGAAAATTTGACAAATCCGTACCAGGAGTATAGAATGATAAAGAAGGTGGCATACGGCAGCCAATCAGAATGCTTGTTTAATCTTATACAGAATACTTGTAATACTTTCAATTTGAATTTGTGCCGCGCAAATGCTGCACTCTGATTGGCTGATACCGTGCATACGGCAGCCAATCAGAATGCTTGATTAATCTTATACAGAATACTTGTAATACTTTCTATTTGAATTTGTGCCGCGCAAATGCTGCACTCTGATTGGTTGATACCGTGCCACCTTCTCGCTCTCCTATACTCCTGTTCCAATTTTTCAAATTTTTTGAATGAAAATACAGTTTGAATCCAACTAACTTTACTCAATATCAGGATATTATAAACATACATTAATAGAAAGTGGCATAAACCATTTGAATCATTTAATCGTTATATAATAATATAATTACGATTGTTCTTATACAAATATATTAAATAAAGTATTAAAATGTGAAAAATATTATTATATTTTAAGGAGAAATATGGGAAACTTAAATATATTAAGATTATATAGGAAAAATTTATGAAGTCGCCAAATTCTAACCTCAAAATAATTCAACAATTCCTTTGTTTTGTTGTTATAAATGAAGAAAATTAATAAAATAAATGAATTACAATGTTCTATGAGATGGAAGGAAACATTTTTAATAATAATACAGGTATTTTAAACCTTTTTCTTTTGTTAATTGTTTATATAAAATGTGTAAATTTATTGACACTATTCCTTTTATTTTACGTTTTGTACAAATAATTTAAAATTTTTTTTTCTTTTTATTAAATAAATAAAGTAAATTATTTAATTTTATTTTTTATTACATTTTACTTCTCAGTAAGTTCCATAAATATCAGTTCACCCAGTAACTTAGTATACTTGGTGAAAAAAAATTTTCGGTCGTTGGAATTAAATTTTTTTTAATATTATTTTTGTTTTTTTTACAGATTTTGTCGTTCATGAGGAAACAAATATTGTTTTTAAATATTTAATTAAATTATTTAGTCAAAATAATAATATAATATACATTTAATAAAAAAAAAAAGAATCAATATTTTACGATAAAAGATCATTTTTTTTTTAAATTAACAATAAAATTTGTTATATATAATATATAGAATATAAAAAACATACTATTAACCAAATATAAAATAGACAATAAATTTAATTTTTATGGCTCAAGTAAAAATTTAATTTATATATGCGGTTAATCCATAAATTATTTTTGACTCGAATAAATTTTCAATCATAAAAATGAAATAAGCAATATTTTAACTTAGAGAATAAATAAAATTTTATTATGTTTTATACACATTACAGAGTTTTTACAATATTTTAACTTAGTAAATAATAACAAGAAAAAAATAAACGAAAATAATTAAACAATTGTAATATTATACTAAATTTAAAAAAATGAATTTCCAATTGTATTAAATAATTTTTCAGGATGCTCATCTGGGGATAACATCTCAAACACAAACACCGGAGGCTTCACTGCAAATGGAACCAATGCAAGGCACAACATCGGGAAAATTTAATCCAAATTATTCGTCGGAGAAAATTATTTACACTTGGAGTGATGTTAATGTATTTGCAACAACGGAAAATGAACGTTTTTGGAAGAGAATGCTTTGGAGAAATTCCCAACCACCTATTCAACAGAAACATATTTTAAAAAGATGGCAAGTTATAACTATTATTTTTTTAATCATTAACTAGAATTATAATTAAATAAATAAAACTTGTTTAGATAAAACAAATATATAAAATTAAAACTAAAAAGAGAATAAAAAATTATTTACTTGATTTATTAATATTTTATGTGGCGCAGCATTTCCTGGAGAATTATTAATAATCATGGGATCTTCGAGTGCTGGAAAATCAACAATTTTTAATGCCCTGACATTTTGATCAACTCGAGGAGTCACAGTTTCGGGAACAATGGCATAATTCAACAATTTTTTTGTTTTGCTGTTATAATTGTAAAAAATAAACAAAATAAATGAATAACAATGTTCTATGAGATGGAAGGCAACATTTTTTAATAATACAGGTATTTTAAATGTTTTTCTTTTTTTAATTGTTTATATAAAATATATAAATTTATTGACATTATTTCTTTCCTTTTTCGGTTTGTACACATAATTTTAAACTTTTTTTTCTTTTTATTAAATAAATAAAGTAAATTATTTAATTTTACTTTTTATTACATTTTACTTCTCAGTAAGTTCCATAATTAACGGTTCACCCGGTAACTTAGTATACTTGGTGAACCAAAAATCTCGATCGTGGGAATTAAATTTTTTTAAATATTTACTCTTTAAATTATTACTTCTTAAAATAATAAAAATAATTTAATACATTTTGTATTGTACAACAATTTAATATTTATTTATATTTCAATTTTATACAATTTATATTACATTCTACATCATGGAGTTAAAAATATATTTTATAATTAAAAATTATGGTAAAATTACCGTAAGCAATTTTATTTGTAACAAAAATTTAACTATTTTTTATATTCTAAAAATACATATAATTTTTGTTTAATTTAAATTTGTTTAAAAAAATTCATTATAATTATGATGATTTTTAATATATTAATGTTGTAATTTTTAATTATTTTACTTTATATTAAAATCTGTCCATTGTTAACTATAATTTTAATTTGGTTGATAGGATTAATCTAAAATTATAAATCAAAAATTAGTAATAACAGTTATAATATTACAGAAAAATATTTTATATTTATTAAAATTAATAATAAATTTTTGTATTTGAGTTTAAATAATTTACGCTGTATTTAAAAAGAATCCTCCAAAAAGTAAAAATGGTATTTTAACTGGTGGTCCTATTGATAATGCCATAGAAATACTTGTACTTGCACAGGAAATTAGATAGCCTGAAATTAATTTATTCCAGCAAATATAGCTCATAATTAATATTTATTAATTGAAATTTATTTTTTTCAGATTCAAAATCCAATTTCTAAAACTAGTGGAACACATATTTAGAAAACATTTTCATTACGATGTTCTCGCAAAAAATCGGTAACTCTGCACAAAACTCCTGAAATATAATATGAGAAATTATAATTTTTTTCTTATAATAACAAATCAATAAATTTTTGTTTTTCTTCTACTCACACTAATGACAGCAAATAGATTTTGAAAAGTCATGTTTGTAAGAAAAATAAAATTTGCTCCAATAATATTCATTACTGCTACTTGATCCAATCGTTGACCAAAAAAAATCACTCCAATTAGGAGTAAGATCATCTGGAAAACATGAAAAATTAAAAATGTCATTTTTATAAAATTGAAATTGTTTTTTTAAAAATGAAATTTTTTTTCTAATTTAAATTTTTCATTGCAGATGATATACCACTGTTTGGAGAAGTCAAATTTTTATGAGAATTGGTTCTTTGATGACAGAAAGGCACGATCTCCAAAGAACAGCGTGAAATTGTTTGCAGCACGTGTCTTTATATGGCGATGATCTTTTTGACGATCACAAATTGAAATAATCGGTTGACGATACGATATCTCTTGACCAGGAACAATTGCCAACATTTGTTTGAAATAATCCGCAGGATTGAAATTACTTGGATAACCAGTTCCTAAACTTTTCATTTTTAAATTGTTCAATATTAGAAAACATAAATATTATTCAATTTAAATGTAAATTAAAATTTAGTTTCTATTCTAAAATTTTTATATAAAAATTAATGAAAAATTTAACAAAATATTTAATATTTTTATTTATTATTTAATTTTAATAAAATTAAAAATATGAAATTAATTTTTTTTACAGAAATTTGTATGTCTTACCAGTTAGAGCTTTTAAAACAGACACAACTTGATGTGCCATAAAAGAGTCAAAAACTGATGTTGGCTAATCACAAAATAAAAGCGGAGGATCCTTTAAAAATTTAGAAGCAAATGAAACTCGTCACTGTGTTCGTACATTTTGTCGAGGCGAGCTAGAAAAATTGTTTTTTCTTCAATTAATTTTTTTTGTAGAACGAAAAAAACACTTTTTTGCAGAATAAAAAAAATTTGTTTTGAAAAATTAATTCAAAAAATTGACTAAATAGTTATTTTTCAGTGTTCTCTCACTTTGGAAATAATTTCGTTGACACTATTAGCATTCATAGTGAAAATTAAAACAAGCAAAGTAAAATCAAAAGCTTCCATGGTGTGTCGAAGGCCTGCCAACGAGTAAATAACCGCAACAAATAATATTGGCTCAATAATTAATCCTGGAATCTAATTTCAATATTCTGTTAATATTATGATTATTTTACATTACAAAAAATCAAATTTTTTTCCCTTTTGTAAACTTACCACTTTTTGTAAAATTCGAAGAAGTTGAATTGATGGATCCAGCAAAACTTGCATAAATCCTCGACCAACAATTCGGTAGTAGGCTAAAAAATATCGAATTTTTTGAATAACGTAATAATTTCTTTAATTTTCTAATTACACGTACAAATTATAAATCTTTTTCGATTTAGTTCATGCTAAAATAAAATGAATAAAAAATTAATCTATACTAAAAATAAAAAAACATGGAATTTAATTTTTTTCTTTGTAATTTACCACAAAAGTTCCCGCAACGTATATTGCAAGTTGAACGGTTATATCAATCTCCTTACAAACATCACTTGATAAGAATGCAAATTTTTTGTGCTGCCCTATCATTGCTGTCTTCGTGCTTTGGTACAATTGCCATTGTTGTCACAAAAAAATCTGCGGGATTGTATGAAATCGGACATTCGTACCCCAAACTATAAAACATAATTATAATAATTCAGACAAAATTGAAAATTACATGAATTGAAAAAAAATCAACTAGAAAAAAAATTCAAATGCCTGTTCGGTGCTTCCGGCAAATGTAATTCTACTATTGTCAATTAAAATTCTTTTTTAAAATAAATAAAAATTGCTGCACTATATTGATGAATTTTGTGCAAAGAACTGTTCTTCCTCTTCCAACAATTGATAATATCGTAATCACAATTAATTGTAATAATACAATCTGATATACAAAAAATATATGTTTTTTTATTTGAATTTCGCAATTAAATTTTGTAAATAATATCCTTTTGACTACCTTTCCGAGTAATTAAAAATTTTAAAACAATACATTTTTTTCTCCTCAGCGATACAATCTGTAAAAAAAATTAGAAATAATGATTTACGAGAAAAAACTTTCTACCTACAATGTATATATACATACCGAGTGATACTTTTAAATCAACCATATAGGAATACTCTCTTTTTTAATACTAATACTTTTATTTAATTACTTTTATTTAATAATATTTAATTAGTTATATAATTAAATTAATATACAAATTATTTTTGAAGTTAAAACAAATTTTTTTTGAATATATTTATAACAATTTATCGTATTTTTGGTGATTAAAGGTTAAATATTATATCAAATTATAAATATTTTACAAAAGAAAAACTTTTTAAAAATCATTAATAATAATATTAATTTTAATTAGTATATTTAATTAATTATAATTGAATTGTTTATACATTTCTAACCTCATAAACTTAGAAATGTCAATAATCAATATTCACATTTATTGTGCCACTTCTTATTACTCATATTATAACATCCTAATACATTCAATGCATTGAAAACGGACATTTTTCAGTGAAAATTTGACAAATCCTTACCAGGAGTATAGAATGGTAAAAGAGGTGGCATACAACAGCCAATCAGAATGCTTCTTTCACCTTATACTGAATACTACTAATATTTTGAATTTGAATTTGTGCCGCGCAAATGCTGCACTCTGATTGGTTGATACCGTGCCACCTTCTCGCTCTCCTATACTCCTGTTCCAATTTTTCAAATTTTTTGAATGAAAATACTGTTCCAATCCAACTAACTTTACTCAATACAGGATATTATAAACATACATTAATAGAAAGTGGCATAAACCATTTGAATCATTTAATCGTTATATAATAATATAATTACGATTGTTCTTATACAAATATATCAAATGAAGTATTCAAATGTGAAAAATATTATATTTTAAGGAGAAATATGGGAAACTTAAATATATTAAGATTATATAGGAAAAATATATGAAGTCGCCAAATTCTAACCTCAAAATAATTCAACAATTCCTTTGTTTTGTTGTTATAAATGAAGAAAATTAATAAAATAAATGAATTACAATGTTCTATGAGATGGAAGGAAACATTTTTAATAATAATACAGGTATTTTAAACCTTTTTCTTTTGTTAATTGTTTATAAAAAATGTGTAAATTTATTGACACTATTCCTTTTATTTTTCGTTTTGTACAAATAATTTAAATTTTTTTTTTCTTTTTATTAAATAAATAAAGTAAATTATTTAATTTTATTTTTTATTACTTGTTACTTCTCAGTAAGTTCCATAAATATCAGTTCACCCAGTAACTTAGTATACTTGGTGAAAAAAAATTTTCGGTCGTTGGAATTAAATTTTTTTTAATATTATTTTTGTTTTTTTTACAGATTTTGTCGTTGATGAGGAAACAAATATTGTTTTTAAATATTTAATTAAATTATTTAGTCAAAATAATAATATAATATACATTTAATAAAAAAAAAAGAATCAATATTTTACGATAAAAGATCATTTTTTTTTTTAAATTAACAATAAAATTTGTTATATATAATATATATAGAATATAAAAAACATACTATTAACCAAATATAAAATAGACAATAGATTTAATTTTTATGGCTCAAGTAAAAATTTAATTTATATATGCGGTTAATCCATAAATTATTTTTGACTCGAATAAATTTTCAATCATAAAAATGAAATAAGCAATATTTTAACTTAGAGAATAAATACAAATTTTTTTATTTTTCATACCCATTACAGAGTTTTTACAATATTTTAACTCAGTAAATAATAACAATAAAAAAATAAACGAAAATAATTAAACAATTGTAATAATATACTAAATTTAAATTAAATGAATTTACAATTGTATTAAATAATTTTTCAGGATCCTTATCTGGGGATAACATCTCAAAAAAAAACTGAGGCTTCACTGCAAATGAAATCAATGCAAGGCTCAACATCGGGAAAATTTAATCCAAATGATTCGTCGGAGACAATTACTTATAACTTATATATATACTTATATACTATATACTTATATACTTTTATACAATTACTTATACTTGGAGTGATGTTAATGTATTTGCAGCAACGGAAAATGAACGTTTTTGGAAAAGAATGCTTTGGAGAAATTTCCAACCACCTATTCAACAAAAACATATTTTAAAAGATGGCAAGTTATAATTATTATTTTTTTAATCATTAACTAGAATTATAATTAAATAAATAAAACTTGTTTAGATAAAACAAATATAAAAAATAAAAACTAAAAAGAGAATAAAAATTTATTTACTTGATTTATTAATATAGTATGTGGCGCAGCATTTCCTGGAGAATTATTAATAATCATGGGATCCTTGAGTGCTGGAAAATCAACAATTTTTAATGCCCTGACAATTTGATCAACTTGAGCAGTCACAGTTTCGGGAACAATGTCAGCTAGTGGACAAAGGGTATCTGCCAGCGTTTTGACCTCATGGATGGCTGACGTACAACATGACGATCTTTTTGTTGGTTCACTTACTGCTTAAAAGCATTTACTTTTTCATATTCCCTTTAGACAATGGTTTAATAGAATCAAGGAAGTTATTTCCGGAGTGAACACTGTAAAAATAATTTTTAGTCAATTTTTTGAACTAATTTTTTTCATTCGACAAAAGAAAATTAATTGAAAAAAACAATTTTTTTAGCTCTCCTTGACCAAATGTATCAACACAGTAATAAGAATACTTGGAAGATTAAAAGGACTATCTGGTGGAGAAATGAAACGACTTTTTATTTGGTTCTGAAGTTATAATGAATCCTCCGTTTATGTTTTGTGACGAGACAACATCAGGTCCTGACTCTTTTATGGCACATCAAGTTGCGTCTGTTTTAAAAGCTCTGGCTGGTAAGAAATACAAATTCCTGTGAAAAAATTTATTTTTTATTTTTAATTTTATTAAAATTAAGTAATAAATAAAAATCGAAGCACGAAGGAATACAATTATTGCTACCCTTCATCAACCATCGTTAAATAAAATTTTAAAACTTATAAATTAAATTTTTAATTAATTAGATATCTAACTGTAATATATTAAAAATATTTATAATAAGTAATTTAATGTTATTGTATAATTATTTTCTGATTTCAGGAAGATTTCCAAATGGTGATCATCAATTTAATTGCACTCATAATTCCTTTTAATTTATTGTTTTTTTGCACTTCCTTCCAAAACTTTTCCCTGAAATTAAAATTCAAAAAAATTATAATTATCAATGGACAAATTTTAATATTAAGTAATATAAAAAAAAATTAAAAAATATTAATATAATAATATTAATAATCATCATAATTATAATGAATTTTTTTAAACAAAATTTAAATTAAACAAAAATTATATGTTTTTTTAGAATATAAAAAATAATTTAATTTTATTACAATAAAAATTGCTTACAGTAATTTTACCATAATTTTAAATTATAAAATATATTTTTAACTCCATGATGTAAAATGATATATTAATTGTATAGAATTGAAATATAAATAAATATTAAATTGTTATACAATAGAAAATGTATTAAATTATTTTTATTACTTTAATTTTTAAAAATCTAAAGTATAAATATTAAAAAAAATTTCGTTCCCAAGAGCGAGAATTTTTGGTTCACCAAGTATACTATAAGTTACCGGGTGAACCGATATTTATGGAATTTACGGCGAAGTAAAATGTAATAAAAAGTTAATTTAATTATTTACTTTATTTATTTAATAAAAAGAAAAAAAAATTTTTAATTATTTGTACAAAACGTAAAATAAAAGGAATAGTGTCAATAAATTTACACATTTTTTATAAATAATTAACAAAAGAAAAAGGTTTAAAATACCTGTATTATTATTAAAAATGTTTCCTTCCATCTCATAGAACATTGTAATTCATTTATTTTATTAATTTTCTTCATTTATAACAAAAAAACAAAAGAATTGTTGAATTATTTTGAGGTTAGAATTTGGCGACTTCATATATTTTTCCTATATAATCTTAATATATTTAAGTTTCCCATATTTCTCCTTAAAATATAATATTTTTCACATTTGAATACTTCATTTGATATATTTGTATAAGAACAATCGTAATTATATTATTATATAACGATTAAATGATTCGAATGGTTTATGCCACTTTCTATTAATGTATGTTTATAATATCCTGTATTGAGTAAAGTTAGTTGGATTGGAACAGTATTTTCATTCAAAAAATTTGAAAAATTGGAACAGGAGTATAGGAGAGCGAGAAGGTGGCACGGTATCAACCAATTAGAGTGCAGCATTTGCGCGGCGCAAATTCAAATTCAAAATATTAGTAGTATTCAGTATAAGGTGAAAGAAGCATTCTGATTGGCTGTTGTATGCCACCTCTTTTACCATTCTATACTCCTGGTAAGGATTTGTCAAATTTTCACTGAAAAATGTCCGTTTTCAATGCATTGAATGTATTAGGATGTTATAATATGAGTAATAAGAAGTGGCACAATAAATGTGAATATTGATTATTGACATTTCTAAGTTTATGAGGTTAGAAATGTATAAACAATTCAATTATAATTAATTAAATATACTAATTAAAATTAATATTATTATTAATGATTTTTAAAAAGTTTTTCTTTTGTAAAATATTTATAATTTGATATAAAATTTAACCTTTAATCACCAAAAATACGATAAATTGTTATAAATTTATTAAAAAAAATTTGTTATATCCACAAAAATAATCTTTATCTCAAGTTAATTATAACTAATTAAATATTATTAAATGAAAGTTATATTATTAAAAAAGAGAGTATATTCCTATATGGTTATTTCAGAAGTATCACTCGGTATGTATATATACTTGGTAGGTATGAAGTTTTTTCCCGCAAATCATTTTTATTTTTTTTTTTTTGCAGATTGTAAAGAATATAAAGAAAGAAAGAATATGATTTACAAAATTTATTTGCAAAATTTTAATAAAAGATTATATTTTTTTTTGTATCAGATTGTATTATTAAATTTCACAAAAGCCACGAAGATGAATGCAAATGTCAAATCAATGATCTAGTTATTATTTTGAATTTTCACTATTGGAGGATCAATATGGGATTAAAATGTGGATTTACCACAAGAGATTCGAATATAAAAAAAAACATGGCTCCTTCAATATGAACTTGAGACTCGAGATGATTATGACATGGTAATAGAAAACCGAAACCCTATATGTTCGAGGTGGCTAATGTCTAGTACCACCGCTTTAAATCGTCACGAGAGAAATACCTTCACTTCGATATGAACAATAATTTTATTGCAAATGAAAAATATATTTCGCCATGACAATAAAATCAAATTAAATTTTCTTTGAAAATTTGTTTTTGACATTTTATGAGGTCAATAAATCATATTTTCTGAGTGTAAGTTTTTTAATGAATTTAATTAATAATTAAAATTTAGTTACAATTTAATAAAAATAAAAAAAATGTTTACTTTTAATCAGCAAAAAAATCTTGAAGAATTTATTATTTGATTTTTACATATATGGTAATTTCAATTTTTTGTAATTAATGGCGTTAGTACTAATTGAAACAATCGATTTAATTAATTTAATTAAAAAGTAAATTTCTTTACCAAATTCGTTCTAAAAATGCAAAAAAAAAAAATATATATATATCCAGTTGTAATTATTTTACGGCACTGAATATATATCCTTTCCTGTTACCTGGTTCTCTTTTACTCTCGTCTCTTATTCTCGCAGTACTAAGGTTTCCAGTGCTCTGAACAGGCGGATGAAAATCGGTGGTTTTTCAAACCGGTGATGAAATAATTTTTCTAGTTTTTGTTCTTAATTATTTTTTTTTTTCATTAAACATTGATGATTCATCAATTTGACAAATTTTTCAAGATTTTATTGTGATGTATAAAAAAAGTGTGAGTGATTTTAAACTTGACTCTGGTGTGAAAGGTGTAACTTTATCTTGGCAAAATCTCAGTGTTTTTGCTTTAGATCGAAATCGAACAATTTGCAAACAATTAATTAATAATGGTGAATATTTCATTTAAATTGCGGTTTTGTTTTAATATATTGTTTATTTATAATTAAAATTGATTTCAGTTCGGGGCGCAATTAAATCTGGCGAGCTCACAGCAATATTGGGAGGAAGGTATTCTGATTTTTTTTTTAAAACGATGATTGATTAAAAAAAATTTATTTATTAACAACGAAATTTAATTTTTTTTTTGTAGTGGAGCGGGAAAAAGTTCTTTGATGACAGCATTAGCTTTTCGAACACCGCGTGAGTTATAAGAAACTATTTTTTAATTTTTATTAATTAGTTGATAATTTTTTTTTTTTTTTTAATTAAAGCGGGAGTTATCGTTCATGGAGAAATTAGAGCAAGTGGAAGAAAAGTTAATTTATCTTACATGAGACGCTACAGTGGCTTTATGCACCAAGAAGATGTTTTTATTGGAACGATGACAGTATCCGAACATCTTTGGTTCATGGTATGAAAATAATAATTAATTATTATATTGAATAGAATATAAAAATATAATTTTTAGGCCCGAATGAAATTGGATAGAAAAATTTCATCTCGCGAAATTGATCAGCGAATAGAAGGTCTTTTACGAGAAGTTGGACTCATTTCGAGATGTAATATTCGAATTGGAAATGGTGGTGATGATAAAGTATTATCTGGCGGTGAACGAAAGAGACTTGCATTTGCAACTGAGGTTCGAATTATATTTTTTTGGTAAATATTTTTAATTCAGTATATATTTTATGTTAATTTTTTTTTTATAGCTTTTAACCGATCCAAAGATTTTATTTTTGGATGAACCAACGACTGGTCTTGACGCACATTCCGCTAGTTTTCTTATATCACAATTAACATCAATTGCTGGAAGAGGAAGAACAGTTCTTTGCACAATTCATCAACCTAGTTCAGCAATTTTTGATTTATTTCAAAAAATAATTTTAATTGCCGATGGTAGAATTGCATTTGCCGGAAGCACCGAACAGGCAATTGAATTTTTTTCCAGGTGAATCTTTTTTTTTTTATTCATTTTATTTTCAATTTTATTGGAATTATTATAATTATTTTTTTTTATAGTTTGGGCTACGAATGTCCGATTTCATACAATCCCGCTGATTTTTTCGTGACAACTTTGGCAATTGCACCAAAGGACGAAGATAGCAGTCATAGGGCAGCACAAAAAATTTGCGATGCATTTTTATCAAGCGATGCTTGTAAGGAGATTGATATAACCGTTCAACTTGAAGTACACGTTGCGGGAACTTTTAACGTAAATTACAAAAAGAAAAAAATTAAATTCCATTTTTTTATTTTTAATAACGATTAATTTTCTGTTTATTTTATTTTAGCAAAGAGCTGAATCGGAGGAGATTGATAATTTGTAAGTGTAATTAGAAAATTAGAATTAAAGAAATAATTTTTTTCAAAAATATTCATATTTTTAGCGCACAACCGTATTGTTGGTCGAGAATGTTTTGGTTGACTCATCGAGGATTTATACAAGTTTTGCGGGATCCATCGATTCAACTTCTTCGAATTTTACAAAAAGTGGTAAGTTTACAAGAGAGAAAAAATATTGGAATTGTTTTTAATTTTTTTTTTTTTTTTATATTTTAGTGTTTGGCAACATTGGCGGGACTTTGCTTTGTAGGAGCAATTAAATTAGATCAATTGGGCATTCAAGCTGTTCAAGGTGTAATTTTTATTCTTGTCGCGGAAAATACCTTTTTTCCCATGTACTCAACTTTAGCGTTAATTCCTCAAGAATTGCCACTTTTTCTCAGGGAATATCGTGCTGGAATGTATCCGGCTTATGTTTATTATATTGCTCGAATGTTATCATTGGTAAGTCTCAAAAAGAAATTTTAATAATTATTTTAACTAGAGGGAAATATTTTTTTAAAAATAAATTTAAATAAAAAATCAAATCATAAAATTATTAATAGAATATCGAAATTAGATTCCAGGATTAATTATTGAGCCAATATTATTTGTTGCGGTTGTTTATTGGTTGGCTGGCCTTCGACACACCATGGAAGCTTTTGGTTTTACTTTGCTAGTTTTAATTTTCACTATGAATGTCTCAACTGCTTGTGGTATGTTTATTTATGTAATATCAATTATCTAATTTTCTCGAATATAATTTATTATAAAAATAATTTTTTTCCCCAGGATGTTTTTTTTCAGCCGCCTTTGAAAATGTTCCTTTGGCTATGGCTTATCTTGTACCCTTTGATTATCTTTTGATGGTCACAATGGGACCATTCGCGAAACTTGAGTACTTTAAACTTTTTAATTATTATTATTATTATTATTACATAATAAAAATTATTCAATAAATTAAATATTAATTTCAGTTCCTTACCTATTTATGTTCAATGGGTAAAGTATCTCTCATGGCTTTTGCATTCAACGGAGGCTTTATCAATCGTTCAATGGACGAACGTTGGAAATATTAGTAAGTTTTTTTTATAATATATAAAAGACATGTTTTTTTTAGATAATTTAACTTAATTTCTTATTAATTAAATATATAAATTAAAAATTAATAAATTGCAATTTTAAATTCTAGCATGTGAGACAACAAATCCTGAATTGCCGTGCATTACAAGTGGTTCAGCAGTACTTGAAAATTATGATTTTAACGAAAATAATTTCTGGCACGATATTATTTTAATGGCTATAATTTACATAATTTTTCACATCCTTGGATATTTTTTTCTATGGAGGCGTTGTCGTACAAAATAAAAAAAAGAAACCTCCAACCAAAGATAAAGAAAAATTATTTAAAAATTATTCCACTAATTGTACAAAATAAAAAATGTAATTTATAAAGAATGTCACATTTTTTTATTTATTAATCAAATTTTACATTTTTATAAATAAATATTTTAATTTAATTTTTAATTAAATATTAACAATTTAAATTTAATTACAAAAAGAATTCTAATAATAATTAACAAATTTTATTTGTTACAAATTTAATTAAATTATCTTAAATTTGATAAGAAATTAAAAATTTTCTATTTCTAATAATTAAATACTTAAAAATAAAATAACGTTAAACGATAAAAATATAAAATAATTATCTTACTATTTGTCGGTAGATGAATAACTGCAGGAGCAAAGTTCCTCTGAATATTCCATTGATAAAGGACTATTAAATATTCGTTGTAAAAACATTTCTCCATCATTGGCATTTTCTTCAATTTCCCGAAATATTGCATCTTCTCTTCGTCGAATATTTGCTGAAGCTTCAATTGAATCTTCTGATGAAATAATATATGCTTCACTTGTATTTGTTTCCTGTCTTTTTGGTGAAGGAAATTCAGAAATATCATTAAATTCTAATGTATCCTCATCGATAATTGATTCAAATTGTGAAATTTTATTATCATCATCAAAATTTTCTATATCTTCAGTTTTTTTAAATAAATTATTATTTCCTTTATCAAAATAGGAAAAATCGTTTTGATTCGACGATTTATGTGATCCATAAGGATTTGGTGACATTTTTTTAGTGAGAAAAGAAATTTGACTTGCCGATTTATATTGTGAGTCAAATAAAGATTTTTGTGAATTTTTTACAGCGAGAGAAGAAATTTGCTTTTGATTCGACAATTTATATGATTGTGATTCACAAGGTTTCGGTGAATTTTTTTGAGAAAAAATTTGATTTTGACTCAACGATTTATATTGTGAGTCAAATAAAGATTTTTGTGAATTTTTTGCAGCGAGAGAAGAAATTTGATTTTGACTCGACGATTTATTCGATTGTGATTCACAAGGTTTTGGTGAATTTTTTTTTATATTGAAAAAAATTTGACTTTTCTTTGGAGTCAATATTAATGAATGAGACAAATTTTCTGTATTAAATGACGATAAAGAATTCACATCTGTTGAATCACTAATTATGGAATTAATTTGAAAATTTTCCATATTGTTGTTATACTTCGGTTTTTTCAATAGTAAACCTTCGGATTCGATTTCAGTCGAAATTGATGATTTTTGTGAGAAATTATTAATGCTCAATTGACTACTTGGTGATAATTTTCTTTTAAAATAATCGAGAGATTCAAACATTGGAGGTTTTTTAATTTGAATTTGATTTGTTGGAAATTTGAAGAGATTTAATCCCAATGATTTTGAATTATTTAATTCCACTATTCGATGATTATTCCCATTGTTCGTGCAATTTTCCTCATTGTCAATAAATTGCCATTTTTGGCTTAAGAGTTTTTTTTGTGTTTCCATTTCATCTTGAAATGAATGACGAGAAGTATTCGATTTATTTTCAATGTGACTACATTTTGTTTTCCATAATGGTGAATTTTTTGAATTATTCGATTTTATCTCAAAAGGACTGCTTTGAGATTTAATTTCACATTGAGAAGAATTATGAGAAATACTCAACCTCTCGGATAATGTATTTGAATTTTTTTTCAATTCATTTAAATTCCAACAACTTTTCGAAATATTTTTCTCATCTTTTGTTTGTGAAAAATTGTCAATTTTTTCACGTTGGGAAATTTTTAAGGGACTATAACTTGGAGATAAATAAGATCTAGAAACACTTTCAATTGAATGATAACTTCCACCGAAGAAACTGTTTTGTGATTCTTGATTTTCAAGTGAAATTCGACAAGGACTAAAATTTGTGAGATTTTGTTTTTGTAATGAACTGTGCGAGGGACTATTATTATAATCCAAAATACTTGGTGTTTGAGATTTTGATCTTCTAGAAAAATTATCTTGATTAGATTGAGAATTGTTGTTAAATTGCCAATTATAATTTTCACTTTCAAGTGAAATTTTCGTAGGTGTAAAATTCGAAATACTTGGTTTTGGAGAATTATAACTATCACTGGATTGTTGTTTTTTTTCATGAAAATCATTGTGCGAATCCATTTCAAAAGATGTGAAATTTTCATCATTCACAGATTGTCTTTCCATTAAACTTTGATTTGGTGTAAAAGTTGAGAAACTTGTTTTTCGTGATTGTGATCGAAGAGAAATGTTATCATTATTATCGGGATACCAATTTTTTTCGCTGAGAATTTCATTATTTTGAATTGAAGAACGAGGACTAAAAATCGAAAGACTTGGCACTTGAGATTTTGTTGTATTAGAAATATCGTTATCAAATTGACAATTATTTTCTTTTAAATTATTATTGCTTCGAGATGTAGTTTCTTGTTGATCAGAACTAATATTCGAAAATTCTGTTTCAATTTCGTCTTGATAATTTCTTGAATTTTTGAAATAATGTCCATTTTTACGAGATGGAGATCCACAATCATCATCATCAAATTGTCGGATTCTTTTTAATGAATTATTCGCAGATACGATTTCGCCTTGAAGCCAATTTTTTGGTGTATGTAAATTAGAAATATTTGTCATATCTGAAGAATAGGAAGATAAATTACTGAAATTCTTTTCTATTTCCAAATTAGATACATCCGAAAGCTGAAAATTCGAAAAAAAAAAAATTAAAAGATTTGTTATTCCTTGCTTTTGATTATTATATTAAAATTATATAAAATACCTGTGATTTGAAACTGTTATTCGTTGTTTCATCATAATTGGGAGATTTTTGTAAATGCGATGTACATTTATTATCCATTTTTTTCTTCGAAAAACCAAATTCGTGTAATGTACGATTTCTACGACAATCGAGAGATTTATCAATATATTTAAATTTATTGTTTATTTTTCCTTTTGTGCAAATTTCAATATCTGAATTTTGAATTGAGTTCCTTTGATTTATTTTATTATCAGATCTTTTATTTTTAATGATTAATGGACTGGCGGGAATTTTAAAGGAAAAATTATCGTCCATTTGTTGAAATTTTTGATGATGAATATTTAAAGTTTCAGTCTCGGAAACAATAATATTATTTAAATAATCGGGATTACATTGAATGATTTTAGAATTTCCAGCATTGGAAACAATTTGTGATTTATCAACGATATTTTGATAATTTGGTGCTTCTTTTTGAAAATTTTTCTCCAAAACACTATACAAAAGATCATTGTTCTTGGTCATTTTTAAATTTCTATTACCACGCAATGGTTCAATTATTTTTTGTACATTCTCGAGAGTAAATTCATCAGATATAATTAAATCCACAAATTTAGCAATACAATCATAACAATCCTTTTCCCAGGATAGTTTTGGTGCTCTAACAAGTGGAACTGGCTGAAAATTTAATTGTTTAAAATAATTATTACAAATAAATATATGATTATGTAAATAATAATAACAAAGACCAAAATATTAAATGTAGCAATTACCTTAAAATGCGGGGCAATTTCGGTGACAATTTTCTTAGCATTGTCAACTATGGATTTTGGTAGACGAGAGGCAGATGCAGCTGAAATTCCATAATTTTCGACATTAGTGATTCCTTTTCTCAATTTATATGTGTACTTTAATCCCCATTTATCCAATTCATTTGGTTCGCACACGAAATAATAACTAGAATTATCACAATGCAAATAAAAATATTTAAAATTAAATTATTAATATTAATTATTTTATAATAATCAATTTTTTAAATTTACAATTTGAAATTAAAAATGAACTTACTTGACAGCATTGTGATAAAGTTCTGTCAATTTAGTCAAGTTAATATAATGAGTGCAATTAAAAACAAAAGCCGTTGATTGAAGAAGCGATTCACAAATTGCGAAAGCAAGAGGCGCACCTTCCTCGCCATTAGTACTTCTGCAAATTTCGTCCAAAACAACCAAAGACGTTGGAGTGATGAATTGTAAAATGTACTCGACTTCTCTTATCTTGTGGATAAATTAAAATTTTATTAAAGATTATGGAATTAATTCAAAATTTTAGAAAATAAAATGTAGTTTATAAAATAAAAATAAAAATTCACCTCTTGAATGAAGGAAGATGCGTTACTTTCAATATCCTCGTATGTAGGGCACAGTCTACAAAAAATTCTATCTGCAATTCGTAAAGTGGCTTCCCTCGCTGGCAAGTAGCAACCAATCTAAAAAAAATGTAAAAATTAAAAAAAAACCATCAATGGAATAATTAATATTTTTAATTTACCTGGGCCATAATTTGTAAAAGTACAATTTGCTTTAAATATGTAGATTTTCCACTCATGTTTGGTCCAGTTATGTTACAAAAATTATAGGCCATTGAAGCTTCCTGTATAAATTTAATTTTTCCATTTTTAGTTTTGATTTCTAATTAAAATTTATTAATTTAATTAATGTAATATTTAAATTATTTCAACTTACAATATTATTTGGTCTTGGAAGTTGATTGGCAAGAAGATCGACAATAGGATGTTTAGATTCAATAATTCGCAAATTTTCAGCAAATTTTGGTTTCACAAAATCAGGAATTGAACTAATTCTCGCGAGGGACATGACAAGATCCAATTCTGCAATATCCTCGCTAAGTTGAAACAAACAACCGATTTGATTTCTCAAGTTGTTAATTAACGTTTCGAGAATGCTGTATAAAATTAATCATTATTTAATTTTAACCATTAAAATGAAATTTTTTTTTCAATTATAAAATATTTGAAATTTACCAACTACTCATGATATGTAAATCGTTACGAGCCTCTTTACATTGTTGACTTAATGACATTAATAAATACGTTGTCATGTTAAGAATGTTTCGTTTCTTTTGCACCTAGAATCAATTTTATTTTTAAATTATTTTTACTTCATTTTTTTTCTACTTTAATTTAATATTTTAGATTGTATTTAAATATTTTTTTTGTAATTTTAATTATTAATTAATTTTAATAATAAATATATAAATATTATTTTTTTAATAATAATTTTTCAAAAATTGTAACAAACCTCTATGAAAATACAAGGAAGATCACTGATTTTAAAATTTGGTTGTTTTGGCATTTGCATTTGAATGTGATATCCTAAAGATGCGTTGCAAGCGATTGTTAACGGAAGATGATATTCCTGAGCGAGTGAATCTACTAAAACTGTTTTATGAAAATATAATTATTTTTTAGCGAATAAAATTAAATTGTTTTCTCTTAATTGAGAAAAGTAAAATATTTTTTTTTTACTTGTCGTTTGTTCCATAAGTTCACAGTAGGTTTGTCGAGCGACATCAAGCATATCATTTATTCCACTTTTTAGGGCAAAGCATCTTTGCATATTCGCAGAAGTATAACCGTTTACAGATTTCGCGTCGCTTTGGACAATATGTAAAATTTGTTCCTTCATATTTTCAAATCGAGGATCTTTTAAATTCTGCAAAAAAAAAAATTATTTTCATTTATATTAAAAAATATATAAATAAATTTTAAATTAAAACAAATTTTTTCGAACCTCGCGAATTTTCACAAATTTTGGCGACATTGCTTTATCTAGCGCGTCAGCAAGTTGAGGAATTACATCCAAACATGTTTTCAATAGTAAAATATAATTTAAATTTCTTTCCGCAGATTCAATTGTATCTTTGGTAACTGTTGTTCGCATTGAAAGTCCAAGCATTCGATCAGCACCAAAAAGTTGTTTTATAATTGGCTAAAAAAAAAAAATTATTTCTAATCAAGAATCGAATTTTTGAAATTTTAAATCTTTTAATTTCAATTTCTACCTGAAGAAGCGTATGAAGATTTCTATTATGAACAAGTTCAGAGATACATGTTTGTCTTTCTAAAATTGCATCACGATTGCAAAGTGGCTGCAAAAGTGATGAACGTAAAAGTCGTCTTCCCATTGGAGTTACACATCTATCGAGAGATGAAAAAAGATTGTGACTCCTTTGAGGACCTTGACTTGAAACTAATTCTAAATTTATTGCACTTTCGACATCTAAAATTATCATAGAGAAATTAATTATTTTGATAAAATTAGACAAAAATTATTTATAAACAAAAAAAAAAAGAATAATATATATTTATACCTATCATAGTTGAACCCTGAGATGCTTGAAATTCGATTTTCATTGATTTTGGTTCATAGATTATTCGCTGAATTTGTTCGACATATTTCAAAAGAGCCGCGGTTGTAGCAAGTGCATAATATCTGTGAAAAAAAAATAATTTTTTTTATTTTTTTAGAAAAATTTAACTCTAAAATTTTGTTTAAATAACTAACTTTTCTTTGACAAATAATTCAATTCTTGAGAATTCTGTACTACAATGCATTTTTATACGATCTAATCCATTTTCTTCGTTAAAATGCATTCGCCCAACAGGCGTGATTTGAATATCTTTGAATCTCAATTTAATATCATTGTATAATGTTTTTCGTGGATCATCTTCTCCACAAATTGTATCTGGCATCAAAATCTAACAATTAACAAAAAAAAAAAAAAATATATATATATATATGTAATTAATAAATATAGAAATAAAAAATTAAAATATATTTTAGTAAAAATTTAATGAATAATTATAAAAAAATATTATTATTAATTAATTAAACAGAAAAGTAAATAATTTAAATGTCAAAAAAATAAAAATACCTCGACAGGATTAAACAAGTGAATTTTTGTCATTGTATTTGTATAAGTTTGAGTATCACTTATTTGACTGATAATTAAATGAGGAAATTTAACATCTATTGCCGCCATTCCCACTTCACATCTTGCATCTCCTCTTCCTGTTGTTATAGCTATAAATAAATAATATAATTTTACCTTTTGTTTATAGTCCTTTCTTTGTATCGAAAATATGAAATTTTTAAAAACATTTCTCGTTTAAAAAAAAAAGTGATTTGTTTCGAATTTTTTTTTACCCATAACAACAGTGGAATCCAAAAGATCAGAAGATGATGTTTGTTGAGGATTTGTAGAGCTATAATAAAAATAAATAAATAGGAAAAAATTGTGAAAAATTATACATTTAAAAATAGAAAAAAAAATTCAAATTTACGCAGAACTCCTTATTTTAGAGGATGAGGTTGGAATTCCTGGAATTCGACGATTAGTGCTTGGAGTTCTAACAACACTTGATGACGGTTGTGTATTGTTAAATAAACCTCGAGAAGATTCGCTAACAGAAGATTCTATATGAATAAAAAAAAAATTAAAAGAATTAAAGACAAACAATAATCAGTTAAATTAACCTTTAAAAGCTGTTTACTAACGATATTTTGGTTGACCAAAAGAATGATTGGTAATCAATTTATCAATACCAGGCTTCCAATAAAGACTATCTCTTCCTTTGCCTCTACCTCGACCTCTAACAGGTCTAACTTTATTATTTCCCATTCGAATCACATTCATTTTGAAAATATAATTAATGAAATCATTTAAAAACTTAATTTTTATAAATAAAAGATTGATGATCAAGTTCTGACCTTTCCCTCCAATAGGAATAAACTAACTTCACAGCACACTGCAATCGAGATCTACAGTAGTACCAACATAGTAACGAATTATTTTCAGCGGGAATTTTAAATTCAAAATTTGAATTTAATTAAAAAGAAATTCTAGAAGATTTTTATTTATTTATTATTTTATGTATGTACAAATTCAATATTTTCTGTTCAACATCACCGAAACTTGAAAACAACAGACTTAAATAGATAATTATAAATAATACAATCACAATCACTATTATTTAGAAATAAATAGCATATTACTATCGTTCCCAAAAAGAGAATTTTTTTTTTTTTTTTTTTAAACAGATTCTTCGCGTATATCTATTTACAAATTAGATATTAAATCGTGAACATGCCAAATTTACACATTACGTTTTTTTTTTTAAACCCTCACAAAAGGACGAGAGTTGACTGATTGGGCAATGCAATCAATATTTTTCTTTTTACGTACATAATATATTAATAATAATTGTCTTGTGCACAATGCTAAGCAAATCTCGGTATAATAAGCTGCCCTATGATATATGAAAAAAAATTACATCGAGCTTGCTAGCGATTAGCGATTCAGAGAAAAAAAAATTTTTTTCTTCTCTTATTTTTTCAAAAAAAAAAAAAAAAAAAAAATGAAACTACTTTCTTAAATTCTATAACCACAAGGAGCTCTTCATTAATAACACTCTCTGTCTTTTATGTATAATATATAAATTTTTTGTTTTCGATAAACGTTTTGCTTATTAAAATATGTTTAAATATAGCTTCATCGCTTCATCCGATTTAATCGTGCCATTATTTATGATTATCAGTGCCAACAATGAAATTTTAGCTTAGCTTTAAAAGCTATATATTTCCTCTGTATTAACCATAATTATATAAAAAACGTCTTTTCTTCTTCTTCTTCTTCTTTTTTTTTCTTTGCGGCACTTGAAATACAATTTTTTTTCTATGAGATTTCAAGATAAGTCTTTCTTTAATTTTTCTTAAGATTGTTCATATTCGACAGCTTTTGAGTTTTTTTCTCTTTTACATTTTTTTTTTTAAATAAATACTGGAAATTGTAAAGATTTTATAGAAAAAACGTTTTTTATATTTATACACTTTCATTCCTCTCTCTTATTATTTATTACTTCTTTTTATAATTATTACTTTTTTAATTTTACAAATTTCTCGTTTCTTCTTCTTCTTCCCTTTTTTATATAAACTAATCTCATCTTTAAATTCTTCAAATTTTTGAAATGACACAATTTTAATTAATAATTCAAAGTTTTCTTTAATACTTATTTGATTTTGAATTATAAATTTATTTTCTTCAGAAAAAAATACATTTTTTCGTGTCATTTTTTAACAATTGAAAAATATATAAAATTTTTATTGATACATTCTATTAAAAGAGAAAATAATAATTATTAATACTTTGAATAAACATTAGTAATTAAATAATTAAAATAACACTACATATAATTAAAATTAAGTCTCTTTAAAAGAATTTAAAAAATTTTATAGATACGTTTAACTATTTACAAAAGATTAATATAGATTGAAGTAACATTAAATATAAACAAATTAAAATAAAACTAATTAAAATTCGTATATAAATCTTAAACATCTTAAAAAAAAATGTTAAACATTTCTAAAATGAAGACAACAGACAAGAATAAGAAAAACTATAGAGGAAAAGAAAACAAAAAAAAAACAAGAAAAGAAGAAAACAGAAGGAAAGAAGAAGAAGACGAAGAAATTAAAAAAAGCTTATACTATGTAAATGTTACTTCGTTTCAGAATTTTTTTTATAAAAAAAAAATAAAAAAATATTTTTTAAAATTTTTACAATTTCCAACAATTTTATCTATCGTATATGAACAATCTAAATGTCGAATCGCAGATGCTAGTCTCGAAATGAAGTTTATTATTTAAAGGGATAGTAGAGCGTAAATTGAATCTAAGCTTACTAACTAGCGCGAATTTATCGCATTCGTAAAATGATTATCATGATAATAAAATATAAATTCAACCTTAGACATATATCACGTATCGAAATTTCTGAATGACAAATATCAATTATTATTATTAATATTATTGGGTCCTTTTAATTTTTTTTACCCATATTCTTATCGTCAACTCACTCTTGCGGAGAAAGGTTTCTCTTTCTTTTTTTTGTCGAGTCCATTTTTTTTTTTTTTTTTTTAATGATCCACATTGATAGCGGAAAAAAAAATGATAACTCTTTACCTTAATCGTTCTAATCGTCAATAATAATATGAAGCATATGTACAAAAAAATTGCACGATCACAATTCACAATGATGTGTAGATAATTGACAATGTGTAGATATTTGTAAGACATAATTCTTACAATTTTCACTTTCATATCGCTCTCTTTTTCCACGAAGGGAATATATATATAATAATATATTGTCAAAATTATTATAATATAATAATATATCGAAATAATATATTCGATAACATCGAAAGCCAAACGAAATCTTCAAATTCAAATGCATTATTTTTTAAAAAATAATTGAGCCTCGAATATTTATTTAAGATTAATATAAACTCAAAAAAATCAAATTCTTGAAATAAAAAAATTATCTCCTTTTTTTCAACACAACAAAAATATCAAATCTCTGCTGTAAAATAAATTTTTCTAACAACTTTAAAATTATATATTTTTTGTTGATGTAATAACATCCTTCAGTTGCAAAAAAAAAAACTTAATTTTAAGTTTTATAAAAATAAAAATTATTAACTTCTGATAAAAACAAAATTAATACTTTATAATTATTTACGTTTTATCAAGAAATTGTTTTAAAAAAATATCTGTCGAATTTTTCAAATAAATTTTGAAATAAATAAAAATTTCCTTTCTTCTTTTTGATTCATAAAATAAAAATAACTATGGAATATTAAAAAAAATATTTTTAAAAAATTGACATTCCTTGCTAATAATCAATACTGGAAATAAAAGAAAAATCGAAAGCAGAAAAATTTATTCTTTACTGATTTCCTTTTTTTAAAAAAACAAAATATAACTATTATACTATATATTTCATTTATAACAATATTATATAAACAAATAATTTTAACAAAACATTATTTATAATATATAATTAATATTAAAATAATAATTTTTTAAAGACTATAAAACAAATTATATTATTTGTTTATCATTATGATATTATCATCATCATATTTTTCTATAATTTTATATTATTTATAGATTAATTTTTTTTGAAAATTTGCACAATATCGTAAAGAATTTTTATTTAAAAATAATAAATTAATAAATATTCACATTCTTAAAATGGCAATTTTTCAAAATTGCATAAAATTCACGAAAAATATTTATATATTCTCAGTTTTCATGGAAAAGAAAACGTCTCGTTAAATCAGTAAAAAAAAAAGAGAAAAAATAAGTATTCTCTTAAATTTCTTTTAAATAAACTTATATATTATATATATTTTTTTGATATCATATATATTTCAAATATTTTGATATATTTTTTAAATAGAAATAAATTTATACTCTTTCGCAATTTTTCAATTTTCCAGCATTAATTTTTAACAAAAAGAAATGAAAAAAAAGATCTCACCTGAAAAAATTTATAATATCCTATGTCCAATTTCTGTCGCTAAGTAAAAAAAAAATTGCAGCAGTTTGGTCCTTTTATTTTTTGGCTCGTTTTGAAAGAATTGATTTTTCATTTTTGAAATATTTCATTCTTAATCGAACTAAAATGATGTTTCTATTAAACGTGACTTTCTAGGGGCACTTTGTAGACTTTCGATGTGAGACTCCCGTCGGGGAGCGATTGGGGACGGGTGTTGGTAACATTAAACACGACGTTACTGGGTCCACGAAAGCTAACTTCAATAAGAAAACTGGTGTCAACGAGATTAAATCGATTGCTGCTGAGATCTGGCGAACTGGTGCGTAACTGACTTTTCTTCGTTGTTTTACTATCATTACGTATTATTTTCTCCGCTTCAGTTTGAAGTTTATTATCAAGCCAATGTACTTTATCAAAGTCCTTTGTACCGCCGACAGTGTGTCGCCGTTTTATTGAACGCTCGGGCATTCCATTTTTTCGTTTCAATTTCGTTGCACTCTCTTTTCTCACCGATTGTCTTCGTTTACTAATATTAGATTCAGTTTTCTCAGTCTTTGTCAATGATTCAGAACGTTTTAATTTACTGTTACTATTGTTTGGTGATATAGAACGATCTGAATTTTTATTGAGACTCTCGGAACGTTTTAATTTTCCATTACTTGGTGATGTGAGCGGTCGATCGGATGAATGTTTATTTAAACTTTCCGAACGTTTGAGCTTTGATGTCACTGTTTCTGTTCGTTTATTTAATGATTCGGAACGTTTTAAACGTGATCGTGGTTCCGATTGGCTCATGCTTTCAAATTTTTTCAATTTTTTTGTATATGAAGGATCATCGTTTTTTGGAATTGATGATAATGTGGAATTTTCAGTTCTTGATTGTTCAATATCGTGATGAGGAGAATCTGTTGATGATTGATTGTTTTGTGAATCAATTGTGGAATCTGTATCGCGTTTTTGTCTCATTGGCGATGATTGATCAATGATTGAAGAAGATTTCAATGATTCGTCTTTTTCGCTTGCGTCAAGAAATGTACTGCACGTTGCTTCTTTATCTTCCTGTGATTTTTTATTGGATACGTGACGATCATTGTCCGGCAAGTCAGTTACACTTGAATCGGTTGTATCGACGATTCCTGAGTCCGAGTCTTTCTCGGGAACATCCTATGAATAAAAAAAAATAGTAAGAAATAAAATTTTTTTTTTTTAAATAATTATGAAACATACGGTTTTTGAGTGAAGAGATCTTCCTTTATCAGCAGTCGATCTATGTAAACTGGGATCTCGATATTCCGATGAATGCCTAATTGGATTGCGTTTGATGGGTTTTTCTTCTTTGACTTGAGTATTAATATTGGCGATACTCGAAGTTTCAACAGAAGACGGAGATTGATTTGCAGGATTCACTAGAGATTTCCATTTGCGATCGAAAGTTGATGTGAGGCTGGTCAAAAGATCGCTACCTGAAATCAGAAAATATTTTGATAATTCACATTTCTCTATAATAGTGAAAGAATCACCTCAATGACAAAAACATTGAAAGCCTTGATCGATCGGTTATTGAGCGCAAAATAATAAAATTCCCGGGTGTAAAATTTTTTTAACGAGTGACGATTAAAAAAAAAAAACGAAAATAAGGAATAAATTAAAATTCAGAAGTTTGAGTGCTTGTAGCTAATTGCGTGAGTTCATTCCTGAAATCATAAGAGCAATAATTAGAATAAAGGACAAACAGCAATTTTCTTCTTTTTCATAACAGCGACAATGACAACAGCAACAACAGAATACAAAAATGATCTAGACTTCATCTCAATTTTTATCCGAATTAACAAAATTAATTTAACTATGTAGTTCAAAAAATAATAAAATTTGTTAAATTTTAAGTCTTCAGACAAAAAAAAAAAGTTCTTATACAAATTTAGTACATGTGTTAATTGAAAAATTTTGTCAAAAACGTAGCTATTGCAAAAAAGTGTTTGTATTATATAAGCAATTAAAGATTTAAGTTAAGATTGTGAGAAAATTAATATTATAAAAAAAAGGAAATAAAAAAATTTTTAGTCAAATTCAAATTGATGAGATGCAGGATTTTTGAATTGTCTCATTTTTATGAAGTCTAATCATAATTATTAAGATCCTGAAAAAATTCGACAGAATTCGGCGGGAAAAAAAATTCAAAAAAAACCAACTGGAAGTTTCTTATAATTAATTAAATTTTTTACAATATTTCAGTGAAACTTCCAGAAGGTCAACTAAGCTTGAGACAAAGGACGTAATTATTATCAGCAGCAAACAAGCACTTTTCTCATGTGTGCGTGTAAGAAAAAAAAACGAAACGGTAGAAATATTTGAAAAGCCATTCTCGTACGAGGCAAATCTTTTTTTTTTTTCATCACTTTTGTCGGCTTTCCGCGATTTACCTCTGAGAATTCGGTTTACAATCTTGGAGGATACCCCGACTGCACCGTCTCCAGACTCTGGAATCCCTGGTTGGAGGAACTGTAACTGTGACGAAGGCCGCTGTGATTTGGATGACGGTGTTGTCGAGGTGGTGGTTGTTGTTGTTGTTGCTGCTGTGGTTGTTGCTGATTCTGCTGCTGGGATGATGATTGGTAAGGAGGTGGGATAATTGGTTGTTGTTGTTGTTGTGAATGGATTTGAGGTTGTTGGTGTTGATTTTGGGAACGGTGTCTTCGTGAGGGTGCCACTGGCAGCGGCCCCTGCGGCACTGTGTAGATGGGCCGATATGTAGCACCAAAAACCCGGACTTGCTGCATGCCTACGCCGTTTCAATCCCATCATCAATTGTACCATTGCCAATTTATACACAATAAGAAATTTTTATCCATAGAACTTTACCTCAAACGACAAAATCAAATCAACTCTTTTTTTCCTTTTCTTCAATTAATTTTCAATTTAATAATTTGTATCCTTTTTCTTTGAAATTTTTATTTATTTATATTTTAATTCATAAGTATCATTGTAAATTAAATTTCACAATTTAAGAAACAAAAAAAAAGTCAAGACTTGAATTTCTCATTAAAACTTTTTTAAACTTACAAAAAAAAATAAAATTCTAAAACTCCAGATTTTAAATTTTATGAAAATATTTAATTTTCTCGAGTTTTTATTTATTTAAGAAACAGTAAAAAGATATTTAATTTCCAAAATAATTAATTTATTTTCTATTTTTAAAAAAATCTCCTTTTGTCGAATCATAAAGTTCTAGAATTTGATCCACTAATACACACAAAAAAAACAAGAAAGATGCTCGTTCTTTAAAATGATTAGAGCGCAGGCACAAAATTGATGAGACTACATGTTTTATTTAGAGTACCACGTAAATTTATTAATTAAAACAAAAATCTTTTAAATATTTAATTTTTAATATTCTAATAATAAATATATGAATTATAAAAATATAAGATGAAAAATAAAATACGTGGAGCTCTATAATTTTCAAAAACATTAGCCAGGCAAGCAGTGAAGCCACAAAAATAACAAAAATATTATATTTTTAAATTATCTATAACGAAGTTTTGTTTCGCGATGATACAAAATCCTGAAACTATTCCTATTTCAATTTCTTTAACAATTTCTACATAATAGAATTAAATTATTAAAGAAAAAAAGCGATCAAATTTTGAAGTACTAAAAATATAAATTACTTACAATTAAAATAATTAATTATTTACTTCAATAACTACATTAATATCAATTAGGTAAATATTAATTAACATTAATAGTAGTTTTTATTATTAATAATTAAATAATAAAAATAAATTAATTACTTATAAATACAAAATATTTAATTAATAAATTACTAACAACTAATTGAATTAATAGTATACTATTAAATAATTAAAATCGAAAATTTCACTTTTTTTTTTGTCAGCGATTGTAAACATTCAATCAAACGCAATTTGACATGCATTTTTGTAAGTGTAAATAAAAATTTTCAAGCGTTCAGTGCTTCATGAAGTAAAAAAAAATTCTTTTTTGTTTTTCATTCCTGCCTTAAAAAAAGTATAGCGTCAAAAACGACACATAATGCTCGAGAAAAAGATTGTAAATTCCTATTCTCTGCGTGATGAAACAATTATTTTTTTTAAGCATATCAGCCCTTGGCGAAGTAAAAGAAAACGGAAAAAAATTATAACGAGGATATAAACATAGCGAAAATATGATTTCTCGATAATTGCAATGATGTTGTATTTTTTTTCAAATGCTTAATAGAAATCTCTCGACTAAAAAAATGTGATGATGAAGAGAAAACAAATACCTAGAAAGCTTTTTGTTAATAGTGAGAATCTTCTGAGTCCAGTGAAGAAAACAAGATCCGGCTACACTCACCGATCGTCAGAAGCAAATTACAAAGAGAAAAAAAATGCACAGAGAGAATAAATTAACATGAAAAAAAAAATGATTTTTTTTACACGTTAAATCCCGATTTTTCCGGATAAGTTCCCAAGATGCGTCAAAGTGTTTCATTATTATTATTTGATTATTTTCTCATAGACTAAAAAGTCAAAAAAAATTTTTTTTAAATTATTCCGATAGATTTTTGAGTGTAAAAAATGTCAAAGCAGTTAAGACAGAAACAAATAGGGGAAAAAAACACAAATTCTAAAAACACGCATCCGGTATTTAAAAAAAATCGCTTTTTTTAAACTCTGAAGGAGAAAAAGCGTTTTTTTGAGGGGGGGTTAAGTAAAATAAAATCGGCGATTAATATTGTTATCAAAAAAACAATACTGACCATCATCAGAAATATCTCCAGGAAGTCCTCGATGTTGCTGTGAGGGCGATGAAGACGAATAGCCGTGAATCTCATGCAGCGAGTCTAAACTTCCATAGCGAGTCGGTGCCAAAAGATTAGAATCCGGTGACTGCTGAAAATAGAATTTAAAATTTAAAGAAATAGAAAATATTTTGTAAGAAGAAATATAAAATAGGAACAAAATATCACCTCTTTATCCGTTTTAAATTTTTTGATGACTCCGTTATTCATTTTCTCGCCTAAAATATTACTGAGTTGAGAGCTGGCTTGAGCTTTTTGTCTTGCTGTCGGTGGTTGTTGAATTGATAAAGGAATTGGTCTTGTACTTGATTTTGATCTCACATGAGAATCAGTTAAATCAATTGACGTTCTATCAACATTATTAAGTCTTTCGTTTAAATTTGATAATCGATGATGATCCGAGAGAAAATTCGGCGTAACAGTTGTATCGGCAATTGTATCTAAAATATCGTCATTTTCCATTTCTGATTTTGCAATTTGCCATTCTTTTTCAATTCTCTTTCGTTCTTCTTCAATTCTTTCGGCAACGCGCCTCTGTCGATGTTGATCCCTTTGTAACATTGTCATTGTTTCCTGTTCGAATTTTCGTATTCTTTCTTGTGTCGTTGCACTTAATCCCGTATACGTACGAATAGCGACCTCATCATTATTTAGTTTTGTGTCATTTGAATTATTTGAAACTGTTGATATTGTATCTAAATTCACAGAAGAAACTTCACTCGACGATGGTTGTTTTATTTCTGATTGGGGATTAATAATCTGCTGTTGCTCTTGTTCTTGATTAGCTGATGAATTTTTTGAATATTTTCCCCGTGAATTTTGCGTATTATTTGGAGGACTATTGTTGTTTCCACTTCCATTTCCTGCGGTGATGGCGGTGGTGGTGGTGATGTTCTCAAATCGCTCTGATGGACGTCCTTTATTTTCGTGCATTTGAACAATTTCACTGACGGTGCATTGTCGATCGTTGAGAGCCATACTCTGTCGAACGGTCGGTGAATTTTCCTCCTGTTTTCCTTTTAACTGAAAGAAAGAAATTTTTTAATTTTTCGAATTTTAAAAGAAAAATTTACGAAATATGCAAAAAAAAAAAAAATTACCTTCTCTTCTTCATGATCATCATTGTCCGGTTCCTCGTGTCCTTTTCTCCTCCTTTGAATCTTCCTATTAGCTGCGGATATGATTGAAGATACAATGTCCCTAGCTGTGATCATTTCACGCATGCCTGTTGTGTCAAAATAAAGAAGCGAACAAAATAAATGTGCAACTAATGATGTTAAAAGACTCAGAATTACTCTTCTTAGTTGTTTTTTCTGGAAACTTGGAAAAGTTTTAGAAAAGTATATAAGAGAGCAATGAGAGAATAAGAAATAATAATAAAAAAAAGATGGTAACGAGATGAGAGTGGACACTAAAATGTGCATTTGCCAGAAAAAATTACACTTATATCAAGAAAAAAGGGGAAAAAACATTTAACTGGTCATTTTCAGTTTTTTTTTTTTTTTTTTACAATGCACAAGCATTTCTTTTTTGATTTCTAACTACGAATGTTGAAATTTGAATAACACAAAAGTAAAAAATGAACATTACATGTAAGCTTCAAGAGAAAAAAACGGATATGATAGCCACACAATTAAGTGCCACAAACAATTTTTTGGAATATTGAAAAACTCGTTACGTCTTTAGTACGAGTAATAAAAATTTTTTTCATTAAAATACCTTCAACTTTCTGAATGTTGTTTAATAAGAGACTGTGATTCGCTAGTTCATTCTCATTGTCATCCGCTGGTAAACTCAAATTTACTGAGAGCCTGCTCAAATCGTCTAAATCTTCTTCTGAGAAGAACCAATCGACCTGTTAAATCGTAATCAAAATTAGAATTGAAAATATAAATCGTTAAAAATATACCAGGAAAGAATAAAATCATAAATTTAAAAAATAAAATACTAACATTATTTAACAAGCTTTCGACGATTGTACATTGATGTTTCATCTCAGTAACCATTGTTACCATATTATCCCTTGAGCCACTAGGTCGTACCAAAGTTGGTCCAAAAACAATAGACAAATTCTTTGCTTCCATTTTATTGGCTTCACTATGATTAACGACTTTTTTCAAATGATACATAAGATATTTGAGTGTCTCAAAATGATGTTCGGGCAAATCTCTTAGTAATTTTCGAATTGTCGCCATTCTTCGTTGTGGATCACTTATTTTATCAGCATCAATAAACATTGGATAGAGTTCAGCCGTTAAAAGTGAATCTGGAAGTTGCCGGAAAAAAGACTTGAGCAGAGATGATATCACATTGACGTCAGTCCACCTTGAATCCTATTAAAAAAAAAGAATTTAATTTCAGTGTTAATTTTAAAATCAAGTTTTTTTTTCATGTGCAAATAATGAAAAAAATTTCTTCAACTTGAAAATGAAATGAATTTTTATTTTATTAACTGAAATTTAAAAAAATAAAACATACCTGAAGATTGATATTTTCAATTCCCTTGTTTACACTTTCTGTTAATTGAGAAATTGCAGCCGTATTACCAGGCACTCTATAAATTCCAATAACTTCAAGACCTCGAGCTTCGACAATGCTTGTACAAATTTCTACGATCAAAGGCACAAACTCCGAGAATGAGGACTGAAATTAATTAATTATGTTTAGAAAAATAAATAAATGATTTTTTTCTCAAATTGAATGAAATAAAAATAAATTACCTGCGGACAAAGTTCCAGTGGAACTTTAAAAGTCGCTCCTTCGGGAGGAAGTTGAGCTGTTGGTGATGATGGTGAACCAGCTTGTCCATGCATTTTTCTAAATTGTTTCGCCATTCTTCCTTTCCAAGTTTTTGATTTTGGTGATGGTAAATTTTCAACAGTTTGACTTGGTTTTCGTGTTTTACTGACTGGCGATTGACCCGTGGGTGAACGATTTCGAAACGATGTCAATTTTCTGATTCCTTTATGACTTGGCAACGGACTCAATCGTTGTCCACCACTTTGATTTGTATTTGAAGTTGGTCCCGGTGTTTGAGGTGAGGCTGGCTGTTTCACTGTATTTGTGCTTGTATCCTAGTGATAAATTCAAAATTATTATAAATAAATTCGAAATAAAATTAAAAAATTATAAAATAAATAATTGTTAAAAACATTAAACATTTTTAATTAAAAATTAAATTTTTAATAGATAAAAAAAATATCTTACAGTATGTTTCTCGGTAGCGAAAATTTTAAACGCTCTCAACCAAAGAGCCATAGAAGCAGCATCCTCGGTTTGCAAGAGCACTTCTGCTGTGGAATTCGTTATTCGTAGCACATGTTTTCGTTTCGTGTAATCGTCCGCGATATCTACTAAGGCACATCGCGTATCTACACTTGGTACTGTATCGCCTTCGCCGTTTGTAGATGGGCTCTAAAAATTACATTTTATTTTCCTCAATTCACTTCAATTTAATTAAAAAAAGAAAACTATATTACAAAATGTCAAATTTCGATAATTTCAAATAAATATCTAATTAAAAAAAAAATAAATAAATAAACAAATAACTTACTTGACTGTGTCGATCCTTATAAAAATAAAGAATATGACCGCGAAGAACGCCCCAAACTTGCTTCCAGGAACGATCGGTAGATCGCTAAAAATAAAAATTCAAATTATATTATTTTCATCAACATGTTAGTAAAATCAGCTATAAAAATAAAAAATTAAAAAAAAAAAAATACTGTAAGAATGAAAAAATATATACTTACTTTGCCATCGAGCACAGTGAATTTAACGTGAAGAGATCCTTCTCGTTCGATAGGTTCTGCGTCTCTGGGTGTCCCACTGCCGCTATTGGAGCCAACTGAGCCCAGGATGCTATTCCTACAAAAGAAAATTCGCAATCCTCATTAACTCTCCTCATTAAAACTCAAAACCTCTTTCGGAAATCTCGCACATGTTTTGAATGCATTTTTTACTCAATGAGATCCCGACACTCTCACGCAATAAATTAATAACACCTTCATCACAATTTAATCATACATATATTAAAATAATAAAATTTTTACTCAAAACAAAAAACAATATAATTTAGCATATTGTCCAAATTATTATTATTATTATATGATAAATAATAGCAATGAAAAAGTAACAAAAAACAAAATCTATTTTGAAAATAATCTAAAAAGTAGGATCTATTTTCAAAAATAAAAAAAAAATTTTGCCATCTCACATCAGATAAGTTAGTGAATTTAAATGATTCACATGAAACACTAACACAAGCGGAGCATCCGGGCTTTTTTTTCAAGCGTGTTAGTGCATTTGCTTTACATTCTATTGACGACACATATATTTTATATATTAACTAACACTTACAAGATCGGTAATTCGTTATTGCATTTATTTTATCTAACAGACGTATGTAGTCTTTTTAAAAGAGCGCTGATTTAAAAGCGTTTTCTTTTATTTAACACTGCCTCCTTACCTGAGTTTTTATTTTTTTTTTTTTACTCAATTATTAATCAACTACTGTAACTATTCTTCAACTATATGCAATTCACGGAGCTCTGTAAACATCTCCATTTTTTTTTCTCTCCTTTTCTTAAATGTCATTGTACTTGTATAGTGGAGTGCGTCACAAAACAATTTACCGCGTGTAATGCAATCACACACAATCGATATATTATAATTAATTTGTGTATGTGAGTGATTTTTATTGCGCAGCAAAAAATATTGTTCGTGATTGTCACGAGTTAATACATTTGATTTATTTATTATTCAAAACCATAACCAAAAAGTTATGCGTATACAAGACTCGAAACGTTAATTTTATGCGAAATACCGCGCTACTCTACGCACACAACGTTATATAAAAAACAACACCTAAGGACATCACTTCAAAAGTACGATTCAATTTTACATTGTAAATAAATTTAATTTTAAAAACATTGATCATAAAAAAAGAATTTATTGAAATCGAATCGTAATTTTAAAGGGAATTATGAATAATCAAGACTTCATTTTGTTAATTATTATTATTAGCATACAGTTAAATTTCAATTTCATCCATTATTGCAAAATTTTAATTATTCCACAAATTATTTTTAAAAAAAATTCCTAATTAAAAATCAGAAATATTTTTTTCTATCACAAGTTTTTTTTTAAAAAAATGTTAAATCGTTTACATGCATTAGAAAATTGTGTCAAATAGCATTTGGGGAATTTTCATCATGTGCTCCCCAAAAATAGATTGATTAAAATTGTTAAATTAAAAAAAAAAATAAATAAAAATATGCAATTTTTTTTTTTTTTTTGATGAAGTCTCGAAAATTCTTGTAAAATTGTCATTATTTTAGAAAATAAAAAAAACTATAGCGGCGATCGGTTTTAGACATTGAGCGACGATTGACGACTACGGATGCAGCTTTTGTTTTCTTTTCTATTATTAAGAACCTTTTCTCGTCTCACCGATGCCTTTGCGAGGGCAAATAAACGCCCTGTGTCATTTCCTCGAAGAGGCGTCGAAGTGGCGCAATATCGCTTGGAAATAATGGTGGTCGCCAACGTTTATGAGAACTGGAATCATTGATATTTCCAAATTCCTAAAGTAAAGACATCGCAAAAAACAGAGACAAAAAAAAAAAGAAAGAAAAAAAAAGAAACCACTTACTCGCAGATTAATCTGCTGAAATCTCCACAAATGCCATTTTACATATAAATATAGTCCATTCAAGAAAACAAAAAAAAATATGAAAGAAAACAAATTACAAAATTACCTTCTAATTGATTGAACTGGTTCAGTGTCACTAAGTTCTAAATCGCTATCAATGTGCATTCGCTCGCCCCAAGTAGCTTTCAAGTAAGAAACCCGTCTTGTTGTCCTATCTTCATCACCTGTTAGTACAAAAATTATTTACAATTACAAAAAAAGAAAGATTTAAAAATTCTGATAATTTTAAATATTATTTATTTCAAAATATAATTTTACAGATAAAAATTAAAAAAAAATACTCACTGATCTGAGCATTCTTCTGTCGTCTGACAACCCCATTACTATCCGCATCTTCATTCGAACCTGAAGAAAATACAATTTAATTACAATTAATTATCACATAAATTTAGTGTTAATTAAAAAAAACAATGTTAAATCAAAGTATAAAAACACGAAATTTCAAAGGTTAATTTCTGCATTTCAGAGAAAAATGTAACGTTACAAAAAACAAAGACAAAAATATATGAAACTGAATTATTCCATAAAAAAAAGTATTTTTAATCAATGTAGTAATATCACACGAAAATTTCAGCTTCACAAAAATTTAGTTTTGTTATTAACAAAGCATAAGATTAATGACATCACATTAACATGTATTTTTTAGAAACTCAACAAATATTTTTGTTTAAATAAAAGATGAAATAAAGAAAAATATTGAAAAGCTAATAAAAATCAAACAAAACAAAAAAAAGGCTGAGAATATGTAAAATAAACACCAGTTAAATAATAATTTAAGAAAAACAAAACTGATTAGTCTATACGTATTTAAATATAAAATTGGTTACTTTCATTATATTTGAAAATAAAAATCGCGTTTAATGCAAAAAAAGAGAGTTAGCTCGTTCAGTCACATCAAGGGCAATATATTTTCTTTTTTTTTTTTTTTGTAAAATGGACCCTGACCTAAATTTTTCATGACATCGAAATTATCCAAATCGTTCTGCGTGGATTGATTCAAATCATTGTAGTGACCATTGTAACATTCATCAGGATTTTCAAGAGGGCGTAGAGGATTAAGAATTGCCAATTTATTTGGTCTTACTGGCGTGGGTGGACTTATAGTAACCATTGGGGTCGTTCGTGGGACATCGAAATCAGGAATTACATCTGGAATTGCTAATGGAGGGAAAGGAAATTTCGTCCTATCAGATTCTGATGACTTCATCTTAAAAGCTGCATTCTGTCGATGATCTAATTTTTTCATAAATATTAAAAACAAAATTTATTTTTTAATACATATGTGAATTGTACCATATGAATTTTTTTTTAATTCACGAAAAAAATCTATTTTTCGTTAAATTAAAAAAAAAAACACATATTAATTCAGATACAAAATACCAAAAAATCTGTTTCCTTAGATAAAAAAAAATTCTAATCGAATTTTTTAATTTACTTTGATATTTAAAAAAAAAAACAACAAAAAAACTAACCGTTTTGGGATCTGATTGCTTTCAAATAGCTGTCTTGTCTTTTTGCTTTGTTGTAATTCTCTTCTAAATTCTCTTCCGACTCGGTTTGCCAAGTATGTCTGGCATTCCTTCCGGAAGGATCAGTCACGGCACCCCATGAATCGGCGCTGTTGCTTCGAGCTCTTAATCGTACTGGTTCCATTTCCGTAGGTGGTTCTGTCGATGAAGAGTTGATTATTTTTTTTTCTCAATATTTCAGGACCAAAACAAAAAAAAATTTTGTCAATTTCATCATCAGGCAATATTCACAGCTTTTTTTTTATAATAATTAATATTCACATCCAAATGCAACAGGCAATCGCAAGTGTGCGATTTATGCCGAAAACAAAATTTTTCTAATAAAAAAAATAAACAAAAATTTTGTTTTTTACATTTAATTAAAAGTGTTCGAATATTATTATTCATTTGAAAATAATTTCTTTTTACTATCCTGCAAACTTAATGCCTTTAACATGCACAAGTATATTGGATTTTGTCAAAAAAAAAAAAAAAAAAATGTTCTTCCGTTTGAAAAATTGCTCTCCCTTCAATAATATATAAATCGAGGGATATCAAGCTTTTTTTTTGTACAGCGAATCACGAAGACAACATTTATAACAAAAATGGAAAAATACACCAATCTGAAGAAAGAGAAACTCAAAAGAGAATATGGAGAGAATTTTGTTAATTTTTAGAATGAAAAGAAATTTAAATAATTGGAGGATCCATGCAAAAGAAAATAGCATTTTAGAAGGAAAAAGTTTTGAAGAATTTCTTTACTTTTTTTTTTTTTTGAACGCGACAAACAGATACGTTCAAAAATAAATTTTCAAACGAGAGAGAAAACAGAGGATTGGGATCGAGAAAAAAATTTGATAAAATAGGAATTTTCTTCAATTTTTAGAAGACCCTTCTACCTTTATGGTTCCTATACCCAGTTGGAGGTTCACAATGGATGTACTTGCTGCCAATGGGTATGATTCTGTTTCCGGATAATCCACTACCTAGATGATAATTATTTTTTATGTGTAAATCCAATCGAAAACCAACAAATTTCCAAACAGCTCGATTATATTAATAGACAAAATTAGTGCCTCGATGATTTAATGAGAAAAATATAGAAAATAATGTCAAATTTTTTTAATCAATTAAAACAATTTAATATATACTAAAAAATTGAAATTGAATTATCAGAAAAAAAGATTTAAAAATTGTGACATCATTTTGCAATAAATGAAAAGTTTCCTTACCTCCATCAAGTGATTTGCTTTCCCTTCCACTGGTCAATCGCCTCGGCTCCTGTGTTTCGGCTTTCGATTCAAATTCACGTTTTCTAACGGCAACATTCGGCACACTTCTTTTATTTGACAAACGTGATAATTCACTTTTATAAAGATTCGTTCGATCACTCGTTGGCTCATCATCATCGCTCATTAATTTTCCTAATTCAAATTGTTTTGCTCGCCTCGAAACAATTTGCAATCCCTGCGGTGGAATGGGAAATTTGTCATTACCCTTTTTATCAAGACCAGGCGACGATGGCAATGATGATGTTCCATTTCTTGCATCCTGATTTTGTTGAATAGCACTGGCAACATTTTCATGAATTCTCGTTAAAGTTGTGATAAAAGGATTTTTATTCGAAGGACTATTTCTACTTGTTGATGTATTTGAATTTGCATTCATTTTCATTTGTTCACCATTTTTTGCAATCATATTATTTTCCTTTGATGCACTATTATTGTCATATGGAATCGCATAAAAACGATCACGATTAGATTCAATTTGTTCATTACGAATACGTTGTTGTAAATTTGCATTGTATTCAAGTTCCGAATCCATTGAATTTTGTACACGAGATACACGAGTAAGCGGTTTTAATCTATCGTCATGATATCCAATTGGTCTTTGTCGTGTTATTTGTTGTGGTTGTTGTTGCTGTTGTATTTGTTGATGAAATTCATTAGGTGGCCATACTTGTCTTTGTAATTTTTGTGGTCTCGCATAAAATTCACGTTGTATTACACTTGGATTTTCACTTGATAAATAACCAATTGGTTGACTTGGTCGACGGAGAAATTCTTCTTTTTGTTCGACACTTTTTTTTAAACGATTCATAATATAGGAATTATCGAAACCCTCATTACCACCAGTTAGTGTTGAATTTGAATCAAATGATGATAGACTACTGTCTTTACTTGCAGGCGATGAATCTCTACGCGATGAACCCATACTTAATCGTGAATCAAATGTATTGATACTTCCATAAATTGCCAAATCAGATTCACTCATTGGACCGCTACCTTCACTTGCACGACGCGCCACAACACGTTTACCACTACGATTCATCATGGGAACAATAACTTGTTGTTCCGCACGAGCAACAACTGGAAAACAATGCCGATCCAATGATTCGGAAAATGCACCCGTGTCTTGATTCACAACTCTCTCATAGATTGGATCCTGTATTCGATCATAGATTCGATCGCTACTCGTTCGGGAGTATATTGATTCAGGTCGCGTTCTGTCGTGCAAATCGTACCTAAAAGGAAAAATTTTTCATAACAACAAAAATTATATATATTAATTTGAAAATAATTGGAGAAAAAATAAATTAAATACCTATTAGATCGCAATGTTGGATCAAGGGGAGCCTCCTTTTGATTGAGTGACGGTGGAGAGGCTCTCCTTTGTGTTCTATCGTCGAGTGATTTTCTTTGTAAAAGAGCAGGTGCCGAGGCTGTGGAGGATTCATTCGCGATTGCTTGATCCTCGGATAGGGAAAGTGAATCCTTGCGTAAGCCATAATGTGAGACAGTGCCCTGATTTTCCGAACCAGGAGGCGAACAAATCCAGGACTGTCTTGCACGTGCCGCATTCGCTGGAATCATGCCGATCGCTCGTTTTTGTTTCTGCGTTAGTCTCTCAGGCGATCGCAATCTTGGCCGTTGATTCGTCTCCGGATTGTGGGCCGTTTCTCCAAAATACTGAAAAAAAAACGATTCAATAAAAAGTTTATCCAATTGTAAAATTGAAAAAAATAAAATTTAAATTTAAAAAAATCGTAAAAGAAACAAAAATTCAATTTTAATTAACAATAGAGAAAATTGTACCCTTTGCAAAATATCGTCGTCCTTAGAGACAACGAGGAGACGTAGCCATGGATTCGCTTGACTAATACGTTGAACAACACTCGCGTACTGCTCTCCTCTTGTCGGAATTCCATCGACAGCTACAACTCGATCACCAGTCCTGAGGCCTGCTTCTTCTGCTGGCGAATTTGAATGCACCTGTTTTACGAAGATCGTGTCCATCGGCTCGTCAATTTTGGTCCGCTCGTGTCCCGGTAACATCTATAATTTCGAAGAAAAAAAAACAATTAATTTTTTATTTTACCAAAAATCTCAATTAAATTTAATTCAATTCGAAAAATATTCCTCTAAATGAATATGAAAATTCCATTTAATATAAATACGATGGAATAAAAATTCAATTTTTGTTAAATATAGGCAATTTTTTTTTTGTTAAATGAAATTTGAAAAAATTTATTTTTTTAAAAAAATATACTTACGTAACAGGACTCAGGCGGATAGACGATAAAGTGTCGAAGGGTAAATCCGAAGCCATTTTTGCTACGTCGCAAAAGTAAAGTGCGGGGACCCCGAGGTGGGGAATCCTGCAGAGACTGACCGCAGGCGGTGGATATTGTTGTAGTAGGTGTTATTGAAACCGGTGTCGGAGGAGGAGGCGAAGCGTGCCCTATCTGTAAAAAAAAGATGAAAGAATTAATTACTTCTATTTTAAAAACCAAAAAAAAAAAAAAAAAAAATTGATATAAATAATTAACACAAAATCTGCTGATTACAGCTAATCAAGAAAAGAAAAAAATTTTTTCTAAAGATATGAAATATTGCTGACATTACAAATTTCATTCAAAAGGCTTTTTAAAAAATGTGATAATAGAGAAACTGGGTTGATACTCTTCTTGTATCACGCAAATTGAGAAGACTAATGCCCTGAAATTAATACCGAGACATTTTTTTTTCAAATTTCGGTCAAATTAAATTTTATATTTTTATAATTTTAAATATTATATATTTTTAAATATTACATTAAACATTTATAGAAATTTATTCTTTTAATAATTAACGACTTTATTTAATTATAGAAAAAAAATCTATAATTATATTATAAAACCAAATATATATGTCCCTTAAAATAAATGTAGCATATTTATTTATTTCAAACATTCATTAATAATTTCTTAACTAATTTATGAATGAATGGGGAAATCTTGAAGTTTATTAACACTAGAATTGAATTATAACAGGTCAAGTTTGACGTCAAAAGATTTTCCTGTGATGATAAAAAAAGAAAAAAAAATATATATATATATTGTGAAAAGTTCAAATTTAGAATTGTTTTTCCCATAAATCATTTGTAAGTAAAAAAAAAATATATAATTTTTGGAGATTAGGGAAATTTTAAATACAAAACATTTTTTTAATAAATTTTCTATAAATGTTTATAAACATTTTAAAAAGAATAAAATTAATTTTGAAAAGAAAAATGGTTTCTTAATAAATTTCTTTTTTTTTAAATGCAATTATTCTTGTATTAACAATTAATTCTTTTTAAAATAATATATTTTTTGAATTAATAATTATTTCTCAATTTAGAGTAATATTCTTTCAATTTAGAATAATTATAAATTTAATATTATTTTAATTTTTAAAATAATATTATAGTACTGGTATATATTTTTAAAAATTATTATTGAAAATCTATTTTTAAAAATATGTTGCGTATCACAAACACGTATACACGTGAAAAAAAAAATAACGTGCAAGAGAACGACCTTAATAATTGTTCATCTCATTGCCTAGGTTAACCCTTGTTACAAGACCCACGCCACGGATGTTATCACTAATAGCAGAGGTCTAGGTAATGAAAAAAAAAATTTATTATATAAAACAATTTAAAACTGTTTTTTTTCTAAGACATATTTTTAATTCTCATATTCAAATATAAGAGTTAAATTAAAATTTTCCAAATATAAGCTAATAAATTATTATTTAACAAAATTATATACTTTTATAATTCAAATTTTTTTTAATATTGTTTTATTTTATTTTTCTACACGGGAGGGAGTTAAAAGAAATATTTTCTCAGAAATCAATTCACTTGATTCACGCGATATAGAAATGGTATAATTTGTATAAAATTATGAATGGCAGATTATGCGTAAAATTTATTTGATAAATAAATTATATGCTGAATCCGGACTTGACAATAAAGGGGGAAAAAATTCTTGTTTTTTTTTTTTTTTTTTTTTTTTTTACTTTTTTTCCAAGATGAAAAAGAACAGCGAGATGTATAAACTTTTTTTTGCTCTATAATATATACAGGGTGTTTGAAAAATTATAACGGTATTAACACATATGAAAATAAAATTTTCAAACTAAATTTCTATATTTTCAATGCACTTATTTTTGCCTTATTTTATTAATTTAAGTATTTTGGACCATTTAAAAACTTTACTCAATTATTTTTTTTTTTTAAATTCAGAAAAAAGGCAGACAAAATTGTTAATTTTAATAAAATTCGAGTATGTAGAAAATTTTCATGTTTAAAGAAAATTTTTTTTCATATTTATATTTGCAAAAAAAAAAAAATTATTTTTTGAATCACCCTGTGTGTACCAATATATTCACGAGTTTCTAAATATAAACCAAAGAAAATGAGGAGGAGCAGACTTGAAGGTGTATATGTATATAATACGACGTAAGTAGCAGTCTCATATATGTTGCCTCTATAAAAACCCTTGCAACATTAATACGTCACATTGTGTGTCATATATATAAAAGACAACCAATTTGAATATACGAATTTTTTAATATCCACAAATTATTCTTTGAATTATTAACACAGTCGTATAATTTTAAATTTAACGTACATTTCATCTTTATTTCTGTAAAAAAAAAAAAAATTAACACATTGAAGTGAAAAAAAGAAATAAAAATTAATTCTCTAAGTAGAAAAAGTCTGTTTTATCAGGCACAGATTGTATATAAGTAGAAAAAATACTTTAGTGACAGACAAATGAATCGAAAACTAGACGATTTAATTTTTGGAGAATAGAAAAAAAAAACTGGAAAATATTGTTGAGTAGTGAATAATTTTGGATGAAATAAATACCTGATACAAATAACATATTGTAACCGAGTGAAACACTTTTTTAGGTTATAAACATGAAAAAGGGAAAGTGTTTTGAGAATAGAAAAAAAACTGGAAAATATTGTTAAATAGTGAATAATTTTTGATGAAATACAATAAATACCTGATACAAATAACATATTACTTGTAAAAGCGTTAAACACTTTTTTAGGTTATAAACATAAAAAAAGGTGTGAACACTTGAAACGTGTTTTGAGAATTAAAAAAAAAAACTGGAAAATATTGTCAAATAGTGAATAATTTTGTATGAACTATAATAATTATCTAATACAAATAACATATTACTTGTAATCGTGTAAATAATAAAATATTTGTTTAGGTTATAAACATTGAAAAAGTGTTTTGACAGCAACAACAACGGTACTGCCAACTTAAATAATGGCGCTAAATTTGAAAAAAAGGAAACTTGGAAAATACTACCAACTTAAATAATGGCGCAAAATTTTAAAAGTAATCAAATTAATTATTTAAATAAATAACAATTTTTACACTTAAAAATGACTAAATATTCATAATTTTTTTTACGAAATTCTATTTATAGAAAAAACCAATAATAATAAAAAAAAAAAAATGTTTCATTATAAAATATATTTCTAAATCTGAGGTTGAAGTTGAAAATATATAGTGATAAATTACTGCAGTCATTCTGTTGAAATAATATATTATGTGAAGTAATGAAACTTTCACGTTTAACAAAGACTTAATTTAAGGGATAATTCTTTTGATTTGTGCCTTTCTTTTTTTTCCTTTAAAAAAAAAAAATCAGTACAGAGAAGGTCTTTCATATACCCGTGTGGAAAAATTTTGTGGAAGTCTAGCGTCTAGAAATAGTCTTTCCAGTCATAGGCAAGCCCGTCTAAACTAGTCGGTCTTGCTATTCGCTAAGAAGCGTTTCAATGGACGTAGTCGAGTTCGTCTTATCTAGACCGTTTTTCAAGACTCAAGCCAGCGACTTTACAGCGCTACTTGACAAACGTATAGGTTATGGTCGTTTGCGGTTGTCAGTGTACTTTTATAGTTGTTGCACTTTTGTGAAATTCTTTTTTTTGTAAAATACAATTTTTACTAATTACAATTTAATATATTTTATAATTAGTAATTAATATTATTTAAATTATATTTATATATTGCTGTTAATTTCAATAAAAATATTCTTTGTTTTTTTATAGATTTTTGACATTTATTTTTTTAATCGAAGAAAAAACTTTGTCACGAATTTATTTATTTTTATATTATATATCCATTAACATAACCTCAAACTAAAAAGTAGTTTTTAACAAAACTAAAAATATATTTAAAATTTATTACACCCAAATTCGACATATCCAGTTGTACAATATATATTAATTTAAATAATATTAATTACTAATTATAAAATATATTAAATTGTTATTAGTAAAAATTGTAAAAAATATATTATTTAAAAATATTTGTACACAACTACAAAAGTAATTCGCAAAAGTATTTCCCAAAAGTATTTTACAAAAGTGCAACAACTATAAAAGTACACTGACAACCGCAAACGACCATAACCTATACGTTTGTCAAGTAGCGCTGTAAAGTCGCTGGCCTGAGTCTTGAAAAACGGTCTAGATAAGACGAACTCGACTACGTCTATTGAAACATCTTTATTATGGATTATTTCAATATTATTCATTAGAATTATACCTATAATATTGTAATAATTAAAGAATTATTATTTGATACATTATAGAGATGATAAATCATAAATATAACGTAAAAAACAATATTATTATTAATATATATATATTATATTATAATATTATTAACAATAAAGGCAATGGATATGGCTTTTATATAAATAGAAATAATTTTATAATTATATTAAAAATATATATATAATTTAAGGATAAAAACATTTTGAATTTAGCATAAAGGCGAGCCAAAAACATCACCGGTATTAACAGATTGTCGCCAAGTAGCCAGCGTGGCTCCGTGGTTAGCGTAGTAGGTTTGCGAGTGTTAGGTCGTGGGTTCGGTGCCCAGTGCGAGCGAGATTTTTCAAATTAGATTAGGTGATATTTCCACAGGTGTTGTTAATTAATCTTAAGTGATAATATAAAAATAGTAAAAAACTTCGGATTAAATTAATTAAATAATAATAAATTTTTTTTGAAATTACTAATAATAATTAAATGAGGAGATAAGTTGTCTTGACTTATAAGATTCCAGTACAACTTATCTCCTTATTATTAGTAAATTAAAATCATATTATTAATGAATACTAATGTTGTTTTAATTTTATCTATAAATATAATAATACGTAATATTAATAGGATTATTATTATTATTACTATTATTATTAAGAATTATTGAACGCGACTATCAAGACCTGGCCAGCTTGTCTAACTCTAGACCGTATCATGGAACTTTCGTTCCATTTCTGATCGGGGGCTTGACAAGACCGTCTGGCCTGGGTCTATAGAGACGTTAGACAGTCTGTCCAGCGTCCTACCAGCGCCCCGAAATTTTTCCACACGGGTATTATTACGCAAGTTTTTTAAA